AATCAGGCATACTTTACGATGAGGTGGATATTCGCTTACTGCTGGCGGCCGCTTTCTCATTTCATTTTACTCGGCGAATAGGCTAGGTATAGCTAGGACGGACGTGCCAAGTATGTCTGCCTAGTCGACGAACGCTTTTCGGCTACATACTGTCGTGGGATGCAAGCATGACGAGACGAAAGACAATTTGAGGAGTTGCTGTCTCAATGCCAGAACAGGATAGCAAAACGTCCATTGGGGTCAGCCTAATGCAAGGTGACTTGTCATACACCCCCTCTTCCCCCTTCTCCCTATTGCGTTGTGGCTGGCTGGCGAGAGGACGACATGTAATACCAGCACCTCAATCCGGTCTGAAAAAGGGCCGCGGCTCCCGCGAAAATTCGAAGCGAGGAGACTGTGAAGCGGGTCTCATCATCAATGTACGACAGAGGAAGGTGGGAGGTATGGCAAGAATCTCTCATGTGGGATAGAGTACGTCGAGCGGTGCGCGCAGTTGCGCGCAGTTGCACGTGTCTCATCCAAGCTAGGGAAGCTTACACTCATCAGCCTCGTTGGCAGACGAGTGACAAACGTGGTAGCAAACGACTTCATATTGTTAGTCTGGTCTGGTATGTTACAGAGTACTCCGTCACTCTTTCACGTGCAGGTTTTTGGTTACATCTTCCCGACACTGACCCCTGTTACCAGACATTTTGCCCCCTCAACTGTCCAGCTGTACGGAGTACGGAGTACACTTGTCGTGCGGTGGTTGGGTGAGACCGGCACTCTGTTGAATTCCGCCTCACTACGTGAGCCAGTGGGCGCATGCATTGAGCAGTCGCCGGCTCAAGGGCTTCATTTTTGCTGATTTGATTCATTGGGGAAAACATGCGTCTGCACAAGCTCGGACAACCCCTGTCTGGATCGTTTATCTGCCGAGCCTCTGATCCGAAAATCGAGAAAAGCAGCAAGGGTGACAAAAAACGGGGTCTGCTTTTGACAAACACAAGGCGATCCTGCTGCATGGCGTAAGAGCTGCTTTCTGCTGTGCTGGCTTGCCTAAGGTGTTTACGGGATATAGATACTGCCAGTCACAGAGATACGAGTACGCATTCAACTGTGGCCCATCCTTTACCTTTTGTGATAGGCTGCTATTGTTCGTCCCTGGCCACAGATGCGATTAGGAATAGCTAAGGGTGGGCAGGACCAAAGCGGAGCCGGATCCCTTTGTCGCTATTCCTTTTCTTACCAGCCCGTGCGGCCTTGCTGACGGCAAAGCTCTGAAATCATGGGTGCACCTCTCTCAGGCATAATGCACCTCATCCCTTTGCTTACCACCAGCCTCCGCAGCTTTGCTTGACTGTCTCGACCCCCTTGCCCAGCTATCATTCGAACGCGTCCCCTGCAAGCTTCGTCTCCGCAGCTATCAGTCTGCATGCACGACTTATCATCAACAGCTTACCCATGGCAAGAAGTGCGGCTGGCCGACTAGTCTCGCTGTTCGGCGTCTTCGTGAGATAACCAAATTCATTGGCACGAGAGTCCAAGGCGTATCACTTTCCATACTGATTTTATCAATACCGATATGGACATGTCCCGGCCCATCTTTCCCGCAATAGTCCAGCTCAAGCACGGCCCCAGATTTACTGCTTAGAAATACGGGTTTACACCTCCGTACGGGGTACTTGTCGCTTGTTCGGCTTCATTTATGCACCAATGTCAGGCTGCGTCTTGTTCTGGTATGTGTCAGACTGCGTCTTGTTCTGGTATGTGTCAGGCTGTGTCTTGTTCTGGTATGCGAGGCGATGCAAATTGTAAGCAGAGGCATGGTAAATCAGAGAAATCATAATTGGAAACAATGACGAGATAATACAAAGAGCTCATGTATGTACATGATTCTCACGACAGCATACAAGGGGGCGTACGCCTTTATATGACAAGTCACAACCTCGGTGCACATAGCAACATCAGCATCAGGAGGTCTTTTGTTTCCTCAAACAATTTGCCCCCGGAGGTTGGGGGAGGAGTGTACGCCTGAGTTCAAGCTACATTCATTCTGCTTTCCTTTTTTGTTGCATCTGCTCTTCACCTGCAGCACTAGCTCTGCCATTGTCAAACATGGGGACGACGTCGGTCTGACTCGTTATGTTGCCTTGCCTGACCTGCAGTGCTTCGGCTCCTCACCTTGCTCTCCACCCACACCTCCATCTCAATAGTCATCACATGCGACAGAGACCAGGGCTGCCTCTTCTCTGCCACTTCATGTGGGTCACGATATCTTGTACGAATGGGAAATGGCTCATACTCCCCTTTGTCGACATGGGAGAGATGACGGCAGCACTTAGGGCCATATCCAGAAGGATGGCAGGCTTTCGCCTCGTTAATGGGACGTTTCTCTGACCTCCAAGGTATCTTGCGGTTCACCAGCTGTGATCAGTACTCCAGACCACAAGGACACGGAGACCTGACCGCAGGTAATGTGAGACTGGTCGGTAACCTGGCTCCATTCTCAGGCCACCGTATCCTTTCCTTCTTCTTCTCTTTCGCATCTGCACTACGTCGTGCTTACCGGCGCCCGGGCTCTTGCACAATCCCGGATTATGGGTGCCATTTGCGCCTGCCACGTCAACTGTGTGGTATCTTTCTGCAACCTTCACAGGGGACGTATCAGGAAAGAGATTGGCGGTTGAAACCAGGCATGCTGCTGTGTGCGGATGACGCATTCTGAGAGGACAGGACACTGTAAGACCAGGGCACAGAATAGGTTCATACTTGCATGACAGCCAGTGGTAAGACGCGAGATACCGTGGTTTCTGTGTTGTCATGGCAGGGAAAGGCCTGCACCAAACAGACAACACAGCAACGACGCACTGTAGACATGAACGATCAAGGCGATTGTCCATGGAACTGGCTACACCCTGAGCTCAGCGTGATCTAAATGTAAGATGTGCTGGCGATTTGGGCGGCCCTGCTGTCCGCATGCAAGAAAGCAGGATTGGAGGGCATCAGGTGAGAAGGGGCAGAGAGGTGGGTCCGAGACACAGTACAGAGTACTCGTACGGAGTTTACTACGAGATGTGTACGGAGTATATGACTGCATACGCAAAGGTCTATCGGCCATTCCTCGTCGAGTCGTTTTCCCCTTATCCCTTGCCAGCACGTCTTCTCCCGCATCCTTCTTTGCGGGCCCTGTCTAGCCATTGCGAAACATCTCCACTCCCGGCGGCCGTTGGTGCGAATTCTCGTCGCTTTTCGCGCAACGGGCGCTTGTCGACATCGGAGCCGCGCTTGCCGAGACAGAGAGCGGCGCAGGCAGAAAATGGCCTGCAGGGGGATATGCAATGCGGCATTTGGCAGAGGAACACGTTTTTCACCAGCAGAGCCGGGGTATTCTTATGTAGAGCAAGAAGGGGCTAGTTCCGACGTCACACAAGGCCGGGGTTCTGTTCTGGGACCCCTCGCTTCCGTAAGACAGCTAGGTAGCGCCTTCCTTGTGTAAGTACAGCCTCCCTGTAACATTGATCCGCCTGTCCAGTGGCTATTCTGAGGCTGTTCTGCACCTCGTCTATTTTTGCCTCTTTGTCTGGCCTGCAGGATCGACGTCACATACGAGCTGCACATTGTCGGGAGCAGCGAGGGGAACACCGGACACAAGCTTCTATTTTTATACTTGCACGAGCGCGATAATGCATGGTGAAACCGCGTCGGTCAGCACAACCGAAGACGCACAAGAGAACACAAGGAAAACCGGTGAGAGAAGATTGTGCGAGCCGAGAGGCTTTGTGATTCTGTTGCTTTTCGGCCAGCCGTGGCCTGGGCAACGACCATGGCTTTCAAGGAGCACTAGCCTAGCCACGCCGACACGCATTGCCTTTCCATCAGCACACGGATTCAGTCTTGGTGAGAGAGGAAGCGAGACGATCTTGGGCTTTCTGCTTTCGGGTTCTTCAATCTGCTCTTTAATCTCCGGTCTACTAAAAGAAGCAAATAACAGACGAATATGCTGCATGCTGCACCTTGCACCCTGTACCCTGCGCCTTGCATCGGACCCATTGTAGCCAAAGACCCAATATCGCTGCTACATGGGTTTCGGCACGATGCGCTGGTTGGCAATGTCCGTACTCTTGCAGGCTTGGCTTCTGCTTGCTGTGCTCGTAATAATAGAGCCCCCCCATTGCCCCCACGATGTCTCTCCGTCTCTGTGCCGGTATGTGCGCTGGTTTCAGGATGAACCAGAAGCCTAAACTCGGCATGAAAGTCGTACTCATGGCGAGAGCGAGGTAAGACATTGGGGGGAGGGTCTCATCAATTGTCAGACGTAAGCGGTGACATGCCACGTACGACTGTTCGGCTACACACGGCGCTGCTTCTGCTACGGCGTGATGCCTGGGCGGTGGCCGTCCAAGTGGCACCCGGCTGGAGTTGCCCTGCAGACATACAGGAGCAGACGGGCCGAGGGGGATGGGAGGTGGACGAACATGTTTTCACAAGGAAGCATTGTCGGTATACACGCTCAGAAGAGCCAGGGGAGCCGCTGCTGATGGCCTTTCGTCATTTCACCACTAATAGAGCACATGTAGAAGTCTTGTTGAAACCGGGAGTACGAACTGTCCAGTTGCCTCCAGCAACGAACTCCACGAGATAGAACGACATAGAATTACATGGGGCCTTTGACAGCACAAAGGAAATGCTGGCAGGCATAAACAAACAAAGCAGATACGCGTGCTATGCCAGGTAACGGACGCCTCCCTTCAAACATTCTGCCTCACTTCCTCTCCTCGGCAAGTTGTAGCATTGCATCTCTCGCCCTGGCATACCAATGCCTTTTACTTTCCGCCGCATTTGGTGCTCCGATATTGTGGCAGGTGTCCGCTCTTCCTGGCAGGCTGTTGATTCTGAACGAGAAGCGATCTTCAGTCCCTAGAAGAGAAGGCAGTAGGCAAGAAGGTAAGGATCAGAGCCTAACGCAGAAGACTGGAATACTGCCTCGACACAGGAGCTGTAGAGGAAAGAGAGGGGACTTAGAGAGCGAGATTGTACGCGTACTCATCCTCCATGTTCTGGCTGATCCAGAGAATGACGGAGCTGTGGATGTCAGTTGAGTGAAGCCCAGGTGAAAGGGAAGAACCCCCCCAAAAATACAGACCTCAGTCCTATCAGCCCGTTGGCCACCACGTTCTCGACGCCCATCGACAACATCGGCATCGCCACCTTGGGCACGACAAACTTGAGCACGAAGATGCAGACGCCGCCAGCCATGCCACCGGCCAGGCTGGCGAAGCCGAGAAACAGCACCACGCGGGCCTGCCAGGCCACGCTGCTGCCGCCGCCGCCGCCGCCGCCGCCGATGCCGGCATAGCCAAAGCTGTCCGACGACAGCCGGGATTTTTCGACGCAGTTAATGATCAGCATGCCCAGGCTGCTGCAGATCAGCGGCAGCCAGTCGACAAACGTGACGTGCACATTAGACCCGTTGGCCGTCGACTTGGACCACACGGCCGCGTCCAGGAGGACATAAAAGGCGAGAGAGAACTGGGAATCGGGCGCGTCAGCGGAGATGAATTTGGTTGTTCACAGCCTCCGGACAGATACGCACCAGAGCTCCCGACAGATACACGCCGGCGTTGCGCGCCGCGATCCCCGAGACCCAAGGCGGCAAGTGAAACTTCCACAGGCGCTCTTCCTCCATCGCTGCAGCTCGGGAGGATGGCGGTTGGCGTGTGGATCGAATGAAAACGGCGCGGTCGTCTGGAGCGCGATCAACAAGGGCCGGCCGATCCGGAGAGAAGGACGACTGCCGAAAGACGAAGAGCAAAGGCTCCCGTGCAAGAAGCTTTCAACTTGCGGGGCTGGCTGGACCACGAAAGTGGCTGACGATGAAAGCGCACGCTTGGTCGAGAGATGCGCTTGCCGGACGGGGCAGTATGGGATGGCGTCGATGGATGCGGTTGCGATGATGGCGAGGCTGTTTCGTGGTGGATGTGGCAGGAGAGCTGTTTCGGGCCGGAGCCTTTCTGTTTGTTGCCTGGTGCTCTGCTCTGCCCCACAATTTGTGGACAGGAATGTCACGTGAGCATCTCAGCGCCACCGGACTCGCGACAACTTCGTCTCTCCATGCTCTCCTGTCCTGAGCAGCCTTGGACAGGCCTACAGATAGCGTGATAGATCCGTTCTATATGGCTAATTGTGTCTGTTGGGGTTCATTCGGTTCCCTCCAATTGATGTTCAGCTTCGGCCGTCTGGTTTCTGCCGGTAGACCGGGAGGTACGGAGCCGCTGGTCTGCATGTTTCGACCAGCAAACATGCAGTTGAACAAAAAGATTCCAATGGCATATCCACTTTGCAAAGTCCACGGCTGTGCACGTATCTGATCTTTTTTGGGAATGAATGGATTGGGATGCTTCTTATCCTCTTAGAGTCATTGCTGAGTGGCGTAAGTCGTTCTATGCGTGTTATCTTCTTGAACGTCATCGATGCTGCCTCTGAATTCAAGTACGCCTTCCAGCATATCGTACAAGCACAACGTGAGGTGTTTTTTATGGCCTTCATTCCCCTGGCCCTCTATAGCAGCCGTGACAAGGCACCTCCGCAATCCATGTCCTCTCCCCCCACTCGCTGCTCGCATGCGAGCTTCCTGGATGGTATGCCAGTTGGCCTGAAAGATGAGCTGGCATACCGGTCAAAACACCGCCACATCTCAGGACAGGGGTCCCTGCCCTTCTGGTGGGATTGGTGACATACAGCCGGAGAAAGATTGCACGATACAAGCGAGCTGCACTAGCCTGCTGCATGGCCAAATATGGCAACGTCTCCCAAAGCAGCAGTCGCCCGTCCACGACGACGACGCGGAAGGAACGGACGTAGGGAAGAGAGCGGTCAGGCTCGGTCAGGTGACTACCGCACGTCTTTGATGCCGGGCGAGGCCATCACTTCTAGCTGGCGCCGGCCCTTGCGCAAGAGGAACTCGATGGCGGCAAAGTCCCGCTTCTCGACATCCCGGTGCTTTTTGAACTCGGTCCTCGCAAAGGCCTCGAAATGCGATCGTGCTTCCTGGTTGTTGGGCGAGCAGACGTCAGAAATGGAATCCGGCCGGTCTTCCGATCCAATGCAGCTTAGACTCACAGTGGGCTTCAGCCGGCTCTCGCGAAGACACCGACGGTAGAGGCTCAGGACCTCCTTCTGCAGCCCGGACAGACGCATCGGGGCAGGGGCCATGTCGCCAGAAAGGTCCGAGTTGAGGGCTGGACACAAAGCGACGACGTGTGGCTCGGCAAGACGCAGTGGGAAGAAGGAAAAGTTTCCCATTGTGGGGGTGGAATGAGCTACGTTAGTGGTGTACGGAGTACATAGCTCCAGAGCTGGGGCAAGGCGGCCGGACTAAGGCCTAGCAGATGCAGCGTGGACTCAATCTCCGACCGAGTGCCGAAACACAACCACATCTTCCTTCAGCCAAGACCGCCGAACGAAAGAGACAGAAGTCCAGCGATAAACGTCCGAGGAAGTTAATAGAGATCGATTTCGGTCAACAGAGAGCCGCTCCAAGCACGCCTCTGCTTTATCGGCAGCCATCATGACGCCCGCATTTTCCGTACGTCTCGCGCCTTGCTTTGGGGGATCTGGCCTGGTGCTGGGCTCGCTGCTGACCGCCACAGAGACTTGTCCGCTTCCTGGCCAAGGACGGCCGGACCTACTACGGAGACGCGATCCTGCCATCGGGCGTGACGGACATTGCGCAGGCCAAGCAGGCTCGCATCGTGGTCGGCAATGTGTTTGGCAAGCACGAGGTGACCGATGAGGTTTCCGACATCCGGCTGCTGCTGTCTCCGCTCGCTCCGGAGGATGTGCGCACGGTCCGGTGTCTGGGCCTCAACTACGCCCTGCATGCGAAGGAGGTGAGAAGAAGCCGAGGTGCTGCATATGCCTGTAATGCTGACCGGTAGTAGTCGGGCATGGCGCTGCCCAAGTTCCCGGTCTTGTTCGTACGTGTCCCCCTGCCGATGGACGGAGATGCCGATGTGGCCGGCTGACAGCAGGACAACAGTACAAGCCAGGCACGTCTCTGAGCGGTCCGACAGACCCGATCCCGGTGCACGCGATGGCGCAGAAGGGCGAGGGCCTCGACTACGAGTGCGAGCTGGTGATTGTGATTGGCAAAAAGTGCGCCGACGTGACGGAGGCTAACGCGCTCGATCACGTGCTCGGCTATGCCGTCGGCGACGACGTCTCGCACCGCGAGTGGCAGATCAAGCTCGGCGGCGGCCAGTGGTCGCTCGGCAAGGGCTTCGACGGCTGGGCGCCGTGGGGACCCGGCATCGTCAGCACCAGGCTCATCCCCGACCCGCAGACGCTCGCGATCTCGACGAAGCTCAACGGCCAGGTCGTGCAGGACAGCAACACGTCCGACATGATCTTCAACGTCCGCAAGACCATTGCCTTTCTGAGCCAGGGCACCACCCTCCTGCCGGGCGACGTGATCTTTACCGGAACGTATGTGCAGGCCCCCCCCCAGACCGTCTTCCGATGTAGCCATGATGCTGACAGCGAGGGACAGGCCGTCGGGTGTTGGCATGGGCCGGAAGCCACAGCTCTGGCTCAAGGACGGAGACGTGGTGGAGGTGTCGCTCGAGAATGTCGGCACCTGCACCAACAAGGTCGAGTTTTCCTCCAGAGATGTCGCCAAGCTGTAGATGTAGGCTAGGCGAACTGCTTGGTACGGATGCTAGTTTGTCTGTTTGATGCTGTTTGCGGCGCTTGATGTCATTGGACACAGTCGTGTGGATATGTTGGTTAGGGTTGATCACAAGATGGATTGCATGTCAGAGACAGAGTACCTTCGTATTGGCGAGAAGCGTCCAGGAGAGGTCGATCGGGCCAGGCCGAGGTGATAGTACCAAGACTGGCTACAGACAGTATTTCAACTCTATCAGAAGTATCACCACCCATTCATAAGATTGCTCTCTGCTCAATAGGCTACCTACGTAATGGGCCATTCGAGATCAATTCATATCAGCCATCGCTTGCATCACGACTATGGCTTCCTTGCCAAAGAGGAGGTGCTCAAACTCTGCTGACTGCAGACATCAACCAGCATGGACGCACCAGAGAGCCAAAAACATAGATAGCTTCCTTGGCTTTGTGGGGCTTTGGCAGCTGAAAAGCTTTGTGATCTGGTCGCGGCCTAAGCCGGCGCTAAGATAGGCATTGGCCATTGGATTGGCAACGACTCTACAGAAGCAGTGCTCACAATGAGAAGGAACGGGGGCATGGAGGTGTTCTCAGACCTCTTAGAGATTCACGACGAGAAGTTTGCTAAAGGCAGAGCAGTCCCATAACAATCAACTCTGTTCTGCTCTAATTTTGTTTGGTCTGTCTCTGCGTTTGTGTTCAAGCCCAAATGATTGACCGACACGTTCATTACAAAGACTGACAGCGCTGTCTTACGTTGAAGAATATGATAGCTTCAGATAGTCTTTCTGTCTACTCTGAACGGCGGCTAGTTTTTTCCGCTAAATCAGCACTCTGATCTAGGTATAGAGCTGCTACATACAACCTTTCGACAATGCGCATACGGTGCAGCGAACGTAGTGGCAGAGAGCCTACAGAGTCTGGTCACCGAGGAGACAGCTGCGTTTAGCTGAATGCGGCCTAGAGCTTAGGCTGGATCATCCTAGGCGGAACACAGCCACGACGATGATGTCAGACGGCGATGCGACCAATGAGCGAGGCCGGATCAGTGCACGGGAGTCGCCTAATGAAACAGCAAAGCAGCCTTGGCTGTCAGCCGTGACTGACTGGCGGCATTTGTCTGAGGGGAAGCTGGCGATGCAAGGCTCTACAGTAGTACTGCCACTGCCACTGGCAGTTGGCCTTGGTCCCTGTTGTTATCAGTGGCATTCCGCACCTTTTTCTAGCAGTCAAGGTGATTACGGCGACAAACATGGCGTTCTCACTAGAGGAAATGTACCAGCAGGAAGTAGTGTCACTGGCGATCCCATATCACGGCGACGACGACGGCACGGCAGATTTCGACAAGCAGGCCAAAGGCAAGGAGAGGGCAGACGAGAAGGATGAAGCAATGAGGCCGATAATAGAGGCAGAGGAGCAGGACACGGAAACAGACACGGATACGGACGAAGAGAAAGACAAGAGACGGCTGCCGCGACCTGGGAGTGGCTCCGGAGACGATACCGACGCGGACTATGACGATTTGAGCTGGATGTCGGTGCCTCCACCAGCGGCACTGACAGAAGGCCTGACGAGCGATCTGGCCGAGGTCCTGGTTGAAATTGCACGGTCGTCGATCGAGGGTGTGCAGGCGCGGGCAGCCCAGAAGATGGCAGAGCGGGCGGCACGCGCAGAGCAGGCGCAAATAGACAAGGCCAAGGCGGGTGTGGTGACAGCCGAAGAGGTAGCCGAAAGAGCAGCGCAGACGCTCGTCGAAGAGAGAGGCTGGCCTCTGGCCAATCGGTCGCTAGAGCTGGACATGCTCAAGGGCAAGGGCAAGGAGTCAGCAGAGCCAGAGACGGCCGTGTCGAGCAGTGTGGAAGCGTGGCCGCAGACGCAGACGAAGATGCAGACGCAGAAGCAGACACAGCCATTGCCGAGCTCCGTGTCGGAGAGGCGATCGCGCAGCCGGATGTTCGCAGCCCGACTTCTTCGCCACGTTCACGTGCACAGCCGCAGTCAGAACAGCGCGGAGAGCAGTGCGGCGGGCGCGGCAGCAGGCGCGACAGCAGCGGCCGAGAGGGACCTGCAATGGCTGCAGCAGAACCGCTGGCTCCTGACGGCGGAGTCGGGCATGACGGTGACGGCACCGCTGCGGGCGGCGATGCTCCCCGGCCAGGCGACGACGGCGATGCCGGAGCCGATGTGAGTGATGACGTAATGCTGTTGTTGTTGATGCTTACTAATCAACAAAAACAGCGAGTGCATTTCGTGTTTTGACGAGACGCCAGCACGGGAGGCGGTGCGGCGAGTCTGTCACAGCTACTGTCTTGGATGTTTCCGGCAGCTGGTGGCGACGGCGGTGTCGAACGAGGCGCAGTTCCCGGCCAAGTGCTGTCTGAACGAGGTGCCGTCGAGGACGATTCGGCGTCACGTGACACGAGAAGTATGGCAACGGTATGCGGCCAAAGCAGCGGAGCTGGCGGTGCCAGTGAGCGAGCGGCTATACTGTGCGGCGGTGAACTGCGGAATGTACGTACCGGCTTCACAGCAGAGCCGAGCAGCGCGGATCGGGCGATGCAGCGGGGGCCACGAGACGTGCACGATGTGCCGGCAAATAGCGCATGGGACGGGCAGCAAGCGAGGGCCATGCGCGGAAGATCGAGACGGACAGCTGGCGGACGAGCTGGCAGCAGACGCGGGCTGGCGACGGTGTCAGCAGTGCTCAGTGCTGATCGAGCATGCGGATGCGTGCCAGCACATGACGTGTCGCTGCGGCGGGCAGTTCTGCTACGTGTGCGGTGCAGTCTGGCGAACGTGTGAGTGCACGATGGAGGACCTGCAGGAGCTGAAGGCGCGGGCAGCAGAGCGACAGGCAGCACGGGCGGAGCGAGAGCGGGCAGCAGAGGCAGCAACAGCGGTGGCAGACCAAGAGCTACAGGAGCTGCGGGAGGCGCTGCGTGCGGTCGAGGAGCTGGAGCGGGAAGAGACGCAGCGACAGGAGCGACAGCAGGCCGAGCGGACGGGACGACTAGAGCGGCTGCGGGACCGACGTGAGGCCGTGCTGCGACGCGAGGCGCCACGACAACACGTCCAGCTGGCGGCCGACCTGCAACGCCTGACAGGCCGACAGGAGGAGACGGCACGCAAGCGACGACGACAGCAGCGAGCAGACCACCAGCAGGCGCAAGACGAGGCGCGTGCGGCACAGCAGGCAGACCAGGCGAGCGAGCAGACGGCGGCAGCTGCCGAGGCCGAGCAGCTGGTCCGGACGGCCGAGCAGGCCTGGGCGGCCGACTACAGCGCGCGCGTGCGGCTGGAGCAGCGCGTCGAGGCTGGGTATCGCGCCGACCTGCTGGCCGACGTCACGCTCTGGGCCGACCGGCCAGATCGGCTGTCGCGCATCGACGCCGCCGTGCGCGTGCTCATGCGCCGCAACGACGGCCGCCTCGACGCCTATCTGCGCTGGCGCGATGGCCAGCTGGCAGCTGTGCGCTGTCGGGCCGACGAGAATCGTGCCATGGGCGACGAGCTGCGGACCCGTGCGCGGAGACTGGCTGCTGAGACCCAGCTGGCTCACAGGACGGCCCTGTGCCGGGTGCACGACGCGGAACGCACGTGGGTGCGCGTGGTCGCGGCAGAACGCTGCCGCCAGCTCGAGGCCATGCTCGCGGTCAAGCGGCGGCTCGGACTCGCTGGCTCGGCTGTCCCGGCCGACGCGGAACTGCTGCTGCTGATCGAGTTCGACGGCGCCGGCACGCTCGACGGCGTCGACATCGAGGACTGCCTGCGGCTGCAGGAAACAGAACAGGACGCGCGAGAGAGGGTGCAGGACAGTTCTGCTTAACACGGACAGCGACGGCCTTTCAACTGGATCTTTTTCCTTGGTGATACAATACTCTGTAAGAATACGCCTTCCCTGCATAATAGAAATAACATAAGACATGGCAGAGGAAGGGGACAATGTCCCGACCAGCCGCTCTTGCTCCATCCTGTTCCTCTCTTCGTTCTTGGTGGCCGGAGCTGGGCTGCCCGAAGCAGCAATGGCCCGCTCCGAGAATGCCGATTCCATTTCATTCCATTCTGTGCCGTTCTGTTCTGACCGTTCTGTCGTGGTGTGCACCGCCCCGCTTAGTACACCTTCTTCTTCTCGTCGAAGCTGACCTTGCCGGGGCCGCTGTTGACGAGCAGCAGGAGACCGCCGACGATAGAGAGGATCTGGAAGAAGTCGTACTTGGCAAAGTCCTTGTGGGGGTGGTGATCGTGGAGCTGGGCGTCGGCAAGTTAGCAGAAGACACACAGACGACCGACAACAGACAAGAGACAACCAAGAAAGACCCACCGTCCAGAAGTTGTTGACCAGCACGTTGAACACGCTCAGGATCACCACCAGCAGCGTCGCGCTGGCCTTGGCCTTGAAACCGACCACGACCATGACGCAGGCCACGAGTCCGACCAGCGACACGAGCACGCGCCCGATCGTCCACTCGCCGCTGAAGACGAAGCCGATGAAGAGGAAGATGAGCAGGACCCGGCCGGCTAGCTGAAAGTACATCTTGCGGTCCTTCTCCTCCAGCTGCGGCAGCCCGGCAAACGCCTGCGTCTTGCGGATCCACGAGTCCGACAGCACCATCAGCAGCCCGCCCATGACCGAGAGGTTGCGCAGGAAAAAGTTGAGGTCGAAGATGAGCCCGTACCCGAGCGCCTGGCTGACCACCACGCCGATCAGTCCGCTCACCGCGTACCCCGAGTGCCGCCGCATGATCACCAGCGTCGAGCACGACGCCATCACCAGCACGTTGCCGACGAGAAAGAGGTGCGTGAGGCCCCAGGGAACTGCAGGTGTCAGTGGAGGAGAAAGAGAAAGAACAAGACAGGGAAAAGCTCACTGTGTCGGTATTCGCTCAGGTACCGCAGCTGGTCGCTGAACTGCGTGATGATGCGCAGAGCGTCCTCCAGAAAGGTCACCACGATGAGGAACCGCCCAATGGCCGGCAGATACCTGTGACCGCGTCAGCAAGAGCAGGGGGCCGTGCAGCCGCGACAATCCAGGGGCGAGAGGGGACCCACGGCTTCACCGGCTCGCTGTAGGTGTCCAGCAGATCCTCAATCTTGCTCGTCTGCTGGCGGATCGCGTCCAGCGGACCGGACGGATCCGTGTCCACGTCGGGCGAGTTGCCAAACGGATTCGCCTGGCCGATGCCGTAGCCGGCGCCACTTCCACGCATGTGAGCCATGTTGGGGGAGAGGTAGGGGTAGGAGTTGGACGTCGAGAAGTCGAGGCGCGTAAAGGCGAGCTTCCGTCTCCAACTGTCAGCTTGGACGACGTGTCCCGAGGATCGTGCACGATGAGCAGAGAGCTTTCGAACGGGAGTGTTGATTCGTAGATCTGTCTTTGCTTTTTGCTTTTGGCTGTTTCGCTTTTCGTTGAAGGCACCTCTTGGCGCGCGAGGGGTCGAGAAGAAGAGGCTAGGATGAGGCCGGCAGAAAAAGGAGGATGGGACGTAAGAGAAAATACGCTGAGTCTATATATACATCAATATGACAGAGACACACAGTGTCTGAGAAGAAAGAGAGGCGAGGTACGAGTCAGCGACAACGTGCGGAGGACGAGTGGTGCGGGTATGGTCGAAGCCGTCTGGTAATGTCCCTCGTACGCTTCGTGGTGTAATCTGTCAAGACGGCAGCCGATGCTCGACTTGCAAGAAAGCAGGAGAAAACGTGAGCTCTGCCAGTGCTACAACGCCCCTATTACAATGTGTCCTTTCTGGCGGCCTAGGTAGAGTTCGGCAGGTAGGGGCCGCAAGTACCGAATGTGGCATGTGTACCTGTGACGTAGCCCTGCGTACGGCCTACTGCCAAGTCCTTCTGGGCCCGGGATACTTGCGCTCGTGCCCACACCCATCAGCTAATAGCTCAGATGTGGGGACTTTAAAACATTAGTGCAACTCTGTTTTCTCCCTTCCAAACCCTCAGAACAGACAGAGCACGAGGTCTGCTCGTGTCGGAGGGAGTGCGAGGCTATACGGAGTAATAGGGTACAAACTGTATGGAGTACGGGTACGGGTACTCGTACTCGCAAATTAGACAAGACCCGGTCCCTCCCAATCCCCATAAGCATCGTGACCTAATGGTTTATGCTTGTTCGCATCGCCACTATGCTTACGTAAGCGGCTATTGTTCAAGGCGTGTCGGTGTTTTGTTCTTCCTCGCCACCGTCCGTCTCTGGGTCTTGTCGTCCTGCCGTCCGTCACAGGCAGCCACGGCCACAAACCCCTCTTTCCTTGCCACGGACGCAACCGGGAAGTGTGGCGCCGAAAGGATGCGCAGACAAAGCACATGGCAGTCCAAATGCCTATTTGGGTGTCTAAACTCCCATTACGTAATTCTTCAAACGCGTAAGCCGCTGTTCTTCGTGCTTACATCCATGTATATTACAGCCCAATATTAAGACAGGAAAAAATGCACGACCCCCCCGCTCACTGCGTCTTCTTCGTGGTTGGACCGCTCCCTAAGAGTTCGCTCTCGACCAGCAGCCGCCACATGCACCACAGGTAGCAGAGGCCGAATCCGGCGGCGCCGATGCCGACGTTGGTCACGACCCAGAGGTCGGGCTTGTCGGGCGGCGGAGCGGCAAAGTGCTCGAGGACGTGCCAGACGGCCATGGCGAGGTAAAAGGGCGCGTGCAGCAGCGTGGCCGACCAGAGGACACCAGGACCGGCCGGATCAGCTGCCGCATCGGGACCAGGCCCGGGGCCGACGTAGACCGACAGGGACGTGGGCGGCAGGCCCAGCAGAAAGGCCCACAGCAGGGTCAAGACGGCGTAGGGCACGCGCAGGTCGACGCGCTGCAGCAGCGGGAAGAGCGTCCAGACGGCCAGCAGGTTGGCAAAGCCGACCCATGCGCGCGTGTTGCGGCCGAGTCCGCCGGCGCCGGCCAGCAGCAGGGTCATCGGCAGCAGCGGCAGCAGCACGCTCTTCTCGTGCACCTGGTAGCTGAAGAGGAAAAAGGCCCAGGCCGACGCGGCAAAAGCGAGCGGCAGCAGCAGGCGCCGCGGCCGCAGCAGCAAGACGGCGCTCGGTGGCAGCACGGCTGCCAGCGTGGCGGCGAGCGAGAGTCGCTGCAGCAGTGCCTCTGGATAGGCACGCAGCTTGACGAGCACGTTGGCCGCGCACCAGAAGTTGGCCACCTTGTCCTCGAACAGGCCGCGAGCCAGGGGGAAGACCCGGTGAATCAGCTGAGCGAGCTGCTCGAGAAGGGCGTAGGGGGGCGACGACAGGCTGGGCTGCAGATAGGCAGCTGCAGCTGGCCAGCGGAGGCCGATGGCGTCGACGAGCTGCTGGAGGACGGGCAGGGCCAGTGGCGGCACTGCGGCGTCGGGTGCGAGCTCCGGGCGGGCATGCACGCCGGCACGGAGATCCGAGAGGGTGCCGAGAGCGAGGGGCAGCAGCAGCAGAGCAAACGCGACGAGAGTGACGATGGCGACGGCGAGCAGACGAGCTGGGGCGCGAACAGCACCGGCACGCAGACAGCTGCCGAGAAGAAAGGCAAAGACAGGCAGGGCGTAGTAGAGGGCCATCTGCTTGAAGCCGAGGGCGGCGACGAAGAAGACGGCAGCCCAGAGCAGTCGATCGGCCAGCATGCTGGACAGGCTGGCCGTCACAAAGCCGAGCATGATGGTGTTGTACTGGAAGTGGACGTGGTCGACCAACAGAGTGGCCGGCTGCAGCAGGACGGCAGTCAGGGCGACAGCAGCAGTCCAAGAGGCACCGCTGCCGCTGAGACGACTAAAGCGGCGCACAAAGACAACGACGGCCGGGACGTAGACGACGTACTCGGAGACCAAGACAGTGGCACGCATATAGACCTTGAGGGCGGGATCCTCGAGTCCGCGCGAAGAGCGAAGAGCAAACCAGAGGGGGTTGATCAATGTGCCGAGACGGCCGAGCAGCCAGCTGTGGTAGGCCGTCAGAGGTGGGTAGTCGAGGCCCCACCATTCGAGATCGTGGAAGTACCATTGAGAGACGGGGAGATGAGTAGTGATTTCCATCCAGTGGCGTTGAGCTTCGTAGTCGCCGTAGAGGGGAGGTTTATTGAAACCTGGGTGGTGAGCGGGGGGGAGAGGAGAAAACGAGCGAAGCGAGGAAAGAAGAAAGGGAGATCGAGCGAAGCGAGGAAAGAAGAGAGGAGAAAGCGAGCGAAGCGAGGATTAAAAGAAAACAAACCTGAATAGCCCCAAAGACCGGCAGCCCAGCGAAAGAGACCGGCAGCCATGAGGATCAGCGGCAGCAGTTCCCATTGCGATGCGGCACCGCGAGCCGGCCAGAGGAAGGCGGCCAGCGGGAAGGCCGGCGATCGAGCGAGTCCATCGGGCGTGCGCGGACTCTTGTTTGGTTTGGACGAGGTAGTGGTAGTGGTGGTGGTAGTGGTGCCGACAGCTGCCGTCTTCTTGGCCGGCTTCCGGCGCAGCCTATGGGGAGAGGGGCCGACCATGTTGGGCCGGAAAGCGAAAGACGGACGACAAACGACGGACAGCTAACGGACGCGTTCGGTGGCAGACGCCGGCATCTGTCGTGGGATGAGATGGTGTGTGCAAGACCAAGAAAGCGGCCCTTTTTCGGACGTCGGAATTCTGCGCTCCAATGGCCAATGTGGCCAGAAGACGGAACGGCAGCTCCTTCCTGTTTCCCCTGTAATTGTGGCGCGCCAGCCCCACCAGATTGCATGCCCCACTGCAGGCTGTAGAGGCACGGGATGAGGGGATGTCGAGTCGATCAGGACGACACGCACAAAAAGGCCGTGAGTTGGATGGACGACCAGACCAGTAGTGATCTTCACTCTCACTGTATCACCGTACCGGCCACTCGCCTCTGCCACCGTTCCCAAGACGCCCACCCCAGCCACCCATCACGCCACGCATGCCCTTCGCCTTTGTCCTGCCGACCACGTCGGCCTTCTCGTTGGACGATGCCTACGCCTGTCCGACGCACCCGTCGCTGCTGCGCGGCGCCACCACCTACCGCGGCGTCGTCCGCGACACCCTCAAGAAGCACAAGCGCCTGCCGCCCGAGGCCCAGGCCGCGAGCCTGGCCCTGGTCGTGTCGAGCCTGGAGGACTACCTGCCCTATCTGATGGTGATGGGATGCCGCGACAAGGCCAGCCAGGCAGCAAACCAATTCGGCGTCCAAGTCGTCCCCGCATCCTCCCCGGCCTCGTCTGTCTGCGTCTCCTCCTGGCGACCGACCATGGCCGGCTCGCGCGTCCCCGGCCGCCAGCCGGCCCGCGTGGCCGTCCGCTCGCTCGACCACGAGACCGCCTTCGTGCTCGCTACTCTCGGCCATGCCCGCACGCTGCAGGCTCGTGCTGCTCTGCAGCCGCTGCAGGCGGCCACGTCGGTCGCACCGGCTGGACCACAACAGCGCGCGTCGGCCGTCGCTGCTGCCACGCGCCATCTCCTGGACGCTGCCTCCGTGCTTACGTACGCAGCCACACAGATGGAGATGCCGGCATGTTCTACCTCGCCCATCCCCTACGACATACACCCTGCCCTCCTCCGGGCCCATGCCGGCCTCGCCCTCGCCGAGGCCACCCTCCTGGCCGTCCTCAAGGATGACCCCTACCCGGCCGTCATGGCACAGCGTCGCAACGAGCTCGACCGCGAGTGGATGTACAAGGCCCCCGACATTCCGCGCGTTCGCGCTCACCTCTTTGCTCGTCTCTGTCTGGCTGCTGCCGAACACGTCGGCCGCGCCTTGGCCTCGGCCTCGTCCGCCTTTGCTTCTTCTTCGTCTTCGTCCTCGTCCTCATCCTCGTCATCATCTTCCCCCTACACCCGCTACCTCGACGACCTTCGCCGGACGGCGCGCGCCAGAGCCTGTCGCTTCTTCGCCATCGACGCTGAGCTGGCTGGCCACACCGGCACCGCCCTCGCCTGGCTGCACGCTGCCCTGCAGGAACTCGGCGACAGCTCAGCCGGCAGCGATGCTACTACCTCCACCACTGGCTCTGTGGCCACAGCTTCCTCCTCGTCCTCCTCCCGCAAAAACTTGCTTGCGCGCATCAAAAAAGACCGCTTCGAAAAGCACGAGGACCGCCGGCTGGCCCGTGGTGTCGGCTGGGGCGCCGATGCCGGCCGCCTCGATGAGACCCGCGTCGTCGAGATGCTCGACGCCAAGTGGACCAAACAGAACGACACTGTACGTGTGTGCTTTGACCTATCTATATCTGTACTACCTTTTTGCTGACATCCCTCTTCTACCCCCAGATCAACACCCAGCTCATCCCCCCCTATGGCCCGCTGCTGGCACAGATGCCTTCTGGCCGCGACGTCCACACCGTCAAGCCATTTGACCCGCCCGTGCTCGATTCGGCCGTCCTCGAGGCCATGCGCGCGCCTCCAGACCCGCTCGACAGCAACGCCCTCAGCCTCGGACCTGATGTCGACTCCAGCAGTGACGACGACCAGTCGGCCACGGCCAGCTCGCGCGACGACCGCGCTCAACGGTCCTACTACTAGGCTGCCTGTTCGTGTATTTCACAATCATGACCTCTCTCTAGCCTGCGTTTCACACAATCACCAGCTTTTCAATCTCTCGCCTGGCCACGTCAATCACCTTCTCGCACGAGTGTCGCCCGCTCTCGGCCGCGCTCTCCAGTGCCAGCCCAGCCTCCAGACAGGCCTGTCGCACCTGAAACCGCATCTCCATCAGCTGCACAATATCGCGCAGCCCCAGATGGACCGAGAACGATGCCTCTGTCGACAGCGGGCCGTCCATGTTGAGTCGCGGCCTCACCGACGCGCTGCTGCTGGCAATCTCATCCTTGTTCGCCCGGATCCCGTACACGTCCACCTTGAGGAGTGCCCGCACCACCAGCCGCCACAGCGTCGGCTCCACCAGGCTGCCGTCCATGCCCGCCATCGTCAGGCACATATCCTCCCACGGCGCCAGTCCGCCCCAGATTCCGCCGTACGCTCGCACCGACATCGACAGCCGCTGTCGCGCCGCCTCCGCCCGCATTGCCTCTGCATCCACCATCGCGATGATCCGCCGGTACGCGTGTGCGATCACCGGCAGCAACATCCCCAGCATCCCCGTGTTGTGATACATCTGCATCGACGGCGCCTGTGTCTGCGTCTGCGCCTCCGCCATGCTGGCCGGCGGCGAGCACTCCGCGCACTGGACCACTTCGTACGCCACGCGTGCTGCTGTTCGTGCCACCCGCAGTGCTGCCGTCACGTCGCTCGGCAGCGGCCGCAGCGACTCCATCGCCAGGAAGAGCCGTCCGCTGCAGTCGCATGGCGGGCTGGGTGCCGGCGTCGTCGGCCAGCTCGCAGTTGCCGAGGCTGAAACAGAAGGACAAGATTCGCTGGCCAGAGGGACCGGGTCTGTCACGGTCTGGCTCTGATCCGGTCTGCCGGCTGGCGTGTCGCCCTGGGTGCTCCCAAAATCAATGTTGGACATTTCCAGAATGTCCCAGCCGCCCCAGATACACGCTCGTCCAGGCTCTCTCGGCCGTGACACAGGTGCTGCTGGAGTCTGCGTCTGTGTCTGTGCTTGCATCAAAGTCGACATCGGTGCACCTGGCTCCATCATCGGGTCCAGTCCCGGGTCGCCGAGCCCGAGAAGATCAAAGAAGAAGCTGCCCGGCGTGGCTGCCTGGTCGGTCAAGAAGGACAGACCCTCCATGTCGATCTCGAGAGGCGGCACGGCAGAAGCAGCAACAGTCGTGTCGGTGCTGGCAGCTCTGGCAGTGCTGGCAGTGACGACATGGAACGAAGACATCGCGTCGGCTGTCGTCTCGAAATCCGGGCGTGGCCGCTTTCGAGGTCGACCCATCGGGCGCTGCGCCGAATACACACAGTCCACGCCGTCGCGTCGGCAGCGATAGCAGCCGTCCGGCTCCTTGGAGCAGGCTAGCTTTCGCTTCCCTGGCCTCAGAGACAGTCAGCCATGGATGCGCAGACAGAAGGATAATAACGTACGGCACTCATCACAGGCCCGGTGCTTGGGCTGCGTGCTCGGGTTCGGCGGTTCGGACATGGCTAATAACCAGCGGCCCCTTTCGATCTCGGTGGAGGGTGATGTATCGGCGGAAGATGAGGTGGCAAACGGTCGATGGAAACGGCAGCTCAGGCAGCAGCCAGCCGACGCATGCTGCCCCTTTGGTTTGGTTGAGCAGTGCGCATAGTAAGCAAGGTCAGCCGGGCGTCTGTTGTTCTTTCCAAAACGAGCAACGGATCGGGGAGCGGAGTTTCGGATAGTTCTCTTACTGCACTAATTCTTGGTATAAGCTGAAGTACTGCTGACTAAGCATGATGTCCCCACTGCATAAAAGTCAGATGACCCAATTCCGTACTCCGTGCATGAAACAAGACCCACCTATGTTATCTTATCAGTGGCTTTTTTTTTTTGGAAAAAAAAACTTTAGCTTCAGCGAGAAAGGCAGGAAAGAGTTTGTGCAAGCATTGTCTGACGGGGACTTGCAAAAAGCAGTCAAGCCGGACGCAATGGGACCAAAAATAGCAGAAAAGAAGCGGAAGGCATCGTTGGTCGTGGCGGAGACGCACGACGAGTCGGAAAACGAGGGCAGCCTGGACAATCTGATCAACGGGGTACTGTCGGACAGCGAAGAGGATGACGAGGAGTATGAGGACGAGCTCGACAGCGAGGACGAGGATGAGGACGAGGATGAGCTCGACAGCGACGACATCCCGTCGGAGGGCGAAGAGGGCGACGAGAGCGACGAGCTGGCGAAGCTGACACTGTCGCAAGGGCTCCTGGGTGATGAAGGCGCCGAGGACGAAGAGAATGAAGAGGCGTCAACAGACCAGCCGAACTACCGAGTGACGACGGATGCCAACGGCGGAGTGCGGTACGTGTACGATGAGATCGACCCGGTGTACGACTCGGACGACAGCGCGCAGGAGGGGGCCAACACGATCGGCAACATCCCGCTCTCGTTCTACGACTCGTACCCGCACATTGGGTACGACATCAACGGCAAGAAGATCATGCGGCCGGCGACGGGCGAAGCTTTGGACGCGCTGCTGGACAGCATCGAGGTGCCACGCGACTGGACAGGGCTGACGGATCCGGCGACGGGCAAGCCGCTGAAGCTGAGCCGGGACGAGCTGGAGCTGCTGCGCCGCGTGCAGATGAACGAGCTGCCCGAGGATGGCTACGACCCGTACCCAGACACGATCGAGTACTTTACGGGTATCGAGGAGACGATGCCGCTGAGTGCGGCGCCAGAGCCGAAGCGGCGGTTTGTGCCGTCCAAGCACGAGGCCGTGCGCGTGGCCAAGCTGGTCCGGGCGATCCGTGAGGGCCGCATCCTGCCCTACAAGCCAGCGCCGACGGGTGACGAAGCGGACGCCGAGGCCGACGAGGCCGACGAGGGGCACCGCTACGATCTCTGGCAGGACGAGCAGCCGCGCGAGCCGCACGCGATGCACCTGGTGGCGCCCAAGCTGCCGCCGCCCGGCCACAGCGAGTCGTACAACTGTCCGGCCGAGTACGTGCCGACACGGGCCGAGCGCGAGGCCTGGGAGGCGGCGGACCCGGAGGACCGTGAGCAGCCGTTCTTGCCGGCTCGCTACGACGCCCTGCGCAAGGTGCCCGGCTACGGCGAGCTCGTCAAGGAGCGCTTCGAGCGCTGCCTGGACCTGTATCTGGCGCCGCGCGTGCGGCGCACCAAGCTGCACATCGACCCCGACTCGCTGCTGCCGAAGCTGCCGCCGGCCGAGGAGCTGAAGCCGTTCCCGACCGTATGCCAGACCATCTTCCGCGGCCACCGGGGCTGGGTCCGCTGCGTGGCCATCGACCCGACCGGCTGCTGGCTGGCCTCGGGCGGCAGCGACGGCACCGTGCGTCTGTGGGAGCTGCTGTCCGGACGGCAGGTCTGGAGCGTGCGGCTGACCGGTGGGGGGGGAGCAGAAGGCGATGTCGATGCCAAGACGAGCACAGACGACGAGCGCGAGCCCGTGAGCTGTCTGGCATGGCGGCCGGGCAAGAACGCGCTGGTGCTGGCAGCGGCCGCGGGCGAGGATCTGTTCTTGATGGTGCCGACCGTGGCCGTCGACCCGGAGCTGGAGCAGGCCAGCCGAGCGGTGGTCGATGCCGGGTTTGGTCATGCGGCCAGCCGGGCGGCCAAGAAGCCCGAGGACGCCAACAAGCAGCCGACGGCCCGTTGGACGCGGCCGCACGACCACAGCCTCGAGGCGGCCGGCGTGCTCGTGCAGCTGCGCGTGCGGTCGCCCATCCGCACGGTCAGCTGGCATCGCCGCGGCGAGCACTTTTGCACGGTGTCGCCGGCGGGCGGCCGCAGTGCCGTGGCCATCCATACGCTGTCGCGCCACCTGAGCCAGGTGCCGTTCCGTCGCCAGCGCAACATCCCGCAGGCCGCCCACTTCCACCCGTCACGGCCGCTCTTCTTCATCGCGACCAAGCAGCGGGTGCGCGTGTACGACCTGCAGAAGATGGAGCTCGTCAAGACGGTGCAGCCGGGCGCCCGGCTCATCTCCGACTTTGACGTCCATCCGCAGGGCAATGGCGACCACATCGTGGTCGGCTCCTACGATCGCCGCCTCGTCTGGCACGACCTCGAAATGTCCGCCCGGCCTTTCCGCACCATGCGCTACCACGACAAGGCCGTGCGCGCCGTGCGCTTCCATCGCGGCGGCCTGCCGCTGCTCGCCGACGCCAGCGACGACGGCACTCTGCAGATCTACTTTGGCCGCGTCTACGCCGATCCGATGGAGGCCCCCACCATCGTGCCGCTCAAGAAGCTCGTCCGCGGCGCCCACCGCGTCGTCGATGCCGTCGGCGCCCTCGACGTCGCCTGGCATCCCAAAGAGGCCTGGTGCGTGTCTGCCGGCGCCGATGGCACCTGTCGGCTGTGGATGTAGCGAGATCGGCGCGATTGGCGCGATCGGCGCGATCGGCTCGATCGGCGGTTCGTTGAGACGCTGACAGCGGAATGGGTGTGACGTTGGGCGTTGGATCGTGTTCAATCGGATCGTGTGTGCCGAAATCGGTCGGAATTCCAAGACTTGATAGGAGGACAAATAGAGGGTGTGACCGGTCAAGAGTGCATCTGACAGTTGTGTGTGATAGGTAAAAGTACTTTGACGGAGATGGGGCGCAATCATAATTCATAACTCGCATCCGGTATCAATGCAAATGTACAACAGTCCTTCGGCCGGTATCAATTCATTCAATCCCCCTTTCTCCGATGCAGAACGGCTGCATGCGGTAGCCTCTCAAGCCTTGCAGAACAGCAAGATTAGGCACAATACTCCGTGGTGCATTTTATTTGGTTGCACGGGTCCTACGCCCTACAACCCTGATCCTTGCCTATAGATTTCCATACTATACTCTATATTCTCCAACCGTCGACTAAGGGTGCCGTGCTCTTAGCGTACCATCGCTAGCCAAGGCCTTGTAAGGCCTACTCGCCGTCTAATAGCGTATCCTACGTCCTCTCCCCTGATAACAAAGGCCGTGTCTGATGTAAAGGACGAAAGACAAAAGGACAGCCTTTTTTGGCACTGGCGATAGGTATTTGTATTTTCAAGGAAAATCGTAAATGAATGCACTCAAAAGCGAAATGCGAATTGCGCCTACCAAAAAATTTGAAGTGATACAGAAACGGAAAATGAACGGCAAAGGGTTCCAACGGGTACAGGTCTGGGGTATGTGCGTTCAAAAATAACATTCCGACAGTGTGGCTGTGCGAGCAGCGAGCCATGCGTCGCTAGGTCAGGAAAGTGTGCTCGTCAGGAATTGCCGCACTGGCAGTGTCTTGCAGTGAAACACCATGCAGTGTAAAGATTGGGGGAGCTCCAAGCTCAACGGTGGTAGTACCTGCGTGTGTGACCATGCTGGATTTGGTGTTCTCGATAGATTGGTTGACAATGCCATCGACAATGTTGGTGCGGATGTAGTAGTCACCGACGCGAGTGTATGCAGGCTGTCCAGCTTGGTGGCCAGACACTGTAGCCGCGACTTTTTTGAGCAGTCGAGGCAGCTCGAGTACAATGTCCGCATCCTCGCCATTGTCAACACCCGTGCCAGCCAGAGCGCTAGCTGCCGCTAGCTCGCCGTCCGATACCAGAATTCGGTCAGAGAATTGGCTACCGACATGGCCGGTAAGAGCGTTGGCCATCTCCGAAGAAGACATGTTTACAATGTTGTAGTGCGGCTCTCTGTCGGCGGTGAAGTTGGTCGGAATGTGTGGCAGCAATGTACAAGTCATTCGAATGTCGACTGCAGAGGAGGAGGACAAGGTAAGCAACAGGCCAGAAGAGGGAGGAGAGGAAGGAAATGGGGGCTCGCGGAGTAGCTGGGCAATCTGCGACGATCAGAAAGGTGTAAAAAGCAGACGGTTTGCAATTCGACAAGTGATGTATGGCTATGTATGATCCAAGGTAATAAGGCAAATAGGGAGAATGGCTTTGTCTTTCCAAACGTCTTCTCCCAGGTTTGGGACAAATGGGGTTTAAATACGGAAGGACTGAAGGCGAGAGAAAGTAGGTGTGGACATATGTCGGCAAGCACCGAGGTACTCGTCCAAGAACGTTCAGGAGCACGAGCGATGATTAGCCAGAAGCAAAAAAGAAACTTTTCAGAAAACTCTCCAGTAGGCCATACCCACATGGTCGGACAGCACAACCTGGTATATACAAGCCAACCCGGGCAATCTGCTTTATCTTCAATTTCCTGTGATCAAGGTCTTCAAGGTTTGCAAAATTGCGAACCTTTTTTGCTACGAGGTTCTTCAGCTGGAGTGTGTGCCTACAAGCGGTGGGTTTTGGTGTATTATGCATCGAGCCTACGACTGTTGCATAGAGCAAGAACGTCTTGCTGCGAGACTGCAGAATACAATAGAATACAATGTTTTGGATGATGCCACAGTCAAGGTCTGTCCGAAGAGTACTTGCCTTGCACCGCTATAGGGTGTAAAGGGTGCAGGATTGAGGTGAGTATTGGAGTGGTACTACACGGAAAAGGGTGGTTGGGTGTTTGTGTACGGTGCTCGCGCCCTGAATCGGGCCCTTCTGCGGAAAGAGGCAAGAAGAAGAGGTGGGAGATGCCTTGGGGTAGTAGGCTACAGGTACGGAGTACACTCGAGCCAATTGGTCTTGGTTGGCGGGGCTTGCCTCTAGAACACAACCCCTGATACACCCAAGTCCTCCCCTTCTTTGAAGAGCAGTACTGCAAGATGGGATTATGAAGAGTCACACCTCGCCGCTTTGACCGCCCTTCGGCCTTCTCTGCCGTACCGGGGGGCATTTGGTGGATCCAGACGTATCGGCTTTTCTGCCTGCTGGCGCCACTGTACCTGTCCAAGTTTGCCGACTTCGCGTCCGAGGATTCTCAGATCACTGAAGACTCTGCTCTCCCAACCCCCCCTCGCAGAACAGGACAAACACACGTTGGAGGTTGAAGCAGGGCGGACAACCAAACAGGAGGGTTTGGTTTTCTAAACAAGCAACGCCGAGACGATGGGAAAATAAAAGAGCGACCTACTGTGGCGGACACTGCTTGCTTCAGGCTCGTGTAAATGAAATTGAAAACATGACGCTATAGGCACTACGGCCCTGCCCGCGTTAAGAAGTGCGTGCTGATCTACGTCACAGGGCAACTATGATAACGGATCTTACTCCATGGTGGCCGCGGACGGTCAACCCCACATGATATGTTGCTGTAACTACGTCGTACAGTCGTAAGGTCCTGTGCCGCGTACCCCTATTAGAGAATAATATACTCCGTAGCGCAGGGCGCTATTGTTGTCAAGCTCGAAGATTGTACGCACTGCAGTAAGACACATGGTGCACTTCTTTGGATCCATCCTAATTTCGCAGTATGACGTATGAGTCATGATAGTCTATTGTGACAGCTCTGCCCAGTAAGTATGATTCGTCATGGAGCCCCATTATTCTACTCCGTATTTTAGTTGAAGCACCGATCCACAACAACCCAGTTGCAACGCAGTCACTTTCGTACAAACACACTCATGTACGGAGTACACAGTACAGCATGGAGATCCTACGAGTACGGCCGGCCGCAGGATTCTTGCCCACTAGCCAAAACCAGCAGCTCGTTTTCAGCTCACATCGCCCAAGGAGACCACCGGCAGTAGTACAGTTTAGCGCGCAACTTCGCAGGGGACGGATTATGGTGTTGGCGGCGCACGCCGAAACCATTCGAGCTACCGCAAAAGTCTTCTTCTCCAAAAGGGCTGGCAGACGTGCTACGACGATTGCGTACAAGAACATCGTGGTGATCAAGAAGGCTTAGAAGGGTGGCTAGTTGGTGTGAGAAGTTCAAACGTGCTCACATCTCTGGTCTCCTAAAAGTAACTTGGCTGCAAGGCAGTAAGGTGACTCGGCTGCAAGGCAGTAAGGTAACTCGGCTGCAAGCTGGTAAAGTAACATGGACCCAGTAAAGTGACTTGGCTGCAAACTTGGCTGCAAGCCAGTAAAATCTGTCGGTAAGAAATTCCCGCTTATTCCTGCTAGGGATGCTCTGTGGGGAGGGGGGGGGGGGTGGGAGAAAGGTATTAAGCCGGAACCACCTTCGAAAAATCAGGCCCAGAGACATACAGTATGTAAGACCTAGCGTACGAGTATTTGCTCCATTCCAAAGACAGTCGACGGTACGTGTTTTGCTTTGCCGGGTCGCCAGTGGCGGCGATCAGCAAAGGCTAAATCTATTGTCACCCCCCACCTTAACGAGCACTTGTACGTCGTAGTTGTGCAGCTCGGTCCAGATGCCTTTAGTTTTGAGCGTGCTGAAATCTATGGAAGAGATATGTCACTCTAGGTACCCGTTCCCTTCAGCCATGCTCAGTACCTGTACTGGCATTGCGGTTCAGAGCGTTCGAGCTTCACGCCAAATTAGTCTGCTGACCGCATCTTTGTATGTGTACGTGTGTACGCGGTAGAACTCATGGATGTCGTAAAAGTCAAAAGCAGGGCGAATACATAAGCAGAGGAAGGCTGTTGGGAAAGCTTTTCTGAGCTCGTGACAGACAACGCCAAGAGGAAACGGAAAAGAGTGACCGTCTTCGGCCAGGCAAATTTACTTGCTTCTAGTCTTGCCGTGTCTTGTCCTAGTCTTTTGGTGCTCTGTACGAGTACGGAGCTGTACGGAGTTTCTTGAGGCTCAACAAGCTCCACCACACCAAATACGACTGCTTGTTAAGTGGCCCCCTCATGCTTCGTACGGAGGTCCCTCCTGTAAGTTACTGGCCTCTCCGCAGGTAATGTGCACAGTGAGAATATTCACTTGGCTGCCAAACACCCTGGGCGCTGGGCGGACCCCATTCGGTACCTGGACAAGGGGCAGTTTCCTTTGCCTGTAACCGTCGTACGACGTATGTTGTACGGAGTAACATCGGACGGTCTACTCCTTACGGAATACTCCGTGATACGCGGAGATAATCCCCCCACATGCAACAAGTGGCACATTTCCAGGGACTGAGGTGCGAGTCCCTGGAAATGTGCCACTTGGGCTGACGCTACCAGTGCCTAGTCTAAATACCCCTGACTAACACTTCAGTGATCAGGGCTATGCTAATTTGTGCAATGTGTTTCCACCGATGTACTGTGGATTTCCCCGAGGTCACCTGACCTCGGCCGCCGAAATCACTACATAAGACGAAGCCCTGGTCTGAGCACACATTGCGCACAGTCTGGTCTTCAGTCAGCCACCCAACGAAATATCATCACTAGATCTTCTGAAGGCCTTAGAGCTTACTACGATACGTGTAAATGGTCCGGACGAATATCCCACAAGGATTACCGTACGGGTCTTACACTGGTGCTCGCGCAGAACCTGCGCGGCAGACTAGCGGTGCACGGAGTAGAAGCCACAGTACTCCGTACTCCGTAATATCCAATGACTCCATTACGCCCTATCCGATAAAACCTCTCTCGGAGTCTTATAAGATAACTTGGTGGTGATACTCCGTACTTCGGAAAGAGATAGCGGGTCGCATGGCGAACGATCGACGCACTACTCCGTACTCGTAATCTGTTGCGACGCAGCTACCGCAATGACGTATCTTACGATTCCGGGGTACGCCCAAATTACGACGTACTCTGTAGCGCAGTCGTACTCGTATTAGCCTGGTCTGCTGGCCAGATTCGGTTATTTGTCTAGTCCGAGTCGTCATCGCCCAGGGGGACCCCGTCGACTATGGTTACATAGTAGGAACGAGCAGGGGACGGACATCTCCGCTGGCAAATGCCGGACCCGTCTGAATTACTCCGTACTCCGTACTACCGATTTTTCCTTTACGAGCAAACAGGCATCTCCTGATTTAGGCATCCAAGGGACGTGCTACGATGATCACACCGTGGTGATCATGAAGGCCCGGAAAGGTAACCGGATATATACGTCGTACTCCGTACTTCATTACCAATCTCGCGTCCCTGGTCTTCTATCAAACCTGTCAGGTTGGGTACTACCTGAACTATCCCTGTCGGGGCTAAAATTAGAGATCCCTTGGATTAAAGTGCCGCGTATCAGTATATCTTGGCAGCGGAAAAAGCCGGTGAAATAGCCAGCAGGGTGCATTCCCAACCTGATAGGGGCATTTTTCTTTTCCTTCACACCCTCTTTGCTTTTCGTTGTGACAATGGCCGTTGAGTTGGTGTTGTAGTGTCGAATGGTGTCAGATCGGATCCGAGTTAAGACATCAGGAGGACATATATGTAGAGGGTGTAGTTAGTAGCACGCTGGTGTGACAGTTTAAAGCGATAAGCAAAATGTGGAATGGAAACGAGTCGTTTTTTATTCATTATACCCTTTTCCATGGCAACCTCCTTTTGGTATATGTACAAAATCGCAAATAAGATCCCTTGTTTACCCCCTCTCTATGATGTTTATGCAGGAACGTGCCAGATCTCAGACGTGTGATATTTAGCCAATCCTATATGCAGAGCCATCCACCAAGATTGGCACAACCAGTCAGTAGTATTCTGCCGCCATTGCCTAGGTGCATGACCGGCATCCAAAGGAATCACTTTGTTCCTGGGCATCCTTGTCCAATTCCAGCCCAAGGATCTCGTTGGCCAATCGGTCCTGAGCAGCTACGCACCGCTGTCCTGGAAAAAAACAAACATAGGGCTGAGTGGCAGCCTGTGCCATGTCGGCCGGGTAGCACTAACACCAATTTTAGTATGTGGAGGTCCCCCACACTGGCGATGAAAAAAAAGAAAAAGGAAAAACCCGATAGTCAAACGTCCTGAAAGTGGCCTTATTTCTGTACTTGGCTTTCTTGTTTCCGTCACACGTCGTGTATTAATAATAAGTAGACGCAAATGCAAAAAAAAGAGGGCAATTGATAGGAATTGAGAAAGTAAGGTCAGTCGAAAAAACCAAGGAAATCAGCAACGTCCAGGAAGATTGATAAGAATGGGGCGGAAAGCAGAAACAGTATGAAAAGGTGTGCGACCCAACAAAGACATTGTGTTGCTTTGCAAGCTGAGGGCCATGTCTAATTAGCCGATGTATTTGCATGCCCTTGAAGCTGGGACGGAAAAATCCCGTTGGTGGGGTTCGATGCAATGTTCGGGTTCTGCAACACAATGCCGTGTGTCGTATAAGTCGGTGGTGCTCCGAGCTCAGCGATGTTCTTGGGCTTGGTCATACCGGCGATAGCGTTCTGGACGCATTTGTTGACAATGCCCGTGACAGTCTCAGAACGAATAAGATGTCCGTCGATGAGTGTGTAGCGGGGCTGGTCGTTGACGTCTGATTCCTCGACGCTCACGGCAACCAGCGACTGCTCGATTTCAAGGCCAATGTCCTCGATTTGGCTGCCGTCGGTGCCAGCCAGAGTCCCGGTAGCTGCGACGAGCTCGCCTGTTTGAGCCGCTCGGGTTCCGGTGAACTGGCCACCGGCGTAGTTGAATGCGTGGGCCATTTGTGCCGATGAGATGTTCTTTTCGTTGAAATGGGGCTTTCGTTCCGCCGTAAAGTTTGTCATGTTGTGGGTTGGGGTAGGTGGGTTCATTACCCTGCTCGTAGAAGCTAGAGGGCAGGCCGGTGTAGACCTAAAGATGTACACGGTGAGCAAGGCCAAACAGAGTAGTGGTGGGGGTAGTTAATGGGGGAAGAACTGTGACGAACAAAGAATCACGAGAGGGAGCAGCGATAGATCGGAATGGTACAAGGTTTCGAGAAAGGGAGGTAGTATATCTGTGTATAACCAACCCCGAAAATATCGTATGTGTCGAGGAGCAACACAACTTTATACGGCCTCGGCGTACAAGACTGCTTGAAAGAGTAACCGGTGTGGGAGTATGGTATCAAAAACGGTGCGCTATTGGGGCGCGTGGGGGCCAGCTTGGATTGGATGTAAAATGCGATTGTTGATACTATGTAGACAACGGTTATTGGGAGTAGTGGAATGGGATTCAATTTATATTCAACACATTGATATGTTCGCAAATTTGCGAACATCAGTTTTATGGAACTGGTCTTCGTTTCCAGACTGTTTCTTCGTCGAGTTTCCACATTTTCTTCGATGGGGATGGGAGAGAAAAGGGTATGCCGGTGATACATTCGTACAATTGTATTTCGCTTTTCCTCGCAGAAGGTTAGGGCAGAGCAAGGATGCAGTACTCGTACCATTGGAGATACTTGGAGAGTACCTCTTCTTGATTGCCGATGCACGGCTGATCCGTGACCATAAAACAGTCCCCCCCTTCTCGCCATTGGTTGTAACAAGGGAAGTGTGCTGCTAGATCGTGGACGTATCTCGCTAGCTGGCTCTCTTGCCATTTTCTCAGTCCGCCTACCCGGTCCGCTATGGAACTATAACAAACGCCATTGTTGCCGTGGGGTAGCCAGCAGGTGTTGGCTGCTAACGACAAGGTGAAAACGCCAGGTAGTCGAGTGATTCCCCGCCACCTTTTGCTGGAGCAGTGAACTGTAGCGGGGCACAACTAGTTCATGCCGCAAGGTGTACATCAGCTTAGGAGAGATTCGTATTCTTTCGTCTGTATTTTGTGCCATGGTGAGAGACAGATAAATGCTTCTCTTCATGGGACCGATGTCGATTCCCCCCCCGGTAAACGCTGTCGTATCGTCTCGTACTTGTGAGCCCGATAGATCTGACTACAAGACTGCGACGGTCACGTAAATACCCAACCTATCGTACCCATGCTATCCCCACGGCGCGACAGGGTGATGTTTGTTAAGTTCTTTGGAAGCCCCCTGCTGGGAAAATACTATGTACTACTATGTAGTACGGAGTAACATGTAAGATACGAGTACAAGTCCTACGGAGTAGTTCATGTTCTTGAAACACGGTCTAGCCACAACAGCAACTGCGACAGATCTAACGGTGGCAAATTTCCCCCGATTTCGGCAGCCTTACTTGATAGGGGCTTTAAGGCGTATGAAAACAACCATTTCCACCGTTAGAAGTACTGCTCAATTGTTTACAGTGGCAAAGGTCTGAAGACACGCCTGAAATTACCTGACAAGAGGCGCGACCTCGTACAGCTACTTGTACATAGTAATGACCCCACCAGCCGGAAAGCTCCTCCCTAAGGCTCGAATCATTGAGCAAGTCCGCAACTCGATCGTTCCTTGTCTGCGAGCCACAGGGCAACAGCCATCCTCCCAACTACCAAAACGGGGCAGGCTGATGGCCAGGGGAGCTTCATGTACTGGCCTGCATACCGCTCCAATCAGAGTTAAGCTTTCTTTTTTCAATTTGGAAGGAACTGATCACGCCGCCTGCCTGTCCTCCGAAGTCGGTGCGTACGTCACTGTAGCTTCTTCCATTCGCGATTCACTTTGCGACCTGGCGGCATTTACATCTTTACACCGCGCCGTGCTCTACATGGCTCCTCTAACGATGGATGTGTCAAGCATTGGAATCCGCCACACTGTGGCCCTTCCGCCCCACTTGGCCGTACGGGAATGTGATTGGTTAGAAGGCACAAAAGCGGGGCATGACACTAGTATTAATACGGATCCCCAGAAGGGTCGCGATGTATCTATTTCTTCCTTAGTACACAACACTCTTTCGCCCACACTAGACCCTATTCAGCCTCCTGCTCCTCACAGTGCATCACGTTATATGACCGCTACGTATAGCCTCCTTTAACCTTGACAGTATGCACTATTGTGAGCTGGGGGACCGAGATTGGCACTTGTAAAAAGCCTGAGAGCAAAAATTGTGATTAAAAGTCTTGTACTAAATACATAGTTAAAAACCCCTCTGTTGCGCGGTGGTGCCCGCACTATCTCCTAGGCAGACTCTTTATCTCGGGTTTCCACTCTACAATTCTCATAGAGCTATCTTCCCTCCGAATACAACAGTCTTCGCCCATCAGGTTCTGAGCCTCTTTTTTCGCAACGGCGCCGCGCGCGGGTGCGCGCCTCTTCAATGATACCTAGGACGCTCGAAGGAGGCCATGTCGTAAGCAACACGTTTCTTCGCGTTGCGCATGTTGCGTCTGATGGGTGTCACCCTTTTACGCGCCGTTGACCGGGATTGTTCCGCCACTTCTTGCCTTTGCTCGGCACCTAAACTATCGTTGGCCCTAACTCTGACAGGGCCCCCACCTGTCGGACCCCAGTACGGAGAATTCACGCCATTCGGACGGCAGCTGAACTCGCGATCTCGAAGGCAATCCTGCAAGGCTGCAAGGCAGGCGGGAAGAGCTGTTGGCACTTCCCGTGCTTTCAAGGGAGATGAGACAAAAAAGCATTCCGTGCGGGACTCGAACCCGCAACCTCAAGATTAGAAGTCTTGCGCGCTGCCATTGTGCCAACGGAACCTTGCAGCCTTACCTTCAATAGATTTCTACGGCTGCGGATAGGGGGTAAGGGTCTGGTATCTAGCATATAAAGGTAGTACTCTGCACACGTGTGCTCGTTCCCGCCCCACCCATAGTGCTAGCCTATTTCTCGTCCTTCTATGTACATGGGCATTTATCTCCTAGGCTGTATTCCGTTAAAGTCCCTCTTAAATGTAGGGATGTTTGCTATAGACTTTGCTTTTCGTAACAAGCTAAATACTCTAATTCGACGCTCCTGCTTTTCCCATTCTCCGTTCCGTTGTGCGCGACGCCCCAACAAGGGTTGGCAAGAACGCCTTCCTTGTGAGGCTGGCCGTGCTGCGCAAGCCTGTTGTACTCGGCGTCATGCGACAACTTCCACCCAAATTTCCACCTAAATTTCTACCCCAGCTTGCGCTCATACTTCCACCCAATCCACCTCCCGCACCCTCTCCACCCACGCTTGCACCTGTGCCGCCACTTCCACCCCCTCCACCCGGGCTACTCTTGCCCACCCCAAGGTCCTCACATGCCTGCTGTAGCGCAAGCTCCACCGAGCAGCGAATCTTGAGAGCCGCGACTGCTGGCCAGACGGCACGCTCGCCGCGGCCAATCCAGTAGCGGAGCGATGCCGGTGAGGGCGCGTCGAGCAGGCGGACGTAGTCGCGTAGGGAGACGTGGGGGACAAGTACGAGCTTCTGGGGCTGGTAGCGACGGCGGCTGCGTCCATCAGCCGCACGACCGCTGCCAGAACCGCCCAGAGGCACCTGCTGCTCGTCGTCCAGCACGAGCCGACGTAGCGTTGGCGGGAGCCAGCCGAGGCGGACCAGCTGATCGAGGCGATGACGCAACAAGTGGCCAGCCTGCTGCAGGACCAGGGTGCGGGCACGGGCTAGTGTACCAGCGGCGAGACCACGCATCGCCGGCGACTGCATAGATGGCTCGAGAAAGGGCACGACGTGCGGCCGGGCCTGGCTGACGACAAAGTGGTTGACATTGAAGAGCTGGGCGAGGCGGCGCAGCGGCGCCTGACGCGTGCCGTCGTATCGGCCGTGCGTCCAATGGCGGAATCGGGCGGTGTCAGCCAGCGGCCAGGCCACCACACAGCCATTGGCGTCCCGGCAGAGGATGGCCGGCTGGCGGTGGCCGTACCAGGCGGCATCGGATGCGTTGGAGGCGACGGCGGCCGTCCAGATGAGCTGAAGAGCAGAGGTGAGTAAGGAGAAGAGAAGACGAGCGAAGCGAGAAAAGAAAGAGCTAGAAGAGAAAAGTGACAAATTGAGCGAAGCGAGGCAATCAAATAAAAAAGAAACTCACCACGTTTGGCGCTGTCACATAGTTGAGAAGCGTCGGCACATCGCCGGCACCTCCTGTGACGACGGTGATGTTGAGCACGCGTCCGGTGCGGCGGTAAGCCTCCTCGAACGTGAGATCGCCGCCGTTATCGCGCACGCAGTGCTCGAGTACGGAGGCGTCGAGAAAGTAGCCTTCGCTGCGGAAGCGGGCGAGCCGACGGCGCAGGGTGGCGAGGCGGGTATAAGTGCACCAGGTGGAGGAGGGCCTCACATGATCGGCTGTCCTGGGTTCGTCGCCGTGGCCGGCAAAAGCCGAGAGGTTGATGGTGTCGCCATCGAGCAGACCGGGCAGCTCGTCGTCGGTGTGGGTGCCGATCAGGGCAGCGATGAGGGCGCCAGTACCAGTGCCGGTGAGAATGCGCGGCAGCAGGCCACGGTAGAAGAGGGCGCGGGCGACGCCGAGGTGGCAGAGGCCAAAGACGGAGCCGCCCTGGAGGACGAGCGTGGTGCGACCAAAGGACTGGCGCAGGTTGCTGAAGAGCTGGCGTTTCTGGGTAGCTGTTGGGAGCTGGCCGCAGCGGCCGTCTCGGAGGGCGCGATCGAGGTCTGGGGAGAGGAGGGGGGTGGTGGACATGGAGGGAGACGAAGCAGACAGACTGTCTCCTGGCAGCGCCACGAGATCGCTGATAATCTCGCACACCTGCAGGATGTAGTTCTCGATCAGGTATTTTGTGCCGGCAAACGACTCATTATACAGCGGCGGCACGGTGATGTTGCCGAGATTGCGCACGAGGCCCGACTGCAGCAGGTGGACGAGCGTCTGGACGTGGCCGAGTCGGAGAGCCCGGGAGAAGGCGGAGAGGCGATCACCGATGAGCTCCCAGGCGTAGAGCTTGCTCTTGTCATCTTTTCGCCTGGGAAATAAAGAAGGTTAGAGATAAGAGGACGAGGAGGCGAGAAATTGAGGAGATGGGAAGGATGAACAAGATAGAGAAGAGGAAGAAAGGAGTAGGCGAGGAGATGAGGACAGCAAGGAAGATAGGAATCGAGAAATGGGAACGACAAAACAAAGTGAGCACGAGAGGACATGAACTGCACCACTCACCATGTATCTATCCGGTATTGATGATCTAGGGCCAAGCCAGCTGCCTCCCACTCCTCAAATGTCTCAGCATCGTGCAGCTCATCCCAGAGCGCGTCGAGCGTGCTGTCACGCGTGAAGAACGAGAGTATGTAGGCGTATACCTGCGAGAGTTAGAGTTTGCATCGTCACTAGTTTTTGCGGCTTGCACTCTAGCCACCCTCTCCACCTCCGCTCTTTCCCTCTTTCCCTCCTTCTCCTTCCCTTCCAATCCTCTGCTTCCACTCACTCGGTGTAGCCACAACAGCGAGGCTAGCGGAAACGTGATCGTCTCCCATAGCGAAATGTTTACCGCCATCGTTGGCTTTGTCGGAATCTTGGTTGAGTGCGTCCGCTGCTGGTGGGAGCTGACGATAATCGGTCTGCAGCAGAGGGCATGCTGTTGCAAGCATGTGGTTGATTGATGCTTTGAGGGGGAATGTCTGTTGTGGTTGTTTTACACTTGTGCCCCACTGAAAATGCACCCGCTAATTATTGAATGCGGAGGAGACGCTCGCCCCAGGTTTTCTGCAAGACATGTGTAATTTTTATGCTTGGGCCTGTTCCTGCGCAGAATCGCATTGCTCCAAAATATACGGGACAGATCTTTTAGGGAGAATGTTACCGCATTCGGCTCTGCTAACAGTCGAAACTTAAAAATATCACACACTCAACCACCCTTATGAACCGCTTACTTCGACAAGTCTTCAATATTATAGAAATTGGCACTGGCTCAAAATGCGAGGCTTAGTCTATGCGCGTTCCCTGTAGTCCCTCTGTCTTTTTGCTTTTCGTTGCTGCCGCCGTAACACGATCCCAAATAAGTACACGTAAAGCACCCGTCTGAATATATCCCAGCAAGAACACGGCTGCTTCTCTGCTCCTTCTTCTCTTCTCCGACACACTGCCCACACTCCTCCGCAGCCCTCCAGGCCTCTACTCGTCGTCATCATCGTCGATAATGTGCCGACGGGCCCGCCGTGCCGGCATGTCATCATCCGGGTCTGCCTCGGCGTCCTGCGCGTCCTCGTCTTCGGCCGAGGCTGCCCGCTGCCGCTTCGCCCGACGGGCCTTGTGGTGCTTGGCGCCGCGGCGTTCCTCTTCCTCGTCCTCGTCATCCTCGTCGTCCAGCTCCTCCTCGTCGTCATCGTCGCCGCCGTTCTCGTCCGACATGTCGTCGTCGCTGGGCGCGATAAAGTCGTCCTCCTTGTCGTACTCGTCGTTGCGCCGCGCCCCGTGCGGAAGCTCGTCGTCCGAGTCATACTCGGGTCGCCGCCGCTTCGCCCGCGGCGCCCCGGCACCTCCACCTCCGCGCTTGCGTCCGCTGCCGCCGGGGCCGCCGCGCCGACCGCCACCCTCGAGATCGCTGATGGACAGGGCGCCTGCGCCAGACCGGTTCGATCGGCTGCCGCCACCACCACCACCCCCAAAGCCACCGTCGAGCCGGGCTGACGCGTTCTCGCGCCGCCGACGGGCGCGCTCGCGCTCCTTCTCGGCCAGCTCGGCCTCCTTCTTGGCCAGCTCCGGGTCGCGCATGGTCCGGATGATCATCATGTTGGTCGTCTGGCCGGCCGAGGTCTGGGACGCGGCGTGCAGCCGGTCGGTCAGCCGCTGCAACGCGTCGTCGGCCACCGTGCGGTTGGCCCGCACGCTGTACTGCTCGGCCACGTGGCCGACCGTGAGCAGCAGGCTGCTCGACAGGTGGGCCGCCGCCGCGTAGTAGTGCGCGTCCTGCAGCTCCTGGTAGCTGCCTGCTGCCTTGGCCCCCGGTTTCGTGCTTGTGCTTGTGCCCTTGCCTGTCGCCGACGCCGGCGCCAGCGACTTGGTCAGCACCTCAAAATGCTCGTCGCCGATAGCCAGCGTGACCGACCCGTCGTCCCACCGGTAAAAGGCAGCGTTGCTCTGCAGCGCGCCCGTGGCCGCGTCGCGCCGGAACCGCGCCACCGACTTGGGGTGCTGCGAGTGTGAGTCCTTCAGCTCAAACGCCGTCGGCTCATACGTGTCGGCGTCGTACTCCTCTGGGCAGATCCGGATGAATGGCGGGACGCGTAGCGATTGCAGCTGCACATTCGCCACAAGTCAGCACTCTGCACATCTGCTCCTTCGCTTCTCGCTTCGCCACCCTCAGACTTACCGTCCCGTCCGATGGCTTGGGTACGCGGTGCCGGAAGAGGTCCACGTCCATAACCAGCTCCTCCTTTGTCACTTGCGGCTCATCGCCCTCGTCGTCTTCATCGCCATACCGCTCCGGTTCCTCGTCTTCGGGCCCGAGGCTGTGCTCGCTCAGCTGCCCGTCGTCGTCATCACCGCCACCGCCATCGCCAAACAGATCGTCGCCGCTGTCTAGATCACCGTTGACATTATCGTTGTCGTCGTCGCCAGCGTCGATGGGCGATTCGATGGCCGGCGACTCCAGTCGCTCGTTCTCAGAGTCGGACATGTTCAGGAGGGAGAGGATTAAGGGGTGTTGCGCGTGTAGAAAGGTAACAAGTCGAGTAGGAAGATTGAAAAGAACGACGAGAGACAATCAGAAGTCGTTTACAATTTCTGTTGTTTGCCCTGAGCCGTTGTTGCGTGGTGCCCAAATTGTTCTTAACGTTCCCCTTGTTCTGAAGGTCAAAAAGCAGTACGGAGTAAAGAAACAGACCAATCAAAAAAAAGCGTACGGCAGGAACCACTATTGAAGGTGGCCTTCAATTGATTGGGTCCATTGCTCAATAGCACCAACAAACAGTCAGCGCACCAGCCACCGAGCTTTTTGTAGCGCAATTCCCTGCCTTTGGGCTCGCCTTGAATTCTGCGAGCTCTTTTGTTCGCATTACGTTACGCGATCACGACGACGTTTAATTTGGCTTTTTCTGTGCTCCATTTTTTGTCTTGTTTCGTTCTGTGTCTTTTGTGCCCCGTGCACAGTGCTATTGTGGACGAGGTACAGCTTCTTACAGCTCTCTTTCACAGGGTGACCTCGCTGATCTTGTACTCCACCACGGGCGGCTGGCCGGCCTCGAGGACAAAGTGGCCGGCGCCGACGAACACCTTGCTCTCGAGCGCCCGCAGCGACGGGTGCCCCGTCTCAAAGGTGTGGTGCGAGAAGACCTCGCCGAAGTCGGTCGTCTTGGCATCGGCCGCGCCCGACAGCACCTTGTCGGCCGCGCCTCCGAGCTGGATGATGCCCGTGTAGCTGAAGCTCAGCATGGCGCTGGGGTCGTCCCGCTGCTGCAGCACGCTGTTGACGCTCAGCCGCAGGTGCTTGCCGTCGGGGTCGGCGCGAATGAAATCGCTGCCATGCACCCACTTGGCGTCGAGCTGGATCGGGTATCCCGGCTCGGTCGTGATGCCGCCGCCGGGGTGGTCCACCAGAAAGGCCACCTGGTTGAGGCTGCCGCTCTTGGCCGTACCGATGGCCGAAGGCGCCGTGATGGGGATCTGCCAGCGGGGGTTCATGAGCACGACTGCTCTGCAGCTCTGGATTGCATTTCACCATGTCACGTGATCACTAGCGCACCTTCACGGTAAAGGCCGGGATGGTCTTGGGGAAAGACATGTTGCAGGCTGGAGGGGGACGGAACGAGATGGGACGAGGTGGGACGAGATGCAATGGTATGCCGAGGGGGAAAAGGAAAGAAAGGAGAAAAGGAAAGAGACGACTGGCTCCAAGGCGGGCTTCCTTTTTATACTCTGGTGACAGTCGGGTATAACCTCACCACTGAGAGAGGGGTAAACCGTTGTAGATTATTAACTAATGTGTAGCGCGCGGGTCACGCTGGCAGCTCTACAATCATACGGCAGAAAAAGGCGGTAGCTTGGTGAGACGACGAATGCTATCATTCGTTCTCCAGGCCTAGGCCAACGCTTATTATTACCAACACTAAAAATACGCATTATTCGTGTCCTGCGCCATGTCATCATTCTGCCCAACTCCACCTAGTTTTTCACAGCACATCCCCTGCAGGAGGCAAACCAGGTTCGTTGGTATCCTGCCTGCGGTCATACCATCATTTTATTGCCGGTCCTTTTTCGATACCCAATGTCCACAAGCTCGGCTCCTTTGATGCCGTGTTGGTGTCTCGCTATGATGAGGGATTTGCCCTAGAATTTCAGTCATCCTTTGTCGATTGTCTGCTACCACACGATCGACCGACAGAACCCCAGATTTTGAACGAAGCACGAGCACTCTCTTGCAATAAGCTTCCGATGCCGCCTCGAAGCACAGGCAGCCGTGCCGGGACGTCTGCAGCGACAGGTGGCCTAATTGCTGCAGCGACTGCGTCATCGAAGCCTACGATGTCTGGTCTCGAGCAAGGCAAAGGCAGCGGCAGCGGCAGCGGCCAGGCTCCGAGCGGTGGAGGCAGCGGGAGCCACAGCGGCTTTCGCAAGCGGAAGAACCATCGGGCGGGAAAGAAGAAGCGTCGCAAGTCGTTCAACGTGAGCGCAGGCGACGACGTGCACGGAGACGAGGGCAACATGGCGGACGACCCGCTGAAGGACACGGCACAGATGGCATCGCGCGACGACTTCTACGGCATATCCGGCGGCAATCTCAGCAGTGGCAGCGTCGAGAGCGCGAACCTGCACGACCACAGGTTAGAAGACTGGGTGAAGCGGCACGATGAGGTCCTTGTTGGCTAATCCTTACTGTGTGTCCGTTCACAGAGACCAGACACCGTTTCTGCGTGCTCGACGGCCGTCGTTGGCCACGACGTCGACACGGCCGCGTGGGAGCACGGTGAGCGGTGCCGCAGCGGCGGCCATGGCGGCGGTCGAGAGCGGCGACGACGACGACATGGCGGCGACGGACAACGAGGGCGCACCGCTGCTGTCGCAGTCGCAGTCGCTGCTCGCACAGCGCAACCGACGAGAGGCCGGGTACGGGGCGATGGACACGCGCGAAAGCGGCCGTCGCAGCCGACCGCCGAGCCAGCGAGCATCAAGCCAATCGAGCGCACGGAAGACAGCCTTTCTCAATCCCTTTGGCATGACGCCTGGCGGCGAGAGCAGTTACAACATCAACTACCCGCCATCGATGCCGGGAAGCCCGCGGGTGCGGCCATTGGACCGGCTCGGCCACAACAACCTCAGCTTCGGCGACGAGATGCTGCGGGAGGAGATGGGCAACGGTGGCAGCCAGCAACAACAACAGCAGCAGCAACAACAGCAGCAACAACGACATGGACGACAAGAGCGACAGGAATGGCATGATCACCTGATGGTGCCGGTGTCGATGTCGCGGTCGCCGCCCATATCCCGTGGCAGCATGAACATTATGGGAGACAGAGAGAGAGATGGCCGTGGCGACTACAACAACTACGACGACTACGGCAACAGCACGGAGGCGCAGACGATGCAGCCTTCGCCGATGAGCCGGCGGCGCACGTCGGTGCTGGAGGCGGCGGAGGCAGAGGCGGACGTGTGCTTCCCACAGGAGGGCCTTTCAGAGATCGCCGAGGACGAGCACGAGCAGCAAGACAGCCGGGACCTGTCACCGAATCGGACGCGGCCAAACCGACGTCGGCGAATCAAGTGGCCAGACCTGGCCGTCTTAGAGGAGTGGAGCCAGTTTGAGCTGGGGCACCAGAGCCAGGCGCGGCGGGCAAAGAAGATCACGGAGCCGCAGCTGGTCAACGGTCGGCTGCGGCCGATTCACAAGGGCTGGCACCGAGCCGAGGAGGATGCGCCGTACCGGTTCACGTACTTCAACGAGGAGTTTCAGAGCACGATCCACAGCCAGACGATCTCAGAGCTAGTGCAGGCGGGCGGCAGCTTCCGCGAGCTGTTTGTGCCGGAGCCACCACTATTATCAGATTCGGATGGCGAAGGAGACGAGGAGGAGGCAGCAGCAGGGGCGGGTGGCGACGAAGACCTCATGAGCATGGATGAGGGCGAGGCCGGGCCGGAGGGAAGAAGACACCGGGAGGGACGCCGAGAGGGGAAGGAACCGACAGCCGGGCTACACCGGGATAGCTTCAGCCTGCCGTCAGATGCACAGCATCTGTTTCCGAGCCGGTCGCAGTCGATGAGCAAGGGGGGGAGTGCAGATAGGAGGGGAGGGTATTCGCCAAGCGGACTAGCCGGCGGATTGGGATTTAGATCCGGGCCAGGACCAGGATCAGGATCAGGATCAGGATCAAGATCAGGAACGCGGTCGCCGGCAACGCTCGCCCTGTCAGACCGACAGGACACAATGGGAACGACGACGGCAACGCTAATTGGCACGACGATGACGCGGACGATGAGCGAGAGAGAGCGGCTGAAGGCGGTCGAGACAGCGACATCCAAGGCCGAGGACGCAACGGCAGCGGCAGCGACGGCAGCATCAGCAGCAGCAGCAGCCGTGGGGACGCTGACGGGAGCGTCGTCAGCCGTGCCGGGACCAGCAACGACAACGTCGACACCGACACCAGGACGCGGCACGGACGAAGAGAAGGAGCGGACAGCACGGTACGGCGAGCGGCCGGTGTGGTGGCTGGACGTGCTGAGTCCGACGGAAGCAGAGATGCGGGTGCTGTCGAAGACATTTGGCATCCACCCGTTGACGGCAGAGGACATTGTGATGCAGGAGCCACGGGAGAAGGTGGAGCTTTTCCAGCACTACTACTTTGTCAGCTACCGGTCGTTTGACCAGGATCCGAACAGCGAGACGTTTCTGGAGCCGGTCAACATGTATGTGGTGGTGTTCCGGGAGGGCGTGCTTAGTTTCCACTTCAGCATGACGCCGCACCCGGCCAACGTGCGGCGGCGGATCCGCCAGCTGCGGGACTACATGCTGCTGTCATCGGACTGGGTGTCGTACGCGATCATCGACGACATTACGGACGTGTTTGTGCCGCTGATCCAGAACATTGAGGACGAGGTGGACGACATTGACGACGCGATCCTGCAGATGCACTCGTCCGTAGGCGAAGGCGACCAGGCGACCCGGACACGGGCCAGCGGGCTGACCGGGCTGAGCGGACTGAGCGGACTGCGGCCGAGCACGTCGGGGGCCAGCGAGAAGAACGACGACCCGACGCCGGCGCAGCGAGCCGAGACGGACTCGGACATGCTGCGGCGAGTGGGAGCGTGTCGCAAGCGGGTGATGGGGCTGTACCGGCTGCTGGGCAACAAGGCGGACGTGATCCGCGGGTTTGCCAAGCGCTGCAACGAGCACTGGGAGGTGGCGCCGCGTTCGGAGATCGGGCTCTACCTGGGCGACATCCAGGACCACATCGTGACGATGACGTCGAATCTGAGCCACTACGAGAAGATCTTGTCGCGGTCGCACGGCAACTATCTGGCCCAGATCAACATCCGCATGAACGAGCGCCAGGAACAGACGGCCGACGTGCTCGGCAAGCTGACTGTGCTCGGCACCATCGTGCTGCCCATGAACATCATCACCGGGCTCTGGGGCATGAATGTCTGGGTGCCCGGCCAGGACCACGATGGTGACCTGCGCTGGTTTGCCGCCATCACGGCCGGCTTACTCTTCTTTGGCGTCGCCTGCTACCTCATCGCGAAGCGCGTCTATCAGATTGTGTGAGGGGAGGTGGTGAGGTGGAGAGAGATGAGGAGAGGTGAGGAGAGAGGTGAGGAGAGAGGTGAGGAGAGAGGTGAGGAGGGAGGTGAGGAGGAGAGAGGCGAGAGAATAGAGATGAGATGGAAAGGGGCAGCGTCAGAAAGGTATATCGTATGGTGTGTTGTTCAGTTTGTCCTTGCTTTCCTCTCCTTCGATTCACTATCGCTTGTAATAGAGACCAACTAAAGAATACTGCTTATGTAATATCACAAATTGCCGTGGGTTCCGTTTTCCTTGATGCACAAAACGCCGTTAAGCCAGCCGGCCGACACACAAGACAGGCTTGTCAGCCCCATCAGCGGGCACCCCCGCCATACTGCATTCGCAGGGCCATCAGCTGAGTGCGCTCAGCCTCGGGCAGCTGGTCGATGACGGCCTGTGGCAGCTCGAGCACCTGTTTGATGAGCTCGTCGGGGTTCTGGGCCACAGCGGGCGCCATCGGGGGAGCAGCAGCGGGCACGGGCGCGGCCATGGGAGCGGACAGCGCGGCGACGTCGGGGGGTCCCCAAGCGGGTGCGGGCGTGTAGGGAGCAGCGCCAGCAGCGACAGCAGCAGCGGCCGGAGCAGCAGAGAGAGAGCCAGGCACCTCGACGACGGACTGGATGGCCTCGGGCGAGACGAGATCCATCAGCAGCAGGGCCTGGAAGACGGCATAGGCCAGCTGGGGGGCCTGGGCCAGCAGTTCGGTGGCGCGGGCGGGATCGCCGACGGCGAGCGTCTTCATCTGGGCGAGGATGTCGAGCAGCTGCGTGGGCGGCAAGGTGCGGAGGATGCGGGAGATCTCGTCGGTGGCGCTGGCACCGGGCGGAATATCGCGACCAGGCGGCAGCGGTGGAAGAAGCGAGGAAGATGAGGCGGCAGCGATGGTGCTGGACGAGGTGGAAGTGCCGGCAGCAGCAGCAGCAGCAGCGGAAGCAGCGCCGGTCGATGTCGGGGCGGCCGAGGAGAGCGAGGGGATGTAGTCGTTGGGGCCGGATGCACCCGTCAGGCCGCCATGACCGTCTTCGCCACCCTCGTTGGAGAAGTCGACGCGCAGCTTGCGGCCCATGACCTCGTAGTCGTTGAGATTGCGGACGGCCGAAGCAGCCGAGTCTGATGGTCAGCAGGGTAGGAGTCAGAGAGAAAGCGAGGAAACGATCGAGCGAAGCGAGGAAAAAAGAGATCGAGCGAAGCGATAAAGAGAGAGAAGAAATCGAGCGAAGCGAGGAGAGAAAGAGAAGAGATCGAGCGAAGCGAGGAGAGAAAGAGAAGAAAACGAGCGAAGCGAGGAAAGAAAAAGAAGAGATCGAGCGAAGCGAGGAGAAACAAAACAAAAAAACCTACCAGAGTCTGGATATTCGGCAAAGCCAAAACCCTTGGGCTTGCCGTTCTCACGGTCGTAGACCAGCCGGAAGCTGACGACGCGACCGGCACTGCTGAAGATGTCGCTGATCTGCTCCTCCGAGAGGCCTGTTGACGGCCAGTCAGCTGCAGCTGTGCTGTCGGGCCCAATGCTCTCCACCTACCGTAGGGGATGTTGCCCACAAAGACAATCTTGGACGGTGGTCTTGACGACATGGTGTGGCAGGCGAAAGTCGCAGACGAAAGTCGCACTTGGAATCGCGGACGCGTCTCGCTCCGATCGACCGGTGCTGTCGGCGGGACGGCGCAGAGGGCGGGCAGTCGGTCGCAGATCGGACAGTCGTGCACAGACGAGGCGAGAGGCGGGCCGACAGAGGAGCCGAGCAGGAAGCCGTGTTCTGCGGTGGTCGAGAGAAGCGGTAGGCAGAGGTCGTCAGAGCTGCCTCTCCACAGCAGCTGCAAATGGTTTTACATGCACTAGCGTTGGGAGAGCGCAGATGTAAGAGGCCGGATCAAGGATGTTCCGTCCGACGCATGTACTCTGTATGCTTGTAGGCGTGTGATATCACTGTCTAAACTCAGGTAGGCGTGTGGAAATCATTGGTATTTCTTGTAGTCTGCATTGATTGTTGTGTGTAGCCTATTCCACCGTTTGCTCGACGCCAGACTCGACCGCTTCGACCTGTTTATCGAGGTTGTCGCCTTGGTCCTCGTTGGCTGGAAGTTCGAGCTTCAGTTGGTCCTTTTGTTGTGCGTCCAGCTTGATCTCTTCGTCTTGGTTGTCTTTCTGATTCTCTTCATCAGATCTCTCCTTCTCCTTCTCCCCCTTCTCCTCCTCCTTCTCTTTCTCCTCCTCCTTCTCCTTCTCCTTCCCCTCCTCCTCCTCCTTCTCCTTCTCCTCCTTCTCCTCCTTCTCCTTCTCCTCCTCCTCCTCCTTCTCCTTCTCCTTCCCCTCCTCCTCCTCCTTCTCCTCCTCTCCATCCACCCCCTCCCCTCTCGCTAAAATTGCCATCCTTTTCTGCCTCTCTGCCGCTGTTGGTCTTTTCAGCATCAGCGTCCGCCGTCCTGTCCCTGTCCCAATTCCTGTCCCGGCCGCTGTCCCGCTGCCGCTCCCTGGTGCTGCCGCTCGTCTTCCGCCACGACTGGCCACCACGTTCCACTGGCCGACGTCGACGCCTTGTTGCCTGGCAGCAGCCGCCGTCGCTGGGTCGTGGTCGTGCCACAGGACCTGCAGGTTGCCATCCACGTGGCAGAGACCGATCTCCTGGCCGCCAGCCGACCCGCTCGCGAGTCCCTGCACGTACGGCAGAAGCGATCGCAGCAGCTGCTCGACGGCCGCCGGCGCCACCGCCGGCACCACCGCCCTGATGACCGCCTCACCACTGGACAGCACGGCCGGCTCGAACCGGGTTGTGGGTGCTCTAACCGGCAGCCCCTCGCTGACCAGCGGCAGCACGTCCACCAGCACGTCGGCGTGCACCGTCGCCTGATCGGCCAGCAGTGCCGGCAGCAAGAATGCATTGCAAGGACGGGGCAAGACAGAAAAGGCTGCTTCGGTCGCCATTGTCGCAGTCGAAGCTGCCGCTGCTGCCAACCCCCTCTCCCTCTCCCTCTCCCGCTCCTTCTCCCTCTCCCTCCGCTCGCACTGGGCCAGCGTCTTGGCCGGCGCCGACACGAAACGCGGCGTCTTGAACAGCGCCACGTGCCGGTGTGGCTCCGGGTCTTGGCTCTGGCTGTCGAGCCCGTAGTCGGCCGCGAGCAGGTGCAGGAACGCACGTCGTCCAGCAGCCATGGGCCGGAACCGCAGCCGCCGCTCGTCTGGACTGTCGGCAAATGCACGCACCCGCTGCTCCTGCTCGAGGGCCCAGGCCCGTTGTTTGCTGAACAGGGCCATCGTCTCGGCTGTGTATGGCACGTGACCGTCCTCGTGTTCGTCTGCGATCTGCAGTGCGCTCTTCAGGACCGCGTTGCGCTGCAGCCGTCGGCACTCGTCATCGCAGCTGGGTGCCAGTGCTCGTGTCGGCGTCGGGTTTGCCGCGCACACCAGACAGCGCACCTCCTGCCGCCGCCGTTGGCACGCACATGTCGCCACCGCCCGCGATCGACACGGCTCGTCTTCGCTGCAGGCTGTCGTCCCGTGGCAAGGCTGCCCGCAGACGTGTCCGCAGAGCGTCTTTTCCCGTCCGCACGGCTGCTTGCAGCTAGCCTCTACATCCTCGCACTCGCCCGGCCGGTGACACGTCTTGGTGCAGCTGTGCAGTCTGGTCATGTTAGTAGGAAACAAACTCGTCCGCCCAGCATCACTTACCCGCAACTGAGCGGCAGCCCGCACACCCGGTCGCACTTCAGCTCGTCCGTCCCGCAGGCCACCCGCTTCAGCGTATACTTCCCGCAGAGACACACCTTGGCCACCAGCTGCGGACACCGCGGACACGGCTGGTCCGCCTCGTGACAGCGGTGGGCCATGGCTGCGTGGCCACACGGCAGCGCTCGCATGCAGTCGTGCTGGCAAGCCGGCAGCGTTGTGCCGCACGGCAGCGGCGGATCCAACACTGTCCGCCCGCACGCGCAGCTGAGCCGTTCCGCAATCGTCTCCGTACACGACAGACAGGCGCCGCGATGGCAGAGCCGCGGACAGCCGTGCTGACCACAACGCAGCGCCCGTCCACAGAGCACGAGGCAGATGTGCTCGGCCTCGTACTCGAGCTGGCCCTGATGCCCTGCTGCTGCTGCTGCGCGTCCTCGCGATGCCGCCTGACGGGCTGCCGCCTTCTCTCGCCCACTGCAGCAGATGTTGCGGCACTTGTGCTGGCCACAACTGAGCAGCGCTCGGCACGGCGTGTCGCACGCAAAATCGAACTCAGGTCCGGTCGCGTCGCTGCAGGCTGCTTGTGTCTCGGCTCGGCCACATCGACATCGCATCGTCACCGTCTCGCCACACGGCGGACACGCGCCCTCGTGGCACGGCGTCGTACAGCGGTGCTGACACCTCAGTGTCTTGCCACACGTCTTGCCGCATCCTGGAATGGCGTCCTGGCACGACGTCCGCGGTGCCACCGCCAGATCGGCCAGCCGCGTCTGTCCGCACGGACAGCGCGTCACCACGTCCGGCGAAAGGCCGCAGTGTCGAGCAGCTTCGTCCTGTGCGTGGCAGCTCCGCTGGCATGTGTGCACGCCACAGTCAAACGGCCGTCCACAGACCGAGGCACAGCGGTAAGAACCTGCAAACATCTTCTTCTCTCTTCCCTCGGCTCCCTTCCGCTGTCCGTAGTCAAACGAGTCCAGAACAGCGTCCCGCTCCTGGCACCGTATCTCTCGTTCCTCCCTTCCACAGTAGCAGACAGACGGTATCGGGACCGTGCAGTCGCCACACATGTCCGCGTGGCACACCCGCTCGCATCGGTGAATGCCACATGGCAGCCGGCTGCCACACGTCTCCGTGCAGCTCCAGGACTGCCCGTAGTCCGTCTCGACACATGGCCGCGTCGCCGAATGCTTTCCGCAGAAGCACGGCAGCGCAGGCCCCATCTCTGCACAAGGTGGACATGGCCCGGCATGGCAGACCGCCGAGCATGGATGAGGGCATTTTCCCTTTGCTTTCCCACAGACCCGGCCACACGAGTGAGGCGCCAGCACTGCTGCCGAGATAACATGTGTCTTTTGTCGCCCACACCAGCAGTGACGCTCCCGTGCCGCCGCCTCCGACAACTCCGAGTTGCAGGCCGGACAGCGCAGTACAAACGCCCTGTCGTTGTCGTCTGCGTCGCCTCGCTTCTGCTTGAGCCACTTTGCCACGCACGCCTGGTGCGTCACCCGCCAGCAGATCGGACACGTCCACAGCCGCGACGACCGCACCACCGCGTTCAGGCAGATGCAGCAGTCGTAGTGCCCGTTGTCAATGTCCTCGTGTGTTCGTGTCGTCAAGTCTTCTGCCGTTGACGGCTGTGAGCGTCTGGCTGCCGTCACTACCGAGCCCGAGACATCTGCCACGTCCACCTGCTGTCCAGGAACAAATTCGATTGCATTCCCGTTTAAAGTTCCTGCTCCCGTCAAATGTCCTCCAAAGCTTCGTGGTGGCGCAATCATCGATGTCTGCCTGGAAGCTATGGCTCCACGGCCACGGCCAAAACCTCCCCGACGACTACCCCTCTCGAGCCCGGCTGGTCCATGCCACCGGCCCCGCTGATTGCTGCCTCTGCCCCGTCCCCGCCCACGTCTGCTCGGCTGCCCGGTCTGGCCTGGGCCTGGCTGTGGTCTTGGTCCGCTAGGACTGACGTCTGCCATTGGCGTTTGGTAGTCCTCGTCCGCAGACGATTCGGTCGTGCGAAATGAACGGAGAAACGGAGGAAGCCGGTCTATCAGGACAAACTCCTATCACAATGAAAAAGAGGCGAAAACGCTGTTATGCAGAATCAGGTGCCGAGCTGGAAATATGACAGGAAGAGGAAACTACAGATCCCTGCTGACTCTTTGTTTTATATTGGATCGCACTTCTCAATTTTGACATAGTTTGCCTCCAATACCTTCCTTCTGCCTGGGAAAGAGTCATCCACTAGCATTATAGTGGGGCCCCTAGCTGCTTCTTCTTCTATCGCCGTCCCAGAGCCTTCCTGCCGTTCCTGAACCCCACCGGCAAAACCGATAATCATAATAAAAATAATAAAAATAAATAAAACCCCTCTACTGATGCCATCATCGGCCTGGCAACTTAGCTCCCAACCTGCCCTCATCTGACGACCCACGACCGACAGTCGGAACAGAAAAGCACGCCCGCCACACGTCCTCCTCTTGTGCGACCGCCACACGCTCACCATGTTGATCAAGTCCGTCCTCCGTCTCCCCGCCGCTGTCCTCTCCCAGCTAACCAGAGGACCAATCATTCAGGGTCCGAACGCTGACCGGCAAGGAGATCGAGCTGGATATCGATAGCGACTACAAGGTCTCCCAGATCAAGGAGAAGGTCGAGGAGAAGGAGGGCATCCCGCCCGTTCAGCAGCGCCTCATCTACGGCGGCAAGCAGATGTACGTGCCTCTTTCGCTTCTTCTCTCCCCTCCCTCTTCTTTACTGACGGTCTAGGGTCGACGACAAGACCGCGTCAGACTATGCGCTTGAGGGCGGCGCTACCCTGCACCTGGTTCTGGCCCTGCGCGGCGGCTTGTAGCCTCGCCACCATATGAGCGCGATCAGGGACGAGACGGATCTAGCAGTGCAACCCGCCTTGACGACGACTACGACTCTCCTTTGATAGACCGGCTCCTCTACCGCTGCATGACGAACACATGTACAATCATATACACCTGCCTCGAACATGGGTCTGGAGGTCTGCCAAATGTGTGGCTGCTGGACCGGGAACGACTGTTGTTTTGCTATCCCCATTTATTGCCTGCCTTTCTCTGGCGTTACGCTCCCATGTGCCTTTTTCCCTCTTCGAGACGTAGTGTAAAAAGCAAATAACCATCCACGCCTTTTTCGGTCCACTTTGTGTCTGCTGTAAATCAAAATCATAACGGAACAAAGACATGCCAGGATACAGTTTTCAGCTTCCCAAGACAATTGAATGTAACTGTGCGCATAACGTTCTGCCTTCCACACAATGACATGACGCAAACATTTCCTTTTACACAATATATAACTCTTCCGTTCCCAACTCTATACGAAAGAGGGCCCGAAACAAGAACAAGCCATAAAACAAAATAGTCGAACCAGCGATAAATGAAGCGAACGTGTGCCAGACAGCCGGCTACCGCTTCTTGGGGCGGAAGAAGATGTCCACTGCTGCTTTTTTTCGTGCTGGCGGGCCTGGAGACCCGCGCAGGACCGGCTTCCGAGCAGCGTCAGTCACAGGGGCAGGTGCTGGCACTGGTGGGCGTGCACGTGGTGGCACGGCTGACGGAGCGTCGGGTCTGCCTGGCCTTGTCGACACAGACGTCTTGGGCCTTTGTGGGAGGCGCGAGGGCTGTTCCAGATCGGCGACCGAGAGGCGGACCTTTTTCGTGGGAGCGTCGCCAAACAGATCCTCGTCGTCCAGATCTTCGTAGCTGTCAAAGAGGTCGTCGTGGGTGGTGGGCCGCTTCAGGGGTCTGGGTTTGGCCGGGATGCTCTTAGGCACCGCTGGCGGGCCCGACTTAAGGGCCACCAGACGGGCCTCGGCCTCGGAGTGCTCAGCCGTTACGGGCGCAGCAGCCGTGGCGGACGAGTGACGCCGAGGGGCGCGAATCATGACGGCCGGGTTGTGGGCGATGCGGTAGTCGTGCACCATGGCCTCGGGGGCGCGGCGGATCTGGCCCTGGGCGGCCCGAAGGGCGCTGGTGGGCGTGCTGAGCGCCGACACCTTGCTGATTTCCTTGGCCTCGCGGCGGGCGCGACGCAGCACGGACTGGCCGGTCGTCATGCGGGTGCGCGAGCCGCCGCCAAAGGAAAAGGAAGGGCCACTACCGGGGCCTCGCCGCCGAGCGCCTGGCAGCTGGCTGAGCAGCTGGCGGTTGTTGACAAACTGCATCGTCTTGCTCGCCTTGTCGCGGCTGAAGCCGGCCAGCTGCTGCTGCAGATGCGCTGTGGCGGCTGCGTTGTCGCGGTCGACGGCCTCCTTGACGGCGTTGTAGATCTCGAACCAGCTCATGTCGTCGTCGAACGCGTACCCACGCTCGTCCCATTTGGGAAACTTCTTCTGCAGCAGCCGGCTCCATAGCTCGGCCATCTGGCCCGGCTCGGCCGCCAGCTGCGGACAGTTCAGCTCCAGCTCGTGCAGCTGCGCCGCGTTCTCCACCTTTTTCAGCAGCGGCCGTGCCGCCTCAAACGGCAGCTCGCCAATGTCCGTGATCGAGGCCACGTTACGTAGCGCCACCGCCAGGCACATCCGCTGCAGTGACCGCGGCCCGACCTGCTTTGACGTCTGCTGCAAGGAGGCCATGGCTGCCGGCGAGGACGGCGATGCACTGCCCGCGTCTTTACTCCGACGATCACGCTGCAGCTGTTCCCAATCTTATCGAAATTCCGTCTTCCCTCGCATAGGAGCCCGTTCTGACAAGAAGATAGAAAATATTGGCAAAAGCTTCGAATATCCAGGTCTAAATATGGCGGTTGGTCGTTGCAACAAGTCCGTACACACTGTCAATACGCAAGTGGCGATCGGTCTGACCGAGTATTGAATGGTTGACGCACTCGATGAAGCGGGGAGGAGAAAGGAGCGGATGCCGCTTTTCTATCGTTGTCGACGACAAAGAGCAATGTTCGAATTCGGATACCTCATTACGTGACGACCGGAAGCGTCGCACAGTGCTTGCCTCATGTCGGGTGCCGCTGACCATGGGAAGGTGACAGATGGGTGGACCCTTTCAGCCACGACCCAGCCCCCGGATTAGTAATATTGCTTGGGCTTGTTTTTCAAACTTCAACCTCTCAGCCTTCCCTGACCACACCACCCGCCATTGATCAGATTCAGGAACACCGCCACACTCGACGCCCAGGGCAGACGCAATTCCGACTGGACTGCACGAGCATAAACGACAATTACGGCGAAAGACACGTTTACCTTTCCGATATCACCCTTCGCCTGGCCTCTCTCTCCCCTCCGGGATCATGGCCTCGTACCAGCTGCTCGATGTCAAGGAGGAGGAGGAGCTGTACCGAACGCGGCTCCTGAATGTGGAGGAGAAGCCATTCAAGCGCATTACCAAGCGGCTGTCGACGCTGCGCGATGTCGTAGCCGTGAGCTGTGTGCGGCAGGAGCAGACGCCGCCACCGGAAGTAGGACCCGGCGCCGAGGCAGACGGCAGCCCCAAGGCAGACAAGGCGGACGCCTCAGCCGAGGACGGTACCGACGGTGCAGCCGTGCTCGCAGCCGAGATTGAGCAGCTGCGCGAGGATGTCACGCTCGACTTTGCCGCGTTTGACGCCAGCGTGGCCCGGTTGCAGTTTTTGCACCAGGCCAACGGTCGCGAGCGCGAGCGCTACGATGCCGACCGCGGCAGCATCGCCGATACCTGTCAGGCCGTCCGCGACAACATGGCCGTGCTGCGCGTCCAGCTCGACCGGGCCCGTGCCACTCTTGCCCAGCGCAAGCTGTTTGACGATATGGCCGACCGCATCACCAGCTCGCGCACGTTGCGGCCGCGGCCCGACCAGCAGGCCTCCATCGCCAAGCTCGAGGACGAGTGCCGTCAGCTCGAGCGCGACGGCGATGCCTACGCCGAGACCTGGCGCGAACGTCGCCTGCAGTTCTCCCGCATTATGGACGAAAGTATGCGTCTGCGCCGTCTCATCCGCGACGAGAAAGAGGAAGTCGAGCGGCGCGAAGGCATGGACGACGAGGATGGTGGAAGCGGAAGCAACAGCAACGGCAAGTCGGCCACATTGCCGACCGGCTCCTCGGCCACCGCTCCGGCAGCACCGGCCTCGGTCGCCGGCGACAGCCAGCCCACACCCCAGCCACCGACACTGTCGTCCGCGCTGGAGGGCCAGACCCCCGCGACCACCCTCGACAGCCCTGCACCAGACTACGACGGCGGCTTGCGGCCTGGAAGTGGCGGAGGTGCAGGCGGTGGCGACAATGGCAGCAGCTTCTCGCGCTCCGGCAGCCGGCTGGGGAGTCGTGCCGCCAGCCGTGAGGTCACACCCAATCCCGCCACGGCAGCCGCAGAAGAGGGCGACAACGAGGCCGACGGGAGCGACGACGTCGACATGGTGGAGGCCGGCGAGACCACAGAAGCAGGAGAGGTAGATGCTGCCGACGCATCACAGCTTCTGACTGCGGCAGACACGCCGATGATCACGACGGCTGCTGCCAGTCCGACAGACGATGGAGAAGTGATGGACACGACGTGATGGGGACGGCACACTGCAAAGTCCGGTTGCTTCTTTTCTTGTTTCTTCTCATATTTGGGTATATTGGTACGGTGCTCCAAAACAAGGAGGCGGGTATTATTTTTGTTACTTAATCATGGCCTCCACAGCATGGCGTTTCCCACGATACGATCTTTGTTTCAAAAACCTAGTGTTGCCATAATAGACAACGAAGAACAAAGAATGGTTCTTCAACGGCTTTCAGTCCTCTTTGGCGATGGCCGTCTGTCCGGTGCGAAGAATGGCACGAGCCTTTTCGAGCTCGGTGTCGGCCGCGGCGCCGGAGCTCTCGCGGAAAGCAATCTGCTCCTCCAGCTTGGCCACGGCATCCTGGGTGCGGAGCTTAAGGGGGGCGAAGACGGCCTTTGTTTCCTCGGCCGCACGGGTCTGACAGAGTTAGGGGTGGGAGAAGGAAGAGCCAATCAAGTGAACGAGGAAAGAAAAGAACGAGCGGAGCGAGGAAAGAAGAAATAGAACAACGTACCTCTTGCCTCAGGACATAATCGGCATTGGGATCGAGATCCTCGGGCCGAGACGTGGCGATGTCGGCGGTGAGCTTGCGGACACGCTCCTCCTGCTTGGCCAGCTCGGCGTGGTAGTAAGCCTCCTCCTTGACGAGGCGCTCAACGGCCTTGGTAGCAATGACGAGCTCAGACGGCGGAGGCATAGCTGCTGGGCTGCTGGGCTACTAGATTGGCAGGGACAGAAACAAAGACAGAGACGTCGGAGGCCTGACGGCTGTCGGGACGGTGGAGATGGAGAAAGAGGGTCGTCGAGGGTGGAACGGAAACGATGTTCGCGACTGCAACAAGACGTGTGGATAGCCGCGAAAACCTGATACTGCTCGAATTTAGTTTGATCAGGTATGTAGGCAAAGCCGAATCGATGATGTCTAAAATGCTTGGCGGGGGATTCACAAAAGCGGGGCGTCACCGTTCAAGACGGTGGCAAATGGCAAATAGCCTTACATACGCTATTGATCCTGCTACGATATGCCACCGAGCATGTAATACAGCCCGCCCGTTGTGGCTGTGCTGGGCCTGCACAGTACTATGTGCAGTACGCACTCGTAAGGCTGTGCACTGAGCAGGCCGTCGCTCAAGTCCGATCGATTCTGCAGGTCGACTCTGCAGGTCGACAAGACGCTTAAACTAGTAGTCGCATGTGCAGGCCTCCTGTCTTGGTCATTTACATTCCCCCGTGCACGATAGGACCATATATGTGAGATGTTGAGATGTCTGTCTGGCCTGGAAACCCGGCTTGGCTCATTAATGGATTGTCTTAGACCAAAAATAGCAGCGATCCGAGCATGAGTCTCAGACCTGCCCCCCAGACCCAGACTCCTGGCCCGTATTTATAGCAGACCAGAGTATTTGACATGTAAGGGCCACATAGCTTGGCTCGAGCCGTAGGCCGCGTGAGCTAAGACTAGGAGCGCGTGACAATCAGTCCAGCCTCCACCCCCCCTTCCTCTCCATACCAGATGTAAAAAGATGCAAGAGATGGGACACCAGCCTCAGAAAAGAATCGGGACCCAAGCGGCCGGATACACAGACCCCTGTCGCGGCTCGAGGGCCCGGAGTCCGTGCTTGCAAGATAAATGGTTTGCGTTTCGGCTCGGCGTCGCATCAGTCTCACATTCGTGGTTCTGGGAATGTCGTCTTGGTGGCACGTCACATCCGGGCACAGACCCTTTCACACGGACACGTTGACACCCTGACGATAGTGCTGTGAGTACTCCGTACGAGTACGGAGCACGGAGCACGGAGCACGACACAGACAAGGAATCGTCTTGCCCGCACACGTGCATGCCAGGAGCCACGTAGCCTGGTTTGCGGATCCGGTGGGTGTGTGCTTGCAGAGGACGCCCGCTTGGGGGCCGATTGGCCCGATTGGGCCTCTTGCCATGCCACACATGTTTAGACATTATGTCGGCCTTGTCTCCAACGGACTGCAGGCCGGAAGACGAGGAGGGTGCGAAAAAGGGGATACGACGGATTTGTGTAGAGTGAGAGGGCATCTAGAGTCAGAGTACCTTCGTAGTGTGTACATCGTCCCAAGTCCAGCAGTCAGCTCAGCGTGTTGGCATCTTCCATTCCCCTATCCTAGTGTAGTAAGATACAATATGTACCGTCTCCTCGTACTCGTATATCTCACACCCTCAGAAATATCTTACAAGTATCTTCTTACGACATACATAGTATGTACGCGACCCTTCTCGACAGCACGCTAGACGACCACACGTAGTCAAACAAAGCCTAGTGCAGAGCATGGACAACCGCAGATCGCCGTGTGATTGGTGCAGACCCCTGTCCTCCAGGGCACCTTCAGCTGCTCGCGGACGCCGGCGTCATTCCGAAAGTGCGTTAAACATGAATCTTTCCCTTTCTCTCTCCGTCATGGAGGGAGGGAACCAACTTCAGCCTTTCGCGACGGGCCCTTCATTTCGCTTTATCAGCCAAAATTCATCGCAATTATAATCACACGCGGTCCCACGCTCCGTCAACCATCCTCCCGGGCTGGTCCGCTGGGCTTGCCGAGAAGGGTTCGCTGATGGCACGAGCAGCTGCAAAAAGAAAGTACTTACGAGAAAAAGGGTGCTACTATGTACTCCGTACATACGTCGTGCATACTTGGTAGTACGGAGTACGGAGTACATATCCCGTAGTGTGAATAGCAATGTACTATGTATCTCGAGATACCCCATAGGAGCCAGAAGAGGGTACCGGCATCTCCGAGGCTCAGGGCTGTGTTTTGACCTATTCCGGGGTAAATATAAAAAAGACATCATACACCCCGGTATTCCTACACTGCACTCCCCGATCCTTCCCTGGCGGTCTCGGGAAGCATTCAGCTCGGACGGGAAGGCGTTAGCACATTGTCGTCTGCCGCAGAGCTTGACCACTTCCCGCGTTCTCGTTTTGCTGTTCCTCTCCGTATACTTTGTGATTTTTCTCTGTTTTCATTTATATCCGGTGGCCGTCTTAATTTCGTCTTCTCTCTGGCGCTGTCAACGTAAGTATTGTCGTAATTTCCTGCCCAGCTGCCCTGGAGATTGGACAGGGAGAAGCTGCCAGCTGTTGCATAGCGGAGCCCACCCTCGTAAAGCAGCGAACAAGAACCGTTTATTTCCCGGCCATATGTGACGGCTGTCTGTCGCGGTTGGCCATTCGACGTGCCATATGGGCTACGAAGGCCGGATGCTACGTCGTACTTTGTAAAAAGAAAATGTCGATTTTTTACGTCATCTTTGTTTCGCAATCTGACGGGGTTTTTTTCCGCCTCAAATTTTCTGCCTAACTTTTTTTTCCTCCTAAGATATCTTTTTCTTTTTCTTTCTTTTTTCCTTTCCCCTAATAGTCTTCTTGTCACTCCTATCCAATCGCACTAGCTGCACTACGCCGGCTGTTAGCGCCTCAGGCCAAGTCTCGCTCTCGTCCGCACCACCAACATCCGTCCATCTCGGCCTGTTTTTCCCTTTCCCACCAGGGCCTGAGAGGGGAGCCCCGCTGCAAAGCCTGCCTGCCAGAGCTGAAGACTGAAAAAGAGGCAGGAGCTCGTTCCTGCGAGTCGCATCTGGGCCGTTCCTGCCGTGGTCCAATCACACGGCACACAGCTCTCTCGTCCACCATCCCGCCCTTTCTTCTATCACCTTGGCCCTCTTTCTGCTTTTCTTTCCATCTCCATTGTCCCAAAAGCTCGCCCAGCCTTCAGTCAGCAAGCTTAAGATCCACGCTGAAGCCGCCCCTCTCTTGCCTCTCTCCCCACCCTTGCTCGACCTCGCTTTCTCTCCGTCCAAATTTCTCTCCTGCCCAACCTCTATTTTTCCACCTTCTCCCAACTCGCCCTCAATCCGGCATCGTGCTCAATCCGTGCCATCCGTTGCTCCATAGCCACTCTACCGCCTCTCTATCGCCTCTCTGTCGACCAACCAAGTCTTGCAGCCTAACGCCCGCAGAAACGGTCGCTAGCTCGATCCTGTATGTCCTCCCTGCCCTATCCTCTCGCTGCACGCGCCCGCTGGTCCCATCGCACCCCACGAATATATCCCCCTCTCTCCGGCATCTCCCTTTTCTCGTAGCCGCTCCCAAAGTTCCCCTTTCTGCCTCCTTGCGTCAGCGGGCTCAGCTCTGCCCGTCTGCCGTCCGTCCCACCGCTTTGTTCCCGTCGTTGCTTCTCCCCGTCGTCGTCTCCTTTCTTCCGTTCCACATCCTCGCTTCCATTCCTTTATATGCCGCGCGCCCTTGTCACATTCCCTTGCGCAGTGCCAGTTCCCCCTGTTCCACCACCACACTCCCGAGTAACGCACGTCGCTCATGTAGGGTTAGGGCCTCCTTCGTTCGGTCATAGAGTCGACGGCATCCTAGCACAAGCAGTGCCAAATCCGCGGCTTTTTCACATCCGCTCAATCGCTACCCAAACAAACACATTCGTTTCGGCAGCGCATCATACAGCCTTCTGTCGCAAAGCGCTCTGAGTTCGGCTTTACGCCGCAGCTACAGCTCTCGTATCGGCCGCTCTCTCTCGTTTTGCCAGCCTCGAGCTCTATACTTCTTTGAGCTCCATACGTCCCCTGCCACTTCCACGCCCACCATAAAACTTTTGCAAAATCGCGCAGTTTTGCGACTCGCATCTGTAGCGCAAGCACAATGTCTGGAGGATATCCTACCCAGGGCTACGCTCCCTATGGCGGCGCTCCTCCGCCGGGTGCCTTTGCTGGTCCAGCCTACGGTTTGTAAGCTTTCGTGTCCTGGACAACCCCCTTGCTCGGAATACATCTGCTAAACAAGCTGGTTTCGACAGCCCTCAACAGTATGGTTACATGCCCCCGAACCAGATGTATTTCCAGCAACAGCCGCAGCCGATGCAATCGTACGGTTACAGTCAGGTAAATACTACCCTCGCTGACCGGACTACTCTTTAAGAGAAACTTGTATGGCGACTAACCTCTTTCGTTAACCGTCGCCACTACCACAGCAGCAGCAGTCGCCGACACAACACCATCAACACCACCCTCAACAACAACCAATACCACTACCAGCACAACAGCCGCCGCCACAGCAACAATACAGCGGCATGTACACTGAACAGTCGCAGTATACAACCAGGCCAGGGCCGGGTATGTCCTACCTTCGTCCCCCTGTCGCCTCTGGGTCTCTTACGTTGCAGACAGCTAACACGCATCGTAGGAATACAATATATGGATCCCTCGTCTCCGAACAACATGAACAAGCCACCGCAAACACCACAGCAGTTTGGCGGCGGTGCTCCGCAAGGCTACGCTTTCCAATACTCCCAGTGCACGGGACGGAGGAAGGAACGCTTCTGATTGGTATCAACTACTTTGGACAGCGCGGCCAGCTGCGCGGCTGCATCAACGACGTGCGAAATATGTCATCGTACCTGGTGGAGCATTTCGGCTACCGGCGCGAGGATATGGTGATCCTCACAGACGACCAGCAGAACCCAATGAGCCAGCCGACCAAGGAGAACATCCTGCGGGCAATGCACTGGCTCGTGAAGGATGCACGGCCGAACGACTCTCTTTTCTTCCACTACTCTGGTTAGTACTTTTCTTGTTCTGCTCATGCGTCATCTGGATCTAACAAGCATCGGCAGGTCACGGTGGGCAGACGCGCGACTTGGACGGCGACGAGGACGACGGCTACGACGAGGTGATCTACCCGGTGGACTTCCGGACGCGCAGCCACATCACGGATGACGAGATGCATCGCATCATGGTACGACCATTGCAGGCCGGTGTTCGGCTGACGGCCATCTTCGACTCGTGCCACTCAGGCACAGCGCTGGACCTGCCGTACATCTACTCGACGCAGGGCATTCTCAAGCAGCCCAACCTGGCGAAGGAGGCAGGCCAGGGCCTGCTGAATGTGATATCATCGTACAGCCAGGGCGACATGCACGGGGTTACGAACAACATCCTGGGCTTCTTCAAGAAGGCCACCGGTGGCGACGAGGCCCAGGCGCGTTCTCTGGCTACCAAGACGTCGCCGGCTGATGTCATTATGCTCTCGGGCAGCAAGGATGACCAGACTTCGTATGTGATTGATGCTGTTTCTGGCGTTAGTGTCATTTACTGATCAGCTTCTTCTCTCTCCTACAGGGCGGATGCGACGATTGCATCACAGGCTACGGGCGCCATGTCGTGGGCGTTCATCTCGTCGCTGAAGAAGAATCCGCAGCAGAGCTATGTGCAGCTATTGAACAGCATCCGTGACCAGCTCGAAAGTCGGTACACGCAGAGGCCGCAGCTGTCAAGCTCGCACCCTCTTGGTATGTTGCCAGCCTCGGTGTCTCGCTTTCGTGTTGAGCGTGGACAGCAGGTTTCTAACTGACAGCTTTAGATACGAATCTCCTATTTGTAATGTAAAAAAATATGATGCTACCGCAACTGGCGATGCTTCCGTCGTGGGCCATCGCTACCGGCGTTCCTTGTTGTGTTTTTATTTTTTACCATAAATAATTCTTTGGATTTTTAGCTGGGCTTGCTCTTGGGAGGTTTCATTCTGCTAGCTTTCAATCCTTTGTTGGGGCAACGACAAATTGGTATATGGGACAGGGAAAAGGGAGACGGGACGTGCGCGCCGCTTCTTCTCGTGGTATTGCTGTTGTCATTATTTTCTTCCTACGGACTCACGTACTCTTTTCAGCTCGCATCGGTTGCCTGCACGGGTTCTCATAGCAGAAACAGCAATAATTCAGGCCAATTCGCTGTGGATGCGTGCTCTGTACTCCGTACTCCGTAGTTTGATAGATTGCACCTGCCAACACGTCCCCAACATGACGGCATTTGTTTGTGGATACGTTCACGATCGTAGCTGCCCGATACACTTATTCGTCCTTGTTCCATTTCGCGTTTCCCCCACCGACCCTTTTGGGCTTCTACCGAAGAGCAACGCAAAGACCAAGATGAGAACGGCATGACAAGAACATATCGTGAAGCCAAGACGCCATTGCCCGAAGACGAACCAGAAGACTGACCAAAGACCAAAAGAAGAAACCAAAAGACAAACACAAGAGATCGGCCCCCTCTCGCTGGCTTCCAAACTCCCCGGCACCACAGACGATGCAAAAGAGGAAAATAAAACGTTTCAAGCATGCAAGTTCCCCATCCAAGCCGACATTCTGCTTCAAGTCCGGCTGATGGCTGTCGCCGCGGCCGGCGCTCGTCCGCCGGTCGTCATCGTCGCCACCGCCAGCTGCTGTCGCCATGCGGTGCGCATCTGCTGCATCCGCTCGGCCTTACGCATGCCTTCAGCCGCTGCGACCAGGCGCTGGCGCGTGACCTCGTGTTGAGCCCACGTGACCGCAGCTTTTTGCACCCGCACGACAAAGCAGACAGCCACGAGAGCACGTCGCCATCGGGCTCTGCAGTCGATGGGTCTGCAACCACGACCGTCGCCACGACCGTCACTGACACCTCCTGATAGCAGCGTCGGCTCGCGCACGCCCAACTGGCGCAGAATTCCCTGCAGCATCCGCAGGTCGGCCTTGTTGCAGGCGATGCGCATCTCCAGATCCTGCGATAGCAGCTGCTTGGCCAGCACGGCACCACAGCGCAATCGGGCCTCACGCTCCCACCGGGCCTGCATCCACTCGACCTGCATGCCGAAGCCACGCAGCTCCTTGTGGTGACGGATGCTCTGCTCCTCGGCCGCTCGTACGAGTGCGTCCGTGTCGATTTCGTGATGCTGGACGGCGGCTGCTGTCGCCAGGATGAGCTCCCGACTGGTCTCGCCGTTTCCTGCTGTTGCCATCCCAATCGCCACCGCCATTGCATCCGCCGACGTTCCCGTCCCATAATGCAGGGCCGCCCGCGTCCTGGCTGCGGCTGCCTGCAGCTCCTCGACCTCGTTGCGCAGTCGCTCGGCATCAGCTCGATGGGCTGCCCGCTCGCTTCGGGCCCGATCCAGCTTCACCCGCAGTGCGTCTTCGGTTCGCGCGGCCTCGTCCAGTGCCGTCCGGTGGTCACGCAGCTCGCGCTCCAGCGCCTCGGCCTCCACCTGTGTCTTCCGCAGCATCGCATGCAGGTTGCTCCGCTCTTCGCGGCTCATCTCGCTCGCCGCCACCGATCCTGACCCGCTGCTCGACCCGTTGTGCTGTGCGTCCGCCAGGGCTAGGGCCAGCTCTTCGCGCTCGTTTCGGTATCGCTCCAGCTTCACCTGCATCTTCTGCATCGTCGCCACCGTTTCGGCTGCCGCATCTTGTGCCTCGTCCAGCGCTTGTTCCAACACTGCTCGCTCCTCCTCGACCTCGCCTATCCGCGCTTCGAACTCGGCACGTTCTTCTTCCATCTCGCTCATCCGTGCGTCCAGCTCGCCGGCTGCTGCGTCCCAGGTGGCCGCCCGTCGCTCCATCTCACGCACCGTCCGTCTCAGCTCGTTGCCGGCCTGCTGCGCTGCCGTGAGCTGGTCTCGCAGCTGCCGAATCTCAGCCTGGCGCGTTGCTGCTTCTGCTGCTGCCTCGACTGCGGCTGCTGCTGCCGACTCGACATCTTCCGTCACCGACGGCGAGCCCATCAGCCGGTTGATCTCTGCCTCATGGGCCGCCCGTTCGAGGTCGACAATCTGTCGCCGCAACGTCTTGACCGCGTCCTTCTGGGCTGCTTCGCGCTGCAGGTAGGCTCGTTCCTTTGCTCGTGCCTCTGTCAGGTCGCGTCGCAGCATCCCGATCTCACCTGTCGTGTCGTTGTCGCCGTCAACATTTGCACTGCTGCCTCCACGAACCGGTGTCATCTTGGCTGCTGCTGCCGCGGCTGCTGCCTCAGCCTTGATCTCGTGGTCTTGGATGCGTCGTTCGAGTTCGCGCATCGCTCGTCGTGCCGCCTGCAATTCTTGGCTCTCTGTCGTCGTTGATCGTACCCGCTCGCTCTGCAGTTCCCGGATCTCCTGGCCCAACCGCTCCTCCTCGCTCGCGGCCTTGTCCAGCTCCTCTTCCAGCGTCTTCTCCAGCGTCTGACACTGCTCGGCCAGCGCCTTGTTCTCCTCGCGCAGTCGCCGCACCTCACCGTCGAGCTTCATCTTTGCCGTCCGCAGGTCGATGCGTTCGTGGTCTAGCCGGAACGTCTCGCCCTCGTGTTCTCGTGCCCGTCGCAGCTCCTCCTCCATCTCGTCGCGCTCTGCCTTGGCCTCTGTCAGCGATGATCGCAGCGAGTGCAGCTCCGTGTTGATGTCGGCCACCTGCTGCTGCAGCTCCTGTTTGTCCTTGCTGCTCTTGGCGAGACTGGCGCTGGACTCGGTCAGCTGCTGTCGGAGTCTCTCCAGCTGTTGGCTTGTTGCTGTTGCTGCTGCTGTCGCTGTCGACGTGTTGAAGCTGCTGCTACCTGCCCGCGCCTTGCTGGTCTCGCTGTCCAGGGCCGCCTGAAGCGCATCGACCTCGTCCTGCAGCCGTTCTGCCTTGGCTCGGAGCGTCTCGTTGTTGACGTCGGCCGTGCGCAGCTCGTCCCGCACAGAGGCGAGCTCTTTGCGCAGGCTGTCTAGCGTTTCCTGTCGCAGCTGCAGCTGCTTCTGGGCGCTCTCGAGCTGTCGTCGCAGCACGGCCTCTTCGGCATCGTGTCGGTCCTTCTCACCGTCCATCAGCTCCTTGAGCTGGGCCTCCTTGCCCGAGAGCGCGCCCTCGGCCTCACGGAGCCGATCGATCGACTGCTGCAGCCGGTCTCGCTCGGCCTCGAGGTGCTGGCGGTCCGTGTCCCACTTGTCGCTGTCAATGTCATAGAGGTGCTCCTTCTCGGCGATCTCCGTGCGCAGGTTGCTGATCTCCTTGCTGAGTCGGTCAATCTCGGACAGGAACTGGACTTGGGTGTTCCGCTCAGCCTCGGCGCCGTGTTGGCGCTCAGCCTCGACGTCAGCCTCGAGCTGGGCGACGGTCTTCTGCAGTCGCGAGACGTCTCGCTGCAGCGACGCCGACTCGTTGGTCAGGGCGTCGTGGCGCGTCTGCAGCAGCGCCTTCTGGTCGCGCAGCATGTTGAGGTCGGCCTGCACCTCCTTGAGCTGTGTGGAGGCAGATAAGGCCTCGCGCTCGGCATCGTCGCGGGCCTGTCGGGACTCCTTGAGCTTCTGTTTCAGGTCGTCGGCCTCGCGGGCCTGCTCGTCGCGCTTCTCGCTGAGCTGGGCGCACTCGCGCTGGGCCTTGTCGACGTCGGTCTGCAGCCGTGCCAGCTTCTCCTCGACCTGGCGCGACAGGCCCTTTGTGTGGACGGACTTGTTGGCCATCTCCTCCTGCAGCTCTTCAAGATCGTCTTCGGCGCGCTGGCGCTCGGTCACGGCCTCGTCCAGCTTCGTCTTCATCTCGTCGGACTGCTGCTCGAGGCGACGCACGTCGGCCTCGAGGCCCTCGATGGTCTCCTTGGCCTCGTCCAGCTTCTCGCTCGAGCCGGCCTTTTCCTCGAGCTCCTGGATGTGCTGGCGATTGTCCTCGAGACGGGCCTCCATGGAGAGTTGCAGCTCCTCCAGCTCGTCTTCCTTCTGGCTGATGATGCGGTCCTTTTCGCGGACGTCGGCCTCAAGGTCCTCGATGTCGTCGCGCAGTTTCTCAGCCTGGGCGTTGGCCTGGCGCTGGAGGTCGTCGAGGTCGGCATTTTTGGCGGCAAGCTCCTCGCGCAACCGTTCGACCTCGGCACGGAGGTCCTTGTCGGCGTGGCGCTGGGCCATCTTGTCCTGCATGTCGTGCATCTCACGGCGGTAGTTTTCAAGGTTCTGCTCGGCAGACGCGACGAGCTTCTTGTAGCGATGCAGCTCGCGCTGCAGGGTGACCTTGTCGACCTTGAGCTCGGTGTTCTCCTTGAGGGCAGCCTCGCTGAAGCCGGGGCCGGCCTTTCGGAGAGCCTCCTCGAGGAAGTGGATCTTAAGCTTGAGGCCGAAGTTTTCCTTTTCGATCCTATCGATGACATTTTCCTGCTCGCGCAGTGAAAGCTGGTTGCCGTCCTGGAGCGGACCGTCTTTGTTCTTGGACGAGAAGGAGGTATTGTTCTGTCGCATGGCGATTGGGGTGGCGGCCATGATGCTGCTGCTGTCGATGTTGGGCAGCGGCGTGCTCTCGACAAACGAGCCGATGCGCGAGTAGTCCTCGTCGATGCGGTCGAGCGAGAAAGGTACGGCTCCGGTGGCACCGTTCTCCTTGCCGGCTGGCCGGCGGGCGCTGTTGCGCGTGGCTGACTTGAGCAGCGGAGTGAACTCGACGCCGCCAATGCCAGCCGGCAGGTTCAGCCGATTGCTAAAGGGCGCACGGCCGGCAGCATTGTTACCGCCCCGGGGTGTCCGCAGGCTCGGGCGGCCGCCGCCATTGCGCATCTGGTGGAAGATGTCATCCTCTTTAGTGGGCGAGTGGAATGTGGCCTCTTGCGAGACGTCAAAGTCGGGCGGCCGGTTCAGAAAGGTGGCGTCGCCCACGTTGGTGCGCGGCGTGTCGAGACTGCCCATGCCCGGATAGCCCATGGCGGTCGGCGATGGGGCGTATGGCCAGATGGGTTACGGGGTCGTATTCGGGCTGATGCTCTATGGTGTCTGGTTGATGGTTGTTCGCTGTGCGTGATGCATTGAGGCGTGTGCGGCACGCTGTTCGTCTGGTCGGCTCTCTTGCCGTGCTCTCATGCTAGTATCGATGCAGGAATAAGGAAAAAAAACAGAGCAGCACAATCATGGCCGGGTGCTAGCATGAGTCTTGTTCGTCGAAAAAGTATTGACGGGCGATCCACATTCTGCGGCGCGTCCAAGGACATGTTTACATGAATCCAGAAAGGGACTAGCGCATTTGCATAGTCACGACCCCTCCTAGCTCTTCCAGTCACATGATTGCGCGTGTGTTGCGGGTTTCAATGTAGCAGGCAGACGCGGTTGCTCTTTCCTCAGGCTGCAGCTTATAACGGCCACATTTTGTTTTTTCAGGTCGACGAGTGAGCAAAGACAAACAGTGAGCATCACGACCACAATGTGAGTACTTATCTCTCTTCAATTGGGACAGCTGTTGACGGCACAGGGCAACGGTGATGACAACGCCACGCACGGCTGTGTCTGGCACGGCCAACAGCAACAAGGAGAATGTGCCTCGCGGACGTGTAGGCAAGCCGGCCGATGCACTGCACAAGCCGTTCCGCTGTCCGGGATCAGCGACGATGCGGGCGGCGGCCGAGCGGCCGACACGCAAGCGCAAGCGGGTGGACTACAAGGGAGCAGACGGCAGCGAGGACGCGGACAAGCCGTACACGAACGCGGACCGGCTGGCGCTGACGACGCGCGAAGCCAACAAGTTCCCAGTGTTCCGGGTTTTGGACAAGGAGCAGGCGTTCCGCAAGTCGTTTGTGGTGCCGCTGGCCAACAAGAACAGTGCGGCGTACAACCCGAGCCGGCCGCCGCCGGCGCTGGGGATGCGGCAGGGCCGGGCGTTTGTGGCCAAGCCGCTGCACGACCCTAGCGGCGAGTTTGCGATTGTGCTGTACGATCCGACGATCGATGACCGGCCGAAAGAGGGGGCGGAAGCCGGGACAGCAGAGGCAGAAGCCACGCAGGTGGTGGCAGCACCGGAGACCCCCTTGGTGCACAAGAGCCTGGCAGAGATCCTGGGGATCCAGAAAAAGGTGGAGGGCGAGCGGCCACGGGTGCCGGTCGTGATTGATCCGCGGCTGGCCAAGGTGCTACGGCCGCACCAGATCGAGGGGGTGCGGTTCATGTACCGGTGCGTGACGGGGATGATCGACGCCAAGGCCAACGGCTGCATCATGGCGGACGAGATGGGCCTGGGCAAGACGCTGCAGTGCATCACGCTGCTGTGGACGCTGCTAAAGCAGTCGCCGGAAGCAGGCCGGCCGAGCATCCAGAAGGCGATCGTGGCGTGTCCGTCGAGCCTGGTGCGCAACTGGGCCAATGAGCTGGTCAAGTGGCTGGGCGCAGACGCGATCACGCCGTTTGCCATTGACGGCAAGGCGTCCAAGGAGGATCTGACACGACAGCTGCGGCAGTGGGCAATTGCGAGCGGGCGGGCAGTGACGCGGCCGGTGATTATTGTCTCGTACGAGACGCTGCGGCTTAACGTGGAGGAGCTCAAGCACACCAAGATCGGGCTGATGCTCTGCGATGAGGGCCACCGGCTCAAGAACGGCGACAGTCAGACGTTCAGCGCGCTCAACAACCTACAGGTGTCGCGACGGGTCATCCTCTCGGGCACGCCGATCCAGAACGACCTGTCCGAGTACTTTGCGTTGATCAGCTTTGCGAACCCGGACCTGCTCGGCAGCCGGCTCGAGTTCCGGCGTCGGTTCGAGCTGCCGATCTTGCGCGGCCGCGATGCCGATGCCGGACCAGACGAGCGCAAAAAGGGCGACGCCTGTCTGGCCGAGCTGCTGGCGGTGGTCAACAAGTTCATCATCCGGCGGACCAACGACATCCTGTCCAAGTACCTGCCGGTCAAGTACGAGCACGTGGTATTTTGCAACCTGGCGCCGTTCCAGCTGGACCTGTACAACTACTTCATCACGTCGCCAGACATCCAGGCGCTGCTGCGCGGCAAGGGCAGCCAGCCGCTCAAGGCGATCAACATCCTGAAGAAGCTGTGCAACCACCCGGATCTGCTGAACCTGGCGGATGACCTGCCGGGGTCGGAGCGGTGCTGTCCGGACGACTACGTGGCCAAGGAGGCGCGCGGGCGCGACCGCGAGGTGAAGCCGTGGTACAGCGGCAAGATGATGGTGCTGGAGCGGATGTTGGCGCGAATCCGTGCCGAGACCAACGACAAGATCGTGCTCATCTCCAACTACACGTCGACGTTGGACCTGTTTGAGCGTCTGTGCCGCAACCGGGCGTACGGCTGTCTGCGGCTGGACGGCACGATGAACGTGAGCAAGCGGCAGAAGCTGGTGGACCGGTTCAACGACCCCGACGGCAGCGAGTTCATTTTTTTGTTGTCGTCCAAGGCCGGTGGCTGCGGGCTCAACCTGATCGGGGCGAACCGGCTGGTGCTCTTCGACCCGGACTGGAACCCGGCGGCGGACCAGCAAGCGCTCGCGCGTGTGTGGCGTGACGGCCAGAAGAAGGACTGCTTCGTGTACCGGTTCATCGCGACCGGCACGATCGAGGAGAAGATTTTTCAGCGGCAGAGCCACAAGCAGTCGCTGTCGACGTGTGTGGTGGACGCGGCGGCCGGCGACGACGTCGAGCGCCACTTTAGCCTCGACAGCCTCAAGGAGCTCTTCCAGTTCCGCGGCGCCGGGACCACGCGCAGCGACACACACGACACGTTCAAGTGCAAGCGCTGTCGGCCGGACGGACGGCAGATCCTCAAGGCGCCGGCGATGCTGTACGGCGACACGAGCACGTGGAACCACATGACCGGCGACGGCCTCAAGGCAATCCAGGACCTGCTGTTGCGGCAGGAGGCGGACGAGGCTGAGGTGTCGGCTGTATTCCAGTATATATCACATTAAGGGATGGAGATGGGTTGACGAGATGGGAATCGGGAGGAGTTGCTTATGTAATGATGAACGATGCAGGTGCACTGATTAGCGTGGGAATAAGAGCAGTTTACTACTAGCTGGAGGCTTGTCGTCAACTCGACGGATGGACAAGCTTGCTTAGGAGAGCCAGTAGAGCGATGTGACGCTAATTAACTCCTAATGGGTGTCTACAACCCGACCATTCCACAAAAGCCGAGTCGACCATTGTGGGTCTATTTTCACTTAATAATCATCTTGTGGTTAGGTACTTTTAAGCTATGCCGACGTGTTTAGGCCTTATAAAATAGGTTGGTCAAGGCACTAAACGCTATAGGTTGTATGTGTATTTCCACCTTGCACTATACCTACGACAACCTTACGCATTTGCAGCACTTATGCCACCCTTTAACATAGTATAAGACGTGGAAGACAAGCCTAAGGCAGTGATTTTCTTAGTAGGGATTACTAACTAAAATATCCTATACGACGTAAATAGACCTACAATGGTCGACTCGGCTTTTGTGGAATGGTCGGGTTGTCTGTACTCCGTAAACACTATGTCTTATGAGAAGCATGTTTCTGCTTATGTAATGAATTTGGTCGCTTTTACAGAGTATGTTTCTATAATACTCGGTATAAAGACTCTAAATAAACGCTGTCCGTTCAGTGTATGCTTACGTAATGTAAAAGAGATGCATTCTTTCGTCTCTAGCAGCAAGTTAAGCACCCATTAGCACTTACCAGACTCTCCAGACTAACAGACTCACCAGCACCACCAGCACCACCAGCACCACCACACTTGGCCTCACAGCAATCAACACTAAAAGGTCCAAGCTGACGTTGATATTCTGCTACATCTAACTATAGCTCATCCCGGACCCGTGGTTCTGTCCCAACTTCTGCTGCCGTCTCTCCTGCAGTCTCTCCACGTAGATCTCCACTCAGCTCACTCGTCTCGTCTGCTGCTCTCATCGGCATGCCCTGTCGTCGGTCTCCGCCGCCCTGTCCGCCCCGTTCCCGGTGCTCCTTCGCCAGCGCAGCGATCTCGTCGTCGTAGACAGTCCACTCGGGCACCTGGCGACGGGCGCGGTCGAGCTTCGGCTCCTTCGTCTCCGGGTTGTTGCACAGATCGATCGTGCGGGCGGTCGCGAGCGCCTCGTCGGCGCACCAGGTCTCGCACCAGAGCCAGTCCTGCGGCAGACTGAAGATGGGGATCTGGAACTGCATGTGGTTCGGCAGGTCCTGGTCCAGGTTCGCCAGGCTGTTCGGGTCGGCCGAGAGGGTGTGGTAGGTCTGGCGCAGCCGATCGCCGGCCGCGATCGCCCGGAACCGCTGCAGATCGACCACGTACAGCGCCGAGATGTGGTATGGCGCCGGCGGCCCCTGGCTGTTCCGGCTGAGGTACGAATGCCAGTAGCCCTGCTTCCAGAACCGGAAGCCCTCCATCTCGACGCGCGAGTCGCACATCGGCGTGAAGCCGTACGGGGCACCACCCAGGTCCAGCGTCACGAGATCGTACAGGTCCGTCCGCACGATCTGGTCGGCATCGACAAAGATGACCTTTTGCAGCGACAGCGGGAAGAGCACGTCCAGAAACAAAATCTTGTAGCCCCAGATCTCCCGCTGCTTCTCGCGCTGCGCCCGCAACCAGTGCGGCCACTTGTACGTCACCATCTCGTACTCGAAGCCGTAGGCAGCCGCCAGTATCGGGATAAACTCCCGAAACGACGGCGACAGGAACTGCTCGATGAACCAGAACTTGACCGAGTGCTGCGTGTGCCGCATCACGCTGACCATCATGATGTTGAGCATCCGCTCGTACAGATGACCGCTGGCGACCGAGAAGATGTTGATGTCGGCCTGTGTGGCCTTCTTCTCCTTCATCTTGTTCTTGTCTTTCTTCCCCAAAATCCCCTCGGCAAATCGGATCCCCTTGGCCATGTACTCGGCCACGCTGCTGCCTCCCTCCTCCAACACGTCTTCGGCCTCCATGCCGGGTCGCCGTGTCAGCCGCGGATACAGCGTCGTTCCCTGGAAGTCCATCAGCGCCACGTCGTCGCCCTCGTCGCCCGGCACGGCCGTCATGCCTTGGGCGCCCACGCTCTGCAGCGCAAACACGGACGCGCTGCGGCCTGGCTTCAGCTGGATTCGGTAGTGGCCTGGGTTCGCCTTGAACTGCAGGTAGCCCACGTTGGCCATGATGATGGTGTCGCCCAGCACGCCGCTCTCGGTCGTGAGCACCAGCTGAGCTCCACGCGGCGGTGGCAGCGGCCTCTGTCCTTTCTGTGTCTGCACTTCCTGCGCATGGCCCTCGATCAGGATGTGCTCCAGCTCGTAGGTCGCCTCCACGTCGCCGCGCACCGCACTCAGCCGGATGTTGTCCGGGTCGTGCACCGACGTCTTGGGCGCCACCAGCCAGGCTGCCGGCACGTCCATGCCCAGATTGAGCAGCGCCTCGGATGGCAGTCCGTCGAAGCGGGCTCGTGGTATCGCCAGCCGGCCGCTGACCTCGTCAAACGTCGGCGTCGCTGCCAGCACCGCTCGGTAGAATCGTCGGACCGGCAGCTCGTCCAGCCGGTTAGCCGGGTTGAGGAACACGCGCAGAAACACGCCGTCCAGCTGTGCCAACACGGAAAGCAGCGGCGTCCATCGCTGGCCCAACTCGCTGGCTGGGTTCACCACCGCCGTCAGCTGGATCGTCGCCGTCGTCTCGTCGCCTATCGCAAAGCTCGTGTGGTCTGTCTGCCACTTTCGGAATGTCGTCGTCCGCAGCGCTGGCCCGCCCTCGAATATGCCTTCCGGCTCGTCCGCCATCGTCGACAGTGCCACCATCGACGTCAGCTTCGCTGCTGCCAACGCCGATGTCAACACCCGTTCGCCTAGTTCCAAGTCGGCCAGTGCTGCGTACACCGGCTCGATTCGCTTTTGCTGCTCAAACGCCAGCAGCGCCGCAAACGTGTCCGGCCCAAAGTCGTCTGCCTGCTTGATCGGCTGGATGAGCCGTCCGTTCAGCAGCACCGCGTTGGCGCCGGCTTCAATCGTCGTCGCTGTCCGGAACCGTTCCACTGCCGCCACATAGCTTGCTGCTGCCGCTTCGCTTGTCGTGATCAGTGTCTTGAGTGCTTCCCATGACTCTGCTCCGGCCAGCTGCTCCAGCTGCTTCCACAGAGCCGCGTTGACTGCCTTTGGCCCCGTCGTCGATTTTCTCGGTCCTGACGGGTTGTGCACAATGTCCAGCCGCACGCCCGCGTTGTTGAGCCCGAACTGCAGCGCCGAAAAGAGCAGCTTGACGCCCTCGTCGCTCTCGAGGTCCGCCACCACCGTCACAGCCGCCCATGTCTCCGGCCCTGCCTCAGCCCCGGCCTCTAGCACTGGAATGTCGCCAAAGAGGTCTGCGTGCTCCGCGTGCAGTCGTCCGACGTCTACCACCGATAGCTTGTTGTTGACGCTGCTCTCGTCCGGGTAGATGTACGGATTCCGCGTCGTCACCGCCCCTTGCAAAAAGTGTCCGGCCACCCAGTCGTCCTCGCCGATCTGGCCGTAGTACACCGCCTCCTGCAAAGACCGCAGATGCTGTCCGAGTCGTGCGCTCATCGCCTGTATCCAGTTGCCATCGCGCGGCATCGCCACACCGTCCACAAAGATCGCTGGCGCTGCTGTCGAGGATCCGGCCCCCAGTCGCTCTGTCCAGTGCTGCGCCAGCCGTATCGCCTGCTCGTACCGCTCCGATCTCAGCACCTCGTCTAGCGTCAGCAGCGGCGTGTCCTCCGTCTTGAATCCTGCTTCCACGTGGCCCTCTAACACTGCCGCAAACGCCCGCGCATCCGGTCCGCTCGCTGCTGTGTGGTCTCGCACCGTCTGCTCCAGGTACGCCGTCAGCCCGCTGATACCACAGGCCTCAAACAGGTAGTATGCCGCCTTGGCTTGCCGTGTCGACGCTTTGCTGTATGTCAGCGGCACGAATCCGAACCGGATCGGCAGCATCCGCCGCACAAACCCCTGCAGCTGCTCCGTCACCAGCTGCACGTCCGCCTCGTTTGCCAGGTCGACTGTGTACACCTGGTGGAACATGTTGCGCCGCACTGCCGGGATCTGTCCGCGCTGGCCGCCTTGCAGTAACGCCCTGATGTTGCTCGGGAAGTCGGCGTATCGTGCGTCCGTCTCGAGGTTGTTCAGCCACACGATCGCCCGGCCCTCCTCCAGCTCGTCCCGCCAGTCGAATCGCAGCGGCGTGTCCGTCGCCTTGGATGTCGCCACTGCATCGTGGCCCAGCACCGAGACCGCCTCCTCGCCGCTGAGTCCCAGTGTCCGCATACCGTTCACCAGCTCCCGCTCGCGTCGGATCATGTCTACCAGCGCAAACGCCTGCATCTGCCGCTCCGTGAGCTGCACCCCGTTCATCCAGAGCACGTTCATACCCGATGGCACCAGCAGCGCCCGGTTTGCCCGATGCTCCGTCGCAAACGCCTCCGACACCTCGTGGGCCGCCATCGCGCTCGAGTACTTGGGAAAGTCCTGCGTCACCTTCAACAGCGTCGCCAGCGGATCTGCACTCTGCACGATGTAGTCTGCTGCCTTGAGGCCCAGTTCCGCCAACTCCGACTTGGACAGCGCCTTGAGGTCGGCCACCTCGTCCGACCCGTCCAGCACCACCTCGTCTGCACTCGCTGTCGTCGTTGCCGCTGCTGCCTCCGCCTCCCGGTCGTCGATCACAATGTAGTCCGTCCGCTTCAGCGCCAGCTCCACGCCGTAGCCGCTGACGGGCAGCCGTTCCAGCGAGTCTTCCCGGCCTGCTGAGCTCGCACTTCGCACGTGACGCAGACGGTACGCAAGCTCGCCCTTTCGCGCCTTCGCTGCTAGAAAGGTGTGGAACGGCCCAAAATCGGGAGACGTGATGTCGGCGTAGAGGATGGCATCCACTCCGTCGCCCAGTTTCGTGTCAAACGGCAGCGCCTTCCGCTGCGCCTCATGATTCCGAACCGTTGCCGTGGCCTTGTCCAGCGAAGGCGAGCAGTACTGCCCGCCCTGCCACAAAATCCACTGATCGCAGCTTTCCGGACTGTCGGCCACCTGTGCTTCGACAGCCGTGCGGTAATACTGAAAGTGGGCTTCGATCCGAGGAGCTGCCGACCGCAACGACAAAGCTAGCTTGAACGTCGATAGAGCCTCCGCACTGGACACACGATTGTCCTCCTGCAGCAGGCTCAGAAATGACTCATACAGGTCTCGATCCGTCGCAGCCTGGCTGAAGTGACCGCTGGCCACCCGATCGAGGATGGGGAAATAGCTCGACGCATTCTCTTGGGCAGCCGTCTCCCTGGTGCTGGTCAGCCAATGCACATTGTACAGCCGACATCAGAACGGGGCAGACTTACAGAAGCTCTGTTAGATAGGGCGGCGAGGGGAACGAGGCGATCATGCCCACGTTGACCGAGGATGCTGCAGTTGACCCAGACGGGAGCAAGGCCATCGCTGCTAGCAGTGATGTCCCCACCCCCCAGAAGAGCTTGTGATGCGCCATCCTGGACGCAGATGTGGCGAAGCCACAGGAAAAGCACGGGGATTCGTATGTCGTGGGCAGTTCTTCCAACTCGTACTTGATCGTTGAATGTGAGACAAGGCTGAGTTTGCTTTTAGCACCAGGCCTTTGCAAGAGCCTTTTCAAGAAGCACGAGAGAAGCAGATATGTATCTCTCAGCCTGACAGAAATGTCACTGCATAGCTGTGATGTTGGTGCTAGTGGCTCGCCACTGAACGGATAGGTGGCCGTTTCTCGAAAAGCTCGGGCTGATGAGAATAGCTGTACGAAAATAGCCTAGCGCAATTGGTCAAGTGCACGTGACCCGCCTTATTACTACTGGTTTCCAGGCCGCGACTCCAGCCATAAGAGGGCCGTCCTTGCTCTCGCTATTTTGCACTCCCAACAGCCTTGTCCGACTTGCACGCGTACAGGAAGATGGCGACCAACATGGACCGCAGCCTCGACGAGATTCTGGCCGACCGCAAGGTGTGTGTTTTTGGGTCTCTGTTCTGCGACGATGTCGGACGCGCGAGAGCAGCTGTGGTCGAGAGCGCGACGTGAGCTGACCGAGCCGTAGCCAAGCGGTGGCCGAGGCCGAGGCAACAACAGGAACAACGGCAGCAACGGCAATGGTGGCAGCAACCGCGGCCGCAACGACAGCGGCAATGCTGGCTCGCGGCGACGCGACCGGCGAGAGGAATATCCTCGGGATGGGGTGCGAAAGGTGAGGAAAGAGGAGGAGAGGAGAGGAGAGAGGAGAGAGGAGAGAGGAGACGAGCTACACAAACCACCCGAACGAGAGTTCATGCTGACGCAAACAGTCGTACCGTGACGACCCGCGGAAAATCGACGAGTGAGACCTCCTTTCGAGCGTGAGACGCGATCCGATGCTGATGCTAGACACGCGTGCCAGCGAATGGGTACACGATCGCTATGATGACGACGGTGAGCATCTGTCTCTGGCTGGTGTGCACACAGCACACAGCACACAGCGGCTGACCGCTCACAGATTCCGTCCGGCACGCAAAGCCGTCCTGGGCCGGTCGTGCGTCTCCTGAACGCGGCAGGTTCGTCTTCTCTCCCTCTGCCAAGCTGTCCTTTGTCTGACACCCTCCAGTCAGCGCGGCACCAAGATCCGGGTAGAGAACATCCACTACGAGCTCACCAAGGAGGACATTGAGGGTCTCTTCCGGCGCATCGGGCCCGTTCTCAGCACCGAGCTGGTCTACGATCGTGCCGGCCGATCCGACGGGGTGGCCTATGTGACGTACGAGATCTACGACGACGCCAAAGAGGCCATTCGCGAGTTTGATGGTGCTAATGCTAAGGGTATTTTTTCTCACCGGATCACTCTCTTCTCTGCTCACCGTCCTCTCTTCTCGCGCTAACCCCCAGGCCAACCCATCCGACTGTCCATTGTGCCGTCTGGCCGTCGCGCCCTCGATAACCCTGCCAAGGTCGGCACCGGTCGGCCGCTGGCCGAGCGCGTCTCACGTCCCGGCCGGGGTCGCAACGACGACAACGACGAGGACGACAAGACCAGCATGGCCGCGGCCGCTCGCCGCGGCATCGACCGGTACGTGCCGCGTGGTGGTGGTGGCGGAGACGACGATCGGTCGCGCAGCCCACGGCCCCGAAGACGCGAAGGCGGCCGGCGTCCGGGCGAGAGAAGAGGTGAGGGCAGGGGTGGTGGAGGAGGCGAAGGCCGGGGCGAGGGCAAGGGCGAAGGCAGAGGCGAGGGCAGGACGGCGCGGCAGAACCGCCCAAAGAAGACGCAGGAGGAGCTCGACGCTGAGATGGAAGACTACTTTGGCGGCGAGGCTGGTGGAGGAGGCGGAGAAACGGCTGCTGCTGCGGGCATCGCGGTTACGGCACCTCTTCAGACGGACGCCGTCGAAGGCGGCGACGACATGGACATGATCGGTTAGGAGTGGTTCGGCGTGCAAGCAGTCGGTGGCGCATGGTCGGCATTAGTGCGATGTAAATCGGGGGCGAGAATATGTGGAAAGGTCGTGCTGATACGGCAGCTATAACAAGAGCAAAAGCAATGGCAGACTGAACATAGAATGGATTACTAAGCATTTGAAGAGCGGTTTGTGTCTGTCGTTGTGTTGGTAAACGGGAGAAACAAGACGAGAACAATACACGTCACGTCTTGTCTCGTCTCTCGTTTCTCCTGTCACCCTCCGTTCTCGTCTTCTCACCTCTCACCCTCACCTCTTTTCATTTCACCCTCGACTCTCTCTTCCGTCTCTGTACCCCCTCCACCATCGCGACGGTCACGTCCTCGGCCGTCTGTCCTCGTTGCCGCGCCCCGACCTTCTCCTGGCCCAGCACGGTGTCGTCGGCCACCGTGCGGAACACCTCGGCCGCGCCCTGGAAGAGTGTCGGTGCGAAACCGCCGTCGTCGGCAAACGTCGCGCTGATCTCCTCCATCTCGCCGGCCCAGCGGTATGCTTTGGGCGGCATGCCGGTGAGGGCGGCCTCGGTGCGCTGGCGCGTCCCGGCCGCAGCCAGGGCCCACTGCAGGTCTGGCAGGATGTGTAGCTGCTGGGCAGTGGTGAAGGCCTGGACCGCGATGGCCGCATAGCCCTTGGTCATGGACGCGTAGCACATCTTGAGCCCGCTGGCGGCGCCCATGTCCGGGCCGACGTGGCGGCTGTGCAGCGTGGCAGCCAGCGAGGGAAAGACGTCGTCGAAGCCGTAGGGACCGGACGTCGGCATCCGCGGAACGTACCAGGGTTCTCCGTCGCCACCAGCCCGGGGAGGCCCCCCGAGGATGCAGCCGTCGATCGGACGGACGGCCGCCGGCAACAGCGCGCTGATGCGCCGGGCCGTCGACGGCGACACCGCGTTCATGTCGGCATAGTAGAGCGGCCGGTCGGCCGGCCTATTGACTCCTTTCAGCGCCCTGGCAATGCGCTCGGCCGTCCCGATTGCGTCCCGTGGCGGCACCACCGACAGGATCACGTCGCTCTGCCGCACCAGCTCCTCGTCCGACGACAACAGGTCCACGTGGGCTGCACGCGCCCGGTCAACGGTCATCTGGCTGGCAGCAGATGGTCAGACGGCGTGCTCCATGCGGTGCTGGGCTCTGTCCCCCCTCTCCCACTTACCTTCGCCCTGTGCAGTTCGTCGCCACAGAGAAGCCGCTGGCTATCAGCAACCGGGCAATGCCGACACCCATGTCGCCAACAGAGAGAATGCCAATCTTGGCCAGTGGCTCGGCCGGCGCTGTCATGGTGGAAGGTGGCACGTAACGCACGCAAGCAGCGGTTGGACGAAGCAGAGATGGTCAGATTCAGTTGGCTTTCCGACCGTGTCGCGATAGCCGTCGGCAGACATGATTATATAAGCTCCCTCCGTTTCAACCTCCCGGAGTTAAAAGAACAACCCCTCTAATGGCTACCCTCGGCTCCCAGTCCAGACGAATGCATGGGGTACATCCAGCTTAGTGTTCGGCTTGGGGCCGGCTCCCTCTTTTGACGGGCTGCCGGCCAGGAAGACGCCCTGGTTGGAGACGGCGCCGAAATGGCCCGAAATGAAAGCCACCGCGGCTGGCTGTCCATCCTGTTTCGCGTCCTCGTAGCCGGGATGGGCGCCAAAGGCAATGGAGGGCGTAGAGCCCCGACTGTCGATGACTGCATTGGAGTCGTTGCTTTCGACTGCCGTCAGGGGTGCCACAAGGAACTGGAGGAGGGCTCCAGGCGTGGCCAGGTTGTCGCCGCTCTGTGCCTCTGTCTCTCCTCGGAGCGAGCGCATGAAGCTGGCCATGGCAGCATCGTCGTCATCATCGTCGTTGTTGTTGTCTGTGCTCATGTTGGCCGACACAGACGCCGGATGGGCCATTTGGGGGTCCAGCGACAGCAAACCCTGTTTCTGTCCCCAGCCACCACCACCGCTCACTGTATGTTGTTAGGGGAATGATGACGAAAGGAAAAAAACAGAGATGAACAGAAAACCTACAGATCCTGTGCAACCGACAGCCCGCCGCCAGCAGTGCTGCCAGACTGGGTCCGGCCATGGCTGCTGCATGCTGCTCGGCCTCGACGCTGTGGTCCGCAATCGGCATGAGCGTCTCCTGCAGGCTGGCGTACAGCTCCTGCGCATCTGGCGGCACGACGAGGCCCCAGACGCCCAGCGGCCCGCGGCCCGTCTCGGCGTCAAAGTCGGCTCCCGGCCAGGCCTGGCGTCTCGTCGCTAGCAGCGCCGGAATGGCCGACTCTAGCTCATGCGATGCCGGCGACGGCTTGCCTTTGCCCAGGACGATCTGGCGCACAATGTTGCCGAGCCCGGCCGCGATCGTGCGCGGCTCCGTAGCGGCAAAGAGGGGAATGACGGTCTGGCTGGTCGAGCTGGCGGGGCCGGCCAAAGGCACCACGACCTCGTGCTCGCGTTCCTCGACCAGCATGTGCTGGAGCGTAAACGAGCCGCCGTCGTCAGGGGTGCGGGTCCAGCTCCACCGGCTGGCCAGCAGTGTAGACCGGCGGCCGTTCTGGAAGAGCGTGTTCGCCAGAGGAACCGTCACCCGCAGACAAGAGGAGGGTGTGGCTGTCGTGCTGTCGTCGGCTGTGTGCATAAGCGGGAGTTCGACCGTGATGGCCGCTTCCACGTCGGCCGTTCCGTATATCGAGTTGCGGCCGCCTCGTCTTGACACCGCTGCCCCCTCCTTGTTGGAGCTTCGCCACAGTCGGGGCAACAGCGTGTCGGAGCAGCCGTGCAGCACGGACAGGCCGGTCCGGGAGACGGCCAGACCGTCGACAACGGCGCTTAGAACGCTCACGCCAGGGTTCCCCTGGGTAGACCTGCTCAGGGGCAGACGCTGCAGCAGCGACGACATGAAGGCCTCATCTTCAAGCCATGAGGACAGGTCGGGCGAGGCCAGAACTACAGCCGCATTATCGGTATCGTCCGAAGAAGCATCTCTGCTCTTCAATTGGCCCAAAACAGATTCCTGCCAGCCTGTCAGCCAATCACATCATTCGTGGCCACCCAGATGGCACTGACTTTGGAGGAAGTGGCCGGCACGACGAGCGTGAACGAGCCGGCTCGCACAACCCGCGTCGACGAGAGGAGCCGTTTGAACTGCGGTGCAAATGCAGTTACCGCCCGGCGCTGCAGTGCAAAGAACGTCATAAAATTACGTGTCCAAGGTGCTGGTAGCAGTGCGTCATCTGTCATCGGAGAAGGCGAGAAAATGAGCCGACAGAGCTTGAAGCTATACTCCGTATCACAGCTTAGCTCACAAAAGGTCTAGAGCCCGGGCGGTGAGCCCAGCCACAGTGTACAGCCACAGGCTGAGCCAACCCCTCAGCACTAGTGTGACTCAAACCTCTGTTTGAAAAACTAAGGCGGAAGAAGAGCAAAACCAGCCGTTGCAACGCTTTTTGCTGCCCGATTTCCCACCACAACCGTACGAGGAGGCCAAGACGTCGTCCTTTCGCATCCTACGCGCGCTTCTGGTGCGCCCGTCACGACCGACCCGGATTCTGACCCGCGCACGTGCAACAATGGCGACCAAACCGAGTGAGTTGCCCCGCCGTTGGGATGAAGATGGACGACGACAGCAGATGTGCTGACGACCCGTAGATGACGCCACGAGCGTCCCTGCGGCAGCTGCTGCGGCCCCGCGCGTGAAGACGGAAAAGGAGCTGGAGCGCGAGCGCAAAAAGGCCGAGAAGATGGCCAAGTTTGAGCAGAAGAAGGCGGCCAAGTCGGCGGGACCAGCAGCAGCGAGCGGCAGCGGCAACACCAGCAAGAAGGACAAGCCGGCCAAGGCGGGCAAGGCGGCCGAGGAGCCGCTGCCGCCATACGTCAACGACACGCCCAAGGGCGAGAAGAAGCGGCTGCGCAGCCTCGAGGACCCGCACTACAAGGCATACAACCCGGTGGCGGTCGAGAGCGCCTGGTACGACTACTGGGAGGCGGCCGGGTTCTTCCAGCCGCAGCTGACAGCAGCCGGCGACGAGAAGCCGGCCGGTCGGTTTGTCATTGCACACCCGCCGCCCAACGTGACCGGGTCGCTGCACATGGGCCACGCCCTCGGCGACTCGCTGCAGGACATTATGATCCGCCACAACCGCATGCGCGGCAAGACGACGCTCTGGCTGCCCGGCTGCGACCACGCCGGCATCGCGACCCAGTCCGTCGTCGAGACCATGCTCTACCGCCGCGAGGGCAAGACTCGCCACGACCTCGGCCGCGAGGCCTTTGTCAAGACCGTCTGGGAATGGAAGACCGAGTACCATGCCAACATCAACAACGCGCTCCGCCGCATGGGCGGCAGCTTCGACTGGACCCGCGAGGCCTTTACCATGGACGAGAACCTTAGCGCTGCTGTCCAGGAAACCTTTGTGCGCCTCCACGATGAGGGCACCATCTTCCGCGCCAACCGGCTCGTCAATTGGGACTCCAAGCTCAACACGGCCCTGTCCAACCTCGAGGTCGTCAACAAGGACCTGCCCGGCCGCACCCTTCTCGACGTGCCCGGCTACGACAAGAAGGTCGAGTTCGGCGTGATCGTGCACTTCAAGTAGGTGTGTTCCACCACTGCATGGACCAACAAATGCTGACTAAGCAGATACAAGATTCTCGACTCGAACGAGACCATTGAGGTCGCCACCACCCGTCTCGAGACCATGCTGGGCGACTCGGGCATCGCCGTGCACCCCAAGGACGAGCGGTATGCGCACCTGGTGGGCCGGCAGGCCGTGCACCCCTTCATCGAGGGCCGGCTGCTGCAGATTGTGGCGGACGACTACGTCGACCGGGACTTTGGAACGGGCGCAGTCAAGATCACGCCGGCACACGACCCCAACGATTTCGCCATTGGCGAGCGCCACAAGCTCGCGTTTATCAACATTCTGACCGACGACGGGCGAATCAACGAGAACGGCGGGGCATACGCGGGCAGGAAGCGGTTCGACGTGCGGTATGCCATCGCGGCCGATCTGCAGGCCCTCGGGCTGTATGTCGACAAGAAGGACAACCCGATGGTGGTGCCGCTGTCGGAGCGGAGCAAGGACATTGTCGAGCCGCGACTGAAGCCGCAGTGGTGGATGCGCATGGGCGACATGGCCCAGGCCGCCGTCGACGCGCTGGACGCGAAGCAGTTCCGCATCCGTCCCGACTCGGCCGACGCCAGCTTTCGCCGCTGGATGAGCTCCATCACCGACTGGTGCATCTCGCGTCAGCTCTGGTGGGGTCACCAGTGTCCCGTGTACCTCGTGCACTTTGCCGGCGCCGAGCCGAGCGACGGTGCCGACAGCCGGCTCTGGTTCGCCGCCAAGAGCGAGGCCGAGGCCCGGGCCAAGGCTGAGAAGGCCTTTCCTGGTCGCGACTTTACGCTCGAGCGCGACGAAGACGTGCTCGACACCTGGTTCTCGTCCGGCCTCTGGCCCTTTTCCACCCTCGGCTGGCCGCAGCAGACGGCCGACTTCGAGAAGCTCTTCCCCACGTCCCTGCTCGAGACCGGCTGGGATATCCTCTTCTTCTGGATCGCTCGCATGGTCATGCTGAGCCTCAAGCTGACCGGCAAGGTGCCCTTTTACGAGGTTTACTGCCACCCGCTCGTCCGCGACTCCGACGGCCGCAAGATGTCCAAGAGTCTCGGCAACGTCATCAACCCGCTCGACGTCATCTCCGGCATCTCGCTCGAGGGCCTGCAGGCGACCCTGCTCAAGGGCAATCTCGACCCGCTCGAGGTCACCAAGGCGACCAAGTACCAGAAGACGGCCTTTCCGAATGGGGTGAGTCTTTTCTTCTTTCCATCTTTCTCCTCCACCTAACACACTAGATTCCCGAATGCGGCGCCGACGGCCTCCGTCTCTGCCTCGCCAACTACGTCACCGGTGGCGGCGACATCAACTTTGACATCAAGGTCATGCACGCGTACCGCCGCTTCTGCAACAAGATCTGGAACGCGTCCAAGTTTGTGCTCGGCAACCTGGCCCAGCACGACGGCTTTGTGCCGCGAGCCAGCCGGACTCTCGGTGGCGCCGAGAGCCTGCCTGAACTCTGGATCCTGGCCAAGATGAACGCTGCCGCCCGCGAGATCAACGCCGCCCTGGACGAGCGCGAGTTCAAGAACAGCTCCAATGCGCTGTACAACTTTTGGTACGCCGAGCTGTGCGACGTCTTCATCGAGGTGAGTCCCCTTCTTGATCTCTGCCCTCCTGCTCTCCGACCGTGCTGACCCCCAGAACTCCAAAACGATCATCGCCGAAGGCTCGCCCGCCCAGCGCGAATCCGCCCTGCAGACACTCTACAGCGCTCTCGAAACGGCGCTGCTACTGAGCCACCCGTTCCTGCCGTTCATCACCGAGGAGCTCTGGCAGCGGCTGCCGCGCCGCCCGCAGGACGAGACCCCGTCCATCGTCGTGGCCGCGTACCCCGAGTACGACGCCCGCTTCGACAACGCCGCTGCCGAGGCCGCCTACCAGCTCGTCCTCGACGTCTCGCGCGGCATCCGCTCGCTGACGGTCGAGTACCCGTTGAAAGAGGCACAAGGTGAGTGCACGTGACTTAGGACACGTGACTCAACACGAGATAGTACCCGCTGACGATTCCCCTCAGTCTTCATCCAGACAACCAGCGAGGACGCCCACAAGACGGCCACGGCCGAGGTCGCCGCCGTGCGCTCGCTCCTCGGAAAGGCCGCCGCCACGACTACGATCACGGTGCTGGCACCAGCGGCCGCACAACCGGCCGGCTGCGTCGCCCAGCAGGTGTCGGGCGCCGCCACGGTGTTTTTGCACGTCAAGGGCCACGTCGACCTCGACGCCGAGATCGGCAAGGCACAGGCAAAGCTGGCCAAGGCCGCCGCTGCCGCCGCCAAGACGCGCAAGCTCGTCAGCGACGCGGCGTACCGCGAAAAGGTCGCCGCCGCCACCCAGGAGACCGACCAGCAGCGGCTCGCCGAACAGGAGGCTGAGGCCCGTCTGCTCGAACTCACCGTGGCCCAGTTCGAGGCGCTCAAGCTGGAGTAAGGCCCTCGTCGCGTGCACAAGCTGGGAGAACGTGGCAGTCTAGGATACCGTTTGGACAACCCAAGATGTCGTGATATCGTATTGCCTAACGCAGGAAGCTTCCCTCTAGCCAAAGAATAGTAGTACCAAAAAAAAAAAACATGACACACACTTTTCTATGCCAAGGAAAGAAGAATCCTAACCCAATCCGTATCGCTCGCCTGCTTTGTGTTCTAACCATCCTAGGCGCTCCAAGCCATCTGTCTACACATCCGTTTAGACAGGAAATAAAACCAAAACAAGGGTATCTTGCCTCAAAAAGACAAAAGAGGGCGACTGGCTGGAAAAGACACCAAACCGAAGCGTTCGCTGGCTGGAAATGAAAAGGCTGCAAGACATCATGAACCGATCACATAAGGGCGCATTTTGCGTTTTTCCCTCTGCTCCCCTGTTGCTGCTGTTGCTGCTGTTGCTGCTGTTGCTGCTGTTGCTGCTGTTGCTGCTGTTGCTGCTGTTGCTGTTGATGCTGCTGCATCTGCATCTGCGCCTGCATCTGCTGCATCACATGCGCTGACGACGAGTTCGGCCCAGTCGGAACCACCGGCCCCGTCCCATCTGCCATTGACAGGGCCGTGACATCGGTCCAGGCAGCGCTGCTCGCAAGGTCAAAGTCGCGCTCCTTCCGCTTGCTCCTCCTCTTCTTTCTTGTCCGTTCGCTCTGCGGTGGCAGCAGCAAGGTGGCAACCGACAAGCCCGTTCTAGACGGCCTGACTGCCGTGCCAGCCACCTCCTTGCCTTTCTTTGCCTTCTTGCTGTTTTTTCGCTGCCATCCACGCTTCTTGGCATCTGCAATGTTCTTGGCCGCGCTGCGCTCTGCACGGCTCACTCTCCTGCCCAGACTCGATTGGCGCGTCGCCGTTGTCACCGAAGCCGGGTTGCCAACGCCGGTCAACGGCATAAACAGCGGCAGCGGCTGCTGGCGCGGCTGTTGCACTTGGCCCGAGTTCCCGCCCCCAGACATGATTTCTAGCCGTTCACGCAGCATAGCTGAGCGCTCCTGGGCTTGCGGATGGCGCGCCACCGGAGCCAAGATCGGAGTCTCTTGCTGTCCGTCCGCTTTGCTCGACCTCGGCGCGTCAAAGGCGCCCGACACGCCCTGTGGCGTGCTGATGATGAGCGGCTGGTCTTCGACCGCCGGTGCTGCCAGGGGCTGCGGATGGTTCGGAGAAGTCGGGTACGGGCGTTGATCTAGCTCATTCCAAGTCCTGTTGTCACCGGCCGCGGCACCTGCCCATGCTCCCTGCGACTGTCGGGCTCGGTCAACAGGCAAGCGGGACATCTGAAATCCGGCGCCTGACGTCCGTCGTGGTTGCTGCTCGTTTTCCGACACTCGGACAAAGCCTCCATTGACAGCCGCCCCTGGCTGCCCTCTCCTGCCATCGCCACGGGCGGACACAGACGGCTGACGCGACGGCCAGGTGTGTACGGTTTCCAGTGGCCTGGGAACGTACGCAGTCTGGTCGTACGCTTGATGCTGAGAGGTGACGTTCCATGACGCAGCCGATACCAGTGATGGCACTGCCGGGGGCTCGTTTGGCATCCTGGCGGCGGTGCCATTCGCTGTATCGCGCTGTATGGTGCTCGGGCTCTGCCCAGCAGGCTGTGGTGTCGCGCGCGGTGTCGCATCATACAGGTCATCTGCGCTATATGTCGAGAGCAGCGAGACTGGTCGGCTGGTTGATGGGCTCGTTGTCGGTCTAGCAGACACAGCTGACCCAGGAGGGAATACCGGGGCAACAGAGACATTCTGGCCAGGTGCCGAGATGGGGGCGACGTTGTGGCGCAAAAAGGCCGGCAGGTCCCTGGGGTCTTCCTCCTGGTAAGGTGGCGGAGGGGGAACCCAGTTGTCGGCGTCGCTCTCGTGTGGCAGCTCGCGCCGACCGTTGGCATGGCGGTAGACGGCCCGGGTGCCGCTGCTCGTCGTGGCCGGCTGGAGGTTGAGCCGACGGTTGTTGGCCGCGGCTGTGGCGGCACGTCGTAATGTCGTGCCAGAGCGCGGGTTGGCATGTGAGTACGGGGCGTCGAAGGCCTCCTGCTCGAGCATCGATTCCGTCTCGGCAGCCTCTTCGGCCACTGTCTGTGGGATATCTGTCCTCGCTGTTGGCCCTGATGCTGCACCTGCTGCTTCTGCATCCTTCTCCGATCGGGCAGACGTCTGGTTTTGCCGACGATCGGGAAGAACACTGATGCGGCGCGGCCTAAGAGGGTCATCGTCGTCGTCATTGTCGTCGTTGCTGTCGCCGCCGATGCTACTACTTGCCGCCAGAGTGGTCGAAGACCGTGCGACGGCGGCCGTGGCAGAGCGCATGAGGGTGCCACGACCTCCCCTCCTCTGGGCCACAGTGCGGCGACGGACAATGGCAACCTCGGTGTCCAAGTCGCGACGCTCTTCCTCCAGCTCTTCGGGCTCCTTGTTGCCCACCTCGATAGTGATCTCGGTCTCTCTGCCATCGGCCAGGCTGTAGTCGAAGTCGACGAGCAGCAGCCGGCCACCGTCAATAAAGTCCATGTCGTCGTCTTCCGACGAGATGGGCTTGGGTGGAGAGACGCCGCGGGCGCAGACGACGAGACGCTCGCGCAGGGACGAGTCGCCAAAGCCTTCGACCCACTTGACCATGCTCATGCCCGGCAGCTCGCCGATGCGGTAGCCGGCAATAAACGTGTTCCGCAGCTTGTCACAGAGCAGCTGCCATTGTGGCACGCGAACGGAGGCGCTGCTATTGCCAGGCTCTTGCAGACGAGTGGATGCGGCACGCATCGACGGGCTGCCGCTGGAGCGGGAGCTGCTGTGGGTGACGGCACCAGAGGCGCCGCCAGCAGATGATGAATCGGCGTTTTCCAAGGCAGTCTGGTCCGGGACGGCATCGAGATCCTCGGGCACGCCGTAAAGCCAGATGTCTTTGTCCTCGAAGCCGGCACAGACGAGATCGCTGTGGTACGAGGCTGCAGGAAGGGTGCAGGGAAGCAGGCGGGCCTGGGAGGCAGTGGTGGGAATGGGGCCAGTAAAATAGGTCGTCCCGTTGCGGAGGTCGTCGATGCGGACAGCGCGGAAGGTCTCGAAGCTGCGGTCGTAGGCGAAAGTCCAGAAGGCCTCCTCGCGGGCAGAGTCTTGCAGGAGGACGGCATGGCCACAGTCTCGGCTGGTGTTGGGAAAGAGGATGGAGGTGGTCCAGAGGGCACCCATGTCGTCGCCGGCAGCGTGGCTGCCAGGATCGTAGTAGGGCGCGGTGAGGATGACGGTGTTGGGCTGGGCGGCGTGGATGGTAGTGCCGAGGATCTGGGTGCCGTCATAGGAAAAGGCGAGAGTGTCGACAGGATCGCACTTGACGGAGCGACGGTCGGTGTCCATGGCACCGGGGCCGAGGGAGGAGACCTCGATACCGCCGTCAAAGGCAGCGGCAAGGACGGAGCCACAGGGGCTGAGAGCGATGGCGCGAGGGCTGTGATCCAGAAGGATGGACTGAGTGCGGCGGGGAGGCGACTGGCGCAGATCGTAGAGGTCGACCTGCATGGCTGTGAGGAGGACGGCGAGAGTGGAGGCGTCGTCGGGGATGCAGATAGCGGCAGGACGACGCAAGACCTTGAGCTCACGGCGCACCTCGACAGCAGGACGGCGCAGGTCGAGGAGGTAGATGCGGGAAGAGTTGTAGGCGAGCAGGTGGTGGCCCTTGGGAGAGGCCTGGAAGAGCATGCCGTCGCCACCGGGACTGGAGGAGCTGCTGATGGAGTTGGAGACGAGGCGAATCAAGGTGCGGTTGGGCCGGAGGTAGGCATCGAAGCGGTTGCGCTTGACCTCGCGGGCAAAGTCGCGACGCAGCTCCTGGAGGAGGCTGTCATCGTCGTCGTTGTCGTCATCAGGCTGTCGTCGCTTAGCTAATCGGGCGAGGAAGTTTTTATGGCTAGCTGCATAGGAGGGAGAGTGTGCCAGATGGTGGGCGTAGAGATGGACCTGTTGGGAGACGAGGCGCCATTTGGAGTTGAGCAGGACGAGGGAGGCAAACGAGTTGGAGTCGACATCGAGGAGGATTCTAGGTGTGTTAGAGCAGGGCACAGCCGTGAATAAGAAACTAAGAAGCAGACGCACTGTTGGATGATCTCGTCCGGGAGCCGACCAAAGGCTGACAGGAGGGAGAGGGAGACGTGGGAGGCTGCAGGTTTTTTGATGCTGCTGTCGTCGGGGATGTCATCCGAGCCATGCGGCGGAATCATGTCTGACTTGGCTGAAGACGAGAGGGTCGAGTTCGAGCGAGTCAGAGGCTGTAGAGACGGCAGCGACGAGGCGGGAGCTGGATTGTCAGCGGGAGTTGGGACGGTGCTGACGCGGACGACGGGATCGTCACTGGCAGAGGCCATTGCGTGTGACGTCTATCAGATGACAGCGGCAGGCAGCATCGTGGGGGAAGGAAGAGAAAGAGGGAAGAGGACAGAAGAGAAAAAGAGGAGAGAGAAGAGGATGAAGGAAAGAAAGAAGCAAAAGAAGGAAGCCAAAGGCAGCCAGAAAAAAAGAGGTGAGGCTGCGAAGAGGAAGGCGCGGACTACAATGTAGTCGTCAGCTGCAAACCAACTCTTGCTCGATCGGGACCAAGGCGCCTTCGTAAAGAGGTGTGGAGCCTGCACGGCAGGCGGGGGAGCGCGAAGCAGCAGGAGCCCATTGGAAGGCTGGCCAGAGATGAGACACGCTTACGGCAGCAAGCCCTTGACCCAAGACGGCCAAGCTGCAGGGGACGGGGATAGCCCGTTGTCACGGTCAGGGGCATGCGGCTGCTATTTTTAGCGCGGGAGCGGCTGTAGCAGGCGCTCTGCTATAGTGCGTATAGTGCCGTACGTACGGAATACACGTTCTTTTCCTCGCTCCGCTCGTTCTCCTTTTGGGGGGTTTCCTCGCTTCGCTCGATCTTCTTTTTTATCTCGCTTCGCTCGTTTGCTCGTTCTCCTTTTTTTTGCTATCCTCGCTTCGCTCGATTGGGGGGGAGGGGGTTTCTTGCTCCGCTTGTTCTCTCCTTTTTCTTTCCTCACTCAACCTTCTTCCTCCCTCCGACTCCGTTTCCAAACCGCAGAGGCAATCGTCGCAGCGGCACCGGCGACACCTCATCGCTGGCCGGCTCGCCAAACCGTCCCAGGCCCGTGTCGCCCACGTGTGCCATCTCTGTCTCGTTGCGTCCGTTGCGTGCCCTTCGCAGTCGGTATCCACGTCCGGCCGTCCGCAGAGCTACATCGCGTGCCGACCGGATCGACGGCAGCACGCCGGGACCTGTCGCCGTGAAGCTGCCACCGGCCACCGCGAGCCGTCGGCCAAACGCCGCTGCCAGCTCACCGTCGGCCGCTGCCATCCGGTCGGCATGTCCGACGTAGTGCTGCGGAATGCAGCCGCGGCAAAGCTTGGCGCGCGTGGCGATGGGAGAAGGGGCGACATCAGAAAGAGACGACGCGCCGGTCTCGTCAGCCAGCGACAGCCGCAGATGCCGCTGCACTACGGCCTCGGCCATGGCCACAGCCTGGGCCTCGCTCGGGTAGTCCTCGGGCCCGTAGTCGTCCCAGTAGTGGCCGCCCAACATGACGGTAAAGGTCGTGCCGGATTCGTCTGGGTTTGGCTGTCCGACCTCTCCCTCTCTCTTGCTGCCATCTTCCAGCCCCCCCTCGTCCTCCGTCAACCGCCGCTGCACCAGCTCCCGGTCCGTGTCAAAGATCACTCCCAGCGCCCCCTCCGGATTCTCCGCCAGCGGCACCGTCGCCGGGATCAGGTACCCAAACCCCCGGTTGGCCCCGTTCAGTCCCGTCTGCGCATAGTGCAGGTTGACCACCATGATCGTCACCGCATGCTCGTGTGCGAGCGCCGGCAGCTTCTGGTCGGTGATCCGGTAGAGCGTCGAGCTTACCAGCGTCGAGATGACCTTGTCATGTGAACCAGCCGAGGCAGACGTCGTGACCGCCACCTTTGGTCCCTGTAGCTGGACCCGTTCCACCGCGCTTCCCAGCCGCAGCGTCACGTTGGGCCGCTCGACCAGCCGCCGTGCCAGCGCGTCCGTCAGCGCCCCAAACCCGCCCGCAAACCCCATGGCTGACCAGCGCGTGCTGGCGGCCGCGAGCCGGAGCAGCCGGGGTGATGTGCCGGCGGCCGACGAGTCACCCCCGCCCAGCAGGTCTACCAGCATCTCCATGTCACGGTCCTGCGCCAGCGCGTACTTGCCGCTCGCAATCGTCGCCAGATGCTCGACCTGGGTTGCCGACATGGCCGGCGACGAGCTCTGTCCGGCCACCCGCCGCACATAAGCCGCCAGCAGCGGCGCCACACCCTCGCGGATCCAGCTGCCACGCAACGGCGAGCTCGCCGCGCTGAGCCGCCACACATCGCCCCCGTAGATGCCGTGCATCACCGCTCCCAGCAGGTTGTCCACCAGCGCCCGTCCGCCCGCACCACCGCCTAGCTGCCGCAGCGCAAACCCGCCGACACTGTCGTCTGGCGGCAGCCCCGAAGGCGCCCCGTATGCTGCGGCCGTGCGACGACGGACCTCGGCCGCTCGGCTGGGCGATGGCACCACGTAGCCCAACATCGCTGACAACAGCCCCGAAAACACCGGCTCCGTCAACGCTCGGTAGCCCAGCGCGGCCATGCGCCAAAGCCGCCCCCCCAACGTGTCTCCCTCTGAACTGCCCCCTCCCATCGACACATTCACCAGATGATCCGGGTAGTAGATATACTGGGCCGGCCGCTCGTCGCACACCCGCAGCGCCCCCGCCAAGTCCAGCCGGTCCACCAGGTCCAGAAATAACAGGTCGTCGTACCGCGCGCTGTTGCGCTGTGGAGCCACCATCCGGGCGCCTGCCTCCAAGATCACTGACCCGGACCCAGACCCGGTCTCCCCCTCCCACGCCTCACTGTCAATCCATCCCCCCAGACGGTCGCTTCCCTCGTACAGCGTGATGCGTGCTGTCGCTGGCAGCAACTCCGCTAGGTAGTGTGCCGTCACCAGACCCGTCAGCCCACCGCCGAGAATGGCCACGTCCTGAGGCGGCTGAACCGATCGTTTGCTTGCTGCTGGCCCAGTCTCTAACCCTGACCCTAACTCACTATACCATCGCCGACTCCCAACCCTCCCGACTACCTTCCCTCCAAACACGTGATGCCATCCAATCGACACCTGTGCTGGCTGTCGACGTCGCCGGATCATTCCCAGACTCCCTCGTGCCAGCACCGACCTGAGATCGGCTGCGCCGTGTGATGCTGCAGCCATGATACCAATTTGCCTGACGACTGTCCGTTGTCGCTGTCTGTTGTCGTTCCGACCTCACAAGTGGCTTTCCACTTTCTACGACACTCGTACGAAGTACTTCGTCTTGATTTATTACTCACCGTGTGGGTCCCAGTGCAAACACAGTGCCATATTGACCACACACGGCCTCCATTCAGCTCGAGTCACCTACTCCGTACAGGGGGTATTTCTCTAACGATCCCAATCCCGGGTCAAAATCCCGCTCGAAACATGTAAACAAATGCCACACTGAAGAAGTAAAGGAAAACAGACAAACACCCCGGCTCTTACAGATATCTTGTCAAATGCCTCGTTTAGATCATCCCTCCCCCGCTGCCTTCGCTGCCCTCGGGGATCACCCGGATGCGGCTCTTCATCTCCTCGCGCCAATGCTGTTGGTCTCGTGCGTTGCCGAAACTGCTGGTGCTCCCGTGGCTCATGTGGCCGCTGACTTTGCGCGTTGCCTGCACCATCCGTTGCTTCTTCGACAGCAGCGGCGACAGCAGAGGCTCCCGAGATTCTTTGGTCTCCTTGGCCTCCTTGGTCTCCTTGCCTTCTTTGCCCTCTTTGCCCTCTTTTTCCTCGGCGCTCCGTCGCCGCAGCTTCTTGCTCAGGTTCTTGCCCACTAGCGACGACCACCGCACGCTGTCCCGTAGTCGCAGCCGGTCGTCGTCGTCGTCGTCGTCGTCAAACGCACTGCGCGGCTGCTCCGCTGCCGTAGACGACTGAATGTACTGCAATCCCGCATGTGAGCCGTCTGCACCCTGTACCAAATTGGCTGGCAGCACGAGCTCCTCCGGTCGGCTCGGTCGTGCCGGTCGGCTGGGCAGTGACAGTGGTAGAGGAGCGACAGGAGGTACCAGTGGTATAAATGACTGCCGCGACTGCATCCACTCTTCTTCCTGCTCTTGCTCCGGCTCCTCCTGTTCTTCGTCCTGCTCCTGCTCCTGCTCCAAGTCCTCCGGCACGCTGCCCACGCTCGTCTCGCTCAGACTCACGCTCACGCCGCCCACGCTGAACGTGCTGAAGCTGCTGTACCGGCTCGATGCTCCCGAGCTGCTGCTCGTACTATGCAGCGTCGCCTCGCCCGTGCTGCTGTTGCTCTTGCTGCGCATGTGATGGTAGTGTAGCTGCTGCTGCTGCTGCATCTGCTGCTGCTGTGTCATCGATGCCAGTGCTCGTGGCGGTCCTGAGAGCGACGCAATCGACATGTGCCGATGCGCCGTCTTGGTCGACATCTTGGCCGCTGCCTCCTGGCTGGGCGGAAAGAGCACAAATTTGGGTCCGCTGCTGCCGCTGAGGCTGTACGCGTGACTGCGTCCGTGGCTCTTGACAACGCTCTTCTCCTTGCTCGCCTGTGCCGCAGTGGTCGGTCTCTGCGCAGGTAATGTTGGCCATCGAGTGAGCTCGTCTGCAGCAGCCAGTGCTTCTTCTTCTGCTGCTGCTGCCATGGCAGAGATGTATGCCGCTGCACTGCTCGGCAGACTTGATGCCGGAGAGTCGGGAACCGGGGACTGAGGCACCGGGGGCAGCGGCATCAGCGGCGGAGCCGAGGACGGAGGCGGAAGGCGGGCTGTCGGTATCGGTGGCAGCGGTGCCATTGGTGGTGGTAGCATCGGCGGCAGCATCTGCCGGTATGCCTCGTTTGGCGGTGCGGGCGAATCCCGGAACTTCTGTTGCGTGCTATTCACCGCCGGCTCGCGACTGCTGGAGTGGTAGCTTCGGACGCTGTGACGGCCCAGCGAGCTGGTGCTGATGATGCTGCTGCGGCTGATGATGCTACTGCGGCTGCTCACGCTCCTGCTGCGCCGGTTGTCGCCGCCAGGCATGATCGTCATCTGGGACACCCGGCCGGAGCCGTCGTCTGGGTCTTCCAGGATCGGAGTCATCGTTGGGTCGCTAAGCCGATGTAGCATCTTATTGGTCAGTGCCGGTGAGAGCAGCCCGCGACCGGACGGCCGCATTCGCCACTGCTGCCGCTGCTGTTGTTGTTGCAACAGCTGCTGTAGCGCCTGTTGCTGTTGCAGCAGCTGCTGCTGTTGTGATGTGGGTGGTTGTGGGAATTCAGCAGAGTCGAGCAGGTCTGCCCTGGATGCGCTGGATTCCCCGAGATCGAACATGCCGTCGTCGGGGTCGCTCTCGTGGCAGGCATTCTTGCCCTTGTCGAAACGCCGGTCTGTTGCGGTGTCGTCGTCTACTTCCAACTCGTCTTCGACCTCTTCGTCGTCATCGTCGTCGCTGTCAAATATGCTCGTGTCCCAGAGGTCGTTTGCCGATCTGGACGGTAGCGATGTCGGCATGGCCCGGCTGGACCCAGCGAGCGTCGGCATGGACGAGGAGGCCAGCTTTGCCGATATGTCGCCATCGTCCAAGTCCATGCCCGTCAGCTGACGGACCTTGTTGAACGACCGCTGCCGCGACGGTGCCGGGGACGCCAGCGGCGACAGCAGGTCGGGCGTAGTCTGTGTGGACCGCAAGACTGCCGCGGCAGACGCTTTGTGCGAGTGGTGCCCGCTGCTGCGCGACGAGCTGCCGATGCCGGTGAGCCGCAGGATCTTCCGGACGCGGTGGTGAGAGGAGTGGGATGGTGGCGGTGGCGGTGACGGTGATGGCAGCGGTGTGGATGACTGGTCTGTGGGCAAGACGCCGTCGCGACTGCCCATCGACCCGGATGACGACGACGACTGGGACAGCGGCGGCAGCGCCATCGGCACGGCCAGCGGGTCAGATAGGGGTGAGACTGGCCGCGAAGAGCTGCCACTGCCACTGCCACTTCCGCTGTTGTTGCCGGTGACGTCGGCCATTCGGTTGCGGATGCGATGTCGGTAAGAAGGAGTGTGGAAGGCCAGTGCGCGGTCATGGCCCGGACGCGAAGACGAGCCGGGCGATGGCGGCGACATGACGGGCGAGATGGTGCTGATGGTGCCGATGCTGCCAGGCTCGTCCAGCTGCTGTGTCGGCAGGCTGTGCCGCATGGATCGGTGCATGAGTGTTCGCTGTGGCGTGTCTTGGGATTCGGCCCGCGGCAGCGAGAGCGAGGCAGAGCGGTCAAAAGGCGTTCGGCTGGCCATCCTGCTGCGCTCTTCTGTGTCGTCGGACGGTCAGGCGAGGGCGGGAACAGAGGGCCTGCGGGTGTGGAAAGAAGACATGCTCCTCGAGGCCGTGGACTGAGGAGACAGCCGGCCTGCGATCTTCTGACCCTTTTAACTCTCTGTCGCCCCTATGCCGTTCTCTCAGATCTCTTGGCCGCCTCGGCCGATCGGTAGCTCTGGCGATATCTGTTTTCGGAAACTGGAAAAAAGAAGGTAGAAAGAGAAGCTAACCGACTGGTACAAGGAGAAATAGAGAAAAAGAGAAAAAGAGACAACAAAGAGAAGGGAAGGAGGGGAGAGAGAAGGGGGGGCGTGAAGCGACAAAGGAAGGTGCCGACGAGGAAAGGACAGAGCAACGAGAAGGAAGGTACCCTCTCAAAAAGGAAAATCAGAGAACGCGCACGGCAAAAGAAGAAAAATACAAAACAGAAAACAAAAAACAAAAAACAAAAAATAAAGGCAGAGCTGCCCTAGTCAGAGGAACTATATGTGAAGGCCTGCTAAGACAAAGATACAGGCTGCGAGAGCAGGGTGTGGTGTCGACAGACGCACACCCCCCCTGTCCTCCGCTCGGTGCTTTTTCCTGTTGATATTATTTTTACGACGTCTACCAGTTGGTTCGACCTGCTACCCTTTCCCAGGTTCCATCCGTCGTCTCTCCGCGACAGCTGCGACGTCAAATGGGATCCTGCGCTTGCAGACGTCGCATAACACACTATTAGCCCTGTGTTCCCTGTGGGAAATAAAGAGCGGGCTCAAGCCATTTTGCACGCGGACAGGCGCCTAATTTGCCCAGGACAGGCCGTACACAATACATCGGGCAGGTGCGAGAGCAGCAAGATGAAAAATAGCACTACTCGTATACTAAAGCAGAATAGAGACGGACATCAAACCAGAGCGTGCAGATCCCTGTCGCCGGAGAATTAGACAAGAGGCCAGATGGGATAGGCTGGGCTGGATGTTGGCCGTGCCCTTGGCGTATCCCGGGAACGAAACAAAACAAAAGGGGCAGGGAACAAAGACGGAGGGAGCGTTCGCAGGCTGTTTTCGGCAATTGTGCTGTTGCTGCCGTGGTGTTGCAGTTGCTGCTGCAGTTGCTGTTGCTGTTGTACTGTTCTCCTTGCGCGATCTGTTGCGAGCGTCACCTGCTGCGTTCAGTCTGCCTGCTCCGTCTGCCTGCTCTTCCGACTCTGGCCTCTCTCCTCATAAAGAACGTCACGGACGTATCCGACCGGCGACGATCTCTACCGTACCCTGTCCTGGTTTCTTCCCCTTGGCACGTCGCCCTAGTCGGGCCCTATCTCGACTGACCAGGGCATCATTTCCGGAAGACGCTTCCCCTCTGGTCAACTGGCCCGACCGCGGTGGGACACGCTCATTTCGCCCTGGGGAGGGGGGGACCCAGCTCCCAGAGCGAAGCAGTGGTTTTTAAAATTGAAGAGCAAGATTAGGGGGGGTCTTCAACGGTTTGCGTTGCAACGGCGGATGGCGCTAGCACGGGCTAGCGGGCGGCACTGACGGCTTTCCCAAATGAGCGTTCGTGCAGGAAAGACGAGCACGAGCGAGAGCGAGAGACAAAGGGCCGGCGGACGCACGCGGCCGGGTCGAGTCACGCACTGCTGCTTGGCTGCATGCGCGGCACCGATGGCGAAACAGGCCAGCTCTTGAAACAAAACGTGTGTGCCCCAAACCGGTCTAGGCCGTGGCTGATGTAATCCGAATGTAGGCTGCAGCTCGCGCCGTATCCGTATCCGTACTCCGTCCTGCATGGTGTCTTACGACTACGTACACCCTTGTGCGATATGCAGCTGGAATTGGCTCTCATCAGGCGAACCCGCAATGGGCTCATCGAAGTGCCGGTAGGATGATAGGGTGATCCGTGATTGTGAGATCTCAGCTAAAAAATGGACCAAAATGGGCCCCAAAATAAAAATCCCCATAATGTAAAATAACCGCAGCAGATCACGCTTCCCCCCTTTCCACAGCCATGCAGCAATGACATTTCAACCATTGTTCGTTCCTAATCCGCCTGGACCCAGCAGATGCAAAGCAAATGAAAACGATGGCAAAACGAAACGAAAACCACCTGCTCGGATGTGTAATCTATTACTCAACGGGTATCGCCGTCATTTCCGTCTATGCATCCTCTCTTTCTCCCTGCTGTCCCCACCGTCCCCGCAGTCCTCCCCTAGTCGTCCTCGTCGTCGTACTTGCCCTGGTAGTCGCCCAGCAGCAGGTCGTCCGCGCCCAACGCGGCGTTGCCGGTCGTGCGGATCCACTCCGTCTCGACACGGAAGAAGATCCACACCCAGCGCCGGAAGACCTCGAGGAGCTCCATGAGGAAGAGCGAGCTCTCAAAGTCGCCATGCGCGCCCACGCGTCCCAGGTGCGGACTCAGCTTGAGCGACCACGTGCAGCGCAGCATGAGGTCCATGGCGATGACGGCATAGTAGATCTGCGGTGCCGGCCGGATGTAGAGCCGGCGCCGTAGGCCCCATGGCTGTCCGACGCTGTCGCGGGCCTCCGTGAGCAGCGTGAGGTCCCAATCTCTGGTCACGTCCCAGTAGAAGCTGTAGAGCGAGTTGATGAGCACGGCAATGATCCACGCCTGCCGCAGCGATGCCGCGCTGGCGTCTCCGGGCGAACCATCCGGCCGCTGCAGCGCCGACAGCACGATCACCGGGAACGCGCTGAAGTACTTGAGCGCGTTGGCCAGGTGCTGACCGCCCGGCTCGCGCGCCCGCCGTGCCCGCACGTACTCGATCAGACACTGGCGCAGTCGCGCTGCCGACGGCGCCGCCATGATGAGCGGCACAATGACGGCGCCGCCGCAGTCTCGGTCGGGCCGGTCGGTGGCCGAGGCCTCGCGGCCAGGTGACGACGGGAAGAAAAACATGCACACGCACACAAACACGTCGCCCAGCACCTTGGCGTAGCTCGTCACCACATCGGCTAGCAGCACGTCGCCAAACTTGCCGTGCTGCGGCTCGGCCAGCCCGCCCAGCGCCACGCGTCGCACCATGGCTGCAAAACGTCGCCGGCCGTCCTGCGGCAACGACGCCCAGAGCGGCACCACATTGCCGCCACCGCCACCACCACTGCCGCCTGCCGTCGACGCCGCCGAAGGGCGCAGCAGTTGTTGAAGTCGGCGCGGTAGTGGCACCAGCAGCAGCAGCGCCAGCCCGCCCAGCGTCGTCATGGGCAGCCAGTCGTAGGCCAGCACACGACTTGGATCGCGTCGGGTCAGCAGCCAGAAGAACACCAGTGACAATCCCACGCCCGTGGCTGCCGTGGCCGCCAACCGGTAGGCTGTGCGATAGTGAGGCGCTTGTGCTGACGACGCCCGGCTCGGATACCGAATCAGGCCTGGCACGTCAATCTTGATCCCATAGAGATAGTGTAGGTTGGCGCCCCAGCCCCAGATACCTGCCAGTCGTGTGATTAGTATTTCTTTTGTTTTCCTTCTTTTCCTTTTTCTCTTAGCAGAAGCTCTCACCCAGTACAGTCAGCAGGGCCACTCGATACGGCAGCGGCAGCGTCAGGCTGAGAGCATCAAGCTGTGGCTCGACGGCCGGGTCGCCGTCCATCGCGTCGACAGTCGGTAGTGTTGGTTCTCAGTTATAGCGAACAGTCTCGCTTGACAAAACGATGTGAACAAGGTTATCGATCGGTGCGCAGTCCGAGCCGTGGTCTCAACAGACCCATTGGAAGCCGGGAAACGCGATAGCCAGTCGGGCTCGAACAGATTAGGGAAGGCGAAATGGATTTGGTCGGGAAAATGGTCGCCAAACAGAGGGTGCGGGTACGGTGGCGTTGGCGCGTCGTGTTTTGTTTCGGCGTGTCGTTAATGACGCTGGAATGAAGTCGACACGTAGATGTTGCAGATGACAGGGCTCCTTAAAAAAAAAGGGAGCCAGGCAGGCACGATTGGCTGCTATAAAAATTACAGCAGGCGCGATGTCGAACTAGTGCACATAGTAGCAAGTGATGATCCTATGCTATCAGCTTGCCCCACACCTGATATGTAACTGCCGGGACGAGTGCCCAGCACAGATGCTGTGTGTCTACGAGTCCGCGTTATGTATACAAACACACCTGTCATCTCTGGGGTAATACACCCTCGTTGTACTCTGTACAAGGCGTCTATTCTCCCTTGGACAGAAGACGGGCCCAGACTCTCGGTTTCACTATTGTTACAACTTAGCTTAAACACTGGTTTCAAAACGAGCCAAACTTTAACCTCGTACGAACAGAGTTCGCATAAACCTTCCCCGGATAGACCAAGTCTCGATTCTCTTTTCTCCATGTAAAAACAAAAACTGCCTCAGCCTGCGACGATAAGCTCTACGGGCTAAATACGGCGCGGTGCTATATGTGCACGCTGTGCTCTGTGCCATCTTACATTTCCATCCCTTGCGGGTTCCTCCGTCCGTTCAGCTTCGTCGCTCGCCTCCACGCCTTGGCAGACGGCCTCGAGCTTCCAGCTGTCCGAGCAGACTACAAAGGTAGCAAAGTAGCCTTGCCCGTAGTGCCTTAGTCCTGGCTCCCCATCGCTCGCCCCGCCATGCTGAACTGCCGCCGCTTGGGAATTTCTCACGGCCGTGCGGCTGATCGCATTAAGCGTCATGTGCACGCCCTCTACCAGGGGCGTGGGCCTCCTTTCTATGCACAATATGTTGATTATCTCATGCTCCGCGTCCGGGCCGTATCCCAGCGTCGGTCGCGCCATCATGGGCGCCAGGACTGCAGTGTAAAAAGCCTTGGAGGCGCCGTAGCTCTAGGTGCCGATGGCGATATGGTCCAACGGACGCACGTGGGCTACCATGCCAGCGTTTCATGTGTAGAAAGGGAGGGCAGGTGGCAAGCCGTCAGATCCCATCGGCCGAGACAGTGGCCCGGCACAACGGAAGCTCCGTGTGATGACAGGCACGTGTTGCTGGGCGGCGGCTGCGCCGTGGTAGCGCACGCTAGCGAGCCAGTGCAGATACAGTATAATCTTATAGACTGTACTGTGCTTATGTAATGAAACTAGTGCCTTTTCGTGATTCCCCTAACCAATTGGTGCCGAGGCAAATCAGCTGCATCGATGCAGCTGCCGACACGTCCCAGCAGGACAGCAGCGACGACGACAGCCACAACAACAACAACAGACCCGCCCATCCTGCCATCCTCCCGCCTGAACCCAGTGTCTACGCTACTCTTATTGCCAAGGCCATTTCGACATGGCCTCCGCCGACGGCCGTCCGGCCGATGCTGCTTCATCGCCATCGACTTTAGCTTCGGCTTCGGCTTCATCCTCTTCGTCTTCTCCGGCCTCCTCGTCCGCGTCAACCACTCCATCTACCGCTCCCTCCTCGGCCTCTTCATCACCACCACCGTCCTCTGGTTCCTCTTCGTTTGCCCTCCCCTCGCCCTACCCCTTTGCTGCCGCCCCCGACATCATTCGCGCCCACCAGAAGGATGCCTATTTTGCCGGCACGCTGGCCAACGACCTCGGCGACGTCGTCCGCCGCTTCGCCGGTGGCCGCACCGCACACGCCTGGGCTGCCGAGACGCGCACCGCCGCCGACATGGCCTACTGGGGCCTAACCACGTGGTTGGGCAGCCGCACGCTCGGCGAGGAGTATTGCGACCTCGTCAAGGTCGTGCCGGTCGCTTCACCCATCGCTGGCGGCAGCTCCGTGCCGGCCGTGCCCTCGCCGCTCCGCCGCTCCGCCTACGTGCTGTCGTCCGTGATGGCGCCGTACCTGGTCGGACGGGCGCTGCCGGGCGTGCGGCGGGCACTGCGCCAACGACTCGAGCGCAAGGTCGCCTCTCTGCAGGCAAAGGCAGACAAGCAGAGATCGGGCACAACGTCCCTTTCTCTCCGCGTCGCCCGCTACCTACTCGCCCACCTCGACACCCTCACGTCCGGCACCCACGTCCGTGCCGCCACCCTGGCGCTCTTCTACTTTTACGGCGCCTACTATACCCTCACAACCCGTCTGCTCGGCCTTCGCTACGTCTTCACGCGACGACGCACTGGCGCTGGTGGTGGCTCTTCGGGCGACGACGTCGTTGGCTATGAGGTTCTCGGCGCCCTCTTGGTCCTCCAGATGGCCGTCCAGGGCTACATCCACGTCCGAGAGACCCTGGCCTCGTCTCCTTCCAATTCATCCTCGGATTCCACTTCAAACTCCTCTTCTTTCCGCCTCAACACCCCCGTCGAGGTCAGCCTCAGCCATGACCACAGCTACACCGCCAACAACGAGCTCCTACTCAGTGGCCTCGGTGCAGACGATGCTACCTACGCTGGCTCTGCCAACGGCTCGGCCGCCCAGCTGGCTGCCCTGACACACACGCCCGCCCCCCCGCCTCTTGACGACGGCAGCGGGGCGGCCGGCCCTCGCTTTGACCTGCAGGTGCCCTCCACCATGGCCTGGCTCGACGGCCGCGTCCAGCGACAGTGCACGCTCTGTCTCGAGGTGCTGCGAGACCCTTCCGCCACGCCGTGCGGCCACGTCTTCTGCTGGCAGTGCATCGGCGAATGGGTGCGCGAAAAGCCAGAGTGCCCGCTGTGTCGACGGTCGGCACAACCGCAGCACATTCTGCCGCTGCGGGCACTATAAAAGGAACAACACGCGGAGGGACCAACACGGGGAGAGCAGGTTGCTCAAGAATGATCATCACATCACATGTACGATTTCTAATACATTATTCCCGCAAAGGGAGGAGACCACCAGCCGACAGCGTAGCCGATATGATTCCTCCTTTCTGTATCTAAGTCATTTTCGCACATGCATTCAACATCCGAGGACACAAAAGCTAAGCTTGGAAACTTTATTGCAAAAATAAAATAATATTGCCATGGGAGACAACGCGTCAAACAGATATTAGATGCGAGCCCCTATGCAAAAGGGAGCAGAGACAACCAGAAGACGACAAGATACCAGATACATATATATAGAAACATACCCAAAACAGAGGGCCCCGGTCCACGGACTTCGTGAGAATCCGCAGCAGCCATCCCGAGCCCATCAGAGCAGAAGCTCATAGAGTACAGGAGTCGGATCCCAGACCCGACTCACTCTCTAATAAAATAAAACAAGCGCCGCAGCGGCGCATTAGTACATTTTTGCACCTTCCTCCCTTGCCCTTCCCACCGTCCTGCATAACCACCCGAGGACACCCAGAGAGCAAGCCAAAGTAGAAAGAAAGAAAGAAAAAACAGAAAAAACAACCGAGGAATAGAGGATTAGCATCCATTGCATGCACCGGTTTTTGTTTTTGGCTGGAACAAAAGTAGCTTAGGTCACCACATCGGGGACCAGGCTTCTGAGACCAATCTCTAATCGACTGGATCGTTTCCTTCCTCCTGCCCTTTAATGCAACCCAGAACCAGGCAAGAGAGTACAAAGAAAAGAAACTGGATAGGAAAAAGTGAAAAGTGAAGAATGAAAAGAAAAAAAGATCGAGAAATAGAACAACTGTGCGATGTTTTATAAGGCTGTATCCGTCGTCTTCCGTTCGCTCAAAACTTTGAGGAACCCCCATGGCGTAGATAGCGACTGGTCAGATGAGTGGGTTTGCTGTCTGGCAATGGCTGATGTGAGCAATGCTCGATGCTGTATGTCGTGTATCAATCAGAGATGTGTGTGTGCGATGGCAAAAGGTATCATGTATGTGCAGTCCAGAATTCCCCTTCCTTGGACCCGGTCTAGTCGGGAAGAATTAAAGTGGAATAAGCAGAAAGGTTGTGTTTGAAGATGACGTTCCTTCACGGGTCGATGTAGAATACGACAATCTCGCCGCGGTCGTTTTTGCGCAACCGAAGCGACCGGAACAGCTCCTTCTCCTCCGTCTGCTTGCCGTGGGTCTTGCCCGACGACGTGCGCTCGCGGTGGAAACGCTTCAAGGCCTTGTTCATGCTGCAGCCGCGCTCGCTCTCGGGACCCTTGTTAACGAAGCTGAGAAAAAGGTCGGCCGGCGGCTTGTACACAATCATCTGGCCGCTGCTGTTGCTGCTGTCGCCCTCCTTGTTGGCCGGGTACTCGATCATCTTCAGCGCCGCCTTCTTCTCGTCCTCCGTCTTGTGATGGCTGTGACGCCGGTGGTGTCGGTGCTCGCGGCTCTCGCGGCTCTCACGGTGATCGCGGTGGTGATCGCGGTGGCCGTGGCCGCTGTGGCCCTCCTTGTTCTTCTTGTCGGTCGGCGAGGCCGATCGCTGCTTGCGCTTCTTGCTCTTGGGCTTAGCCGTCAGAGCGGCAAAGAGGCCCGTGCTCATCGTCTCGGATCGTGACTTGGCGTGCTTGGTGGGCGCCTTGGTCTTCTTCAACGGACTCGCCGGCGTCTCAGCCGACTCCGGCGACGGTGGGAAGGGGGGCACATGCTTGGTGGAAAGGCGGTGCAGGCCGCCAGTCAGGCCCGAGTGCAGCACGGGCGGCGCGTCGGCGCTGATGTCGAGCATCAGCCGCTTGCGCTTCTTGTCCTTCTTGACCTCCTTGTCGCCGCTGCTCCGCTGCGCCGGCGTCTGGAAGGCGGTCGGAAGCACAGCCACGGGGCCCATCTCGAACTGGGCCACAGGCGGCTGCTTGCTGGCGCTGGCCTCGACCAGGCCGTGGTCTTCGGCACGCTCGTATGAAACCACCTGCGTGCTGTCGGCCAGAGTCGCGGGGCCGGCGGGGCCGCGTGTCAGGTTCATGCTGGACATATTTGGCGTGGTGCCGGCGCTAGCCACCAGGAAATCGAATACGTTGACGCGGTCTTCCGGGCCGGGGGGCGGGGTGGGTGCGTGTGGAGGGGCATCATCGTCGTCGTCGTCTGACCTATCGCTGTCGTTGTCTTGGACTAGGTATTCGTTTACGTCTTCTGCCACATCTTCTACGTAGGCGTTGTGCGACACATGTCGCTGTTGTACTGCGGCTGCCATCTGGGCAGCGGGCTTGTTATTGGGGGTCGTGATGTTGAACGGCCGTTCTTCCGCGTTGGCTGGCGGGTTTAGTTTGACCTTCTTGTTCTTGTTTTTATAGAGTGTGCCCTGGTATTTCTGGTCCTCGGTTATGCAACTCTGTGCGGACACGGGTCAGCTCTTGTATGATCTGGAGGCGGATCGTTTAGTGGGGAAAGCTGCCGTCGCAACGACATACCGTATGGGATCTGTAGTCGGTCCCGTTGAAATAGACCATGCAGTCGATACAGGAAAATGTGGCTCCGCGACAACGAGATCTGTGTGGGTCAAGCTTCTTCTTGGTCAAGACGTCGCCACAAGACTACAGTAGGTGAGTGACGGGTCAGCTGCTGATTGGCGATTCGGGTATAGCGAAGCGCAGGCAAGAGTGCAGTGAAAGCCAAAAAGGTATGCAGAGCGAGATGGAGTGGGAGACAATTAGAGCGTTCGTGGGAGCAAAGGAATTGATTGACAAGTGAAGAGCAAGAGGAGGGCAGGAAGTAGATAAGGGAGGGGAAAGGGTATCGCTTGTTTTTGCGCAGGGTCGGTTGGTCGGGAAGTATGGAAACAGAAAAGGCTTGTGGTAATGGAACGAGGAAGATATTAGAGTGGAACACGAGACGAGACAGGACGACTAAGAAGGGGGAACGGGGGGGTGTTCAACAGTATGGGCGCGTGTTTGGGGGAAGTTCGTGGGAGGAATGGAAAGAGGGGGTGTGATGTCAGGTAGGAATCATGGATGGGGCGTGCGCGTAATGGAGGGGAGGAGCTTTGAAAGTGTTTGGGAGGCTCGGATTGGGCTTTGTCAGGTGGTGGGCTGGTAGGGGACGAGTAGGGTGGTGAGCCATACCTCGCACTGGAAGGAAACCATTGTGCCTAGAAGTAGTGCCCGATTCGGCGTAGATGTGGTTGCGTTGCGTCTGTTGTCCGCTTCTTGTGCTGTTTTTGACCTGAGACTGCGGCTGCGTCTGCGTTTGCTTCTTTTTTGTGCACTTTTTTCTGCTGCGTTCGCCTTCCTTTGGTGCGTTGTCGTCAACGGACGAACTGCTCTGCGATAATTGCTGTTGATGCCCAATGAGGATTTGGGTGTGGACTTTTTCTGCTTTGCGGTTTTTTTTTTGCCTCTCGGGAGAACAGGGAACTGCAATCCTACTGACAGGGCGGGGGAAACGGGCTTCAGATGGCCGGACTATGATCGCATAGGTGTATAAACAGGTGAGGACATGCACAAAAAGGGGGCGGCGGCTGAGAAAAAGCCAGGAATAGCCGCCAGCCAGAGAGACCGGGATGGATTAGGTTTGATTAGGTGGTCCGCAAAGCAGGTACGGGAGGCTGGTGAATAGGAAAAGTTTGCAAAAAATGCCTCTTTTGGGCTTTTGGGCACCAAAGAGACGGAAAGAGCTTGACAGTGCGAAGGGGAGAAGGAGATCTAGGCCCAGTGTATGTAGCAATATAGTCAGAGAATATGCGACTGAGGCAGGGGCGAGCAAGCTTTTTTAGAGTGCGTGCAGGTCAGTCGCAAAGGCAAGCTTCCACAAAAAAAAACAGCCTGGGCAAAGGGCGGAGATCGCTCGGCCTGGGCAGCTTCGGGCAGGGTTTGTGCTCGTTCGTCCTTTTCTTCGTACTGCCTTTGGGCTGCTCTCGCCTCCAGCTGTTTTCGATCTTTTTCGCTGCTTCCGTGGTTTCGTTGGTGTGGTCGGTCTGAAGTTTTTTTTTCTCTTGCCAGCCGTGCGGGAAGTAGTAAAAGCCGGAGGAAAAAAATACAGAAAAAGAAAGTGAAGCTGCAGAAGCCCCACTTGCATGCATTCCCAAATTGGTTTCCTGGCAACACTGTTAGACAAGCAAGAGCTTTGAGAATCAGGAGTACGAGTAAGCAAGACGGCGGCAAATTATTGCGTGGGCGCTCGATTCCGCAGCGCAAGGCGACTCCGGGGCTGTGCAATTGGCCATTGTTGGCATCCGCTGCGCTGCGTGCGGCGCGTTGTCTGACGTCGTCCTTGCGGTAGCAACACAGCAAATAGCGATATTGTACACGCTTGCGAAATCACGTGACACCTTTGGGCTTTACCGCAGGCCACCAAAGAGGCGCAACGCGACGACTAATATTGGCCCGCTGGGCTGCAGGATGCTGGGGCTGTACATGCCCGCAGTGAGAGTACGCGCAGGACGAGAACAGACCGCATGCGGGGAGCAGTCTGCCGGTCCGGCGCCTGTCAAGCAAGCCAGGGGGAAGGGGTCCTAACAGTAGCGAAACAGCAGCACACAACATCAGCAAAGGCGCCACGAAAAACAGAGGCACAGCAGCAACACAGCCATCCAGCCGTGGCCATCCAGCCATCAGATGTCGAGCACGGAAGAATCGTCACTGCACACGACTGTATCAGAAACCAGGCAAATCGAGCGGTATTTTGAGCGAGCTCTACGTACGGAGTAATCCCTACAGTCTGTTCGTGCCAGTGAGCTCGTATCATGCTGTTGCTCTCACGGAGCAAACACAAAAATAGGCAACAGCTCGTCTCTCATCCAAAACGCGCCTGCGGGGTTCTATTGGTGGGGTAGGGCGTCTGTTTGAGGCGCTGGGGTGTGAATGTAGCAGTGCCGGGCAATGCGACCCGCGCCATTGGAAAGGGAAGCTCATCTTAAAATGGTGTGTTGCCACTCCGTCCATCGTCCACAGCCATCAGCACAGCTGCCGGAAAGATGGCTGTTGTGATAGGCCGTCGGGGCCTTTTTGCAATAAAAAGGTCGCGCGTGATCTCGTAGAGGGGGGCTCCAAGTCTCAGCCGCCAGACATTTGCTCCCGTCTTTTCACGAAGCCGGTGTCACGAGATGCAGAGTCGCATGGCGGCCGGTTCTATCTCTCGCTTCCGCGGGCAAAGCATTTGCGAGGACATGCATACTCGTATCTTACATATTCGTAAGATAAGATACACCGTCTTGGGAGTCTGATTATCGCAATGCATGACTTCCATTGGCCTGGGTCTTCCCCCTAAACTCCTACTCCGTGAATGGAACAGCTCTAGGATCATGCTGTCGGTGCCGTTGGCACGCGTGCAGCCTCAAATGGCGTGTAAGAAAAAGCGCAGGAGGAAAATAAGATACGAACTGAAAAAGCGCTTGGAAAAACATAAAAAAATCAACGAAAAACACGAGGGAAAAAAAGCAAGCCCGCACTGACCCTCGTCAGGCTACGGGGCCTTTATCCCACGGCGACTATTCCTGTTCCTCTCCCCCTGTCGACCTGTCACTGTGCCCCATCCCTTCTCATCATTCGTTTCAGATACCCTTGCCATCTCTTCGGATCATTGGGAGGGATCCACGGGAACGCCAGTACGATACTACTATGTAAAATACATAGTATGTAGTCGTACTTTGAAGTTTCGTCTATTTTTTCTCTCTCTATGCAGGAGCTCCGCTGAGGATGATGGAACCTGCCGCGCGTTTATAACATGCTGGGTCATCACGCCGTGCCTGCAGGAACGCATAAAGTGTTGGTTCCCCAGGACGAGGCGTGAGAATGTGATGGCTTCATATTGGCATTCTTCTGTCACCTCCTTACTCCGCAGGCTGTCTCGCAGAAGACTGTGACGAGAGCTTCCCCGTCTACGGAGCACTCCGTGCCCCTTCCCTACTATGTATCCCCCACTTCGCGCTGAGCTCGTGCCCCTTCTGGCGGTGACGTCGCCTGCCAGATAGTCTGACGAATAAGGGAGATCGTACGGCCCCAGCCTTTCCCGCTCACATACGAGCTGTGCTTGCAATTTTGTAAGATACTATGTACGTAACTGCTGGATGGCGACATGAACACGCTCGCGTACTGCAGCTACGCAAAAGTGCGCAAAGAGTACGACGTACGACCTACTCCTCCCGCCGGTGGGTGCATCTGTATCTGGCGCACGCAATCTAGCCAGCGAGAGCTGGCGCTCAGCCCCCCTATTGAGCTGGATCGGACCACCCTTGCCTCAGCATGCACCCCATATCGAGAGCGTGCAATCTTACTCTGGAGGGGATCTCCCAAGACGCGATTCCCCTTTCCGTCTAGAGCTATCATGGGAGCACCACTTTTGCTCTGGCGCAGCGCAATCTGGTAGGCCTGTTCGGGCTTTTTCCATGTGATAGTCTGCTCACACATTGCTGCTGGTTCTGCAAAGGGAAAGATCATGCAGAAAGGTCTGTTTCTTGGTTGCGTACGGACTACTCCGAACAGACTTGCGGCATTACTATGCAGATCCGTCGTACGGAGTATTTCTCTCTCCTCTCTCTCTCTCTCTCTCTCTCTTTGTTTCGTTTTCTCCTTCATACTCCGTAGTACTGCCAGCGTGACCCTTGTCTGACGGACCCATCTTTTGCACATCTGCTGCACGTCGGTATTGACATGCCGGCCAAAGTTGGCAGGACAGGCCAGCCGGCCAGACATAACACAACGCACGCTGATATGGCCGGCCAGAATTATGCAGGGCGAAAGGGCGGGAAACGGAGGGACCGGAGTCCGGCGCTGAATGCTGCAAAGAAGAAAGAAGCAAATTGTCTTTTATTCAGGAGCATGTGCACGCCCGTCTGCTGCCTCGTCTGTTTGTACAGTCCGACATCTCGAGAGAGCGTTTCTTTTTCCACCTACGAGTTCCCGAGCTTGCAAACGAACGCAGAGATCCTCTCCATATTGGGCCTTCCCGCACGCTAACGAAACCGGCTCAGCGCTCTGACCGCCTTTCTACAACGTAAACCCACCACCTCCGCACGGCAGAATTGTAGCTGCTGCATTTCTCGCGCCGGCCGCACCTTCTCCACCTTCACCACATCGAACGCGTTAGGCCGCTTTGGCAGCTCTGCAGCCGGATCACGACACTTCACTGGTTGCCCTATATTCTAGAGGGGTGGACTCATGGTACTTTTAATCCCCTTCTCTCACACTCCCATATTTCTTCAGTTTTCCCCCTTATCTTCGCACGCCAGCACGCCAGCACGCCAGCACAGCAGTGCGGCATCACCGCCCATCGGCCGTGTCCTGCCGTCATCCTCGGCCTGAAGTCGAGCCTGTCCACTCATCCTTTTCGAATTGGTCGGCCTTGCTTGATTGCATCTCCGCTTCTCGTCGCTCCGCCCGACGGAGCTGTCCGTTCTCCTGGACATAAATGCGCCAAAAGAAGTCAGCCATCCAGCAATGCTACCCTGCCCTGTCTCCACAATCCCTTTCCCTTCCCTTTCATTCCCAAAAAACTGACCGGCCCACGCAGACCCTCTCGCGAGAACGAGCATTACAGAGCCGCATCTGTCCGAGCTGCTACCGCTGCTATCGCTAACACTGCTGCGGGTGCTGGTCCTACCACTGCTGCTGCTGCCGCAGCCACCGCCAAGTCACCCGTTTCTTCGTCTTCTTCTACCATGACTACGCCCTCGCCATCCGATCCAGGTGGCGGAGTTGCCACATCTCTCTTGGAACAGTTCTTATCGCTGCTGGGCTCGGCTGCCTCATACATGCGACTACCGGCTATTGCGTCGACGGTATGCATTTCTTCCCACACCCTCTCCGCTGTCCTGTCGGGCAATTCGGCCGTCCCAATTGGAATCTTTGCAAAGCTACCAAGCAGATTTCCATTTCTCCTTCGAGCCTCTCTGAGCCTCTTCTGGCCGCCTTCTGGCCTCTACTCCCTCTCTGTTCTGATAACAGCACACCCAGACTGACCGCTTCTTTTGCTTTGCTGTCAATAGGGCGCAGCCGCTGTCCTGACCTCCTTGCTGTACTTTAAGCAGAAGTAAGTAGCCACAACCTCAGCCTTGCCACGTGGGACGTGGATTCTCTTTGTCCCCTCTCTCTTCCCTCCCAAGTCGTTACCGCTTTCTGACGCATGCATAGAGCTCTGATATACCCATCACACGTCCCCGGAAATGCCCGCACCGACATCCCACGGCCGGACCAGTTTGGCCTCACCGACTTTGAGGAGCTGGTCATCCCGACAGACGACGGCGAGAAGCTCGCGGCCTTTTACATTCGTGGCCCGCGCGGTGGGAAACACACCAAGGTGACGGTGATCATGTTCCACGGCAACGCTGGCAACATTGGCCACCGCCTGCCCATCGCCCGCATGCTCCGCCACATGGTCGGCTGCAACATCCTTATGATCGAGTATCGCGGCTATGGCAGCTCCACGGGCGAGCCTGGCGAGTCGGGCTTGATGCTCGACGCCCAGACCGCCATCGACTACCTCCGTGACCGCGCCGAGACTTGCGCCCATCGCTACATCGTCTACGGCCAGAGCCTTGGTGGTGCCGTGGCCGTCCGCTTGGTCGCCAACAACCAACAGCGCGGCGACATCGCCGGCCTCGTGCTCGAAAACACCTTTCTCAGCATGCGCAAGCTCATCCCCCAGATCCTGCCGCCCGCTCGCTTTCTCACCCTGCTCTGCCACCAGGTGTGGCCCAGCGATGCTGTCATACCTACCATCACAAAGGTCCCCATCCTCTTCCTCAGCGGTCAGAAGGACGAGATCGTGCCGCCCGCCCACATGCGCCAGCTCTACGACCTCTCCGCCGCTCCCAACAAGATCTGGAAGCCCCTGCCACTCGGCGACCACAATGCGAGCGTGCTCGAGGAGGGCTACTTCGAGGCTATTGCCGACTTCATCGCGTCCGCCACCGACGAGGGCCCGCCGGAGAAGCCTCTTTTATGATGATTGATACACGGCTGCTATTCTCTTGCAGCAATTTTGGATTGGGAGGTTGTGTGCCTTGAAGGATGTGACTCTTTAGCTATGGCTGGACGGCTGAGAACTCGTGTCCATTCTCAGTTGTTACCATGCTCTCATCCGGCTGCGTTGTTCCTTCATGTCCCGGTTTCGTTGGAAATTGACATTATGCATGGCGTCTTCATTGTTTTTAAAGGCATTCTAGTAATTGTAGAGATAGAGACTACTCGGCCTATATTGTCGAGCTAGATAGGAAAAGCAAGTCACAGAAACTAAACCATCAAATGGTGAGCGGTCGTGGGGACTACAATCGAAGCCACTGTGTAATGTCATCCTCGCTGTGATTGTACGCCATGCGTCAACAGTGTATTGCACAAATATATCAAGTACTGGCTAGCCTACCACAAGCATTTTGCAACAGATGACAAAAGAGAGATAGACAACGTTGGGTATCCGAAAAATCCCTTATGGGTTGGAGAACACAATTGTCAGGATGCGACCAGAACGGCAGCCGATGGCGATCGTTTGTCCTGAAACGGCGGAGGCAGTAACGTCGTACCTGGATGGAAGTAAAATGATATTTCGGGAGTTGTGCGTGATCCATTTGCCGTCTATGTTGTAGTGGGAAGCTGTTGATGCTGTCTCCCGATCGGGTAGAACATCAATGGCTCTTTCGTCGTGGAGAAGTGTACCATCTGATATTTGGAACCTACCCTGATCGGTGAGAAAGTAATCTGTACCAAAGTCTACTATGTGTAGCCTCGTAGCGGACTGCATCGTCTGTATGCACGTCCCTGTGGCCACATCCCAAACCCTTGCGGCGAAATCCATTGATACAGTTGCTAGGTGCTTATTGTCCCTTGAAAAGGTCATTGACAGAATTGAAAATCTGTGACCGTAGATAGTATGCGTGCGGACTCCTGTATCGACATCCCAGATGTCGATGGTACGGTTCGAGACGCTTGCTAAGTGCTGTCCATCTGGAGAGAAGGCAATCAAAGAAACGTAGTCTCTTGAGCCATGTAGAGTTCGTAAACAGTTGCCTGTAGCGAAATTCCACACTTTGATGGTATAATCCTCTGAAGCTGACGCTAGGAGTCTGCCATCCAACGACAAAGTCACTGAAGTGATTTCCTGACTATGGCCGTTCGAAGTCAGTGCTTGGACCATGGAAGCCACATCCCAAATCTCAATGGTAGAGTCCTCAAGTGCACATGTCAAGTATCTGCTGTCCGGTGAGAAAACCATATTCGAGCGTTCATATTTACAATCTCTTAGCGTGTGAAGGCAGACATTTGTAACCCTGTCCAGAACTTCGATATGGTCGGCATTAGTGAAACGTGCTAGGTACCTTCGATCCGATGAACATGCCACTCCTAACGACAGCGGTGCGAACCAATAGCAGTGATCCCTATGAGTATAGACGCTATCCCGGTTCTTGACTGCAACTCCCTCAGACGCGCACGCTTGACATTTCCCGTCTACTGACAAGGCTGGCATTGGGGCTTCTGAATCAGAGCGGCGAAATCTCCGTGTAGCGATTTCTTTGGCAATGCACCATATGAGAATTTCGCCGTGCTTATCCTGCGTGGCCAGGTGTTTGCTATCCGGGGAAAAAGCCACCCCCCAAACAAAGAATATGTCCAGTGCATATATGCAGGTCCACGTGCCTACATCCAAAACGGTGACGCCGTCGAGGGAACTTGAAGCTAGGAGGCTGCTGTCTGGAGAGAAGGCTACTGGGCGTCTTCCTGTATAAGTTCGGAGGTCGGTCGATAATATGTCCACGTGCCAGATGGGGATGGTATTGTCGACAGAGGCGGAGTACCGACGCAATCTGCCCGGTGAGAAAACTAGCGGGGTGATGGAGCCAGTATGACCTTTTGGCTTCTGCAAATGATCATTCCAGTGTAGATCCAGGTCGGGGCCCAATCGAATATCCCCCGATAACTCTCTTTGCTCGAAGAGCTTGCGCACCTCGCTCTGGACCGGGCTGAATAGAAGGCTGAATCGTAGATTTGAGGGGGGGCCGCCGATATCTCCACTCTGTTGTATGAAGCAAACATTTGCGCATCACGAACTAGGCGTTCTAGCTCCTTTTTTGGGCGGCGTGGTAGTGATATTGGCGTGGTAGGGCTCGATGGAGATGATTTAGAGATATGTGGTATTGGGCTGATGAACTCGTCGAGTTTACTTATTTCTGCCAGACCTTCAGGAAAAGCTCGAAGAAGGCTAAGAGCCTCGAGCCAATAGAGGTATTCTTTCTCAAGAAATTCCTTGACCCTGTCATAATTCTGCGATACCTCTGCATCGGCTTGACTCGCGTCAGAGGTTGAAGCAAGGAAATGGTCAACCCAGTATACACATGAATACCGAAGTGCGGCTAGTGGGTCAGGAGTCGGCGGATCAATTTCGTCAATAAGGGCTCCCGGTGCGCCCAGATTGTATATATCGCGTCTAAGCGAGATCGAGAGGAACTCTAGTGACCGACAAAACATGTCGTGGTGCTCTGTTCTGACGCTGGACTTGAATATCTGGTTGGCGGCCTGGTCGAGAAGATAATCCTTTGCCGACTGATGCACAAAGTAGACAATATCATCTTGAATAGACAGAAAGGAGCCACAGGGCTCGACAATCACTTTGGTAGTCTCCGGAGTGTACTTTCCTTGGATGAAGCCAAGCTCTACCAAGGCAAGAGGACGGTACGCGACCAAGAGAGTGGCGAGTATCTGCTTGCATTGTTGTGGACTTGGGTATGTGTCAATCTGATCCAGCATTCTCTTATACAGATTGGCAAGGCCAGTTGGGAACTTGCGTAGCATTTCTTGTGCATTCCAATTAATCACATTATCAAACTCTGCGAGTTGCTGGCAGACGAGAGATACCCAGAGGAAGGTTCCTTTGGCGTTGGAGGTTAGATGTGTTTCAACGACATGTTGTGTCTCGCTGTCGTAACTCTTCTGCTTAGCTAGATCGGTGACCATTTCCTGGATGTATATGTCGACAGCGGCAGATGTTAAATCCTCATTCAGTTCAAGGTGTAGTTGGTGTTTGGTGTCGGCCAAAGTTCCTCCGATATCCGGCCAGTTGCGACTTGATATGATCCATTTCGCCCGTGATGACTTGCCTGCGTCAAGAATGACGTCGAGCAGAAACGGCAAATCAGTGACGCACTCGTCGAGAGCATCAATGATCACGAAAAAATTGGTTGTGTCAAGGTCGTGCAAGATTTTGGTGATGATGCATTTCAAGGCCTCATTTGCATTGGCGTCTGTGAACAAGCGTTCGTCCTTTTCCCTGTACAGGTCCGTGATGTGATGAAGGACACGCTTATGTCGGCGAACAAGCATAAGGATCAAGCCTCGTAGAACAGCCGTGGCGCTGTTTAAACGAGTGTCGGTTGCCTGACAGAGAAAGTAGGAGACTGTATTGTCTGCGTTTTTCTTCAGCTCATCGATGATGCCGCATAGCAACATGGTCTTGCCATTGCCCGGATCCCCCCTGACCCAGAGCAGTCTGCCTTCCTAGCTGTTGCGCCAGGTTAAGAAGTTTTCGTTGCTCAGAATCCAACAGAAAGCCCCATACAGCAATCTCCCTTTCGAAGCTTCGATTCGTTGCTTGTCGAGTTTGGGGTCCGTGATAGATAGGGACTGCAAGCAGCGATCTTCGATGCCCAGGCCGTCAGATGAATGGTTGTGAATGTCCTCGACTTGAACATAGGCGCCTCTGCCAGCAGAGATGTGCCCAACCTCAATATGTGCCATTTTTGGAGGACACTTTTCGTCGGGTTTGCTGGTAACTTTGCTTTTCTCGCGTGTAGATGGGTGAAAACCGAGGTATTGAAATCAATTACACGATTCACACAACAGTTCTGATGGGGACAAACAGAGTGACGGCCGGAACAAATCTTTCTCTTTCAGAAACATAAATTAGGGAGAAGGAGGGGTGTTGGGCTTTTATGCAGACAGAAGGGAACATAAGCTGCGTCCTCTTGGACTTCCTCGCCAATCATATGGCAAAAAGGTCGCAAGGCAGATGAGCAAGACGGTTGGTGAGGAGGGGTGAGGAGGGGTGCAAGTGCCATTAAAGTACATAACACGGGTGTCATCTTTTCACTGTTGCCAGGAAGCTATGATGACGAAGATTCTCTGTTCGATTTCGAGACACTAAACACTGCCTTTTGGCACATCTGTCTTCCGTCTACTCAAAGCCTAGTCATCCCACCATGATGATTGCCTCCTCACAGCGAAAAGTCCTTGATCTCGCGCACCAGATCGCGCTCCCGGAGCTCGGCCGCGTCCAGCAGCCCCAGAGCTTCGCGCCGAGTTGGCGCGTTGGCCTTGAAGAAGGGCACCTCGGCCAGCGACGTGACGCGTGTGCCGTGGCGTGGATGACGGCCGCCGTAGTCCCAGCTGGCGTTGTGGATGGTGATCCGGTTGTCCCACAGCGCGCTCGTGCCGGGCGTCCACTTGAAGCGCACCTGCTGGTCCACGTTGCCCTCGTACACGCTGTAGAGGTAGTTGAGAATAACGTCGCTCTCGGCGCGGTCCAGGCCGACGATGTGCGACGTCATCGCCCGGTTGACCCAGAGGGCCTTCCAGCCAGTGGCCGGGTGCACGCGCACGATCGGATGCTCACGCTCAATATACTGTGGGCCCAGTTCGGGGTGGTCGCGGTCCAGATATGTGTGTGCCGACCGGTAGATGGCAGTCCGGCCGTCGATGAAAGCCCGGAACGCTGGCGAGAGCTTCTCGTAAGCCCCGTATCCGCTTGCCCACAGCGTGTCACCACCCACAGGCGGGATTGTGTCATTGTGCAGGTGCGTGATGCCCGCCGGCTGGTGCTCGTGCACGAGGTCCGTGTGCCAGCGTGAGGCTCCGCCCGGCGAGCGGAAGTGGGCATCTCGCTCCGTGGCCTGCAGTGCTGGCCAGATGACCGATACGCCGGGCACGCCGGGTACCTGAGGAACTTGAGGCTGGAGAGATGTTAGATGGAATACGTGGTAAGAGACAATAAACGAAAGACGAGAACAAGGACAAGAAAGAAGAAACAACTTACGTGGACCTCAATTTGACCAAAATGCTCGCCCAGCTTCTTCTGCTCCTGTGGCGACAGGTTCTGGTTGCGGAAGAAGACAACGCTGCGCTCGGCAATTAGCAGAGCTAGCTCGTCTCGCTGCTCATCCGTCAGGTCCTTTAGCTGCAGGCCCTCAATCTCCGTCCCGATGTTCACCGTCAGATCCGTCACCTTGGTGGCCGCCCCCAGCAGGTGCTTCTTTGACTTGTCTGCGCGGGCGCCAGCGTCCACGTAGGGATAATCCTTGCCGCGAATCTTGTAGGCGTCGTCGAGGTACAGTGGTCGTGCTGGCCGGTACGGATAGCCGTTGGACAGGTCGATGCCGGCCTTAGTCAGCCGCTCTAGAGCGGGTTTTGGCAGGCCGAGGCTGTCTTTCCGTGGCTCTGCAACATCCACAATGGACGGGTCGATAGGTGCTGGGGCCATCTTGTAAGGATAGATGGTCGAGAGGGTCACGGATATGCTTGAAGGAGTTCAAAGACAGGCAGTATTGGGCTTCTGTCTAACCAGAGTGCAGATCAGAGAAACCGTTGGAATTGACGGTTGTTGCGTCCTACTTCCGGGATATACCATTCTTTATACACCGAGACGTTGGAAGCATCCGTAATCAGGCAACCAACAGCCGGCCTTTCTGTATCATTCCGAGTGCCGGAGACGATCCGGCCAAGTCCATTCTGGTTGGGTGCAGTCCTGGCGCTCTGAACATACGATCCATATCTCCCCCTCTCTCTTTGGCTGGCCGCTTCGAATACGACATCTGCTTGGAAATCGCTGGGCCATGCGGTTTTCTTGCGGCCACAGAATAATAAGCGTCACGTATGACGCCAACTCTGCGCGGAGCCGAGACCAGTAGATGCGGCTAGGCCCAGACTTGCTGTCGATCTGCCCCCCTTGGACGAGTGAGGAGAAGACTGATTCGATTTAGTCGACGTACACGAATGACAAATGCGAAACTGGAGCTGTCTAATAAGAGCTGCCGTATTCGTCCAACACGGATCTTCGGACTCTGAGTCGCGGGGTGGTGCCGGAGCATCTGCCCTTATCAGCCTGGCGTCATCAATTGGCCGGTGGCGCAATCTGCGGGCGCCGATTGTGTGCTCGAGCCGGTGTCATACCTGCAAGATACGACCTCTGCACGGCACCGCGCCGTTATGAGCAATCGTCTGCTCGCGGGGAGAAGGGTGGTCCACCTGACGTCTGCTGCCTTTTGACGAATGAGAACACATCTAGAGAGAGATGCGGCCAAGCAAAAACTGGAAAAAGGGGTACAGCAGTCACCCAGACTGCCTCTCAGATGTGCAGATTGATAAGCAGAGACGGTCACGTAATAGATCTGCTGGTGAAAGAGGCATCCAACAGATATGCGGAGAGCTTGTCGTCGTCGAGTATGCGCATCTCACCATTTCTGTGCCCGCGCACGTAACATGCGTCTAACCAAACCGGCCGCGTTGTTTCAGGCAGCCGAGACAACTTAAGCACGCAACAATTCTGGCAGCCACCTTGATACCACGCTGTCTCTTCTTTGTGGGGGCACATGATGGCCAACGCCCAAGGGATCGTCCGCCTGCACACATGTGGAATACAGGAAGCGATCCCGGCGGCTTTCTTTCTCGTCCTTACCTTGGCCGCTGTCCCGGACCTCTGCCTTTCGCTTGAGTATTGCTTTTCTTGTTGCATTCGGAGAGCTGTCGGTGAGCTTCAAACCTGCAGGCAGTCACCGGCAAGGAACGACGGAAGTGGAAGTCTGAAGCGATCACGAAAGGGAATGGAGACGACCGCAGGCTGGTTTTTTTTTTCGAATAATATTGGATGCGAGCAACACAGGTGTTCGGAACTCGAAATACCACAGACAGGACATCGAGATGGCGTCCTGGTTTTGGTCTCTGCGGAAGAACCCAGTAGATGAGCTTGAACACCAATACCAACCACTTTTGGTAGGTGGAGCGGTGTCGGCCGTTCCTTCCTCTTCAGCACAAAGAAATGAAGACGGTCCCGACAGTGAGACTGCTTACAAAGCAACAATTGAAGGCTCCCAACCGTTTGCATCATCATCTGTGTCTGGCTCCAGCACCTTGCACGGCGCCGGCCTGATCCTGAAGAAGCCCAAGCGGACATGGCGGTCCAATCTGTGGGACACGTTGGACAAGAGCCCGGAGGAGCGGCGGTTCCTGTTCAAGCTGGACACGGTGGTGCTGACGTTTGCGTCGCTGGGCTATTTTATCAAGAACCTGGACCAGTTGAACATCAACAATGCATACGTGTCTGGCATGAAGGACGACCTGGGGCTCTACGGCAACCAGCTCAACTACGCGATCGCCAGCTGGACCGTGGGCTACGTGATCGGCGAGGTGCCCAGGTGAGCGTCCTTCCACCCGTCCTCTCTTCGAGCTGCGCGCTGACACGAAAGATGCAGCAACCTGATCCTGACGCGCGTCCGGCCGTCGATATGGATCCCGGCCTGCGAGGTGACCTGGTCGCTGCTGACGGCCGTGACGAGCCGGGTGACGAGCGCCGGCCAGCTGTACGCGCTGCGCTTCCTGATCGGCCTGGCCGAGAGCAGCTTCTACCCGGGCATGCAGTACGTCATCGGCTCGTGGTACCGCAGCGACGAGCTGGCCAAGCGCTCGTGCATCTTCCACGCCGCCGGCGCCGTCGGCTCCATGTTCTCGGGCTACCTCATGGCCGGCGTGCACGAACATCTGGGCGGTGCCGATGGCGGCACCTTGCTCGGACTCCGCAGCTGGCAGTGGCTCTTCGTGGCCGACACGTGCATCTCGCTGCCCATCGCGCTCGCTGGCTTCTTCTTGCTGCCCGACGTGCCCGAGATCACGCGTGCCTGGTACTTTGACGCCGGCGAGATCGCCATGGCGCAGCGCCGCATCGCGCTCGAGGGCCGCGCCAGCCGCGGCGCCTTTTCGCGCGCCAAGTTTCGCCGCATCTTCTTCGACGGCTGGCACATCTACGCGCTGACGGCACTCTATGTTTGCTTTAATAACGGGTCCGGCTTCGGCGGCCAGCCGGCCTTCCAGCTGTGGCTCAAGAGCGCCGGCTACGGCGTCTCGGCCATCAACATCTACCCGACCCTCACGTCGGTCGTCCAGGTCGTCATGACGTTCGCCTATGCCTGGACCTCGGATGCGCTGCTCCGTGGCGCTCGCTGGCCGCCCATCGTCTTCGCCGGCTGCCTCAACATTGTCATCTACACCAGCCTCGCCGTCTGGGACATCCCCGTGGCCTGGAAGTGGACTTGCTTCCTGCTCACCGGCTGCGGCGCCGGCATATCCGGCCTCACGTACGCCTGGGCCCACGAGATCTGCCGCGGCGACAACGAGGAGCGCGCACTCGTGACCGGCACCATGAACGAGATGGCCTACGTCTTCCAGGCCTGGCTGCCGCTGCTGGTCTGGCAGCAGGTCGACGCGCCCTACTATCGCAAGGGCTTCGTGTCCAACATCGTGCTCAGCGCGCTTCTCATCGTCATGGCATTCCTGATCCGGAACCTGCATCAGAAGGAGAAGCGACAGAATAAACTGACCGAGGACGACGACGAACAGGTCCAACTCGTCGTGTAGTACATGACGCCTCAGGAGACGCAAGCACTGTTTCGTTTCTGTCTATTTAATTTTCCTCTCACCTTCCATAACGATAGACCACGATCCAAGAATAAACAGAACCGGTATAGATTTCCTACATAATAACTAGGCGTGTGGTTGTTAGTTTGCAGCGGCATACAATAGCTGAAAAAAGGGACTCACTCAACCATTCGACAATAGTATGAAGTGTTCCTTAGCAATTGCCGACACATAAACATGGTGTGGATTCTGGGAGGTCATCTAACTCTTACGAAACATCTGACATCCCTTATTAAACTGCGCTGAATAAAAGGTGCGATTACAAGACTAGACATGCATTACTAAAGTCTGTATGCCAGTCTCTACGCCAGTCTCTCTGTGTCACTCTCTAACAACACAAAGAATTGGTTGCAATGACTTCCCAATAAAGCAGGGGTAAGATAAACTTAATTTACGGAGTAATCCATTTTAACAAACAATTAGTATACGAAAGCGCCATTGTGTAGAGAAAGAAGTAAAAGGCGCGCACGCGCGGGGTTAAACAAAAAATATGGTTATTATATGATCGCAACTTTTTAGGTGCTGTCAACGAACGATGGATTTTTCATTCCCAAGAAATCCACCACTAAATAAGACTGAGCCCTACGCAGAACCAACTTGGGCTAGTCAACCCACCTAGGAATAGTCATCCCGACATCTTCTGAAGGCCTTGAGCTTACTACAAGGCTTGCAACTGATCCGGACGTATATCTCAGAGATTGACATACGGGTCTTAAAGTGGTATCACGCAAAGGCACAACCTTCGCGTTATAGACTGGTGGTGGACACAGTATAAGCTACAATGGCACAGACATGCTTGTTAGCCGTCGATAGCGCTACCAAAGTGGGAAGCATAAATGCATTCTCGTTGTCCACCATCCTCAAGAGACAACTCTAAATATAGCACCGGCATTACACAGTCTAGCGGAATTGGGGTCTCTGTACTCAGTAGTCCGAATTTGTGGCTGTCTTGGCACTGGACAGTCGTATCAACACTCCGCCTCGCAAGGCAGGGTTGGCAAGGCTGGCCAGGCGAGGATGGCTGAGCATAAATATTCTTTGATGCCCCTTTACCACGACATTTATGATGTGGCCTGGAAAATACGAGAGATATCTCTCGATAACAAACAGTTCACTTCATCGCTGAATTCCACAATAGCCCTACATACTGCCAATATGCACTCAATTGCTTCTTTTGATTGTGCAGAAATCAGCGGCGACGATAACCAGCGCAGATCTAAACCTTCTGGCAGATTCTGGACTAGCAATGCAAGCTGCGGATGGAGTTTCGAGTTCTTCTGTATGGCGGCGAGCTTCCTGTGCACCGGTGCTATCAGCGTCATTCTCTTTCAGATGAACCACCGGAGCGCTCAGAGCTGGACCTTTCACTTCACCATCAACTCGGTAATCGCCGCCCTATCCACGCTTCTGAAGATTACAGTAACCGCCGTGCTGGCGTCTTGCCTGAGCCAGATGAAGTGGCTTCACTTTAAAACATCTGCCCGACAGCTACGTGACCTTGATCTTTATGATGCCGCCAGCCGGGGCAGTACTTGGGGCGCGGCTGTCGTGCTGTGGTACTCCCTGTGTAAATGGTCGAGCTTTACGGCTGCAGCGGCCGCATTTACGACTATTCTTGTTCTACCTAAGAGCATTGCCGTCCAGCAGTTGGTCGGTACAGACCTGCGCAGTGTCACTGTCGAAGGCCAGAACGCCTCGTTCCCCGTATGTCTTGATTATAACGGCGGGACGATTTCCGATGCGGCTCATGGCAGTGATTTCTATCCGCAAGGTATGAAAATATCGTCGGTATCCTGCACATATCAATTATGCTGAAAAACGCTCGTTGGTGTCTGCCAGCTTCAACGGCCGATGTCAAGATGCAGGGGGCAATCTACAATGGCATTTTCAATATTAGCACAACACCCATCTACACATGTCCATCGACGTGTGTCTGGGACACTGATATATACCATACTCTGGGATTCCACGCCAATTGTACGGATGTTACAAAGTCGATGGTGGTGAGCCCCTACCCATCTAGTGCCTGGATCACAGCGTATTCTGTCATGACCCCCAACAATATATCAATGTCAGCAAACTTTTCCACAACCGCCAACCAGGCTGTTATTAACGTCAAAGCTATCGATCTGACTGGCGAATTTTCCAGCACTATGCCGGCTGAGTTCATCCGCATCGGAATTCTCAAATCGCCCGTTACAAACGAGGCCAATAACGTCATTGACCAACATTTTCTGGAAGGGTATGAATGCACCGTGGCCTTCTCTGGATATTCCTATTCGTATGCCTCTGCAAATGGCACGCATTTTAGTATCGGCACCTCGACAATGACGCCGTTAGACGAGGGCTTTCTTACGTCTGCTTCGATAACAGAATCCTTCGTCCAATTCAACAAAACTCATCTGCCAAAGATGACAGCCAGGGTTCCTGATATTGGGGGCATAGTAAAATTTTTTACATCTGACCGCTTTAGTGGCACCGTTTATAATGGCGAAGGCGTTCCCAATGATCCGCAGGGCGTTGGTGTTGCACTATTGAACGCGGACGTCGGAACAGCGTTTAGCGCTATGGCTGATAGTATGACTGCTCAGTTACGGCAAAGCACAAATTCCAGTCTAGCCTACGGCAAGGTTTTAAGTCAGGTCGCAGTTGTCCACGTTTACTGGTACTATTTGCTTCTGCCCTTGGCCGTTCAGTGTCTTTCTCTGGGACTCCTTATCCAAACTTGGCTCTACAATAAGAAAAGCAGAGTGGCGCTCTGGAAAGACTCCACTGTGGCAGTCCTTTACCACGGTGTTGTTTCCAACACCGGCTCTCCAGACATTATTCGCACGGACATCGAGAGTACAGAGAACCTGAACACTCTGGCTAAGCAATCGAAGGCCAGACTGGATTGAGCTTCGGATCACGAAACGACGCCTGAATGAGTCGACTACGAGAGGATGCGAATTTTTGCACTAGTGAGAGTGTGCTTTAAATGATTATAGGAAGTCTCATAATTTGACTCGACTTATTGCTGTAGTTTTGACAGTCGATCGGGGTTTTTAAAAAAAACCCACAATTTAACCAATACGAGAAAACAGTAATAACTCTTTATGTGATTATGAATAGCGAAGAACGTAGAGCACTTCATGCACTTTAATGAAGGTGAAAAATAGAACAAATGAGAATAAGCCCCGAAGGCATGTTCAATAGGTTCTACTTATGAGTAGACAGATACACGATGGGCAAGATATCCTAAATGTTGTATCTTACCGTTGATGTCTGGGACAGCTTGGTCCAGCTTCCACGATGCCACTGCAGTACTTTGATTGGCCAATGTGTCGTAAAGGTCCATACATTAGCTCCATGAATAGGGAAGGCACGGACCAGTCAACTAGCCCCACATGCTGTCCTTTGCGCATGTGAGTGGGACGACGGGTGTCGCAAATGCAACAGGGGAAGGAAAAGCTGAGCTGCTGTTTGGCCAACGTGTGTCGGAGCTTCCCCTTTCCCCATTTCCACTTGCGAGTACTTCTGGCAACTTCTTCTGACAAAGTTCCTTGTCCCCTCTTTCCTTTCCACATCGCCATCCCAGGACGATCGCATTCATTTCTGTCTAAAAGAAAAACTGCAAAGAACAGCGAAATCAGATTATACCTACATCTCCAATAGCACACCTCAAAATGAGCGACAAGCCAGTTGAGACACCGGCTGCGGAGGTGAAGGCAGTTGAGGAGCCCACAGCTGCCCCGGTTTCTACGGAGACTATCATCAAAGAGACGCCCGAGACGACTGTTGACGCCGCCACCGAAAGTGCAACGGAACCAGTCCCGGCCGTTGAGGCAGCTCCGGCCGTTGTTGAGACAGCGCCGGCTGCTATCACTGAAGAGGAAAACTCTGTTGAGGTCACACCCGTGGAGGAAGCAAAGCCTGTTGAAGCGACCAAAGCGGTCGAGGAGACCGAGCCTGCAGAAGCTACACCCGCAGAGGAGACAAAGGCCACAGAGGCCGTCCCGGAGGCGGAGGTCGCAGCGGCTGCCCCCACTGTCACTGAAATCCCCTCTGTGGCCGAGATCTCCGCTGTCACTGAAGTCTCCGCCGTCGCCGAGATCTCCGCTGTCACTGAGGTCCCCGCCGTCGCTGAGGTCTCCGCTGCCACTGAAGTCCCCGCTGCCACCGAGGTCTCCGCTGTTACTGAAGTCCCCGCTGCAACTGAAGTCCCCGCTACCGCTGAGGTCTCCGCTGCAACTGAGGTCCCTGCTGTTGAGGTACCCGCTGCTGCGGCTGCCGGGGCCGAAGCCCCGACCCCGACCCCTGAAGAGCCCAAAATCACGCCCATCCAGGCTCTGTGGGCTGCCGCCCAAGAAAACGGCCACCCTGAGATCTGGGGCGTCACCCTGGCCGACCCCAGCGCCCATGTGCCCAGCCAGATCGTCTTCCAAAAGTACCTCAACGCCAACGACGGCAACTTTGACAAGGCCAAGGACCAGCTGCTCAAGACGCTCGAGTGGCGGGCCAAGACCAAGCCGCTCGAGCTGCTGAAGCAGGAGTTTGATAGTGCCAAGTTTACTAGCCTTGGCTATGTCACCAGCTACACGGCCGGCGAGACCTACGATTCCGCCGTGCCCGAGTCCAAGGAGGTCTTCACTTGGAACGTCTACGGCAACGTCAGCAGCATGGACAAAACATTTGGCAACCTACAGGAGTGAGTCGATTGTGCTGCCTCTTTGTTATGCGTCTCCCATGTTCCTACATAATCTGACAATCTAGGTTTATCAACTGGCGTGTCGCCCTGATGGAGCTCGCTCTGCAGGAACTGTCGCTGTCCACCGCAACCAAGAACATCACGGCCGAATACGACCCCTACAAGATCTTCCAGGTCCACGACTACAAGTCCATCAGCTTCCTGCGCCAGTCCCCCCTTGTCAAAGCTGCCAGTACCGAGACCATCAAGGTCTTTGCCACGAGCTATCCCGAGCTGCTCAAGGAGAAGTTCTTCGTCAACGTACCCGCTATCATGGGTTTCGTTTACTCCTTCATGAAGCTGTTCGTTGCTGCCAAGACCATCAAGAAGTTCCATCCGATGTCCAACGGCTCTGGCCTGGCGAACGAGTTGGGCAGCAGCCAGATCAAGGACCTGGGCAAGCGTCTGCCCAATGAGTACGGCGGCAGCGCTGGTGAGCTCAAGACACTGGGCAAGGAGACGGCACTGAAAGCTGCTCCTGCTGCAGAAGAGCTAAAGACGGTAACCAAGATCGAAGCCAAGGCTCCAGCTGAGGCCAAGGCCGAGTGAGTACAAATGGCTGGCCTATTTGTGGGCAAAATCAATCAGCCATAGCTGCAACATACGGTCGAAGACACGGGTGTTGCACGTTGTTTCATTTTTTTGAGTCACTGTTTTGCTCAACTATATCCTTGCTGTTTCTTCGTTTTTGAGGCTAAATGCCTATAATACATAGAGAGATCCCCTGTGTTAAAAGTTGTCTGTGTCCCTTACGGAAGAGACGGCTATAATGAAGCACATTTTATACCCTTTAAACTTAAATCGAGTAACCTTGCTGCCATCAGATGGGGAAGCAAATGGGTTGTTTCATTTTTACGAGGGTGCCCAGTCGGATTGTCTCTCCATTGGAACGACAACAATACTCCGTACTACGGAGTCAGGATAAGCTCAGCGGTGAGCCAGGCGACGGCGTGGCGAGCGTGTTGCGCAGGCTGAAGTGGTGCAGGTTGCCGATGAAGCCGTTGGTCGCGGTGCTGCTAGAGGCCAGCGAGTAGCCCCTGAAGTACCTCTGGAACACGACCACGCTGAAGGACATCATGCACACCCCATATCAACGACAAGGACCGACTTGCGCCGTGCCAGGCCCGAGTAGAGAAAGGCAATGCGACCAAGATAAACCCGACAAAGTGAGACTAAAGGTTTAGTGCTACAACAGCGTACAAGTTTCTCCAGGCAACCTTGGGAGTTGATAATAGCGCAGTGTCATGTCGTTATGCGAGCACTTATCAGCGACACGTCATTTTCAGGTTCGCATCAGCCAGATCACAGACATGTGGGAGGGGCAGTAGAGGAAAAAAAAGGAAAGCCGGCATAAGGCGCCGGTCGGTCTCTGAGGCCGCTGCTCAACTTGAAGTCAAGCAAGAGTTTTTTTCTTTCTTCTTGTTCTTCCTGGGACGCATGGGTCCACCAGGGGAAAATACAAAACCAGTTGCTCCGTTCCCGAACCGAACCTATGCCACGCTCATCAAAGATTGTTCATTTTGCCATCTTTTCCGACAATTTTCAATTTCTCTTGTGTTGTCTTGCCTCCTCCAAATCCACCCCCTTCCCTTCCTGGGATGTGAGACGACGCTTAGCGGACAATGCCGTCGAAGCGCTGCTTGAACCACCGGACGGTCTCGTCGCGGTTGATGCGGTGGCTGGCACCGACACGGGCCTTGGCGCGGCGGCGGCGGGAGACACGCTCACCCGGGCGGGTCATGCAGCAGTAGAAGTCCATGCCGTAGATACCGATACCGGGGTCGTACTTGATGCCCAGGTCGATGTGCTCGCTGATACCGAAGCCGAAGTTGCCCGTCTCGCTGAAGTTGCGCTTGCGGAGCTCGTACTCCTTGACCTTGAGGCCACGCTCCAGAATCTCCTCGGCCTTGGGGCCGCGGATGGTGACGTGCACAGAGATCTTCTCGTTACGGCGGATACCGAACGTGCGGACAGTGTAGCGGGCCTTGCCTGAAAGAGGGAGAAAAAGAGCATGTTAGAGAAAACGGAGCCGAGAAAAGTGCTTGAGCTGCAATGGCCTTGGACAGCATTGCAACGTACTGTACACAGGCGTCTGACCGCTCAGCTGCTCGAGCACCTTGGCGGCACGAGTCAGTCTGTCACCAGACTCGCCGACAGAGATGTTCAGGACGAGCTTCTGGATGCGGAGCTCCCGCATGGGGTTGGTCTTCTCAGCCTGCGCACGCCGTGTAAGTAGTCATTCGACAATCTCATGCCATACAAGATCTGGGTCTCTCTCTCACCATTTTAATGGATTGGTCCTCACGGAGTGTCGACTTCGGTTGTTGAGGTGGTTGTCGTTGATGGTTGGATTGTCAAGGATTAGAATTTCCAAAAAAGAAAAAGTCTACAGAAAAGAAATAGGGCAATTCAAAAGTTTTTGTGTGGGCCAGTAGATCGTGAGCCCTACTAAGCATAGAGTCACGTGCACTATGGACAATCAAGACTTGGGTGGGCGACGAGCCGGTTCTCATTAGCGTGATGCATCTTACCTAATCATGTGGGTCACTGTCTTGACCGCGAGCAGGTAAACTTTTGCATCGTCGGATATATACGCTTGCCTCTGCTTATGCCACCCAACCTCTATCAGCGGGACCCTCATAAGCTTTGCACACCAGCAAATTAAGAGTGGAACTGCGCCGAAGCTTCGAACAAGCTTTGAAGAAACAAAGGGAGAAGCTTTGGCACAATTTTTGAAACCCCAAAGAGAAGAGTCGTTGCATTGACGTGCAACATCTCTTAAACCACAATCCAAGATGGCGACCAACAAGCAAGGCAAAATGGTACGGACCTCGCTATCCCTCCTGCTCCTCATGACTCGGCTGATGCTAACATATATGCTATTGGTTGTTGACAGGCCGGTTACGTACGTGCACCCCCCCTTGCGGCCACCTTCGTCACGATGTCCTCCCGCGTTGTCCGGCTCCGATATAGAAGCTGACCAGCTCTGCAGATCAACTACCGGATGAGAGTAACCCTCAACGACGGCCGGCAGATGACGGGTCAGATGCTGGCTTTCGACAAGGTAAGCCGCACTATGCTGTGGTTTGTTTGACGGGGCCCGGTGCATCAACGACGCGCTGTTCTGCCCGATGGCCCCCTTGAATGTACAAGAGCTAATGGCTAACGCCCATCCTAGCATATGAATCTTGTGCTCGCCGACACGGAAGAGTTCCGCCGCATTCGTCGGAGACAGGCCAAGCCGGCCGCTGCCAGCGGTACCGCCTCGACGACACAGACCATTGAACAGGAGGAGAAGCGCACCCTCGGCCTAACTATTGTCCGCGGCGCGCAGATCGTGTCGCTCTCTGTCGAGTCGCCGCCGCCGGCAGACCCAAGCGCACGCCTGGGCAAGGCGCCGACTGGTGGTGTGGCTTCGGGTCTGACTGCAGGTCCAGGTGTCGCGCGTCCGGCTGGTCGGGGCGCCGTACCCATCTCGCTGGCGGTAGGTTTCCTCGTGCTCGAAGCTTGAATTGCACATTCCTCTCTCACTTACCGACACTCGAAAACAAGGCTGACATTTATAGGGTCCCGCTCCTGGCGTTGGTGTTCCTGGCCAGTCTTTCCCGCCTGGTTTCCCTGGCGCACCCGGTTTCGGCCGTGGTGGTGAGTTTTCTCCCCGACTGCCTGCACACTGGTTATTTGTGGCATTCGCTAACAAGGCGTGTTTGTGCAGCTCCTCCTGGATTTGCCCCTGGAGGCTTCCCCCCCGCAGGCTTCCCCGGCGCTCCTGGCTTCGCACCCCCCGGTTTCCCCTCTGGCGGTGCTCCGCCCCCGGGATTCAACCCTCCCCAACGGCGGTAATAGCCTTTGATGGCATGCTTCATGCATGGAGGACTTGATTTGCCCGATACCAAAAACGATATGCTGTTATTGACCTGACGGCGGATGCAATGCTTTACAATTTCGCGGCGTTATTTGGGTTGTAGATGGGTGAAGAGATAATTGGACAAGTCCAAAGAAACCATCATCTGTTCCGATATGGCAATAGCTAGAGGCACTTTCGGCTCTTGGTGAAAACAAAACCGTCTTCAATGATACCAAGCCAAAATCCAATTCAACAGGTGGCAATAAATGATTTCGTATTCTTTGTTCACTGAACCTGAACTATTACGGTCTTCCTTATCGATACAGGCACGTGACCACCCGATGGGGTAGATGTCCGGGGTCCGAAATTTCAACGGCGATTTCCCCATTCCGACGCCGTACTGGTGGGAAAAGCGAGCTGGTTATGACTGTTTGACGAACCAGTACGAATTTCTGCCTTTCTGCCTTTCCACCTCTCTACACCATCGCACCGCTCTTCTATCGCCGTCAATCTGTTGACGACAAGATTACAAATCATATTCAGTATGGCAGCACTCGTGAAGGCGGTTAACGCCAAGATCCGGTCAAACCCGTATGTGAGCTACTTCTGCTCAACGCGTACGTGAACCAACCCCCCATTGTCACGGAACACCTCCGAGATACAGCATTTGCTTTTGTACCTGCGCGGTTGGATTTCCGAGATAGACATATGAGGAGTGAGAGGCAATGCACTGGAGAGGCAAGACCACAGTGATTATCGAAACTCGAATCATGTCATGCGATGCCGAGTTCGGAGGGGCGGTGTTGAGGTCGCATGGTGGCGACCGTCTCGTCTCAACCTCTCTTTTTGTTCGATGCGACAGGCTCTGCTCTTTGTACTTTGCGCCTCCATCTTGCTGACCCTGTTCGGTTATAGACTTCTGGGGCCCGGCGTCCAACTTCGGTATCCCTGTGGCGGCGGTGATGGACACCCAGAAGAGCCCTGACCTGTAGGTTTTATGCCTTTTCTGTGGCGTTGTCAGCTAGTGACTAACCGTGCGGGCAGGATCTCGGGCAAGATGACATTTGCGCTTGTGATCTATTCGGCGACATTTATGCGCTACGCGATGGCAGTCCAGCCAGCGAACTACCTCCTCTTCGCCTGCCACTTTGTCAACGAGGGCGCGCAGCTGACACAATTCTACCGGTATTTGAACTACAACAACTGGGACGTCACCGGCAAGAGCGGCAACAAGAGCGTGCCGGGCGTGCTGGAGGCGGCCCAAGCCAAGGTCGCGGATGCCGTGAAGAAGTAAGCGCCATGTAGCTGTGGAGAATGGGGAGGATAGAAAGTGGAAGAAAGAGAGAAAGAACGAGAGACGACGGCGAGTCTTGAAGGGCAGAGACACAGCAGCAAATCATGCCGGGTTGAAGACGCCGGATACACACCAAGAAGGCGAATATGCAGAAGGGTAAAGGGGGGCACAGAGGAGGAAGGTGGATGCGGAAGGCAGGGATGTTACTCTGGAGGTTACGGTTTGGTGGCATGAGCTCTAGAATCATGCGTGCCGCTTATCTTCTCTGCCTCCTCGCGGGATGTCGGAGATGAAGGCTGCATTGCGGAAGCAAGATGACGCGGTATAGTACATAAAATAGCATGCCGACATCTGGAATACGGCTTATACAATGTCTTTTCTACTTTCGTCTTATCCTGGCGAGAATTTTTTTCGTATTCTCTACAGATGAAACGGAAGTCAATTGGTACGTAGGATGACATACGGCTTGGTCTCTCCGAGAAATCCCCACCTCTGCGAAAAACCCCGGGATCACTGGCACGTCCCTCTGCACTTGCGGAAACCATCGGTTCATGTTTGTGCCGGGAAAAGAGGAGCCTAAATTCAACACAGCCAGGTAGGATGGGGGGGGGGGGTCTTTGCGGGGAAGCCTTAACACGGGCGAGGCTGAGTTTAATGAGGACGGCCCAGGGACTGCTCTGTAGATCGTTAATCGCTGCTACGAGGACAAACGTACCCCGCGAGATAGCCGTATCCGCAAGGTACAAGCGCATAGGCAGCATGCGATTGCGTCGGAAGATGTCGGCACAACCATTCGACTATGGTCGGTCTCGGCAAAGCGTACGCACATAATGGCCGAGACCCTCTCCCATCACCCATTGCACGGTTTGTACGGTTGAGCGATGCATGGGCTGGAGCATGGAAATGATGGGAACAATAGTATGGGAGACTTCAGTGGGGGGGATGAGGGAACAGAGGATGGGGGGGTCAGTCAGGAAAATTAGGTGCATGAAGAGTGTACGGGTACACGTCATGGCTTGTGATGCACAACTCTTGGTTGAAAGTGGGATGTGTATGCGAGGCTTTGGCCCTCCAATAGAAGTACGTTGCAAGAGACAGCCAAGTGAGCACAAAGCCATGATAACCCAAATTTCAGTCAGTAAGACTCACCGTCAATGCAGCTCTCTTGGTGACCGGCATATCGGTGGTTGTGTCTGGACGTTATGACTGGTAGATGAGCGCGAAAAAGAAGAAGAAAAACAGAGCTATGAAACATGGGATTTGCCCCCAATCGGCGCAAATCCCATATTGACAAATGGCAATCTGGAGGGCCGGGCCCGGCACCGAAGGTCGGCGTCTTCATTCTCTGGTCTGCTGACCCCAAACCAAGGATTTGAGTTTCATCATCTCACTGTGAACATTCGGGCGTTGTCAGACGGAGCTAGCTGTGCATAATAGCGTGCATCAATAGTGTCATTGGGCAAGAACGGCGATTCAAGTGCTTTTTTTCTCTAGACGCTAGACGTGGAAAAAGGAAGCGACATGCAGACAAGAGAGCAGAAGCAGGACGGGGGGGAAAGTGATTTCACAATGCCGAGGAGTTGAAGCGGTGGATGTCTCAATCGCATTGCACAAGACACGAGCGATCACGAGGAGAGAAGGAGCGAGAAGCGGATTGGAGAGAGGACACAAGGTGCAGGAGGGCAGTCGGGTCGCATCTACCGTATCTGCCGGTTGGGATCAATACGGCGTCTTCCAAAGGCCCGTCCGCATTTCGGGTTTTCCTGCATTGCTGCGAGACTGTGGAGGGCGGAGGGCTGGGGGGAGACTGGGGTTGCTCGACTTCCTTTGCACCGAGTCACTCGGTCCCCGGCTTTTGTCCCGCGACATATCGAACGAGTAAGACGCAGTCTAGCCGCCAGGACGCAAGATAGAGCCTGCAGGTGCCTGGTTGAGCCTGTTTTTTATCCTCGGTTGCCTAGTGAGCGACAAGCAGCAGCCGGCACAGAGCTGCTCCATCCCGGACGGCCTGTCGCAGAGCATCCCGCACATCTGGCACTCTCCGAGGACAGATGCATGCTCTCTCACACAGCGGCCAGTTGCGGCCGGTATTCTGTCCCACTTGGCGGGCCACTCACGGCTCTTGTTTTTCTAGACGTTTTTATTTCTATTTTTTATTTATCAAGATACACACCCCTCTTGTGGACCCACCACTGACGCATGCCCTTTGTCTTGAACGGCGTTCTTCCCAATGCCCAGAACACTGCCCCTTCAGCTGCAGGATGCCTCTACCGGCATCAGTCGTCGATGCAGAGCTCCCAGAGTCCGGAAGTCAGCGCTCCGGTCTTTTGCCCTGGTTTGGGGAGAATGGAAAGTTCTCGTGTCTGCTGCTGGCATATGACTGCCCCGCCAAATATTACAAAATAGTGGGAAGATACGAGTATACATTCCAAGTGCGTCAGAGCTTGGTCGCCAATTGCTGCCCCTCACTGGCTCCAGCTTGCTGCTGTAATACTGCAAGTCTTATTTTGTAGCCCGGTCCCCTGGCAGAACGGTCCCGCTCGACCTGACTCACCAACGGCATCCTCCAAAAAGGGCCATCCCCTCTGGAAGAGACGAGGCTATCAAAGGCACTGGTCCTTTTCTGGCCCATTTTACGCCAGACCATTCGCTCGGTGTTTGTAAAAAAAAAAAAGAGCTCCACCTGGTTTTCTGCCGCATCGCTCATCCTCGTCCTCATATTCTTGTCCACATCCCCCACGTCTTCCCTCCTTCTGCTTGTTCATTTCTGTCGCACCTCCTGCAGTCGGGAACGAAATTGGAACTGTCTGATTCACCATACCTACCGTTACCCCGGAGTACAAGGTCAGTGAGAACAACCCACCAGTCAGGTGCATGTGGTTGCTGTGCGCGTGAGCCGTAAAAAATGACAAAGACCGAAATACCGCGGCACATGCTTCCACGGCCGGCTGCAGATTGCTGCAGCTCTGGATAAAGGGCACTAGCTATCTGCTGGTCCATATATAATGCTAACAAACCCCAGGCTCTCTCGCCCAAAACATTGATTGCAGCTTTCGCCTGAAAACTGTGTATGTAAGTCGACGGATCGATGACACCTGCTGTTTTTTGGGGGCCCTAATACCCTTTGAGCTTCCCCCTCCTCTTTCCCCTTTCGTCCATTTCCATTTCCCTCCAAAGACACAAAATCTAGTGTCTGACCAAAGCTCTCAGCCAGTCCGAAACGGTCCTTCAAACCAAAAAGGACTAATCATTGAAACATCCATAACGAGCCAGCAAAGGTCAGCCAATCACTTTTTTGTGCTTCGAGAACCATTGCACATCCATTATCGTTGCCTGTTCTAGCCCCTCCCTTTGTCCCTTTGTCTCCCCCCCCGCCTTCACCTGCAACAGACTGGCAGCTTTCTTATCTTCCCCCATTTAAACATTTATACCTTGGTGTCATCTTCCAACAAACGCCTACTCGCCGATAGTTGCGGCCGTTTACCCCTCTATCATTGCTCTTCCTACTACTGCCTAATTGACCCCCATACTTACTGGAACATTTGCAGCCTTCCACAATCTAGCGACCTAAAGCATATATTTTCCACCGAGCTTGGAGCTTTGTCCAGCTCCACCACCAGCTACCACCAACCAACAATTCCCCCCCGGTTGACAGCATGGCGGATGAAAGCATTCTTGCCGGCGCTGCCGTCGACACGTTTGAGGATGTGTTTGACGAGGAGGAGCCTCCCAAGGAGGCTCCTAGCATCCAGCGCATTCGCGCCAACTCCACCATCATGAGGCTGACCAAGATTCTCGTCGCCAACCGAGGCGAGATTCCCATCCGCATCTTCAGAACGGCTCACGAGCTTTCGCTCCACACAATCGCCGTCTTCAGCTACGAGGACCGTCTCAGCATGCACAGACAGAAGGCCGACGAGGCCTACGTCATTGGAAAGCGCGGCCAGTACACACCCGTGGGAGCTTACCTTGCTGGCGACGAGATCATCAAGATTGCACTCGAGCACGGCGCGCAGATGATTCACCCGGGTAAGTTGGAGCTTCTCTTCTTTTCGGTTAGGATTGTCTAACACGTTCTACCAGGCTACGGTTTCCTGTCCGAGAACGCTGACTTTGCCCGCAACGTTGAGAAGGCTGGCCTCATTGTATGTGCCGAATTCTGGCCGTGACGGCAACCTCTGGCTTTTTCGTGCCCCTCTGACTGATCAACCCTCTGTTAGTTCGTCGGCCCGAGCCCGACCGTGATCGACGCGCTTGGTGACAAGGTCTCCGCCCGGAGGCTCGCTATCAACGCCAAAGTCCCCGTTGTTCCCGGAACAGAGGGTGCCGTTGAGACCTTCCAAGAAGTGAAGACGTTCACAGACGAATACGGCTTCCCCATCATCATCAAGGCTGCCTATGGCGGTGGTGGCCGTGGTATGCGTGTCGTCCGGGACCAGGAGTCGCTTCAGGAGGCGTTTGAGCGTGCCACCTCCGAGGCAAAGAGTTCCTTTGGTAACGGCACCGTCTTCGTCGAGCGCTTCCTCGACAAGCCGAAGCACATTGAAGTCCAACTTCTCGGTGACAACCACGGCAACATTGTCCACCTGTACGAGCGTGACTGCTCCGTCCAGCGTCGCCACCAGAAGGTTGTCGAGATTGCTCCGGCCAAGGATCTTCCGGCAGCTACGCGTGACGCTATTCTTGCCGATGCCGTCAAACTGGCCAAGTCTGTCAACTACCGTAACGCCGGTACGGCCGAATTCTTGGTCGACCAGCAGAACCGCTACTACTTCATCGAGATCAACCCACGGATCCAGGTCGAGCACACCATCACTGAGGAGATCACGGGCATCGATCTTGTTGCCGCCCAGATTCAAATTGCTGCCGGTGCCTCGCTGCAGCAGCTGGGCCTCACCCAGGACCGCATCTCCACCCGCGGTTTCGCCATTCAGTGCCGTATCACAACCGAAGACCCGGCTAAGGGCTTCCAGCCTGACACGGGCAAGATCGAGGTCTATCGTTCTGCCGGCGGTAACGGCGTGCGTCTCGATGGCGGTAACGGTTTTGCAGGCGCTGTCATTACTCGTACGTTTATCAACGGAGCTTTCTTGCTGGCATTCACATTAGCTATTATCCCAGTGCTTCCCCTCATATACTGACTCGAACAATAGCCCATTACGACTCCATGCTTACTAAGCTGTCTTGTCACGGCTCTACCTACGAGATTGCCCGTCGGAAGGTCCTGCGTGCACTGATCGAGTTCAGAATCCGCGGTGTCAAGACCAACATTCCCTTCCTGGCCTCGCTGCTTACACACCCTGTCTTCATCGACGGCAACTGCTGGACGACCTTTATCGATGACACACCCCAGCTGTTTGACCTGGTGGGCAGCCAGAACCGTGCCCAGAAGCTGCTTCTGTATCTGGGTGACGTTGCCGTCAACGGCAGCAGCATCAAGGGACAGGTTGGCGAGCCCAAGTTCAAGGGAGACATCATCATTCCCGAGCTTCTTGACGACAATGGCAAGAAGATTGACGTCAGCGAGCCGTCGACCAAAGGCTGGCGCAAGATCATTCTCGAGCAGGGCCCCAAGGCCTACGCCAAGGCCGTCCGCGACTACAAGGGCTGCCTCATCATGGACACGACCTGGCGTGACGCCCACCAGTCGCTGCTGGCAACACGTGTGCGCACGGTTGACCTGTTGAACATTGCCCGTGAGACGAGCCATGCGCTGCACAACCTGTTCAGTCTGGAGTGCTGGGGTGGTGCCACTTTTGACGTGGCCATGCGCTTCCTGTACGAGGACCCGTGGGACCGGCTGCGCCGCATGCGCAAGCTCATCCCCAACATCCCCTTCCAGATGCTGCTACGCGGTGCCAACGGCGTGGCCTACTCCTCGCTCCCCGACAACGCCATCGACCAGTTCGTTGACCAGGCGAAGAAGAATGGTGTTGATGTCTTCCGCGTGTTCGATGCTCTGAACGATATCAACCAGCTTGAGGTCGGCATCAAGGCCGTACACAAGGCTGGTGGTGTCGTTGAGGGCACCGTTTGCTTCTCTGGCGATAGTGAGTCTTTACTATCATTAGCCCTTTCTCCTTAAGATCTATTTTTTTTGCTAATTGTTCACAGTGCTGGTATGTTTGACTCTGCTTATCATTTTCTTGCGTGTCTGAAATTTGGCACAGCCCAAAATTGCCGAACAAAGACATTGACGCTATGCATATACCCTTTAAACGCATACCCTATATGCAATTACTGACACCTTCACAGAATCCCACGAAGAAGTACAACCTGCCGTATTACCTCGAACTGGTCGACAAGCTTGTTGCCCTTGACATTCATATCCTGGGTATCAAGGACATGGCTGGTGTGCTCAAGCCGCATGCAGCCCGTCTTCTGATCGGCTCCATTCGCAAGAAGTACCCCGATCTTCCCATCCACGTGCACACGCACGACTCTGCGGGCACGGGTGTGGCTTCAATGGTCGCATGTGCCGAGGCAGGTGCCGATGCGGTTGATGCTGCCACGGACAGCCTGTCAGGAATGACCTCTCAGCCGAGCATCAACGCCATTCTCGCCTCTCTCGAGGGTACCAACCTCGACCCTGGTCTCGATGTGCGCCACGTGCGCGCATTGGACACATACTGGGCACAGCTCCGCCTCTTGTACTCGCCGTTCGAGGCCCACCTTACGGGTCCGGATCCGGAGGTGTACGAGCACGAGATTCCTGGTGGTCAGCTCACGAATATGATGTTCCAGGCGTCGCAGCTCGGCCTTGGTTCGCAGTGGGCCGAGACCAAGAAGGCTTACGAGCACGCCAACGATCTTCTTGGCGACATTGTCAAGGTCACGCCAACATCCAAGGTGGTTGGTGATCTGGCACAGTTCATGGTGTCCAACAAGCTGAGCGCGGAAGACGTCAAGGCGCGCGCTGGCGAGCTCGACTTCCCTGGATCTGTTCTGGAATTCTTCGAGGGTCTGATGGGCCAGCCGTACGGCGGGTTCCCGGAGCCGCTGCGCACGAACGCACTCCGCGGCCGTCGCAAGCTGGACAAGCGTCCAGGCCTGTTCCTGGAGCCGGTCGACTTTGCCAAGGTCCGGAAGGAGCTGGCTAAGAAGTATGGTGCGCCAGTGACGGATTCAGATGTGGCTTCGTACGTCATGTACCCGAAGGTGTTCGAGGACTACAAGAAGTTTGTGACGCGGTATGGCGATCTGTCAGTGCTGCCGACCAAGTACTTCCTGTCGAAGCCGTTGATCGGCGAGGAGTTCCACGTGGAGCTGGAGCGCGGCAAGGTTCTGATCCTCAAGCTGCTGGCAGTTGGCCCGCTGTCGGAGAACACGGGCCAGCGCGAGGTGTTTTACGAGATGAACGGCGAGGTGCGCCAGGTGACGGTGGACGACAAACAGGCGTCGGTAGAGAATGTCAGCCGGCTCAAGGCCGACCCGACGGACAGCAGCCAGGTCGGCGCGCCGATGGCCGGTGTGCTCGTCGAGCTGCGCGTGCACGACGGCAGCGACGTCAAGAAAGGCGATCCACTTGCTGTTCTGAGCGCCATGAAGATGGTATGTGTTTCTCTGACAATCTCCCATTTCCTCTTGCATGCGATGTGTCTTGCTAACTGGCTCCCAGGAAATGGTTATTTCTGCCCCACATGCCGGTATTGTGTCGCAGTTGATAGTGAAAGAGGGTGACTCGGTTGACGGCTCAGACTTGGTCTGCCGGATAACCAAGAAGAGCTGAAGGAAATAGAGTTGGAAGTCTGAAACGGGAGACATGAATCGAGGAGAGCATGTTGGCTAGTCGAGTATTTTGGGAGGAAAGGATATGCGCTTTGTTTTGATATCTGATATTTTCATGCCTTGCGGCATCTTTCTTTGAAGTTTATTCAGACCAATGTGAGTGGAATAAGAGAACGTGCAGGTCCGAATTGCTCAGAACGAGTAATGTACGAACATTGTACAAACGTTTGTCTCATCAGCCGCCGACAAAATGGTGAGAGCTGCTGAAAGCCACTGGGAGGACCCCACCACTGAGACCCACATAGGCGACCCCACCTGTAGGGCAGCAGAACGCGAAAGCCCATGCCGGACGCTGATTGGCTGCTGGCAACTGACTGACAGCGGCAATGGTCGAGCGACAGGGCAAGAACCGGTTTTGGGATTGGAAATGGCGCCGGCTGGCGATGAAACGAGGGTGGATATTGTCCAAATAAAGAAACGCAAAAAAACAGTCGATGCAGACGGCAGCCAACGACAAGGCAGTTGAAAGAAACAAAGGAGCGGGCCTGGCCCATGAAGACAACCGGGGGCCATTGTCTGCCGTCCTGGAGGCGGCAAGGCGGACAAGGAGAAGAGGGAGTCGAACAGGTTTAGATCTACAAAGGTTTTATGGACCAGGGATGTTGGAGGGCCATTGAGAGGCGGCCGGGCGGCAACTGAAGACTGAATCGACGGACAATGGGATCCAGGTCAAAGAGAAATCTAAATTCGGCAATGAAAGAGGCAGACGAGTCAGAAAAGAGGGACCGAAGATGTATAAGAATAAGGAAAGCTTCTCGTCTTTCCAGGAGAGATGTTCTGTCCAAGACATATGCACACCCTCTCTGCAATCTTGCAGCCTTTCTGTTTCCTCTCTCGTTCTGATGCAACACCAAGCTTGCTGGCCAAACTTGACACGATCGTTTATCACACTTTCTTTATTTTTTGCACCTATCGGTTCTGTTCTAATTAGTTTCAGATCGTTCCTATCCGACCATGATCAAGTTTAATATGGGACTGAACAGGCGTGAGTGCCGGACGCCCTCCCTTCTCTCTCTACTAAGGACCCCCTGCTGACTCTCCACAGGCATGCGTCAGTATTTTATCTGCCTTGTTGCCATCATTGTCGTCATTCTCTACGGTGCGTTTTCTCTCTGTTGCCGAGTCTGCCGTAGCCCTGTCTGCTGACCGTTCGTTCCCAGTCCTCGCCCTCACCGGCTGTCTTGGCACCTCGCCAGGCATTCCGGGCATCTATCTGGTCCGGTACTTCAACAACGTGACCGAGGCCGAGGTGCGTGTCGGCCTGTTCGGTCTCTGTGCCGGAACGGCCGGAAACCTGACCTGCGCCGCCACCATCGGCCACAACGGCACCGTCGCCAACACGATCGCGTCGGGCTACACGCTGCCCGGCTCGGCGGCCAACACGGCTGCCCCGTCTGACCTGCAGGCGATGCTCGCGCTGGCCACCACCATGCAGGGAAGCACGGCCACCGGCCAAACCGTCGTCTCGGCCGTCTTCGTCCCGCTCATCGTCGGCTGCGTCTTTTTCGTCACGGCCGTCTGCGCCCTGCTCGCACACGGCGCCCTCAACGAGCCCAAGTTTGTCGAGGAGGACGGCGCCTGCTACGAGTCTGTGCATCGCACGCGAGCCTGGCAGGTTGTCGGCGTTGTCACTACGTACTCGGTGGCCGCGTCGCTGGCCGCCGCCATCGCGACCACTGCCGCCGGCCGCGCGCTCCTCTTTGCTGGCTCGGCGCTGCCCGGCGCTGCGCTCACAGCCGCCCAGGCTGCTAGCCGAGACACTATCCAGGCACAGACCGGCACGGCCCTGCCGGTGCTGCAGTGGCTGGTGGTGACGCTCACGCTAATGTGGCACCTGCTGATGACGTTTGTGTGGCGGAAGATGTGAGAGGCGAGGAGCCGGCAGATGGGATCGAGGAGGGACTACTGCCTGTCAGGACGGAAGATGTGGGCATTCAAAAAACGGGACATTTAATTGATCAGAAGTTTGATGATACACGGGCGATAAACAATGTAATCAAAGCGATGACGAGGACGGCTCTGTTCGCAGAGGCACGCACAGAGGCCTGTGCTGCAATACTGTTGGTAATGAGAACTCGTTTGGTGGGCCTTACATCACGACATGATGGCGCTGAGAGCATATACACGGCGATGCTCACCCAGTCGAAGTGATAGGTAGCAGGACAAAGATCGGCTTCCGTTTCGGTCTTGCAGACCAATGCTTGCACCGTTGAATTCAGGATGAATAAAAGTAGGTTTACAAAGGGACAAGCTGTAGTTGTTAGCTGATTTAAGGTAAGAAAGTGCTTCATCGATCCCTTTCACTGCGCAATGGGGTGTCATGATACTTACGTGCGTATTGAGAAATCGCTCATTCTTAGTGAAGCTTGTCATTTGTATCCTAATCAAGCTGAGCAAGACGGATTGTTGTCTCATCAGATGTGTGCTGTAGAAGTTACGATTGTTGACGGTGTAAATGAAGACGACGGTCACTCGATGTCACATGGCGCCTTTTTGAAGCCAAGTGGAGAGAGGAGACGGTTTGAAAAAAGACTGCGTGGGAAAACGGATTATTTTCGTGACAACAACCAACGAAGTTCTGGATAGAGAAGATGTAATTTGCAGGTAGCATTTTCCTATTGGGTGATGACGAACGGTGAATAGCCCTAAATAAGAGAAAAGGAATAGCATATAGCATATAGCAGAATGGCTCCAACTTTCACATATCGTCTACGGGACCAATACCAAGAAAAACCATGACACCTAAAGCTTCTATCATGCAGATGTAGAGGAGCATACAACATCCGCACTGTCATTGCTGGTGGTTCTCTTTGACAACGAGCGAGAATCTACTTACACGGCGGCCACCAATTTTTCTGCACATGAGCTCGCTGCTGATCGTTTGGGACTTACCAAAGAGCTGTCAACGCAGCGGCTACGGAAAATACGCAAAGATTGTGCATCAACTCTGGCTGGATGGATCATCAGGAGAAGTAGACTCGGCTTTTTGGCTTATTTCTATTCGGCCGCTCGAGGACAAGCAACCGGCGGCCGTCATCGAGGTAGACTCCTTGCAGACACTTGTATCGCTGCATGCCATGGATGCTTTCTGGAATGAGGTGTCCAACCATGACGTCAAGACTATTCTTCTAGCAGACTCTTTCCAGAAAAGCCAGATATCACATATTCATAGAACACTGGCAATAGCGGCTAGGCCAAAGGCCACGTCTAAGCGATAAAACACCGGCAGTGGATGCAGAAAGTGATCGGTCTTGTTCTGCACTGCATTTAAACAATCAACGCCAGTTTTGTAGACAGCATAGAGGACACATTGACTGTCTGCCGCAACTCCGGATCCCACAACGTTGTTAACAGGCTGACATAAATTGACTTAGGAAGGCAAGAAACTCCATGCTATCTTGCCATTTGCCAAGGTCTCTGTATTTTGTTGCAATGGCTCTAGTCATATTATCTCTCCTAAATATACAAACAGTACCGAGTCATTCTTCCCATTCCGTCAACCATGCTGCAGAGTTTTTCGTGTTAGGATGATTCAGACCAAGAACTCGATTCCGAGCCTCGACGCAGCTTTGCATCATTTCCAAAGCATCTGCGTGTCGATCCAAATTTTTCCAAACTATAGCGACATTGTTCATGCTGGTTAACGTGTCGGGATGGTCGGCTCCTAGCTTTGTCTTATAGGCCTCTACTACATGCTCCCCAAGCTCCTCAGCCTCGTCCCAGCGGCCTTGACTTTCGTATACCAACGCTAGGTTAGACATGCTGGTTAACGTGTCGGGATGGTCGGCTCCTAGCTTTGTCTTACTAGCCTCTACTACCTGCGCCCCAAGCTTCTCAGCCTCGTCCCAGCGGCCTTGACTTTCGTATACCAACGCTAGGTTAGACATGCTGGTTAACGTGTCGGGATGGTCGGCTCCTAGCTTTGTCTTACGGGCCTCTACTACCTGCGCTTCAAGCTTCTCAGCCTCGTCCCAGCGGCCTTGATTCCGGTATGCCGACGCCAGGTTAGACATGCTGGTTAACGTGCCGGGATGGTCGGCTCCTAGCTTTGTCTTACGGGCCTCCACTACCTGCGCTTCAAGCTTCTCAGCCTCGTCCCAGCGGCCTTGACTTTCGTATACCAACGCTAGGTTAGACATGCTGGTTAACGTGTCGGGATGGTCGGCTCCTAGCTTTGTCTTACGGGCCTCTACTACCTGCGCCCCAAGCTTCTCAGCCTCGTCCCAGCGGCCTTGACTTTGGTATACCGTCGCTAGGTTAGATATGCTGGATAACGTGTCGGGATGGTCGGCTCCTAGCTTCGCTTTGCAGGCCTCCATCTCCTGCGCCCCAAGCTTCTCAGCCTCGTCCCAGCGGCCTTGTCTTTTGTATACCGACGCCAGGTTATACATGCTGGTTAACGTGCCGGGATGGTCGGCTCCTAGCGTTGTCTTGAATATCTTTACCAATTCTTCGTGATTGATTTCTGCTTCCTTATAGCGGCCCTCGTAGTATAGGCAATCTCCATATCTTTTGAATAACATAAGAAGGAGGCTGTTGTAGTCGTAGGGCCCAGCATTCAAAGTCAGAATATAGTGAGCGTGAGGCATGCATGATCTCCACTGTGCTCGATCGGTTTGGTCAGGTTCGAGTAGAGCGTCCGCCAGTCTTGTAACAGCTTTGTCTGTCCAAGTGTCCAGGGTCTCTTCGGCGCGTAGCCAATTTCGTGTGGCGATGTGTACCAGCCGGTGCATGCTAAACGCATTCCCCGTCGTGTGCTTGGTGATGAATGAGTATCCTGTCAGTGTGCCGATGGCTTCCACCTCCCTCGCCTCCGGAAGGCTAGAAGGACGCGGAAGAAGTGACCTCGGAATATCCTTCGAATCGATGCAGGCCATGAAGGAAAGAAATTCTGACGCAAGAGGGTCGCGCTTCTTTATCTCTGTAAACGAGATGAGCCATGTTTTAGCCACAGAGTTCTGAATGCTTTGGTACCGCCAGTCATCATTGAAGTCTTTGCTCAGTAGTTCAATCTGCCCAGCCTCCTGCTTGTCTAGGAGTTGAATGTAGTCTTGCAGCGTTGTCTGGTTCATGTTGACGTAGCTTGCCGCTTGAACAATAGCTAATGGGAGATAAGCTAGCCGTTCTAGCAGAATTCTTGTGTCTTCTTCGGCCTTGACGAGATCTTCGTTGCCGAGATAATTTTTCAAAAGCTGCTGACTGGTAGACTCGTCCATTTCAGACAAGTTGACAACGTTTGGACTAGCGAGTTTAAACGCTGCCCTGTTGTCGCGCGTTGTAAAGACGATGGTGCCAATATCGTTCTTGGGCAGATAGTCTAGCAATCCCCTCGAACTTGGGGAGGTATTGTCTTCCCAGACACTCAGATCATCAACGTTGTCGAAAACCAAAAGCCAGCGACCACTATTGTCGCTACTCAAGTAGTCCCGTAGAAGCTCTTTGACGTTCAACTGGGCATCGTTGTGACCTGGTATTTCAAGCTCTCGAGAAATGATCCGGTAGGCCTGATCAATGGTTTCGGAATTGACACAAGAAATCCAGAAGACGGCACAGTCTGAGAGCTCCTTTTGCTGGAAGGCAAACTCTAACGCTAGCTGTGTTTTCCCAATACCACCAAGTCCTGTGATGGCGATCTTCATGGTCCGTCCTGTTGTTGGGAGCATTTCGCGAAGCCTCTTCATCTCAGGGCCACGGCCAGTAAAGCCTGGGTTTCGTTCAAAGGCCGAAAAGAATGGTCGTTTATTCGCTTGAGAGGGTTGTGAAGAAGAGGGCTGCACCGTAGGCTCGTTCGTCAGTTGAGCTATCTCACGCTGTAGACGCCGACGTGCGCTGTCTTTTCCCTCCGCATAAATCACGGGCATAGACACGCCAAAGATGCCAAGCAGACAGTACGATAGATCCTCTTCTCGAGACGTCACCCGCGATTCTGTCCATCGGAACCGCTCCTCAACCGTGAATTGAGAAAGATCTTTACACCGAAGAGCCTCGATGGATATTCCCGTGACTTGGTGAATCTGTTGTTCGAGAGATCTTTTGTTGCCCAGACAGACGCGGTCGTTGGAGAAAAATTCCACTGTTTCTGGCGCCAAAAGCTCCTGAAGTGTCCAACCTCGCTTGAACCAGCGACTGTTTCGAAAGTCCTTGTCCCACGCAGGATCGGGCTGCTTGTCACTGCCTCGACTGTTCACATCTGTCAGGTAGACGAAGCAGACGGTGGCCTTCTGGTACCATTGGTACATGGACACCAGGGACTCGGTAAGTTCGGCTTGATTCGTCTTGTCGATGCAACATGTGTCGACCCAAAAGTACTGCAGGCCTTTTCGCGAGGCCTCTTTGTAACAGAACTTGATCTTCTTGTATCCGGCTTTTTTCTTCCTGGCGGTGCCTTTCACCAAATCCTTCATAGTAACCTCTTCGGCGGGCCGGCCCCAAGTGTGGGACAAGATGGCATATGCGGGGATCTTGTCGGGGGGGAACTCTTTCAGAGTAAACCCAGTTTTAGTGCGGCGTAGAAGACGCATCTTAGAAAAAGTCTGGATGAAATGCGGGAGTGGAACGAAACCAAAACACTAGGAGTTATGAGTAGATGGAAATGCGAGCAAGAGAATGATCATACAGCCAGAAAAAGAGTCAGAAAAGAAGAAAAAAGACACTAGGCGCTCCTCGATTACAGGGGGGGGTATTGCATAGTAAGGCAACAATCGTTGGGCAGTGAGGTGGGGTGTTGCATTGCATAAGTGCCTTCCATTGGCCCAATATGAAACTATCGTCACGGGCTTCCTTCCTGTAAGATGGAGGGGCTAAATATTCAGAGGGACATTATCAGAGTGGTTCGATACAGATAAAACAATAAAGAACTTATGCCGACGAAGCCAACAAGTATACTTAGCCTGAACTGGAATCTAGAAAGAAACGAGCCAGATATTACGAGACCATTGCATTCGTGACTTGGATAGTGCATTTTACAGTAACAGGCGGTGTGGACGCCTGTAGTCTAAGCTTCAGCCGCACTTCTATCCGGGTCAATACTTGGGGTGCCGGCGTTCTTCCAACGATGCGTGTAGGCGTTTCGCGACACGGTCCCATGGGACCAGGTGGCGCCCTGGGCGCGCAGGAGGATCTCGCGGATGTAGGCGGCCTGGCCCTGGACTTGGCTTTAACGAGGGCGCCTGGGCTCTTCGGCTGACCGGCGTCACTGCCTGCAGCCCGCGGCCGTCCGGGTCGACAAGCTGGACGCTGGGCCGGTTGAAGGCTTGAGCCTGACGGTTGTCGTCGGGTCGGCTACGATGCTGTCGACGTGTGCGAGCAGCTGCTCGGCCAGCTTAGCCGCCGAGCTGTTTTGCAGTACTGTGTGGCCGACGGTGCCGAATATGGCCGATTAGGCCGACGAGTGCGTCCAGCCGTCACCGAACAGGATGGGCTCACCAGGCGTTTCTGAGTTACTCTACCCTTATTGAGGCTGGGGGCGCGGACATGCTGTCAGCCGGGCCCCGTCACGGCCGTTGTTCGAAACACCGGGTTGGTCGGCTTCTGATCGTGTGGCAACATCTGCGGCGGCGTCTGCTGCACGACGTACAGCTCGGTCACTCACGACGGCCACCTCGGGAACGACGGCCACGAGCTTGTCCTGCAGCCTAGTCAGGCGTGCATCTGTTGGCGAGAAGCCTGAGAGCCCGTAGTTCCACTGGGCCGTGTGCCAGAGCGAGCCTGCAAACGAGAACAGCCCCAGAACGTCGGGCACTTGCGGCTGCGTCAAGATACCTTCTGCCAGGTACACGTGCTCAGTCTGGAAGACGTGCGTGTTGGCGATTGTCCCGGCCGGTACTCAACCGCTCGCACACACTAATGTGACGTCTGGTAATCCCAGTCGAGCCTGCTAACGTCTGTTCAGAAGAGGCATCTTGTCGGTCAGATGCCACTGCACGACCACCCGCACCAACTGCTGCCGGATCTCGTCACCCGGTGCGTACTTGACTCTCAGCACGTGGCCTGTCTCTTCCAGAACCGGAAGGTACAAGTAGCTCTCAATGTCGCAGTGCAGCCCCGAAAACCGGTTTCAGTATCATGTGCCACCAAAGTCGCCGCCGGCATCGACGCCGCATGGTTGACTCAGATCCCGTAGACGCTGCTCCCTCGCCTCCGACAGCTGAAACTTCGTGCCCTGCTGAATCAGCCGCTTCTGAGCCTCCTCATCGTACTTCTTCCGCAGGACTGCGAGCTTCGCAGGGTTGACCGGGGCCGGTCTGCTGTGGTGATACCCATCACGATGGCTTTGGTCAATTGCCGTCAAAGGCCGCTCCATCTTGCCTCCCTCTCGATATCTACTACAGATCTATATATCTTGCGTCGGTCAAGGGGCTTACCCAAATGATCAATTTCATCGCATCAAGCAAATAGCTGACTGGAAGTTGTGACCGAGCTAGGGAATAAATATACAAGATGAGAAGCTATGGCTGCGGAACGTCAACGCGGAAACGTCTGGTCTTCACGGCCCCAACAGATTTCTCCAAAAGAAACAAAGATGAAAGGCGTAGGGACTATAACGACAATTCTCTTTGGTTGCTTTGGCTGGCCGTTATTAGGCGTCATGCAGTAGAAAGATTGAAAACACTATGTGACAATAGATAATATACGACAGACAGATTGATGGTTGCGGTCTGGCTTACCTTACTGAAAAGAGTATTCAGGATGTTGCCAAGATTCGTGGACAGTAGTGCAAAAAGTGGACTTTCTACTCCGTATGGTACCTTGTTGTGTCGACCAGGTTGTACTGCTGTGAGTTTTTCAGCCACCATCACCAGCAGAACGAGCGTGGCAGCATTGAAGTTGGAGAATGCTGCGTCTCAAACCGTGCTAGGCTATTCTGGAAATTCACCGGGGCTGTGCTCCGGAGCCTATATGTGTATCGTCTCTCTGGATCACGCTTTGATAGATGCCACTATCAAAGCCAAGAGTAAGTCTGTTTTTATTTTGGGAGCTTCCGCAAATTGATGCAAGATAAAGTTACAGTGATTATTTGCATAATAATTTCTACTCTTCCTTGAAACGCTACTGGTATAGAAATATTTTCGGCCATTGTGCGAGAATTGCTTCTGGGGATCCAAGTTGTCACTATGAGCTCAGATCGCTGTCATCACTCCGAGCAGTACGAGTTCACCTGAAAGAGTTTAGTACGCACAGTGCATCTGTCCGCTTAGGCAGAAAATGATATATCGTTGGCTAAGAACGGGTTTAGTGGGGACATGTGTCCGTAACCGGCAAGCGCCAAATAGACATCCCATACAGTACGGAACAAGCAGCTCTGTTTGTTTGCACTCTGACAAGGTGTTGACACATCGCAACTCTAAAGCATAAATCATCATCTAGCGAGTGCATGAAGTGGCAGTTCAGAGCACTCAGTAATGGATAAGAATAATGAATTAAACGAGCCTACGGAAGAAACTGAGAGTCGGGACCGCCCTCTGTTCAAGGCGTCGAGGCCACCGAATCAACAAGAAGGTAGCTTTCTCATGCGGATCCCACAAGAAATTCGCGACATGATCTACTCCTACGTCTTCTACTCAACAAGAATCAACTGCGGTGAGAGAACACTTTCGATTTACAGGAGAATCCGAGTTTTACCTGCTCCAAACGCCCTCGCCCTACTACGCACCTGTCTCCAAGCGCACGTCGAGATCGGCCCTAGATGGCTGCGCGAAGTGTTGTTCAGCTTCGAGACTCCAGCGGCAATGCTTGACAAACTTACGAACATATCCATCAAGACGAGGTCTATGATACGTCACGTGCGCGTCTCCGGAGACCCAGTCGTGCTGTTGTATCCAGAGGATAAAATCCACTACCGAACCCCTGCACTCCTCAAACTACTCCCTGGTCTTCAGCTCGACAGACTTACAGTGCTGGGAACTCGGGTCAGTGCGGTGAGTTATGAGACTATCAACAAGCTCATCAGATTCAGTGATGGCTGGAAGGAACTCTACTACGAATCGCATAGTTCTGCCCTTCTCGGCTACGAAGACATTTGGGGGCCATGGGACGATGATTTGGATCCAGACCTATACTTGCGCATGCCGCAGCCAGGAGTCTGGCAGCAGGTTTTGGAAGATCGCGATGGATCGGCATCATGCCCTTCGGTGGCTGTCTACCGCACCACGAAACCAGACCGCGCTTGTTCTGTCTTGAACGCTGCCACGCGGGTCCCGTTTGCGCAGACGCTGTCTGAAGGGCAGACAGCGTCCACTTTTTATACAACAGAGGACGCCTCTTTGATGACGCCGGGCGAGCGCAAGAAAGAAATGCTGGTCGTGGCAAAACGGGGCAGAGGCTGTGATTACGAAGTGAAGAAGAGCCCCAAATACTCGCCAGACGATAATATGCGATTTGAGATGCCCGTGGTACCGTGGAAGCAAATCGTGAGAGAGGCCATAATCTGGGACTGGATCTGTGATACGGCAAACGGAGAAGCACTGCCCAACTCTGCAAATGACATGAATCATGTCTTGGAAGATGCTTACAGCCACGTGGAGGACTACGTATGGCCTCCTCGTTATTTAATGTAGGATATATAGACATGTTTTGAGTCAGAATTAGGAGCCAATGTATGATTTCGACCTCAAACCTTTACTACGTTTAAGCCAGTTGATCCACCTACGCATTTAAGTACCACTAGAGGCCCCCATCTAGCTCTGAGCTTGCCTCAACCTCTTTTAGAGACCAATAGCAGCCCCAGTCCTCACAACGTCAAAGTCCAGAACTTACCTCCCGGCTCTCTCCTTTTCATTCAAAAGGCGAACCAACGTCGAAAAGTCAGCAACATGGCAATCTATGTATGCGAGCCCTTCGTGTTTCCGTTCATCGCGAAACGTCCTCCCCTGTGGCGTGCTTTGTGGATCCCAGTCCCCCACGAGCCAGGAAACGGCGCTCAACAGCTCGTCCGGGTCGATCAGCGCCATGACCGTCTCGAGCAGCTCCAGGGATGTGAGCCTAAGCATTGTGCGCAGTCCGTGTAGGGTACGGTGTGGTAACGGCCTACTATCGCTGATGAGGGACGCATATCCGGCGCGAAAGTATAGCGATACGGTCGAGAGGCCGTAGTCGACCTCGAGGCCGCCCGGATGCCCCGGCTGCAGCTCTGCCACGAGGGCAGAGAAGGCAAAGATCATGTCACGAGGATCGGTGCTCTCGGCAGCGCTGAACCTTCTGACGATGCCAGAAAGCGGGATCGGGAACTCGTGCGAGCGGTTCTTCAGGCCGGCCAAATGGTCGAACCGGGTGATGGTGTCATACAGATAGCCCCAGGTGTAGCCCCTGGCCACGGGTCTCTTCTCAAGCAGCATCATGTGCGCAGACGAGAAGCTATCCCAGGAGACCTGCGCGGTGCCGAGAGAAAAGTACAGCTGCCGTGCCAGCAGACACTCCTGGATGATCCAGGCACGTCGCCAGTACGGCTGGTCCAAGACCAGCCTTAACGTGGCCTGCAGAGACGTCCAGACAGACGGATCGTCAGCCTCGGGTGGCCGTCGCCACGTTCCACCATCGTTCTCGCCGGAACCATTGGGACTGTAGTCGCCGGCGGACGTGGTCGCGGCCACGCGTAAGAGAAGGTCTGTCGCCGGAGAGCCGGGGCCCAGCCAGGCAAGGACCTTGCTGGCGTTCTTGTAGATGTCCTGCATCAAACGCACCTGCTGGGTCCGTTCCTTGTCATCTACCTGGTTGATGCAGATGGCGTCGGCATACAGGAGCCGGGGCTGTTTGCTGCTGCGCAGCACAGTGAAGAACTCAAACAGGCTGCGACGAATAGGCACGTGCATGCCATTCACTAAGACCTTTGCTTCATTCTCGGCCGAGCTCCAGACGTACGACAGCGCTTCGTAGTCGTCTCCCTGGCTCAGGAGCTTCGGCAAGAGCGTCAACACGACCGGGTCGCCCTCTCGGCCGGGTTGCAGCTCAGCAAGGCGGAAGGTATCGCCGTTGTTGGGGAGAGATCTGTACAAAGACAGGGACATATCGAGCGCCCTTCTACTTTTGGACATGTTTCGTGCGGCTGAGAGGCAGTCATACGTGTTGGAAAAGGCTGGCTTTGGCTTGGTACTCTCGCCAATGCATGGAGTACGGTTTGTCCTATGGAGCGTAACATCAGCAACGGTGCACGGACCTGGAAAACGATTGTGGCTTCTACTCCGTGCACCACTAGTCTGTCACGCAGGTTCTGCGTGATTACCAGTGTAAGACCCGTACGGTAATCCTTGTGGGATATTCGTCCGGACCAGTTGCCCGTATCGTAGTAAGCTCTAAGGCCTTCAGAAGATCTAGTAATGATATTTCGTTGGGTGGTTGACTGATTGAAGACCAGACTGTGCGCAGTATGCGCGCAGATCAGGGCTTCGTCTTATCTAGTGATTTCGGCGGCCGAGGTCAAGTCAGGTGACCTCGGGGAAATCCACACGATGATGTCTTTATACACGTGACCGTATATGGGCCCGGGAACGCTAAGCATTGATTGTGAGGTGGTGCACGGACCACTTCCTAGCGGACTTTTCAGCTCAAACTTCCCCTTGGCCTCAAATAGCTGTATTTCCTGGATATATATAACTTTGAGTGCCGTCGTGTACTCGTAGAATGACTATTCGATGAAACAGAGAATGTAGCGAGAGCTGCTTGAGTAATGCTGAGGTTTCGAAAAAAATGCCTGCTAATTTGACTACGAGCCGGAGCTAGCCTTGGTAAGATACCATATACTAAAGGTAGGAGCGGAAACTCACCCCTCGTTGTGTTCTGTAGATGATCGTAACAACTACGGAGTACTATGACGTACAACCACACGTCTTTCATATTAATTCAGAATGCGGTAGACTTGCTAATAGGCCTGTCTTGCGGCTGTATATAAGAATATATACTACTCTGTACGATTGTGAACTTATCTTGCTTCAAATCTTGCCGCCCTCAATATTCAAGCGTGTCGCTAGAATCGCCACTGTTCAAGCCCTCAAAGCGTCAATGCCGTGGGGAAACCTGAAGAAGCCACGCCTGTCTCAGAAGGGTTTGACGCGTCGCATCTGTACGGTGCACCGTACATGTATCTTTTCAGTACACTGCAAAAGTCTCTACCTGTTAAGTTTCCGCCTATTTTGACACTTGCCACAAATCACTAATAACGTCGAAGGGCCATAGAGTATCAAAATGCTCACGGTACGTAAAAACTATGAAAATACTAGCTAATAACGTGTAAATGCCCTATTTATCAGTGCCACAATAATATAGCCAACGCCGTGATCAACAGCTTAGTCCCTGTTGGTCTAGAGAGCTGGAGCGGCGGGCGTAGGTTGGATTCCATGCGGCGTACCCATCTTGCCTAGGCGCCAGCCCCCCTTTATACCACTACTAGAGTTGAGGTTGTCGACACTCGTTTCGTGGCCGTGCAAGCCAACCCTAACGGTGTGAAGGACCTTGTGGTCAAGTCCAAAAAGTGGCACAAAAGCCTTGACGCCAAGATGGCTCTGGCAATTGGCACAACCCGACTGCCCCCAGCGACTCAGAACACTCTCCGTCCCTACTACACATTCCTGCCCGTCTATCGTGGCGCGGGCGACTAGGACAAAGGAACCCTTGATTGTTGCCCGGTTGACGCCTGAGATGCGCACGACATCCATTGACTTCTCTTCGGGGGTCCCACTGTTGCCAACTGGGAGCTCGAACAAGCTGCGCGACTCCTTGTTCGCCAAGGACGCTCTTTGTGCACCATGACGACAGCCACATGTTTCGTCTTTGCAGGAGGTGCCGTTTTCATATGTCTTGTCATCACAGTCATAATACTTGTAGCCCAGCTGCGACACAATGTTGACGACATCCTGTTGCAGAGTTACCAATGGTTAGCTTACGTACAGACAACGCCCGACAAGGAACACTTTCCTGGTTGCACTGCTAGGATTTTGTTTCAACTTACATTTGAGGTAAGCGGGTCGCCATCCTGCTCGTCATTTTTGGTGAACGGGGCGAGGGGGGACTTCATAGTCAGCCAGGTGTTTCCAGCAACCCCTGGAGTTGGGCCCTGGGAGTCGACCGAGTTGGTGCCAGGATATTCAGGCACAATTGTCAGCTGAGTCCGCGAGTTCAAGGTAGAGTCCCATGTCTTCTGCCAGTCCCAAAAGACTTTGTCGATGAAGCAGTGGTGGAAGTAGAAAATAGGGTCGAACGCGGCCGTGTCGTTCTCACCCATATCTCCATTGGCTCCAATGATAGGATCGAAGTCTCCCATTCCAGGAATACTGAAACCTCCGACGGCCAGATGCATGTCATTGTGGGCACTTTCAAGGGAGACGACGGCAGAGCTGGTGGGACCATTGGAAGAGCCGGTCTTGGAGTCCGCGTAATTCCCCCCCGTATTATTGCAGATGTCATCGTTGTATTGGGCGGCCGAAGTGGCGTTGGAGAATACTGTGTAGGAGGGAGCCTTCAAGCACTGCTCATACTTGCAAGCCGTGTTCGTCGAATACTTCTGGCCGCTGCTCAGGGTTATCGAGTTGTTTAGCCAGTCTCTCACGTTTTTGTTGAGAAGTTTGTCTGTGTTGTTATCATTGCCGTTGAGAATAGTCATCAGCATATTGTGCTGGTTGGTTGCAGCAATATCGGAACTGCTAGCGAGTCCAGAGAACGGGTATCGCTTCGTCTCGTAGCCTTTAGGCTTAGAGTAATCTGCGTCGGGCACTGGCTGTAGGTTGTCCGTTATGCCATCTTGAAACGTGTAAGACCGCAAGGGGTTGTCGATTTCCAGGTCCGAATCGGATTTCTCATGAATAGAACTAGGTATCGTAACCTTCTGTCGAAGAAAGATGTCGGGAATGCCGTTGTGTCGTGTGCCCGAGCTAGTCTCGTTCCAGTAGGGGAGGGCGACATCTTCGCAGCCCTTGACACTGCGTAGGGCATTCTCGAGACGCAGCAAGTACGCGCGGTGCCAGGTAGGGAACAGCACATTGCCATGGTTACAGTAGCCGCCCCACCAAGACGGATTGCCCCAGCCCGCGCCCCGGAATGGCATGCCATGATAGCCAGCAATCTGGAAGAAGGAGTTGGGGTCCTTTGGGTCGAGCTGCTGGATTATGTGGAACGACCACAAGACTTTCTGCATGACCAATTTCTTTCGCTGTGTCTCTTTGCTATCAGGGTCCTTGTCGTCGTAGGCTTTTTGGAGTTCGTAAACGTCCTCGCGAAGTTGCACCGTCTTCTTGTCTCTTCCCATACTGGGCGAAGCAATTGTAGATGAAGCCATTCTAAACCAGAGATTAGAGCCTGAGTCACAGCTTCAGAACGGACCCGAGTGAAGATCGTGGACAACGATACGGTTCGTTATAAACCCTTCGTTTTGAACTGATTGGAAGCTTGTAACTAACGTATAAAGAAACTCAGCTTCTGTTCTTGGCGAGAATAATAAGGAGGTACTGGTGAAGCTTTAGCCAAAGCTTGAAGTTGCAGGCAGGTAAAGAACACTGATTGGAAATGAGTTGAAGCAGAAGAAGAAAAATAATAAGACGGCAGACACAGTCCCTTTATATATACCCTCTCTTCCTTCGTCTAATGCTTCTCGAGGCAGTACATACAACCGCTCTGGTCCTTATCTCCTCTACTCCCTTCCTTCTAACTCACTGGTGCCTTAGTGTGGCCTCGAGTTGCTAAGTGATAGGCCGAGAGCTTTTCCAAGATGCGTATACGTCACCTCGCTATCTTGTGGTCCTCCTACATCGGCCACGAAGTATAATGGACCTGGATGCGGTACCGTTCCGGCAGTTGTGATTAGATTATTAGGATGAATTAGTTACGGGCTTGACTGAATGCTGTCTGCCGAGATTTGGGAGCTGTGTTTACGTAGGCCTGAGATGGGGAATTTCATGCGGGATCGTGAAGCAATCCCTATTAGGTTCTTCTCCCCCCACTCCCCTCCCCTTTAAATTATCTATGTACTCCGTACACTTGCTTCATAATTAAAGGAGGATCCCTTCGGCACGTACCACAATAAACTAATGACGTTAGATACTATTTCATAGTGCAACATTTATCACAGGGCAATTACGTGCTAAACCTTCGTTAGGTGAAGATTGTTGTTTAACTAGCCAAGCCTGCAAACTCTACACAGGTGGTCCGTGCGCCGCCGCGCAACTAACTCTAGTTACAGACTTGTAAACTGGCCGAATCTCGCACCCCTTGAATGGCGACGTTAAAACGAATAAATGAATAAATGGCCGAATCCCGCATACGGTGAAATTCGGGCGATACCGACCAGTGCAATAAGAGAAGCTATTCCCATAGTTATCACGCCGCTAGTGCCCAATGGCTGTTAATTTATGGACGCCCAGTACTCCGTAGGCATGCGTGTATTGTTGTGTCTTGCTACTTTCGAGCTATGCCGATGTGCAGGTGGGGCTTAGCACTATACGCAGTACGCTACAGGGCACATACATGATACAGGTCCTCACTTCACACCCATTCTAGACTAGTCCATTTGACAACTACACCTTCAGCCGCACGCAGCGGTTCGGCAAGCCGTATGAGGCCGATCCACATTTACGGAATATACAGAAATGGCTTTAGCAAAGAAATAGTCGTCTGAGACAACCTAGTCTCTCGTTTCAGTGCCACAGAACTAAGGCGCATTCCGATACGAAAACTAATAGTAAGAGTACTTAACTACTAAATTGCTTACCAATGTACAACAAAAGCCTTATTTATACAGCGCTTAAAGCGTTCTATAACCTTTCTACTAAACCGCAATCTCTTTCAGCGTCTGTTGTCGTTACTATAATGCTACAAGACATATTACTAATAAGAGCGGAGGTAGGGTGAGGCCTCTGCTCGAACCAACAACACACACCTACTAACACACGTACCTGTGCACGAAGATAGGTGCCGTAAGGCACCTCCCTTTGTCCCAAGGTAGGGCAGTGTGTGGCTGGTCCGAAGGAAAAGGGGGGAAAGCCATGCGGGCTCGTCTTAGGATCCCGAAAGAGATGACAAGACAAGCCCGCCCGGCGAGGTCTAGGGCGTAGCCTTTTCTTCACAACTGTACTGCGTGTATGCGTATGCAACTTCTTGATTGCGTGCATGCGTTCATATCTTCTCTCTCTTTTAAGGAGAGGGAAGAAGAGAGCGTTTTTATATACATAGGGTGTGTAAGTGGTGACAGAAGGCATGAATTGATCCACGTTTGACTGGTCAATAATAGTGTGGTTGGTCATGTGACGCGTTAGCATCCCGCGAGGGGTTTTAACATGTCATCCTGTGCGGCCAGAATGGGTGGTCTTGGGGGTGCACTTTCTCTTATCACTCACTAAGTGTTTTACAATACGTTATATGCACTCTATCTTAAAGATATCCTTGCCCTCCCTTTTAACTTTGCCTTTGTACTAAGAATACTGTAAGCCTTTACTTTTATAATAGAATAAACAACCTACTCATAGTTTCTAATCATCTGTTAGTTCTCTTATTATAAAAAAAATATTAAAACCAGCGAAGTCGACAAAACACAAAGCATTCGAACTTTTATCTTATTATAATAGGGTAGTCTTGCTAAAGTCCTTCTAGTAGCTACAAGATAAGATACTGCGTTTGTAGCTCTCTAACTTTAAAGCCTTGTACGCAGACTCCCTCTATTTTAAAACCCTGCAGCCCTCAAATACTCGAGAGTATCACAGAAAGAGCTATTTTTCTCGCCCCCAAAAGCCTCCCACTGCTCTTGCGCCAGTTTGTCGGACTCGCCCATGTCATCAAAGACCTCATCGTTCGGGTCGTCTGGCCGTCTGATTCCGTGGGGAAACTTGAAGAAACCGTCCTTGTCCCAATGAGCCTTGATAAGCCGCAGCTTCTCTGCGTTTTTGCCAAAGTACATTTCTTCGTGTTTGTTGGAGGAAATGTCCCGGTCAGGGAAGTTGATGAATGCTGCCTGGCCGTTGAGCGAAGAGGGCCTGAGGGCCGCCTTGACCTCCTTGTGGAACTCGCGCATGCTGCCCTCCAGCCACTTGTCCTTCCACTGGATCGTAACATACATGTGATATACGGCCTGACGCCAAAAAAATGCCGTTTCTTCTGGCTTCTTCTTGGCGGCTTCGCCGCCTGAGTGAATCCAAGTTGCTTGGAAGCTGGCGTCGTCACCGTCTTTGAATCTCTCACGGAACGTCTTCATAAGATCTGCAATTATCTTTGTAGCCTTTTTAATTTCCGCCCGGCCTTCGTCACTTTCGTTGTTAAAGATGTAGGAGCTAAACAGCTCGTACGTCTTGTTCTCCGGATATGCCCGCTCGGTCTCCTCGAGCCATTGGTTAACGAGTGACTCGTACAAGAAACGCGTCGATTTCTCAGACATCGCCCGGCGCATCAGCTGCTCGCGGAGATGCTTGGTCATGCCTTCGCCCTTCAAGCCTCTGTCGATATTTATATCATACCGAGATTTCCCGCCGTCAAAAGCGATGGTGAATCGGACAGCGTCATGTTTTTTCTCCGTGTCGCAGATCCAGGTGCTGTCAATTGTCATGTTGTTCGACCAAGGAGCCGTGTAAAAGCCGTTCATCACGTCGAGAAAATCAGGCGTCAGTCCACCATCTGGCGTCCATATGTACTTGCCGGCCACCACTTCTTTGTCAGGGCTCTTCAGCTTCTTCACATGCATCTTCATCTGCACGACGACGCCAAAGTTGCCACCGCCCGCGCCGCGTAGTGCCCAAAACAGCCGGCCCTCATCCGAATTTGGGTCGTCGGTGTCGCGCACTGTCACCAGCTTGCCATCGGCTGTTACCAGCGTCGCTTCGGCCAGCGTGTCGCAGCCCATGCCTAAGCTGCGTGTAAAGGGACCCAGGCCGCCGCCCAGAGTGAAGCCGCTGACGCCCACAGTCGGACACCGACCGCCATTGATGATGTAGCCATTGTGCCGCCCATTGACCAGGGTCCCGTACACATGACCCCATTGGCAGCCGGAATCCATAGTCACAATTTTGGCGTCCATGTCGAGGCTCGTCTTCTGCATGCCTCGAAGGTCCAGGGATATTCCGCTGAAGGCCGTGGAGTGCCCTGCGTACGAGTGCCCGTTGCACTTGATGGTGATGTCGACGTCGCTATCTCGCGCCGTTCGGACGATATCCTGTACCTGGTCGGCCGACTGCGGTCGAACCACGCACTCAGGCCGTGAGAAGCGGTACATTCGATTGGACGTCGCAATGGACCGGTCATACTCTGGCTGCCCCGGAACGAAAACCGGAACCCCCCGAGACTCGAACATCTGCGCCGTAGCCGACCGTAGCAGTGGCGCGGCCACTGTCCGCAGCAGCCGAAGGGAGGCGTGCATCTCTGTGGGAATAGTGGGAGGTCTCTAGAGATTCTCTAGATCTTGGGGACCTTTGGTATTGTTACTCCTTACGGAGTATGCCGAAACAGTTGGTATCGCGGGGGGTGCTAATGCCTGCTTTTATGCATAACAACTCTCTTTTTGTCCAAAGGTGCTCCCCTCATACTTATACCTAGGTCACTGGTATCAGAGAAGTTAACAGAGATATTAAGAGCGGGAGAGACTGGGGTAGCAGTTAAAACGAGACAATACGCCCTCAGGTTCTGTTTTTTTGCGTAGCAACGAGAAATTCGCTACCCTGAAGCGGCATCCTTACTCTCAAAATGTGGGTGCCCTTGTAGGAGTACCTCTGGACTCCCTACTGAATAGATTGGGCACTCTACGCCACACAGTACAAGTTTCTTTCTATTCTTGTAACTTTTTAGGTGCAAGCACTCTGTCACAGTGCGCAAAATGGTAAGCTTTAGCGACTACATACGTTTAGTGCCCTTTTTATACTTTCCAAGACGTACTATTTTATGAGGCAAAAAAGGCCAAAACCGTCAATCACATTTCAGAGTGCAAAATGGCTTCTTTTCGCATGTGGCGGTACTTCAGACATTACCCACCCGTGCATTAAGTATTGTAGACTTGTGGGGCCCAGTCAGGTGCCGAACGGTAATACATATGCACGGGGTCGAGGTGCGTGATATTATCACGTCGCTAGTGCCCAACTGCACCTTCAGCCGCATGCGGCTCAGCAAGTTATACGAAAGTGATCCACATATATACAGCATTGCCTTATTAGAGAAGCAGAAATTGTTTGAAGTACAAATTGGGCTCTTGTCTTGGTGTCATGATCGAAAAATCAGGCGCATTTAGTTACGGAAATCCACGGTTGCAATACATGGCCGCTAGATTGCTAACCAATGTGCAACAAAAGACTTATCAATACTGCGGTTGAAGCGGGCCGTGGCTCTCTCCCAAACATGGTCAGCACTACGATGCTGCATGGAGTGTCATTGGGCGCTTTACGATGAGGAACATGCACCCCGTCTTGATGGACGTCCCATCCCCTCTCAACTCTTGTCAACTTTGCTCTCGTACCAATATTACGGCGTATAAGCCCCCTTGCTCTTGTCATCATACACAACGCAAACATTACAGTGCGTGTCATATGCATAGAGCTGTCACTTCGTAGTGCATGGGGGACCAAGCGTGGTCTTGCCCAGTAGACAAGGCAAAGCCCAGTCCTGTTTTTATCACCACAGAGGTGCAATTGCCATCTGATACATATCGACATAACCTTATATGACAATTTTCGCTGTCGCGTAGCGGTGAAAAGCATCATTAGTATCCCGATATATAAAATGCTAAAGAAACACTTTTAGAATAGCTGGCAAATGGCCACAATTGACAAGGATTATAAAAGCGCGTTCTATACAGCAAGGCAGAACAGGGGCTTTCTATTACCTCTTGTCTGTACATCTGTGCCACGTAATAGACAGTGGATCCAATAAAGTTATGCATGCTAGCAAGCCTCAAAAACTTTCAAGGTGCCGAGCCCTACCGTACGTAGATGCCAGCAAGCTGGCCTAATTATCGTACACGTCTCGGACCCGAAACATTGCAGTATCACAATGCGTTGTCAAGCAATAGCAAGCTATTGCATTGCATACTATCAAATTGTACAAGTCCATCCGGTGTGGATACGTGGTCCTCCTTACCTCTTTCGTTTTGTGTGGGGATGCGAGTTGGTACGGGGCTCTACCTCGGTTACTTTGACATCAAAAGAAGTAACGAAGAATAATAAAGCCGACGCCAGCGATACACTGATTATGTAGATCTTCTAAGTTGAGTAGAGATTGCACGCATATTCTACCAACTTTGAGAAGTAGACGACGTAGACACAACCATTCTTTGAAATTCTCCGGAGTACGGTGATAGCTAGACAGGAGGAACATAACACTGAATTTACATTCGCGCCGTTAATTTCGAAACTAAATGTGTGCAGTATGGAGCTCTGACTACTTCCGATGATTCCCTCGTTCAAAGTTTGCCTTGGAACGGAGAGAACAAATTTTCGATAAGCTACCAGATATAGTTAGCAAGAACACTGAGAGAGAAGCGAATCTAGATGTATATCTTACCCATCGATCCAGCCCCTTCTCGTCTACCTTGAGGTCGATGAACTCCGCATCCAGTTTTTCTACATCACGTAGGTCAGCAAGACAGTATAGAAATAGATGGCAGTGTGTCAAAGCGGCACCAGTGATAAAGTCGGGGATAGGAGGAATTACCAGAGGTGATGTATGTCGTTCGCTGAAGGTCCAGGTTTCCTCTTAGAGAATCTAGAAACTTTGTAGCCCTGTTTGCGGTGCCAATTTGTCCGATCACGAACTTGACGCCTTTGCTCGTCAGTATGCGAGAAGTACAAAAAAGGAGAGACGGTGTGTGTGTACGTGCAGACATACTAGTTTCTGGGTATTGTGCCTCCTTCAGCTTCCGCCCGCACTCTAGAATCGCACCAGTTAGTGCCGAATTGCTCTCGGGCTCCGGCATGCCGTCCGTGATGACGACGACGAGTAGCGGCCGCGAAAAGGTCTTGTCTGCAATTTTGGCATACACAAGCGGCTCCAAGATCTTGGAGCGCAGATTGGTTCCAATGGGCGTGTCGCCACCGGGCTGCCAGGTCATAGGGCCCAGAATCTGGTTGACGGATTCGGCCGTTAGGCTGGAGTCAGCGGCAGCCAACTCCCGGTTGATGAAGCGCAGCGTGACGCCTTCACCGACGGGAAGCACGCGGGTGATGATCTTGGTGAGGCGCTCGACAAGCTGCTTCTGATTCTCCCAACGGCTCTGCCGCTTCATGGAGCTGCTGTCGTCTAGATGGATGGGGTTAGAAGGGGGACGATTGAAAGGGTCATGATTTGTGTCCATTTTACGTACCGCAGTAAATGACATGCTGGTATAGTGCCTGGTTTATCGCTTTTGTTCCAGTCACCTGCAGATTTACGACCGAGCTGGCTAGTTCTTCGACAAATGAAACATGTTTCCCGAAGAACTGTCTTAGAGGCTGAGCTAATTTGGTGTTCTTGAGAAAGTCGTCAAAATTTATTAAAAAACGGTCCTTGTCATCCGTAAGTCCATCGTAGTTGACGTTCTGTATCCCATTATTAGATAAACGTGTGCGTCACATCTTGTAAGCCGAAATACCTCTCCCGGTAACTCACCCCGTCATAATCTCCGTTCAGCACTGGGTCCAATCCGTAGGTTTTACGCACGATTCCATCTAGGGAATTGTTCGCCCAGGCAAGAATGTACACAAGATAGTTGATGACAGTCTCGGTCATTTTGTCATGGGCTTCTTTGTCCTCTTTTGGATCTAGTGCGAGGTGGATAGACCAGTCGCCGGTCTTCTCTGCATTCCTTTTGGCAATCATCTGCGCGTCCAGGCCATTCGCTGTCTGCAGTGCTGCTCCGGCCTTACGCAGCAACCGCACGCTCTCGGCCTCCTTTCGGTCGACCGCAAAGATCAATGGAGTCTTTCCGTCTGCTGCACTGCACGTCTTGTCTATTGATTCCGGCCCGGGAGGCAATTTCTGCAATAGAAGCTGCACGATCTGCGCGCAGTTTTCTTTCTTCTTTCCCTTCCAAACGGCGAGAAGCAGAGGCGTTGCCTCATTCTGCGAGAGGCCGTCGGCCTTGGCTCCTTTTTCCAGAAGCGCTTTGACCACGTTAGGAAAACCTTCAACAACTGCTGTCGCTAAGGGGGTAAGGCCCGTTTCCGGGTCCTGGCCGTTGAGTATTTTATCGATCCGCTTGTCGATAAAGTCGCCGGTAAGAGTGCCCTGCCGGGCGTTTTCAAGGATCGACATTGGCAGACACCTTGGATAAACAAGTAAAAGAAGTATACAGCTTGCAAGAAAAGGGGGTTTAAGGAAAAATATATTTCTGTTTGTACAGCAAGACAAACCCGTTCTTAAGTACAGAGTATAGGTTTACGTGTACGAAACCCATCTGGTCTCGAGCTGGCAAATCCATATACTAACGCACTACGAAGCCAACAACTAATGTAGGTTGGGCACCATTAGGCCGCTAACATGTTTGTCTCTTGTGACCTAGATGGCCCCGTAGGAAACGGGAATAATAATACCGGATTTCTCAACGTGGCAAGGCACAAACCCAAGGTTAGCGTCTATTAAGTAAATCCTGATGATCCAGAGTGTACTGCATATTACTTCTGCGCTATGTTGTACATGGCATTCCGTACGAATTTGTATATATTCAAATAAGGTAAATGAAAAGCACGGGCATTACGCCGCTGTGATAGGCGTCCCCATGCAACGTATACGACATCAATGCATTTTACTCCGCGATTAGTGCCATGAAACTGATGATCCAGAATATGCGTTGTTCTACAATCCTGAAAAAGAGGCCAATTACGCTTCCACACGTACTTCTGGGATGATTAGCCTTTAAGTCTATTATCTCAAAACGTATATTCTACATGCTATGTACGGAAACCTAGGATTACGTGCCACATCAGGTGTCAAGTGCTTTCAAAAAAAGCCAGCTAGTTGTATATATGTTTGTGTATGTATCGGTTTTTTTAGACTCTACCTCGAGGTTACGCCTGCCTGAGGGGAGAGCATACGAGGCATACAATGCGGTGCTTGAATAGCTTACACATTGTTTAGTAGGATTGGATCGAGTACAACCATATGTGTTTACCTGTCTTTATCTCCCGTTTTTATGAATTTAAGGTTTTGTTAGTCACCCAATACTCTTCGTTGCCTTTGGCAGCCTGATCTTTATATATAGCTGGCACATACATCTTTTCGACCGTTTAAAAGCCGGGAACGCGCTGAGTACTTGAGCGCGTTGGCCAGGTGCTGGCCGCCCGCAAGCACTTTGTACGGAGACCTCGGAAAACATAGCCCCATATGTGCCCTACAATGGTCAGGTCCACTTCACGTTACAGTGGGGATGGCGGTTAGTGGTTATTGATACTTCATACTCTGTACTCCGTACTCCGTAGTGGTGGTTTTTGTGTGATTTATTCTGTAAATGGATATAAATGATCCAGGGCACGTGTTCTCCGTATTTCGTACATGACATTAGGATTTTGGAAATTTTATTTTTCCCAGCAATAAATTTCAGCGTTCTTCTATGTACATTGCATCAGAACGCGCCTTGTAAATCACTCGCCTCCCCGAAGGAAGGGTGCCAATCCACCGACCGGTCGCTCCGAACGTCGCTTCGCCTTATTGTAGAAAAACCATAACAAACAAATTTATCGTTTGTACAGCTCCAAAGTCCACTAATGACTCTAATCTGGCCGTACCATTTAACAACGCGCAAGTAACAAACTGTATAAGAACAGCTTTGTGTCTAATAGTAATAATATAGTAATCCGACATACATGAGATTCAGGGCCGAAAGAACCACATTGCAATAAGCACTGCACTGTGTGCCACCCTTCCACCAACATACATCATATATGGACCACGACAATGCTGCATTCAACGGAAGCCTGTGATTGATTTGTTAGATCATTGGATTCGTAAACATAACATGTGGACACGCGAGACGAACAAAACGTAAAGCATATTCTTCTATGCGAGGGTTTGGATGCCCCATCCAGGGTGTGGACCAGTCTCTATTTGCGGCAGCTGGGCGACCGTGGCGCCGTACTGCGGCCCTGTGACTGTAGGAACATTTTCAGTATTTACATACATGTTGTCGCCTCCTGATCAGAAACGTTATTGAATTTGCTGTTTAGATCGATCTGGTGGTGAATGGTCAAGATATAATATAGGAAAGACAAAATCAAGGGCGGCTAGACTGTAACAAAATAAGAGAAAATAAGGAGGAAGTGGAGATTCACTATAAGAAACTAGCTGCACGACTATTTATTCCTTGATAGACCTCGTATTCGTCAGATTATCCAAAAAGAGGGTGGGATCCTACTGTTATTTATTATTGTTTAATTTGCAGTTTGTATACCATTCGACAGTATTATGGAGTGCCCCGTACGGAGAGCTCCTACGTACGGAGTATCTTAACAAGCCCCACTTGATAATCCCGATGGAACTATGTAAATTTCGAAGTCTCTGCTCCGTATACCAGTCTCTGTGCTAGTCTCTATGCTAGGACACCTCGTTTCTATACAAGTTAGAATTCCTGGCTCATTGATACTGTTCCGCTGTGTAGTGATTGGGGGGATCCTGTGTGCCGACAGAATCAAGATGAAGACCCATCATTACCATCAGTTCATCTCCGGCTTACCAGCACCATACGTCTGTGTCATTCGTACTGATAGCGGCCATGGGTATCGGATACCTGACAAGGATATCACGCCTCCTAGACCTTCATCAAAAAAAGATTTATCGCATCAGCACTGGAATACGGAGTAAAGTAATGAGGTGAAATGACGGAATTTTGATTTATGTAAATTGGTGGTTGATGTAATTGAATCTTTGGCCAAGTTGCGGGTAAGGAAGCTGACAAATACCTGCCATCACGTTTACCATAGACGTGCGGATGTGGGCCTTCTAGTCGCCGGTGTGGACGCCGGAGGCTGTGGTCCTTGCTCTAACACTTAGCTTCAAAGGCTTTAAGCCTGTGAGAGCCAAAACTGCCAAAGCCAAAAACTAGGACCTGGACAAGGCATCCTCTCGTCCCCTTTTCTTTCCCTTGCTCCTATTATTTTTGATTCCTATATCTCTACTCTAAAGAAATGGAAGAAAGCGATATATGAAACTGCCAGAAACAAGAAAAAAGGAACTTGTGGTCGACGATGATAGACAAGGCCCTATTGCTTTCGCGTCAATATTATTCAAAAGCTTTTGGGATTGTTCTAAGATCAAGATGCGGCTGGTGTTGACCAGTCTGCTTCACTAATGATCCTTGATACCATCTTGTCGAAAGTACTATGTTTGGTAGTACTACCACTGCTGATAATATCTTTGTTCCTGTCCTCAGTAGCAAACACAGTAATAGAACCATGAAAACAAAGCAATTGGAAAATATTTATCCCGTCACTTTTTGTCCCGTAAGCGTTCTCGCACTTCCATGAGCGCCTTGCCGAGCAATGTTTTCCCCACCGCTCCTAGTTCTCGTGCTGCGCCGCTTCAGCGGCTGTGAAACCAATCCCCCAGACGCAGTCCTGTGACGCTTCCTCAGCTAGTAAGCAATTGTCTGTATCTAACAGAAGGTTCCTGAGTTTCTTATTCTGTCCAAAACTTGCCATGTTGCCGGCTGCAACGACATCGCTTTTCATATCCCAACTGGCCGCGTCGAAATTGGTAGTCTCACCGCCAAGTTATCGTGGTTGTGTGCCTATGTACTCCACAATTCGTACGGAGTAAGAAGCGTCGTTGAGGTATAAATAGAATCCTTGACAAGATGGCCTAAAATATCCTGTACACGATAATATAGGCCTACGTTTGTCTCTAATCACCTCCTTGAACTGTAAAAGTAGCGTGGCACCCGCTTCTAATTCTTGTTCATATTCGTAGACAACATCTCTTCCGATGTGGTTCGTAACTTTGACTGACTGTCGATCTCAACGATCGTGCTGTCAATGCAGCCTACTGCGCCCTGATCAGCGTGTGCAATCAATAATGGAAAACACAATAAAAGCTATGACAATCCTCCTTCCTTCTTTATTTTAGAGGCTTTTTTGAATATGCCACAATATCAAATCACCAGATAAAAGGAGCAGTCCTGGTAGTTAATTTGAGTGGGTGCAGAACTCTTTGAAACAGTACTCTTCTAGAACAAGACTTATCTAGGCCGATGAAATTGCATCTATTACTCGGGCCCGTGAAGGTGAAGGAATTTGTGCTACTTTACAATAATTGTCTTGTATATATTACGTGGCACTGAGGGTGATGATTGTATACTATTGCAAACCGGACTTAACGGGTGAAATAACGTTTAGAAGCAAGACGCGTCTTATAAAGCCGGGGTTGTATTCTTAACTTAAGTGTTTGAACATACGCGGCCAATGCAACAGCAATAGGAGTATATCTAAGCCCTTAGAGCTCTACCAAGATCGGTGTAAGGAAATTTGTGCGCTATGTAAGTCATGATGGTTTCTACTTGCAGAGCTGTGTTTTTTCTTTGAATAAAAGCACACTCCCTACTTCGAACTCCTCACTCCTCATTTTTATTGGTTCCATCTGCAACTCATTAATCCGTTAGCCTAGATAAAAACGGCCCACTTTTGCCACGTCTGCGCTTTGGTCTGATGTGTGATAGTGGAACCTACAATGAAGTTCCGTCCGACAAGGAGCGGTTTGCCCTGCTGAACAAGGCATATGAACTAAGCGAGATGTTTTGGGACTCGGGTAGGTGGCTGGACTCAACAGAAAGTGTAGAACCAAGCTGACGGTGGCCCAGAAGACCTGTATATGGACTCGGGGGACCTTCTCAGCCGGTACTTTGCGGCCTACCCGGAGAAGCGCAAGGACATCTTCCTGGCGACCAAGTTTGGCATCCAGCTGGTTGGCTCGCCGCCAACCTTCAAATCGGCTCGTCACCGGCATACTGCCGCAAGGCGTTTGCCCGTTGGCCTAAGCGTCTCGGCACCGACTACGTCGATCTGTACTACGTGAACCGGCTAGACGGCAAGACGCCCATCGAACAGACCATGGCTGTGCTGGCCGAGTTTGTTCGAGCCGGCAAGATCCGCCACATCGGCCTCAGCACCTACAGCGTGTCGTCGCTGCGCCGCGCCCACACCGTCCACCCGTCCGCCTGCATCCAGCTCGAGTACAGCGTGTTCTGCACGACCATTGAGACCGACCCGACCGGGGACCTGCGGCGCACCCTCCTGGCGACGGCCCGCGAGCTCGGTGTCGCTGTCGCCGCCTACAGTCCGCTCGGCCGCGACATCCTGACTGGCTCGGTGCGCGACAACGCGGACCTCAGCTTTGCCGAGACATCGGAGCTGCAGGTGCCGGTGTGCAGGGCAGAAGCATGATGTCGGGTGATTGACAGTTGCAACATGTGCGGAAGTAACTGTGGTCAAAGACAAAGGGCCAAACTTGAGCGAAAATGATGGTAGAATCGAAAGCTATAATGTACCGTGATTGGCAGCAATACGGTTTTCTTCCACCCAATACACGTCTGCATCAGAGTATGCAAGTTGTACAGATTATGTATCGGTTTGAACAAGTGTTGCTGCCTTCCGGGGAAATCAGCCGATGAAGACGATTTCGGGTTCTACGTTACTATCCGTACTTCGTAATGGATTCGTGATAATGCTGCTCCCCGACAGTGGGGCAGATTGTCGAGCTGTCCGTGCTGCGGATCTTATGGTAGGACCGAACTAGGGTAGATTTACCAGAAAGCTTCGAGGTCTTGGCACCCGCACTGGCCTCACGTTGCCACTTGCCTTCAGCCTGGAGGTAGATCTAGTGCAACATCGTTTGCACATCAAAGGCAGCACAGATAAGATGTGTTTCGCCGTAGAAACGAAGCGCAAGCAGTTCCATAGTACTGGAGAACATAAAGTCGGCATTGCCGAACTTCCATACGACGTTATCCCAACGTAAATCATACTTTGTTCATGTGTCTTTCGGTGTACTTCAGCACATTACCCCTTAAGTCTAGATAAGCCCGAGTTGCCACAATCTTAATCGCTCACAAGCAAGAGCTAATATACTTGATCGTCAGTCATTGTAAACCGACTTGAGTAAGAATCGGACCAGGACTGGTCCAGCTTCCCGATATTGAAAAGTCTCGAAAGCCAGCCAAGCTCGGGATGACGCGTCGTAGAGGTTCGGGCGAAGATCCACCATCTCTGCCGATAGGACTTATTGTCGAGTCCGATATGAATATTGAAAGTACGTTTTTCGAGCCTTGCGCCTTCCTGTTACGGCGCCGGCTGCGTCAACTATTTTGTGGCAGTCGGCTTTCGAAGTACAACGGCAAGGGATCCGAACTAGGATTGCAATCTAGGAATACGATATCAGACGCAAAGTGTAAAAAGTGTTGCGCCCTAGAGTGATTTCGGCTGCGACACCAATCGACAGGCGTTGCTGCATCGCAAAAGCAGAAAGTGGCCCAATGCAGAGCAAAGTCGGCCAATTCTCCCTCAATCAATCGGCCGGATTGCGAGGGAGTTCCAATTTTCGTCTGGGATGTGCAACAGACCTTGCAACAAAAATGGTTGTGATCGTCCCATTCAGCTAGGGACTAGCCGCATTGCATTTTGGCATCTCGTGGGTCTTTGCTACCCACTTCCGGAAGCGTGCTCTGGTTTTGGAAGGTCGCATCACTTTCCCTAGTCGCTTACGACGATATCACAACACGAAGAGCTATCTCGGAAAGGCACACATCCGTTATCGAAGGGAAGCAAACGACAGCATCCTGTGCTTGAGACAATTATGTGTAGACAATCGAGTATAAAAGCTGCATGGACCGCGCAGCTTCTTGCTGTTCTGTCCACGCTCACCAGCCCTGCCAACCTTGTCCTGCCTTGCCAACGATTCCAATTGCCTCTTCCACGGTCTCCCTCCCCAAAACGACAAGATGAAGTTCTCTACCGTGCTTTCTGCCGCCCTTCTCGGCGCTTCCACCACTTTGGCTGCCCCGAGGCCGGCGGCCAACCGCATCGGCAAGCGGTCGATCCAGAAGAAGTCCCTTCCCAAGATGTCGGCAGTTGGTGCCCACAACACCACCGCAGACGAGGAGGAGAGCTACAACTGGTCTGGCGCCGTGCTGGTTGGCACTGGCTACACCTCCGTGACCGGGAAGATCGTCGTGCCCACCATCTCTTCGGGCTCGTCCAACAACGACAAGGTCGGCACGGCCTGGGTCGGCATCGACGGTGACACCTGCAGCTCGCTGTGGCAGACGGGTGTCTCGTGGACCGTCGAGGACGGCTCGGTCGACTACACGGCCTGGTACGAGTGGGTTCCGTACAGCGCTTCGGGTAAGTTTTCTGAGAGTATCATAGTGCGGAAGACAAGTACTGACAGCCCCAGTCGACTTCACCGGCATCACTATCTCGGCCGGAGACAGCATCGTCATGACCGTCACGGCGACGAGCACGACGTCGGGCACGGCCACGATTGAGAACGAGACCACCGGCAAGACGGTCAGCCACACGTACAGCTCCATGTCGAGCGATAACGCGCTCTGCTACTACAACGCCGAGTGGATTGTCGAGGACTTTGCCGAGTGCCTCGACAGCAGCTGCACCCAGACTGAGCTGCTGCCGTTTGCCGACTACGGCAGCGTCGAGTTCACTGACTGCTCGGCCGTCAAGTCGGGCGCCACCGTCGACGTTACCGGCGCCACGACCATCGACATGGTCAGCCAGTCGGACGATTCGGTCGAGTCGAGCTGCACTGACACGGCCTCGACCGTCACCTGCAAGTACGTCTAAGCAGAATATGGCGTACCGCCACCGTGGCGCTCTCTATTCTTCTCGCAGCCGATGCGTCCAGCAACTGCAGGCAACCCTAGCTTTTCAAAAGTGGGCTTGAAGGGGGAGGTCGTGATGTAGTCTTGGCAAAGTCTCTCAAGGTTCCAGGCTTCAAGATCGACAAGTATATTAAGAACTTCGTCCGCAGGACATAGTACATAGTATAGCCAAATACAATAAAAAATTGTTACCAAGACCGAGCATAGTTTTAAAATTATTGTTTTCTGCTACGCCTTATAGTTACTGTGTTGTAAGAATTGAAGCAGATATTCGTGAAATGGCATAGTTTTCTTTTATAACGGGGTATATTCCACAATTCATGTCTTATCAATATAGTCCACTTACTCCGTACAACGATCACAATTCCAACTGAGAGCCTGGCCATATAGGCATGAGGTTAGCAAGACAGAACACAGGCTCGATACGTAGCCAAGTTGTAATCTTTGAAAAGTACTATGCACAGGCGATCACAAAGCATTTACCATGAAACAACACAGCGATATAAAATGTAAATTACGGCGATCACATGCTGATGTCTATGTTGGAACACAGTTAAAGGTGTATACTAAGCACAGGCAACCCTCAACACGATTCCCCACCCCGTCAAGCTTTCGTAGATGCCCAGCTCGTTCTGTCGGCGAAATGTGACCTCCCTTGCACATGCTGTCACAGATACCTGACCGGCTGTCTCGACTGCTTTCTGCTTCGGTGGGCTGGCCACGGCCACATCGGTCGGCTTTCTTCTGCCTGTGGCCCAAGAAAGCCACGAACCGGTCTTCTGCTGGCCCCTTCGAGAGATTTCCAGGGCCACCGCTACGGGCAGGTCGTTGGCCTTGTGGTCGGCAACTTTGGGCAGTGATAGATGTGCGGCAAGCCGACGGGCCATTTCCTCGTCACACCACCACCATCTGGAGGCACTGCCACTGCCATTGCCGCTTGAGATGGGGTCGTCTGCGGATCCTGGCCATCTACCCCACTCGTCGAATTCGACCCCTACAGTCTCAGAAGCCGAGATCCCCGCATTGTTTGTTTCTGTGCTTCTGCCGTCTGTCATGCTCGGCTTGGCATCGCCAACATCGAAGTCCTTGGACTCTCGTACCCGGGATACTTGCACCACGTCACCCGCCTTTCTCTGCTCCTCAATCTCGCTCAGCGTCCATCCGTCCGGAACGGCAGGCTCCGGAACCATAACCAGCTCGGCCCGGGGTGGCTGCTTTGGCAAGGTTGCCACGTGGCTCAGAAATGCCTCGATCTCGGGGACTAGCCGGGAAATGTACCGGACATCCTGCTCGTACTGCTTAGACTTGTGTTCATATTCTCTTTGTCGGATAGCCCCGGGCAGAAAAGAAATGTACTGCTGAAGCTGGGCGCGATGCTCTGAAATAGATGTCGCCCGAGCAGATTCGGCGTACGGAGGCGGGGTGTCGTCGGTTATATCATCTGTCTTCGTAGCCATAACGAAAGCTGTTCGGAGGATGAAGGTATTAATCGCCAAGGCATGTTCGCCAATGAAATATGGAAGGGTGAAAACAGCAAATCACGTGTCGTGATAGGATTGGCAGTGGCTGTGCTAACCGATCGACCTGAGTCACGCGAATCCCACGTCAGTATATAGTGCATTGCATTACAGTCCAACGAGCCGTTAACCAAATCCGGCTCGGTGACTGGAGTAAGACTAAGTCGAGCGGTCAGCACGAGCTGTCGGTGACCGATTCAAGAACCGCCTTGCCAAGGCTTGGCAGGCATCTTTAGAAACCGAATGCACGAAGATCTGCTAAAATATTCCCCCGGATTATCTGTACACATGATAGTGCCTGACCGCAATAAGCTTAATGGCAGATAGTCAGCCTGCTGTCACACCGACGAACTAGGACAAGCCTTCTTCTCGGCGATCCAATGAAGAAAGCCTGACGTCGGCTCCGCCACGGCTTAGTGTGTCTTAACGTGTCGCAGTTTTGTTGGAAGCAGAAGTGCAGGTGGAATGCAAGGACACAGCCTCAACGGGAGACAACAATGATTTCTAGTCACGCGTGCGACGATGTCTAAGCGCCTAATCACTGTCATGCAGTCTGCGGTGTCATGGGTGAATCAGGGGTGGTGAGAATCCTTCGATTTCTGGGTCTTTTATTTCTGTACATTTAAGAAAGAGCCGTTCGAGCCTGTCATTTCTTCCGTTCTCGGCTTCATGCAACACGCATATTTGTTTCATCTTTCGGAACCACAAACATCTTCAATCATACACTGCCTTCATAATGTCTTACAAAATTGCTGCACCGGACGAGTACCTTGCCATTACTGGCATGGGAATCGACAACATCAAAATCACAAAGGCAGCATGGCTTTTTCCCTTTCAGAGATGCATGCGCTTTAGGTAGGTCGAAGGACTGTGTTTCTGTGTGTTGCATCCTCGCTGACCATTATCAGTATCCGGCCCAGGGACTATGCCATGGATCTCCAGGCCATGACCAAGGAAAAGCTCCAGTTCCTCCTCCCTGTTGTTTTCACCATCGGCCCTGATGTTTCGCACCGGACTGATCACGGCCAGAAGGTGGTGCAGCCGGAAGGCGTCGCCGCGTCCGTCCACGGCGGCGAAGATGGTCCGCTCCACCCTCCTTCAAAGGAGGACACTCTGACCAAATACGCGATGCTTCTCGCGGAGAACTCAGCCACAAAAGTCAAGCCTGAAAGCACATTTTTGGAAAACATCGTCAAGGGCATCATCGAGGGTGAGACCCGCGTGCTCGTTTCGAGCATGACGATGGAGGAGATCTTTACGGAACGCGAGATCTTCAAGCGGCACATCTTTCGCAACATCCAAGGCGAGCTTTCGCAGCTGGGTCTGACAATACTCAATGCCAACGTGAAGGAGTGAGTTTCTTTCCTTCCCCCCCCCAATTTTTTTTTGGTTTCTTTCCCTTTTTGTACTCTTCATCTCGCTGACACCGTGCAGGCTGAAGGATGCCCCAAACTCAGTGTACTTTGCATCCCTGTCGCGCAAGGCCCACGAGGGTGCGGTGAACTCGGCCAGGATCGACGTGGCCGAGGCCCAGCTGCGTGGCAACGTCGGCGAAGCCAAGCGCAAGGGTGAGCAGGAGCGCGAGCTGGCCAAGATCCACGCCGACACGGCAGTGCAAAAGGTTGACCGCGACCTCGAGCGGGCGCAGGCCGAGGCGACACTGGCAACACGCAAGGCCGGACTGGACCGCGACGTCGACATTGCACGCATCGAAGCTTCGCGCGCGACCGAGTCCAAGGACGAGGCGCTGAAGCGCGATGTCGAAATCAAGCGAGCGGCTGCCGAGCTGGAACGTCTTCGCGCCACTGACGTCGTCAAGGCGAGCATCCGCCGCGAGTCCGAACAGCAGGCCGCCGATGCCAAGGCCTATGAGATTGCGGCCAACGCGCGGGCCAATCTGGAAAAGGGCCAGCGCGAGGCCGAGGCGTCAGCCTACCGGATGAAGGCCGGCGCCGACGCCAAGGCCTACGAGACGTCGACTACCGCGAAGGCCGACCTAGAAAAGGCCCAGCGCCACGCCGAGGCCGGCGCGTTCCAGATCCAGGCCGAGGCCGACGCTTACGCCTACGCGGTCGCCAAGAAGGCTGAGGCTCATCAGAAGGCCAAGCTGCTCGAGGCCGATGGGCTGGCCGCCATGGCTGAGGCCTACCAGCATATGGCCGTTGCCTTTGGCGGCCCGGCTGGCCTGCTGCGCTACATGATGCTCGAGAAGGGCACGTACGTGGATCTGGCCAAGGCCAATGCCGATGGCATCCGCGGCCTGCAGCCCAAGATCAGCGTTTGGAACACCGGCGCCCAGGCCGGAATCGAGGGCGGCGGTGCTGGAGCTGGTGGTGTCGGCGACGGGTCGGCCTCGGGTGCCGGCGGCGCCAGCATCGACACTTTGCGCAACGTCTACCAGATGCTGCCGCCGCTCATGACGACGATCCACGACCAGACTGGCATGACCTTGCCCGAGTGGCAATTCGGCCGGCTGGCCGGGGAGATGAGCGAATCCAAACGGTCCAAGACGATCACAGTCAACAAGGAATAAACAGAGGCTGAATCACAGGAAGTGACAGACAGACCTGAAACTCGGTTCTGAGCTTTGTCGTGTTCTATTGTGTCCTCTATCCTGATTCTGTCGTTGCATAGCAGCTATGATACCAAGAGTTCTTTGTCTTAGTGGAGCGAGCTGTTTGTAAGATTGTGTATCGTTAGTTAATATTCATGGCTTCTCAACCTCGGTCAATTGCTTTCTATTAAATGGATTCAATACGCACTCCCTAACCACATGAAGGCTGCAACCATACTGTATTCTGTACTTGTTTTCAACCTTCTCGGTGGCTTTACGTACTGGCTACTTGTCCCGACTGGCTGCTGTGATCGTGGAAGTGAGCTGCTTGCAAAACTCCACCAGCCAAAAAATATCCTGTCGAATGGTGGTTGCAGGGGTCAGTGGAAAATACCTCATTCGGTATATAGAAACAAGCAGGTCGTATGTAGATGGGGCATTGCGTACAACTCAGTAGCCATGTTCCCTCTGGTGTCGCTCATGCTATTCACTATCGTGGTTTGGTACGGTCCACCTTCGATGCAATGAAGATTGAAGCTGCTTGACTGTGTTCGAAGCTCATACTCTCCTTGTAAATATCGGACATGGCATGGTGATCGAGACCAACACCAGCTGGTTCCAGCTGGTACCAGCTGGCGTATACGCTGACTTTTCAGTTTGTCCCGCCTTTAGCCGCGGCCAGTGGCGATCAGCTAATAATGCCGCTGCTGAGCCGGAGATTCGGTCAGCTGTTCTTCCGCATTACGGACGCACAATGGGTGGCATGTCATGGCCCCGAAAACCAGAAATCGGCGGTGGTGCGACTAATCCGACTCTGGCAGCTGCAAAGGCAATGGCGCTTATCGGCCCCACGCGTTTTGTGCGCCTGGTGTTATCAGCGACGGTCATGCCCTTCAACTGGCTCGCACCTTCTTCTCTCGATCGACCCGCGTTGCTTAGTCACTGACGAACCCGCCACAGGAATGCCATTGTGGCAGCAGAGCAAACAGAGCTAGCAGATTTAGCAGAGTTAAGCAGGGAAATGGGACGGACCAGAGCATCGAGATCGAAAAAAGAGCCACCAGTGCGAGGCGTGCCGGGTCTTATTTTCCCTGATCATCCACCGTAGGCTCACGCAACCATTGGCCGAGCGCCGTCGTGCTGCCTTATCAGGAAGGTGGTCGGTCCTTTTTCTGCCTGGCTCTTTGTCTCTGGCTCGACAACAGGCAACTGGCCGAGGGTGGTGTCAGCCAGAAGGATGGAACAAATGGACCTAGGCCATACGAGCGCGAGGACTCGACAGCGTCTGAACGTGACAATGGCTGATGGGCCGTGGCGCATAGGACGGACGGTGTTCCCCTTTCCCGCATCCCCGCGCGACCTTATCTTTCTCTTAAAACGCTTAGCACCCCGGCCCCCCCGGTTCTTCTTTTTGTTCTGCAGTCTTCTTTTTCTTGGCTCTCTCCACCGTTTCTTCCTCGTTTCGCTTGGCAGCCATTCTGCATTGCACTTACAGCCTACTGCGTTATTGCTAGACGCCAAGACGGCAGTTAGTTCGTCTTGTCCATAGTCTTGTCAGATCTTGGATTTTCAGTATTCATTTACCAACAATTGATTGCTCCCGCTCTGCCTCCGCTCAATTCCACGATGGCAAAACCAGGGAACATGGCCGTTGACGGCACAGACCCACGCACATACGACCACATGCAGGCTGGCGATGGGGCCGTGGGCGAGGTCACGGTGGCGTCGCTGACAGGAAGTCGTGCGGATGCGCATCACGGGCGCAACCTCTACAACCCCAACATCACCTTTGAGGAGTACCACTACTACGCGCAGCAGACACGAGCCGAGGAGGCCACTCAGCCACTGACGGCCTACGAAACCACCATCTGGTCGCTCATCTTCCCACCCAAGTCGGGCGAGGGCGTGAAGCGAGCCGAGCAGGACAGCCCAGCCGGCGTCGCGGCCGGCTCTCTGGACGAGAAGACGGGCGACAAAGAGGCATTGCCAGCCAGCGGCGATGGTGGCCAGGCCGCTGTCAGCGACGAGGAGTGGACCAACGCGTCACGAGCTCTGCGCACAGCCACCCGGGGCGCCATCTTCTACCTGATCACGACCGACATTCTGGGGCCGTTTGGGCTGCCGTACGCGTTTGCGACTATGGGCTGGGGGTGAGAAATTTCTGTCCTGTTTGTTGTCTTGCATCTTTTTCCTTCTCCACCGTCGTCTTGGCCAAGCTTTTCAGCTGCCGTCTTGGCAAAGCTGCGTTCCGATTAGCGTCCCTAGGTGCAAATCATCAGTGGAGAGCACTAAAACTCTAGCAGAATGGAGCAGCGCTAACATATCTTTCTTCTCTTTTTTCGCACAGACCTGGCGTGGCCCTGTTTACCGTGTTTGCCGGGCTTGCAGGCTATTCTGGCTACCTGCTCTGGGGCGTCTTCCTCGGGCTGGATTCGTACCAGTATCCGGTGCGCAGCTTTGGCGATTTGGGCTACCGTCTGTACGGCCCGTGGTTACGGTACCTATTCAACTTCTTGCAGTCGGTGCAGCTGCTGCTCAATGTCGGCCTGATTGTCATCTCCAATGGCGAGGCGCTGTCGCAGGCTGCCAAGTTCCGGCTCTGCTTCATCGTCTGCTGCCTCGTCTGGGCCATCGTCGGCTTCCTCGTCGGCCAGATCCGCACGCTGCAAAAGTTTGGCTGGCTGGCCAACGTGGCCGTCTGGCTCAACCTGCTCTGCATGTTCGTCACCATGGGCGCGGCTGCCCACTCGTCTCCCAACTACACCGGTGCCGCCATGTCGGCCGGCGCATCTATTCAAGGCGGCGCCGTCGTCACGCCCAACGCCCAGGGCGTCTACCCGCCCGTGCAGACGAGCGGTGGCATCCCCGACACCGGCGGCTTCACCGCGTCTGTCAGCGGCGCCATGCAGGCCATCTTCGCCTACGGTGGCTCCATGGTCTTCCCCGAGTTCATGGCCGAGATGAAGCGGCCCAAGGATTTCCTGACGGCCATGTGGGCTGCCCAGGCGTTCATCTACTTCTGGTACATGCTCTACGGCCTCTTCATGTACGGCTACCAGGGCCAGTACGTCATCAACCCAAGCTATCTCGGCATCGGCAAGTACAGCCTCCAGACGGCCGGCAACGTGTTCGCCATGGTCAGCGCCGTCATCGCTGCCGCTCTCTACGGCAATATCGGCATCAAGGTACTCTACAACAACATCTGCGTCGAGTTCTTCCGCGCGCCTCCCCTGCAAACCTTTGCCGGCAAGGTCATCTGGGCCGGCCTGATTCCCATCTACTGGGCCATTGCCTTTATCATCGCCGCCGCCATTCCCAACTTCTCCGGCCTCACCTCTGTCGTCGCCGCCTTCTGCATCCTCCACTTCACCTACACCTTCCCGCCCCTCCTCTCGATCGGCTACCTGATTCACAAGCACGCCATGCGGCCGGCCGATGGCGAGGGCTTCGACCCGGCCACCGGTAATGTCACCCGCCTCGACTCGGGACCCCGCCGCTGGATCCGTGGCTTCCTGGCCTACCGCTGGTGGATGAACTCGGCCAACGTCATCTACATGCTCGGCGCTCTCGCCCTCGGTGGCCTGGGCGCCTACTCGTCTATCGAGGTGCTGAAAGCCGCCTTCAAGACAAGCACGACGACCTCCTTCACCTGCAAGAGCCCATTGAACGGATAGAGTTGGGGCTGTGGGAGTTGCGGGAGCTGTGTGGGCTGTGAACTGGGTAGGGGCATGTAGCTGACGATTTTGCGTGAATATTCCGTGATAACAGTCAGGCGTCTGGGCAAGCACAGATTCGGCCCTTCTTCGTGTCGTTTGTGCACAAGATACCCTGGGCTGGGTCTCGTCGCTTTCCAGTCTGACGTCTGATCAATTTCCTTTATTTTCTTTCCACCTTAATAAACAATCCTACATTTTTTCTGTGTCCTGCTCCCTGTCTCGCCTCTTTTGACAATGGCCAATCATTTTCTTCACCGTCAACGAGAGTGATGCTAAATACAAAGTGGCCACAAAATTGCAATGGTACAAACAACGGGTTTGGTCACTTCATTGTGGATATCGTGCACGGAGCTTTTGACGATTATTTTCGATCTGACTTTGCACCTGGGAAATCAAACGGGGCGCTTCGTTTCAACTGGAAGGATGAAATCCACAATCAGATCAATCATCTATCTCGTCTATGGAATGGAACTGGCAGAATAAACACGCCACAAGCGAACAGTTGCGCCCTCGTCCACCTGCTGCCGGTCGGGCAACCTCTTAATTGGGATGTACCTTCTTCTTGTAGAAGATGGTAGATGATGCGATTGTCTTATAGTAGGCCATCGTGTATATCGCAAATTTTCTCCGATGTGTCGATTCTCACAGGTCTACGTTGCTTGTTAACAAAGCTAAATGCCCTACTCTGTACTCCGTACGGAGTACTCTGTAGTGGGGTTTTATCTACCCCTCCATATTAGCACGTGATTACTGTCACGAAAGCGTCAGTAATGGCGACGACGGTGGGTCCGGCGTGCTCCTCACAACGGCCTCATCGCGCCAGCGGCTGCATAAAACGACACAAGAAAGAACCTCCCCCCCTGTCTCAGCTTCCTAGTACCTCCCTCTATGGAGCAAAACCCCGGTAGCCACGGCAGGGGATAATAGATCATCTCCATTTCACACCAACACCTGACAAAGTCTGTCACATGACCTGACATGTCCCTCATCTGCCCCTCACATAAGCATACAGTATTTAGCATCACCAAGCACTACAACCTCACTTCTACCCCCTAGGGTGGTGACAAGGTCCCTCTTCCTTAGCTCCTGCCAACGGTTATAATGATATCTTAGGTGAGCTTGTTGTGCCCTGATAAAGGAAGGTGCGAGGGAGGGGTGAGGAGGACCCCTCCTCCACCCCCCTCTGAGGGACAGCACCGTTTTCCTGAGCCGTCGAGACAGTTGTTTGTTGTTTGTTGTTACGAGTATTGATCTTAGTCCTTTCAAGCTCTCAATTGTGTTATATTCTAGTAGCGGTGCGGGAGTTGTCGAATGAACCAGACTAGAATGGGTGGGATGTGTGCGTTTGCCGTGTAATGGGAGAATACATGTACTGTGTGGCGCAGGAGGCTATTTAGTACGTGTTTTCATGCACGTCGGCATACCTCAGAAGTACCTAACCATAAACTACACACACGCTCACTGGACACCCATAAATTGACAACAGTACGGAGTAAGCGCATTGAGATAAAGAGTACTCCGTAGGGGGGTCTTATTGTTCTCGGCGCGAACGGTGGGTTGAAAGATATCTGCGGCTGTGAAGTCTCCGTAACTGCGTCGTTTTCCTTCTCCACCTTCTCCACCTACCGTAAGGCGACATTGGCAGCTTTGACAAGGTCTAAGACACCTTTTAATTGTGTTGTAGGAAGAGTGGCCCTTACAAGAGTAATTAAAGTAACCATTTCGTGTTGCTATTAAGTGATGAGGAAAGTGCACCCCTAAGAACACCTATTCTGGCCGCACGGGATGGCAAGTCAAGACTCTCGCGGGATGCTATATCATCACGTGACCAATTCCACTTTTCCTTACCAATCAGATGTGGAACAAATTCATGCCTTCTGTCACCCACTTACACACTCTATGTATATAAAAACCCTCTCTTCTTCCCTCCCCTTAAAGAGAGAGACAGACAGGCACGCACACATGCACAGAATCAATCAATTACGAAGACATACACGCAGTACACTTGTGAAGCAAAGACTACGCCCAAGATTTCGCCGGGCGGGCTCGTCTTATCACCCCTTTCGGGATCACAAGTAGGTATAGATAAGGCAGTTAAACCCCCCCCCCCTCCCCCTTTGGAAGTTGAAAAATGGACTTTTTCAGGAAAGGGTGTGGAAACTCAGCGATGTGTGGGCCGGCAGCTGTTGCTTATGTGCTAGGGAGGTTGTTTCGATTGATTGGAAACGAAAACTTTATGGTTTTGATGGTATAGCCACAAAACGAGCGAAAATTGAGTAATTGATGCACGAAGTGTGCAGAAAAAGCTTGAATTCTCTAAGTCATGATAATTACAGAGATGTGGGAGGGGTATTTATTACCCCTCCACTAGCCACGTGACCATGTCACGACAACCAGCCACATACTGCCCCTACCTTCTGACGAAGGGAGGTGCTCTTCGTGCACAGTTACGTACGTTGGTAGGTGTGTGTGTTGTTGTTGGTTCGAGCTGAGGCCTCACCCTACCTCCGCTCTCACTATGTACGTTCGCTGTTAAGGATTGTCGCCACATCCTTAATGGTGCTCTGAGCGTTAGTTTGTTAGCTACGTACCATGGTAATACCACTTCAATCCGTAATGGCGTATACGTTTCGCTCATGCTTTTCCTGCATGGACGCCTCCTTTCATCCGTTCTCTCGTGGCATTTTCATGCAATATTTCCTCTTTAGTATTTCTCTTGGCAAGAGAAGACGGTTTCGTCGTGATGATTTTGTTTTTATAATCAGATTATAAGCATTACCGACCGTGAACAACACCGCAATTACTCGTATAATAGCAAGACCAGTGTCTCCAGTGCCAGCGTTTAAGCCCCTTACCTACGATGGATAGAGGATCACAAACTTGTTGCCGAAGTTAACCGTGACGAGCACGCCCGTGTTCGAATTACTTAGCAACTAAATGACTGAGTTTCCGGTCTGTATGCTTTAAAATGCGTGCACACGTTCTTCCACGAATCTTCATTGCACTTCGAACTGGGATAGTAGACTGGGAGCTCTTTAAGAGCTATAGCCGGCTAGTGTTAGTCCTCAAGGCATTTAACACCCGGGAACAGAAGGTGGCCTGGATGAAAACTGTCTTGATTGCAGAGATTCAAAAACGCTTGGCCATTTGGACTTCTCTCCTTTGAGGACCTTTGCCGTGCCTACCTTGATGCCGAACGAGGGCTGGCTAGCAGCGTTCAACTGCTGGGAACACCCTGTTATAAGAGCCTGGTTACAACTTCCAGTGACAAGAAAACTAAGAACCCAGAATGGAAGTCATTCGCACCAAGCCACGCCTAAGTTCTTTCTTCATACATCATACAGACAAATAAGGGATACAATGACGATATCTTACTATCAAATCTCTCTCAGACACTGGACTAGCATAGCGTCTTACACCACCCCCAACCTCACGACCACAGACACAACCCGCGGCAGCCCCGCCTGGCACGAATAATAGTATTTGTTTGTTTGCTTATTGCTTGCCTACTTGTTTCGCACGGTTATTAACAAGGGTTCGGCGATGCTCGCCCAGAGAAATCCGGGACAGATGCTAGGCGCCCAAACTAGAAGGTAAAAGGGGTTACACAAAGAAGGCTTTCCTAAGACCTCACTCGACCTTCCTCTCAAGATATCTGAAACACATCACTATTTTGACCGGCGAAGCTCATTTTCTGTTGCTTTTGTTGTTTCCTGAAGTTCATCCATCAACGGTAATCTATTTCTTCACTATAGCGAGAAGTCTTCGCACTGTAGTTTTCGTAAGCCGGCTGCATATCACCAAGTGCACAAAAGATGGTCACCCGGCCTCTTTGTCGCCAACTTCCCAATGGCTCCTCCTTGCAAACACAAGGTCCCAACCACAGATGTAGCTGGTGACGACAAGGCGGTTCGAGAGTCCGTTGTGATGACGCCCTTGTGGGCGGTTCGCTAGATCGTGCCAACAACGTGTTTTAGCGCCTCCAGTATCTCGAGCGAACATTGCCCAGCATGGCTGCTGTGTTTAGGCCACGAACGGGGCATCCCCAGCGCGCTACTTGTGTCCCCGGCTGTGTTTCAGTGCCCGATTTACAGTGTCGCCACTGCACGCGTACTTTCGATAAATTGCACTATGGTTTGTTGGAAGCCAAAGGTCTAAAACGTTTCAAAAATTCCAAGGTTGAATTGGTACAGGTAAGCCTTTACGTGGGATTGCAATGGAGAATATCACATCCACGAGTGGACGTCGAGCGCTTGAAGAATGGAAGAACAGACGAATAAAACGGTGTGATTGTATTATTGCAATGCTATACTATGACACATTATCACAAGGAGTCAACAAGACTTTTATGTTAGCTTCCTATCTTCATTACATTAGGTCATCTTCTCGTGAGATGTAGCTTGAAATAATCATAAAAGGGGAAACAGAAGTGCAGAAAGAATAAAAGTGTAAAAACCGTCATGATCATGCTCGCCAGAGTGTCAGTAACTAGTCTGTTTTTATATTGTAAAGGCATGCTTCAGGTTTCCTGCTACTCAATCGTCTGTCATACGAGACCGGAAGCCGAGACGACTTCCCTGGTTTTGGACACGCCCGGGTTTCCGCCTGTCAACTGGCCGTGCCGGTTCGCATTGGCCATGACATGTCTGCGGCTTCGCACGTTCCTAGGCGCGTTCGAAGCGATGGCTGCATTACGCGGCCGCGACTTGTTCTGCTTCCTGTCACTGCACGCCCACACGAATATGGTAAAGTGCAGCAGCAGTACGACGCACGGCAGCACGAACGAAACCAGCAACTCTCTGAGGCGCGCCTGGCGAGCAGTCCAAAACAAGTTAACATCGGCATCCTCGGGAGCAGCTGATGAAGCATGTGCGGGCTACGGGTCCCGGCGTGACAGTTGTAACCAATGTTTGTGTCGATGCTTTCAAAGCCGATAACCTCGGTGGCCTCAATGTCGACGTTGTCAATGTCGGTGAGTTTGATGTTGTTAAACTTTCAGATATCGGTATCACAACGTCAGCCTCGTTGCCACTGTCGGCACCACTGCTCACCGAGGAAGTCACCCTGGGCGGGAGCTGCTGTTGTGGCGTGCCGACCAGCTCGTCGCGCATTGCCACCGTCACAGATACAGCAGTCGACCGAGGCACAGTCGCGGCCGTGGTCGGTATCACGACCGTTTTATACGTGGTGGTGGTATAGGTCCCTCGCACAGACGCAATGGTGAAGACCCAGGTTCGGTTGGGCACCAGGGTGTAGTAGCCATAGTAATTCTCATGGCCACCATCAGGATCGCGGATGAAGCGGTCGGCGCCAATTTCCTCCACGTTCGTGACGCAGTACCTCAATATTATCACAGGGGCTATAAACACCAGGCACAGTATGAGGTCAATGCCGAGCGGGACGCCGGGATGGAGAGGGTGGGCAGGACGCCGCTTTATCAGAACGATGGCGACAATGGAGCACCAGAGAAAGGAGACCGCGATCTTCGGGCTGTTAGTAAAGTGTATTGAAAGTATAGGAAAGGGGAAAGGGGAAGGGAGCAACCGGAAGGGGGTGAGTCAAAACTAAAAAACGCGGACACATACGGGAATCACAGCAAAGCCCACCAGTTCGTTGTCGATATTGGACCAACCTTCATCAAGGCCATCGTAATTGTGCTTCAGGCTCGTCCACGCTCCGTTGCCTATGGCGGCACCCATGCAGGAAACCACGATGGCTTCAGCAATCATCATCAGCATGCGCACAGCCACTTTCCATAGCCAGAGCATGTTGGTAGCACCAATCTTCTGCATCAACGTCCGGGTTTTTGCCTCATCGCCGACTGTGCCCCCTCCTGCAGGCACAGAGGCTGTCGAGAGTTGGGAGATGGGGACGAGTGTGGCCTGTAGATAGAGGGCACATTAGCAGCAGATGCCGGCCTCACTGGTAGTACGAGCAAATCGATTCCGGCGTCAGCTTCCGAGCCAGCTTTAGTGCTGGTGTTGTGATTGGGCTGCTGCTTGGCCACAGCCGGGGATGGCGATTGAGGTCCGGCAACATACTCGGGGGGTAGAACTTCTTCGTCCCATGAAGCAGACTTCATCTTGTCAGAATCGAGATAAGTCGGAATTAATCGAGATTTTCGGCGAAGCACAGCGATCACAAAGAAGAGTTGTTAGTGAACAAAATGAGCCACGACTGGAAGCCACAGACAAGGTAAATCGAGATGCTGGGCAACAGGAAACCCTAAATAAAAGACAAAGACAGCACGGGAGCACAGAGAACAAATACTCATGTCTGGCAGCCAGAAGCAAGGCGGAATAGCTGCGCAGCCTCAATGGAGCCTCTTGGCACAAATCCTTCATGTACGAATGCGACCAAAAGTGGTATACGGCCGGACATTGGCTCCGGTTCGCTAAAACATATCTGTCGCCGAATGGTAAACTTATTCTTGCGTTAAAGCGCTTTAGCGGACACTGCTGTCTAACCTTATCGTTTATTGGGAATTGAGCCAATGGACCAAGCCCCAGGTACTGAAGGAGTAATCAACCCGAACGCAACCCAAGTTTGTCCTTGCGGCGCTGGCACTGTGTAGCGTTTTCTCGTATCGCGCAAACGCCCGGTTTTACTAACTTCGGAGAAGTATGACAGCTCTGTGAACGTCACAACCGTCACGTGAAATCCACTTCCACTTTTCTGATCGACCGCGTTGCACCGTCTTAATAACTGTAGGTTGCAGTAGATTTCTGAACTGCAGTATCCCCCCAAGCATCAAGCCCGGGTTGATACATGCACCCTGACCGAAATTATTACGAGGCCGATGCAGATCCTGGCCAAGTTTCCCAGCCTCACGCTAGCGCAAGGCTCTATGGCCATACATACGCCTTGGTCTCTTTGTTATTGCCATCCTCATGGAATACATAGAGTAGAAATAGCCCGGAGTCTTTTCCAGAAGCTCTGTTGGTCTGACATTTCCAAAGTCTCGCAATAGGCAGCACCATCGCCTTGGCCCTCTACACTTCCGCCTCTGACCGCGACATAGGCCACTGGCGGAAAAAGAAGAACGACGCAATCAAGCCGGAGGCTCGCTTGATGCACTTGGTCCTTGCTGCAATTACCCTTCTACTGGCCTTCCTCTTCTACGGATGGACATTAGCGTCCCATGTTAAATGTATCGTGCCGCTTATCGGAGCTTTCCACCATCGACGTACGTGATGGACGTTTACTACATTCACGGGGAATCCGCGATAGCGGCGGATGTCATCATCCGAGAATTTGCTGACGCATCCTGCCGCCAATTGGCCCTTCTTTATATCAAAACATCGAGCGGGGATGGGGGAACACGATCTTGGCCCTAATCGCAGCCGCCTTCATTCCCCCGCCGGGTGTGCTGATGAAATTCGTATACTGGCTTTGCAGTAAAGACCGGTTTAAATAGTATAGATGATAGGCGATAATACAGATTCGTGGGCGTGTGGATGGTTTGAATCTAGCGATGGATGCTAAATAACACCCGAATTAGGAGGGATATTATGATTAAACAACAGTATGTGATATCTGATTACACCCTAGGCATTGGATATATTCAGACAAAGCATACACAAAAACTCATGTCTCTTGTAGTAAATACAGCGGTACTACGTCTTTACTGTCCGAAAACAAAATAGAAAGAGTAGGGGGTTTCTAATTTTTCGAATACTGACCGCAAGTCTTTTTAATGCAGGTAGCTCTTGTGACCGGTTTACTCATTTATTAAAGCAAAAGGCTGTATATTGTTTCTATACCTAGGGCCAGGCAAAACTGTTTCCAAATGAGTAATTAGATGGATACAAACACTCAGCATGGCTTATAACTCAAGCCGTGCCCGAAATCTGTACAGACACGAAGGTAGGAAGTTTATTTAGAAGATTTACCAAGGACATACAAGGGCCCGTAATCATTTAATTTGTGTGTGTGGTTAAGACTACATATAGTCCCATAGGAGCTTGAGAATCTAGAAGCCAGACACAACACAGAAAAGCAAAGTAGCAGCACTGGGAAAGAAGATGAACAGCTTCTGACATAGAGACTGTTAATAAGAAACTCAGTTTGCCTTAGACATCACTTCCTCATTTCTTCGTGTCTGCTGGGCCGCAAAGAGCAATAACTGTGTCGTTGGCCTCCGTCTCGGTTTGGACGTGGGGATTATCAATTGAGGCTCTGACTGAGACTCTGACAACATACAGAGCATGATATGGCTCCTCTGCTATGCCTTGTTGAAGCCAAGTGGCTAAGGTACTGCCACTAACAAAGGCATGTTGGGGGTCCTTCCACCGGTGGACCTGAGTCCACTCATTGCCGCTGTCTTTAGTGCTCGCCATAGACGTCTGGGCTTCAGACTTCCCCTTGTTGCTAGCGCATTCCTATAGTTAATGCCTACTTAGCATTAATGGCAGAGTTTGCAAAGGGGGTACGGACATCTGATTGCTCCATAGCTTAAGAATACAAATGTGTCGCCGATTATGCTGAGATTTGTGCAGTCAAAGAAAAAAAAGCTTCAAAACTTATATGAGTAGAAGTAAATTAAACTATACTAAGACAGAAAAAAGGCCAGTTCTTATAATCATAGATTTTTGTACTGCCAAAGCAATGACCCATATTGTAAGGGCAGTTGGCATACTTGTGGAGGTGGGCATCTGACCGTCAACAAGTAGCCTCTTTGAAGCAACGAATGAGGGCTTCGAACCGTACCAGTGTGGCAACGCTCGGCGGCATCGACGACACTTCGAATGTCCTTGTCCGAGGCATTCTTCTCACCCCAGCAAAACATTTTGTACAAGAGCCAATGGTGCATGTATTCCGTAGTCCCACTAACCGTGCTATGGTCCACTTTAGTATTTTGTTGGCGTTCTCCTTACGGAGTACCCCTCCACATATTCTGTACATGAGCCAATCACTGCGCATCCCGGGGTTCTCCATAAAATTTTGTCAAAGTCCAATAAAACAGTGCTCCATAAGGGAAGCAAGTGGTCTTACTGGGTATATATATTTGGCGTGTTCATCCAAAGGGCAAGCTTTTTTGTCTCTGATACATAACATACAACTCTTGTACCGACGCTCAGATCTTTGGATAAGCAAAATCGCCTCTACACTTCAGACGTGTTCGTCGCTTTTACTGTTCCGAGCACAATGGCGAGCCTCGCGCCCGAAGAGATACAGGACAGGTGGGAAATCTACAAGACCGATATACAGACGCTGTACCAGGATACAAAGCTCGAAGACTTGATGGAAGAGACGGCCAAACGTGGATTCAGGGCTACGTGCGTTGTTTTCGAAGCGGCGACAGCCTATTTTTCGTTACTGAATAAACGTACTGACTCTATCCAGGAGACAGCAGTACAGAAGCCATTTCAAGACATGGGGATCGAGAAATATATCTCGTCAAAACAGCGGAATTATATTAACCGCAAGCTAAGCAAGAGAGACAAGGCAAACAAGCAGACGAAAATCTTGAGGGACGGGCATGTCGTTCCTATGGATTATATCCGGAAACAGCTCAAACGACACTGCAAACCAACCTTGGCCAGCAAGTTTTACCAACAGTGTAAGTACATACTGTCTTCAGGTACCGGGTCGCCTCGAACGGAGTTGACAAGTTTCCCCATGTAGCTCCCAGTCCCCAAGCCTCCGATAACGAATGGGGACTGACTTTTCGCACACCTTCACTTTCGCCCGTCCCCCCAGCTAATCCCGAGCTTCAACAATCCCTGGCTTTGCTTCCAGAAAACTGTCTATCAATGTATGTTCAACTACTGGTCCTAATTTTACGCACTGTACTAACGAAAGGGCATGTAGATTTCACCAATAGTATCAATATGCCAGTGTTCGCTCAGGAAATTGTTTCGAGGATCGTCGATGCCTTCGAAGCCCCCAATGAGCATAGGATCGCGTCCCTCAAAATGGCCAACATGTCGATAGCGCCTTTCCTCTCAGAAATTCACTCCGCCCTAGGTCGTTTCTTGCCAGATACTGTTATGCCATACCAAACTACCACAGCAAACACCATTGGCAAAGCTGAAACCCGGAGAATGCATGTCCTCTTGGAAGCCATGTTTTATGGCATCACAAACCACCACATTCGGTCATACGACAGTAATGAAAACAAGATCATTAAAGCCCTACTCAACAATCTAGTTCTTCTGCAGCCTTTCCTCTCATATCTACGAAAATCCAATTCCCACTCTTCTGAAGTCCTCCTTGACTCTCTTTTCTCCTCTTCCATTCGACTAAACAATTCGGAGGCCGTGGAACTCCTCCTTCGCACAGGCGCCGACCCATGCAAACGACTTTTGTTCCCGATGTTCAAAGAATTGCTCGGTTACAACGGTGTTCTTCCTATCCAAGCAGCTATACTATATAACAGCTTGGATGTCACCGATTTCCTTCACAGAAACGGGGCAAAACTACCCAAAACAGAGAAAGAAATAGATGCATGCGGATGGCATGAGTCACCGGTCCAGATGTTAAAGCGCGATCTATCACAATTTCCTCAAACGGCCGTCTATCTTACACTTCACTACACAGCAATCTTGGAGGAGCTGGTTCAACTTCTTCGCTATCATGCAGAAAAACATGATACAATGGAAATGCTAAATCTGCTTCAAAAAAATCCCGCAAACGCTAAACCAGAGGCTGTTCTTTCCACCCTTCTTATATCAACACATACACTCAAAACTTCTCTCGGTCATGCTAGCTTCACAGACGAGCCCTCGACTTCAGAGTTCACACCAGAAATTGATTATTCCTCTAACGTTGATCACTCTGTTTTGCAAACGAAAACACTTCACATAATCAAAAGAGTGAAGGAGCATGGAGCAAATTTGGACCGCTCGGAAATATACGGTGTTCCGTCACTTCACCTGGCAACTCAGTTGGGACTATCTATCGTCGTGAAGGGACTTCTAGACTTGGAATTAAAACCTTGCCTAGACAGCGCAGCTGACTATCAAACCGAGGAAAGATTCCATGGGAGACCACTTCACATAGCTCTTCGTGAAAAGAATTTTGAACTCGCAAGCCTTCTGATCGAAGCAGGCTCCAAAGTGGATGGTCCTTCTGTTTATGTTGCCTTGAGTATGGGAATGGAGGATGACTTGAAACGGTGCACCTCTTTCGACAGAGGTTCTGATAAAACTTTGACGCCGGTATCTGCAGCTTTTCGTCACGGTTCACCGACTTTCCCATACCAACAACTCATGAAAGATCCTAATGAGTACGATGCAGCACTCTTGATGGCTATGGTATATTCTTCAACGAAGAACCGAAAACGTGACATATCTCTGATCAAAATTCTGCTGGGACGTCGCCAGTCCACCCGCAACACATGCTGCCTATACGAGGGCAGCGCCCTGTCTATAGCAGCTCAAGAAGGAGATGAAGAAATGGTCAACTTGCTGCTTCAATTCGGAATCAGTTCTATCTCGGCAAGCCTTTGTTTTCGTCATTTATGTCTGAAGCCGGACGTAATACGCAAGAATCTAGGTTCACAAGAACTCAACCGGCAATGCGCAGAGGAGACTTTGACTTCTATTGCTTTTTGGAACTCCAGCAGAACAATGAAAATCCTCCTAGACAATGGTTTTCTTCCCAGCAAGGATACTGTCGAAAATGCATTTATTCTAGAGGACAAAAGCGTCGCTGATGTTCTGGTTCAATATCTCATTTCCGGCATACCAAACACATGTATGAAGATGAGACTTCAAGACTGCTCAGACCTCTGTCTTATCTTCGCCTGTGATGATCATGAAACTCTGGTTCGAAAAATACTTCTCGGAAAAGCCGACTTGACTGCGACCTGGAATGGCGATACAGCCCTCGCTATTGCTGTACAGGGTGAAAACGAAGATATTGTGAAACTACTGCTTAAATATGGCGCAGACGTGAATCATCCAAGCGTGTTAAGATGGACGTCAAGCACGGACATCTTAGAAATATTGATCGATCAACAAGAAGTCGGAAACAAAACTTGGGCATTAGTGGCGGCTGCCAAACTCGGGAGTGTCGAAATTGTAGAGATGCTTATATCTTCAGGCGTTGACATAAACTCACCTGTTGTTATACTAGGGCACAAGGAGGACGAGGAGGACGAGGGGCACGATACAGAGGCAACAGCTCTACAAATGGCAGCGATGCATGGCTATAATCCAATTGCAAAGCTACTTCTGGACCACGGAGCAGATCCAAATTTCCGAGGAATAGGTCACAATGGAAGAACGGCACTCGAGGGTGCAGCCGAGAATGGCCGGCTGGACATGGTCTCTCTTCTACTTCGATCGAAAACCTTGATAGAGGGTCAAGGACAACGCCAGTATCTTCGGGCCGTTCAGTTTGCAACCAGAGAATTCCATTTTGCAGTGGAAAGGCTTCTTCGGGACCACCGGGAATGGACGGATGACGATGAGTTACTGTTCAACCAAGAGGATCTTCTCAAATGCGAATGCGCTGAAACCTGCTCCAAATGCTGGAAAACAGCTCATATGACGATAGACTGACTGACAGCGATTCCACGGACGGCATGGACGGCATGGATGGCATGGACGACATGGACGACACGGACGACACGGACGGCATGGATGACCATGACAGTCCAGGGATAGCCAACATCGAGGACACAGAAATGGATATGGGGCCAATTCAAATGGCCTCTGAAGAGTCGCATCTTTTGGAACCAACAGAGTCTGGCACGGCAGAGGGAGGTCTGCTGGTCTCAAATTACAACCTGCCTGAAGGAGAATCACGGGGAGACTTTGTGTCTTGGAGCGACTTCGATGCTGGCTTGTCTCACCCAAGTCTCCAGTTTGCACCCAGAAACTGGGAAACGTTTGATATCGATGCCTATTTCGATTTTGATGCCTACTATAACGATGCAGGGCCTAATCTGGGGGGTTTTATTTCACCTGGGCAGCAATGGTGGCCTTACCGTGCAACGTAGTTGTAGGCATTTTCTTGAATACATCATGCAGAACGCTTGCTATTTTGTAGTACTGCTCTTAGCCAAATCACTCTTGTTAAGTTTTCAGCTGTCCCTTTCATCACTGACTATTGTTTTGTCGGACATGCAGCCAGGATATGTACAACCCGTTCCCTTTTATCATCCACAATGTAAGTATCTGTCACGGCGAGGCGCCTTACCTGGCCGTGCGATGTACTCCTCCATAAGCAGCTGCTACACTGTCGCGTCAGTTTCACAAGGCCAACCGGCAGCCATTCAGGACACCCACATAGCCGAGAGAAGCGATGCACTGAAGACTGAGATGGATGGGGCTGCTTGTTTATTCTCGAGACCAGATTCCGAGAAAAGAGCCAAGTTGGAATTCGGGTAGATTTAACGCACAATGGTCTTTATTTTCCGGACAATCCTTGTCAAGACAGAGGCAGAAGCAGAAGAAGAACCATGATACGCATTACCGACCAGGCGGGAAGGAAACAGGGGCGATATGGCAGCACGAGACGCAAACTGTGCGGCGGAATTCCATTGTGGCCGTCCTTGAAAATAATTCTTTGGGAAGTGGCCCCGCCCACATGAACACACAGACTCGGAATCCGGTAGCAATTGAATCGGTACCCTTCCTGCACTCCTATATTCGCATGTAGGGCGGTGCTTCCACGTCCTGCACCGTTCGATCCAAGACGGAAGCATCATCCTCCACAGCAGCAGTTCATTCGGACTCAACCGAATCTCGTACATATCATCCTTTGTCTCGTTCAAGAGGTCGACATTGCTAAAGCACACATTGGAAGATTTATCGTTTGGGGCTTCGTAAAACGGCAGTACAGCAATGTCAAGGAGGACGGAACGTCCCGAGAGATCCATGCGTAGCTTCGATGGGAACACCAGAAACTTTACGTCCCCCTGCTCTTCAGCTGTTAAGAGAAACAGGAGGGGTTTCCCCGACATCCTGTACTCCGTAAACTTGGAGAATAGAATCAGCAATGACTGTTTCAGATCGATCCTCCCTCGTTCTCCTTCAGCCGCCTCCTCCTTGTGCGCCAGCAAGTTCTTCTCGCGCCCCGTAAACATGCTTTCCAAGTGTGGTTGTAGCCAGATCAGCTTCTTTTCGGTTTGTATAGACGGCAGAATGTCCATGTTTAGGTGCGATGTGTTCCAGCTGACGGGCGTGCCGTTGTACAAAACGACGGGAGAAGGCGATCTTGTCCAAGATGTTTCCGTAGAAACACTGCCTTGCACTTGAACGAAATTGTGGTCCTTGGGGATAAGCACCTGGACAGATGACTGGTCCACAGGGACGGGCAGATCCAATGGCACCTGTTCTCCCGTACTTAGAGTAAGCATCATATTCCATGGAGAGAGGGACTGGATGCTGTCAGACCCGTTAGTAGAGAGGGAAGAAACACGGATGTTGGAAGAAAACTCCAGTCGGGTCGTCACGCTTTCTATTTTCGATTTTCCGTTCGTCTTTGCAAACACAGATTTCGAGACAAGGTAGTTTTCTCGCCCCATTGTACTCTTTTCTCGGCCACTGTGATGGTCATGGTGTATAATTGCCGGTCCAGATTGATTCGGAGGGTTGCGAGAAATGTGGATGCGCTTATCGCCGAGCTTTGTAGAGAACAGATTGAGATCTGGGCCAAGGTGTTTTGCCGAGTCGAGTGTTGCAACAGTAGTGCGGATGTAGAACATGACGCAGGTGTCGAGATGCTCCTGCAAGAGGACCCATGTCGGTACCATGAAAGAAACAATCAGGGGAGAATTTCCATCCCAACCAAGGCGGTCATGGGCGACATGAAGCTCATAAGTGTCATCCGTTCTCTCATCAAAAGCCGTCAGTTTTCCGAATCCAACTTGAAGAGCACAAAAATCATGACGCCAATGGCGAGAAGGGGATTGAACGGCACATTGCAGCACGTGGGGTATGTCTCTGCGGTTCGCTTGTGTAAAATATTCTAGACACGACCTCGGAATTTCCATGGTTATGTACACGGCTGTGGGTGGGGCGTTCCAGCTCTGTAAGGGGATATTTCTTGAGAGAACCTCTTGATTTCGGTGATCGGGAGAGTTCTTCAGCTCGGGGAAGATATAGACATTGAAAGCATGTAGGTGTATAATGGCCTCTTGCGAGAAATTACCCGCCAGCATCAGTGTGCAATCTTTTGCGAGCAGGAATAGAAAACGGGCCATGGTGGCCTCCCAGTCGACAAGGGTGGTCTCTCTGACAACGGATAAAAAGGCTGCAAAAGTAGCCCGACTGTAGCGAGGTTGTGCCATTCTGTTCAGGATAATACGGTCCAGGGTAATCTTTAGACTCTCTTCTCTGAACATGTTTAGATAGATGGAAAACAGCATGCTTGCTAGATCATCGTCGCTGAATGTGATTGGCGCACTCGGAATTCCAAACCCATGTTTAGGAGGTCGCTTCCATGTTATTTTCCAGGCGGAGAATGAAGACTTGGCATTCGCCTCCTGGCGTGCCGCCTGGTTTGGGAACGGATTGCCAGAGATCAAATTCTCTTCACGGGGATTGGTGGCGCTGTTTGTGCTGAATTCAACAGGTGCCAATCGAAACAGAGCGGCAACGCTGATGAGGTCCCCGCAGAGCAGGTTGTGAACTGTATTCTCGTTTGATCCTCCCATGGGGACCATCATTTCTGTATGAATGGATGCAAAAGGCGAGTCTGACAGCACTTTGGAAGTGGCTGAAAGCAGGTTCATCATGCCCAGGTAATCCTAGAGGTTGGATGTATCGATCACGTCAAAGAGAAGCGGTGCGGATCCTCCAGGCCCATACATGTCACTATCAAGTCGTAATACGTCGAACTGCTCCCTATGAGTGTACAGGTTTGCCGTGTCAGATTTCCTGTTGCTCATGCGAACGTGATGTAGCGTATGTGAGAGTGCAAGTGCATCCGCATTCACGAAACGCAGCTTAACTCTGTCCACAGAACGCCGGAACGCAGCTGCCCAGGTGCAAAATTCCATCTGTACCACCTCCGCGAGCCTCCTGGATGGAGCCTGTAAAGGCGATTCTCTCTCTAGTGGGACAATGGCAACAGCTGCATGAAAATCTAGAAAAGGTTCTAGCCCATAGTGGAGGAAGGCGGAGTGGTTTGGGTGGACAAATAAGGGGTTGAATTTTGAAGCACTTTGTATTTGGGGCATTCGTGTTTTGGGGGGGCTGAACCGACTGCTGGTTTTCTGAGTAACAACGATGGGATCCGTGGTCCCGCGGGTCCAGTAGTCTCTCGATATCTTCTCCATTTCTACCATGTTCTCGATGCCTGCAGGAGCAGCAGACCGGAGTCCCATCAGGTTGAAAGTGGATAGGCTCGTCACGGATGTCCTCCTGTGTTGCCGCGTCTCTGCCAGTGCTTCGCGAGCCTTGTCCAAGTCATTCGGGCCTTTCTCTCTGGCATAGAATCCGAGCATGTCACGAACATGATTCTGGGTTTCGGTGTCACAAAACGTGATGGTTTTCCCATATTTACTTCTGTCCCATGTGCCTGCATCTTCCAGAAGATCAAATAGGCTCTTCGCCTGGGCTTGTGCCATGTCACAGACATCGGATGTCAGATATATATGATAATAAATCCTCCAAATATCCGATCCCTTTTGTCCGTCCTTATCGTCGAGAATGAGGGACAGTACAAGGACATTTCGGGCTGCATAGGTCGTTAGCAACAGGAGCCTTGACTCGATCCGTCGACGGGGACTAATTTAGCTCGCCTAAGACGGCCGTTTCCACATCGCAGCATGTGAAGTCCAAGGGACGATCTGTTTATCAAAGATTAGACTACTTTCAAGTCACCAATGTCATGCCAACGGGACATAAAGGCTACTTACTATCGGCATAGATTGTAAACAAGACGTTACGAATGCTACCGCAGCCAAGAACGAGAATATCGGCTGCCGTCTGTTTGGGGACATCCTCGCTTAAGCACTTTGCCGGAGTATTTCCTATAAGGTACAACCAACCCTTCCGACGGCCTTGAATTGGCGTGAACATGGCAGTCGTGTGGCATTGATAGCTGATGGAATGGTGGACAATTAGCCTCCTAGACTTGGGCTAAGAGAGAAAGGTTCACACGCTTAATTTTAGAAAGAGGGGTCACTGCTATACCACTGTTTGTCGGCCTTTTTATCAAGGCGCATCACTCAAGAAAGCTATGTATTACCCCGCACTTGCGTTAACTGGCATCACATCTAGCCACGATACGCACCGACGCGTTCTCCGCTAACAAAGTGACGCCCTAAATGAATTTAGAGCTAAATAGTGTAAACTTGGCACCTTAAATAGGGCCTCCGTGTCACCCCTTCAAATATGCCAATGGCGCTGATGCACGCTAGGGACGGCGATCTTGCGGACTTTGTCACTTAATATGGCTTGATCCAGCCCTTTGTTAATTTATTTTTAGATTAAAGATTACTTTTTCATGCTTCACCAGATCATAGAATAATCATGTTATTAGGTAGACTAGATGAATTAGGTCCTAGGACCTACCTTCCCCAGGACTTCACCAGTTATGGACAGCGACTGCTAAATATTCAGATCTCTGGCAATTGCCAGACTTTGAGAAAATCCAAGACAGTTTTCACTTCGACACGATCCGAGCCAACCGTCGCATTAACGACCATCATCTGACACCTTGAACCCTTCCTCGTCCTTTTCGAGTGACAGCTCACTACCACCACCATTACAGTCGACGCCCCAGCAGTTCTTGCGCGATACCCACACCACAACCGCCCGCAATATTCCGTATGGATTACTTCGTAAGATACCTTATACGCTAATCTCAACTCGACCCGGTCCATAGTTTAAACACTGGAGACTTTCCAGTAACCTACCCCGGCCTTATAACAATCCCTGCAACGTAGATGCACATTCGTAGCGGCCACCTACATATCGCCAACGAGTTGCAGTCATGATAGGAAGGGAAGGAGAAGAAGGGTACGTTAGCAGGAAGAACGACTCGTGATCCCTGCCTGGATCGCCAGTGAAAGATGCGAGACAAAACACTCGAAAACAACAGAAACGAAACGACTGCCTCGACGGCTCTTGGTAAAACGGTGATGTATTCTGCTAAGTTTTCCCCCGAGAGAGGGAGTGGAGGAGGGGAAGTTGATACCCCTCCTCACCCCTCCCTCGCTCCTTCCCTTCCTAGGGCCCAACACTGTTTTGTAGTAGTGTTTTATATGTTGTCTTTGTTACAAAATTCAGACTAAACTTTGATGTTTTGGGGTTTTTTTTGCTTCCTTTTGTCTAATAAGTAACTTCATCCCAATGTGCTTCCGTAATAGTGTTTCTGTATTACTAAGCGTGCGCAGCATCAGATAGTGTAGATGACCAGTTACTATTTGTCAATCTCCGGCCGACCTTCCAGATAGGGCAATATCATAATGGCGCTGTGTGATGCTTCAGTCTTTGTAGCTTCTACCGTTATGTTTGCAAACGACCACAAGACGACCAATGGGTTGGTTTTGGATGAGCCAACCCGGCAGATGCTCAAAATAAGGCGCAAAAAGCTGTAGCCGAAGGGAATCAGTATCTTTAGGACCCAGAGTTAGTTGCTCTGATCTGGCGTGCTATCCCTAACCCTGAGGAACTTTCCGGGGTAACGAGCAGCGAAGTCAGGGATGCACTACATGAAGTTCCCGGTTTGGTGACAGGCCAATCGGGCAGTTTTATCTGCCTAGGAAGACGACAGACGCCACTGCAAAGGCGCTGACATTCTTGAACTTTAAAACAGGGTTCACGACTAGTATTGTGAGCGACGGAGGACAGAATACGATGCAAATAAAAGGAGGATGTTTGTTGCCATCATACATCTACAGTTGACGCGTCCTAGATCATTGCACCAGCGGGCTTCAAAACACGAGCCAAGAGTAAGCTACGGTTCCCAGAGCGCGCAGATCCAGCGATGCTAGCTGCCATATTATCTCTGGACCTGTACACCGTATACGGGCTGTTGCCGGGGATTTTCATGTCTTTTTCTAGAGAAATCATCTCACAGACAAGGGACGGAAAGGTCAACCAGTCTTACTATGAAGTTGATCACTGGTCATTGAATTTTTTTTATCTTTTCATTTTCCGCTTTTCTATCGTCGTTCTATTGTCTCTCTTCGTGACGGTAGTGACCTGTCATGTAAATCAGATTTTCAATGCCAGTCCAGCCACTGTCCATTCGTCTGCCCCTGACGCGTTGTGCGGCACGTTAGATTGCCCTTCCATCTAAGCGGCCACGCCTCTCAGCTTGTCCTCCTCCTGCCGGGCCATGTATTCGCCAGCCTGCTCGAGCAGCCGGCGCACGGTTGGGTCGTCGGCGACGTCGACGTCGGCCTCGAGGCCGAGCCGGGCAGCCAGGGCAGCGGCCCACTTGGCAGCAAACGGAGCCGGCTGGAGGTCCCAGGAGGCGGGAACCTGTCCGAAGCGACGGCGGCCCTCGTCGGCGACGCAGGTGACGCCCTTGCCGTCGAGACCGCAAGGCACGAAGCGGAGCCAGGGGTTGGCGAGCTGGTCGGCGGCGATGCTGCTCTTGTTGCTGTTCTGGCCCTGTGCTCCTTTGGTGGGCGTGTCCAGGTTGACGGCGACGCCGAGGGCGCTGATGTTGCGGCGCAGATGGACGCCGAGGGCAGCGATCTTGCGGCCGTCGGGCTCGCCCACCCAGAGGCCCGGATCGGCGGTGGTGCAGGCGTCGACGCCGTAGCGGCGCCGCAGCACGTCGGCCGTGGTGTCCTCGAGCAGGCGGCTGTAGCAGCGAACGGTGAAGTGGCGATGCAGCGGCGACTTGAGGTCGAAGATGGGCCAGAGCACGGCCTGACCAGGCCCGTGGTACGTGGTCAGGCCGCCGCGCGGCGAGCTCTGCACGGCCGGCTGGAAGGTGTAGGCCTCGTGCGTGTGTCGGTTGTGTCGTCGGGGGGCGTGGTTGTTTTCGTGTTCGCGTTCGCGTTCGCGTTCGGGATCGTGGCTCTCGGCAATGTCCTTCTCGGCATCTTCGTCACGCGTCACGACCGTCAGCGGGGCACGCAGACGGGCCATGTCGGCCTCGCTGACATCGTCCTCGTGCTGCCGACGGCCCAGCGTAAATGTAGGGCTTGGCGTGAAGGAGAGGACGGTCGGCGGTGGCGGCAACAGTGCCGACGGCCCTGACGTCAGCTTGGCATCAAGAAACTGCCGCCGGATGAGCTCCTGGACGGCGGCGGCGGTGCGGTAGGTAGGGTAGACGCCGAGAGACGGGACAGCCGGTATCTGGATGAGGCGGAGACGCATGCCGGGGCGGACGAGAGGGGGAGGAGGCTGGTGTTGTTGCGAGCAGCGGTGACGTTTGTCCGAAGACGACGTTCGAGGAGGAAAACAGGAAGCTTTGGGGAAGCTCGGGTCGATAACAGATACGGACAGTGTTAACACCGTGTATCACTACATACGCACTGTATACAAGGTACGGCGTGCTTGAACAGAAATGAGCTTTCTTTTGGCTTCGCTTGCGTCATACAGAGACTGATTGCAGGTGAAAATCACGGAAAAAATACAACAGACCACAGCCGCTACAAGCTGAACTCGAGCCGGTTGCCCGCATAGTCCCGCGCAAAGAACCGGGTTGGGTACTCGGCCCCTTGGGCGCCTACAAGGTCAGTCGTGTGCGTTTTTGCCGTCTGGAGAGCGAGAGCGAGAACCCACCAGAGTCTGTCCTGCCCGGCTCGTCGCAGGCCCGCGGCGCGCCCGGGCTGCCGGCGGAAAAGTGCTGCCAGACACGCTGCTGCAGGGCCTCGAGGGCAGGCCGGCCGCCGGTCAGACGGAAGCAGGGGTGGCGGCTGGAGGCGACGGCGTCGTCGCTGAAGTCGCCGGGCTTGCCAAAGGCGACGTGGACCTGCTGGCCGGAGTCGGCAATGTTGAACCAGGCGAGCGAGCCGCGCTGGAGGACGGGCACGGGCGAGGAGACGAAGCCGAGGGTGTCGCCGTAGAAGGCGTGGGCCTGGTCGAGCGTGCCGGGCGGCACGACAATGTTGACGTGGGCGATGCCGGTGATCATATTGGAGTGGAAGAGGGAGAAGAGCCGAGAGGAGATTCGAGAGGAGGGTCGAGGAGGATCGAAGAGAACCGAAGAGGGATTGTCGAGGAGTGAAAGTCTTTTGATCAATTTCGTGATCGATTGTCGTGGTGAAGCTGCGAGTGAAACCACGACAAAGATTGCCAGATGCTGCGAGCTGCGAGAAAGAGAACAAAAGGAAGAACCGTCTGCGGCAGTGTCACAACGGCTCGTCTGTTCACTCCTCGTATCTCTCCCTCCTCTCTGCGAGCTCAGACTAACACTGATCCAGGTATTCCGTCTTCCGCCTTGCGCTCGACCAATCAGAGTCGACTTGCTTTCTGAGCGGCAGAATATTCTCCCTCCAATCCTCTCTGCGCCCTTCTCCCCCTCTCTTCCCCCCTTCTCTTCCCTTCTCTCCCATTATGGCAAATTGCCCCATTCGGATCCTCGATGGCGGTCTCGGCACCTCGCTCCAGGACCGCTATGGCGTCGAATTCTCCTCCGCCGCCACGCCGCTCTGGTCCTCCCACCTTCTCGCCACTGGACCTCAGAGCGAGCCCGAGACCCTGCTGCAGCGCTGCCAGGCCGACTTCTGCCGCGCTGGCGCTGACGTCCTCGAGACCGCCACGTACCAGATCTCGACAGCCGGCTTGGCGCGCACACGCGTGCTGCCCGATCATCCCGATGGCATCGTCGAGCCTGCAGATGTCTACCAGTTTCTCGAGCGGGCCGTCGCCGTGGCCGAAGCTGCTGGCAATGTCGAGACAGAAGCAAAAACAACGAAACATGAGACAGCACCCTCCATCGCCCTCTCCCTCGGCCCCTACGGCGCCTGCATGATCCCCAGCACCGAGTACTCGGGCGCCTACGACTTTGACGGCCGCAACACCACCGCCCTCCGTCGCTGGCACGCCGACCGTCTGCGGCTCTTCGACGTCGGCGTCAACCGTCTGGCCGACCGCGTTCGCTACCTCGCCTTCGAGACGGTGCCGCGGCTGGACGAGATCGTCGCCGTGCGGCAGCTCTACAACGTCAGCGGCAACCACGGCGACACTGATACGATCCCCTCTCGACTGGCCGCCCTGCCCTACTGGATCTCCTGCGTCTTCCCCGGCGACTCCGCCCACGAGCCCCCGGCCACCCTCCCGGATGGCTCCACCGTCGAGCAGGCCGTCGAGGCTATGCTCACGTCCTCCTCTTCGACACATCTTCCCTGGGGCATCGGCATCAACTGTACCAAGATAGGCCGTCTGCCCCAGTTGATCGAGCGGTATGAGGCTGCCGTGGAGAGCCTCGTGGCCACCGGCCGTCTGTCGGACTGGCCTGCCCTCGTGCTCTACCCCGACGGCACCAACGGCGAGGTCTACAACACCACGACGCAGCGGTGGGAGATGCCTGCGGGCGTGTCTGCGCCAAAGGTACGTTGAGTCTGCATTCCCATTGACTCATAGCATCCTGACATCTTCTCCGTCCAGGACCCCTGGGAGGCACAACTCAGCCAGATGGTGCTGGATGCTGCAAGCCGAGGAAAATGGCGCGAGATCCTCGTCGGAGGCTGCTGCAAAGCCACAGACCGCGACATCAAAGCCCTCAAAGCGTCCCTGCGAGAACCGCGTCCGTGACGTGATGGTAGTCGAATAAAAAAATTACCTTTGAAGCGAATACTGTATACTCCATTCTTCCAGCTGTAAGAGAATGGGGAGACGCATGCCGAAAAATAGCACGAGAGTTCGAAGCTACCATATTGACCGTAGATATCACAAACAGCTAGAGCCAAAACTGAATTCGAGACAGCAGGAGGCAACCTATTCGTAGATCTACTAAGGATGCAGTCATCTCGTTTTAACGCAGCCACTCTCTTTGTTGGTGGAATAATGGTCAGTAACGAGAAGTTCTTACAGTCCAGGAATCCCGCACCCTATTGATCGCAAAGCGCTGGCTTCCTCGGTGATTCAACGTCAATTTTCGTGCCTCTAATTTGTATCACAGCGAGAATCGCAAGTCATGCTAAGCAAAAATACCCCACTAACCCCTCCAAAAAATGTTTTGATGAGAGTGGGACTTGAACCCACGCGGATTGCTCCATAGGAACCTTAATCCTACGCCATAACCAACTCGGCCATCTCACCGCTGATCTTGGTGTGGCATGTACGTGATGAGGTTCAAGGGGGCAGTGACGCGAGACAACGTCGTTGCCAAACGCGACAAATTTGCATAGGGTTATATCGGAACCTAGCTGGTTTGTAAAATATTTGTAAGGTACTTGCACGTGTAGTGGCAGAGGAAGGATACCTATCCTAGTCTTCCGCCTCATTTTCCCGGTTCCTTATTCTTTCCTTCTGGGAATTATTTTGTCCAAATTCCAGGATAGGAGCTGCTGGGACTTAATCTCACGAGCTAGGAGCAATCAGTCGTCCTGCTTGGGTAGCCAACACAAACATAGAATAGTGTTGTGAATGTAAGGTCGAGTTGTGCATACCTATGCTCTCGATACTGTCCCTCGGGCGTTTCTGCACTTTTACCCGCCCAAAGGATGACCTTGGCATTCTAGGCTTACCACATATTGCGCCTCATGGTGCCCAATACTACATTCCCTTCGCAACATGGCAGACTTCTTTCAGCATCTCCCGCCCTTTGCTCCCCCTTTTCATTTTCTATCCTGCTCTTTTTTTTTTTTGCCGGACTTCGACTTCGTTCACCAATGGCATCGAACGCTGTCGTAGTAAGACTTTGCAAGTGAGACCGCACCTATTTAATTCGGTTTTGTTTTTTGTTGTGTAAGGAGAAATATGAGATGATAGAACTGATATCTCGTTGAGTCACCCAGAAATAGCGTCAATCTCTCTGAAGACCCTCGTCGATCACATCTCGAGTTACTCACAGCTGTGTCAAATTTATTTGTCGTGTGCACTGCGGTGGATATTCTGACTACGACTGGCACACAAGGCTTTGCATACATTACGCAAAACACTCACATAAACACGGTAAATAAGAGGACTTTTCGCAATGACGTGTTGCTAGGCTCGCTGATATTCTGACTTGTATCATGTTGCAGATAGACACCGCCTAGATCTAAGGAATTGGCTTGCACTCTTTCGCAATGCATCCACGATACCGCACATGGAGAGTCAGCGGCATCCCGGCCGGCTACGGCAAAACGACACTGACAGAGGCACTCCGAGATCATGAATCCCTACAAATCCATCAGGCTGATGCCCGTCTACTACGAACTCTTCAAGGTCGCCCCAGTCTCTTACAGGACCTTTTAGCCCACCCGGACATCGTCCAGACTCTTGGAGCCCACCCTCGTTTCTTGAAGACTCTTCGTGACCACCCATACCTCCTCCAGACCATTTCAGACCATCCAGAGTTCCTTGAAGTTCTACAAGCTCCGAGAGGCTTGGACATTTTCAGATCACACCCTTATCTCTGTCAAATTCTTCCTACGTACCCGTCAATTATCGAGATTCTCACAACCCCTCCTGACCTGCAACTTCTGCAAGGACGCCCGCACTTGTTGCAATTTTTGCAAACCCTCCGTGTTATACTGGAAATTGAACAAGAGCAGTCGGACTTTCTGCATACTCTAAACAAGTTTCCACACCTTCTGGATACCGCTAATGACAGACTGGAGCATGATCCTGGGGGCAACGTTGCCAATGGTGTTGAAGTTTACACCTTAGCGTCAGACCTTCAGGACCACTGCGTCGCAACTATCCGCTTTCGCTGCATCCCAACAAAGCTAGCCAAACTCAAACGGGGCAAGAAATTGCAAGTTGAGATACCCTCTCTTGATACCAACACACGTGTTGGCACCAAAAGAGCCCGAGGCCCAGAGATCGTCATTGACGCAGAGTTCGATGGGATGACAGTCCTTCGGTCTCCCCTGCAACAAGAGCACACCATTGACATGATCGCACTCTCCGGCCTAGGAAGCCATCCCTTTGGATCCTTCACAAATAAGGACGACGGTCACATGTGGCTGTGTGATAGGCTACCCCAAGACATGCCTGGTGCTCGTGTGATAATCTACGGCTACGATTCCGTGCTGCAGAATAGCGACAATTTTGCGAGCCTGTACGATTATGCTACGTCGCTACAGTTGCTTTTAACGAGCATGCTCAAGTGTGATACCGTGAAGCCTCTCCTTTTACTCGGTCACAGTCTTGGAGGGCTAGTGATCAAGGAGACTTTAATTCAAGTTGCTCGATCTGACCAGCGCCTCATCAACATCAACTGTGGCTTGGCATTCTTTGGTGTTCCGAACAATGGCCTACAAACAGATTCTCTTATTACTATGGTCAAGGACCAGCCAAACAGACAGTTTCTCGACTCTCTCAGCCCAAACTCACCCATCCTTGACCAACAGAGGGAAGCTTTTGCAGCCATTCATCAACAGTGGGACCTCAAACTATTTTGCTTCTACGAGACGCGAGAATCACCAACTGCAGTGCAGGTAAGGGCTATAAATCTAGCTTCACAGGTTCCCGGCTAAGGAAGTCATAGAATGCGACCACGCGAAAGTTCAGAATGACTGGCCCCCGCGTTTGTCTTGTGGACAGACCATCTGCTACTAGCTGTCTACCGCCAGAAATAAGAAGGGCTAATTCTCTTCCAATCCATCGGACACATTCGGAACTCATCAAATTTCACCATGGAGACAAAGAATACCAAGCCATTTTCGATTGCATCAAGAGAGTAGCCGAGGGGCTGCTGGAGTCGTCACAGATATTGATCGAAACCTGCAACAGAGATGGTATGAACGATATCAAGGTGCTCGATGTGTGAAAGAGAAAAACTGACCATGATCTAGGCACAATGATGCACTCTCCTGCTTCAGAGGATGATTCGGTGCAAGATGACGCAGTTGCAGAAGAAACAGTCCTAAGTGATGTGGAAAAGAAGCAGCTGCTGAGTTCGTTAGAGTTCGACGAGATTGATGCACGGCATCAGACGATCAAGGCAGCACACGATAAAACGTGTACTTGGCTGCTTGATAAGCCCGAGTACGTCGATTGGTGCGATGCCAAGAAACTTCCTGAGCACCGTGGCTTTCTATGGATCAAAGGAAAGCCTGGAACAGGAAAGTCAACCTTGATGAAGTTTTGCATTTCCAAAGCCCGAGAGAGAATGAAGAGGACTGCGTTGATCTTTTTTTTTTTCAACGCTCGAGGACACGACTTGGAAAAATCTACCGAAGGAATGTACCGGTCCATATTATTTCAACTTTTGCGCCGTTTCCCAAAGCTTTTGGACGTTTTTGACACTCTTGGACTTGTAAGCCTACATTTGGAACGCCACCAGTGGACTATCGAACCACTGAAGGCGCTGTTCAAGACGGCTGTTCAAAGTTTAAAGGGTAAGGGAACATCTCTAGTATGCTTCATCGATGCTTTGGATGAATGTCCCGAGCCTCAAATTCGCGACATGGCCTCGTTCTTTGAGCAGTTAGGGGAACTCGCCATATCTGCCCGTGTCAAATTTCATGTTTGCTTTTCGAGCCGTCACTATCCGCACATTACGGTCACAAAAGGACTCAGCCTTATCTTGGAGGCACAAGAGGGACATCAACGTGACATCGAACAATACATTCTCAGCGAGCTGAAAATTGAAGACAAGGAACTTGCTGAACATCTTCACAACGAGTCGAGTTCCGCGCAAGAAGTTCTCGCTACACATATCCGCCAGGAGCTTCAAGAAAAGGCATCTGGAATTTTCATGTGGATTGTTTTGGTCGTGAGAATGCTCAACGAAAAAATCGACAAGGGTCTGATTGACCAGCTTCAACAGACGGTTCGCCAACTCCCTAAAGACCTCCATGCCCTATTTCGGGATATTTTGCAGCGGGACGAGAAGAACAAAATTGGTCTACGTTTGTGTGTCCAATGGGTTCTTTTCACGAGACAGCCGTTGATCCCAAGGCAGTTGTACTGTGCAATCAAGTCCGGCCTGGACGAGAGAGGTCCACCTGAAATTGACCATACCATCGAGGAAAAAGATGTCAAGAAGTTCATCCTTGATTCGTCGAAAGGCCTAACAGAATTCACCGCCTCAGACAGTCTGACCGTCCAGTTCATCCACGAATCCGTCCGAGATTTTTTCTTGAAAGAAGGCGGGTCAAAAGAAATCTGGCCAGAGCTGGAGGAAGACTTTCAGGGTGCAAGCCATGAACGACTAAAGCAGTGCTGCCTCACCCAAATGAAACACGCCTGGACGGATCTCCAGATTGACTATGGCGCTCTTCCCCGAGTCAACCGTAAAGCTAATCGCAGAACCAGTCGCGCAGCTGAGCCCTCACAAGTCAACCCTCCAAAGGCCGGGCTTCTATGTACAAAATCTCCGGAAACCATTCACCTCCGCCGAACTGCAGAGACTAAGTTCCCATTGCTGAAATACGCTGTCCAGAATGTCCTGTTCCATGCAGATTTGGCACAGAAGTACGGCGTCCGGCAGGACAACTTTCTTCATGAATTTCAGCTCCCAGAATGGGTCAAGCAGGATAATCTCCTAGCAGAGCGTAGCGCTCATCAACACACTCTGGAAGCCAGTATTTTGTACATCCTGGCAGAGCAGAACTTGGCAAACCTCATCGCAATTCATCCGTCTAAACTGAATTGGCTCGAAATAGGATCCGAGCGCTGCGGACCACCTATTCTTGCAGCTTTGGCTTCGAAAAGCTACAAAGCTGTGGATGCGCTCTTAGAGGCACAAGGAAACCTGTACCCTGCGACATCCCGACTCCACGGACTATGGAGAAACCGTTCGACAACTTCGAAACTCAGAAGTAATATCAGATTCTTCCTTGGAAGCTCTGTTTCTAGCTACATTGCAGAGCTAGGTGAGGATACAATATTGGAGTACATTATTTCTAAAGATGACTACAATATCGATCAACCGGACGGCAGCGGACAAACGCTGCTATTGCTGGCTGCTAAAAATGGGCGCGAAGCTGTTGGCCGTCTTTTACTCGAAAAGGGTGCCAACGTCGAGGCAGCGGATTTAAACGGCATGACGCCGCTATTGTGGGCCGCTCGCAGAGGGGACGAAGCAGCTATACGTCTTTTACTCGAAAAGGGTGCCAACGTTGAGGCAGCGAAGTCGGGCGGTATGACGCCGCTATCGTGGGCTGCTTGCTACGGGCACAAAGCAGCTACACGTCTTTTACTCGAAAAGGGTGCCAACGTCGAGGCAGCGGATTTAAACGGCATGACGCCGCTATTGTGGGCCGCTCGCAGAGGGGACGAAGCAGCTATACGTCTTTTACTCGAAAAGGGTGCCAACGTTGAGGCAGCGAAGTCGGGCGGTATGACGCCGCTATCGTGGGCTGCTTGCTACGGGCACAAAGCAGCTACACGTCTTTTACTCGAAAAGGGTGCCAACGTTGAGGCAGCGAATTTAAACGGCACGACGCCGCTATTGTGGGCCGCTCGCAGAGGGGACCAAGCAGCTATACGTCTTTTACTCGAAAAGGGTGCTAACGTCGAGGCAGCGGATTCGGACGGCAAGACGCCGCTATCGTGGGCTGCTTACTACGGGCACAAAGTAGCTATACGTCTTTTACTCGAAAAGAGTGCCAACGTCGAGGCAGCGGATTCGGACGGCAAGACGCCGCTAATGTGGGCTACCGAGAAAAGACACACAACAATCGTAGAGCTGTTGACCTTGTAAGCTTCTAGGGCTTGATGGTAGGAGATAAATAGAAACATTGCCGTCTAGCCGTATATTTGACCTGCTTTGTAGTATATACGTGCAAACAGCAATCCTCCTTATCCTTCTATATGTTTTACTAATCTGGCAGCTATTCGAAGTGTTGACTTTTTCTGAATTTGGTACCCTAGCCAAAAAAAAAAAAAACTCGAAAGATGAACGGCTCCTACATTTAAAATAAAAGACGCGTCTATGTTGTCTTGCTGTGAAATTAGGGGTGTTAGATCGGCTGGTGCAGTGTTCTCCTTTGGTAGTGAAGCTGCAGTATAAGGTGTTATCACACCTGCCGTTAGAGTCCAGATAAAAATTGACTGCATTGCTCGGTAATGACATCTCGTTACATAAGAAAAGGTTGTGGCTGTGTCAATACTCGTGGGCTGGAGCGGGACCGTACAATATCAACATCGTGTTTGTAGCTCTCACGAAGCTAATTATATTTCGGGCCTTCAGACAATATTTTGTTATATTGCCATAAATGTACAACAGTTCTGCTTCTATGAAAAATCATAGCATTCATAGTTCCTCTGCATACTCGGCCTCGGCGTCTTCGGGGCTTCTCGCCTGTGAAATATATCAGCAATCAATACGAAAACGAAAAGAAAGGACACAGTCTGCGCCTATGCCTCTCGGCCTACGCATCTCATCCGGTTCCTATAACGTCAAAATAACTTACCCTGACAGCACCGGCACCGCCCAGCTCCTTCAGAAGGCCGTCCTCGAATTCCCGCGGAACGGCGACTGGGTCGGGGCGCGTCAGCTTGACGGTGTAGCAGACGCTCAGGAACACGGCAACGAAAGCACCGATCTGTAGCAGGCCCTTTCCGGGCGTCGTCCAGGTGTACTCGAATGGCGTGAGCATGCCGAGCTGGTCGTAGTCCTCGTGGACCGGCTCGCCGTAGTTGCGGCGCTCCTGCTTGTCCCACCAGTCGGCGTGGGGGTCGCGGAACTGACGCTTGATGGGGGGTGACTGTGCGACACCACCGTTCTGCGGCTGTCAGTACGCCCGCCCGCGTCTGCCGGTTTATCGGCGGCCCTTTTGGTGGTTTCTATCGTGCACTTACCATTGCCGGATCCTCGGCTTCGGTCAGGCTCGGAGGCTCAGGGAACTTTTCGTTGATGACCTCGACGCTGTTCATAGAGTTCGGGATGTAGGTGCGCTGCTGGACGACAGGTGCGAGCCTGCGCGTAGCTGCAAGGGCTGCCTGGCGCAAGGGCGCTGCCTTGACAATTCGACGGGACAGCATCTGCATAGCGATTGAAGACTGTCAGTGGCTGTGGTAGAGAGTATATCCTGACATGCCGCTCCAGGGAGGAATATCAGCCGACTTCATACCTTTAGAAATGCTGGTGGATCGAATTAGGTTCGGTAGACTGGGTCGTATTTGGGAGAACTGGTCGTTGATGCTTTTTCTCCCACTGGTCATCGGTTATTCCTCTGCAATGTTTGGATGAGGATTCCTATGGTCCGTGCAGTGAGAGAATATCGGCCTTAGGCATAAACTTACGTAAGGATTCGGGCGTCGATTGAGCTCCGCCCCTCAGCACAGACCACCTAGAAAGAGGCGCGAAATTCATCCCTGGCTGGGACTTTAGCAGGGGGAGGGGGATCTTAAAAAAAAATTTAAAATAACAATAGTGGCCAAAATCCACGTTTCGTGCATTTTGGCGTTTTTAAACATTTTGCTGACGAACGACACTTTTCATCGAAAATCCAGCGCAGCTCACGACACAGAGGCGCATCGATGACCAGACTCGGACGCAAGAATCCTTGAGCCTTGAGCTTTCGCCCGACCCTATTTTTGTGGTATCCAATGCGCATATTGTCGAGATCGCGGTACCTCGTCCATCCCTCCATCCATCAAAACGATGACGGAGACCGCGTCACCGGACACAACGACGACGCTTCCACATCCGAATCCAGCCGCCACCGAGACGACGTGCGGCAGCCTGCGCGATGGGAAGACCGTCGTGATGCCAGACGAGTCCGAAGCAATTGCAGCAGCTCCGAAACCATCTGAGCCGTCCAGCCCTCCGACCAACTGCCATCTCGACAGGGCCCCAGAAGTCGGAGCTGATGCCAAGCCGTCCGAAACGAACGGCATCCAGCCACCGACACCCGATGAGGACATGCATACAGCCAACGGCAGCAGCGGAAGTGCGGACGTGCCGCACGGCGATGAGCGTCCGGCAAAACGACGACGAACGCGCGAGGTCACGCCGTCGTCAGGCAGCGCCTCGCCTGGAGGCTCACGTCGGACGAAGCCCATATCCCCACCATGGAAGAAGATCCTGGCCGACGGCCCATCGTCCTTCAGCGAGGGCGGCCGGCGCAAGTCGGGGCGCATCAACAGCATCCCGCTGGAGCTCCAGGCCGGCGACAAGCGCCTCTCCCGACGAGCTGTTCATGTGCAGCAGCCGAGTCCGCCTTCCGGTCCTCCTTCGGTCAGGAATGCGACCGTCAACGGCCATGCAACCCGCCAGACCTCTGCACAACAGGCTGCCACGTCCCTCTCTCCCTCTCCTGGCATGACACGACGCCAGTCCACGGCCGCCAAGGCAGTGGTCCCGTCGTCTGCATCCAAGCAAACTCCAGCTAGCAAGCAAAACTCACGTCGAGCTGCTGCGGCAGAAGCCCGTTCCACCCCCTCTCGACTCCGCCATCGATCTCCCTCACCGTTCTCCCCCTCCTCGTCTTCGAATGCCCGTCCGTCCAGCGCGGCTGCCACTCGCACACAGCCTTCACGTGCCAGCCAGAACAAACGGCCACAGAGGGCCGCCTCCTCCCGCCGCAATGAGATACCCACGAGAACGACGCCCCGCATACGATTACGAACGCGAACGCTCACCATCCCCGTGGTGCACCCCGACCAGACCAAGATGCGGCCGAAGCTGGCAGCTTCCTTGCTCGAGTACTTTGAGAAGGCTGTGGACATTCCCGTCGAGGAGGGCGGCCTGTTTGCATCGGAGGACGAGCCGCGCATGACCGACGAGATGGCGGCTAGCGAAGCAGCCATCATTGCACGAATTGAACAGGAAACAGAAGAGGGCGGGATCTTGACGGAGCCGCGATGTAGCGCCTTTGAGCCAGAACCGGCCGAGGAGCCCCCGAGGCAGTGGGCGCACATGGACCATCTCGTCAAGGCAATGGCCAATTTCCGACGACTGATGGGCATCGAGCAGACGCGACACCGGGCCACGGCCAAGAAGCTGGCAGAGGCCTGTCGAGATGCGTGGATACGGCGGCAGCCAAAGTCCGCAGAACAGCTCGAGGCCGAGGCCCGGGCCATGTGGATTGGACGGTACCGTCTGGTCATGCGTGCCATGTTCGGTACCTGGGAGAATGTTCGGGCGGAGATCAACCGGAAGCGGGTGGAAGAGTGGGAGGCCGAAGAGCAGAGGCGGGTCAAGGTGGCTCTCCAAGAAGCTGTCGCCATGTCGGAGCTCAAGCTACAAGCACGACGGGTGCAGCAAGACTCGGAGGCCTTGTCCGGCGGCGAGGGCATAGAGGATGACCGGGACAACTCGCTAACCGAATCAGATGTGGACGAGTCAGAGTCGGACGGAAGCGCCGATGAGGACGAGAGCAACATGTCTTCTTCGGGCGACGATGACGGCGAGGAGGAAAAGGGAGCGAATACAAAGGCCAACGACGACGAAGGGCTCACGCAAGAGCAGCTTCAACTGAAATACGCGAACCTCCCTGATCTCGAGCCTGCGAAACAAGACGGCGACGACACCAGCGACGAGTCTGTGGACATGGACGACGACTTGGGCTCGACAGACATGGACAGCGACGACGACGACGATGATGCTGATGGTTCCGACGGCGACGACGAAACGTCTGACGACGAAGATGAACAAACAAGCGGCCTTCTCGGCATGCTCTTCGGCAAGAGTGAGCTGAAAAAGCTGAAGTCGGATGTGGCTGTCAAGCAAGAGAAGGGCGAGGACGGGGCCGGCGACGTTGATACGAAAATGACGGATGCAGATGCTGGGTTGTCTGTCCTGGAGCTGTTTGCGGACGACAACGACGAAGTGTCCATGATCGAGCTTCCGGGCGACATCGACGACAAGCAGATGGTGCCGGACGTGGAGGTGACAGCTGCAGAGGTGGAGGACGACACGGTCGAGGACAAGACTGAGGACAATGTCCCGGAAAGCAAGGCCGACGACGACAAAGGTGTTGCCAGCCCAGAGACCGATGCTGTGACGATGGCCGTTAGTCCGGGCCGAAGTCAGTCGCCACGCACGTCCGATACGAAGCCATCAGATGTCGACACACCTACGTCGGTGGACCTGCTCGGCGTCCCGAAAGAGACGAGCGCGAGCCGGTCAGTGTCACCAGTGCCGACATCGTCGTCTGTGCCCAAGACGGAAATACCGTTCTTGCTGCGCGGAACGCTGCGCGAGTACCAACACTACGGCCTGGACTGGTTGGCAGGGCTGTACGCCAACAATACGAACGGGATCCTGGCGGACGAGATGGGCCTCGGCAAGACAATCCAGACAATCGCGCTGCTAGCACACCTGGCATGCCAGCATGAGGTGTGGGGGCCGCATCTGGTGATCGTGCCGACAAGCGTGATACTCAACTGGGAGATGGAGTTCAAGAAGTGGTGTCCGGCCTTCAAGATCCTGACATACTACGGATCGCAGGACGAACGGAAGCGCAAGCGAACAGGCTGGACCAACGACGACGTGTGGAACGTGTGCATCACATCGTACCAAATCGTGGTGCAGGACCAGCAGGTGTTCAAGCGGCGGCGATGGCACTACATGATCCTGGACGAGGCTCACAACATCAAGAACTTCAAGTCGCAGCGATGGCAGTCGCTGCTGGGGTTCAACACACACTCGCGGCTGCTGCTGACGGGCACACCGCTGCAGAACAACCTGACGGAGCTCTGGTCGCTGCTCTTCTTCCTGATGCCACCAGAGAACGGCGAGGGCGGGTTTGCAGACCTGCACGAGTTCCACGACTGGTTCCACAAGCCAGAGTCGCAGATCCTAGAGAGCGGTCGCGAGCAGATGGACGACGAGGCGCGGGCAATCATCGCGAAGCTGCACAAGGTGTTGCGACCCTACCTGCTGCGACGGCTAAAGGCGGACGTGGAGAAGCAGATGCCAGCCAAGTACGAACACGTGGAGCTGTGCCGGCTGTCGAAGCGGCAGCGCGAGCTGTACGACGGATTCCTGGCACGCAGCGATACGCGAACAACGCTGTCGTCGGGCAACTACCTATCGATCATCAACTGCCTGATGCAGTTGCGCAAGGTGTGCAACCACCCGGACCTATTTGTGGACCGGCCGATCATGACGTCGTTCCGGATGCAGCGGTCAGTGGCGGCCGAGTACGAGACGACGACGGCACAGGTGGTGCGGCAGCGGCTGCGGCTGTCGAAGTCGGGATCGGGATCAGGAATGTGGGCAGACGGGGGGGTGAGCCTGCGTTTCCTCAACCTGGTGCCTGTGGAGCAAGAGTGGCGACTATCGGCGATGACGGCAGCGCGGATCAGCCAGCTGGCAACGAACCGGGTGCTGTCGGAGCTGAAGGAGGCACAGCGAGCACGACTGCCACAGCCATATCCAGAGCTGGACGCGAGCACGGTACAGTCGAACCTGGCGAGCCTGGAGAACGCGGTGCGATGGCGCCGATTCGAGGAGCTGCAGCACTGCGCATACGTGAACGCGCTGCGACGACAGCAGCGGCCGATCTACGGCCAAGGTCTGATCGATATGCTGACGCTGCGACTGGAGACGCGGCCGTTCCGGGCACGACCACGGGTGCCGGCGAAGATCATGACCTGGTTCGAGAACGAGTCATATCTGCTGCACAACCTAGTGCAGCCGCTGGGACGACGGTCAGAGGCGCTGGAGATGACGATTAGCAAGTTTGCGTGCGTGACGCCGGCAGTGGTGACGCGCGACATGAACGAAGTAGTGTTGGGACGAGCGGGCGTGCAGGCGTTTGCAGCATGCGACCTTCGGCTGTCGGCACCGATAAAGACGCTGCCGTTTATGGAGCGGCAGGCACCACGAGACCCATGGCACGAGGCGCGGATGCGGCTGACGATCCAGTTCCCAGACAAGCGGCTGCTACAGTACGACTGCGGCAAGCTGCAGGCTCTGGATCGACTGCTGCGACGACTGCAGGCCGGCGGCCACCGGGCGCTCATCTTCACGCAGATGACCAAGGTGCTCGACATTCTAGAGCAGTTCCTCAACATCCACGGACACAAGTACCTGCGGCTGGACGGTGCGACCAAGATCGAGCAGCGGCAGATCCTGACAGATCGCTTCAACCACGACAGCCGGATTCTCTGCTTTATCCTGTCGACGCGGTCGGGCGGCCTGGGGATCAATCTGACGGGGGCCGACACGGTCATCTTTTACGATCAGGACTGGAACCCGGCCATGGACAAGCAGTGCCAGGACCGGTGTCACCGCATCGGACAGACGCGCGACGTGCACATCTACCGGCTCGTCAGCGAGCACACGATCGAGGCCAACATCCTGCGCAAGGCGTCGCAGAAGCAGATGCTGGACGATGTCGTCATCCAGGAGGGCGGCTTCACGACAGACTACTTCAACAAGATCACCGTGCAGGACGTGTTGGGCGAGGGCGACGAAAAGGACAAGAAGATGGCCGACGTCGGTGCCGGCAATGCGGCTGCCAATGCGGCCATGGACCGGCTTCTGGGCGGCGTCGAGACGGCCGATCGGCTGACGGCCGGACGAGTGCTCGAGCAGGCCGAAGACACGGAAGACGTGGCGGCAGCACGGTTGGCCGAACGAGAGATTCTGCAGGACGACGCGGACTTTTCGGAGAAGCCAGGAGGGGCCGTAGGAGGATCCGTTGCTGCTGCTACGGCTGCTGCTACCGCTACCGGTGGATCCACGCCGGCTGTGGCGAGTGTCGTGAGTGTGGCGAGCATACAGGGCACACCACGAGAAGAGGCCGGTGCTCCGGGCGAGCAGAACGCGTTGGGCCAGCAGATGCACAGCATTGACGACTACATGCTGGGCTGGATGGCCGAGCAGCTGCAGGGAACGGCGCTGGACCTGCCCAAAGACAGGAAGAAGGGCAGGAAGAAAAAGGGCAAGGACACACGCAAGCGGTGAGAGGACAAAGTGCGTGCCAGGTGGCCACAACGACGGGCGAATGGCGACAGACGCTACCGGGTTTTTGTACGAATACACATCAGGCCATGGCTGCTATTTTTGCTCTTGGAACGGGGGGGGAGCAGATCGAGACTGGTCTTTTGGTCCTCTGTACCCCGACTCTCTACTTTTTCTCGTGTCTGCACTTTTGTGGGTTTGCATATGCACAGTTGACTAATTTTCTGGGCCAAGGAAGGCGGCGGGCTGGACAATACAAACGGAGTCTTGTGTCTAGGCAAGCATGGATATAAGGGTGGCGAGAAGGAGAGGACGGGCTAAGAGGTCGTAGACGTAGGGCCGTGAAGCCCGAGATGCATCGTGACGTCAGCACAGCAAGACGAGAGGACATCAGACCATGATGAGCGGCTTTGGGAGGTTGTGTGGCGGGGCGTGAAAGAGCCGGTTTAGCTGGCGACCTTGCAGAGGTTGAGCATGACTGTCCTCCGACCTGCAGTAGTGATGCAGGCGTGCAGGTAGGAGCTATTTTTGGCCGCAGGAAGCCGCATCGGAATACGAGCGAGTGGATCGATCTTGGGCATCTGCTCCGACGACGGCAAAGTACGCCATGTCTGTACAGAGTACGCCGCAGGCGATACGAGAAGAGCAGCTGGCCGGCCCCGAGCTAATGCAGCGCGAGCGCAAGTGGTCTGGACAGAGGTGCTGAAGAGGGAAGCAGGAAATCAGACGAGACCACCACACCAATCTGCAGACAACCACGCGGAAACAATACGAGGCCGGAGGCACTATTGGATTTTGTCTTGGCGGGTGGATGAGAAACAGGAAAGGACAGGATGAGAAAGTAAGAGAAGTACGGAGTACGGAGTACGAAGTAAAAGAAAAAAGAAAAGATTAAAGCAAGAAGACAAGAACAAGAAAAGAAAAAGAAAAAAAAAGGCAGAAAAAAAAACAAGCGAGGCTGAATTGGGCGAGGATCGTGCAGATACGGCCGGTTGCCCTGCCATTTTTTATCGCCTCTTGGTCCTTTTTGTCCTCTTCTGACTCGGCCGTCGTGGCCGTTGCCCGTCCAGCCGCTGCTCGATTTAAAGTTTGGGCGGGCTGATCGCCTGGAAAGCCCGACAGGTGTCCCCTGGCCCTGGTCCGTCCAGGTGCTGGCTGCCCCTCCAACCCCTCGGCGGGCCGCTGTTTACCAGCCACCGCCGCCTGTGGCTGCTGCACAGACGGCGGAAATTGAGCACGCACCTAAAAAGTAGAATCGGATTCTGTAGCTCCCCAACCTCTCCACTCCTTCGCCCCGGAAGAAAGACGCAGATCTCCACCGGATACGAGCTGTTGCGAACCGGCTCTGCGGCGCTCGACGGCCAGCATGCCAGCCACAAGGCTCTGGCTGTCTGTGCGCTCGTATGCACGATAGGCCTGCATCACCACTCCACCCGCGTCCTTTTTCCGTCGAATTTTCCGCTCCCTTTCTTCTTTCGGGCTTGCCCTTCTCGACCGCCTCCACTCGCTCGCGGGTCGACCAATCCGACCGCAGGCCAGCACACCATAGCCATCTCGATGCTGCTCTGGCGACGAACAGCACCATCGCCGTGGCTGGGCGCGCAGGCCTGCTCGGCCACCACAGACGCAAGGGCTGGACCATGACACGAGAAACAGGCGCTCTTCCTTCCCGAAAGGGCTACGGCTGAGTGGAGAGGCCGGCCTCTGGACTTTTTGCGAGACCATGATCACACACAAGTCCACCTGTGGGGGTGGATCATAGCTCTTCTGGGCAGAAAGTACCTGGTCTCTCTCGTCTTGTCGGCCAGCAGCTGTGCTGGTATAAGAGACCGTGCTGTTGTCCCCCTCTGGATCCCGAATGTTTCCCATTCTCGTCATCCTCTCTCACATCTTGTGAAGCCGACCTGATCAGCTCTTCCTCTCGCTTCTTCTTGCCTCACTCGCTTGACTCTTCTCCCTACCCCCAGTCTGTCGCTCTCATCATCCCATCATGCGTTGGTCCACATTATTGGCCCTCGGCTCTGTGGCCGTCGGCTCCGTGGCTGCCAGCCCGGCTGCTCCTCCTCCGGCCAACCACTACTACCCTCGCTGGCGGCATCATCATACCAACACCACCACCACCGTGCCGCCGACGTCGAGCATCGAGGAGACCACCTCGACGGCGCCGCCCTCGTCCATCACGCCGTGGACGACGACGCCTGAGATCGACGTGACCGTCACGGCCACTGTTGAGACCACCATCAGCTGCTCGACCTTTACCACGTCCGGCACTACCTTTACCGTCACCTACACCACCACCAACACGATCCCGTGCCATGAGTGCACCAAGACCAAGTCCACCGCCACCGTCCCGACCGTGCCGGCGAGCAGCAGCACGTGGGTTAGCAGCACTCCGAGCAGCAGTGTTTGGTCTACTACGTCGACGGTTGAGAGCAGCAGCACTCCCAGCGTTTGGTCCACGTCTGTTGCGAGCAGCAGCACTCCCAGCGTTTGGTCCACGTCTGTTGCGAGCAGCACCACTCCCAGCGTTTGGTCCACGTCTGTTGCGAGCACCACTCCTAGCGTTTGGTCTACCACATCCGTCGCGAGCAGCAGCACTCCTAGCGTCTGGTCTTCCAGTTCCAGCAGCATCCCGACCGTTCCTCTAAGCACTGCCCCAACCACGGCTCCGATCACTCCCACCACTGCTCCCACCACTGCTCCCACCACTGCTCCCACTACGGCTCCCTGGTCCACTGTCCCGGTGACCAACGTGACCGTCACGTCGACCGTTGAGACCACCACCAGCTGCTCGACCTACACCTCGTCTGGCACCACCTACACTGTCACCTACACCACCACCAACACCGTTCCCTGCCATGAGTGCACCAAGACCAAGTCGACGGCGACGAGCTCTGTGCCGGTAAGCAGCCCGGCCAGCAGCACTTGGGTAGTCAGCACCGTCTCCGTGCCGCTGTCCACTGGCCCCAAGTCGACGCTGTCCACGGTGACATACACGCCGTCTGTGCCCCTCTCCACCGGACCGTCGACGACGCCTGTTCCTTCGACCGTCTGGACCCTGACGACGTCTTCGGCCTCCTCGTCCGCCTCGTCGACCATCACGCCTACAATCTCCGTCCCCCTCACAACGGCTCCCGGCACGACGCTCTGGACCGTCACCACGCCGACGACGGCACCGTACTTCAACCAGACGACGACAGTGACGTCCGAGTCGACTGTGCCGTGCACCACGTCGACCGTCACCTCGGGCAGCTCCGTCTACGTGACCACCATCACCCTCGAGACCACCACCACGGCTCCCTGCACCACGGCCACCGTCACGTCCAACGGGTCGACCTACGTGACCACCATCACGTCGACGGCCACCACCACGGCCCCGTGCACCACCTCGACCGTCACCTCGAGCGGCTCCACGTACCTGACCACCATCACGTACTCGACCACCACCACAGCACCCTGCACCACGTCTACCATCACCTCGGGCAGCTCTACCTTTGTGACCACCATCTACTCCACGTCGACCGTCCCGACCGTTCCGACCGTCCCGTACACCACAGCGACGGTGACGTCGAGCGGCTCGACCTTTGTGACGACCGTCTACTCCACCACCACCTCTACCGTGCCGTGCTCGACCTCGACCATCACATCCGGCAGCTCGACCTACGTGACCACCCTCTACTCGACCACGACTTCGACCGTCCCCTGCACCACGTCCACCGTGACGCAAGGCAGCTCGACGTACGTCGTCACCATCACGCCATCCACCACTCCATCCACGCCCTTGACCACGCCCTCGACCACGCCCGTGGTCCCGACTTCGGCCACGGTCACCATTGGCAGCTCGACCTTTGTCACGACCTTCTCCTCGACCACGGAGACGGTGCCCTGCACCACCTCCACCGTGACGTCTGGCAGCACGACCTACGTGATCACCATCACGCCCTCGACCACGCCGTCTACGCCCTCGACCACGCCGTCTACGCCCTCGACCACGCCCGTGGTCCCTGCCACGTCTACCGTGACGATTGGCAGTTCGACCTTTGTCACGACCTTGTACTCGACCACCGCGACAGTGCCCTGCACCACATCGACAGTGACCCTTGGCAGCTCCACCTACCTGACCACCATCACTCCGTCGACCACGCCGTCCATCCCGTCGACCACGCCGTCCGTCCCGTCGACCACGCCCGCGGTCCCGACCACCTCCACCGTGACCCTTGGCAGCTCCACCTACCTGACCACCTTCACGCCGACCGTCCCGGCGACGCCCGTCACCACGGCCACCTCGACGGCTCCGACGGCCTTTACGACCTGCCCCTGCTTCACGGCGACGACCTGCGTGATCATCGGCGAGACGGTCGCGTCGACGACCGTGTCCGACTGCCTGCTGGTGCGCGCCACCCTCGTGGCCGCGACCGTGTACGACAGCGTGCTCGTCGACGCGGACGTGCGGGCTGGCTCGTCGCTCGTGGGCGTGCGCCTGACCGGCGGCTCCATCGCCAACGCGACCGTGCACGATGCCGACCTGCAGAACGTCACCGTGGCCGACAGCGCGCTCACGGCCGTTCGGCTGCAGGGCTCCAACATCAAGGGCGCCGTCAGCGGCGTCGAGGTGCTCGCCCAGGGCATCGCCCTCGTCGGCACCGACGTCACCTTTGACTGGGACGCCGACAGCCGCGTGCAGAACGAGACAACCGCGGCCATCTAGCCGGGATGCTTCCTCTCTCTCTCGACTCTCCTTACAGGTGTAATATCTTATCACGACGGATCGGTAACCGCTGGGAAGACTTTCTTTCGGAACAGGACATGAGCCTGCTCATTGACGACATGACGACAAAAAGACGGCTATGTCCAGATATATAAGGGTTGGCGGATTACACGACATAATGAATAGTATAAATACATAGGCCAAATGATGATTTTTAAATTCAAACACTTGTCCCCGTGAACTGAACAGGAATTGCCCTTCCACATGCCTCCCGATATCGACTGGACCTCTTCGTGGTATTCATTCATGGCCTCGTACCCCACGGCCTTGTTAGAACTGTTTGAACTAGGTCTGTGGCAAGAACGCTGTGGTGATGGTATGTAAGGCAAGCCAGTGTTAGTCCAGTCACGTGATATTTGGCAGTTACACGGCTTTCTGCATGAGGAGCCACTCGGAGAGGCGGGTCACCACCGAGAAAGAGGAATTTGACTCTTTCACCGGTGAAAAAGTTGCTTCATTCTCTGCAGTGACCCACATGGTCACGTGCAATATCCACCTACTCGTACGGATCACTTCTTCCCAGTCTTATTCCGTACTATGTTGTTCTACTCCGTACACGAGTACTCAACGTAAACATTGCATCTTTCCCAACGACATTGTGCAAAAATCAATCTTAACAGAATGGCTTCACCGGGACACCGGCACCATGGAAGGCGTCATTGACTTTTCCACGTCCGCACCTATTTTTTCCAACGACGATGAGCGAAGTCGTGCCGAGCAGCTGTTCTTGTCGCTTTTAGCCCATTTTTCGGCACCCGACATTTCTCATGAGCATGTAGAGCTTCGTACGCCGTATCTACGACTTGAGATGCTGCGGCTATTGGCCGCTCCAAAGATCTGTTTCTGCGTGCGTTTTTCGCGAATATGTCGATAGTAGCACGGCCACCATCCAACAGGTCCATCTAACTCTGCTGCCGGCTAAAATCGTGGCTTTTTCCGACTTTCTAGTGGCAAATTTCTTCCTACCTCGTACGAAATGTTCTTTACCCATTGATCAGGAAGCATTTATATACTGACGTTCACGTATAGTCAAAGCGGTGTCCGGCAAGACACCACAAGCTATACCCGGCTCTCTTCAGATCCCGGACACAGAAGCTCACCGGGTGTTATCAGGCCCACAGGTACGGCTCAAGGCGTTGCGTCGTAGCTGTCTAATTCGGGATAGACACCGTTGTGTTATAACACGGGCATTCGATATAAAAGAAGCCGAAGCGCGTGCTGGACGGGACGGCCTGAACGCGACAGACGATGACGGGCAGCTCTTAGGCGAACAGGACGAGTTTGTCCGTGTTGACTTGGCTCATATCCTTCCACACTCACTGTTAAATACGGAAGGCGATTCACCTTTGTTAGGTTTGATGCTTCCTTTACTTAAACCCGTTGCAACGCTTTTCATTAGCAACAAGTCACGTTCTCACATATACATAGCACGTCGCACGCCTTAATGCCTTGGCAATTCTCGACATGTTCGATGTCGGTGTGCGACACCTAATCGAAGGACAAAACATCGATCGGCCGACAAATGCCATCACCCTTACACAAGAGTACCATGATAGATTTGGTGATTTTAAAACCGTCTTTGAGTCCACGGACCAGCCACACACATACCGCATCGAGTCCGTTGAAGATCGCTTACCAGTCCTTCGTAGGCCTATGCAGCCGATTACGAGGACTCTCTTCCTGTCCGTTGCCCGAATTCTACGCATGTCTGGCGCCGGTGAATACTGTGACAGTGTACTACGGGACATGGACGATCCGGAGATTCTCAGTGATGGTACAACCAATCTGGGAGCACTTGTCAGTCTGCGTCTGGGCGGATGGTGGAACGGAGTGGTAGCGTGAGAATATGGGTAATATTGAGATGAGGGGGTTAGATGTAATGCACTCGTGCAATCACGATGGTAACATAATAGTTTGTATGATAATGTTTAGTAGAGATATGAGGCTATGACAAACGAAACTATGATCGTCGTAAGAACAGTTTCTTGGTGTAGATGCAAAAGACCACTTCGTCTGTTGGGCAAGAAAATAACAGTGGATGATACGTCGTATGTCCTTTCCGACAGACAACACTAAAGTACGGTAAGGGGAAGTGGTGAGAATACTCTACCATTCATTAAGAACTAATTCTGGGACAGCCCAACTTCAATTGCTAAACTGCCAAGCAGTGCACATGCTTGCTTACAACAAGAAGCCTTCGAGAATTCTAGATCGCGTCTACTATGTAGAATCTTCAAGACCCATTCAGTAGAAGACGATGTGGACCCAGTGGCGCACGTTGACGGCAAGGATGAGTTCATGGTTCGTGTGTATCGGCTCATGCAGGGGCCCTTGCTAAAAGCCGAATTAGCAATGATACTAGGGTGCCCATGCACGTGGAAACCTGGAGTGCTATCTCGAAGCGACCCAAGCGACGCCACCCAAGCGATGCTTGTTCTAGAGCGTCATATCTAAAGTACTCGCACGTCGTATTCAAGTCGTGATTTTGTGTGCATCAAGTCTTTTCATCATATTAGCGGCATGTGAAGCTGAGTCCAAAGCACCGGCTCCTGTCCATGTCGTCCTTCTCATAGATGTGCCAAGACAAGCCTCTTCCGATCAATCTCAACATATCTTGACTACCATCTCGCTTCCACAACGTTCCGAAAATCGGTCGCAGGTTGAGGTATAAATGCGGCCTAGATGAGCCGCACCGTTACCGTGGCAGTGGGTTCAGCACGCCCATGTAACAAGCTGCCGATAAGTCGCTTGTCAATTAATACAGAAATTACCTTACGGAAACGCGCGCTTCTGGTCCTTATCTCCATTGGCTGCCCCATTGGGGGCCTTACACAAGTAGGGGAAAATGAGGTAATTATGCTTGGAAGGACGCCAACGCGATGCACGGAGGATTTGCAGCAATGGACCGCTGTTATCTGCCAACCTCTTATCTCTTGGCACAAGAAGCCCAAAGCCGGCTAACTGTAATTGGAAATAGTATCCGGTTTAATGGGCCGGTGGATGGGAACTTTTCTCATTTAACACCCTGCCGAGTGGGTGCAACTGCGTCAACTGGGCTGCGATCGGTTCGTATCAGATACTCGTATCTGTGTAGCCGGTCAGTTGGGTGGAACGAGTGGACCGGGGGTTCTTTCAAAGGGAGAGGAAAAAAAGAATAATATCAATAATGTCTCGTCCTGCCGCTGCTGCGTGATATTCTGTGTCTGTCTTCCAGGGTATCTTCAAGCCAAGGAACAAATCGGACACGATGAGTGCAGTAAGTAACAGTAGCCGGTTATCAAGCATCCCCCAGATGCGTTTGCTGACCAGCCGTCTTCTTTCTTCCCTATGAGCAGCCAGCCTACAACTCGTCGGAGCCAGGCGGCGGCAACACGCTCGAGGTGGACGTGAACGCGCAGTATGCCGGCTATGAGTTCAACTACACCTACCTCGTCTTCTGCGGCTTCATCGTCTGGCTCATCATCCCAGGTCTCGGCCTCTACTACGGCGGCCTCGCCCGCCGCAAGTCAGCCGTGGCCCTGCTCTTCCAGTCGCTTATGGTCGCCGCTGTCACCACCTTCCAATGGATGTTCTGGGGCTACTCGCTGGCATACAGCCGCACTGCTGGCCCCTTTATCGGTGACCTGGCCAACTTTGGCATGAAGCACGTCATGGCTGCGCCGTCCATCGGCAACAACACGATCCCCGAGATCGTCTTCTGCCTCTACCAGCTGCTCTTCTGCGCCTGCACCGTGCAGATCGTCGTCGGTGGTGCCTTTGAGCGCGGCCGCATCATCCCCTCGCTCATCTTCGGCTTCTGGTGGGCCACTGTGGTCTACTGCCCCATCGCCTGCTGGACCTGGAACCCGAACGGCTGGCTCTATAAGGTGCGTCGCCTCTTCTGCAATGTTGCATCCATATTGCATCCATGCTCACATCCTCTAGCTGCCCTCGCTCGACTTTGCTGGCGGCGGTCCCGTCCACATCTCGTCCGGATGGTCCGCACTGGCCTATGCCCTCGTCCTCGGCAAGCGAAGGAGAAGCCCCGACGACAAGTACTTTGGACGGCCGCACAACACCAGCCTCGTCTTTCTCGGCACTGTCCTCATCTGGTTCGGCTGGTTCGGCTTCAACGGCGGCTCCGCGCTCAACGGCTCTATCCGCTCCATGCTCGCTGCCTTCAACACGAACACGGCCGCCTCGACTGGTGCCATCGGCTGGGCCATGGTCGATTACATCAAGAAGCGCCGCTTCAGCGTTGTCGGCGCCTGCTCTGGTGCTATTGCCGGTTTGGTCGGCATCACGCCGGCTGCTGGCTTCGTCGAGTGTTGGCTCGCTGCTGTGATTGGCTTCCTGACTGCCGTCGGCTGTGCTTTGGTCGAAGACATCAACAAATGGCTTCATATCGATGAGGGCCTGGACGTCTTCAAGCTTCACGGCATTGGCGGCATGCTGGGGTCCTTCTTCACCGGCATTTTCGCCACGCAGACAAGTAAGCCTATATTCCTACCCATCTCTTGTGCCGTCATTCAATCAGCCTCACAAATGTGCTAACATCGGTGAACAGTATCTGCCCTAGATGGTGTCTCATATGTAAAGGGCGGAATCGACGGAAACGGGATCCAGGTCGGCAAGCAGTTCGCTGAGATCACTGCTATTTCGGCATACTCCTTTGTCGTTTCCTATCTTCTTCTGATGATCCTGAAGTACATCCCTGGAATGCACCTGCGTGTATCTGACGAAGCCGAAGAGATGGGTCTGGACATGGACCAATTCTTCGAAGAGGAGATCGGTGACTGGGAGGTCTACGACAAGTATAAATCTCGCTTCGATGGACACGAAACCGTCGAGGGGCAAGCCATGTCCGACTCAATGGAACAGGTGGAGGTACCTACAAAAACAGATTAACGTTAGTTGGGAGATGGAGAAAAAACTAGAATTCTAACAAACAAAAAATGTTGTACGTTTGATACTAAGACCTTCTAATTCGCTCGCTTCATCATCAATCGAAGATAGTGCGCTCTTCGGTTTACTACAAGTGGGTTGATCGGCAGTGCTTTAACACGAGTAGCAGGCTAGGTAGTTCCATCAACTTCGCCCAACATCGGCCTTTTACTTAATACATCTTGTTCTAAAACATTACTACCACAAACACAAACACAAACAAGACACTTCTCTGAAGCTGAGCAAAACGACAGACTTGAAGACTAGCCGCTCGTTTTGGATCCATTCGAAAAGCTTGGCGGCAGCAGTCCAGCTCTTGTCGTACGAGAGCATCTAATCGTTTTATTGTCGCCATTCAAGGGCTTATGTCCAAAGAACTAACCCGCCTCCCTAGGGGCATGCGACGGTACGAGAGCATCCAGGCGATGTACAACCTGTATTGTCAAAACGACCCAGTAGTCACTATCCTCAATCCGTAGCCTAAGATGTGTCGCCGAGCTCATCGCGTACGCCAAGTCACACAAGCTCTCTGGCCTCTCGGGCGGAATACTTCTGCGCAGCGAGGTATAATTATCGATGAACTTTCTCCCCAACCAACGATCAGGCACACTTTGGGCAGCACCGACATTGAGACTATGGATGCCATAATGATGAGTCTGTGATGAGGACATCCAAGATGGCAAAAATAATCATCCCCAAACGAGGATTACTTGCAGGGTAAGTCATACCTTGTGTCAGATCAATATTGAAAAGAGGCATTATAGCTCCCAGCTTGCGAGTATCAAGCACCATACAGTCATTGTTGGTGAATTATTTAGTCCTAAAAACAAAGCCACAAGATCAAACTTTCCTCCGGTATCTAAGAGATGTGCCTGCCTTAAGGGACCGCATAAGGAGGTTCCAAATGTTGTAGGATCGGTCAGTCCGGGTTGAGAGAGAGAAGCGGGAAAGCTGAACAGATGTTGAAATCAGAATTGATCATATAACCCTGCCTACCACAATGTGACGTATAGAATTCCTACTTTTGCACATAGGGCAGTGGGTATGACGGTTCGATAGTAACAAGACCAGTTGCGATTTTCTTTCGCAAAATCAAGTGGCTACGCACCCCCGTCGCACGAAACCACAGCGTTCGAGCCCACACTTGACTAGAAGGGCTTACGCCAGAACAGAAACACTATTACCGAAGCCCGCAGAAAGTGGTCCGAATCTTATGGGTTGAGTTTGGCAAGTCTATTGGGTAAACTTAGCATCCTTCGGAAAATCAGCCTGATTTCGATTCTCTCTTGATGATCTTCGATTAGTCATAAGCTTTCTGCTTCTCTGCAACCTCTGGTGTGTGTTGTTCTAATCAGGCCAGCCTGATTTTGGCGACATCTGTCGTGACAGGCTTCTGCAACTCCCAACGCATAACGGCACTTTCTATACTATTATGTTAGCGCAAGAGAATACCGAACAGGGAACTAATATATTTGCCCTCCGGACGATCTCTCACCAATCTTCGAATTTGTTCTCGACGTACGACAAGAACAAGTAAATCGTACAGAAATAAAAAAGGATAGGGAAATCAACCCTGCGGGCCAAAAAGCATTGCCTAGAAAGGCAGTCAGATCCAACCAGCCGCAAGAAGAGGGAAAGAAGGATGGCTGTCATCGCTAATATTTGGCAATGGAAACAATATTATGAAGCTACAACTTTTTTACGCTACAAAAAAAACAGTAGGATTACGTGCGAGGTCCGAGGTAGGATTGAAACAAGTCCCTTGCCAATTACTGGCAGGAGGGTTCACTCGAATACAAAACAAGACTTTTTATACATCTCGCTCCGTCATTTAAAAGTGTTATTGCCTCGAAAAGTATCGAAATTCGTCCAAACCCTTCCAAAACATCATCAAAACGTATCCCCTCTTCCTTCTGCCGCTACCGCTATTTTCCTTTATAGGCTGAAATCTGCGTTGTGCTGCCTCTACACTCAAAACTTATTTCGAAGCCGCTTTTGTTTGCGCAGCTGGTATCAAGGTAGACCTGTAGTCTAAGTGATGGTCGGTCGGGTCATACAAGTGTTCGTATTATATATATAATTTGAAGTAGTAATGTTTCTTACACTGGTGGCCATTTCTATGAAGCCTGCGCGTCTGCACAAACCACTGTTTAAACGCCTGCTCGCCGGAGACGACTCAAAAACCTTTCATTATCTAGCTCGGCTAGGTCAATGCCAAAAAGAGCCGCGTAGACAGGTGCTAGATCATGGGGACCACATGGTCGTGTGTCTCCGCTGGCCTTTCGTTTCTCGAAGAAGTTGTCTAGCATCATGCGAATCGCAGAGTCTAGTGGTTGGTTGCGAAGCCGGGAGGATAAAGAGCCTCCTTTGCTGCATCCATTGATGTTATCTTCATTCTCGTAAGCGTAATTGGCATCGGTTGGGTCCATGAAGTCGCTCAGGTCAACATCGATTAGAGCGGCCTTCACTACAGCAGCCTGATCTGGCAGAAAGTAAGGTGCACTTATGTAATGTTCGTCTGTGGTGAGGTTGAGCCGTCTTTCTGACAGGAAGCCTTTGCAACATTTTTCAAGTCGTATAAAAGACCTCGAATCTTGTAACCTAGAATATCGTTATCTCTAACACCTGAAGTAGTGAGCGGAGCGGGGGCGGTTGACGTTAAGGTGCTCTTGCCGCCCTTCGTGCATTTCAATGGTCTTCCTGTCGTATGCTTTCCCATTGTTGCGCTCAATCGATGAGGCGCGAGTTGGCAAGATTTTTAAACTTGGTGTATGAAAAAAGTGGTTGAACAAACTAAGCATGAGATTCTGGAGTAAGATAGACGGGAGGACCACGTGATAGTCTGCACGTGGTTCTCACGTTCTCTAACTGACCGATACCCCGTAGTTTGCGCGGCAGCCAATAACAGTAAGCTTGCATGACTAAGAACCTGTCACCACGGTGTCGATGTCACTTCAACCACCCTTCTGCTTATCAAGCGGTTTTCTTCGTGATCACTTGTCTGGTGGCCGTGGTGGGGCATTTCGACTTCGTGAAATCGTGTTTGGTAGCATCCGGGAATAGTGGAGATATCTAAAGCGCGGCCCGCGGCTTGTTTTAAGCGAATAGGGTCATAGCCTTCTTTCTCCTCTCTACCCACCTTCTCCCAGAACTGGACTTTTTATGGGACCTCGGCGAAGGTATCCCGCGGCCCGGACGTCCTCAACAGGAACGGTTTTACTGCGATCCGTGGGTTGACTTGGTTCTGTGCATCTCTTGGTTGCACTAGAGGACGGCAGTTGACTTTGATGAAAGCTGACTGTAATGTGGAGCCAATAACTAAAGCTTGTGCGTAACTGCTACAAAGGCATTCGCCAAGGAACTAAACAGTATATATACGAGGCGCATGAGAGACTCTGCAAGGATGGCGAGCTTCCACCTTTCAAACCACTTCCTTGTTCAAGTTCACCAATTGCATTTGCTCGCTCTCATTCTTCAACATGGCTTCCCCGTACACAATCCAGTCTGAATCTAGACAGCTTCTCGAACGCCTGCTGAACGATCCAAAGTTATCTGTCCCCAATGAGGTAAAGGAGGCAGCGGAGAGAGTTGAGTTCAGTGGATACGCCAACCCGTGGCTGCCAGTTCCTGTCAAGTTCAGCGAGTCCATCTCGGCCATCTCGGCGTTTGTTGGCGCAAGCGCAGCTGCTGTGGCTAAAGACCGCTACGGGATTGAACAGGACATTAGAGTGAATACGTAAGAAGCGTCTGCAAGAACCCATAATACGCAGCACGGGCTAATCGCTTCTTGGCGGCACAGTGATCATGCCTCCGTCCTCCTGTTCGGGTTCTTCCTGCCTCACATCGCCGGAGAGTCGATTATGACAGCATCAAAGGCCATCCTCGAGAACTTGGCCGAGGTGGACAAGAACAATCTGTTCAAGCCGATCCACAGAGCCAGTACAAACCAATACAAGACGAAGGACGGGCGATACTACCACGTTCACGGTTCAATGAACGCGACCGTCATCATGGACATGTTCAAAATTGCCGAACAAGATGTCACACTCGAAGAGGCCAAACAAATATACGCAGACAAGGTGGCTCAGTATGATGCCGAAGAGCTTGATCAACTAGAGAATGAAGTGTACCGCCAAGCAGGAACAATTTGCTATACGCCGGAGGAGTTCTTTGCCACAGAGCACGTACGTTAACGCAGCTGGCCAGGCAGGAATCGGCGCTTCTTTCCCCTCTTTAGATACCAGGCCTGACCAATCTCTTACAGGGAAAAATCGCGGCTCAAGAGCCCATCGCTTCCATCAAAGAGCTACCAGCGCCTCAGAAAGCCTGGCCAAGCCCGGCCGCTGGGTCCGAGTTTCGGCCGCTTCACGGTATCCGGGTCGTCGACATGTCTCGTGCTGTAGCAGCCCCCATGGTTTCCAAGATCTTAGCTGCCCTCGGTGCCGACGTGATCAAGGTTTCCTGCCCTTCGCTTCCCGATACCGGCATTGCGATGGTAGACGTTAATGCTGGAAAGCGGGACGTCAATATCGATTTGAAGACGGAAGAGGGCAAGACGCTGTTCCGCAAGATTATTAAGGATGCCGACGTTCTTGTCGATGGGTACCGGCCTCATGCCATTGAGAAGCTCGGCTTCCACTCCAAAACGCTGCGCGAGCTGAATCCTTCTCTGATCTATGTCCGGGAAGACTGCTACGGCTACAATGGTCCATGGGCTCACCGCTCTGGCTGGCAGCAGATTGCCGATTGTACTGTCGGGCTTGCCCTGATGACCGGTGAATTTCTGGGTCTCAAGGAGCCCATTCAGCCTCTGCTACGTAAGCAAAGAATTCTCGCCCTGCCTATTTAGGAGACGCGAAGTGTCCGCTAACTTATTTCAAACAACAGCCAACGCAGACTACCAGACAGGTGTTTTGGGTTCCGGTCTGGTCATCCAAGCGTTGATGAAACGCACCAAAGCTCCTGTCACCTTTGATATCGATCTTTCCTTGTGCCATTACAACATCTGGCTGTACCGTGTCGGGGTCTACACTCCTGAGCAGCAGGCTTCTATTCGGGCACTTCACCCCGAGTTCAAGCCTCGCCACACGACCGACCTGCCGGAAATTGCGGGGATGTTGATGGAATCGCTAAAGACAGCTCGGCCAGGCATATTCAAGACTCCGGGTTTCTACGAGGAGATCTCTGGAAAAGAGTGGGGTGAAGAGCGCCTCATCAATGTCATTGGCGCCCCTTTCTCGCTCACAGAGTCCACTCTCGGGTTCCTGGTGCCATCTGGAAGACGTGGCTGGTCTAACGCAAACCCCACATGGGTCGTATAAGCTGTTGGGAGAGGTATGTACGCCAGAATATCTGTCACCAGCATTCTAGATAGCTGTCGAGAAATACAACGCCGTGTTGCCATCGTTTGACCTGTTCCGCCTAGATTACATTGATTGGGTGGACAGATGGGAAATGGCAATGATATCCAGCAGAGTACAACAGCGACGAGCGGCCGTGACACCCTCAGAGTGGTGAATGGACCTGATTAGATGCATACAAGACACCTTGCCGGCTTGGCCCATGGTCAATTGCATTTGAAGGCATAGCTGAAGACCTTCGTCTACGTCATGACCTGCTGCGAATTTGAAATCCTGCTTGTAGTCAGACACTACTAGAAAGATTACAGTATAAGCTTCATTGGGGCGAACGGTCTATCAGTGGTATACACCGTACGCGATGTACGGGGTTCTGGTACGAGTAATTGTATCCGTATTTGCAGACTAGGAGTCAAATTATGCATGCAATACACATTTTTATTTTTGCTACGAGTACTAATACGTCTGTACAGATCTGCATAAAACGGTTCCAACATCTCCAATCTTATGCACAGATCTGCTCAAGTGGTCCCATAGACAGTACTCCGTACTATGTACAAGCACTGTACGCTTTAACTGATTGGCTCTGGAATCTGCCGAGTAGCGGGGCATGTGGGTTCAATCGAGGCTCCTAGTATATTACGCACCACAACCCAGGCTAATCAACCATAGTCCCAGAAGTATCTCTTACCTAGGCTTGCACAGCAAGACACCAGCACTAAGTTACGATGTCCTTCACGGCGCCCAGACCAAGCCTTCCTTTTGAGCGCAAGCGAGCCTCAGAAGCGTGTCAAGCGTGCCGCACGCGAAAGATTCGGTGTGATGTCCTCTCCAAACCCCCGTGTATCCGATGTAGACTGGAAGGGGCGGTCTGCATAATGACCAAGAAGAGGAACAGGTAAGCTGCTGATCTGAGCCCCCAACTCGTGGGCTTATAGGAGTTGTCGCTGAACTTATAGGCGGGGCAGCAGCAGCACTGTAGGAAGACAGCCTCAACCACCCGACTCATCACTTGTGCAGGCGCCATTACCAAACTCCGACGAGCAGCTACTGCTTGGAGAGGATTTGCTCAATATCCCGGGTTTATGGCCCGAAGACAACCTGAGATCTCAGGCCAGTGCTGCCGGCATGGCATCTACTCTGCCAGAGGAGGTCTCGTCACGAGCAAACTTCCTCGAAGAGTCATTCGATCAGCTGGATTACGGGTGTCTTTCTGCATTGGACATATTCTCCCCATCTTCTTACATCCAGAGCTATACCTCCGGTACCCTTCCGTCCGGACCGCCACTAGAGAATGATCCGGACAGTTCACCAACGAAGAGATCCTGCAGGCTATCTCATCTGTCCAACGACGACTTGGACTACCTTGGCAAGAAGGGAGTCTTTGTCCTTCCACCTCTGCCAGCACAGGAAAGCCTTCTCAAGGCATACTTTCTATTTATCCACCCTTTCCTGCCTGTTTTGGCGGAAGATGAGTCTTGGTCTGAATACGAAGCTGAAGTGAAGAGCACCGGTCTCTTGTTGTATAGGTCAATGTTGTTTGCGGCCTGCCCAGTGGGTTCCTTTGCATCACTTTCAGTTTTGCTCTTTTACTAATCGTGGGCTCCAGTTCGTCTCGCCTGAGGTTGTCCTTCAACTGGGCTATAATACCGTCGCCGAAGCACAGGAGTCGTTATTCGAGAAAGCCAAGGTAAGTCTGTCTGTCTAATAAGGCGCCCTGACATTCTCTTTTATACTAAATGATCGCACAGCTACTCTTCGATTTTGAAACTGAGGATAATGAACTTGCACTCGTCGGCTCCGCTCTGTTGCTATCATATCGGTCGCCAAGGGCAGACCAAAAACTGGTCCAGAAGCCACTGTACTGGCTTGCTATTGCCATATCGTTGACTAAAGAAATATCGAACAACCGCGGAATACAGTGTCCTGACTCCATGGGCTATAAGGGACTTGTCAAGCGTTTACAATGGGCTTGTGCTATTCGAGAATTGGTAATTGCTCTTAGTTCTCGGAATATTACCGAGGTGGAGCCATGTCTACCTGAGCTGCCTGTGCTTGATGTTGAGGACATTGAAGACTCAACGATTCAATCTCGGGTCTATGATAAGGAAGCAAAGCTACTATTTATGGCGATGTTTCTCTCTCTCACGGAACTTACACGATTGGTTGTCAAGATCCGCCTCCAAAAGTCTTCGACGGATTTTGGGTCGGGTGTAGAGCGGACAGCCAAAGATCAAAATGTGGAGTGTCTATTCAGTGTTGAAAAGGCGAGTCTTGAACTGGCGGCATGGCGAGACAAGTTCGCGAGGAAATTTTCTCTCGAAACGACGACGTCAACTTTAGCCAACCTCAAAATGCTGGTGTTCCATCGAAATCTAGCTCTTTTGTTGTGCGAGTAAGTTGTTTATCTGTCGCTATAGTCCATCTCGGAACTGACATACTAAACAGCTCTTTTTTGATAACCCTGAATCGGCCACGGCAAGCTTACTTCAGCAACTCTTCGTACTGGTCACAGGGAATGGTCAACCTCCTCAAGGCGCAGTGGCAAAGAGCAAAGAGTGCTGCAGCCGACATGACAAACCTGATAGCAGAAGTCAGAAATCTTGGCTTGGGCCCATACCTGCCTATAACAATGTAAGCAAACGGCAGAAGACTTGACTCGGACAGATCAGAAACGTTTCGTACCAACGTCAGGGGCTTTATTCCAATTTTGTTCTGATGGTTTCTTTTAGGTCTCCCATTGCTATAAACTCTGGAATTGTTCATACATTGCAGCGGCCGCTATACGAGTTTACTCAATCTTCGGATAAGCAAGAAGGCGTCAAGCTCTGCATCAATGTGCTGGAGGAAATGCAACAGCGCTTTCCAGTTGTGAATGATATGATAGCTATGCTTTATGCTGCCATTCAATTCGCAGAGCGGGAAGTCGCAACCTACAGCCTGAACAACACATCCTCTACCGAGTTTGGCTGTGGGAAAGACCTTCTATCTGGCTCGGATCAAGAGATGATTGTTCGAGAGGCTTTCATCATCTCAAGAACAATTCATTTTCTCGATGGGCTGTTCTACAAAGGCTATCACAATTCATAAGGGAGTGCAACAGAATGTATGGATACCGATCGACAGAGAATGTATAAAATGGCGGTGAACGTTTCGGCCTCTAAAGATGTAATGATACTACAGCCTACGCCGTGTACCTGAAACAGCGAGGCCATCGAAAAATCGGCAATTTGCATAAAAGGATAAAGACCGTAAAACTACTATCAATCAATGGTCTTGCTTACTCCGTACTACCCTGCTGGATTGCATCTCCTTTTAGACAGGTGTTTGTAGCATAAAATCCAGCACTCTCCAGTCAAGCTAGTCTGAACTTTAGATCAAGAGTGACGTAATCAATTTTTAGCTAGCTTAATATGTCTTCCTACATTAGACATCAGGCCCTCGTGGCATGAGCAAGCACACATCAATCCTTCGTCTCTGGCACTTCCAGTTGGATGGTTGCAGAGAGACCAGCATCAACAGGAAGAACCACTCCTGTCACCCATCTTGCCTCCGGGCTTGACAACCAGCGCACTGCATAGCCGCTGTCCCAGCCATATCCTTCAGTTCCGAGCATGTTCCCTTCTGCACGCGTCTTCCGTACCTTATCGCTGAGGTCTGTGTCTCCGGACAGGACGGGATGCTCATACAGCAAAGGCGTCCAGACCGAGCCTAATATCAATCCGCAATCAGTCTATGGTGCATATATAATGGGGACTAGGCCGTGAACGTACCAGGACAAACGCAATTGACTCGAATGCCTTGCTTTCCGTGCTGGTAAGCCATGTTCTTTGTCATGGCCGTGATTGCGCCCTTGGAAGTCGGATACAAGAGGTTCTTCATCCCCCCGTTCAGGGCTGCGACCGAAGATATGTTCACGATGCTTCCCTTGAGCCTATGCTCGTTCTTCAGCATAGCGGGGATGGCGTACTTGGACATGATGACCATGCTGGAGACGTTGATCGTCATATCTCGTTCCCAGGCCTTGACATCGAGCGTTACCGCAGATCCTTGGCAGCCCCCGACCCCGACGTTGTTGACGAGGATATCCAGGCGACCGAACGTATCGATCGCTGTCTGAATGATTCGGTTTGCATCTTCTTCCGACGTCACATCGCCAGCGCATGCAATTGCAGTCCCCTTGGCATAGGTCTCAATATACTCGACCGTTTTCTGTGCCCAATCCAGCTGCCGATCGACACAGATGACGGTGGCGCCATCCTCTGCAAGCAAGTAAGCTGTGGCACGGCCGTTTCCAAAGCCCTCGCCAGCACAGCCAGCCCCAGTGACTATGGCAACCTTGCCTTTGAGTGAACGGTCGGCTTTGAGATCCATTGCGATGTGAAGTGTTGAAGAAAAAAGTGGCGTGTTGTTTGGGAGTGCATCACAAGAATCACCTCCAACCTCTAGTGTTATATAAGTCGTAGCAGGACATCATTGACTTGTCCTTCGATAGCTGCTGATGGTTACGTCAGCGAAACAGCACCTGCCACGGCACGATCGTCCGGCCCGCGGAAGTGGGGCAGACAGGCCCACAGGCCATATCCGAGCCGCGGGCCGGCTGTTTTGGTCTGCGCCTTTCACTCTCCATGTATTATCTGGCGTGACTAATACGATTGGAGAAAGCCGATATAAGCCAACTCTTGCAATCACCATCATAGCCTTGGAAACAACACACTTCAACAACTCAAAGCAAGAACTCACTGCTCTAGACCCCTAAATCAAGCAATTTTCAACAATACTTTCATCGCTCGAACTATCATTATGCCTCGCGGAAGCTGCTGGTGTGGGAAGATTAACTACGAGTACGATGCTACTCCAGTTCACAAGGTATTTTTGTCCTCTTGTTTCCATCAATACTTAGGGGTGGGGGTTAATCAGCGTCCATAGGTACAATGCCACTGCGTGACTTGCCAGAAGATCTCCGGTGCTGCATTCACGGTCAATGTCATGGTCCCCAAGTCAGCCGTAAAGGTTACGAAGGGAGAAGACAATATCAAGTCTTACACCCAGCAGCATATTCTCAACCAACCCCTCACTATTTATTTCTGTGGTACTTGCTCCTCCAACATTTGGAAGAATCTGCACAACGATCAAACCGAAGACCTGTGGGTTATTCAGTCCGGAACTTTGGATGGTGAGAATGGAGAGCTCGGCGCGGATGTTGAGGTTCCGCAAACGGAGGGCTTCCCCGCCAACCGTGCAAAGTGGCTACCGAAGGTTCCGGGTTTGACGCCTGCGTAGAGGCAGCAGACGTTCACAAGGCTTTAACAGGTAGAGTTTTTCACAAGAACATAACATCGGCTTTCTTATAGAATGCAAATATGATAGATAGCCAATGTTTGGCAAATTTGTCGCATTTTTGCGGCCTTGCTGATTTGTTTTCTTTCATTCTGATATCGTACGAACTATATGATGCCAACTGTTGGGACCAACGTGACCGCCCTACTACAATCTCTACTCTGCATACTCATGGTGCCGCTGAGGGTCCAGCTCTCCGTACTCGCGCAGGTAGCTAGTCAGGCAAACGTCGTCGTCGCTCTCGTCGACGTCGGTGAGGCCGTTGCCAAAGTGCTCGAAGCGGTTGGCGGCAGCGTCGGGGCGGCGGACAAAGCGAAAGTCCTCCCAGCGGGGATCACGCAGGGCTCGGACGCGATGCTGGAAGCTGCCGGGCCAAGCCAACACGACGCGGCCCTTGCCGAAGCCGATCTTGCTCCAACTGCGGCACTCGCCCTGGATGGTCTTGTTGCCGAAGAAGCCGTCAATCAGGTTGTTGAAGTCATCGGTGGCATCCTGGCGCGGATCAAGGGCACTGTAGCTCTGCGACTGCAGCTTGCGGATGGCCTTGCCAATGTACGTGGCCGTGATCTCAGCCTGCAGCGGGACGGAGCCGCCGAGAGCGTTGGCCTGAGCCTGCAGCACGGTGAAGTAGTTGGGGTAGCCGGGGGCCATGACACCGAGGTACGACTCCGGGTAGCCGATAGGGCTGTCGGGTCCCCATCGATCGCGCAGGTCGACGCCGTCGAGGCCGATCAGCGGAAAGCGCGTCGTGTATCCGTTCTCAAAGCCGGTGGCGGCCACGATGACGTCGACCGGACGGTGGATGCCGTCGGCAGTGACGATGCCGGTCGCATCGATGGACACGATGCTGTCGGTGATGTATGAGAGCACCGCAGGCGTCGCTCGGAGCGCCTCGAGATAACCCGGTGATGGCGTCGGCCGCTTGCAACCGTACACGTAGTCAGGCGTGATGCGGTGCAGCCAGGCGTCGTCGCCGTCGAGGCGCTCGAGCATGCGTCCGACCACGCGTTCACGCAGCTGCAGGTTGGCTGGGTGGTCTATCACATTGGCACCCTGTAGCCGACGGCGCTGCATGCGCAGCTCGAGGTCACGCCGGAAGCTCACGTAGGCTCCCGGCTCTTCGTGAAAGGTCCTCCGCTCCTCGTCCGTGTAGACATGGCCACCGGGTGCGTCTGCCGTGGCCTCGTCAAAGTCGCCGACCAGCGAGCTGGAGATGTACGTCTTGGTGCGCACGTAGTGGTCCACGTGGCCGGCCGATCTCAACACGTTCGACACCACCTGCTGGCCGCTCGCACCGGCTCCGATCACCGCCACTCGCTTGCCTTCGCACACCAGGTCTGCTGGCCATCGTGCCGAGTGTACCGTCCGGCCCCCAAAGATACCCTCGGCCAAGCCCGGGATCGCCGGCCACTTCGGCTCGCTGATGCGTCCCTGCGAGCTGACCAGAAAGTCGGCCGTGTCCACCGAGACTAAGCCCGTGGCCAGACTGCGCACCTCGACTGCCCACTGCGACGCCGCCGGCAGCCAGCTGGCCCGCACTACCTCGTGGCCCAGCCGGAACCGCTCTGCCAGGCCGTACTTGGCCACCACGCGCTCGTAGTACTGCTGGATCTCAGCGCCTTTGGGGTAGTACTCGGACCAGTCCAGGTTGGGCTCAAAGCTGAGCTGGTACACGTGCGATGGCACGTCGCACCGCACGCCCGGATAACTTCCCTCGGCCGTCGTCAGCTGCAAAGACGCCTTTTCCCGTACAGTCTCCCGCTGGGACTACTTACACATTGGCTGCCCATGTGCCGCCCTGGACGCGTTAGTATCAGACACGGAGCTTTTGTTATCGCTGGCGAGCTTTACGCACAATCTTGTCCAATCGGTCATACACCGTGATGGTCGCATTAGGAACCTTTTGAGATAGCAGCACGGCTGTAGTTGTGCCGCCAATGCCAGCACCAATAACGATGATCTATCTGGCCTCAGCGAACGTTACAATTTCCTCTATCGGTATATGCTCACCGTGACGGGCCGGTCTTCCCGCCACGTCTTCTGTTTTGGAGTGTGCCTAGCAGCAATGCGCGCCGCCAACGCCGGATTGATCGACCGTTCCTGTGCAACTGGAACTTGGGTCGACAAGATGTCGTTCACGACATCCTTGATGGAGGCGTCGGGGACGTTTTCAATTACGGAGCCCATCTTAGTGAGACAGATAGCAGAACGGCCGAGGGTGGAAGGTGAGAGAGAGAGAAAGCAGACAAAATCAGTCCGGATGCAAGCCGTTGTCTTATCTTGACTACTGCTCGCGTTTTACTCTTGCACCTAGACTTCGTTCTGGAGTAGCAGTCAATGGCGTCAGCTCGGACAAGAGCGGGACTCGGAAGGCCAGTCCGACTGGTGTAGTTGCGCCATACACGACTACATCGTATGCGTGCCGACCCGGGATCGTCATAGTCATCCGCTGGCTCACCATAGGACTTAAAAAGCACACCATCTTCAAGTCACGTGACTGGGCGAACCTAGATGCCTAGTTGACGCCTCACGCTATTAGAAAAAGCTACGAAGCTGTACAGAGTATACGGTCACAGCATCACAATCCTAATGAAGCTTTGGTCTTTAGCGGTGGAAGGCCTATAAGTTACCGCAGTGTAAATAAGGCTGTAGGAATCCTTCAAGGGATCCTTGGATCTAATCAATTGGTGTTTCGAGTTCCGTAACTGCTTGGCCGACATCTTAGTCCTGCAGCCAGGCCATCCCATAGTTGTAAGATACTTCCTGCTGCTGGAAATAGCGACTTGGTGAGGAGCTCATATTTTATGTATGTCATCATCCGTAATATGAAAGACTCATCGAGACTGCCGAACACAATATTGCTTGTCTGTCTTAATTATTGTCACCCAAAACAGACAGCCCGCCAAAGTCACCAAGCGCACTATTCATCTACGAAACATTGTGTACGAAGCGGTTTCTAGCCTGGATTGTAACTGGTAATGCTAGTAATACCGATCAAGTCTCCGCTCTACTGCAACCAGAAAAGATGTTTGGATATACTATAACAACCCAGCAGCTATCAAGGATGGTCGGATTCACTTCTTTGATAGCATTAAAATAGTTGGAGACGATTATGTGGGAGGGCCTTTCAAATGTGATCTGATTGTTCTGTGATTTCATTTCGTTTAGCTTGAATATCTCTTTCGTATCACCGCCTTTGAGTCGGCCCAGCCCGCTTTAGTCTTGTACTAAGTGATTATGCGCTCTAAAAATCTTAGAATATCTTCCACACTCCCTCCGTTCTCCAGAGTCCGGTCAAATGGGATATAAATCGCAGAACCGATTATCTTTAGTATAGATCCTGCCCTTACTATGTTGGGCTCTGGATCTGATGTTCCTTGGTGTTGCCTAACTTGACATTTTCACACTTGCCACGCGAGGTAATTGACCAAATTGACCACGGAATAAGTAAGATATAAGAAAGTTGTAACAGCCACAGACTAGATCATACCAAGTGAGAGGGACATCGCTTCCATGTAAGTCGTAAAGGCTATGATGACACGTTTCTTCTGATTAGGAGGCATATACTTTTTTGTGTACCTTTTTCAAGGTGACGCTTCAAATATATCGATAGTTTTAGATTAGGTAACAATAACACGATACTAGGCACCTTGTATGGCTGCATCATTGTTGAAGCAGGTCTTTGAAAACGCAACACCGAGGTTGCTTTACTTCTCGATTCTAAGCCTGTAAAAAGAAATCATTATATTTCCACAATAACTAAATCAAGGATACTCCATATACAAAGATACATGATAATGTGCAACGTTTTTGATTTTTACGCCGATATGCAGTGTATAGATAGTCCTCTGTATAGATAAAGATAGGCAAACCAGAAATTGCTGATTTCTGTCATATTGAGAGCGACGACGCATAGTATATCCAATGGTACCCAAATCAAAAATTGGGTTCCGATATTCGCGAGCCTGTATAAGAATTGCCGAGACTAAACGTAGCTAATCGCATGTTCATTCGTTGGTAAATTCCTAGGAGACAATTTGGCAGAATGCACCGTTGCGCAGGTCCAGTCATGTTATCAAAGGCGTAAGCAACAGAACCGGCTAAATAGTACCCTTTTTGGTGCTCGATTTGAGGGTTGCATTCATCCTGTAGATGACATGTAGACGACATGTAGACGGCATGTAGCTAGAAATGCGCGCAGCTATCACAGAGATCAGACAACCCCCATATATATAGAACAGACATCCCGCGTCTTCACCGTAGCATCAGCCCCATTTCTAGAGCAGCGTCACAACGCTTAAGACTGCAAAAGTCGACAGTACGGAGTACATTGATATCTGCTTCCTTTTCCAAAAGCGGACCAGCAGCTGATATTGCTCGCAGCCGCGAAAGAGAAGCAACCATCGATGAACGTGATACCCACAATAATTCTCATGATCACAAGGATTGCCCTTGGACAAAAACAAAACGTACAGCAGCGGGTATTCGCTGGTCGTCACCGACCCAACTACTAATCCGCCGATTACTGGTTTAGCTAGGGGAGAGCGGACGGGATCCCGTGTTTTCCAGTATCTATGGCCGTACGTGGAAGACGGAAATGTCTGCCAGCATGAAATAGTCCCCACAAGGGGCACACATGCGGCAGGCGGGAACGCCAAGTGTGCAAGTGTGGCCCTCTTTGGTCTCACGACAAAGGACAGGAAGGGCGCTAGACTCTAGTACGTGCAGCGAGGCGCAGTCGGATGTGTGCGTTGCTCTGGCGGTCTGGCATTGTGGTCTGTGATCACAAGCACACTCGGAGTGGGGAGGGTAGAGGCTCGGGTGTATAGAATATTGGCAGTGTTGCATTTTCTCTGACCGGTTATCTGGCTCTTGGGTGTGAGAGTCATTTTATGCACTGGCCTTGCTAGTCGTTATCCGAATCATCCGTTCCTTACCCTTAGAGTTAACTGTGTGGTCACGGTGCTGCCCCATGTGCTGCCTAAAAACAAAAAAAAAAAAAAAAAAAAAAAAGGAAAGAAAACGCTTCGCCAGCACGTCAATAGTCAGGGCAAGACAGACGGAGTACTGCTATGACTTTTCCTCATATACTGTCTGCCTAGGCGAAACACAGCGGGTTTGCATCGCAACGACCCGCTAGAAATCAGAAGTTGACGCTGTTGTAAACTATGCAGGCGAAAAGAGTTTTAAGAGGCTGACACATTGTTGGCTTGGTGCCTAGCTAAAATTTTGTGAGATGTAACGAGTCGTAGGATGGGCTCCAATAACACTCAGCTTGCTCTTCATCTTAAATGGGATCGGCAACCTCCACTAAAGCACTTTGGGCATGTCCCTTGGAGGACAAATCAAACCCGTTTGTTCTCTGGGTCTGCGCGCTAGGCACACAGAACTTAGTTGACGATAATATTTCGCGCTCATACTGGTGTGTTGGATAGATGAAGGATCGTTGCCCATCCTCTTTTTACCCATCCTGGTCCTCCTTTCGAGAAGGCCGTGCTTTTTTATACGGGAGTACAGAGTAAGATAAGATACGTTCAAGAAACAGGGGCCTCCCCTTAGGAAATTGGCTGTGCACTTTCCCGTGCTTACATAATACATTTATGGAGACTTGCCCCGAGCGGGTTATGCAGACGTCATAGTTACGTCGTTGTGAGCCTATTTGCAGGGAGAATACGGCCGCAGGGACATGACCAATCAGAGAGGCAGCAGTGTAGATCATCAATCTACGCATTTGCACGCGTACGCTCGTAGGCTTGGCTGGAGGAGGCAGCTGATGCGATGTATTTTATTTTCGTATTTCGAGTTCGGTATGAGGCGGCGGCGAAGGCGCCCGCTCGTACTCGTATTGCAGAATGGCGAAAGAATGCCGCCGTGCATTGTCTTGCATTGCTTTGGTTGGAAAAGAAGCGATACGCTCGCTGAAGCTGCCGAAACAGGCCGACAAGAAGATGGCAAAAAAGCAATAGGACGGGGCTATGACTGAGTCAGAGTCACAGGGACTGACCGTGCCGGCGATCTCCAGAAAGAAGAAGAAAACCAGGATGGACGATCTGCCAAGTCAGACACGCCAAAAAAGATCAATAGGCAAGACACATTGACGCTGATGCTATGCAGCGCTTGGACTGTGGATAGACACGGAATAACCCCCCTTGAGACCTCGTACGAGCAGGGCCTGCGTACGAGTGAGGCTCACTCGCGTATTCGTAAGATACGGAGTAGGTGTACGAGCACTCCGTACGTCGTATGGATTTGATGAGTCGTATCGGTGCTTGGAGATTCTTCATTGTCGCCGTGGGTCGCCAAAGCACGTTTTCCAGGGCGCCACACTAAGAGCACCCACCAATACGACGAGGTGTCCTTGCAGCGACCTGTTCATGCCTAACCCATTCATACCTGCCTGATACAACCCTCACTATTGTCCAGTGCTTATTTTAGCACGGTAGCCTATTTGCACTCTGGCCTCCACCAGGCGCCTGGGGCTGTCCCGATACCGTATGAATCCGCAGGTGTTCTCGGGCCCTGATCTGTCATATGGCCGGCAGCTCTGGGGGGTCTTGAGAGCTGAGTTGGGCAAAAGGGAGCGGGCATGGCGTTGTGGTACTGTGGTACTGTGGCATTGGGGCATCGTGGCATCGTGGCATCGTGGCATCGTGGCATCGTGGTGTGGTTGTCGTACCGGCTTTGCTGAGCGCTGCAGTTCGCCTCCACCAGAGTGCGCCGGAAGGCCATGCCGTCCACGCTGCAGGGAACTCGGTATGGGACCGGTCAGGCGGTCTGTGGAGGAGGGGCGCCTAGGGAAAGCGATGAGAAGGGGGCAGAGGGAGGCCGACGACGATGATAAGAACAGCCGGTTTGCTGACCTAACCCAAACAGAGATCTCCTGGGACTACGACGATGTAGTAACGGGCGCAACAGCGGAATCGGCCATTACGGCGGGGGAAGGCGCCACGGAGTTACCTGCCTTGCAGACGGGAATGCAAGGAAAGACCCCGATGTCGTCGCCTTGCACTTTCTCCCAGTCTGCCTACTAGTATGTGTATTTGCGCATTGCCGTGTGCACATAGTAATAGTCCTAGTCGCAGTCGTAGTGGCTGTCTCGTTTCCCCACTCCTCGCTGGCAACTTCCCTCGGCTTTTTCCTCTCATTTTTCCTCATTTTTCCCAGTTTTCTTTTTTTTTCTATCATTTTTTTTTTCGCATGCCGCGTACTGTCCAATTATTTCGCCTTTTCATTCCCTTTTCGTCTGGTCTTCTTTCGCCTCTCGGGCACCGGATAAAGGGCAGACAAAAAAAATAGACTCTCCATGGCTGCTCCCGTACGTAGCTCTCGCCTATGGCCGACTCATGTTGGCGATAAAACGTTCCCGCGCCTACGGAGTAAAAGCTGCGGCAGAAATGGGAAAAAAACTTGCTTGGTGGCCGAGCGACCCCACCTATAATCCTTGCCGGCCAGTGGCGTCACCCTGTCTCTCCTACTATGTTTTGTCGGTCACCTGTCCCAAATCTGTGGATCAATTTACCGCATGTAAATTACAGCCCGTCGTGCCTGGGAATTGCCGCAGCTGAGCGCCCCGAGTGTCGCATGCTGTGTCGCAGGCAGGGCAAAAGGTCCCAACTAGAGGTCACATACCGTCGGGCTTCCCTGTACTACAATGTACGGAGTAAGCATATGTCTCTGGCTACGAGCAGGCCGGCTCTCGCCTGCAACCTCCGGCCTGGAACGCACTAACCCGATCGGGGCAGGCTAGCCTTCACTCCACCGCCTACCGTCACTCTGAGGCTTTCAGTGCTTTGCCATTGGCCTCGCTGCCTTTTTCGTCTTCTTGTCACTCTCCATAAAATATTGGACGGCCAAACGCTATCGGCACCACCGTCCTTCATAGTACGCCGTCCCAGGACCCATGCGACCCATTTGACCATTTCAAACCGTTCGACCCCATTCTGACACTTCGAGAAGAGGCAGCTGCTTTGTGTCTGCTCTCCACCCCGGTCCAACAACCCCTGCGCCAATGGTGTTTCGTTGCCAAAACGTTGTGTCCTCCCGCCTCGTGAGGCGTTCCGCAGCTGCGTGCAAACAGTCTCACGAGAATCATCTCAAGCTTGACACTGGCCCTCCCTCTCCCCCCCGGACCCCGAACCAACAGGACCCGCGCGTTTCGAACACACACTCGAAACACTTGCCTTGATACAGCAAGCACAACATAATACCTTGATCGCTCAACGCCGATCCGCCGTCCAGGAAACGATCGACTGCGTCTGCAAATAGAGAACGCTCGCCTTGCCAATACGGGCAAGCATCGACAAGAGAACATTCAATCTGCTTCTCCGATCCATATTTCTCGGCCCTCTTTTCTCCTGGTACAGACGGGTCCCCCACCTGCGACCCCTTTTTGACGCTATACCAGCCGGGTTGCCTCTGCGATTAATCACGGAAACACTCGTCGCCTTTTTTATCCTTCTCGTCCGCTCCTGCTGGCCCCCCAGACGTCGTCCGTCGAGAGCCAGTTCTTTCGACCCTCTGTTCTTGAATAGTCGGCTTGCCAACAAACTCATATCCTGCTCTGCACCGTCACATCAGCTTCCTCAACCCACCTTCCATACCGAGCAATATCCACAGACCGTCCGATACCCTTGCAGCTTCTCCAACAACCGAAATACATATAACAGCAAAGAACCGTTCCGTCTGCTTGTTGCACATTGCCCTGCTGCCCGAACAGTCACCGTTGTGCCCTACTGTCCCAGTCTCCTCCTTCGCTGCCCCTTTTTTCTTTTTACTACTGTCTCTCGTTTTTTTCCTTCTGTCCATCTCTTTGCAAAAACCGGCTACCTCTCGTGTTTTATTCAACAGCTCCACTCCCGTCGTCATCCTCGTGTGAGTCGTGGCAAAATAACAGCTCTTACGCTGCCACACAACGGAGTCTCTGTTACCTATTTGTCAACGATATACGCCACATTTTCGCCTTTCTTCAAAAGAAATCTTGTCCAGCTACGGCTTCGACCGCTCGTTTTCTATCCTCTCCCCCACCACCTTTGCGCATCATCGATCGATCGCTGTCCCTCGTTCTTACATTAACCACCACCCACAACAAGTCCTAACGCTGAGGGAATGGACGAAGAACGGACACGGAAGTCGGAAGAGCAGCCCCAACCACGGATACAAGGTCAAGAGGCAGAGACGCCATCACACCACGAACGAACCGCAGACCTGGCCGACTCGTCTCACTCTGACGACCGGCAAGACGCCATTATGCAGTCGCCTATACCGACCAGGCCTAAGCTTCCGAGCCGGAAAAGTAGCGGGACAATTATTATTTCGAGAGACTCGGAAGAAGCTCTCCATCCCGTTGATTCAAGGACGGATTACGAAGATGTGACAGCTATGAGTCCACGGCGAACTAGCCAGGATCTAGAAGAGATGGGTCGCCAGACACGAGATGAAGTCCGAAAGTGAGTAGTTATGATGTCATAGCCTGGGGCTCGCCAGGAGCAAACAGTTGAACTGACTGTTGCCAGACATGCCAAGATGCTGCAGGACTCCCTCCTCCTAATCTTCCACAGAATCCAGGCCGTCAAAGAAGAACATGACAAACTGGACAGCAACAACAAGTTTCTGCAGAAGTACATTGGTGATCTCATGAGCACGAGCAAGATCACAGCTTCCGGTAGCAGCCGGGCGAAGAAGTGACGCTCCCCTGTTTGAGTGGAGAAGACGTCCGGAGTCGCGGATCACGATTACAAGAATGACGACAACAATGGACCTAGTCGAACGAGGCTTTACCGACCGGCTAGGACGAGTGCTCATGCATACCATGACCAGCCTCGGTAGTGATATACCGCGGGCTTGGACGGCAACAGCAAAAACCACAACTATTGAAACAAGTGGGACTAAATCGGCTCGCCATACCCACCCACTATCAACGAAACACCAACTATATATTACGTCTCGCTTTCTGGCTTATCAGCTCTTCCAACTATTCGAACTCGTTCTTTTGCACTTTTGGGTGAATTTCCTTCCTCCGATCCTGGCGCTTCAGCAAGGTTCTGTTTTTCGATTCCCTTACCGGCGAGGTGTTTGGGCAGCATTTTCTGCATTGGTATAAGGCCTGTCATTCTACAAAATGACTTATTGTGCACATGACAACTTTGTACACACTGCACCCTTTAGAGTATTGGCTTTTCTTTTTTTTTTCGTTATCTTTTCTTTCTCACGAGCCATAATCTCCTGTGGTATCAATGGAGGTATTGGCAAGAAGTTTATGGTAAAAAAAAACGAATCTTGGAAGATACATAAGGGGGTTTAGATTGGGGGTACGTGCAGTCAGCGTACCTTGTGTTTATGGCAGATTGCCACTCAGTTGTGATGAACTGAGTCCATGTTTGAGTGGGCCGCTCTTGGTACCAGGTTCCGAAATATAGTATCATTTGCAAAAGATAAAAAGTATCACATACAGCATGCATGTCCCAAAAAGAGGCCTATTTCATGTACAGTATCTTGAGTCGCAAATACGATACAGGCGGTGTGAAGTACAGGTTTTTTTTAGGCGCGTAGAAGCTTAGTGTGCGGCTGGGCATTGCAAAGTATCTCATTTTGTTGTTGTCATAGTGCCATGTCATCAAACGGAGACAGCCGCACCATAGCTTGAGGAAGAGGGGAAGACACAACCTCGCTGACTAGCTATCCGTACGGAGCGTTGGAGTGGCAAACTGTACGACAATGACGTCACTTTCCATCTAAGAGGCGACTCATCTGTGAAAACGTGATTGCGATGCCCGGCTCTACCGCTAAGCGCGGGCGGGGCTGAAACGGTGGAAACATGTGCAAGAAGGTTCTGTCTTCTCAGGAACCTTGTATAGGGGCGCGGTTTTGCTTTTTGGCACTTTCGATCTACATTTTTCTACTTTGCTATCTCGCTTTGGGATTGGGTCTTGCATCAGACACGGGTTTTTTTTCATGCAGCTTCTCGATTAACCCTGTCTGCCGGTACAGTTTTTATAAGTAGCAGTTGTTTTAGGTCAGTTCCAAGTCTTAGTAGCGAGACTAGAAGCGTTTACTGTTGGCAGAGCCGGTGGGCGGTAAGGGTATTGCTTTTTTCCGTATACACTAAGTGGTTGTAACTTGCACGAACTTGCTTTTTCTCTACATTGTAGGTTTCTAGCGCAGCACCGATTAAAGTGGAGGCGGACTAGGAGACATGGACGCGTCAGATATCTGGCGGTGATCTATATGTAATGCGCCGAAGCGTGAAAACGCTTTCTGGGGCTATGTGGATTGGCGGAGAAACTCCTGCATGGTATACGGATGCCCGAACTCTGTTTTTAAGGTTGGTTCGCCATCAAGATTCGGCGCCGAGGTTGTAGGTCGGGATATGTATATGCATTGGTTTTATTTGCAGGGCGGAGAGCTTTTGGGAGGATCACCGCATACCCTGGTTGAACTGCCTCGGGATTGACAATTGCTTGTGGGTTTCCTCCTGTTACTCACCAGGCTTGTAGTTGACATAATGTAGTATTGTGTAAGAAAGAGCAGTTTGACTGGAGTCTTCGGAGCGAGAGGGGCATCGTCTTACTGGTAGCTTCAAAGTTGTAGTTGTTAAGCGGGTGTGTCTTACCTGTCTCACAGAAGTTGGCCAGGCTCGTACGTTTTTCCTGCACGGCCCAGCCTGTCTCTCCATCTCTGTGCCGAAAGCAGATGTTTGGCCGGTTCTACCAACGATACGTAGGCAACCCCAAAACACGTAGACGGCTAAGCGGGAGAGCCTGGTCTCGTACGAGATATGTAGGGAACTGCGTCTGAGGGGTACGCGCACGCCACTTTGCCTACAAACCTACGTGGTTGCATGAGCTGCTACGTATTTCGGCTTCAACATCGTCTAATTAAGCCGCCTTGTGCATGCGAGCACCTGGCCCGCGGCACTCATCTGATCTCGGATACGCAACCGAGCCGATTTGCTACATAATAATGTACAAGTGAGTCGACGAACTGATCGTGGGGAGATCGGTGCTCCAGTGGATGCAGCTTCTCCAAGATACGAGATACAAAATACTGGGGTTGTGGGGGAACGAGTCCCTGTCTGGCTGCAAGCTCTGCCTGCAGTTGATGCAGGCAGGGTCGTATTCGCCCACAATATCCGTCTGTTCTCTTCCGGCCCGGTGCCAACGGCCTCCAAACTGTCCGCATTTCGATGCCTTCTCTTGTCCGTGACGCGGTAGACGGTCTGTAGCGCAGCAACATGTTGTTCTTCGACTCGTGCTGTTCTTGTTGCGAGAGTGACATGGGCACCTACTGAACCGTGCAACGAGTGGGGGTTGGACGTTCTTTTGCTGAACTCTGTCGAGCCAGGACGACTCTATCGCTGCAACCTGTTGAACAGTCTGTTTTCAGGCAGTGGTATGTCGCATTGATCCCTATATTCACTGGAACATTCAACAATCCACGCTTATCCACTACGATCCAACACTTCGGCTGTTAGCTGCTCTTGGAGTCCCTCTGAACGAAGGCAAGGCTGGGTTTGAAAACCGGAGGATGGAAGAAGATCTTCTTCATGTTGCACTAAGATCCCATATATTTTGTCAATTTTTGACGAGTCACTTTGGATCGGGCTCTTGTTGCATTGAGCATGGTCCTAGTGCTGGCGTATGCCCTCCAAAAGCGACTGCGACCATTTTGTATGTTATTGCTACATGATCTATGTCAATACAACGAAAGTAGTTGTGCCCTCGTCGCACTTCATTCTTAGCGAATTGCGTGCTTCTGACCAAGAGCCTCAATCGCCCGACACCTGATTCCGATATGATCTTGAGCCACCAAATGCATTATTAACTTATCGGGAGATGTTACTGTCGACTAACGATATCCAACTGTCTATCGTTCGGATCCGAAGCCGCTCTGATAACCGCAGATAGCAGAGATCGGTGGCTGCCGGACTTACTGTTTGGCCCCACTTCCTCAACGAGGCAGTTCTTGCCGGACGTTTTGGGCGTTTATCTCTCGCACTGCTGGACGGAGATCTCTGGTTTTTTGTTGTGATGCTTCCCGGTAAGAGACGATCGACATGATGGCGGTCAGAGTGTCTTCGTCGTTTCTGCTGCTGCTGTTCGGCCTCGTGGCTGCCGTAGTCGTCCAGCTTGCACGACAGAGACAGAAACGAGCAAGCCGATACCGGCCGGCCAAAGGTGTTCTGGCTCCGACTGCAGCACATGGCGATGTGAAGCAAGCGGTCTCATCGCCGCCGACATGGCCACCGCCGATCAGCCCGGCCGACTTGGACTGGGAGGGTTCCGATCCTCGGCCGTTTCGGCCGTTCAAGCCGGTCTACCACATTACCATGGCCCTGCAGTCGTCCGTGCCGGAGGACCTGATCGTGCTGGACCGCAACTACCGGGATCGCATCGATATCCGCCGTGCCGTCATCGTCGCTCATCCGAAGACGGTCATGGGCATCATCCCGTCGCCAGACTCGCCGTCGGACCCGAGCCCCAAGGCCAAGGCGGCCGTCGACGAGCTGTACGAGTATTTGATGGGCTCGTACCTGCCGGCACGCTATCCATCTGTGTTTGTCTTGCAAAAGCAGCAGCAGCAGCAGCAGCAGCAGCAGTCTGCCCATCTGCACAACCGCATCACTGGCGCCACGTTTCCCTGCACCGCGCCTGCCGACCCGCTCGAGGCTTTCCGCATCCTGGCCGAGACGGTCGAAGACGACTTTTTCCTGCTGCAGGAAGAGAATGGCATCACGCCTGTGCCGGCCGAAGAGGTAGCGGCGCTGCCGTCTGCCTATCCGCCAACGAGCCACCGGTTGACGGCCTTTCTCTGCTGCTTTGCGTCCGGCTTCGACCCGTCATCCAAGCTGGGTCTGCTGCTACGCGACATCCACACGCCTGTGCCGTCGTATGACAAGATCGGACCCAGCATGGAGCGGTTCTTCTCCCGGATTCAGGTGGGAAAGAACGTCAAGCGTCTCAACGTAGGTTACTCTGTCCATAAGGCTCTGCAGATAGATGACCCGGAAATCTGACGTGTCGCAGTGGTCCGTCCAGACGCACAGTGATTTGTTTATCCCCAAGGGAAACCATATTGTCGAGGGCGACGTCTTTACGGAGGACGAAGAGATAGACATCACAAAGGTGGGCGACCGGAAGATGTCCCACGATCGAAACTGCACACTGACGAACTTGGTAGTCCCATATGCGTGTCGAATGCCAGACGGTCACGCGGCTTCCAAAGACCGGCATCGTCCTCTTCTCCTTCAAGACATATCTCTTCCCTATCGCTGAGATCAAGGCTGAGGGCTTAGGTCCTGGCCTGGCCGACGCTATCCAAGGCCTCAAGCAGGGCAATGCGCCTGGCATGTGGGTGTACAAGGGTGCCGTGCGCTGGGGCAAGGGCGTGTGCGATTATCTACGGTCATGAGAGGGGATGTCTCTGTTGTGGTGATATATTCTCTTTCTTTCTTCTTTTTGGTTTCACTTGTACAGTTCGTCTCATCATCTCTTTGGTTTTCCTGCCGCCACTCAGGATGAGATACGCGAGCAATAGAATGCGGTCTGTCATTTTCGGTGCCTTTCCAGCCATTCATGTGCTATTCAGTCGATGCTGTTGTTGTCTTCATGGAGTAGTTCGGATCTGGATCTCCAATGACGTCAAGGCAGCTGAGCAGGCCTTCGTGGTTGTAGACATGGTCGCCTGTTGTCTTCCATCAGTCTCGCTTGTTTGTCTTGCGGAGAATCTTGCTAACAAGGTACATACTCAGCAACAGTTGCGACGTGTGGTCCTTACTCTGGAGCACGTAGGAGCAGTCGCAAGTCATCTCGGTCGTGTCGGGGTCAATCGTGCACTGGCTGCAAGGCGCGCAGTAGCTGTTCGATCGGTCAGTGTTTCAATCAGAAAGAATGGCCGGACGGCTTGAGGATTCAGCGGTCACACACCCCATATTCCAGCGTGACACGGATTTTGAGCGCCACGTCAGCTGCTCTGTCGACTTGTTGTAGCCGATGCACTGGCCCAGATCGAGAATCGTATGCTGCGTCTCGGCGTCCGTCGAGATGGCGCTGCCGTCTAGAGTGCACGTGGCCTCGACCCGGCAGTAGCCAAAGTAGGCAATGTCGGTGCAGGACTCTGCAAACGAGATCGCCCGGCCGTACAGAGCGCGAGCTTCCACCGCAGCCGGAGCAGCATGGGCGAGACGGACAGAAGAGGAAAGCAGGGCAACGGCGGCCAGTCGAACTGCCGTGCGGCAAATAGGGATGGAATACATCCTGTCTGGGCGTCCTTTTCGGCTGGTGTTTGCTGTGTCGTCTCTTTCCCGTCAAGATGTGCTTTTTGCAGTGCAACTTACGCTGGGATGAAATCTTCTGTAATCGGCAGCTTCTGAATGGGTGTTACTGTGGACGAAGGCTGCGAAGAAAAGCGAAGGTGGATGATGGACTATCAGGCCGGACGTCTGGTATTTATTCTTTCTTCTGTCTCCCCTGCAGAACGGTCTGCAAGGTACACATGGTGGCAGCGAAGTAAGACGCCCAAAAACAGTCCGATTTCTTCTGGGCCAAAGAAACCACGGCACAGAGACGAGACAATCGGGACTATGAGACAGAGGTGGGGGTGGAGATGGCCCCCAAAAATAACGAAAGAGTGAAATAAAGAAAATAAATGGAACGTCGGAGGAGGTGTTGGGGAAGATCCATTTTCGCCTGCCCAACCAGCCTGGTCCGACAACGACTCGTTTCATTTCCAGCCCGCCACCACAGAAAGATGAGTGGCACGGCATCCGGCCTCTTCATATTGGAGGTCGCACGTCGCATGCTTCCGACGCGTTTCACTCGCTCACTCCTACACTTTACTCTATTCCGTGTTCGCCGATTTTGTCTGTGCCTTGTATCGCTGATTCTTTGTTTAAACCAGCTCTCACGACAATAGACGTCGTGCCTGGGAGTCCCCTGAAGATTTCGAAAATTTCAGCACTTGGGCCAGAAAAATGATCGTTGGTATATGAGCATCTCTGGCCACGCGTTCCCTGCAAGCCTCTTGTCTGCAGTGGCATGCATGACAAGCTGTTTCGAACCATGGTTGGCCAGACAGACTGGTAGCTGTGTAACATGGCTATGATCCCCGGCAGGTCCCACGAGCTAAACAAAACACCAGTCTCCCTCCCCCCTGTCACCTACTGCTGCTCGCTGGCCAAGCAGTGGTCATATCGTGGCTATGTGGCCAGGACAGCTGCATCACTGGCCGCTCTAGTTCTGAATTGCAGCCTGCTGCGCTTACCTGCATGGTGGCTTTCATGTCTGTCCCAGCCATCTCGGAATTGTGGTGGCAAATTGACGTATTCAGCAATATCCAGCTTCACTCCAGCTGGTCAGGCGGCCAAACCATGTGTTATCTTCCCAGCTGCTCTATCCAGTAGAATGTCCCATCCAATATTGTGCAGTTTCAGCTTCCCGGCCGAAATACGAGGACGCGCCAGCGATCATGTTGTTGACAGTGTCACAGAGAACGGCATGTTCCGTTGGCACTGGCTCTATCCTTTCTCTAGAGGTAATCTGTACGTGCGGAAACTGCCCTGATGGCTACGTTTTGTCCGTGTTGAGCTTTGACATCAGCATGGAGCCCTGGATTGAATAGAGTCGCAGATAAAGCTTCAATGTTAAGCTGCTCGATTTTTATGATTAGTCATCATCATATCGACGAGCGATGTGGCCGAGATTCGCTGTCACGTGCGTCCGCTTTTTCTCCCTCGCGCAGGAAGCAACTGCCCAGCCGGAGACGCTGTGACAGACTGATTGGCCTGCCGCAGGATCTCCACTCGCCAAGGATGTGACCACTGACAGACCACATTTCGCGGCCACGCGAAACCCCATCCGACCAAAGTGTGAAGCGTCCCATCCCACCACCACATCCAACATTTGTACGGCTGCGCCAAGCGTTCACAGGCAGACAGCTGCCTCCATCCGGGGGCCGAATTCTTTTTTGGGACTGTATTGTGATTTCGACATTTCGGGTGCCCTCCCTCGTTGTTTGCGAATCGCGAAGCCCACACTAGCTATCGACCCAACAACAGCTCCATCTGCCTTTATTTTGTTTTTTTTTCTTTGTCTCCGCTCTGCGGGAGCACAGGCAGAGTCACCAGACAGTCGACCTGCACCCCAGCCTCACCAATTTCCCGTCCCCATTCGGTTCTTCTGCCGCCTTCCGACGAACGACCCCCCCTCCCCCTCTCCCTCGCCATCGCAGTCTGTGTCCGAAGAGCTGCTTCCGCGACAAGTTTTCGTCTCTGCTTGATCGGCAAAAGCTGTGCACTCATCAGCTGGCATAGGCGCGCTACCGCAAGGGCGAACGGGATAGGGATCAGGGGAAGCAGAATACCACAAACGGTCAGGCGCAAACGCACGCAGAAAGGCAACCTCTGCGCCAAGCATCTCTGCAACGGTCGCCTCGACCTGCCCTTCGTTTGCCCGTTCCTGTCTGTTTGCGCGACCCAACAAGACAATCGTCGGCTCGGTCTCTTCGCTCATAAAGCCTGTGGTCAATATCCTATATTTCTCACCTGTCGTCTACCACGGCATTGTTCAACCTCTCTATTGTCGTACACAGCACGTAGCCGCCTCAGCTACCCTTTGTGTATCCGCCCAGACCAACAAAGCCGGCTGGGTTTCTGAGATTCGATAATTAGCAGATTATCTTTATTTCCCCTTTCCCCCTTTCTCTCGTTCTCTGCTCCCCATCCGCCGCTGCTATTTTCGATTCCGCCGTGCTGGTGTGGGCTCTTGAGACCACTTGAAAGGAAACATCGCGGCGCATCGGCACCAATATCGCAAACATGGCGACACCCCGTAAGTTGTGATGCGGGGAGGACAAAGAGGGGATGGCGTTGGGGAAACCCGGTTGGCGCAGGCGGGGCCGCTGTGGAGGGGCCTAGACTGCGGGTGTGAGCCACAGGCTGTCATCATGGAAGCTGACCATCTCACAGTATCGGACGAGGAGGAGCAGCGGTATACGCACCTCATCGATGCCATCCTCGAGACAGCCGATCTTCTGACGGTGACGCGGAAGAAGGTGCGGAAGGGTCTGGAGAAGGCGCTGGGGGGAAAAGACCTGAGTGAGCAAAAGGTGAGTGGTGTCTGTCCTGCTGCCTTGTTTCGGTTGTATGATGTCTGACCATGTCCGATGTTTGTGTAGGAGGCAATCAAGGCACTGATCGAGGCGCGCTTCGATGCTATCAACTCCCAGTCGCTGTCGACGCCGCCGCTGCACAACGTGAGCCCGATCGATGACGAGTTGGGCAGCGTGACGCCGTCGAAGCGGCGCCACCCTACGGAGAGCGATAACGAGCACGACGACGCGTCCAGCCGGGCGGCGACGGAGGAGATCAACGTGGCACTCGACGAGATGCCAGCCAAGAAGAAGCACAAGCGATCGTCGTTGTCGATCGAGGACGCGGACGCGCGGCTGGCAGCGGAGCTGCAGGCACAGGAGAACCGGCTGGCACGGGGCCGGACGACACGCGGTGGCAGTAGTGTGGTGAAGCCGCGTAAGAAGCCACCGTCAAAGAAGAAGAGTGCGCCCAAAGTTAAGACTGCTGGTGGCGATGGTAGTGACGCCGATAGCGATGGCAGCGGCGAGGTGAAGGAGAACCGTAAGACGGGTGGGTTCCAGAAGCCGTTCAACCTCAGCGACCAGCTGAGCGAGCTGGTTGGTTCTTCGCAGGTGAGTTTCTTCCATTGCTCTGTTCGTACATGCTGCCATGTGCAAACTCGGTCTGATCAGACACAGCTCTCTCGTCTGCAGGTGGTCAAGAAGCTCTGGGTGTACATCAAGGCCCACGACCTGCAGGATCCGCTGGACAAGCGGCAGATCCGTTGCGACGACAAGATGCAGGCGGTGTTCCAGCAGCAGCGGGTGGGAATGTTCCAGATGAATAAGCTCCTGGGCAGTCACCTGTATCCGGTGGAGGAGGAGGAGTAGCGGGACTCAGCATGGGACACGGGGTAATACGTGATACGGATTGGATTCCCGCTTTACTTATGGTCAGAATGGAACAGGGAAAAGGAGCTGGTGACGGACGGCGTTTCGACGGGATGATGCTTTTCATGCGAATGTTCATCTGGGTTACTATTTCTACTGGCATGGATACATTTATGCGCACGACATAGGTCACTTGTGATTTAGTAGACGACATGCCAAAGTGACTCGAAATGGGTCAGAATGAATCAAGATGCAGAGCGGAATGGTCCAATCACAGACGTCGGTTGCAGCTCAGCCGCGCGCCGAAAATTGTCGAGCGGTTGGGGCGGTGTGGAATTGCCAGCAGCGGTCACCGGGCAACAAGGCTGAGGGCCGCTGCCGGATGACACATATGGGGAGTGGGTCGTATTATTTGTCAGCCTTTTGTCGGTAGGTTTGCCCCTCGTGAACTGGTCCGTGCGCGAGGACTTGTGCGGCTGTCCGTTGTGGGAAACGGCCTTGTCAGAAAAACTTCGTCTGTAAATTTTTCTGCACGCAAGCTGTTTTCTTTCAGAACGTGCCAGCCGGTTTCTGAACATCGCCCTTTTGCCACGAAACGTGCGTTTGTGTACAGATTCGACTACCTTTGATCGACCAAAGTGCGTGCCGCAAACGTACAGTGTTCTCCGTCTACGATCGACCAACGTGCAGATCGCGGGAAGACTACGTGAGAACGACAAACTGGTGGCAAACGAGTCCAAGGAGACGCGGCGGATCTGTGCAACGAGCGATGGCTTCGACAGGAGGGGGAAACGCAGCGGCAGGCGGTAACGGAGGCGAGGGCAGTTCAGGCCCGAGAGCAAGAGGCGAGGGCAACCGAGGAGACCGACAGCGAGGTGGGCGAGGCGGGCGAGGACGGGGTCGTGGTGGCAATGGTGGAGGCAGTGGTGAGAATCGGGGAGGTGGTGAGAGTCGGGGAGGTGGTGAGAGTCGGGGAGGTGGTGAGAACCGGAGACGAGGAGGACGACGTGGAGGACACAACAACGGCCATGCAGCAGCAACAGAAGAATCAGTAACAGCAACAGCATCAGCAGCAGGAAGCAGAGGCAAGGATGCGCGTCTGCTGGCACCAGAGACGGAGACAGACGGCGAGGAGGCGGAGGTGTGTTTCATCTGCGCCAACCCGGTGATCCACCAGTCGATTGCGCCGTGCAATCACGTGACGTGCCACATCTGCGCGCTGCGGATGCGGGCGCTGTACCGAAACAAGGACTGTCCGCACTGCCGGACGGCGGCACCGTATGTGATCTTCACGGACGACGTGACGAAGCGGTACGAGGAGTACGGAGCGGGCGACATCACGACGACGGACGAGACGAGCGGGATTCGGTACAGCAACGAAGACATTGTGGGCGACACGGTGTTGCTGTTGCGATACAACTGTCCGGACGAGGCGTGTGATTATGCCGGATTCGGGTGGCCGGACCTGCATCGCCACGTGCGGGAGGTGCACCACAAGAAGATGTGTGACCTGTGCACGCGCAACAAGAAGGTGTTCACGCACGAGCACGAGCTGTTCACGGACAAGGGCCTGGACCGGCACATGCGGAACGGCGATGACCGGCCAGGAGCAGTGGACCAGACCGGGTTCAAGGGGCACCCGCTGTGTGGCTTCTGTGGCGAGCGGTTTTACGATGACGACAAGCTGTACGAGCACTGCCGCAACAAGCACGAGCGGTGTTTTATCTGCGACCGGCGCGATGCTCGGCAGCCGCACTACTACCGCAACTACGACGCGCTGGAAGAACATTTCCGGCGTGACCACTACCTCTGCATCGACCGCGAGTGCATGGACAAGAAGTTTGTCGTCTTCGAGTCCGAGATGGATCTCAAGGCGCACCAGCTGGAGGAGCACGGCAACACGCTGAGCAAGGACGTGCGGCGGGACGTGCAGGTGGTCAGCCTGTCGGACTTTGACTACCGGCCGGCGTACCAGAACAACGGGGGACGGGGTGGCGAGAGGGGAGGCGGAGGACGGAATCACGATGGCCGAAGCGGACGGGGACGCGATCCCAACGCAGAACTGCCGCTAGCCGTGGGGCCTCCACAGTCGATGCGCCGAGACGAGATTGCTTACCAGCGGCAGCGGCAGCTGGAGGTGCAGTCGGCGCAGACGGTGACGACGAGGACGTTTGGAAGCCGGTTGACACCAAGTGGAGGTGGCGGAGGTGGTGGAGGTGGTGGAAGTGGTGGAGGATCCTCTTCATCCAGGCCATCTCGACCGAAAGCATCGACACCAGATCCTTTAGCAGACCCGCTACAAGGTCTCAGTCCAGCCGAGGTGGCCAGCCTGACGCCACAGGAGCGAGCACGCCGCGTACGTCACGGCGCCGTGTTGGAGCGGGCGGCCAACCTGCTGGCCAACGATGCCGGCAAGGTGCAGTCGTTCCGGGCGGAGCTGGCGGCGTTTCGCAGTGGTGCCGCCACGGCTGCACAGCTGGTAGACGGTCTGGCCGGCCTTCTGGCAGACACGACGAGCCCGACGGCCCTGGGCAGCCTGGTGCGTGAGGTTGCCGACCTGTACGAGGAACCGGGGCGAGCCGACGCGCTGCGACAGGCATGGCAGAACCGGCGGGCTGTGACGGCAGCGACAGGAGCCAGCAGCAGCAGCGTCCAGCCGGTCGACGACTACCCGTCGCTGCCAGGCCTCGGCGGCATGCACGGGGCGACGACATCGACGAGCGGCTGGGCCGGCGCGGCAGCAGTATCGCCATCCATCCGAATACCGGCATCGTCGGGTGGTGGACAGCACTCGACGCGGGTGCTGCGACTGAAGCACAGCACGCGGCCCGGCGCAGCAGCAGTGGCAGCTGCTGCGGCAACAGCACCGTCGACCGGTCCGGCTGGCCGTATCGTGCCGGGTGCTACTTGGACGGTCCCGTCGTCTGGACGTCAGGCCAGCGCCGGCACCACTAGCAACAGCAGCAGTCGGCCGTCGGCATCGCCAGCACCAGCCTCGTCGGCCGCGTTTCCGGCACTGCCGTCCACCAAGAAGGCAAACAGCACTCCAACGCTCTCGTGGCTCGGCGCGTCGGGTTCTTCGTCGACAGCAGCACCGGCAGCGTCCTCCTCGACTGCTGCCCGTATCGGCGGCAGCAGCAGCAGCAGCTCCAGCAGCCGACCCCACCAGCGGCCGCCCGGCGAGGACGCGTTTCCGGCTCTGCCGGCTGCGCCGAAACCGCTGACGACCATCTTTGGGTACGGACGAGGCGCCGTGCGGCGTGACGTCGGCGGCCGCGACACCGGCTTCTCCTGGGGCGACGGCGAGACAGCAGGCGGTGCTGGTGGTGGCGACGTGGCCGCCGAGGCAGACGATGATGTCGGTGGTGGCAGCGGTAACGGAAAGGGCAAGAAGAAGGGCCGGCAGGGAAAGAAGGTGCTGGTGTCGTGGGGATGAGACGCAAGCGATGAGGCAGAAAGAGAATCAAACAGACTGGCATTTCTTCGGTGTTTTGCAGTTTCCGGCATAGAGAGGGAGCGGTAAAATAGAGAGCTGGGTAGGAGGCTTCGTTGTGAGCGTTGCTGTGCTGCTCGTTGAGAATAGGTGTGTAGCTCCCATGAGACAGATGGGAGTAGGTCACGGCAAATGCATTGCAGTCCGCAATGCTTACTAAGCAATGAAGGACATTTCAGTCTCGTAAGCTCAATCTGGTGGATGACATCGTTTCACAGACTCCAATGGTGCTGGTTCCTATATTGCCCTTGACGGATACAGTCAAAACGGCCATATGCATCTAAGCGGAAATATGCATACGTGCATACCTCACCTTCGATACGTCCCGTCTATGGTGTAGTCCTTTTTGGGTCCACGCACCGCATACCGTACGCGCCAGTCCCGCAGGTTGACGGCTACAAAGGCAAAGTCGTAGCGCACGTCGTAGTAGTCGTCGATGCAGAGGTGGCCGGCGGTGGCGCGCCAGGGCTCTGTCTCCGTGGCGGTCGGCCCCCCAAACGACAGCTCGTGGAAGAGGTAGTCGGCGCGCTGAGCATCATCCGTGCGCACGAACCAGACGCTGAGCCGGTCTGTCGCCGGGTTGTAGCGCCACACGTACCGTCTGGTCGCCCGGAACGAGAGGCCCGACGTGGCCGTAAAGGTGCCGTCCTCGACGTAGAGATACTCGTCCATCTCCTCGCTTGGTTCCTCGTCTTTTTGTTCCTCGCCTTCGGCTCGCTTTCGTCCATCCTCCGTCGTCGCCCGCAACCGAAACTCGGCCGTGCCGACAAACCGGCCGCTCGGATGGCTCGGCAGCGCACTGACCAGATCGCGCTCCAGCCGCCAGCAGCCCAAAAGACTGCGGAAGACGGCTCGCGCTACAAACTGCGCCTGTGTCAGGCCGCCCCGTACCACTGTTGCCGTGTGTCGTCGTGAGAGCGCCGCCTCTCTGCTGCTGCCGTCATCGCCTTCCACGACGTAGTGTGCCGGCGTCACGATCACAGGACAGTCCTCGCCGACATCCCCGTCTTCGTCTTCGTCCTCCTGCCGCTCGAGGCCCAGCGCCTCGCCAAAGACGCCCATCAGATACATGTAGTCGCCCATGGGAAACTGCGAGGCCCGCGCATCGTTGCGCAGTGCCAGCGTGCGCTTGATCGATCCGTCCGCTGCCAGCGCCTCGCCAAGAGCCGGCCAGCCCGTAGACGTGTCGGGATACCAAGGCCTGCCGTCCGACGGCATCTCTGTCGCCGCTGCATCGGCGTCTGCGTCGCTCACCAGCAGCGCCGTCGCCACCCGTGCCTGCATCTCCATCACACCCCAGTACGGCGACCGGTAGAAGCCGACAAAGGCAAGGCCGGCCACGTCAGGGTGGCAGCAGCCGTGAAAGGCTAACGCCACAGGCTCGCGGCTGCTGGTCGCGTCAAACGACAGGGCCGTCTTGACCTCGTCGGGCAGAAAGGACAACGACGTGGCCGGCGAGAAGCCGGTGGCCAGGACCACCACCGCAACCGGAAACTTCTCTTCGCTCTGGCTCTCCTCCTGTCCGCCCGCTCCACCTTCTGACGAGCTGATCACTGCCGTCGTCCCATCCAAAGACGCCAGCCGGCCGCGGGATACCGAGATCCGGCCTGCTCGCACATGCTCCAGGTACGTGTCGCTGACGCCAAGGTATGGCGGGCTGTCGAGCAGGTCGTCGCCACGCATCGCCACGGCCGCGCCGTACTCGCTCTGGTCCGTGCCGAGGATGTTCTGGAAAAGTCTGTGAACCATGCGTGCCGTCTCTACCGGGATGTGGCCCTGCGTGTTGACGAGTGGCCGGGGACGTTTGCGGACGTTGTAGGAGTTGAGGTCAAAGGGGAGGAAGGGCGGGTTAACAATATTGGGCTAGAGAGAGTAAGTAAATCAGCGCCGTTAAGACAAACGAGCGAAGCGAGGAAAACAAAACAAAAAAAACAGGGCACGCACAATAGGCGACGTGTACAGTGGAAAGATCCAAGACGGCCGCTGGATCAGATGCTGAACCGAGTAGGACGAGGCAGCCTGTGGAAGGCTGTTTGGACCGGGCGAATGGGCCGCTGATGAGAGATGGTTGGCAATCGTGCCGGCGATCTCGACGCCCGAGAACTGGCCCCCCACGACGAGAATGGTGCTGGGAGAGGACGGAGATGCTGTAGGCTCTGCAGACACTGTAGACGCTCTGGAAACCGCAGCGTCTCTGCCGAACAGCGTCGCCAGGCTGCGGTATTCGCTGCTGTGTACCACCGGCACCGTCGCGTCTTCAGCTCGGATGCCTGCTGGCATCGCCGGCGCCCCGAAGAAGCCGCTGGCCACGATGAGGTAGTCAAACGTGCTGCTTCTCTCAGCGTCGCTCCCGTCACCGCCGTCCTCCTCTCTCGTCCACACCTGCCACCGGCCGGCCGTCCGCTCTGTTCGCACCACCCGCCAGCCCAGCCTCACGTCCGCGTCCTCACGGCTGCCCAGGTATCGGTCGTGGTAGCGCTGCAGGTACTGGCCGACCTGCCAGGCTCGCGGAAACTCGGCCGCCTCGTCCTCCCAGGCCAGGTCGCTGAACTGCACCGTGCTGCGGCTCTGGTTTGCCAGCATCTGCGGATGCACCAGCCCGCCAGCGTCTGCCGTGCTGCTCGGCCACAGCCCGCCCACCCGCTGTTGCGGCTCAAACACCGTCACCCGGAATCGACCGCGAGCACGTGGGTCGTGGAGGAGCGTCTTGGCCGCTACCAGGCCCGAAGGACCCGCGCCTGGAGTGTCGTCAGAGATGGGCTTCTGGGATTGTCCGCTGTGCAGTCGTGGAAGAATACCTACCGACGATGCAGACCGTCTTCTTGGCCATCGTTTGAGAGTGCCAAGATATATTCCGTTTAGGCTGTTCTGTGTCGTCGTCGTCACCGAGACCAAAGATCCTTGCGCATGCCGCTGGCCTCGTCCGTCTTGCTTTGCCCTTTCTCTCTTGCGGGGAACGAAGCTCTAACCAAATCGATTCCCCACCAAAGAACGTTGCGCCAATCGATAGCACTGTATGGCTCTGCGAGTACACTGAAAGCGGGGCATATACAGTGAGCTGCCAGCAGGCTGGAGGTAGCCTCCCCGCTTCTATGCATTATGAAGTGCCCGCAAATCAACCGTCAATCCCGTAGAAATGTGCGCAATCCAAACAATAATCTTGGCTGTCATTGACTCTTGCAGCTCAGCTACTCCGGATCTGCTCCTACTCATCCGGTTTTTCCATTCTGGTGTCATACAAACACCCATACTACGGCATTCGTGCCAATATATGTAACCTGACCGCTCCGGGCTGATGCCACACGAGATGCTGCTTATTGTGTTAAGTATGTCTGTCTTCGGTATATTTAAAAGCAGACTTTGAAACCCGAGGATTAGACAAAGGTCCACCCTGCTTGACGGCCGAACCAGTGGGCGCCATTCAACTCCTTTTTACCACCACATCAACTCGTAAGGAGGCAATTCATAATGAGCAAATCATCAACCAGTCCATAGGATCCATAGGACTCGTAGGATTCAGCTTCCCGATGGCCCCACGTCCGGCTGTTGATGACATGGCTGCCATCCCTTCCCAAAATGGTGTGTTGTACAGGACGATGCAAAGGGCGGAAGGAGATCCTCTCTGCTTCTGGTAGCTTTGAGAAGTGGATGCCTCCGACTTCTTAGGCTTCTCCGCTTCGTGACACAGCATCCGGCAGCGATCCCCCCTGTCTTCCCTGTGATGGTCTCGGACATTCCTTCCATTGTACTTCTATGTTGACCACACCGAGTGTCTGTAACTCTAGAGACTACAGATATTCGGCTTGTTGAATATTGAGCCTCCAACGTGGCTGATTGGGAGGCGCTCTAGCTTCAAATACCTCCTTGGAAGCTGGCAGAACGGCTCGGAATAGACAGGGTAATAGTCCGTCTCAAGTAGCACTCGCTTTCGATTATCGTGTGGCTGACAAGGAAGACTGTTGGGCCGAGCTGTGTTGCTTGCAATTTCCGAAACGATCTTGAGCCGACTAGGGCCCTCGCCGTGCTGGTGGGCATATCAGTCTACATGTGGAATCTGTCTGGTGCCCTGTTTTCCCACACGTGTCTTTGTTTCTTTGCTGAATATTGTTCTCCGACTTCGGCGGTTGGCTGCACTCGTTACACCAGGAATTTGGCGAAGCTAGAAATCAAGCCTTACATAATCGCGTCTTCTGCGATTTTAGACACAAGACGCCACCGAAAGCATTTCCATCCCTAGTATGGGGCTTTCTCATGTTGTCTGTCATTCGATTGTCTTGTGGAAACCGGGAAATCGATAATCTCTGCCAACCCACATATTCTTATGTTCTCGCACCTGTACTGTACCGAATTCTTGAGTGACTGAAGACACAATTCCCGTAGACGTTGACTTTCTTCCACAAACTGCGTCAGCGCCTCGGCCCTTTTCCCTGAAACTGCGATGACTTTCCACTTTTAAATCGAACTGCGCTAAAACTCGCACATGGCCACCAATGCTTCCCTCGCCTAATCACTAAACCGGTTGCAGATTAGCAGACCTTAGCCTTGCGGGGAACCCCAGGCTAAGCACAAAACAAAAGCCAAAGTGGACGACATCATCAGCAGATAGTACGGAGTAGAAGAGGGGCAGAAAGCAGGATTCCGTCCATATCTCCGGCTGTAACCTTGGGGTCAGATGGTGAAGTAATATCCTGCCGGAGGGAAAGGACAGCAATTTTACATCGGTCGGGATGCGCAATCAATCCTTACGACCTTTTCTTGCACTGGTTGTTCAACACTGCATCCGGACAAATTGTTCGGTCGTATGCTTCGTCTGGCGCTTGGCAAGAAAAAAACACACTTCCATTCATTTCTTGACTGTTCGATCCGCCTGGTGCGCGTGTCTCGTATACGTGTCTAGTTCGCTTGAGCCCAAAGCATGTTTAGAGACGGTTTTTGTGTCGGATAGTCTCCTGTGAGTCTCTGCTGACAGACGGGAGTCCTCTGTCAGCCAGTCGTACTAAGCTGTGCTACCGAAGCGAGCCCGTTACCACTGTCGCCTGCTCTGGACGACCGCACTTATCTTGTCATTCTAAATCGAGCTCACGGCCGAGACAGACAAAGATCCGCTCTGCGGACAACAACAGATATTCGGCGTACGAAACTAGACGTTTCTGTGATCTCGTCTCTTTGCGTCTTGCACTTCTCCTGTGTCTTGTGTTTACTGCACCTGTGTCTGTCGTCCTTCCTGTGTCTCCTGTCTCCTGTGCCTGTTTTCCCAATTTCATTTAACTAGCGTGGCCATCAACGCGTTTGCGAAACCCCGGGAGCTGAAAGCTGGTGAGCTGTCATCTGGACAGGCAGCTTGTGCCTCTCGTGTGCGCCCTCTATCATTTCGCCGTTCCGTCTCTACAAAACTCCTCTCGGTTGTTGATCGTGGTTCTTTGTACATCTACTCGGCACTGCTTCCCTTTCCATTGCCATTTCAGAGAGGCAAGGAATGCAAAACGGTGCATTGAAGCGTAGTTTGTGGGGTCTTTTGTGCTCGTAGCCTTGTTCTTTCTCTGCCTTCCATCGCTCGTTCCATGCGTTCCATGCGTGTTTTGGTCTTCCTGTTGTGTGCTGTTGTCGATATGCTGTGACCCGGTCGACGCCTGCATATTTTCCTAGTAGTTTGGTTAGCCATGTGGGCAGGTAACCCTGTAGCGCCGGGATCAACAGGAGGGATTGGGGGATGTGCAAATCCCCAAGGAACAATGTCGTGGATATTGTTTGCAAGCACTTTATTTCCAGAGGATCGTCTCTTGACTTTGCTGGATGATTAGAGGCTCTCTTGCATTGCTCTTTCCTCATTCGCTCCTTGCCTTCCTTCCGTCATTATCTCTCAGTGCCTCTCGTCATATTGCTCGCTCCATAGTCTTTCGTTCCTCACACACCCTTCCCACCCCCCTCCTTCTCCCCTCGTCCTCTCCGCAGGCCACCCGGCTCGGCAATCCGTGCTGTGCTCGCATCACCTGTAGGTATAGGCATCTTGCCATTCTTGTATTTATTCTGTGTAATGCCGAGAGTTTGAAGTCTTTCCGGTGGAGCTTGACAAGCGCAAATGTAGAGGAGCATATATATAAAACAAGCACGAGATAATAATGGGTAACTCAGAGATGATGGTCGTTCCCTATTTTCTGTGATTAGCATAAGTAGTAGCGAAAGGAGGCTAGGTCCTGCTACTCGTTCACTCCTTCCGCAGTCCCTCTAGATCTACATGGAATTGGAACCATTAAAGCACAATAGCAGCCCATTCCCCACAGCACTGCGTCTTAAGCCAAGACAAGTCTGTACCACAAACAGACATTCGAAGATAGAACACAACGAATGTTAAATCACGAACACCCAACTTTACAACTGTCGGATCAGCGAGAGCGCCCATGTTCAGCTTCTCAGCTGCCTCCGGACACTATTTTCTTAGCTCCCCTGCAGGGTGTCCTATTTTGTTCATTTCTTCCGTTCTATGTTTCTTGGCACCCGTGGCTCCCAGTTGACGAAAAGAGAAAAGCCTTCCCGTCGAACAATTTGCTCCGCTCACGAACCTGGCTTGCTTCCTATGCTCTCTGGGCTAACAATATAGAAGAGCCCTTCGATAAGTACGGGAGCACGGAATGACAGGAAACGACACAAGGATATGCCATGGGAATTGAATTGAGAGCACGTTTGTCACCAACAGCGCACACAATCCTAAGCCTTTTCCGGCGTGACTGCATGTGTGCATGCACTATCTCTGACCTGCATCCTCTCCATTTTCATCACCAGGCATGGTATTTTTAACTATCTCCCAATTCCTTCACATTGCCTGTCCTCTGGTTCGCTCGTTCGACATCCCCTCATTATTGGGCACGCGTCTCTTATCATCCTTACCTGCAGGAGCTAGCCAGCTGCACCACCCCCAGCCAGATATCAAAATTTAGTGCTCGGTCGACGTGTCCGACACAAGTTCTCCCCCCCCCTGTGGTGGCGTTGGGTGATATTGGCGCGGCTTCAAAATAGTCCCGAAGCAAAGAACGAGAAAGAAAGCGGGTGGGGAAAATCCAATATCGGAAGAGCTTTGGAGTTCAATGCCGATTCCTCTCGTCTGGAGCGACCCCGCGGGAGAATGAGATAGCGTCGGCCTGCCAAATTGCTAGCCTACTCGCTGACCAACTTTTATATCTGCCTGTGTCTTTTCTTTTTCCTTTTTTGGAGCACTCCTCTTTCGGTTTCGCTGCTGCCCACCCATTCCCCGCCCTTGCTTCTCGTTGTTGTTTATGGTGCATATTTGCAGTTACAATATCTATCAAGCTGCCTCCGAGTCTCACTCTCCTCTCACTTACGTATCCCTACCTGCAGACCATTCTTTGTCCCTTCTGTTTCGGTCCGTTCTGCCGTCTTGTGCTGATACTGCCCCTTTTCCTTGGCGCCTGTGCCAGCTTCTGGATTTATATCGGCTAATCGATTTTTCGTTCTGTGTTTCTCTTCACCTCTTCCTTACCCACAAACATTCAACCAAACTTTTTGCAGCACAAATAAGTCACTATGAGCAGTGTCAACGAAGAGAAAGGTCAAAGCCGGTTCTCCAGTGGTGATGGCAGCGCCCTGGACACTGCAGCCATAGGCCTACCCCCAGATCCTGATGCTCATCTCAACAATGAAGAAAAGGCAGCTGTTGTGAGTTCGTTCGTGTCATGAGTACTGTATCTGTGGTTTACGTGTCGTATTAATCGCTGCATCATTATTTTCTAGGACCGAAAACTCGTCAGGCGACTTGATCTCATTTTGATACCTTGGGTGAGTTGAAGCAGAAAAAGTATACGAAGAGTCATCCAACTAACCGCCACAAAGCTGTGTGTCTTGTATCTGCTTGCTTTTTTGGACCGTACGAACATTGGAAATGCCAAAATTGCCAACCTAAACACCGATTTGAAGCTTTCTACGAGCCAGTACAACATGACTTTGACGATTTTCTTCATCTCATACTCTGTTTTTGAGCCCCTGACAAACATCATGCTCAAACGGCTCCGACCGTCGGTGTTTATTCCCATCATCATGTGAGTTGAACCCCGTTTCACATTGACTTCACGCTCAGAATCTAACTGGCTCTCAGGGTGGGATGGGGTGCTAGCATGTTGGGCATGGGTTTTGTCAAAGATTACTCTGGACTTTTGGCAGCTCGTTGGTTCCTCGGTTTGTGTGAAGCTGGTCTTTTTCCTGGCATAAACTATTATCTGTCATGCTGGTATAAGAGATCTGAGTTTGGTATACGGGCGGTAAGTGGATGCTTTAATCACGGAAGGCTCGCCAGACTTTCGGACAGACCACTAAGACTCTCAATTTGTGACAGGCTATTTTCTTCTCCGCGGCTGCTGTTTCAGGATCCTTTGGGGGTCTCCTCGCTGCTGCCATCGAGCTGATGGACGGAATCCGTGGCCGTCCCGGTTGGGCGTGGATTTTTATTCTCGAGGGCCTTTTCACCATCCTTGCCGGTATTGTCTCGTTTTTCTTGGTCCATGACTTTCCTGACAATGCCCGCTTCCTAACGTCTGATGACCGTGTCCGCGTTGTCCGGCGCCTGAAACTTGACCAGCAGTCCTCGGCTGAGCATGAGGAGTTTCGGATGTCATACTTCTGGTCAGCCGTCCGCGACTGGAAGATGTGGCTGGGAATGGTCATCTATATGGGATGCGACATGCCGCTGTACGCCTTTTCACTGTTTCTTCCGTCCATCATCAAAAACTTGGGCTGGAGCAGCTCAGTGGTTCACAGCCAGCTCATGTCGGTCCCACCATACGCAGCTGCAGCAATCTTGACCATCCTCATCGGGTACATTGCCGATCGGACCCATGCTCGCGGCCTCTGCAATATTGCCGTCTCGTTCTTTGGAATCGCAGGTTTCAGCATGCTCCTAGGCTCAGACAGACCTGGTGTTCAGTACGCCGGAACATTTCTGGGAGCCATGGGAATCTACCCATGCATTTCAAACACGATCAGCTGGATGGCAAACAACATCGAGGGTGTTTACAAGCGCGGTGTGGTCCTTGGATTTGTCATTGGCTGGGGCAATTTGAATGGGATTGTGTCGTCTAACATCTTCTTCGATTCGCCACGCTACTTTGTCGGCCATGGCCTAATTCTGGCTTACATGGTTGTCTTTTTACTCGGAGGCTCCTTGATCATGACGATACTTCTGCGCAGAGAAAACAGCCGCCGGATACGGGGCGAACGCAATGGGTGGACGGCAGGGCTGAGTGACAGTGAGATTGAAGCCCTCGGCGATAGACGTCCCGACTTCCTCTACACTACGTAGAGGCATCGCAGTGATATCAAAGGATCACGCTATGGCGAAGTTTGCGAGCCATATCAATTAAAGATAGATCTCTCTCTCTTTCCTCGTGGTGTATATTGGGCCCGTAGATGCGGGTATACCAACTGGGACTTGGGAGGATGTTATGTATGATTACATAGGAAGCCGGAGCGAAGTGCAGGATGACTGCCTTTCCCGAAAAAATAAAGGGTTACAAAACGACACTACAGGACGGCACTTCGGTTTAGTTTGTCAGCTAGCAAGAGGTTACGGGAGTTCAAAGATGTGTCTACTGAGTTATGCCAACCACAATCTCCAGAAAAGATACCTCTGTGTGTATGTAGGAGTTCGGTGGGCATAGAACTTACATCCATCCAATGACAGCTGTATTACCTTCCCAAGCTAGAGAAAGAAATGTGTTGGCTGAGCAGATCATTGGTTCCCTCATATCACTCCTAAATGTATGTTTCTATGCGTGTCTTTTCCAAAGCAGCTGCACGTAATTTTAAAAAATTGAAGCGCAGGCAAATAAATCCCAGACATGTCGATGCTGCAGTCGTTCTGAAGTAGTGGTGGCCAGACAAACCTTCCTTGACAAAGCTGTGACCGTATGTTTCCGCATCCCGCCACTCTCCCTTCTGCCAAGAAGCAATTAGCCGTGCCTTGTTTTGTGTATCGTATTTTAAGCCAGTAGTGTCACCGTATATCCTCGCTGCTCTCGGCGAGGCGCAGGACCACAGCATGCAGAAGCGGATGCACTACAGTGGCAGGCCAGAATAGTACCAACGAGGGGGTGGGCGGCCAAGCCAGGCTCAAAGGCCGGACGAACTGCTATTTCGGGCTCTGCGCCTGCTCCGTGAGAGAAACGAGAGCAGGGGAGTAGGGTGTAAGGAGGGGAGGGGGCGACGCAGTAAAACTTTCGATTTGACACTAACGACTCGCGAAGAGGACTGGACTCGTATCTGAGAAGGTTGGCCATCTAATAAACGACACAATTAGAAGACTCGGCTAATTGGCAGCTCTGACAAGTGATTTTTGACAGGAAGAAGGATCGGAGATCGCTCACAGTTTTCGGTACAACGTAATATGACATAGTCGACAAATCGCAAGAAAACTTCCCGAAGCCTCTGCTCGTTCGTTCTTTCCTCTCCTTAGCCTGCGATCCACAAAACTGACTGATATCGCAAGAAGCACCACAGCGCATTTTTCGCTTGCATCTCCCTTGTCCATCTAAGTCGCACACAGTGGCACATATCTTCTCGCCCCGAGGTAGCCGACAGATACGGAAAGCCTGCGCCAGTCTTCCTCCTGTCTGTCTCGTCTGGCTTAAAGATGATAATAGGGGCAGAGAGACAGAGCTGGATGTGGCCAAGAGTCATGCTTATCTGTCGTGCTTGTGTCTCTTTTGAGATGCCGACAATCAATTCACACGCACTCAATCTCTCTCTGTCTATTCTTTTCCTTTCTCTCGTCTCTCAGCTAGCCAATCAGCGACATATCCACACACTCTGTTTGTGTTCAGCTACCATAAGCAGAGGCTGAAGCGGTAGACAGACCAAACAACGCACCAGGCTGTTTGGTAGCGAAACGAGCTGGGGAAAATGACGGGGGAACAACGAGAGAAGGGGGGCATCTGATTGTCGCCTACTGTCTGCCGTCTTCTCACCGCAACACCAGTCTCTCAGACTGCTCCCGTCCTTACCGTTTGCAGAATTTGAGACTCGGGCCGATTTAGACGACAATTTGACTACGCGAATTTCAATCGAGATAAGGCGTGCACAAGAGCATGTCAGATGCGAGACTTCGCGACCAACTCGTTTTATCTTGTTCTAGGATACCCGATCCTGTGGAAGATGACACACAACCACAAGGCAGACTACTCGGCTCGACTGCTCTCCTCTCTCTGCTTCTCACCCTTACGCTTGGTAGCAGAAACACCGGCAAATTTGTCATAGAGAAGCCAGAAGTTCACTCCCAAATCCATCAAAATTTCCCGGCCACTTCACGAATATGGACTTCTCTCTGTATTCTCTTCGCCATAGGTCCCTTGTTTTCTCTATCAATCTCTGCATGCTCATTTTCGCGGCTCTACTCATTCGTTCAATTCCGCCCCCTTTTGACCCCTTCACTGCCTCCCCTCAGTACTCCGCAAAACACGGTCTCTTATTTGTCCAATCTACCTTGTTCTAATATATATAACGGGAAGCCTCCCTGTTACACTGCGTCACTTCTTTCTCTCACTCGTGCCCCTCCTCAGGCTCTGCCAACAGGCATAGCTCGCACAAGGGCAAGCCATGCCGCCCGCTCGCTTTCCTACTGCTCTCTGGGCCTGAGTGCAGTTGACTAGATATTGCGGCGTCGTTCTAACCCAGCTCGAATCCGTACTTGCCTCTCTTCCTTCCTGTCCTACGGTTGTCGCACTTTTCTGCCTGGCTATTTTTCTTTCCGTTATCTTCAAGGTCCTCATTTATTCCGTTCTCCTGCCCCTTGAGTTCTTATTAACTACCTCGTGTGTGTCTTCACCGACAAACTCGAATCTCCGACCATTGTAATGTGTATCACGAACTGATATTGAAACACGGGAAACGCCACCGCTCCTTGTCTATTCTCGTCTTCTGCTTCTACCCTGCTCGTCCGGCCTCCTCAAACTTGTCGCTGCAGCCACGAATACGATCATCATCACTGCCTTAGCTATTGCCGCCGCTCGTACTGCTCTCAGCCTCGATTCGGTGCTTCATCGATCTTGATCCCAGCTACCATCTCCGCGAGAGGTACAACAATAGTCCTGTTATTTTTTTGCTAAACACCTTTCTCGCCCTTTTGTTCTAACTCTTTGTAAGTTTGCACCCACACCCCATATCCATCAAATCAACGCTTGGATATTCGTTCAGCCATCCCTTCTATTTTGTGCATGCCTTTCCTCAGATTTACTATGCTCTGTATGATGACGGCGGAGAGCGAATTATACTAATACAGAGAGCTACCCAGTCATCTTGCACTCTCTCCTTTTTCCGTACCCTCTCCAAACGAGAGATAGATAGAGAGGTGCCTGGGCCACGGGAGGTATCAGCTCGCGCTGTACTTTACTTGATTATTGTCTGTACGCCCACTTCCTCTATGGTGGTATAGTACATTTAATATTTATCAGTTGAGCACCCGCCCCCCTTTCATTTACACCCTCTGCCGTACGCTCATAGCTGAGCGAGCTGGGAATTCGGTATTGACAAGCATTAGCAGAGGAAGCCCAGCGCAAGAGTCTTGCTCAATTTTTTTGGAAGCTCTCCATTTACGATCGTCTGCCTTCCTCGAGCTTACATATCCTCCGTTTCCCAACCTCCCAGGGAGACCTGCTTCTTATTCGGCCCTTTATCAACACACCGCAGCGAAGGCGCAACTGTTCATTAATCCCGTTAGGGTTCCCATTGAACACAAACTCCTTGACTTTGGCTACGGTCTCTCCTTCTCCTCCCCGCGGCCATGAGCGAGAATGCAAGCCCATCAATGCAACTTACAAGAGAACAGGCGCAAGTCGTCGTCGCCGTGGAGCGGGCCGGCGCATCATTGTCCATGCTGGGTGTCGTGCTGATTATTGTTACCTTTGCGTCTTTCAAACGCCTGCGCAACGTGCCTAACACCTTTATTCTTTTCGCCTCCATCGCTAACATTGGTGCCAGCATTGCCAGCCTCATCGGCCTGGCAGGAATCGCACAAGGCAGCGAAAGTGCGCTGTGCCGAGCGCAAGCATTTTTGCTGGAGATGTAAGGGCTTCCTTCATTCTTCACATGATGCCGATACCTTGCTCACACACTTGCCAGGTTTATGCAGTCTGACCCTTGGTGGTCATTTGCCATGGCTTTCAACGTCTTCCTCGTCTTTTTCTTCTCGGCCAGCCCGACAACCTTCCGACGCCACCTGTGGGTATACTGTTTGGTGTGCTTTGGGCTGCCAATGATCCCGGCTATTGTTTGCCTGTACATCAAGACCAAGAAACGGGGCCCGGTCTATGGCGATGCGACGGTGAGGCACTCTCATGATTTCCTGGGCAGCGAGATACGTGGTGCTGACCGACCGACAGCTCTGGTGCTGGATCGGCGACGAGTGGAACTCGCTTCGCATCTTCACATACTACATTCCCATATGGGTGTGCATCTTCTTCTCGGCCGTCATCTACGTCGCCGTCGGCTACTACGTTTTCCACCAGCGCAACCAGCTGCGCAATCTCAGTCTTAGCAACCCGGCCAAGGAAGCGTCAAGCTCCGAGGTAAGAGACTCAGCCGAGAAGGTATCTGGGCTCCTCTCATTTTTGGAACTTGCCCTCATATTTCCCCCCCTTCAATCCCACTCCCTTCGTAGCTGATCTCGACAGAATCTGACCGGTGGCCAGCCCGGATTCTACGGCACCGTCACCACAGAAGTGCAGATCACTAGTGATGTCTGCGACTCTACGCTCTCCGGAAATCGCACGCCACCATTGACCCCCATCGGCTCTCCTGCTCAGTGTCCTTGGGGTGACGGGCCCTTCCCCCAGATTGCCACCAATATCCACCCTCAGCGCTTTCAGAACGCGCTCAAGCGGCCACTTTTAGACGAAGAGATGGGTGCTATACCGTATTCTTCGTCCTCTTCGTCCCCACCGCCACCACCACCACCCCTGCTCTCCAATCATGGCTCCCGAGGCTCTGCAATTAATGAATACCCCATGGCAACGACAACCCATCAGTGCCCACCCCCCCGCCTCTTGCTACTCCACCCGCAGCAGCCTTCTCGACGTCCAAGCGGTTCAGACACCACCATCATTACCACCACCACCAACACCATCGCCGCCATCAGCCATTGCAATCATTGCCTGAGACGAAAAGAACCAAGGCCTCTATCCGGTATGTCAACAATGCCGTCATCTCATCCAGCAACGTCACCCCAAGCCATCGTCGACCCCAGCTGTCTCACTTTTCTGTCGGCGACCGTTTCTCTCGCGCTTGGCATCGAACATGGCGCCGTATGTCTAGCAAGTTGCGCCACATGGACCCTATCAAGTTAGCATACCTGCGTACGTCGTTTGTCTTTGCCATCTCTGTGCTTGTCACATGGACGCCCAGCTCCATCAATCGCATCTACGCTTTGTTGTATCCAACCCGCGTCAGTTACGGTCTTAATATTGCCAGCGCTACCGTTCTCCCCTTGCAGGGTGTCTGGAACGCCGTCATCTACTTCACCACCAGTTGGGTACTGCTGCGTGAGGAGGTGCGACGGCTAGGTTACCGGTCGCGCTGGTTCCGGCGGCTGGCTGTAAAATTGGGCATGGGTGCCATTGTGGGCGTGGATGGTATTGCAAGCACGAGTGCTAGTGCTGGTTTTGGTGCAGGTGGAAGTATGCGTCTGAGAATTAGCCGTGGACGTGTATACCCTGGAAACAGCCCTGGTCGCCCCTCTGCCGGTGGCAGCAGCAACTTGGGTGTTGTCGGTAGTGGCGACGGGGCAGGTCCATCACGAGGCAGTCTTGCGGGGACGGGGAAGCCCGGTGGCGGTGGTGTTGATATGAGGCAGTGCAGCCGTACAAAGCTGGACTCGGACTGTTTTGACGACGATAGCCGTGATGCCTCTCGTGACGCGAGCAGAGACCACGATGACAGCAACGGTAATGACGATAACTATGGTGACAACTATCATGATGACGACACCGACGATGACAGCATCACCGATCATATGGGCAGGAGTAGACGCCGGCTTCGGCAGGGTACGAGTGTGAGCGCCAGTGCCAGCACTAGCACGGAGCCCGGGTTGGGAACGAGGGGGCCGCCAGGCATCGGCACAATGCGGGTGCAAAAAGGCGGCCAGCTGGACACATAGTTTCGGTTGTGCTCTTCTGCTATTGTCGTTGTTGGTCGGTATTATTCAGGCTTCGTCCTTGATTTTGCTTTGTTTCGCTGGTGTCTGTGTACGTGTGTGTGTGTGTGTGTGTGTCTGTATTGGTTGCAATCTTGTCACTTGCCTGCTTTTGCATTTGTGTTTACTTCGAACTCTGTGGTTCCCATGTCTTTGCAATGGTAGCAATTTTGGTCAGATATTCCTGCAAAATCTCTCAGACGAGATTAGTTTAAAGAATACTTATTGTTGCCCATTTGCATCTCGCCGATTGTCTAAAAACTTTAGTAGAAATTGTTTTGATATCTAGAGCAGATGTCAATGTAGAAGTAAAACCAGGCCTCAACCAAACAACTACGCGTGTTTGTAGACCCGACTTACTAAGGGGAAATAGAGTTTGTTCGGTAGGAACGGCCCTGATCCATTGCTCAATACATCTTCCAACCTTTTTGTCTTAAATCCCCTCGCTTCTTTTCTCACTCACCCTTGAAAGCATCAAGCGTGCACAACGTCAACCGTTGAAACCATGTTGTTTTACTAACGTCTGCTGGCAAGAAATTCGCCAAATTTTCGAATCTCCATATCCGGCTTGCGATTGAACTTCCCGTTGTGCTTGACGGCATCCGGGACTGGCATGCTCTGTGTCCGCAAGGCAGTTTGTGGTTCACTTGGGTCATACCCGTGTCCATTGGTCTCTCCATCTTCTAATTTGATCGCTTTGTACAATCGTTGCAGGGACGTCATGTCTGAGTTGCACCGATGCAGGTGGCTGAAGCGGTTGTTGTCTTCGGCGTCTGGCAGTGAGGCTGTTTGTGCCGGGTCGTCGGGAGTATAGCTCTGCAGCTCATTCAGCTCAAAGTAGCAGATAAGTGCCCCTGTTGGTGAGTATCGCCAGGACAGGACGTTCTTCAATGTCCTGGACGCGCACCAGGAGCCAAAAAAATCCGAGGGTAGCTGGTCGATCAACGGCTTGAGAGAGTCTTCGTTCCAGTGACCTGGATCAAGTGGAGGCGAGTCCGACAGATCGGCGTGCCAATCCATGATCGGCTGTAAGTCTTTTGCCCTGGGACTGACATGGGCCACCGAAGGTGCTGCTTGCAAGGAACTGAACCTTCCACCTATCAGCAGCTGGAAGGATTCAGAGTTGGCGCCCTTCCCGGTGAGGATGAGAGCACCCTGCGAGTCCGGCGTATTGTCGCTGACCTCGATGGCGCTATGGAGAGAGATGAAGTCCATTCCGGACGAAACGACGGGCACTCTCTCAATGTCCACAGGCCTGTTGAAGGTGAGAAATATCACTGGGTATTTTTGCACGTCGCTCATATTGACAGTACGGGCGCTGAGCCTCAAAGACAATAGCAGATCGGAGCCACGGGGCCGGGCGTTGCGATAATCGACAAAAATTCGAGTACGCTTCTTCATGAGAGCCTCTGGCACTGTTGTTACCAAGAGCTTTGTTGACAAGCGAATGTACTGGCCATCGTGCACACGATGCAGCGGGATCAGGACTCGGGACACCACGTTGGACGTTCTGCGGTAGCCAACATCCAAAACGGCGCATGCACCCTTTGAGGTGTAGAGTAAAGGCAACGATATTCTCAAGCCAAAGTTGGTGATCGCGTATGGCTCTCCCGCATCTGCGCCTGCGCTCCGAAAATCGGGGTTTCTCGATTCTGGAAAATACAGGGCGGAGTCCTGAAATACAGTTGGATGTGGCGCCAAAATGCTGGTCCACTCCCGCAGCTCTTCCTTGCGGTGTCTGTCATGGCTGTTGCCGTACAGCTCCGAATCCTCGAACAGATGCCTGATGCCGGTTCCGTTGCTACCATTGACATTGGCTTGCCAGCAGAATATCGTCTGGTCATTCGTCACGCGGATAATTTCTTCTTGCAGGCGAAGAAACGCCCTGTGGCCTTCGCCATACAGCAAAGCCATGTGGATACCGAAAATGCCGAGCATACAATACGCAATGTCTTCTGTGCGCGTGGTCTTTCGCTTGGCCATCCAGGACATGCGCCTTCCCACACTGACGGTTTGGATGCGGGAGGGCCGCCTGATGTAATCGCTGTCGATGCCAGTGATGTCGCTCAGAAGCTTTCTTTGATTTTCCTTGGTTGCAATCGGCAGCCATTCATAGGAAAAGAAGACGGCCTTTGAAGGTGCAACAAGCTCCTGCAACGTCCATCCACGTGTGAACCACTTGCTCTTCGTGAAGGCCGCCTTTACCGATGAATCCTCCAGGAAAGTCTCGGATGGCTCCGCTTGAAGCCTCTCTGGTATGCGCACATCTTCCAAAAACACATAACAAACAGTAGCGTCACGGTACCACGCGAACATGGAGTTGATGGCCTCGGAGAGCTCGGCGCTGCTTGTCTTATCAATGCAGTTCGTGTCCACCCAGATGTAATCGAGGCCATCGCGTGCGGCCTGCTGGCAGCTCAACTCGATCTTGCGATAGCCTCTCTTCTTCTTGGCCTCGGCAATATTTTGCCAATCGCCCAATGCAACTTCGCCATCTTCCCAGGTGTGGGACAAAATGGCATAAGGTGGTATGTTATTGTAGCTCTCCTCGAGCTCAAGAGTATGCGTGTTAATGAGCCTCATGCTCACAAAAGTCGTTTGTATTTAGGAACGACAAATTTCAGAGAAGTTGAAGACGAGTATGATACGATGCAGCCGCCCAGAGCTAGAGCCAGAGGCGCCTACCTGCAGATGCTAGGTTGCCTTGTGATTGATGCTGCAGCACATCATTGGATGTGGCCCCGCCACGTCGGCTGGGTTAATATGCCGATCACCACACGGTTGAGAGAACAAAACGAAGTCTGGTCAGGCCCAAGTTGTCCTACAATTGTTTCGTCATCTTATTTTGCGGTGCTTGTCAGTCGCCTTTGGTCTAATGGCGATCCCACAGCTTCTCCTCAACGAATATTCATTTTCGTCCATATCCATGCCACTGCACCTTTTTCAGGTGCAAAACTTTCGAGGTCCACAGGGAGGCAGTGCAGGTGAGTCCACCCATGGATAATGCGCACACTCCCGGATGCTGATCTGTCGGACAAGGCAGTCGACGAACAGGCCTTCCATTTGCCCAGGAAGTCTTCTCTCGTGTAGAAGAGGCATCAGAAAAGCAACGATACTCTCGAGCCTTACATTATCGGAAAAGAATCGTCTAAACAAGGGGAGATCGGCCACCACTCAGTTCGTCCGGGGATCTGGCCATGATCCCAGTCGCAATTTTCAGTTATTCAAGGTTTCAGTCCCGCTTCCGCAGAAATCCTAGAAACAATGGTTTCAAGCGACGACTCGGTTGTCGTATTTTCACGACAAAGAACTGGAGAATTTAGCCAGGGCGCAAGCGCAATAGCCAGCAATCATAACTCAGCACCAGCGGGCACCGGGAGACCTAGACAGACTCAGGCATATTCCAGGCGAAGCAACAGCAATACTTTGCATGTATCAACGCCCACGGCTGATACATTGACTAATGGAACCATCCATGGAGGGTTGTCGATCGAAGAAGATGCACTTGCAATTGAAAAACGAAGACACCAAGAGGTGAGGAAATTGTTGAAATCCACCGAGACTCGAATTGAACCTGGACAGACTCTGGCATATTCCAGGCGAAGCAACAGCAATACTTTGCATGTATCGACGCCCACAGCTGATACATTGACTAATGGAACCATCAATGGAGGGTCAATTGAAGATGGTGCACTTGCACTTGAAAAAGAGAGGCACCAAGAGGTGAGGAGGTTGCTAAAGACCACTGAGGCCCGAATTGAACAGCTTCAGCAAGACATAGATGATAAGAACAATGACATCGAAGAATACAAAGGGACTGCAAGAGAATTGGAGGACCAGCTTGGGGCTGCCAGCACAAATATCGCGAATCTCGAAGACCGGGTAGCTACTTTGGGAAATATCGAGACCAAGGTGGTTATGCAAGCCGACAAAATTGCAGGTTTGCAGGAGAAGCTGAGATCTGAGACGACTGCTCGCAAAAGGGCCGAATTACAGGCTACAAATAACAGGGAGGAATTAGAAAAGATGCTGCTGATGAGCGATAGCAAGTTGGACAGCAAGCAAGAGGAAATTGACAGTCTTCGGGCTGAACTCGCTTCAGCCAAAGAAGCAATCCTCGCCAGAGATGAAGCGCTGCGCAAATCCGACAAGGAAAAGAAAGACCTCCAGACATCTCTTTTTGACCTCAAGCACCAGATGGAAAACGCAACCGCGGTGATGGGAGAGGCTTCCATGGCTCTCCACTCAGAAGTAACAAAGTTTCTGAGTTCCCTACAGTCAACCAACAAATTGGAGTTACCACTACCAACTATGCCTCGATGTTGACGGTGGCAATGATGTATTATACGTCGCAATTTCGGCTTCTGGTCATAAGTTCAGGACGTTTGCTTTAGCACATCTCGCACTATTTTTTGGGTGGTTATCTGGAGGCCGCAATTTGCATCAAAGAAACGATTGGATACACATGCAATTGCAGTATTCGGCCCAGATACAATTTTACCAGGTAAATGGAATATCAATACTCCCTCGTGTGGCTTTTTTACCCTCGCAGGGCTTAACTAAATACAAATAGAATCCCGACAATAAAGATACGCGAACGCCTACAACTTGATCGACTACTTGAGTCTTCATGTCCAGTCGTCTGATTCCGCAACACTGTCAAGCTCCACCCATGATGCAGCCATCGAATGCAGGTCGTCGTCATCGATCAAAACATACTCCACATTCTCAATATCGTCCAGGCTGATGTCCTCGTGGCCGAGCAGACGGTTGGTTGCATCACTGTGAGCGGCCGCATCTGGGTTCTCTTCCTCCCACAGGTTACCGAGGGTGAACAGACGCAGACCCTCTGGAATGGGGAGCTCCTTGATCAGCTTTGCTTCCTCGTCACCATTCTTGTCTGATGACTCTGTGAGCTGAGCACTGCCGGCGCCGACATCAGTGTCAACGTCAGTGATGATATCGAATTCAGCCTCAGCTTCAACAGCAGCCGCAGCAGCCTTCCTTCCCCTGCGTTTCTTGCCATCGACAAGACGCACCGTGTACGCCGGCTGCGTGTGACGGATGCCGTCTAAGCTGTCAGCCTGGTAGGCGGCCGGGCCAGTCGAGGTGTTTGCCGCCGTTACTGTCACAGCTGGAGGTGTCCCGGCTTCACCCGCAGTGCCGTCATGGTAGAGTATTCCTCGGCGGTACAACTCTGCATCCTGCTCAGCCTCGGAGGTGTAAAGCGGCGCCACTGATCGGTTCTCGCCCGGCAGCGGCACGTCCGACCGGGCCAGATCGATGCCGAGCTCGATGGAGTCGTCGCCGATGCGTGGATGTGCCGGCCCTGCAGCGCTACCACCAAGCCTTGTCTTGTTCTTCCCCTGGGGAAACGACTGCACCGAGCTGCTGACGGTCTGCACGACCATATGCGGGGCCACGGGAAAGCGGTAACGACGCTGCTGGCCGCCGGGGGTCGGCAATTCGGTGGGTGTCTTGGGTCGGTAGACACAGCCCTGCTTGGTCTCGATGCGGACAATGTAGCCCTGTGGCCTCGCCTGGCTGTGGTCGCCCATTGTTGGACAGCTTTGTTTCTCGGTTTCTCGGTTCTTATCAGGATATGCTCTCCGAAGATGTTAGCCACAGTGTCCATCCACAGCTGGTACAAATTGCGGAAGGGGAAGCTCACTGATGCAAGCTCGTCAAATTAAGTGCAGTACTTGACCAAACGAGTGTGCATTTCTGGTGTTCTCGTCTGGTGGGGGCTTCCTTCTCTACATGCTATTACAGCACATTGGGATAGGGTAGGTGTTTTGAGGTCCTCTTATCGCAGCGGCTGTCGCTAAGGTCAGCGGCTTAATATAGACCGATGCAAGCTTAGGAAAAGGAGATAACCATTTCGAGCAACGAGGCGAGTCACAGGCTGAGATAAACAAGGCATCCCGTTGACTCACCACAGTCAGCCCAACTGTAGGCTACCAAGCTGTACATTCCAGGCTTCAGCTTCCACTGATGGACCCATCATAATAGCAACCAATCAAACGCTCGACGGGATTTGGAATGCCCCACACCTACCTGGCATTGGGGGCGTTCTAAAATAAGTGTTTGGTGACATGGTGAAACTGAGCGGTCAGATATGATCAGCGAAAAGAGTCATAGTGAAGCTCACAGTTCCGAGGTCTGACAACAGCTTGGGAATGGACCAGGTGTTATTCGAACACTACTTGGTATGTGTTACCCGTAAATTATCTGAAGTTTGCTAGCCACAATAACAAGAATGAATGCAGTAGCCCCATCTATAACTAACATCTTAGTCCAGCACCACCCAATCAGGTCTCGACTTAGAGATTCTCCTACACGATCGTTTGCCCTCGTGGGTCCGGCAGCATGGCAATAGCAGCAGCAATATGAGATAGGGCATCATTGTTGTTTTTAGCTGCTGAGGTTACATTCTCAAGGGTTGAGCTTGAGGCCTCGATGAGAAAGACGGCGAGGTTTGCATGAAGGCAAACATTGCCAGAGAGAAAATCGCGAGCTGCTACAAGGGCAGCGCGCAAGTCGGCGTATGGTTCCGTGGAATGCGCAACTGTGTCGGGGCTTGGAGCTTGGAGCTTCGTGCTGGCTATTTCCGATGAAAGAGAAGTGCGAAGATCTGCCGAAGTGGCAGTAGTCTGATTGGACATGGCGGGTCGTGGTCTTTGAAGCAATAGTAGTGGAGGGATGTGCATCAACAGATCGTCCTCTTTGGGAGTGCCGATGAAGAGCCTCCGAACGTCTTTGTGATACCAATCTGCCGTTGACAAGACACGAGAAGCAAACACCATTGCCTGGGTAGGAAAGGACTCAGGTATCCTGTACCAGGCGTATCTCGGGTCTCGGCCTCCTTTCTGCTCGCGAGGGCGTGATTGCTGATGATTCTAAAGTTACGGCCCAGAGTTGTCTGGCAAAACTGCCTGCCCAGCCTGTGCGTGAGGTCAACGATGTCCTGAACCTCGCGTCGGAATCGTGTATGATCGACACGGAAGAGATGGTGAATGCGGTTTGTGGTATCCGCATCTGTCGGTGCTCTCAAGGCGACTGAAGGGAAGCCGTATGTTGTATCCGGCCATGTATTATGAATTTGGACATCTTCGGTGGCCAGTTTCTATCAGGTCCCGAGAGCTGGGTGATGCTTAGGGAAGGTGCGGATGAAGCAGGCCCGATCGGGCAAGTTTCTCCAAGTCACAAAAAGGGGCAATTGATATACTGAGCCAACGTGCATTTTCTTGTTACATCAGCCGTCAACGATACGCTCCTCCGGCCAGTGCCGACGAAAGACACACCCGCGATCCTGCTATCAACCCAAACATGGCTCCCATCTGCCGTACATATCGGCGCATCGACTCTCCTCTCTTCGAAAAAAAAAAAAACAGACTGTTGCTCGAATCATGCCCAAGGCAGGGCCGGGAATGTCGAAAACGATTAATCTTCGAGACACAAAGATACGACTCCTACACTCTGCATGTCTGGTATCACGCACATTGTGAAAGATGCCGGTGGAGAGGATGGTGTCCTATCGTGGTGGTACAGATACATACGTCGCAGATATGGGCTGCTTGTAAGGAACAGATATTGGGCCGGATCCCCACATCAAGTCTGGCTTCGCTGGACTAAACCTCTCAGGACAGAATAGGCCCGGGTAAAGTAAACGGTAAGGTAACCACAGGGTCGGCAATGGGTGCTAGAACGAGATTGATTCGACTCGCTAGGCGCCCAACTTTTCCTTGGGGGAGATCGGATACTAGAAGATATATATGCCGTGCCAGCTGTTTAGGTTCGCATCCAAGGTGTTTCCACAGGTTCTAAACGGTACGTTAACAGTTACCCTCCTCGGAACGGCTAAGAAGCTGAACCAAAAGACAATTCCCAGGCTGACGCTGGCAACTTGGTAGCAGGCCAGCCATTGAAATTTCAACTTGTAACTTCTAGATTCGAACAAAGCCTGAAATGTCCCACTGTCAAACCGCCAACCTGACTGAATAGTTCATAGTTCGATGCATTATAGTTAACAACATAATCCGAATTCCACACAATAATTTCCCTGTTTACCTTGAGCCGCATGACGGGTGCCATGGCTGCAGTTAATACATCGCTGCGCATTTATTTCGTCAATCTGAAGACGAAATCAAAGAGATATACGGGAGAATCAAGAGGCTCGGCCCAAATACGTACCGAAACCTGGCAAAGCTTGACAGTTGGATCCGCCCATTTTGTTTCGTATATTTTTCGCATCGGACGTGGCATAATATGCGAGACTGCTGGTTGCGGACTATAATACTAGATGCATTCGAATGGGCTGCATAATGGATAAACATGCTTGAGACCAGGCTAATACGACAGCTTCTTGACGCCGAACTATACTGTACCTATCTCTTGGCTACATTGTAGCAGTTACATCACCGTCCCTTTCTGAAGTCGGTCTCCTGTGTCGAGCTCATTTAAAATCAGACTTTTGCACATCCGGCATCTCGTTCAACGGACTCGGAACAGCTTTTTTCTTAGCTAGTCTGTAGCTAAAGTGCGTTTTGTGCTTTCAACGGTTTCACTACCTCTTCCCTCTAACGGTCTCTCTTATAGTCGTTGTATATATGCTGGTTCCCCACGAACTTACATATTTACATGCTTGTTCCTGACGTTTCCGAGACCCTGGTGAAGTATGGAGTTCACTATATGGATGTTCATACCTAACGCAAATCCCCTGTTTACAGCACAACTTTCACGGGGATAAATTTCAAGTGAGTACGCAGTACTCCCCAGCAGCCTTCACTCTGATCATCTACCACTCCATGTTGACATTCCACCAAATGGCATGTTTACATTGCTACGTGCACGTGAGTGGCGGGTGTTTTATTCATCCCGCGAGCTTTAGGGCGTTTCAAGTTATGGGGAAAAAGGCGGTTGGGACTAGAAACACGATGGGAGCCAACAGTCACGAACTAAGCCGTCACTTTCAAACTGTCGAGTGACCGGAGAAATATACTCCGCGTCGTGATTCGCTACTTTAGACATGCATAGTACAAAGCGATCGCAAGCATAATCCATTTGTCAATCTGGTCGTTGGGCTGCCATTTGGACCATTTCGCCTACAGCGGATAAGTACCATGCAGCTGGCAGTAAACCGGGTGCAAGGGCTGAAACTGACAGAGATACGGTGAGAGATGGCAGCCTCTTATGGATGCAGAAACGGTCAAGCGACAGCCAACCCCATACAGACAGATCCCCTCACAGACGTCCTTGGGCCACGTCGAGGAGCGGGGCACAAAGTATAAGCTATTGACTCTCTCCTTTTTCCTGTAGGCTAGTCAGTTAGAACACGGGATCGCCTTTTGAGAAAGGAAAGGCAGAAAAAGGAAGCACAAAACGCGGTCACACGCCATGAAAGTCGCCTAATTAAAGAATGTACTGCCCATGATCACTGTCGTGCACATCGGGAAGCCAACCAATCCGAGACCTGGGCGAAGGAAAAAAAGCGAGCCGGTTGTATCAGACCTCGTGCAGGTAGACCTGTTTTTTAAACGGAGGTACAGTGTGTATCTGCATCTGCGTGGGCAAGCGGTGTGTCCAATACTCCGTTTACAAGTAAGATACAAGCATAAAAGCTCGAGACAGCTGGACAGGCAGAGACGCACAGTGCTTATATACCAGGGCACTGTGCTATCTCCGACATCGAGAAACAAATGGACTTAACTCCTCTAAAATGGTATCGCCTGGGATTGTTTCTGGTAAGATGAGCATTGGACGCAGGACCTAGGGTGCAAAGGGAGGACAAGCCAATCATCTGACGCAACTGAGACAGCGTCGTAAAACGAACGTAAGATATCTTACAGCTCGTAAGATAAGATACCTCGTTAGTCCATCGTCCATCGTGCGGCTTTCCGTTTCGCTTAATGTGCAAGCAAATGGATCATGGAGTGTTTTTTAGGCTAGGGAATACGGCGTAATTTGCATTCATGGCATTTTTGTGCTTATTGTTGTCTAGCCCGATCACTCGGACCCATGTCACAACGAGACTTTTTTCCTCAGCTTTCGGTGTGTACGAGTACAGCTAGGGGCAAGAGTCGTTGGACACAGTGCGTTTTTGAGATGCTGGACCCGCCGTCGACATGATCGTCGGAGAATCCTTTCTTTCCAGACATGTGTCTCTGGTCCCTGTCCGTGACCGTCGATTTCAGCTGCCCTCATCTCACGCGACCCGACAGGCGAGTCACACTCGTATGGCATCTCCACATACACGACGGGGCAAAGCTCGTCTAATGTGGCGATTTGGCCGTCATCCGAGCCGGAGAAGAAAGAGCTGAGCAGGCGGTGCAAAAGAAACGTGTCATATTCTTAGCCGGTGCTAAGAGCGACTCTAAATGATCTTCGGTATGCTGCAGCACGGTTTCTGTTCGCTCGCCGGTCAGGACCTCTCCTCTCGAGCTGCAAGATGGGACGCCCATTCAAAAGTATGTTTGGGAGGGGGGGTCTGGCCAGTCAGCCATGTCCGGCCCCATCCTCCGTTATCCCCCCCTCCCCCTTCCCACTATCCCAGCCAGGCCGGCCAGCCCACATCGCATTATCGGGAGATGGGAGATCTTCCCCTACCCCCTCCCGCGGGATCTCGCATGCCTCTCGTCCTGTTTGAGCTTCTACATACGTATATCGTAGTAAGCGCATTCGTACAGAGAAACTGTTAAAACGTAACCGACACGGCTCTTGGACGGTCGGGTTTGGCGGTGGTAAGATTCGTGACAAATGAAGGGGTGTGCCAGATTTATCGACAAGGTGGGCGTGCTTTCTGCTGTTTCTCACAAAGCCCCACTCTGCTGATCCCCTGTGCCTTCAGCATGCCGTCCGATCTGGGCCTGGCAGTACATAATACGGAGCAGCTCATCTCAACCGTCCATCAACCTGATCAGATCGTGCCTGCGCAGGCATTATGTATCTTGATTAGTATGTATCTTACTACTCCGTACACGTACCGTGCTCGTACTTGTATTTGCATAAGATTGTCACGAGCTTGATCGCTAATACAGGCCTACTATGTACTGGCACATCGAAGTACTTCCAACCCGGTTATTTCACAAGGCGGTGCGGGATGTGACGCTGACCTACGCGACGCAATGCCGCAATATCGCGATGCCGCGATGCCGTGCTGCCATGATGCTGTCTGTGCTTGCACGGCGAGTATCGCCAGTTTCGGGGTGGCCGTTGCTGAGCTGTGGATACAGTAATTTTTGGACAGAACACGTGCTGGGACGTAGAGGTGCCGGCTGACCTTTTCGTGTCCGGCGTGTTTTCGGAAGGTCCGGTGATACTTGGTGGAAGACGGGGTGGTAATAATGCAGGCCGCCGCGCGTGCGAGAGGCACAAGCAGGGGGGAGAGGGGCCTACTCAGAGGTACATACCCTGTCTCGTAATATGCGAAAGCCGGTACGATAAGGGACCGGGGTGGAAGAAGAGGGGGAGAGGCAGGCAGCAATGCCTAGCTGCACTTCCATTGGAAAAAGGGGGGCAGAGAGCCGACTTCCGCCACTCCGGCATGTATTGTGAAAGATACGGAGCAAGTACGGAGTATGTATAGTTAGAGTGAGTAGGGCATTACGGAGGAAAGAGCAACAGAAAAGAGCCACACTAGCGCGAACCTTCCCTTGCTTTGGCGTGAGGATCGCGACTGCCTGCAACGCTCAACTACGACGACAAAAGCCGAGGTGTGATGGAGCAAGGGAACGACCAAACTGAGCTCCGGGCAAGAAGCCGACATCAGATGACAAAGGGGACGATGACGGCGACGACGATGACGATTGCAGAGCGCACTCAAACACGCGCAGAACCGGTGCCCCTCTCCCTCTTTGACTTTCTCTGGCTCTCTTCCGTCATCGCCCCTCCACTTTTTGCCGGGTGAGAGCTAGAGAAAAAAGCTAGACAACGCGTCGGCATCCAACCAGAAGCCCCAATGGGCCGATGGTCGAAAAGTCCGTCGCAACATGCAAAAAATAGCAAAGCACGAAAGTGGAGCTGGCGTTCGCAGCTGCCATTCGTGCACTCCGACGACGGCACGTCGTACTCGTATGCGCGAGTTAATTATACTCCGTGCTTGTACAGAGAATCCACGTATAGGGCGTGCCCTCCGCTGGGGGTTAGTGCTTCCCACTTCCCAGCTGGACACGGACGCTGGACTGTAGCTGTTCGCCCGTACACGCAAGCGGGCATCTGCAGGCAACAATTCGCAGACTCTGCTCGTATGTACTCGTAGGCTCGCACTCGCAGGGCCTTGCAGGCTTCTACGTCCACGCCCCCTGGCTGTCCCAGTTGCGCGTGCTCTGTTTCTCTGTTTCTCTGTTCCTCTGGTTCTCTGGTCCTCTGGTCCTCGCTCCTTCCTGCTGTCCTTCTGAGTGGTCTCCACCTGCTCGGTCACTGCTGCACTTTCTTCTTTCTGTCTCTCGTCTCCCTCTGCTCTTTCTCGCTCGCTGGCGTGCGTTGCTGCGTCTCTGCGCTCCTGCTTGCTCTGTCTTGTTCCCTTCTTCCTAGTTTTCGGACTGTCTGTTAGTCTCGCATTTTTTTCGTGTACTTTCGGGGCGTTTGGTATCTTACTAGTATTTCCGCCCACCCCCGTCATCTATTTTCTCTCTTTCACCCCTCGACGAATGCACCACACCACACAAAAAAGTGCTCCTACTTTTTTTCTCCCGCCCTTCCTTCCTCTCTCAAACTCTCTGTTTTCCCACCACCATCACTCCTCCCTGCTTCTTGCTTTTTGTGCTTTATTGCAACGCCCTTCAGTCCCTCTCTTGTCTCTCTTCCCTTTCTTTTTTTCACACCCCTGTGTCAATCAAATCCCCCTCCCCCATTTGCTATTCGCATTTCCTCTCTCGTCGTTGCTCTGCAATTCCAAGGAAGAATTAATTTTTTTTGGGTGTGGTATTGCCGTCATCGTCGCATCGCGCAGCTTTCCCACCACGAGCTTTTCCTAACTCGCTGTATCTCTGCTTCCACTTCGACACCCCTCCATCCATCCACTGTCGCGTCGATTGTTCGCGGCTCCTCCCTCTATTTCGAAGACCGTTTGCGCCTGCGCCGTTTAGTCCTAGTTTCCAGTATTCTTCTCGACGCCATCCCCTCCAATCCTAGCAAAGACAAGGTAAGCATGAAGCAATTGTGCCCACAGCCCGTTCCTGATTTGTTTGCGATTGCGATTACTCGTCCTGTTCCCTGTTTCCAATATATTCTTGCGACTTTGTACACTCTCCGTTGCGACCTGGACCCAATCGACCCCGCGACCAGTGATGAATGGACGACTACTGCCCTCGACTCAGTATGGCCTACCTTGCGGCGCGTTCTTTGCCGTCTGCGCTTGAACATGCGCGCAAAGCTAGCTGGCTTTCCCCGGATATCTTCCGTATTACATCTGTCTCTCTACCGACAAATCGACTCTGCACTCGTCGCAAACAAAGTTTCGCAGCATACAATCCGCTTGGGCGCACCAGCAGACGTCATCGTCAACTATATTTCAAGAGTCGGTGGAGAGCAACGTCTTTACACAATACCGACGCATCCGGGTCCGTCAGCAGCTGTGGATAAGCGCAGCCGTGGAAAATGCCTCCGAAATGATCTGCCAGCGCTACCGTTGCTTCCTTCAAACCTCCAACGAATACGGCGATGGCGCTACTTTATCGAGCTGTCATTTTTCCTCGGCTTAGCTGCCATGCTCGTTTGCCTCGCAAACCTCACGACACCTTAAGGAAATATTCCGCCCTCTTCTGATTAATCAAGGGCCTTCGAGCGCGAGTCGTGGTGGCAAGCAGTTTCGCAGCCAGGCAACAGGCTTCAGCCGGCAATCGCATACATACGGATGCAACGCGAAAAAGGCAGCCTGCTAATAAATGTACATGACTGCCTGGCATCCGCCATCGGAAAGCTAAACAGGCGTCTGGGAAATATGCGCATTTTAGTGCTACAATTGTCGAGGCTGAATCAGTCTTTCTGGTACCTGAAAGTTCAGGAAGTTCAGGGCCGACATAAGGCTGTTTGCTGTGGCGATTTGCTAAGTGGTTTTATCGTGGCATTAGCACGCGCCCGGTCCCCCATGTCTGCCAGTCACTATTGTGACACTTACTTGGGCTTACTGGAATGGCTTTTCCCCAGTCGTAGTGCTTTGGAGTGTGATGACTCGCAACACTGTGCTTGTCTAGTCTTAACTTTTTCCTTCTCTTGGGCTATATATCAATTTTGCCGTGCGTTTTCTGTTGCTAATCTTTTAAGCAGTTGCACATCGGCATTTTGCTTGATCGACCCCTCCGTACTAGCATTTCATTTTGATTTGTCTGTCGGCCTGAGACTCCTTGTTCTCTGCACATATTCCTATCCCACCCGAGCCTTTTGCACTGGTATCTACCCGGCTATTACAATTTCCACCAACCCCATTTCTTACTTCCTACCTCGACGGGATCAATTGTTTCCAAGGCGTGGGGCGTTCTTACGAAAGCTGAATCGGCACTTATCTGAAATTATCAACGGCGTCTGTTCGATTTCCTGCTGAACGGTTCTATACCCTGTTCCAATACTGGTAAGTCCTTTTTTGGCATCACTTTTGATATAGTGTGCGCACCGACGATACCGGCTCTGCAGTGGCAGTCTTGTCAAGAGAATCCACCAGATCCTGTTGCGAACTTAATGCCCAGTGGCAGTTGTACCAATAGCAACGAAACGACGCGTTAGCCTACTGTAGCTGCCTTCGGCTTCTCCTCGGTGAAAGCTGAGGTTAACGCATTTTATGAAGTACCCGTGTACAATCACGCGGAGGCTATTGAAGTTTACTGGCGGTGTACTGACCATTTTCAGCTAGGGATTTTTACCTTTGCCGCCTCCTATTTTCACTGTTTTATCCACCAAATCTCTGGTTATATCCAAACGAATCTTCGGTAAAGCTGAAAATATATTACAGTAAGGCAGTTCCATTCACCTATTCCACTTACTTTTTCTGGTCTGTCTTCGATTGAGGCCAAACTCAAGAGAGACACCATAACATTCTGGCTTTTTTAGTCAGCTCGTCGTTGGCACGTTGTATGCGCTCACGTCATCAATCAATATCTGATCATCTGAACAGACTACCGCAATGGCCAATTTTCCCCCCAACAACGGCGGTATTCCTACCGAGTCCGCTACCACCCCTATTAACGGATCTCTTGACAACTCCTTCCAGCAGGCTGCTTCCCTGCCGCAGGGCAGCGAGTCTTCGAAGACTCTCTGGTAAGCACCATATAAAAGCTGGTCTCCAGCAACAATTGCTGCCGAAATAAGCTGACGTTCGTAAATTATAGGATGGGAGAACTTGAACCCTGGATGGACGAGAATTTCGTCAAGAACGTTTTCAGCACCGTCTCAGGCGAGGCTGTCAACGTGAAGGTTATTCGCGACCGTGCGTCTGGAAATGCCGGCTACTGCTTCGTCGAGTTTAACACTGCCGATGCCGCTACCAAGGCCCTGACGCTGAACGGCTCGCCTGTCCCTAACTCTACTCGTGCTTTCAAGCTGAACTGGGCATCTGGTGGTGGACTCGTTGACCGTCGGTAAGCTATTTTCAGTCATGCTATCCTATGTCTATGGTTTCTTGGGTTTGCATGAAGGCTAACATGCTATGATCTCTTAGTGACGACCGCAGTCCGGAGTTCAGCATCTTCGTCGGAGATCTGGGTCCGGAGGTGAATGAGTTTGTGCTTGTCAGCCTCTTCCAGGCCCGTTTCCCGTCCTGCAAGTCGGCCAAGATCATGACCGATGCTGTCACTGGCCAGTCGCGTGGCTACGGATTTGTCCGTTTCTCCGACGAGACGGACCAGCAGCGTGCTTTGGTCGAAATGCAGGGTGTCTACTGCGGCAACCGTCCCATGCGCATCTCTACGGCTACGCCTAAGACTCGGTATGTGGTCCAGCCTCCCTTCCCCTCATTGACAGTGTAGAAAGGCATACTGACAGTGGTTCTACAGTTCCCACCAGTACGGCCAGGGTCAGCACGGTCAGCACATGCCTGCTCACGGTCCCGCTCAGGGCAACATGGGTTGGGGTGGCATGGGCAACGGTGGCAACGGCGGCTATTACCAGCCTGGCTTCGGCCCCATGGCCCCCCAGCCCATGAACCAGTTCACGGACCCCAACAACACCACTGTCTTTGTCGGCGGCCTCTCGGGCTACGTGACGGAGGATGAGCTCCGCTCTTTCTTCCAGGGCTTTGGCGAAATCACCTACGTCAAGATCCCCCCCGGAAAGGGCTGCGGCTTTGTCCAGTTCGTTCACCGTCATGCCGCTGAGATGGCTATCAACCAGATGCAGGGTTATCCTATCGGGAACTCCCGTGTCCGTTTGTCCTGGGGTCGTTCCCAGAACAACTCGGGCGTGGGCACCCCATACCGGCCTGCTCCGCCTCCGCCGCACTACCCTGTCCACGGCGCCATTCCCGGTGGCGTGAGTCCGTATGGTCCGGGCCCATTCGGCACCGGCCACCAGGGCCCCCCTGGCCCCCCGCCTACTGGCGTTTAAGTAAGCACCCGACGTTGTTTCTTAATCTTGTTGTCAAACCCCATACTTACAACGTTCTCAGAGTGATCTATTCGGAGGAGGCTTTTTCCTTTCGTCGCGCAATGCTTTTCGTCATAGTGTTGGCGTTTGGCGGATGTGAAAGGCGTCAAGGCGGTGAAAAAAAAAAGCATGGCACGACGCTTTTCGTGTGGATCCTTGTTTTGAGTCGTCGGGGTTCTCGTTTTTTGTTTCCTTATTCATGTTTCGCTTTCATTTCCCAGCCACTCCTTTCTTCTCACGACTTTGCCTCGTCTCGGTGGTACTGGAATTACAGGCGGGAAGGTAACGACTCTTTATGAATGGCAGTGTTCTATCCATCTTTTAGCGTTCTTTTCGATTTCTCCTTCTTCTAGTCTTGCCACTGGGAGTCCGTGGAAAAGATCGATAGAGACGTTACGATAGCCGATCTTTTATGCTGCTTTATAGGGGCTGGATATGGGAACTATCATGAGTTTTTTCTTTCTACTGATACCGGTTTTCTCCTCTTTATGTTCTGCATGTCTTCTTGCTTCGTCTGTGTGATTATCGCTTTTCGCACCCTGCTTGTGCTTCGTACTCTCTGTCTACCATGTGCGCCTATTTTATTTTTGCCTTCAGCGCGCTTCGACGCTTTATACGCGGACTGCCAGCGTTTTGTGGTCGATCAGGTCTGGATTTCTCAGCATGGCCGGAGCAGCAACATCCGATTTTCGTTGCGATATCGACCGTTCTTCATAAAACGTGACGAACTGATCTGGGCCCTTGACCTAGTTGGGGGCATCGTTTTATTCACTTCTTACTGTATCTTCAAAATGGCAACCATTCTGACTTCTGTCCCTGGTAGCGTTAGTCGAGGTTTGACATTAGATTATACGGGTCTACTTGGCTTAGTTTCACATCTCATTGTATTTCCGGCGTGCATAAGGGGCGCAACTCAGGATTGCATTCAAGTTGTTTCATTTGGGATATCTGTCTAGAAAGCCACCGCCTCAAAATGATCAGCGATGGCAAATGAAAGGAGTCTAAAAACGGGATTTGAGAGACTACGGTGTGATGTCTTCTTTTTTGAGAGTCTAGATCGGCTTCAGCGTCACATAAAGAGTACATCAAACACGATGCCCAGGAAGGAAGACATAATGATGTATAGGCACAAGTAACCAGTCTTATCGTCTATAAGGATTAGAGGGAGAGGGGAGGACTGACCGCCTGGATTGCATGGTGTGCGGTTTCGTCTCCCATCCCTCTCCCGACTGGTGGCCTCGATAATTGCCAGCTTCCTCTTGATCTCCTCTTTCATTCTCTTAGCCCAGGTTGTACTCGTCAGCTCCTTGCACCTTGCACAACAGCTCCCTGTCGATGGTTGCCGCACTTTGTTCTTAAGGGCATTCCTCCCCTCGGCAGGATGCCAAGCATGGTCCATGCGGGCCATGATCGCTTACCGACATGGCCTCAGTCGGAGGTACCCCCACCTGTCGATGTTTGTGCGTCTCATGCGTGACCAATAGTCAGGATGCCAGAGGAACCCAGTTTGGTAATCTTGGCTGATAGAAAAAGAGGCAAAAGAATAGGGGACAAATTAATAGAAAACACTTCCTGTATAGTTGAAAGATATGAGTAGCATAGTTATATTTCTGCGCTCCTCTATGCTTTGTATTCTCTTTATCACCTCTAATCTTGCCATTCCATTTTTACCAGACAGTTGAATCAAGATACACATCTCTTGAGGATACACACGATGTCCTTCTTTCAAAATTATTATGCCACCGATCAAGTCGGACCAAAGACCTCACCCCTTCGTGTATCGTTTCCACTACGTTCAAAGCCTCGAAGCCTCGATGCCTAAATAAAAGGAAAGTCACACCGCCTGCGCAAGTCTCTCCTTCTTTGTGGTCTACCAACCAGCCCCTGGCCATATGGCGTTTGTTGTGGGATCTGCGCAGCTCCTTAACGGAATAGACGGACACAGATTCATGCAGATCTGGCCCCAGAACCTGGGCCCAGGCTCTGGACTGTCAAACTTTTGATTACCAAGATGAATAGCACTGATTGCTGGTGCTTTATGCATCCTCAATGACCAATCTCGAGGACCCTGCAGTGCTACTGGAACCAAAGGCATTCTTGCTTTACTGTAGTACAGTCTCCCAACAATCGCTGTAATATTATGCGTACGGCTCAATCACAATTGGCAGTAGTAACCACCGAGACAGGTTGTGCAAACATCTGCTCTATGTTCAGTCCCGATTGCTCTTTACTCTGAGTATAGGACACAAAAAGAGGCATTTAACAGTCTATAATCAAATGTCAGTGGGCTAGATGTATAGGCAAAGGAGCAGCTATACTCCAGATACCACGATCACGTGACTCTACACATGACCTAGAATGTGGGTCGCCTCGTCACCGCTGGCGCCTTGCAACACGGCGTATCCTCATTCTGGCATCTTCCGGCCAGGCAATACAAAGTCGACGACGCCGACGCCACTCGCCAGAAGCCATCCGGTCAACATAACGGCCACTGCTCCCGTGCCTGGCTCTGACGCTATAGGATACTTGTTTGTTCTTGTTTGTCTACGTGAATACCTCATGAATTGAATGGTTATCGACTAGAATCACGCGACATGGCCACGCCGTCCACTGAGGAGAGAGAGCTCGCGCTCGTCGACAAGGTCGACTTCCGGATCCTCAACGTTGCCAACAATGAGAAGAAGCTTCAGGATCTGCTGTCAAAGTTTCTCGTCCCGCTTCTTCTCAAAGGTGCCAGTGAGCATGCGTCTGTTAGGGCCAAAGTAGCCACAGTGGCCCAGCGCTTGAAGTTGTTCATCGCACCGCCAGGGTATGGCTGAATTGAGCTCTGCCTTTTGTTTCTTTGTCCATGTGCCAGTCTAACAGCACTGTAACAGCATCGTTCTGCCGGTTGCTGCCCTCGTGCAGCAGTTCAAGATCACGGACTCTGCAGTTGTGAGACATCTCGATATTGTGTTCATCCAGCACAGCATTGGCCGACTGTCCGACAAAGAGCGTCGTGAGGTCATACCGATTATCCTTAAGGGCATAGCCAACGTAAACTCCAGCACGCCGGCACTGTTTGGGATTCTACTGCAGGCGCTTCCCTCGTTGAAGATCCCCCCTCGGGGTTCGACCGAGGATGCGGCCTTTCAGGAGGCCATGGGCCTTACAGACCCAGCAGACGCGGCCTATGTCGCGGACCGGTTCGGCGACCTCTTCCTCCTATCTCGTTCCCACGGTGCCCTCTCGAACGGGCGAGACAGCGGCTACGTGGACTTTTTCTCCTTTGAGCAGCCCGACTCGTGGTTGTGCACTGGTCCCAATTTGGCGGAGACGCGAATCCGGGCGGTTGGCTTTCTCGTTAGCGGTGCCTTTACCGACGAGCAGAGATATATGGCATCTCTGTATGCCTCCGGCCACAAGGACAGCCGTGTCTCGACTATAGGCGAAGAGCTTCTGAAGCGGAGCACTGTCTCTCTGGAGAACAAGGATATTGTGGCCAAGCTCTTCAAGGCCCATTCTCTAGCCCCCATGTCCTATCGCATCCGAATCTTGAATCTACTCTGCAAATCGGCCATCGCGGCCTCTTCTCCAGCTGAAATTTTGGTGCTGGTCAAGCGGGACTTGAGGGCGACGAGCGCCGATGCTGATTCGTATGACAGAGAGATTAGGACTTCCGAGGGAGGATTGATCCTCATGAGGCTATACACGCTCATCGTCTCCGGGGGCCTGGAACTCTCGAAGCTCCACCGGGCATTGTTTGAGTTTATCAACTGGGTTGCGCGCATGAACTCGGGCAAGGAGTTTGTTATTGGCCGGCACCTCATCGCATGTTTGCAGAGCTACATCACTAGTCAGGGTTGGCCCAGTCCGGAGCAGGAGCTGAAGTCGATGGAGAAACTGCGGGCTCAGGCGTATGAGACCATTGGCATGTTGACAAAGGGCGCGCTACTGAATTTTGACGAGCAGCTCGCCCTCGCCGCATGGCTCTTCCGCTCACTGAGCGAGGACTCTGTGAACTCTGTTGTTGTCAATATTGACGGTGCGCTTTCGAGCATGACGTCCATATTTTGGCCCAAAGGCAAGGGGCCTGACCGTGAAGATGACGATATCAAGCTCCGAAAGCTCCTACTCAAGTACATCTACCAGTCTGATCACGAACCCTTCGTGCGACGAAGCGCGAGGCACGCGGCAGCAAAGTGGGCAAACAACTGCTTGCCTTTCTCCGACCCTTTTGCCAGGTGGATCGACATTCTTGCTGCTGCGGGATGTCCGGGAGAACGCAGTGATGTGGTCGAAGAGGGCCTGAAAGGACTGGATCCATGGACCTATTACAGCAACGATGCAGGTTCTCTGGTGTTGCCGAAGTGGGAAGAACTGGTGCATACGTTCTTCATAGTGTCTCCGGAATCTCTCAACGAGCACGAGGTGATCTACATGAGCAGCATGGAGGTCGGCGGATCGCCGTTCGAGAAGTTCTCTCTTGAGAAAATGGGTGCCTTCCCGCTGGCGGTCGACTACTGCAAGCGAATACTATTTCTAACGGCCCTGCCGGATTTCAAAGTAGGGCCCGGCTGGGAACAGCAAATCGGTACGCTCGTCCGCACGGACAAAAAGAGCCGGGACACGATTCGGAAATACTTGAAAAGCGCCCCAGAGCAGAGACTGTTCGAACTCCTGTACGTGGCCCTCGAAGGCATGATACAGGAGAAGCCGGCCATTGCAGAGAAGTGTGGAGAGTGCTTCGTCGAGCTGGCCTCGCTGTCTCCTCGCGACTGCGTTTCCAGCTTGGCCGGACGGGCTATTGAGCTGATGGCGCTGGTCAAATCGAACAAGAAAGAAATCCGCAGTCTAGGCGCGACAGCGATCGGCATTCTCGGAGCCCATCCAGCAAACGACGACGATAGCTTAGAGAAGCTGAAGGCGACTCTTGTGGACACTGCTCGGCAGTGGAGAACTGCGGTCGGATCGGAGCTGAATGCCACGGAGGGTGCATTTTTGGCTCTGGGCCATCTTCTGTCACGGCTAGTGCTCTACGATAGCGACCGGGCAAAGCGCTTTGTGCTTGACGCCTCTTCACTCTTCCCCAGGCCAGCGGAGATATCGAGTGGCTCAGAGTCTTTCAAGGACAGTCTTTTCGACGCCCTCAGCCAGATGTGGACGGCAGGTATATACGGGAACAGTGCAGCGGACACGGCAGCATTTGTTGATGTTATGAGCACGCAGGCAAAGAAGGCGAACGAGCGTTGCATCACGGCACTAGGACGGCTGGCGATTGCTGTTGGAAGCGATGTGGCGTCTGAGGAGAAGGATACAGAGACAGAGACAGAGGATGACACGACGCAGTTGATTCTTGGCAAGCTCTATGATCTGTACGAGGTCAAGCAGGTGGAGGTGCACTTTGCGATTGGCGGTGCCATCACAGCGGCGGTGGCCTGTTGGGACTCTGAAGTGGTAGAGCTGTCACTGGACGTGGAGGAGGGCGAGGATGTGTCGTTCAAGAGGCACAAGCGGCCAGTCAGACTCGCGGCGGCGCTGGACAAAATTCTGAAAGACAGCAAGACGACAAAGCCGTCTCTGCTAAAAGCGTCGGGGATCTGGCTGTTCAGCCTGATTCAGAACTGCTCGCACCTGGCGGAGGTGCAGTTGCGGCTGCGAGATTGCCAGACAGCCTTTATGAGGCTGCTCAGTGCGCGGGATGAGCTGGTGCAAGAGACAGCATCTCGCGGGCTCGCGCTAGTGTACGAGAAGGGAGACGAGTCGCTCAAGGGCGACCTTGTGCGAGATCTGGTGGCGTCGTTTACGGGATCGAGCACGCAGCTCAAGGTGGACGACGACACGGAGCTGTTTGAGGCCGGAGCTCTGCCGACGGGCGAGGGCAAGTCGGTCACCTCGTACCGTGATATTGTCAACCTGGCCAACGAGGTGGGCGACCAGACGCTCATATATAAGTTTATGTCGCTGGCGTCCAACGCGGCCACATGGTCGACGCGGTCAGCGTTTGGACGGTTCGGGCTCAGCAACATCCTATCCGAGTCGGAAGTAGACCCGAAGTTGTATCCGAAGCTGTTCCGGTACCGATTCGACCCGAACCCAAATGTGCAGCGGTCGATGAACGACATCTGGAAGGCACTGGTGAAGGACTCGAGCGCGGTGATCGAGGCGCACTTTGGGGCGATCATGGAGGACCTGCTGAAGAGCATTCTGGGCAAAGAGTGGCGGGTGCGAGAGGCGAGCTGCGCGGCGGTGGCAGACCTGGTGCAAGGGCGGCCATTTGTGCAGTACGAGAAGTACTACGAGGAGATCTGGGCGAAGGCACTCAAGGTGCTGGACGATGTCAAGGGATCGGTGCGTGAGGCGGCGCTGCGGCTGTGCATCACTCTGTCGAACACGCTGGTGCGTCAGCTGGAAGAGGGGAAGCAGGGCGGCAATGCACAGGCAATGATGAACGAGGCGCTGCCATTCCTGATGTCGGAGAAGGGGATCGAGAGCGGGGTGGAGGACGTGAAGATCTTTGCGACAGTGACGGTGCTGAAGATTGCGAAACACGGCGGAAAAGCACTGCGGCCGTACATTGCGGCGATGGTGCCGCACTTGCTGGGACTTCTGAGCACGATCGAGCCGCAGGCATTCAACTACTATTACATGCGGTCGGGCGAGGACGGCAAGGAGAAGCTAGACAAGATGCGCAGCGCGATGGTGTCACAGTCGCCCATCTCGGAGGCAATCGACAACTGTCTGCGCAACGTGGATGGCAGCGTGATGGAAGAGCTGGCACCGGGCCTGGAGACAGCGATGAAGACGGCGGTGGGGATGCCGACGAAGATCGGGTGCAGCCGGGTGCTGTCGACGCTGGCGACACGACACACAACCGAGTTTGGGCCGTTTGCCGGCCGACTGCTGCGACAGCTGGAAAAGCAGGCGCTGGACCGGAACGACGAGGTCAGCCAGAGCTACGCCAAGGCGGCGGCGTACGTGATGCGTTGCGCGCCCGACGAGGCGCGAGTGCACTTTGTGGAGCGGTTTATCGAGCTGTACTTTGGATCGGAGGACGAACATCGACGGCAGAAGGTGGCGGACGCAGTTTTGGCGCTGTCAAAGATGTCGCCGGACCACTTCAACGCGCTGGAGGGGCGGCTGCTGCCGTTTGCATACGTGAGCAGCCATGACCCAGACGACTACGTGCGCAAGGCGAGCGAGGAGGTGTGGAGCAAGCACGCGGGCAGCAGCCTGAGCGTGGCGCGATACGTGCCGGAGATCGCAGAGCTGGTGCGGCGCAGCCTGGAGACGGCGCAGTGGGCACTGAAGCACGCGGGTGCGCTGACGGCAGCAGACGCGGTGAAGGCGGTGCTGGGGGCGAGCAGCCTGAGCGGACAGGTCAACGAGGGACATCTGCGACAGCTGTGGCCGCTGTACGAACGCGGGCTGGCGCTTAAGACGTTTGCCGGCAAGGAGGCTCTGCTGGCAGCTCTGCCCGACTTTGTGGCCAAGAGCCGGGCGCTTTGGATGGCGGACAGCAAGATGGCGGCGGCCCTGCGCAAGATCGTGCTGGTGGAGGCGAAGCGCAACAATGCCGAGTACCGGGTGGACGCGTTCCAGTGTCTGTGGAAAGTGGCGGCAGAGCGGAAGGACATCGACCTGTGGCCGGAAGCGGTGGCAATTGTGCGGCCACATCTGGAGGCGCTGCTGGAGGAGGACACCGGCAAGAAGGATCGCATGGATCTGGACAGCGGCAAGGATGGGGACAGCAAGAAGAAGGAGGCCGCGAAGCAGGAGCAACTGGTGCGGCAGACGGCCGAGAGAGCGCTCGATGTGGTCGCCCGCAGCTACAACCGTCCAGGACTCGAGGCAGACGCGCCGGCCATCCTGACAGCCATCTGGACGGAGCTGGAGCCGTTCCTGAACAGCGACGCGTCGGTGATCGTGCGACGGACGACGTGGTACAAGGCAGCCGAAGATTTGTTTGAGGGAGCGGTGAAAGCGACAGAGAAGGCGATAGAAGCAGGGAAGCCAGCCAACAACACATCCGCTATGAATCTCATCCTTGCCTACCTTGGATCGCTCGACCTGCGCACGGCTGACGCTGGCACGGAGGCGCAGCGGTCGGCGCGGGCAAAAGCCGTCAAGGCGCTCGTGCAGGCGGCCAAAAAGGGCGTATTTGGGCCGTCTGGAACAGATGAGGCGCTGGTCAATGCGCTGGCCGAGATCAAGACGGTCCTGACAGCAGCACTGGCGTCGGAACGGGCGCTAGATGTGCAGAAGCTGCTGAAGGAAGCGTTGACAGTTTAGGTGGATAAGAGGTGACAGGAAACAGAAGAAGTGGCTTGCAACTAGAGGTGAAGTGGGAGTGAGAGGAGAAACGAAGTAAGAGGAATCTGAAAGTGTGACAGGCGAATGTGTAAGTGCAGCTGTTCCAACACTGGTGTTTAAAACTGGTGTTTTGAAGATGAGACTACGGAGTAGGGCAGTGCTTATTGAGTACAGAGCACTCCGTACCAAAGGCCTGGTACGTAGTATTTGCCGTGCAATCAGATTGCCTTGAGTACTCAATTCGATTAGTCAGCGTGACGTAGGCTGGCAAATTGTCTGTTTGTGGTGAATCCGTGCGCGAGCTGTGGAGAGCGGGGCAGCTGCCCATTTTGCCTGCACTGTACCGCCCTCGTCACCGTCGTGCCTGCCTTGACGATCTGTACGTGGCTGCGAGCTACACTAGCATAATTTCTCTGTTCCTTTATTTCAGTCGGAAAACGAGCTGTATCCAACATCGCGACACTCGCTACACAGCCCACCACCGCGCGTTGCCACGACTCGACGAATTGCCGACAAGGAGGGGCAAACGCCTCGGTGAGCACGATAGCAGCAACGATGGACGACGAGCTGGCGGCCAACTTTATGGCCGTGACAGGGGCCGACGAGAACATTGCTCGCCAGCTGCTGGACATGGCCAACGGCGATCTACCCCAGGCCGTGCTGCTCTACTACGAGACGGACGTGGCCGAGACGCTACGGCGCCAAGCAGCCGAGTCGGCCTCGGCCTCGGCAATTACGACGACAACGGGCAGAAGCGCACGCCCAAGCCGGCGAGGCGGCCACGAAGACGAGAATGGCGTAATCCACATTGACAGCGACGACGAAGCAGACGGCGGCTACGACTACGAGGAGATGGACACGAACGACGACGATGGCGACGAGAACGAGAGCGAGAGCGACCGGCACGGCGCCCATATGGCACGGGCGGTGGCGCGGACAGCCCAGGAAGAAGAGGACGAGGCGATGGCGAAACGGCTGCAGGAAGAGATGTACGCGGAGACGGCGACGACGTCAGACGGGATCCGGGCGCCGATTGCGCGGACGACGGAAGTGCTGGTGGAGCCGTCGTACGGCGGGATCGGTGGCGGTGTCGGTGATGGCTTTGGCGGCGGAGCCGATGCGATTTACGAGCAGCTTCGACGACGACAGCAGCGACAGCCAGCACCGGCCAATCCGTTCAGCCAGGTCTGGGACGACGACGGGACAGGGGGGCTAGCAGCGGGCGGCAGTGGGGACGAGACGGCACAGCAGCAGCAGCAGCAGCAGCAGCCAAGCTCACGACAGGCGCGACTGGCCGACCTCTTCCGGCCGCCATACGATCTGATGGAGCGGTGCTCGTGGGAGGAGGCACGGGCGATGGGCAAGGCCGAGAAGCGGTGGATCCTGGCGAACCTGCAGGACATGTCGGACTTTCTCTGCCAGGCACTGAACCGCGACATCTGGAAAGACCGGGCGATCCGCGAGCTTGTGCGCGAGAATTTTGTCTTTCTGCAGTTTAGCCGGGAAGACCCAGAGGCGCAGTCGTACGTGCAGTACTATCTGCCGGGTGGCCAGGACGAAAACCCGGACAACTACCCGCACGTAGCGATCGTGGACCCACGCACGGGCGAGCAGGTCAAGGTCTGGTCCGAGCGGCCGTTTCCAAGTGCAGCCTCGTTCCACGCCCAGCTGGCCGAGTTTCTCGACCGTTACAGCCTTGACTCGACGCGCAAGAACCCGGTGCAGACGGGCAAGGCGCGGCAGCCGGCGCGGGACGTTGAACGCATGACTGAGGAGGAGATGCTGGAGATGGCGCTGCAGAACAGCCTGGAGACGAGCGGAAGTGGGAGTGCAGGTGGAGGTGGGGGTGGAGTTGGAGTTGGCAGTGGGACGGAATCACGGCCGAGCCTACAAGACCCAGACGAGCTGACCAAGGGAGAGACGGAGACAGAAGAGACGGAAGAGACGGAAGAGGTTTCGGAATCCTCGGCTGCTTTTGCACGAATCGCGTCCGACCGTCCACACGAGGAGCCGGCCAACGGTCCGTCGACGACACGGATCCAGTTCCGCCACCCAACCGGACGGGTGATCCGGCGATTCGCCGCCGACGATCGCGTGCTACGCATCTACGAATGGCTCAAGGCCGAGCCGCTCGAGGGCAAAGACGGGCTCGAGTTTGAGCTCAAGGTGGTGCCGCAAGGCCACGACTTGCTGGAGGACCTGGACAAGACAATTGAGGAGGCCGGCCTGAAGCAGGCGACGGTGATGATTGAGTTTATCGAGTAGGGTGGGTGATGGACGAGGGGTGATGGCAGATTGCGGGTGGACGTGGCGAATGGGATGGTAAACCGTTTTGTTTTCCTTTCTCCTTTTCCTCTTTTTCTCTTTTTCTCTTTTTCTCTTTTCTTCCTTCTTCTCTTGTTCTCCCTTTCCTCTTTTTCTAATTTCCTCTTTTCCTCCTCCTCCCTACTATCTGCGTCCTTGCCTCCAAGAACTGGTTGGGAATAAATGCAGTATTTTAGACAGCAGTGGGGCTGCTGACCGAGAAAGTGGTGCCAGCGTGTCGAGACCAGACAGAACGGTTCCTGTGCCTGAGATTAGAGTGCCTGGCGGCTTGGCGAACCGCGTCGGGACCGTCGAGGCGTTCTTTGTGCTAGCAGCAGCAGCAGAAGCGCTGACGCAAGACGAAACTGTCGGTGAGCGAGCGAGCAGACACGGAGCCGAGGCCGATCTGCCAATGGAACGAATGCAGCTAAAGGAAGATGAAGCTAGAACGAAGAGGAAAGGAGACGACAATGTAATCATAGAAAGAAGAGACGTGCATACGAGTAGACCCTGTCTGCGCGCGCTCTCTGTCTCTTTACTCTCTACCCCACCGTTTCGTTCCATTCCCCTCCCCCACCTTCAGTGCCTTTTTTTTTCCCATTCACGTTCCGGGGAGCTGCCTTCTCGTCGTTTCGTTTCCGTCCCACTCCCTTCGCTTTTCCCAATCAGCTTCCCGCTGCACGACTTCGTATTGCAACCTCTCTCCTTCTTCCTCGCCCACACGGCAAGAGCGACTCTCTCTGCCTCCCCGCCGCCCACAATCCGTGTAACCGAGGCGGCCTCCTTCCTCTTCTGGTCCTCTCCTTCCAGCACCCTGTCTCTTTTTCTCTTCACTCTTCACTCTTCACGCTTCACCTTTCTCTTTCGATATACCTCCCGTTTCCCTAATCCTTACGCCTCTATTCTTTTATCCGCTTTTTTGTTTGCTTTTTATCCTTACCTTTTTGGCACTTCAGCCGCTCAGCCACGTCGACGGCCGCAGATCCCTCCCTCACTAGCAACGACAAGCCTGTCGACCCTCCCTTGCTCCTCGGCTCCTCTTTTGGGCCTCTGCGAACTGCACCCCCTCTCCCCATACTTCTTTTTCCCAAACACCCCCGTCGATCACGAACACGACCACGATCGCGAACCCCTCGACGCGACGACCGCGGCCAGACGCGGCCCCGGACCTGATCTGGCCTTGAGTTCAGCCCAGCCCGATCTGCACAGCCCAGCCCGATTTTGCTATCTCCTTCTCTCGAATATAACTGCGACCTGCCCAGTCTTGTGGAAGGACGAAAGCCCGCAAGACCGCCCGGGAGCTGGACCTGGACCACGGCAGCGCACGAAGCATAGAGCACAGAGGCACCATGGCCAGCAGGGATGAGGACTACGACCGAAGCTCGGGCTCGGCAGACCCGGAACAGCTGTACACCAAGGAATACTGCATCGGTCCGTCTTGTCTGTGGGTGTGAGAGCGAGAGCGAGCGGCTGTGCTGACAAGACCAGGTGGCGGTAGCTTTGGCAAGGTGTTCAAGGGCGTCGACAAGCGGACCGGCCAGGCGGTTGCCATCAAGGTTATCGACATTGAGAGCGCCGAAGACGAGGTCGAGGATATCATCCAAGAGATCGCCATCCTGTCCGAGCTGCGGTCGCCCTACGTGACCAAGTACTACGGCTCCTACGCCAAGGGCGCCGAGCTGTGGATCGTCATGGAGTTCTGCGCCGGCGGCAGCTGTGCCGACCTGATGAAGCCCGGCCTAATCGGCGAGGACTACATTGCCATTATCGTGCGCGAGCTCCTGCTCGGCCTCGACTACTTGCACGCCGACAAGAAGCTGCACCGCGACATCAAGGCCGCCAACGTGCTGCTGAGCTCCAACGGCCAGGTCAAGCTAGCCGACTTTGGCGTCTCCGGTCAGCTGTCCGCCACCATGACCAAGAAAAACACCTTTGTCGGCACGCCCTTCTGGATGGCCCCCGAAGTCATCAAGCAGTCGGGCTACGACCACAAGGCCGACATCTGGTCGCTTGGCATCACCGCCCTCGAGCTGGCCAACGGCGAGCCGCCCTACGCCGATATCCACCCCATGAAGGTGCTCTTCCTCATTCCCAAGAACCCGCCGCCGCGACTCGACGGCAACTTCACCAAGTCCTTCAAAGACTTTATCGAGGTCTGTCTGCGCCGCGACCCCAAGGAGCGCCCGACCGCCCGGGACCTGCTCCGACATCCCTTTATCCGCCGCGCCAAGAAGACGAGCTACTTGACCGAGCTGATTGAGCGCCACAGCCGCTGGTATGCCACTCACAAGAACAGCAACGGCGGCGACGAGGATGCCGAAGACGACGACTATCAGCAGCATCAACATCAGCACCAGCAGCACCAGCACCAAAACGCCTCGACAGAGCCGGTAAACGAGGACATGTGGGACTTTGGCACCGTCCGTCTGGTCGGCGACCGAGGCGTCCTGACCGGACCACCGCCAGGTCTCGGCCACGGCAGCGGTGGTAGTGGCGGCGGCAGCGGCAAATACCGGCCAGGACTGAACGCCATGGACGAGGCGGCGACAAATGCCCGGTCTTCGCGCACCGGTGAGAGCTCTGGCGACTACGGAGAGGCACGGCGGGAGCCAAGCCGCAGTCCAACAAAGACCGTTTTTGACCACACGCTCAAGGCTGCGGCCGCTCCGGCATCCTCGTCCGGCACTGCTCGCCAGGTTAGTCCCCAGAGGCGACCGGTGCCGACAGTGCTTGCCTCTACTCCACAGCCGCTGCCGCTGCCGCTGCCGCTACCACCGACGCCATCGACGCCCCCAGGACTGTCGGGAAAGCTGTCCGCGCTGCAGACGGAGCGAATCCTCGAGCCGAGCCCACCTTTGCCCATACACAGCTCGGCCAGCGGCGGTGGCCACCATCGATCGATGACGGAGAACACGTCTCCGGCCCGATCCTCGCCTGACTACGACCGCGTGCTCTCGGAGGAGCTGCGTCGTGACATGGGCAGCATGATCCTGGCCGCGTCAATGTCACCGGCACGGCAGCAGCAGCAGCAGCAGCAACGACAACTGCAGCAGCCCAATCAGCTCGAGCAACTACCTGCCATGTCCAGTGGCCGCCAACATAGCGGTGAACACAAATCAAAGCCAATGCCTAAAATCGGGCCCATGAAGCTACCAGAAATCCCTCCCTTTCGCGGTGCCTCACAGCAGCTGCAGCAGCAGCAGCAGAAGCCGCATCCGCCGCCGCATTCTCAGCAGTACCATTCGCCTCAACAGGCGCAGCAACAACAACAACAGCAACAGCCACAGCAACGCACCGCTGCTGGACCCAATCGAAATCTGGAGCCCCTGCTCACGTCAAAAGAGAGCACGGCTCGTGCTGTGGCACCACCATTTTCTCCTCTGCCCGAATCGTCCTCGGGAACACCGCTTTCCTTCCCGACACCTTCACCGGCGAATCCAAACGGCGATTTGGACGCTCTCAACGACGTCATCTTCCCCGCACTGGAGGAGGCCCTTAAGCGGCGGCAGATCCATGTGCAGCAGCAGATCCGAGCAGGCGCAGCCGCGCAGGTAGCGGCACCCGCGGCCCAACAGCCGGCTATGGCAGTCAAGCAGCAGAGAACAGAGGCGGCGCACGAGAAGATCCGGCGGTTGGTGTATAAATTGGCACATGTGTGCAAAGAGATCGACCACTACGACAAGGCCGAGCCGGTTGGCATGGGCAAGGACGTCGGCACCTTTTTGGAGGGACTGCTGGAAGAGATCCTCGTCAGGGTAGAGCCTCTGGACGAAGAAGAGGCCATGTAGCGGGAGCCTGCTTATTTACGAGGAGAGGGAGGGAGATTCACAAACGCCATATTTTATGTTTTTTTTTTTGACTTTTTGCTATTGGGAGGACAGTTGGTTTGTGTCCCGTTTGGAACTGCCTGAAAACGATGGGAATACGGGCATGAGGAATTGGTTACGTGCAATGTTTTGTGTCTATGTTGAACTCTCTCTGGGAGAGGACTAGTTGCGGTTTGTGCTGCGATGTACTTCTATGACAGAGCTATTGCGAATGTATGGAGAACAGGAAGACAGATATAAATGATAGGAATGAGATATAAGGCAAGCGAGGAAGAGACATGGTGACAAGTGAAATGTGTGTCTGGGATTGGGAATCTGGAGCAAAAGGAACGAAAGGCTGAGCTGACACTGGCACTGTGCTCGGCTGAGGGGTTCGGTGATGGTCGCGGAAAACGGCGGAGATTGGTCGGGGCTGGCATTGTCGGCCGACGCTAGTCCCAGCTTGTGCTGGCAGCTGGCTGAAACATGGGCTGGCAGCGGCTGAAGGCAGCTGTTAACAGCTGACAGAGCTTATCGCCATTATCAAACCAGCTAGCAGCTCCACCGCCCACCATCCGAAGCAGCAAATTGCGGCATTTCGCGGGACCAACCGCAAAAAACAAAGCCTGTCCTTCATTTCTCCCTCTTTTCCTCTCCCAATCCTCACCCTCTCCTCTCTTCCCTATCACCGGCAGACGCCCACCGCACGCTCGCAGCAGACCACGATTCGATTTTCGCCCCAGGCCACCCAATTGAGCAAAGATGATGTCCCGGAGCTCCTCCCGAACGGCCCAGGTGCGTTTTCACATGTGAAGAGAGGATCCCGTCGATCCGAAGGGGATGTGTTGGAGGTATGAAGTAGCTAGCTGACACGCGGACAGGGCCTGATGCGGACGGCGACGGTAGCGTCGCGCACGCAGACGGTGTCCATGGCAGCCCGCAGCTTCGCGACGGTGCAGTCGGACATCTTCAAGCCGACAAAGTACGGGGGCAAGTACACGGTGACGCTGATTCCGGGCGACGGCATCGGCGCGGAGGTGGCGGAGAGCGTGAAGACGATCTTCAAGGCGGACAACGTGCCGATCGAATGGGAGCAGATCGACGCGTCGGGCGTGGACGACTCGGCGCCGGCTGGCCGGACCGAGGAGCTGTTCAAGGAGTCGGTCACGTCGCTGCGGCGGAACAAGCTCGGCCTCAAGGGCATCCTGCACACGCCCATCTCGCGGTCAGGCCACCAGAGCTTCAACGTGGCCATGCGCCAGGAGCTGGACATTTACGCGTCCATCTCGCTGATCAAGAACATCCCCGGCTACGCGACCCGGCACGAGAACGTGGACCTCTGCATCATCCGCGAGAACACGGAGGGCGAGTACTCGGGCCTCGAGCACCAGAGCGTCCCCGGTGTCGTCGAGTCGCTCAAGATCATCACGCGCGCCAAGTCGGAGCGCATCGCCAAGTTTGCCTTTAGCTTCGCGCTGGCCAACAACCGCAAAAAGGTGACGTGCATCCACAAGGCCAACATCATGAAGCTCGCCGACGGCCTCTTCCGCAGCACCTTCCACGCGACCGCCAAGGAGTTTCCCACGCTCGAGGCCAACGACATGATCGTCGACAACGCCAGCATGCAGTGCGTCAGCCGCCCGCAGCAGTTCGACGTCCTCGTCATGCCCAACCTGTACGGCGGCATCCTGTCCAACATTGGCGCCGCCCTCGTCGGTGGCCCCGGCATCGTGCCTGGCTGCAACATGGGCCGCGACGTCGCCGTCTTCGAGCCCGGCTGCCGCCACGTCGGCCTCGACATCAAGGGCAAGGACCAGGCCAATCCCACGGCCCTGATCCTGTCCGGCGCCATGCTGCTGCGCCACCTCGGCCTCGACGACCACGCCGACCGCATCTCCAAGGGCATCTACGCCGTCATTGCTGAGGGGTACGTTTCTTTTCCTGCTGCTCTCTCTGTCTCTTGCTGTCTTTCCATCCTGCTAACCCCCAACAGCAAGGTCCGCACCCGCGATATGGGCGGCATCAACACCACCCACGAGTTCACAAAGGCCATCCTTAACAAGATGGAGGCCCAGTAGGCTGTCGGGTAATACTGCATCGTGCCGTGTGTTCCTTTTTATAGGGGGGAGGGGCGTCCAGACAGACCGCCATCTGGTTGATTTTTCAGCGTACAGATAGACATGATTGACTACCTTTTTTGCATTGTCAGCTTGGAAGTGACATATGGTGTGATGTTGACCATGCGCTATTTAGCTAGAGTGACTGAAAGCTTGGCGGACTCGTGATAAGCCAGAACAAAAATCAGAACGTCTCTTATGAGAGCACGACAGTCCGGACAATGCGTAAGTCCACGGATATATCGGCCAGGATTATACAATTAGCGTCGGGGAACAGCGGATCTGTGCAGGGATATGGGGTGAAGAGGGAAGAACTTCTTGCAAAGAACTTGGTAGCACAGAACATCGCATCGGTTGCTTAATACGATACGCTGTTATCGAGCTAACACATGAGATCAACTTACTAGGAGTCCCTTACGGCAGTACAAGGCTGTGCCTGCTTTTCTCTTTCTCTTCTGAGAGAAAGAGAAAAGCCAACAAGCACGCCTCGAGAAGACGCAGAAAGGACTTAAAATAGTGCGGACTAATTGGACAGGAAAGCGCAAGCAGCACTTTGCAAAGGCAAATGCTGTGAAATGAACGGTTCGCCAGCATCTCCACTTTCGGATTGGTTCACGTGTGCTAACTTACAGCCGTGTAGTGCATCTATTATGCGGACACCAGCTACGATAATGTGTGCATCCCCTAGAAGATTGTGCATACCGCTAGTTCTACAAACTGTAGTTATATCTACTCGCACAAACTGTTGTCGTGTAATTATCTAATTCTCTCCCTGCATGCACCCAGCTCACAGTTGATTGGAGTTGCATTACGGAATATGTGATGCAAGTATAATTGCGCCTGGTTCATAAACATAATGTCAACTAGATCGCCATTTCCGTCGGAGGACTGATAGCTCATATCAATGTAGCATCTTGGCAACTCTGGTCCTACTCTTTGTGCACGCTGGAATGCAGCTGCCCACTCGTCACACACAGCGGGCTGCCCTTTCGGGCAACGCTTGCCGTCCGAACAGACATGTGCAAGTCAGGCTGTATCAGGCCACTAACGTTTTGCCCCAGAAAGGAAGGACGGGTAATGTATAGTCGGAGAAGCAGAGTAGTCCCCGTTTCAATACCTTCCTTCTGATCGCTCCACTTTGAAGCTATGCTCGTTTCTTGCTAGCGCAGATCTAGCAAATGTTCCCTGTCGACCAGTTCCTGGGCGCAGTAGGTTCCGTTACAGAACTCGAGCGGCGTACAGACGGACTCGGCGGCTTTGTCCCGGGAAAGGGAGTCAATGGCTAGCGTGTAGTGCGTGGCGTTCGTAGAAGATATACAGAGGACTAGTATGTAGATACTTCGTAAATAGGCAGTGCTCGGATTAGTCTTTGCTCTATGCAACAAGTAAAGATCAAAGGTGCCAATGGCATTTTCAAGGAGCGTATAATCAAACTGTCCAGATCTGGGAGTCTGTTGAAGGAAGCACCGCAGCATCGAGATTCTCGAGCGCATAACGCAATAGAAAACGAAGGTCTTTCCGGTCGAAAGGAGGTACACGTAAAGCTTTGCAAAAGCACGCCTAGCGGGCACGTAATCCGAAATACGAAATACGAGGGTGCTCCATATCTCTGGCAGGTCTGATGGACAAGCAGTGGAGTTACGTTATGGAAGAGGTACAGTATATACATATGCGCAGGTGATCTAATCTAATCTGATGGAGCATAGTGAATTATCTGATGGACATCTGATAAGATTGTAGCCAACAGCGAAGGATGGCCGAAGCACTTATACTATGTAGAATGTCCCGACCCAAGGTACGCTTTCTGCCAAGTATTCTAGCCTCGCAACGGCGTATATCCCAACGCATGCAGTATTGTACTTTTGCAAGAGAGCAAAGAGCTTGTTGGGGGATAGCAGCGTTGCCAAGAACACAAAGACCGTCGTTGCATTTGGCCATTCTGTTACGTTTTCGAAAGTATGGGGCGAAGGAGTTTTTTCTCCTTTGCAAAAAAAACTACAGCTGGGTTCCTCCAGCCTTACCGTTTGCGGACAGACCGGAGCAGTCACACGACACCATCCGATGCACCTATGCAGAGGCACAGGCCGATACCAATGCCCTACACATTTTTTGCATATACAGACCTACGATAATCTGGATTAGCTGGCTGCAGGGACTATGTGGCTCGTTTTATCCTCTCGCAAATTAGCTTGCTATGATCTTATGGGATGGTCCTCTGCTCCACGCCCTATACGAGTATGCCAATAGTAGCCGGAATATTGAGGGACAGGGCAGAGGAACTGCCTGACCAGGCCTGGTCGACGGGAGGAGAACGGAGACTGCTGCTTGCCGCTAAGGATATGGTGCACTTTTACAAGACGCTCAACTCAAGGCCATCGATTGTAGACAACTATATAATGCGGTTCTCTCTGTAGGCCTTTGCTTCTCAGCCGTAGAGACCATCTGACAGGGAAGTGAACTATCTTCCAACCTCTGTCTGAGTCTCTGCAGGCGAGTCAAAAATATCATGTTTGTCCATCAGTCTTCTGTGGCCATGCTGCTCTGGCTGGCCGGCCTCCTCATCGTCCGGGTCGGGGCCATCGATCTCTACGACTTGCAAGGCGAGTGTGCGCTCGGACTGGTGATTGTCTACGGGGCCTTCACTTATCCCGGCATTGGTTACCCGTCCACCTACCCGATGCTCTGCCAGAACCCGGTTGCGGTCGTGTCGCTGTACGCGGCCATGGCCGTCTACTGCGACGATGCGCAGACAGCCGCGGGCCTGCCGAAGCTGGAATTGCAATGCACCGAGTATGCCGAGGTCGGGATGCTGTCGGCCGAGGCTGTGGCCGCAAACCTGACGCCCGAGGCCATCGCCACGCTGCCGGTCTACGGCCAGGCCGACCTGGAGCCCGGATCGAACGTGACCGAGGCCTTTCTGCCAGACCAGGCCTGGTACGAGATCTCGTACAAGTCCAGCTACAACTTTGACTACGAGGAGAACCACCATGCCTATTACACGTGAGTTGGGTTGGTGTCGCTGGCTGGCGATCTCTCCCACCTGCTTACGTAATCTCACGACAATCAGGTACGCCCTTTATGGCTTCTGGGGTGCCATCCTCCTCTTTGGCATGGCACAGAATGCCGTCCGCCAGATGGCCGAGAGACGACGAGGCCACGGCCGTGCCGACCTGGGGGGCTCTCAAGGCCGGCCGGCGACAGCAAGACCTGGCCTCGTCGGTCGTGTGGCTGCCCTGGCAGACAAGCACTTTGTGACGCCCAGTCTGCTGCCACCCTTCCACCAGAGACGTCTCCTGGGCTGCACGATTCCCACGCGGGCTGTCGGCTTTGTGATCGCGGCGTATTGGATCGTCAACTTTATCCTGTCGTGCCTCCACTACCGCGTCTTTGCCGGAGACTATTAGTAGGACCAGCCTCTTTCTGCTTCTGGCCACTTGCAACTACTGACAGCATCAGCTTCGCCACTGTGGCCTTACAGATGTGGCGGTATATTGGCGACCGGACGGGCTACATGTCTTACGGCAACCTACCGCTGCTCTGGATGTTCTCCGGTCGCAACAACGTCTTCCTCTGGCTCACGGGCTGGAGCTTTACCACGTTCAATCTCTTCCACCGCCATATTGCTCGCATCGCCACCGTCCAGGCTATCATCCACTCCATCGCCTATACGGTCATTTACTGCGCTCGTGAGTCTTTGTATTGCCCAGCTCTTGCGATGCGATGCTGATAGGATACAAACCATAGCCGATGGAGGCTACCGAGAAGCATACGACGAGTTCTGGTTTACGGCCGGTGTAATCGTGAGTACTTTGTGCCAGAAGTAGGCGTGTAAAATACGAGATCCTCACAGTCCCCCTAGGCCACCGTGGTGATGAGCTTTGCCGTCCTCTTCTCTTTCAGCGTCTTCCGGGCCAAGCTCTACGAGTCCTTTCTGCTGGTTCACATCGTCCTGTCCGCCCTCCTGCTGGTCTTCCTGTGGTAGTATGTCTTGTTCCTATGTTCCCGCTGCGTCTGTGACTCAGCCTTTTGCTGACAAATCGCAGCCACACCAACATCTTTGCCCTCAACAACTTCAACTACCCGCTGCTGCTACCGCCCGTCGTCATCTGGGCCTTTGACCGCTTCCTGCGTCTCATGCGCCAGCTGTACTGCAACGTCCACGTCCGCCGCGTCCGTGGTTCCGGCCGTCTGCAGCACACCCGCACCACCGTCTCGTTCAGCGCGGCCGCCAACATCCTCACTGTCGATGTGGTGCCCGGCAACGCTGGCCTGTCTGCTGGCCCCGGCCAGCACTACTACCTCTACCAGCCGCTGCGCCTTCTCGGCTGGGAGAACCACCCGTTCACCCTCAGCTACTGGAGCCCACCGGACGGCTCCTCCGCCGACAGCGATGCCCACCTCTGCTTCTACATTCGGCCCTACGACGGCTGGACGAAGACGCTGCGGCAGGCGTGCGTCGCTGCCGACGGGACCATCCCGACCTCTGCCTCTGGCCCGGCCATGTTCATCGAGGGCCCCTACGGCCTCGCCGAGCCGCTGCACACGTTTGAGCACGTCCTCTTGGTGGCCGGCGGCTCTGGCATCGCTTGCATGCTGCCGTACCTACAGGATCACGTGACGCGAGTCGCCTCCAGAAAGACGGTCACCCAACACATCACACTCGTCTGGGCCGACCGCACCGAAGCCTTTATCCGGCTCGTCGCTGACGGCCCGCTCGCTCGAATCCTCGGCCGTGACGATGTCGACTTTGACGTTTACCAGACTGGTGCTGCTGCCGTCTCCTCTACCTCTACGCACAGCAGTCGCGGCACCTCGACCGAGGCCGTCGATCCCGAGAAGAGCGGCGCAGGCGGCGGCGTGCTCTCCCGCGACGAGAGCCTTCCGTCTCCCGGCGCCAGCACCCCGACCAAGCGGACCGCCATCAGCATCCATGCTGGCCGCCCGGACGTGGAGTCGTACGTCTGCAGGACGAGCGCTGCCCTCCAGGACACAGACGCGCGCCTGGCTGTCATGGTGTGCGGCCCGGCACAGCTCTCCGACAGCGTGCGCGCGGTGGTGGCGCAGTGCATGGACAAAAGGCGCCGGTCGATCGAGTATTTTGAGGAGACGTTTGGCTGGTAGTCTCGTATTATTCCTTGTCGTCAGATATCTTAGTTCGTGGTTGCGAACCATAGTTTTCCTGTTCTTACGCGACATCACGTGACCACGCCACTCTCCAGTCGACCCTTAATTACCTAACCGAGGCGCTGGACAGGCCGCTCTAGGAAGCTGTGACAGCACCTGCAGACGCTGTGCAGAGTTTGCTGCCGATCTTGCGACGCTGCGTTCGCGTTCCGTTATGTCAGCAGGTCGACATCCCCTGTAATCGTAGGCTAACCTGCTGATGCGGTTTAGTGGACCCCCCCACCTCGTCTCTCTTTCCCCCCCCCCAAGCCAGCGGGCCTAGCGCCCCTTTTACCGCGAGCTGGCGCGTTAGGTTGTCTCTCCGCCCATTTCGTCGACAAAACGTCGACCCCATCCCCATCGAGCCACGACGGCAGGCTCAGACGAAACGAAACGAAACGACCAGATTCGGCAAACTGTCTGGACGACCATCGGATCGACAGGATATTGCGTATCTGCCACCGAGTACTGGCGCATAGTCTACGGCTGCTTGCTCTTCTGTTGCGACAGGCCCATTCAGGGGCTCATTTCTGCAGTGAAATCCCGGCAGCGTTCTTGGAACTCGCTTCTTCTATCTGCTTTCCCCGACAGCCTCTTACCTCTTACGGCCGCACGCTTCCGAGCCACTAGGACACCTGCCCCAACTAGCCGGTGCCACGAATCGCGTATGGTACGAGCGTGTCTGCTCCCGCTTTCAGGCCTGAGAAAGGCGACGCCTCCGAGACCGGATCCATCGAGTGTCCTTAATCTGACACGACTGCTCCCCGACCCCAATCCACACACGTGGCAACCCTTTTGCAGTTCGGCCCAGCCCGGACGGAGGAGGCGGCGGTGCCGCCGGCGGCGGAGGGATGCAGGTGGCAAGAGCAAAGGCCGAGGCGCAGGGCCGCAAGGCCAAGCTGACCAGCTCATACCAGGAGCTCCTCGAGTAAGCCAGGTGCTGGGCGGGAGGACTCGCCGGACAAGAATGGACTGTGTATGCTGACGGTAGCTAGCGAGTTCGCCAACAAGGACCTCAAGTCGGTCGGCAACTACACTCTCGGCCGGCTGATAGGAAAGGGGTCCTTTGGCAAGGTGTATCTAGCCTCCCACAAGCTCACAAATGGGTCCAAGGTAAGTGGAATCGAGCTCGTTCTGGGTGGGTGTGTCTCCCTGTGCTGACCGGCTGCAGGTCGTTCTCAAGTCAGCCAAGAAGGAGGACTCGAATCTCGCGCGCGAGATCCACCATCACCGACAGTTTGTCCATCCACACATTGCGCGGCTGTACGAGGTGATCGTGACGGAGTCGATGGTGTGGATGGTGCTGGAGTATTGCCAGGGCGACGAGCTGTACAACCACCTGCTCAAGCACGGGCGGCTGCCGGTCGAGAAGGTGCAGAAGATCTTCACGCAGCTGGTGGGAGCGGTCTCGTACGTGCACCAGCGGTCATGCGTGCACCGTGACCTGAAGCTGGAGAACATTCTGCTGGACAAGCACGAGAACGTGAAGCTGGTGGACTTTGGCTTTACGCGCGAGTACGAGGGCAAGGCCAATTACCTGCAGACGTTCTGCGGCACGATCTGCTACTCGGCACCGGAGATGCTCAAGGGCGAAAAGTACGCGGGCGAGAAGGTGGACGTTTGGAGTCTGGGCATCATCCTGTACGCGCTGCTCTGCGGCGAGCTGCCGTTTGACGACGACGACGACGACGTGACGCGGCGGCGGATTCTGACGGAGGAGCCGGTGTACCAGGAGCAGCTGATCCCACCAGACGCGCTGGCTCTGATCCGTTTGATGCTGTCGAAGCGCCCGCTGATCCGACCGTCGCTGCCGGACATTCTGAGCCACGCCTTCCTGGCCGAGCACGCGCCGCAGCAGCAGGCGATGTTGAAGCTGCAGCGGCCGGCGCCCTTCTCGACCGGGCTGGAGAAGGAGACTTTGGGACGGATGCGCAGCGCTGGCGTGGACATTGACTCGGTGATCGAGTCGGTGCTGGCGCAGCGCTGTGATGCCCTGGCCGGCTGGTGGGCGCTGCTGATCGAAAAGGAGCAGCGCAAGGAGGCACGGCGCGAGCGGAAGCGCAAAGAGAAAGAGCAGGAGCGGCGGAGCTCGCGCCGGTTGTCGGGGGCGTCGAGCCGGTTAGAGCGGCTGGCAACGGTGGGCGAAGAGGGTGGTGGCGGTGGACTGGGACTGGGACCGGGAATTGTTTTTCTGGGTGATCCACCAACGCCCAAGTCAGCACGAGGTCGATCGCAGAGACGGAGCGGCGCATACGAGCTGCGGATCGAAGACTTTCCCGGACTCAAGGAGCTCGGGCAGCTGAACGACGTCTCTCTGGAGCATCAGCCGCAACAGCGACCGTCACAGCCACCACAGACACCACAGCCACAACCACCACCGACGCCGGTGGACAAGGACTCAGTCAGGTCGGCGAGCTCGTCGCGGCATCGACGGCCGATTCCGCCGCCAAAAGAGGGCATCCTGCGCAGCGCACGGTCGCGGGGCTCGACGCTGCACCTGGTGACGACGACAGACGCGCTGGAGGCCGTGAAGGCGGCACAGGGTGGTGGAGGTGGAGGTGGAGGTGGTGGTAGCGGTGGTGGTGCCGGCAGCAGCAGACATGGTCACGACGGAGACGACGACGAGCTGGACGAGGACGGCCAGCCACGGGATCGCAAGGTGCGCAAGAAGACGTCGCAGGTGATCATCACACACTGGAAAAACATGACGCACTGGATCGTGGAGAGTGCACGACGAAACAAGGGACCGGGACGACGGGGTGGCGGCCACTCGATGCCGAACCTGGTGTCGAAGCCGGGAAGCGTTGGTAAGGATGGCAAGGAGAGCAAAGACGGGCGTGGCGACAGCAGCCCGCGACCGCAGACGAGCAAGTATCCGCACTCGTCGTCGGCCGGGATGACGGCATCAAACACGGCCAGCCTGCCACGAAGCATGATTGCGAACGGGTTTGGCGGCAGAGGAGGAAGTCGAGGGGGAAGCAGTGGAGGAGGGCCTGGAGGGGGAAGTGGAGGAGGAGGAGGTGGTGGTGGTGGTAGTAGTGGAGGAATTGGATGTGGTGGATGTGGTGTTGGTGGTGGAAATGATGGATCAGCAGCGACAGGAAGTGGTGGTGCAAGCCTCTCGACGATGCTGGACGCCAGTGGAAGTGCCAATGGAAACACCAACAACGCAAGCGGCAACGCAAATGCTCGAAACAGCAGCAGCCAGAGGTACAACAACATTGGCGGACAGACAGGCGCCATTTACAACAGCAACGGCCAGCCGCCACGGCTGCAGACGACGACAACGATGACGACAAGCGGCAGCAGCGGGTCGTACAACCGGCAGTCGTTGTCGCCGTCACCGCTGACGCCACGATCGACGGTGCGACGGCCGTCAGCAGCGAATCATGGGCTGCGAGGCCGCAAGTCGACGTCGTCGTCGGTGTCGTCGATCCGGTCGATCCACCATCACCACCAACACTCGCACTCCAAGGCGTCGTCGACGAGCTCCAACGGGTCCGTGTCGACGGTGATGTCCAAGACCCCGTTGCCGGCCGGCCGCTCGCCCCATCACTCGGTCAAGGTGCTGCCAGCAACGCCGACAATGACGTCGTTTCCGAGCAATCTCCGGCTGGTGCGTGGGTCGATGGGCGGAGGAGGTGGTGGCCGAAGCAGTCTCGGCCACTTCAACGAGGGTATGCCCATGGGCCGGCCTCCCAGCTCGCCGAATCCCTTTTCGTTTGGCAGCAGCAGCAGCGGTGGCGGCACGCCGGTGATGTTTGCCAAGCGCAAGCGCAACATTTTCAAAGGGCCGATGCTGGCGTTTGGGGGTGGAAGCAGTGCAGGTGGAGGTGGTAGTGGTGGTGGTCTTGGTGGTGCTGGGATCGGCATCAGCAGCGGTGTTCGGATCAGCGGCGGTATCGGCAGCAGCATCGGGCTTGGTCTCGCAGCAGCTGGTGGCGGATCGCATTCGCGCAGCGCATCGGCCAGCGGACTCGCACGGCTATCGGGCGAGATCACAATTGCCGAAGAAGATGAGGAGGACGGCGATCTCGACGGCCTGGACGACGGCGAGGGCGACGGGGTTGAGGAGGTTGACGTCTTCACGCCAGTCGTGCAGCGACCGGGCGAGCTGGTCGAGGAGATTTACGAGGATGACGAGGAGGAGAGGACGCTGTGATGTGTTGTGTCTTTTGTTTTTTGTCTTTTTCGTCGTTCGTCTTTTTTGTCTTTCTGTCTCTGTGCCTGCCTGTCTCTGCTCTGTTTCTCTTTGTCCTTTTCGTCCTGTTCACTCTTCATTTCTTGGTTTCTGTTCAATATCCCCCCTTCGTTCTGCTCATTTGTCATTTCGAATTTAGTCAGACCAGAGTCTGAAGATAATGCTGTATATTTACTAGACGATCCATCCATTATTGGAGCGCGTGCTCGATCAGTGTCTTGTAGCCCTCGACGGCCTCTTCCAGGTCGCCGACCGTGAGGGTCTCGTGGTCCGAGTGCGCCACCAAGATGCTGCCAGGACCGTAGAGGTAGCGGGTGTGGTTGCCGGCGAGACCGGGGATGTCGGTGCCGTAGTTTGCGACCATAGTTTGGAAGCCTGGGGGGGGAAAGGTGGGTGATTAGTAAGCAGGAAGACCCAAGGGTGGAGATGCGAGATAGAGACGCAAAGAGAAGGAACGTAGCACCCACCTTCCACATGACAATTGCACTCGACGACACCGTAGCCATGGCCACACGTGACGTCAAGATGGTTTGGGTCAGGGTCGACGCTGCGGAGGGCATCGGTGAGGCGAGTGCGGACGCGTTCGTGGCCGTCAGCCTGGGGGGCGGTGGCGACGCGGATGGCGATATGGGCGGTAGCATCGGCAGGGATGACGTTGGCCGCGACGCCACCAGCCATGCGGCCGATGTTGACGGTGGTGGCGCCGTAGAGCGGGCTGCTGCCGAGATCGGTATCGACGACGGCGAGAAGGCCGCGCAGCAGCAGCTCGTTGGCGCTGCGGCCGAGCCAGGGGTAGCCTGAGTGGCCGGCGCGGCCGCGTGCCGTGACGGTGCAGCCGAGGATGCCCTTGTGGCCACAGGCCAGCCGGTTTTCGGTCGGCTCGCCAAAGATGGCAGACTGAAAGGCGAACGACGGCGACAGAGACGCGGAAAAGGCCACCATCCCGTCCCCCCCGTCCTCCTCGCCGACGACGTACAGCAGGGCCAGGTCGCCCGGGCCCACGCGGCCGGCCCGGCGCAGCGCCTCCACGGCCGTCAGCTGGGCCGCCACGCTGCCCTTGGCATCGACGCTGCCACGACCCCGGATGGCCGTCTTGCTCGTGATCGCGTCGCCGGCGTCGTCGATGGCGTACCCAATGTGCGGCGGCACCACGTCGATGTGCGACGTCACGAGAACGCGCGAGGGAGGGAGGGCAAAGGACGACGACGATGACGACGACCACGACAGATCGTCCTCGCTGCTCCCTCCCATCCAGGCCACCACGTTGAACCGCTTCTGGCCCGACTCGCGCGGCTGCACCGCCTGTCGCACCGCCGTGTAGTTGCGCTGCCGCAGATAGTCCACCAGCCAGGCACCCACGTCCGCTTCGGTCCCCGTCACCGACGCCGTCTCCACCAGACCGCGGTGCAGCGCCAGGAGATCGTCGCGGTACGGCGGCGCCGACGTCTGTGGTCTTCGGTTGGCTGCCTCGTCGGCTAGGTCGACCGACAATGGTCGCTGCGGCCGCTGGAAGTCGGCAGAGGCCCTGCTGGCCAGAAGCAGCAGCAGCCCGGAGAGTGAGGTCGTGCGCATGGTGGTACAGGGCAGAGGCGACGACGGGTGAAAGGGTTGACAATTGTCGAATGGAGCAGTCGTAGTTGGTCAATTCCTTCGTCGAGCTTGACGCTCTAATGCGCTAAAGCAGGAGGATGTGGGGGGATGACTGCAGGTGCTAAAAATGTTAGTCAGCACTACAGTAAGTACACACTCGCACTGTTTCTCTAACTCTCAAGTCTCCAATATGCTGTCTCTCGTAAGATACAATATTTCCTAGACCTTGCCGTCTCCTTTCCTCTTTCCCTTCATTCCCCCGCCTTATTTAGATCTGATGCTGTCACCGCCGTTACCCAGCCGAACGGATCTACCACCGAGCCCTGCTGGATGCCCTTGAGCTGTGCCAGCAGCCGCAGACAGACCGGTCCGGCCTCCGGCTGGTCTGCCGGCAGATACGTGATCGTCTCCTCGCCGCTGCCGTCCAGCCGCACGCGTGGATGCGACCGGAGCGACGGCTGGGCTGCTGCAAGGGAGCCCGGGCTGCCGCTGTCGATGCGTCGCGTGATGGACTGGATCGGCACCAAGGCAGCGGCCGTGCCGGTGGCCAGCACCTCGGCAAACGTGGGCAGCTCGACATATTGGACTGGCGCCTCTCAACCGCCCAGCCGAAGCGGCCGGCTATCTTCTGCACGCTGTCGCTGGTGACGCTTGCAATGACGCACTGGCTGTCGGGGAAGACCAGCGTGATGTCGTCGTTACCGTCGCCCCTCTTCACCCCGATAAAGCCGCTCGTGCTGAACTCGTCCACGTCCTCGTGTCGGACACTATCCAGATGCAGCGTGATGCCGTAGCCGTCACGCCGCGCCTGCTCGCTCCATCGAAGCACTGGCGCATAGTTGCTGCCTACCTTGACGTGGCCGGTTCCCTGAGGCGCCGCGCGATCAAAATCGTCCACCACCAGCGCCCGCACCGGCGCCGTGCCATGGTACACTCCCGTTGGCAGAACATACACCAGAAAGGCATACTCCTCTGGCGGACTCAGACCCAGCTGCGCACTCGTTCCATACACCTGCGGCCGGATGTACAGTGCCGCCCCCGTCTCGTGTGGCGGCACAAACTCTGCATTGCGCGCCACCGCTGCGTGCACCGCGTCCAGGAACAGCGCCGTCGGCACCGCCGGAACCGAGATCACCTCCGCTGACCGCTGCGGCCGCTCCGCATTCTTGTCCGCCCGGAATATCTGGATCCCCTGGTCACCAGGCGTCCGAAACGCCTTCAGACCCTCGTACGCCTGCTGTCCGTAGTTGAGCGCCGGCGCCATCCCATGGATTCGCACATACGGATCCTCCACAAACACCGGTGCTGACCACTGGCCTGTTTCCTTTGTGTAGTGCGACTCCACGTGGCCGTTGACTGCCAAAGAAGTCTGTTAAAACGGCCTCGAAAAACGCCCAGACACGGCCAGCACTCCCCGACATACCTTCGCGTACGCGGAACCCACCATTGGCCCAGTCGATCGTAGCTGCTGGTGGTGGAGGAAAGGCCGCCATTTTTCTGGTGTTGCTGATGAGGCCTTGGAGAGTTGCGAAATCGATGTCGGTCGGCGAATAGATAATCTCGGAAGACACTCGAGTCGCATGAGTTAGTCATCCATTTTGTATGGCCAATATCACCCTGGCGGGGCTGGCCAGCTGACAGTGTAGCCAAAGGCACCCATATCATACGCTGCACATAAGATACTTGTTCGACGTGCCGCAGCGGTCCATTGCTATGCTGTTATAAGGTAAATATATCAAGTCTATGAAATGTATCTTTTCGCTACCTACTATCTGAATTACAAAGCCTCACAGCCCTTGTCAAAACTGTCCTCTCCAATAGTCCCAGCTTCGAGAACGAATCACTCAAGTCTGTCTCTTCTCTGCTCGCTTGCTTGCAGTGTATTTTTAGGAGACATTGTGTGTTGCAGGGGCCAAATATGCATGCGTTGAGTGAGTTTCTATCGATGAAACCACGTCAAAGAGCCATGGAAGAAGTCCAGAGAATTGGATGGATAGAACTTCCGAACATTGGTTGCTTTCCAGCCTTTTTTTCAGAAGCTTCTCAATTGCTTCGTGGTTGCAACCTGTTCGTGTTGTGCAGTGGCTTGAACTGGCTTTCTCAGCTCGCCATCTTCGTCTTCCTGCAGCGAGGTAGCCAGGTGAGAATTGTTCACAGGCAAAACCCGGACTTCTCATGCCGTATCAAACCACAAAGGTTTATTCGTGGTAGCCTTGGCGCAGGAAAGGAGTTTTCGTAGCAAAATCTCTCTCGGGCTCAGTCGCTGTAGTGTCTGAGTTGGAATGGTACTGACACGTATGTGAGATGAGCGTGAAGCAGAGAGGAAAGTTTCGTCGTTTAGTGTAGTTCAATCCGGTGACTTCTCTGCGCGAATGGCAATACGTTTCCTGTGTCGTAGTTGTGAGGCTCGGGAGGATTGATTCGTGGAAATTTGCCAACCAACAAGGCCAGTATCGTGTCTGACCCGAAGTAAGACTGTATTTAAAAAGCAGAGACGTCTGTTTGGCGGCTTTGAAGCAGGAGAGGAGCGTTTCATAGCAAAGTGTCGCTCCGCCATGTTTCCCAAGAAAAGGCAGAAGAAAAATCGAGGCGATGATGAAACTGAAAATGATGAAGGACAGTAAACCGCTCAATGCTCGTTGGCCAGGAGATGATGGCTGAGGAGCAACGGAAATCGTGACCATATCGGTGATGGTGAGAAACTGGTGAAGAAGATTTGGCACCGCACCAGTCATTGCCAGTCTAGCCTCCGACAGATGCACCCTGAGATGCCACTCTGACTTCCCCCCTTCCCTCCCCCCGTCTCCCTCTGGACACAAAGAATCATGAGACGCCAAGCCGGTATAGTCTGAGCCCCTCGGGGAGAAGCATCATCGAGACCGGCGTCTTCTCAGGGGTGAGCTGAACACACCCGAGACTGAGAAAACGCGGCGAGGCAGATACTCCCCCCTGGGGAAAGGCTTCATCGAGACCAGCGAATCCTCGAAGGTGAGCCGAACACACCCGCGGTCGAGAAAACGCGGCGAGGCAGATACCCATTCCCACAGGGAGAGGCATCATCATGACCGGCGTCTCCTCAGGGGTGAGCTGGATACACCCGAGACTGAGAAAACGCGGTGAGGCAGATACCCCTCCCTGGATCACCGGAACGGCTGACCGGCGTCGTTATTTTAGTCGCTGTGGTTTGATCCCAAGGGCGGGAGCGTTACTCCCGTGCGACCAAGGGACCAGAACGAAAAGGCGCACAGCCCACAGCGCCACCACAGCGAAAAAAAAGACGACGATGATCGGGCCGACATAAGTAGATACTGATCCTCGAGCCCAATGGACCTCTCCGCCGGCTTCTACCTCGTCATCAGGACGCTGAGAAACAGACGACAGCTTGAAGTTTGTTAGAAATGGGATTCTGTGATAGTAACCGGAGGAACACTCATTACTTACCCTGTCGTCTGCGTCAGATTGCACAGCGTCCTGAGGCACGGCAGAAGCCGGCGGCGGTCTCTCAACGGGCTCGAGGACCTCACCCCCCCATACAAAGAGGGGGGTGCTGCAATGTCAGAATTTCGTCTGTAGAGGAGGGCCAGTTGTATAGGGATTTGTCTCACTTGTAAAAAGATGCCATAGTCTTATTTTTTCTAAAATAAAATAAAATGTCTGTTCCGGCTCTGAAGAACAAAAGAGAGAAAGATTGCAAACGATCGTGAGATTTTTCTGATGATATGGTTCTCCCATATGGCTAACTTTGACACCTCTGCCGCTCCTTCCCAGCCAAAAACTTTTTGCCCGTTGCGAACTAGAAAGAACGATTGAAGAAAACAACAGGAAGGACTAAAGCATCCTGCACGTTGCGAACTAGAAGGAACGACTGAAGAAAACAGCCGGAAAGACCAAAGGACAAACCAGACGACCATGGGACAGAAAGGAGCACCGACCAGTGACTCTTTCCCTCGACTGAAGCTCTATCTGCGGTGGCTGCATAATAAACGGCAAGCAAGACCAGCAGTAAATCAAACAAACTGGCGCGGAAGAGCGCCTTTCTCCGAAATGTCTCCGTTTATGATGCTTATATCGTCGTCGTTGTTGCCTTTTTCACATTGTAGCCCTACTTCCTTTGGCGTTTGACCCTTTGGCCAAGGCCACCTTCCGCTCAGAGGCATGTCGTCATAAATGGCGTTCATGTTTTGATCAGGGGCTGAGGCATTGTATCAGTAGCAACTGTTTTTGTTCTTGTTCTTGGCATGACACCAATTCAGTGCCTCGTCTTTTAGCTGCGAGATGCGGAAGTCCTGAAGTGTACTGTGAGGAGGAGTGTATGGCGCTCCGACAAGTAGACAGGCTGTCCATTGACATTCTTCGGATAGGTCTGTCATAAGGTATTGACGTACACACCAGTTCTCCTTTCTGGAGTCTTGTGTAGGACTCCATCTAGTGTTTGACACGAGACAACCATATTCTCGGCATATATTATGTTCGTCCCAGTAGATACCGTCTCTCATCAAGCGGGCGACATCCGTTGTATATAGCCAGAGCATTGCATCCCATTCCGGCACAGGCGTCTTGTCGCTAATATACTTGAAAATTATCATAGAATAGCCTTTTAATGATTCCATGAAAGGATAGCTTTCCACATACATGACCGAAAGTTTGGCCAACTCCTCAATGGTGGGTGGTGGGCGGATACTCGGCGTCGCTTTACTAATCTTGTTGGGGTTGGTTTCTTCTTCTGTCGTAGCACGGACTCGTTGTATCCTGACATGATTTTATGGCCGGGCCCAAATCCAGCAGACTCATTGAGTTGGGGCTCTCCTTGGAAGGCATGATGGAGAGGAATTCGAAATAAGAAATGGGTCTGATAAGGAGGGCTGGGAAAGAAGCTTCGGTGAAGCGTAACTGCCAGAAGTTTTGAAGGACTGCGGCTGAGAAAATCAGGATAGCTCTTTCATACTCGAGAAAATTACGCCAGGCTTCTTGGAGAAAACTACCGAAAGAGAGAAGGTACGATTGCCACACATCTTTTTCCAAACCCATTGATCGTTAGTCAGGACAGCAGTGGCTATGAGTCTTCTCTTTCCGCCGTGGCAGAGTGCCACTATGCACGAGCGATTTCACAAAAGCATTACACGAACTAATCCAATCAACAAATTCGTATCCTATGTACTTTTGCATTCGCACAAATTTCGCCTCTCCTTACCCATTGCTAGGACCCGAGCTTGACGGTCATGTGAATGTTTGGTTGGTTGCAACCCCAGCACAAATCGTAGTGTATTCTATTCTACAACATGAAATCTTCTTTTTATGTTGCCTCTTTCCAGTGATAAATGCTAAACGAAAAGGAAAAAACACAACCGAATGTAAAATGTAGAGGGGAGAGGCACGCTGTGTTTGTAAAGAAATACGGGGTGGGGAATCATGAGATAGATGATAAAGCAAGGGAAGATGAGGAACACAAAACAGGATTCGATGTCAGCTTATGCGGTAGCAGCAAGTTTCTGCAACAGGATGAGAACACCTGTATCCCACGTTAGTCGGACATCCAGTGCAACAATTTTATGGCAAATAGATCCTTACCGTTGACGCCTTGGGTCAAAGTGGCAGCAGCTTCTGTGCTTCTGCTTCCCAGGCTGACCGTGGCCACTTCCTTGACTGTCTGGTCTTTGCCAAGCTGGTTTGCCCATCTGAACACCTTTTCGTCGTCCCGGCCGTCACCAACGACCATGAGAAAGTCGACCGGGCCCTTGTCATGTTCGACAGGGAGCGTTTTTTTGCAGAGATCTTGGTGGATTTTTTCCGCCGCAGTTCCCTTCGTCCAGTCAATCGGCTCTACAAGAATGGACCCATCAAGAGGGATGGCATGGACGCGCTGCTCCTCGCAAGCATCGTTGATATGTGCAGCACACTCGGCAGCATGCCGCATCGCCGACTCAGAGTCTTCGGCGGACTTATAGCGGAAAATCAAAGAGCAACGTCGCTCTTCGATCTCGGCGCCCGGGGTGCGCTCCTTGTAGTACGTCAGGATGTGCTTGACTGATTCCTTCCAGGTTCGGATCTGGTCATTGTCGGCCATCTGAACCCATTTGGTGCTCCCACAGTCCTTGAGGAAGCAGCCGTTCTCCGCAATGAGCCCAAGATTCGGAACCGTTCGGAAGAGGCGGTCAAGTTCTTTCTCGCTCCGGCCAGACATGACATAAATGGTATTTCTACTGTCCAGGACCAGGTCGTTGAGGACGTCAAGCGTGCGCTATCCAATGTTAGCTCTCAGAATAAACGAGTGCCTGAACCAGTAAAAGAAAGATCGTAGCCTACCTGAGGGTTCACGGGAATAATCTTGTCCACTGGTCCCCAGCTGACGAGTGTATCTTCGTAGTCCAGAATGAAGAGGCGGTGTTTCGATCGCTTGTATTGTTGCAAAAGCGTGTTTACGGAAAGCCGCGGCACGGAAGTCTGGTCTCGGCGGTGCTGCTCATCATACACGTGGTCGAGACGGGACAGAAACTCGGTAAACCAGTGCGAGCCTGTGTGGCGGAGCACGGCCTTGTAAAGCCGGCACCATCTGTCATTCTTCTCTCCTTCCGGCATCTCCAGTGCCTTTTTGATGGCATCCGCGCAAGCACGGTAATCCCATGGATTGACGGCCAGCTCAGCACCTTTGAAGAGGCCGGAGGTTCCGGTGAACTCGGACAGGATGAGGCTGCCGTGCTTCTTTTCAAAGTTCTTGCCGTCCTGGCAGAAGACGTATTCGTGGGACGTCAGGTTCATGCCTTCGCGCTGGCTAGTGATCATCAATGCATCGGCATCAGTCAGGAGCGCGAGGTACTGGTCATAGTCAATGTCCTGCTTCAAATAGACAACTGGCTGGTAAGCCAGGTTTGCCCACGACGAGTTTACGCGGGTGACAATGTCGGACACGGCAGCATCGAGCTCGTTCCTCTCGCTGGTGGAAAGCGCGACCTGAAGCAGAACCACCTTTCCGCGCCATTCTGGGTTCAGGTTGAGAAACAGTTCGTAAGAAAGGAGCTTTTGGCGAACGCCTCGGATGTGGTCAAGCTTGTCTCGAGCCACGATCAGCTTCTTCCCCTTGTACTTTTCGCGCAGTATCTCAAGCCAAGACTTGACGCCTTCCTCCTCCCGGTGCGCATTCAAGGCGACGGGATCAATTCCAATCGGCATGTGAATGACATCAACAAAGCGATCTTCGAGCTGCACGCCGTCAGCTGTGGCTTCGGCATTCAGGAGGCGGCTGCAAGTCTGCAAGAAGTGACGCGTATACTCGGGGATCTGGAAGCCGACAAGACTAGCGCCAAGCATGCCTTCGAGCAACTGTGTGCGGACAGCGAGACAGCGGAAGATCTCGCTGGAGGGGAACGCCACGTGCAAGAAAAAGCCGATTTTCGCATCTGGAAGACGCTGGCGGATCATGGCGGGCAACAACAGCAAGTGGTAGTCGTGCACCCAAACCACATCGCCGCGCTTCCAGTTCTTAACGATGGTGTCGGCAAAGGCCCGGTTGACGTTTTCGTAATACTTCCATGAATGATCTTCGTATGCTTTGCTCTTCGGACCATCCGGAATCTGGTAGTGGAAGACGGGCCAGAGAATTTGTTTGCAAAAGTGAACGTAGTGGCCATCAAAGTCCTTGTCGGAGCACCAGACGGTCAGCATATCGTGCTCGGCGGCAAGTCTGTCCTCGATGTCCTGCTTCTGCTGGGTGCCCTCCAAAGCATCGGTAGGCATGCCCAGAGTGCCGACCCAAGTATAATCAGCGAGCTTTCCCTCTCGAGAAGCAGCCTCTGTAGCATTGCGCAGGCCGCCGTTGCCCTGGTCTGCATTGACAATACGCCAGTGTGCAGCAGAGAACACCCGGTCATGGCTCTCGCTTCGCAAAGCAGAGCGGGGCTGGTTCACGCCCTGGCGGCGAAGTTCCTTTGCTTTCTCGTTGATGTGCTCATCGTCGGTGTCGATGTCGAGGCAGACTGGTGGGGGTGAGCTTGCGCGAGATTTGGGCTGATCTCGTCGGGCTCCCCAGGCCGGAGAGCCCCTGTCAGCCGGTGTAGCGCTCGATGTGAGCGGCAAGATGACACGGTCACCGCTGTCGCTCGAGAAAGGGTGGAAAATCCGCTCGGCAACTGGGGTGTCGGGAGGTGTTATGTCGGCCTGCCGATTGAACAAGCTCGGTTGCCGTTCAAAAGTAGGTCTCTTCTTGGACGACTTGTCGGCTGTTGTCCTCTCCTCCTCTGGAGGCGGTGTGCCGGGAAGGTCAAAGTGCACCGTCTTGGGGAGAAATCTGGGTAGAGAGCGCAGTACATGTCAGCTTTGTCAGCAACCTGTTGGGATATGTCGGGATGGTTTGCGTTTTTATTTTTCAGTAATGACGTCAGAGTCTCGACGCAGTTGCTTGCCAGAAGAAGCAAACCGGTAGACGAGTCTACTAGACAACACAGGGAGGGGGTAAGAGGGGTGTTCTGCGGTATGACTTACAAGGAAGCAATGAAGACAGTCATGATTGCTGTTGGTAAGAAGGATGCAGCCTAGGCAGTAACAACTCGAGGGCGATGAAGGTTGACTTTTTCTTCGAGGCCCTATCGCGGATTATCGCGGGAGAGCGACGGAGGAAAAGTGGGGGCGTGCGTGCAATGTTGGTGGAGTTTCCATAAAAACTTAATTATCCAGCCGATTTTCTTGCAGTCGGGCTGAAATGCAGTAGCGAAATGCACAGGTCGAGTCCGTCACTCACTCCTATGTGTAGCAAAACTGGGGGGTAATAGACAAGAGGGAACAAGACCGGTGACGACGATGGCGTGTCGTCTCGAACGTTCGTGAATGTGTTTTGCGACAGCGGAAGGATGGAAAGGAATAGAAATTTCCGGCCCCTCTGTTTCTTTAGTTCTCGTTTCTTGAAGTTTCTGGGCCGAGAAGCACGGACAGGGGCGAATGCGTGCAAGGAAGCTGCGGCCGTACTGTTTCAGGAGGGGTTTATGACCCTTTTCGGAACAAGGGAGTGCGACCCAGGTAACCAGCTCAGGCGCTAGCGTAACAAGACAGGTCGCTGCAACGTTCGGCAGGCCACAGATGTGTTGTGCTCGTACTTGTAGCAACTGCCTGTCACTGAGACGGCACGTCACGATCAGGTTACACGTGGATGGACAGGAGGGAATGGACGAAGCAGTTGCTGTAGTTGCGTGGCAGTTAGAGGAAAGAGGGGCTGGTGAGGCAGGAAGAGAGAATTGATGACGTCTTAGGGCCTAGGTAGGGTGAGAGCCAGCGATGACGAAAGTGCAAACAGGAGATAAGTGGAAAGATCAATGAGGCATGGCCAGATGGATCAACGGAGCTTGAGGAAGGAGGCAGGGTGCCCAGACTAAGTACTTGCTTGCAGACAGCCTTTGTGTCCTATTTGGGAGGAGGCCTATTAATATTATTGTAGGCTGCCGACGGCATACGATATTGTCAGTTGTCGACTTTGTCCAATGACGCACTGCTCATGTCCGTGGCGTGGCTGAAGCTTGGTAAAGAGGAGATGCGGCACAGTTTCACGTGTCCTCAGTTTCCCCTCACTAGATAGAGCCAGGGCAGGAAATGGCAAACATCGCACCCCGTCAAAGTGCGTTCACCTCGGCGATATGGGCTGCAAAGCAAAAGAGGCAAATGGACCCGTCACACAATTCCTTAATTTCTCGCTGTGACAAATAAAACCTTTCTTGCATGCCTCCGACATCTCTGAATGGCTAATTTGTTGCCGTGCCGCGCTGGCTCACGGAGTCAGAAGACGTTGATACGATGCACTCCGTAGGAAGTGTGTGGAGAAGCCGGGCCATCAAGGGCTTGGGAGCCGGATTCCTTCTCATTGGAGGAGACCGGTGGCTTGTCTGGCTCATCACCGAGGCGCATGATGCTCGACAATTCCCCGGAATACAGAGCGGGCCCACCCACCATCGCGGGGAAGCGAGGGTCGATGGCTGCGAGAGGGAGCAGGACGAAGATGAGTGGTCGACATCAGAGGGCTACGTGCCTGGTCGTCTATGTGCGTCCATTCTTCGCTCGATGAAATAGCCGTGGTGACGGATGCATCGCGATGAGCCCTCCACAGCGATGACTTTGTAACAGACACTAACCAGCCTAGCGCCAAGCAGGCATCACGCATTTTCCGTGCTTGCGATCTGAAGTGTTAGAGCAGATCGGCAACTTCGGACCTTGAACTACGAAGAGGCATGTAGCCGCGAAGAGCGAGGTGCGCCACAAAAATAAAATTCAACGAGCATTCCAACGAGCCAGAACGCACGCCTTTGCATGCCGCTTCTGGTATGGCATACTATTTTTCCCGCCTCTGGGTGTCGAATGTGTGCATGCCGAAAATAGAGTGCCTAAGCCTAAGCAGCCTTGTTCCCCGCTGCTGCAAGCGGCAGCCACTTCGTCTGTTCGCCCGCATTGGGTGAGAATCCTGGCCAGTGAGCAAGGGAGGCCAACCCTCGTGGCTAGCGATAGGAGAACACGTCCCGGGCAGGACGAAGAGGAAGAGGGCGGACGGGCGAGGACGGCAAGCGGCATACTATGTAACTCTTGGAGGAAGATGTCCCACCTTTTACGAAGCGGGACCGGGCAGCCGGACCTCGCGATTTCGCAAGGTGACCTTGTTGCTATGCATCGTTTTGTTTAGATACCGTCTTTCGAAAATGCTACCCGTACGGAGTACAAATGGGTCGTCAGCTACTCACTCCAAATGCAAGGTGGAGTCGGACCCGAGAACTTCCGATGGCCAAGAGACAACAACTTTGCGAGTGCACTGGAGAAACGAGATGGCCTTTGTGTCTCACTAACTGTTGCCTAGCTAAGGGCCCGGCCCGATAAGCCGGGGGTCCTGGCCAGATACCAGCAAAAGTACTCGGTAATACATACGAGCAGACAGGACCCGGTGAGCAGTATCTTACATACTGCAATGTGAACCGATCCAGTATGCGTCTGCCACATGGGCGATACGTGCGAGTGCCACTTCGCCTCCATGCCGCTATCTTCGTCCTGGCAGCATGGCGTCTGCTGGCAACGGGAAACCAAGATTCTCGTTCTTCAGAGTGCGGCAATCAAATCCTGTCTTGCCGTGTCTTCGGCCTGCCTTTTTCATCTAGCTGCGATTTGGGTATAGCAGGCTGCAGCGCTGTCGGCCCGTTTAAAAGCCGACATTTTCCCCCGTTCCTTCCCTTGGCCCATACGGAGTATTTCGTATTGCCTGCTATTCGCCTTTGTGCCGCAAATAGGATGCACCGTTGCCCCACCACTTCTGTGCAGCATGCACGGTTTGGCGAGCTGCCGAACTGCCGTCTGTATGCTGGCGCTGGCACGCATCCGCTTCGAAAGAAAAAAAAAAGGTTGCATATGTCCATTCGCTCTATCATCTACACGTCTGGTGCAATGGCATGACCTGCTGACTCTAGTGATAAAAACAGGCAGTTCCAAGTGGCTGTGGTCGTATCATAAGCTTCTCATACCTGTTTCCTAACGAATTACCTCCCGGTCCCCCCTTTTCGCTGTTCCCATTTTCTCCATTTGCCATTTTCCGTGCTATCGGTCGTTTCTTTTTCTTCTTCTTCAGTTTCTCCAAAGCCGAACGGCCTTATCCTTGCCGCCGCTGGCAACACGCTGGCCATCCGGACTCCACTCCACTGCGTAGACCTCGTCCTCGTGGTGCGGCAGATCCGCTGCCAGCTTCGCTGCCCGCACATTCCACACTTTTACCGTGGCATCTTTGGATGCTGTGACCAACAGCCGCGAGTCGGCAGACCAGGAGCACTGGTAAACCGGCGCAACGTGGCCTCGTAATGTGCTCACAAAAGAGCCGTCCCTGGAAAGTTAGTTGCGGGGTATGTAAAAAGGAAGGAAAACGGAAGACCGAAGAGGGGTAGACGAGAACTGGGTAGGAACTAGAAGAGGTAAAGGAAAAAGGAGAAGGAAAAAAAAACAGTCATACTCACTTTGCGCGCCATATCTTGGTGTGATTGTCCCAGCCAGAGCTTGCGACAAAAAGTCCATCGGGCGAGAAGGTGACGTGGTTGATGGCCTTTTGGTGGCCGACCATGCGGGTAACGGGTTTGGTGGCCTGGTGCATGGGGTCCCAGAGGTACATGGTGAAGTCGTCCGAGGCAGAAGCGAGGCGCTCGCGCAGGGCGCCGTTGATGGTGGCGGCCTTCTCGAAGCGCTCACGAGCCTTTGCGCGCTTGGCCTCGTCGGTGGGCGGCACGACGCCCGTGTGGTCAAAGTAGCCGGTGCGCAGGACGAAGTCAGTCGAGAGGGCCAGATGGTTGACCCAGTGGGCATGTGCCTTGAGCTCGTGCACGAGGGTGCCGAGGCGGGCATTCCACACCCGCACCGTCTTGTCGTGGGACGCGCTGTAGAGGAGGCCGGTGCCACCCCATTTGACGCAGCTGACGCTGCCGCGATGTCCCGACAGCACGTACTGGCATCGGCCGGTGTTGGCCGCCCACACGCGCACGGTGCCGTCTTTGCTGGCGCTGGCCAGCTGGGGCCCGGGGCCGTTGGCATCGTAGTCGCTGCTGCGGTCGCCGGTGCTGTTGACCAGGTGCAGCGGCTCCCAAGCCACAGCCAAGACGGGCTTCGAATGACCTGTCAGCTCCTTGCCGGCCGGCTTGCCCGTCTCGGGGTCCCACACGATCACCGTACCGTCCATGCTGCACGTGGCTAGCCGACTGCCGTCGGGCGACCAAGCCACGGCCAACACCCAGCCGCGGTGCTGCTTCAGCGTGTGCCGCGGCGTGCCCGTGTCCGTGTCCCATATACGCGCCGTGCTGTCGCCCGAGCCGGTGGCCAGCCAGCGGCCCCGGCCTGCCGGGCTGAAGGATACGCACAGGATCGGCTGCCCGTGTCCCGGGATCCGGTGCGCCAGCCGCGTCACGCTCTGCACGCGGAAAACCGCCTGCGGCTCGGCCGCCAGCGTCACAGTCGTCTCAAACGGGTTCTCGATCCCGTGCGCCCGCAGCAGCCCGTACAGATCGGCCGGGTACTGGTCCACTATCACTGGCGGCTCGCTGCCCGGAATGTGGATGCGGAACCGGTACGGCTGAAACTCATCACTGTCGCGGCCCAGAAGCGTGTTCAGCAGCAGAGACACGTTCTTCTCCGTCGCGTCCGCCATGTTGACCTCGATCACGTCCGCCATCTGCTTGCCGTCTGCATCGACAAAACGGGCCTTGAACGAGCCATTGTCGGGCGGCAGGTTCGCCGTAATGTCCTGCTGCACTTTGGTGCGCTCTATATGCTCGCGGCGTTGCCGCTTCGGCGGTGGCGGCACGAGGGTCGCCATTTTGTTGTGAGGAGACGGGGAGGAGGGATGTAGGCGAACGGAATAACGGGTAGAGCAAAGATGAGGAGGCACGCAAAGCGAAACGAAGTCTTCACCAACTTTTTTTCTTATCGATTCTTATCGCCCTTATCTTATCTTGCCGCTACCCCGCTGCAATTTTGTACATTAAAAGGACGGAGTACGCTGTGCAGAGCAAATTTCAGACCAGTGGCGCTGGGCTGCGCCGCGCCACTAATCGCTTACGCCGCAGTTCCATGATGACTGATGGCGGCGTCCAAGATTTTTAAAAACAGGACAAAACAGGGAGATGCCATACATAGTATTCCATAAGGCGGTGTCGGGAAATCCACTTTGCTGTGGCTGTCGGGAACAGCGACACGTCCCAGCTGCTAGCCCCACTGTTCCCCAGTGGACGTAACCCTTGACGCTAAGCCTTCTCATGCCTGGTTGCATTTGTTCAATAAGCTTGCTTCGACGTGCCTGCAGCAGACGATCGCGATCTTGAGTGCCGGCCGTCTTGTAAGGTTTTTACTATGTAAGATAAAAGGTAACTCCTACGTCCAAGCGGTCGCGTATGCTGGAGGCAATAACCCAGAAATGAAAACAATGTCGAAACATTCCCTGCGTTTTTTTCACGCCTTGGCACCTGAACTGGCAGGTCCACAGGCCACAGGCCTCCAAATCCACCGTAGTTCTAAGAGTTTCTTAGCGTATGACTCGTTCACGCGGCTTACGTCCCTGGTTTTGCATTTCACCTCATTGTCGCCTCTTTTGATTGCGTCACGAGGCGCATTCGCTTTTTATGCAAGGTTCCCAATTGTGCTAAAAACAACGAGCGCATCGTCAACCGCCTACAAAAACGGGGCGTGTCTGTATTCTCAAGCAACACCAGCTTCACCGTCACATAAGCAAAAGCAGACGCATTCTCGACGCGTCTGAACTGTGAATTGTTCTTCTCATCGAGATGCGTATGTCTTTCTCTCCCCCATTTTCCCATCTCTACAATTCTTCAATGTCGCTGACCGTTTGGTTGAGCACCACCAATCAGACCGTATCCGTACCTGGGCTCACCAGAAAGCTCATGGCCCCGAGCCTCTTGTTGCCGAGAGTCGTCGCGCCGCAGCCACACGGACAAGACCAAACCAAGCTCCCCGTACAACTTCCAACTCCTCCAGGCCTGGAGACGACACCGTCAACGCACCTGTGATCCAAAATGACGCGGTTGAAGTATCTGTGGCTGAAAATGTCGGTGAGAAGCCACCGACAGCGAAGCCAGGCGTTTCCGTGAGGTTTTTTGTCACGGCAAAGGACATCCTCTGCTCCAGCATCATCAATGTCCTCCTCGTCTTCATTCCCATCGGTATCGCTGCACACTTTGCCAACTTGTCGGCGGGAATCATCTTTGCCATGAATGCCATCGCCATTATTCCGCTTGCGGGCCTGCTCAGTCACGCGACTGAGAGCGTGGCCAAGCGCATGGGTGATACCATAGGCGCATTGATGAACGTTACCTTTGGTAATGCGGTGGAATTAATCATCTTGTATGTCCTTGGCCCCTTGGATGTTTTGTCCACATAAATTCACCGGCTAACAGTTTGGCAGCATGTAAGGCATAAGCCCTTTTCTTCGTATTTTGCTATCGTCAGCGGTGGTCTAACAAGTATTGAATATCTACAGCATCGCTCTTGTGAAGGTAAGCTGTCGCTGTTGATTCTCATGTTATTCTTATCGCTAACCTATCAGAATGAAATTCGCATTGTCCAGGCATCGCTGGTTGGCTCGATCCTGGCCAATCTGCTCCTGATTCTCGGCATGTGCTTCCTTCTCGGTGGCCTTCGATACCGAGAGCAGGTGAGAAGTTTTCTTGCTCGCATGGAAATAGCTACTCTCTGACATACCGTTAGATATATAATAGCACTGTTACCCAGATGAGTGCATGTCTGCTCAGCTTGAGCGTCAGCAGCTTATTGCTTCCTGTATGGGCACTCTTGATCAGCCGCTGCCCTGCAATTTCACTAACGAATGTTAGACTGCCTTTCACGCATCCTTCAGCAACACCGCCAAAGCTGATATCAAGGTCGTCAAGGTTAGCCGAGGAACAAGCGTTGTGCTGTTGCTGGTCTACCTGCTATATTTGGTCTTTCAGCTCAACTCGCATGCCTACATGTACGAGTCGACACCGCTGGAGACCATCCAACGTGAATCTCTGCCGGGACCTGCCGCTGGCTATTTCAACTCTTCATCAAGCTCCGAATCTTCCTCATCCAGCTCTGACTCGGATTCCGACCAATCCCAAGGAACTGCGCGTCGCATTAAGCGAGTCATCAAAAAGGGCAGAAACAAGATTCACATGCGATCAGCGTCCACTGACGAGTCCGCAACATCGCCTATATCGCCAACTCCCATTGTGCCATTAGGCGAGACAGCCGCTGAGCCTTTCAGTTCTATCACGGACGAGAGTCAGCATCCTACAGCCGACGTTGACGTTGCGGACGACGAAGGGGACAACGAGCCGGAGAAAACCACTCGCCACAAACGGAAGCTGAAACATAAGAAGGAGAAGCGCAACACAGCCAAGCCTATACCAGATACCATCATTTCTAGCACGTCTACCAATCCGCCCACCAACGAAAGCCAGGTCCGCCGTGTGGACTTCGCTCTGGGTCCGAATACTGAAGCACAAACTGAACCGCGTTCAAAACCTTTCTCTCTGCTCACTCTTGCAAGCCCCTCTACTCTGTCAAAGACGCTATCGGTCACTGTTTTCAGTTCGCAACCACAAGGCGAAGATGGCGTCCAGGACCTATCTACGGCCAACACATCTCATGCCAGGACAGCGATTCCACAGCCGCATCTGCGGCGCACGGCCTCCTACCCTGCCGACAATCGCAGCCACAATGCTGGCCCGGGCTCGTTTCCGCCAATTGTCCCCATCATTGTCAATAGGACGCCAAAGACTGTTCTGGCCGGTGAAGAAGGAGAAGAAGAGGAAGACATTTCTCGAACTACTGCAGTTGTGTTACTGCTTGTGTCTACCGGCCTGGTTGCTCTCTGCGCAGAGTTCATGGTGGGCTCTATCGATGATCTGGTGAGCGACGAGTCCGGATTATCAGAAGCCTTTATTGGCCTGATCATCCTGCCCATCGTGGGCAATGCTGCCGAGCACGTCACCGGAGTCACTGTAGCGATGCGGAACAAAATGGATCTGGCCATGTCAGTTGCCTTGGGCTCGTCGATTCAGATCGCCTTGTTTGTTACGCCGATCGTCGTCATTCTCGGCTGGATCTTAGACAAGGATATGAGCCTGTATTTTACCCTGTTTGAGACGGTCAGCATGTTTGTCTCGGCTTTCATCGTCAACTTCCTTGTTCTCGATGGCCGCAGCAACTACTTGGAAGGTGCCCTGCTATGCGCTGCTTATGTCATAATAGCGGTTGTATCCTTCTTCTACCCCAACTCTGATGCAGCCAACGCGCTGGGCGGCGGCTCGTAAGAGTGTGGGACAATTTAAGTCATGGAGGTAATGAATGTTGGCGCAAGCTGCTACGATTGTTGTTCTTCGGTAATTGAGGTGGTAATAATTCCAGTCTTGTATGGAGTTTACAACAGAGATAACGAAATAATACACACTGAATGTACTCCGTACGCTGTACGGAGTAAAAATTGAGAGAGACGAAGAAATGCTAAAATGTGTTGAGTGCGGGAATGGAGCACACTGTGCGTTTTCCGGCTAGGGTTGGCCCTGCGCGTTCTGATTGGCCAGAATAGAGAAACGTGGGGAATAGCCCCAGTGAAATCTCTGCGCCACAGAATCAGTGTAATTGTGAAGGTTAAGGGAGGCTATACGTAGCGGTCATATAACGTGATGCACTGTGAGGAGCAGGAGGCTGAATAGGGTCTAGTGTGGGCGAAAGAGTGTTGTGTACTTTAGGAAGAAATAGATACATCGCGACCCTTCTGGGGATCCGTATTAATACTAGTGTCAGGCCCCGCTTTTGTGCCTTCTGACCAATTACAGGCCAGTACGGCCAAGTGGGGCGGAAGGGCCACAGTGTGGCGGATTCCAATGCTTGACACTCCCCCTGAATACGCCACGTAGGCGCACCGCGATGCACTGAAATCATCCTCGGCAGCCCTTTTCACGGCTGCCAGCCCATCAAGCGAGGCAACAGCCTCTCGAACGCTGCCTTAGGCAGCGCCTTCGTCATGATATCAGCGATCTGATCCTCAGACTTTACGTACCGTACCGTCAACAAGCCGCCTAGTACGCTTTCACGAAAGTAGTGCCACTTGACGTCGAAGTGCTTCGAACGCTCTCTGAATTCAGGCTTCTTCGTGATGCTGATCGCGGAGGTGTTGTCCACGAACATCTGGATGTCGGCTTGGAGGCCCATTTCGAGCATGAATTGCTCGATCCAGCGGGCCTGCGTTGTTGCGTAGTAGGCGGCGCCGTATTCAGCTTCACAGGTGGAGGTGCTGACGGTCGGGAGCTTCTTGGCTCTCCAAGAGACCGGCCCTCCTGAAATCCTGAAGACAAAGCCGTACGTGGAGTGACGATCAACTGGATCGTCGGCCCAGGACGCATCAACCCACCCTTCAACGCAAATGTGCCCCTTCGGAGGGGGCTTCTGACGGCGGTAGACTATCGCGTAGTCCTCCTTGCCTCGCAGGTAGCGAAGCGATCGCTTGGCTGACTTGGCATGCGTTTCCCTGGGTGATTTCATCACCTTTGAGTGCTGGTGTACAGTGAAGGAGATGTCTGGTCTCGTCATCACACCAGCGTAGATCAGCTTGCCGTTCACGTGCTGATATCGAAAGCTGTCTGCCAGGGGCTCATGCTCGTCAGGAGTCACCAGACTGGTGATCGGGGTCGCAACAGGGTGCGATTCGTTCATGCCCTCGCATTCGAGGAGGTCGCGAATGTACGCCGACTGGGAGAGGCTGATCTGAGTACCCCCCTCTGTGGTGGTGATCCCGATCTCGACGCCCAGTAACCATTCGGGCGTTGGTGTCATTTCTGTCTCTAGCAACTGACGCATACTGAGTTCGAACGAAGCGACGTCAGTTTCGGCTCCTCCATAGAGGGCATCGTCAACGTGCGTTACCACGGTCACGCCTTTGCCGTGATACGTGGCAGGGTTTGTCATGAAGGGCCTAAGCCCTGCTGATGCCATGGTTTCGCGCAGCTTCTTCTGCCAGACGTGGCCGGCTTGCTTTAAGCCGTACAACGCTCGTTGTAGCCAAATAACGCGATTTGGCGCCCAGTCAAGCCGGCGTGCCACTTCGGGTTTTTGTTCGAAGTACTGCTGAAACAGTTCTCCTTGTTCCATAAAGATATCTTCGTCCAGCAGTCCGTACAGGTAGGCAGCGATCACGTCGAATTGACGCAGGGTCCAGTCAAACTGGACAGCTAGTGCCACAAGCATGCGCCAGGAGTCTGATCGAGAAGTCGATGCGAAGGTTTCGTTATAGTCGAGGCCCTGCCTCTGCTGAAAGCCTCTGGCTACCAGCCTCGCCTTCTTCTTTATCTCTTCTCGATTCGGTCCTCGCTTTTGCTGCAGCACCCACCTGCTAGTGATCGTCTTCCTGCTTTTTGGTTGGTCCACAAACTTGAAGACGCCTCTTGCGATCAAGCTGTCTATCTCCCTGAACATGGCCTCACGCCATTGATCTGACTTGCTTCCTGACAGCGCCTCCTTCACAGTTGGCTTATCTTTTTCTGTGTTGTGCGCACTTGGTGCGCGCTGTGCAAGGTCTGCGCTGCCCACTTCCATCAGATTGCGCGCGGCCTGAGGCAGCACTGCGCGTTCGTGAATAGGAGTCAGATCTGAGATTGTGACGATCTCCCAAGGTCGATTCGGGATGCCAGCTTGGTCCCGCAAGGGCTCCTCAAAGTCTTCCAGATCGAAGATATTATCCGGATCATCGTCTGGATCAGGCTCCCCCTCGACGTCAGAGTCAGGTTCTGGGATGAAGACGTCGTGGTCCTGCGTTTTCTGATCGATCGTCACCTTCTTGGTGCGGCGCCAGACTCCCTTGGGCCAGGATTTGATCAAATCCACGTCTTCCACGATTTCTTCGAATATATGCACGTCTTTCGTAACGACGAGCTTACTGCGGAGGATGGCCCAACACCTGTATAGGTGAGTCCCTTCAAAGCCCACAAGCATGGCCTCTTCGCCTCGTGGTTCAAGCTTTGAATCGCCTGCCTTCTGGATGACTTGTTCAGGTTTTCGAATCACGGCTCTGGAGCCAATTGTGCGCAAGTGAGAGACGTCTAGTACGAAGTTTTCGTCCTTCTTTCGACCGTTGTTACGTCGCCACTGGACAATTGGCACCTCCCCTCTGAAGTTGGCCACATGGTTTCGAATGTAGGTTGCCGACTTGCAGACTTCTGGCCAGAGCATGGGGGGGATACGACCTTGGAGATGAAGCATTCTGGTGCGAATGATGACCTCCTTGACTGCCCTCTCAGCTCCTCCGTTCTCAGCTGAGTCGTACGGAGGGCTAGGGATCACCCTAATGCCTCTTGGCACGCAGTAGCGCTCGATGGCCGTGATGGCGATGTCTGTGCCGTTGTCGAGGTGAATTCGAACAGGCTTGTAGCCTAGTTCATTTGCGTTTCTTTCGAGCACCGCTTTGATCGCGGGCGGTGCTTCTGTTTTCTTTTTGTGCACTAGCACTTCGATCAAACCCGTGAATTCATCCTTAATGACGGTGATATACCTTGACCCGTCGTAGCCAACTTGCTTGAATTGGCCCAGGTCAACGTGATATACCTCTCCTGGTCTCTGTGCATGAATTTCGCGTCTGTCTTTTGGCTTGAAGTGCTTAGCCTTTGCTAGTTCGCAGGGGGTGCAAACTGGCTCAGTGTTTTCTGTGACGTTTTCTGGCTTCACAAGCCCTCCTTCTACCTGCTTCAACGTCTCTTTGAGCGCCCTCCAAGACGGGTGACCCATCCTTTGATGAATAAGGCGCAGTTTCTGGCGCTCGCTCAGAGACTGCGCATAGCTTTTGGGTCAAATTCGTCAAATTCGGGATCAGTCTTAGCATCCCGAACGGAGTCTTGGTGAAATTCCTGAGCCGCGCAATTCATCTCCTTTTGACTCTCCCCCTGCGCGGGAGGAGGCTTGTTCTGAATTGGCACGGAGAAGCCAGTCTTTTCGATGTCGAATTGGCAAAAGGCTGCCCCATCTGCGGCCACCAGCTTGGTGCCGTTGATGTAATTGCCCGCCTTGTAGAAGCGCAGGCCAGACATAATGTTTAAGGGGAAGCCTGGTACCAAGAAAACGTGGTTCAAGGTCGCTCTGTGTGCCGTGCCGTCTGGTCCTATCATCTGGAGCACCACTTGGCCCGCAGACTTAGTGATAACAGGGCCACCACCGGTGTGAATCGTGATCGTGGCGGTGTGCTCTGTACCAGGTTCGAACCAACCAGGGTTGTTGGTGATATGAATATCACCTCCTGTGTCAAACAGCCAGTCGTCTGTGTGGCTACCATGAAAGTTGTGGAAGGGGGCATAGTAGGCATAACCCTCCGTTGGTTGGGGGCACAGATCTAGGCCTTCGCAATTCGTTCGCGCATCTGGCGCGCAGCTATCGTCATCCGTGGTAACGATGCTGTTGTGTGACCCATGGCAGGGGTCCACGTTCACCGCTTCCTGCAGGTCATCGGTGATCGTGACTGCACCGAAATCGGGTGCCAGCATGAACGCGAGCACCTCGTCCGTGGGTCTGAACCGGACGTTAGTCATGAAGCTGACTGCTTTGCCAGAGGGTTCTTTCTCCAACATGTTGCTGGTTTTGCCTCCAGAGGCCCACTCAGGGCGAAGCTCTGGGTTCTTCTTCCAGCATTCAGTGATTGTATGCCCGGTGCGATCGCAGTGCGTGCATTTCGCGCCCTCTTGGCGTTTGCTAGGAGCCTTAGTTTTCGGGTTTTTGGTGCCACGACTGCCGTCTTTTTCCCTGGTTGTCTTGTTTTCGGTTTTAATCTTGTTAGTGCTGGTGCTGCTGCTGTTGCCGCTTTTGGCGTTTGGTGCAGCAAACGTCCGCTCCTTGCAGCGGTTGGTGACGAAAAGCTTTACCGCTGCGTAGACTTCGTTGTTGGCTATAGTGGTCCATCTGCTTCGCCAAAGGTCAAGCACTTCTGCGTTTAGGGCAGGGAACTTTCTGCAGATGCAGCTAATCAGATTCACGGCCTTTTGCTTGCCCGTAAGCGGCTCGACATAGGTATCGTAGCCGCGAATGATTTCTTCGATTCTGGTGAAGAAGTCCTCCATCTTTTCGCTATCGTACCAGCGCATCGTTGTCTGAAATTTGGTGCCATAATCAATGGCCAGATCAGCTTCCTGTGGTTTTAGGAGCTGTTTGAGCGTTTCGTAAATGATCTCAATGTCATTTCCTTCAGTCTGCTTAAGCAAGCCGTCGTCAACCCGTAGGGTTACGGCGTATTTGATCGATTGACGGTTGTTGGTAGCCATCTGCCTAACAGTAGTAAAATCGTCAATGCCTAGCAGGCTAAGGCCTTTAAATACGTTCTTCTCCCATTCATTCCAGTCTGCGCCGCTGGTAAGCGTTGGCACTTGCTTCGAGCAGTGGCTTACGAACAGCTTGATGCATGTCGGGTCGACCTGAATCGGATCAGGCGCCGCTGCACTGGCTTGTGACATGGTAGGAGATTCGGGTTTTGGTTCTGGATCGTGAAAAGATTCAGAGGTTCGTGACTGCTGATCAGGTTCTTCACCACCAGCGTCGTTTTCGTTGTTTGGAGTGTCTTCGTCAAGCTCAGCCCCGTGAATGCTATTTTCGTTAGCCACGTGAATGCTGCTTCCGATGCTTGATTCGGACTCAGCGTCTGATTCTGATTCAACGATCAGAGGTCTGCTGCTTAGTCTGCCACTGGGAGTTCTGTTCCAGCCAGGCGAGGTCATGAATATGACCTTGGTGATCTTGACAAGGTTCTTTTCGTCCGTCAGATCAGTGCCCAAAGCACTAGGTGCTTCACGAAGCGTATCGTAAAGGCTTTTCGGTTTATTTGTTCAGCTTCTCCCGGTCCTCTTGGGCCGGGCTCATAACCTGTGAAGGTTAAGGGAGGCTATACGTAGCGGTCATATAACGTGATGCACTGTGAGGAGCAGGAGGCTGAATAGGGTCTAGTGTGGGCGAAAGAGTGTTGTGTACTTTAGGAAGAAATAGATACATCGCGACCCTTCTGGGGATCCGTATTAATACTAGTGTCAGGCCCCGCTTTTGTGCCTTCTGACCAATTACAGGCCAGTACGGCCAAGTGGGGCGGAAGGGCCACAGTGTGGCGGATTCCAATGCTTGACAGTAATGTAGCTTTTTCTTCCCTAGTACAACACGCAGATCACCACCTTCATGCAGGCAGACCCATACAGTGCCTTCCCCTTCCCCTGTCATTAGCTAAGTTGTGACAAAATGTGATCAATGCGCTGAACGCTTCCTATGGCTTTTGCAACACTGAGCTCCACTCTCTTATTGGCTTAATGATCAGGACTTGCCGCAAAACGTCAACAAGTCAAATTGGCTCAATGGTCTAGTGGTATGATTCGCGCTTCGGGTAATTCCCTTTACATAAAATGTAAAATGTGCGAGGTCTCGGGTTCGATCCCCGATTGAGCCCAATACTTTTGTTTTCTTTTGCTTGAAAAGCAAATTCGCAATCTTCGTACTTGCCGTCCTTTTTTTGTGCTCTGTTTGGCTTTCTACACTTCTGCTTGCTCGTTAGTGCTGTCTGTTATCATGCATGGTTCGTTCTTCCTTACACTCTTTTGATCGTGGGCCTATTCATTATGAAAGTCCGCTATCTGCTCTTGTATTTATCGTAGTGTCTTCTGGTATGTGATATGAGAGTTGAACTGTTTGAGCCCATCGTGCTTTCCCACTTGGGAAAAAAGAGACTGGCATTTGTCACGCATATAGACATGCTATACCTTCCTCGAAGCTTCATCTTTTTCGAAGATGTGAGTTAACTGTCCCATTCTGCCCTTGCGTTGATTTTGACTTCCATCGATCTGCCGTTGAGAATCCTCAGTATGAACTCGTTGGCACCTGTCCCGGGGGATACGCCACAGCTGTCCGTGCGCCAGCTTGGTACATCTTCCAAATCTCGACAGCATGCAACATTGCGACGAACAGGGGCCTCTGAAGGTCAATCCAAAAGTGTTGGGACTCAACGGCCGCCGTTCTCCATCGGCCCACAAGAGAACCGCGGCGTTATCTGTGCCGTTTGCGATTCACACAATTTAGGACGCTCTATCGGCCTCGCCTTCATCAACATCCCCATTGCGGAAGCGGTCATCACCGACGTAAGTGACACACAGTTCTATCCGAAAACAGTTCACAAGATTCAAATGATGGAGGCTTCTACAATCTTAATGCCTGTCATAACCTCGACCGATCCGGGACTGGCTCTTCGTTCCCATATTGACGAAGAGATGCGCGGTATACCGATAGTCCACACCCCCAAGACGGACTGGTCCAAAGCTGCGGGATTGAAATGTATCCAGGACGTGGCTTTCAAGTTAGATCTTCCTGCAATTGAGTTTGCCCTGGAGGAGAGCTATTACGCCGTTTGTGCATTTTCCGCGGTAAGAGAGCTATGGGGACAAGAAAGTTGTTTGTGAAAATTGCCGGCTGCAGCATGATTAACAAGACAATTCAAGGCTATGAAATATGTCCACGACGAGTTTGGTTTTACCTTTGACAAGCATTCCGTCCGAATCAAGTACCAACCACCAGCCAACGTGATGATGATCAGCCTCCCAACAATCCAGTCCTTGGAGCTTCTGGAGAATGCGCAGCATTCTCGCTCAAAAGACTGCCTCTTTGGTCTTTTGAACAAGACACTGACGCCGATGGGATCGCGAATTTTGAGGAACAACATAATTCAGCCATCAACACAATCCTGCATCCTTTCCCGACGATTTGCAGCTGTGGGTGAACTATCCACGGAGGACAACTCGTTCTTTGAAATACAATCCGGTAAATGAACACCTCCAGCTCCTACATATGCCTCTCAAGCTGATTACCAGCTCTTGGCGTATTGAAACCCCTCGGTGATATTGAGCAATTGATTACAAAGGTATGTCTGGCATCCAGTTTAAGAATAAATTCTCTTTTCTGACCTAATTGGTTACATTAGTTGGTCATTCTTCCAAAAGATGGATCTGTGTATGAATCCGAGCAGGCGGTCAACAACATCCTCAGACTGAAGACGTTTCTCGTTGCTGTGCCAGATTTTTTTCGGTCGATGGTAGAGGCAAGCTCTGAGCTTTTGGTCGGAATCCGTGAGAGTTGCAGGCCTGAGCCGGCAGAGGAGATAATGCAGCTTATCGACTGCACTATTGACCACAACGCTTCGTATGCCACAAAGCCTCTCGAGCTGCGAAACCAGCGAGTGCACACTGTGAAAGTAGGTTCTACAGTTAAGAGCGGATGCGCACACACTGACATCACTGCAGCATGAGGTATCAGCTAGCCTGGACATTCAGAGAAAACTTTACGAAGACTTCACACGAAAGGCTCATGACTATGCAAAAAACCTCGAAGGTGAGCCGAAACTATGCCCATTGTGATAGACACTCATTAATACGTCCCAAAGGAGAGCTCAGAGTAAAGGTCTCATTGAAGTACTCTGACGCTCGAAGGTTCTATTTGCGAGTCCAAGCAAAGGACTTTGGCCGTCACGGCCCCCCGGCAGTCCTTATCAACAAAACTCGATCAAAAGACAGTATTGACTGTCAGACTCTGAAGCTGGTCCAATACAATGAACAGATAAATCGAGCAGTCAAAGAAGCAATAAGTGAAAGTGACGAAGTGATCAAACAATTACTGTTGAGCATTCGACCGCATGTTCATATTCTGTACAAGTACTGCGAGAGCATTGCACTTGTTGACATGCTGGCATCGTTTGCCAGCCTTGCCAGAATCTACAATTACGTTCAACCGGAGATTCAAGATACGGTGTTTAGTTTGACCGAAGTACGACATCCTATTCTTGACTTTGTAAGTCAGACACTTCTGGCGATTCATCACAAAGCTTCAGCAGAGCGATTTTTTGAGGCCTAACTGATTAACAGCATGGCGTCAATAATTGTGTCCCAAACGACTACTTCATCACGGAAGAGAGCAGGTTTCAGATTATCACCGGACAGAATATGAGTGGCAAGAGCACATATATCCGGGCGATTGCCTTGGTTCATATTATGGCGCAGATAGGATGCTTTGTTCCTGCAGAGACGGCGCGACTACCAATACTACACAGTCTCTTCGCCCGGGTCTCTACAGATGATATACTCGAGGCAAGCCTGTCTACATTTTCCGTCGAGATGAGAGAGATGGCATTTATTTTGAGGTTCGTTACAGTGCCGAGGAACACGACGAGGGGTTATAGAGCACTAACGGAGGTCGGTGGAAACTTCAGAAATGTGAACAACAAAAGCCTTGTGCTTGTTGACGAGCTTGGGAGGGCGACGAGCACGCGGGATGGGTTGGCCATTGCAGCAGCTATATCAGAGGCCCTTCTTCAGAGCGGAGCAACGGTGTATTTCGCGACACACTTTTCTGAACTGGGTAACAATCCGACAGAGTCCGACCGCATCAGTGTCCAGGATTACTGACAGATTGGGGTTTCTAGCAAAGGGCCTTGCAAGCCGTATTGGGGTCACAAACCGACACATGAAGACAGAGACACAGGCGGGACTAAGCGGAGCTGCCAATATTCCTACTACCAAGATGCTGTATCGAGTGTACGATGGGCCCGAGCGGGAGGAGAGCTACGGCATTTCTCTCGCGCGGGCGATTGGGTTTCCGGGCGCTTTTATCGCAAAGGCAGAGTCTGTTGCGGGCGAGCTCCGACAACAAGCGCGGGCAAATCGTACGGACGAGCACGAGCTACAAGAGGCGAGACGGCAAAAGTTGGTGACGGAGCTTGTGAGGCAGCTGAGATTGGGGCATCGCAGCCAGGCCGACGATGAAGAGTTATGGAGGTATTTGCAACAGGTCAACGATAAATTTTGGTCAAACATGTTTGCCTCGGAAAATGTTGAAGAGCTTGAAGGAAGCGGGGATGACGAGATTGACTACGGCCATTCAGCTGAAGACGAGCTGGAGTATTTTGAACAAAGGCATAGCGAGATGACGTACTGAAAGTAGGGCAAAGAACGAATATTATGAAGACGTGAAATGGCATTCTATGTGGTATATGGGAAGCAAAGGTCTGGCGGCATAGTTTAGATACAGTTGAGGCCACAGAACAGATAACGATGATTAGACTGATTGCGCGAGCAGATTGTGTGCAAAGGGACAGTGCGTATAAAGATTCCAGATCAAAGGCTGGCCGATTCGTCCGCGGGGGCCAAGTTGTCGCGCCAGATGTGGGTGTCGCCGAGGCTGAAGGAGCTTGAGGCGCTGCGGTCAAGCGTGCGACCGGGAGGGACGACGCTGGGTCCAGTGTTGGGGGCGGACTGGGGGTCGAGGCTATTGGGGCTGTCGGAGTTGTCAAAAGGGGACTCATTGCTGTCGTCGTCTGAGACGGGGATGAGGGGAGGAGGATCGTGGTAGATCCAAGGTTGTTCGAGGCTGTATGATTAGCGGAGAAAGGAAGAAAGGAGAAAAGAGGGAGAAAAGAGGGAGAGAAGAGGGAGGGAGGGAGGGAGGAAGAAAAAGGAGAGAAGAAGAAAACAAACGAAACAAAAAAGAAAGAATAAACTAAAGGAGGAAACTCACGGAACGACCAGACTTGGGTTCACAAAGCCGGTGCTCTTGTCGCGGGCGTCGTTGAGGGTGCTGGTGCGGCGCAGACGGCGACGACGGGCAAAGGTGAGGTTGCCGAGGCCGCTGTGCAGTTCGTCGTCGGAGAGGGGGGAGGCATCGCCGTCACGGCGGACGCTGAGCAGGGCGATATTGCGGGTCAGCGGCTCAAAGTGGGCGCGGAAGTAGTACATGTACCAGACGGTGAAAACGAAGAGCGGGATGACGAGGGTAGCCTGGACAAAGGCCTTGTTGGCGCCGAGATAGCCGGACATGGTGAGGTGGAAGACAGCGAGGCCGAGGAGGATGCGGTAGCAGATGATGCGCCAGGCGCCTCCGGTGGCGTGCTGGGGCTGGTCCATGGCGTAGAGCAGCTGGTACTTGTACGTGAGGGCGCCGAGAGCGAAGTAGATGGAGCCAAGGGCGAGGCCGAGAAAGCCGCGCGGCAGGACAGAGTAGACGAGGCAGAGGATGAAGACGAGCATAGCGGTCGGCAGGTAGAAGCCGTAGGAAAAGGTCGGCGGCGTGTTGACGAGGCGGGCAAGATCGCGGGGCGTGCGGGCAGCTAGACGGGCGATGGGGTAGAGGGCGATGGAACCGAACTCGAGTAGGCGCAACGGGAAGAGACCGAGGCTCTGCAGCATGATGAAGTTGAGGTAGAAAATGCTGAGGCGCTGGACCTCGCGGGCGAGGGCGTAGGCGATGTAGGTGGTGTCGTGCAGGCTGTCACGAAGGACGGCCCAAATGCCGGTAGCCGTGCCGAAAACGGTGAAGACGAGGAAAATGTTGAAGAAGGTGAAGAAGAAGTTCTTGCTGATGATCGACAGCTCGACGTCGCCGCGGCTCAACATGCCCTGGCGGTACGAGAGGAACTCATACAGGTACGGCACGGCCACATTGAGCAGCGAGACGACAGCGGTGGGCAGGCCGGTCTGCACGAGCGCCTTGGTGATGCCGTGTCGCGCCAGCATGTGAGCCAGGGCCGGTGCCCACTTCTGGATGGTGCAGAGGCTGAGCAGCGAGGCTAGCGACGCCACAGGCACCAGCCACACAATCGACAGGATCGTGATGAAGATGGTGATGGCCCATGCGTGCAGCCTGCGCTGCGTCCGGGTGGCGTACGTATTGGGCCAGATAATGTCGGACGGTGAAGGTGCCATGCGGGCCAGCAGCTCGCCTGGTCGCGGGTCCAGCAGTGCCTGGATGGCCATCTGACAGGCGGCCACCGAGTCCATCGTGACAAAGGCCAGCTCTGTGGCCTCGTACTCCTGGCGCCGGGCCGCGCAGATCTGCTCGTCCAGCAGCCGCAGCTTCTCGCCGTAATAGTCGAGCGCGTCTGTCTTGCGATTCTGCAGGTGCATCACGCCATACCAGATCCGTACTTGCGGCCGTTTGCGCAGCAGCGGCTGGTTCTCGACGTTGTCGTCGCTGTTGCTCAGCAGCGCGTCTGTGTCGGCAGGCAGTAGGCCCTCCTCCTCGTCGTCGCGCCGCACCACACCAGCCGGTGCACGTTCCGGCTTCTGTGCCAGGTACGAAGCCCAGGTCTCCTCCAGCGTCTGCAGCAGCTGCCGGCGGTCGGCCACGAGGGCATCCAGGGCCCCCCACTTGCGGCACACGGTGACGCTGTCGACGCGGCCAATCTCGAGCTTCTCGACCAGGGTCTTGATCTTGTCCTCGGACCGGAACTCCTTGGGGATACCGGTCAGGCGGAACGTGCGGTCGGTCACGGTGGCCTGCGAGCCGAGGTACTCCTGGCGGACCTTGATGACGCGGAAGGTCTCGCGGCTCATGAAGTAGTAGGTCAGGAAGGTAAAGAAGTAGATGAAGACGAGGTAGGCCCAGAGGTGACCCTTGGCCCGGTTCCAGCTGTCGTCCTCGTCCGGGTCGTCGTCGACGGCCGAGGTGACCATTGTGACTGCCGTCGTCTCGTCGACAAAGTGCCGGTTGATCGGCTCCAGCACGACGGCGGCAAAGAAGAACATGACGGTAAACAGCTTCAGGCTCATCTTGAAAAAGGCCAGGAAGACAAAGGCGTCGAGACCGGCCGAGGCCAGCACCTGGTCCTCGGTGATGTTATACAGCACCGGCAGCCAGCCGAAGAACGAATCGGGCAGCACGGGCAGCGCGGCCGAGGCGTGGACCGTCTGCCGCCGGGCGGCGTACAGCGATTTCCATCGTGGCCGGAGAATCTGTGTGGAGACGGAGGCGAAAAGTCAGAACAACAGCACGGCACATGCCAATTGGGCACCAGGCCGGAGACCGCCTCTTCCAGGCAACACAGCTTGCCACTCACGCAGAAGGAGAAGAAGCCAAAGAGACCGAGGGCGAGCGAGATGACCAGCTGCACCTGAATGTCCTTGTTGCCGGGCGCGACGTAGATGTCACCGGGACACTCGTCTGTTTGGTTGGAGTCCATGGTCCGGTGCGTGCATTGGGCGTCCAGTCCATCGATGTTAGATTGAGAATGGGCATCGACCCGTAAACAAGGCGATTTTAGCTTTTGCCTTGGCAGTGACGTTGCGTGGCTGACGCCACAGGTCACGGGACAGTGGGGCGGTACGACTTGATTCAGCCACGTGATGCTGCTACAGGGTAGTCTGCGCATGTACGGAGTATTGATAGCGCTTTACGTACAGAGTACGGAGTATATCTCTTAGTTCTCCCCTCGCTTGTCCTTGCTCCTCCCCCTAAATTCTGACTGGCAAGGAGTCCTGCCGGACGTACGGGACGTGGGCACGGACCAAAACGTTCTTGCAGGGCCGTGCGAGCAGAAAGTCGTCGAGATTCTGTAGGGTACCAGCGGCGATCTCGGTGAGGGCTTCCTCGGTAAAGAAGGCCTGGTGGCCGCAGACGATGACGTTGGGAAAGGTCATGAGGCGCATGAGCTGGTCGTCGTCGATGATGTCGCCCGAGTGATCGTCGTAGAAGAGGCTGCCCTCGCTCTCGTAGACGTCGAGGGCGAGCCCGCCGAGGCGGTGTTCCTTGAGGGCGGCGATGACGGCGCGGGTGTCAATGAGGCCACCGCGGGACGTGTTGACGAGCAGGGCGCCGGGTTTGGCGTGGGCGAGGGCGTCAGCGTTGATCAGGTGACGGGTCGACTCGGTGAGAGGACAGTGAAGACTGATGAAGTCGCAGTGGGGGAGGAGGGCGGCGATGGAGGGGAGGAAGTTGGGGGTGGCTGGATGAAGGAGGGAGTTTTTAGAGCTGTCGGAGTTCTCAGGGGTTCCGACAGAATCTTGGACAGACTTCTCTCCAGAGGTTGTCCCCGCCAACGCCGCAAACTCTGCCTGGGCCTCGTCGCTTGCGTGCGGATCAAACGCCAGCACGCGGCAGCCATAGCCACAACGAAGAATACGGGCAGCAGCCATGCCGATGCGACCGACGCCGACGATGCCGACCGTCTTGCCGTGCAGCGTGCGGCCGAGCAGGCCATCGAGGCTGAAGTTGCCCTCGCGCACGCGGTTGTAGGCCCGGTGTGTCTGACGGTTGAGCGTCTGTAGCAGCGCCACGCTGAACTCGGCCACGGCCTCGGGCGAGTAGCTCGGCACGCTGGCCACAAACAGGCCGAGTCGCTCGGCTGCCGCCAGGTCCACGTTGTTGTAGCCGGCGCAGCGCAGCAGCACCGCCCCGACACCCTCGGCCGCCAGCGCCTCCAGCACGGCCACGCCCAGGCCGTCGTTGACAAACGCGCACACAGCCGTGGCCCCGCGTGCGAGCGGGACCGTGTCGGTGCTGAGGGCAAAGTCGTGAAAGGCCAGGGCGACGTCGCCTGCGTTGGAGGTCGTCGCCTGGCGATGGGCCAGCGCGGTCCTGAGGTACTTCTTGTCGTACGGCTTGGCCGAGAAGACGGCCACGTTGACGGGAGCCATGGGTCGTGTTGAGTGTGATTAGTGGTGGTGGGAAGAGTGAGCAACGACAGAAAAGGATGCTTTCACCCGTTGTCTTCCGCTTGCTGTCGCAGCGTCTTGGCCATACTAAGCAGCCGGCTGGCCTCAGCTAGCTCTGTCTCACCCCGTCAGCCACCTGTCAGCCATTGTGACGGCCCAACGGTCGCAGTGCGCCGCCAAGACCGAGGTGGCCGATATGTTGTCTTGTGCGCAGCGGAATGCTGGAGGAACCCGACTGCAAAACAGCGGGGAAACCAGAAGGTCAAGAGCGGCGCCTAGCACGCTTACGACGCATTGAACGTCTATTTCTGTAGTCGGTCGACGTGCTGCTCATGTCTTCAGTGCCAAGACGAGAAAGCGATGAAAAGGGCGGCCCACTTTCTGATGGCCGTTTCGGCTTGTTTCACGCAGGCGGTGAATTACGGTAAAAATAGCCCCCCCCCGCGCTGTTTGGCTGCTGGAGAGCCGCCAAGACACTCTGTAATCTTGGCTGTTACAGGGGCGTGCTCTGATCTGCGTCGGCTTCCAGCAATCACTGTCGTACCCCAGACTCAGACGGCAGTTGATACAGTTGTGGTCTTGGCTGTCACAGTGAGACCTGATTGCTGCAAATGCTGCCTCTTGGCCGACAGGTTTTGTATTTGATGTCGACTTTTGTCTTGTTTCCGAACGTCGTTCTTTGTCTTCAGAGTAGAGCTCTTGTTTAGACTTGGCAGCAGGACTGCCTTTAATTCTTGTTTCTTTTGTCATCTGTTTACATTGTACCCTCTCATACAGCCGGCTGTCTTGAGCTACTTTGACTTCTGCTCTCTTTACATCACCATCTACAACAATGGGGTAAGTAAACGGACCGCCAACTTACGAAGCCCAACTAACATACTTGTAGCGTTCTACACAGGCGAAAAGCACGCCAGGGCATTCCTGACGACTTGGTTATCGAGATCCGAGATGCAGCGCCGGACGTTGACAGCTTGGATAGTGCTAGCAGTACCGACAGCGTCGATAGTGTCAGCAGTATGAGCAGTGTCGGCAGCATTGATAGCCCAAACAATGCCGAAGGGACCAACAGCACGACAGCGTCACTGTTGACCCGTCGGTCTCGGCTGCTGGGCCGGATGGCCTCTCGTCTACGTATCGACACGAGGCAGACAGTCTCTCCATCCAGTCAATCCAGCTCCAGCAGTCCAGGAGTTGCTGGTCTTCCCAGCCCGAAAAGTCCAATCACGCCCACGCTTGGAGCAACCGATAAAAGCTCACCTCCCACCTCTCCAGTCTCACCAGCGTCACCCACAGAAGTCGTCTTACTACCAACAGCAGCTCCTGTGACGGCAACACAGACTCGTCCCCCTGCCACAACAATATCTGCCTCGAATATTTCACCCCCTCTACCTGCCTTGCCAGCAATCACGTCCTCTATAGGCACTACAGCCACCACATCTACGACACCTGCCACGTCAACGGTGTCTACTACGTCCATCGCATCTTCTTCTACAGCAGCCAAATCTAAAAAAACTTCGTTTGTCACATCAACACGCCCAGCCTCATCTTCTACTGGGGTTCGTCAGATCACAGTGCTTCCACTTTTTGGAGATGACACTGCCGCTACAACCACGCTGCAAGCTATTCCATCTGCCACCGCCACGAATGATACCTTGACCAATAAGGCCAAACAGTCCGACTCTGGTCAAGTCGGTGTGCATATTGCCCTTCCCGTCGTGTGTGAGTACAGCCAAAGATAACGTATATTTGGCACCTTGCTGACGCCATCAGTGTCTGTCGGCGTGACGGGTGCCCTGCTCTTCTTCCTGTGGCGATGGTACAAGAGGTGCCACCCCGACAAGAGCAGCGGTATCGACCAGGCTACTCTCGCCGGAGGCGCTGCTCCCATGGGACAACATGACCAGACACGCTTCCGCAGCGACGAAAGCGTCATGGCCGATCTCATGGACGCTGCATATGCCGCTGAGAATGGCGGCTTGCGGAATAGCCAGATGACCAGGCCCAGGCCCAATGGGGTTTTCGCAGACGAAAAGATGACGGCCAGACATCAGATACGCCAGATGGACGGCCCGCAGGCATCACTCTCGCCCAGGACCCGTGGGCCTGTATTCAGCTGGTTGGGTGGCGTGCGATCAGGGGCCCCGACAGTTCGAGGCAGTGTGGCCGTGCCGCAAAGTGTTGTCTCGTCCGACCGGTCTACCATTGCGGCCTGGCCTCGCAATCTGGAACCGACGAACTACCCAATCAGATATATGGAGCAAGAGAGAATACGGCCCTCCTCGCCAGCCCAGACGGCCATCACACAAAATGCGAGTGCCCATACCGAAAGCAGTTGGAACACTTGGGGCGTCGAGCAGTATAGACCATCTGAGAAGAAAAAAGGGCTCCTGGGAAGGCTGAAGGCAGGCCTGACTGGCTCACTGTGAGAGGGAGTTTGAACATGGCCCGAGGTAGCTGCCTTACATTGCTTATATCCCTACGCCTTTGGCAGACGTATTGTATCGTACAACAGTAGAGTTTTGCTTATAAACACAAAGATCTACCATAGATGAGAAAAACCATCAGGAATGAAAGTGCATCTTCATACGGCATCTTCCGGCTTATGATTCCCGAGACGAGATTACGCTCTTCGAACTACGTATTCATCTTCTTCCGTTGCTGTTGTTGCCTGGACACCACCATGCAACAAGATGCCGCAGGACTCCCACGTAGGCAGGTGTCTGATATGCCGTGATTCACTGGACGTTCTTGATGTGGAGAACCCTCTGTACGGAGTAGTTTGTGCTCCATGTGAAATAAGTGTCTGTTCACCCCTTTGGGCCGACTTTTTTATTGATGCTTTAGTTTCTCGCGGTCCGTTCCTTGAAATTGCCTCCACCATGATCTTCTATTTTTGGCTAGCTGACGACGAGGTTCCATGGGTGCGCTCGCCGTGTTTTGCGATCTGTCTTGTTGGTCTTGACCATGATCTTCACACAGCCCGCCGACTTCTCCACTGGCATCGCAGAGATCAACCCTGCCCCAATGGCCATACCCATGACGCCCAACTTCTCTTCGACCACGCCGAGCTCATCTCCCACCTCGTCCTTAGCGAGCCCATCCGCAACCTCCTCCGCCCTGCAGCGCTGTTCTCGTGAGGACCGGACCTTGTTCGTTCCGATGTTCACATCGTTTCTTCTAGATAAAGTGTACCTGGTCACTCGTGATATTCTATCTCTTCTAGGCAGGCCTTCTAACATGGATGCTGAAATTTGGTAAACATACTTCAGTAACATAGCATGTCCGCCAAATCACACCCCTCGACGCCTGTCTCCCCATCCTCGGACACTGACACTACTCGTACGAGTACGCCGGATCAAGAACAAAGCCAGATTAGCTTTGAGGAAGAATCCACAACGGTTGCGAACTACGGAGTAATCGATCCCCCCTCGTAAACCGATGCTCCACGCAAGAAATTGTTACAGGGATATCTACCTAACCGCTGTAGGAAATCCTCCGATGTGGATTCCGGGAAAAACGGGTCAACCGGTCATTCAAGTTGACAAATACAGATATGCAACTGGCCGGTGCCTGGCCGTGGAAACGACAACGGGCACACAAAGCGCGTCCCACACTGCAAGGGCATAGAAAACATGTACTGCACAGAAAATCAGAGGCGCACCACTGTGTGCAAGCTGCTACGAAATATACGTCGTAAGATATCTCCTCATAATGAGGGTCGTGATCTTAGTGGAGTTAGGATCTGTCAATGACTCAATCTGTTTGAGATAACCGTTCAAAAAAGGAAGGTCGGAGAGACCGGAAGTCCAATGGTAAGATACAAGCGGAAACCGCTGATATTGAGCCGCACAAAGCAGGCAGCAATGAGGGACAACAGTGAGAGGCGCAACCAACTTGCACGTACACAACTTGCCTGATTAATCCCTTTATATCAAATCCACACCCATGTAACACAGCTGATGATGTGCTCAAAGAAGGCTGCCACAAATTAAAATCCAGTCAGTTTCCACCAAGTTGGCAGATTATTTCCCATTCTAGCTCGGAAGCTGCAACTTCCAATGACTACAGCTAACCACGCATGGAAATTGGACAACAGCGGCCGCGGCCCCCTCCGTGTGCCCGGTTTTGGCGGGATTCCCATCGATTACCAGCTGCCCGTCGACGAACGTTTTGCCCATGGCTTCCGGGAATGACGCCAGAGTCCCCCCGTGACCGCCCAAGAGCTAGCAATGGTGGCCGTCATGGACCGGTTGACACACAAGCTAACGTGGTTCGAGGACGTCTTTGACAACACGATTGTCGCGCAATGGCGTGAAGAGCTGGACCGGGATCACTTCATCGCGAGCCCCCGGCTGATGAAAGGCAAGACCTGGGACTGGTGCGTGCAGGAGCTCCGCGACAAAGCCGTCTACTACAAGGAGCATCAGCATATACGCGTGCTGGATACCGGTCCTTGTGTCTGCAAGGTCGATAATGCTAGGCTCCAGCCCCTCGGTGCGTTACTCCGGCGGGCTGCTAACCCGCTAATCGACGTACAAAGCAAATCAACAGCGCCAAGAACGGTGAGAGTGGCTTGAGAATAGCCAGATGAAGCAGTTTCGACAGGAAGCGGGCGGATGTATTGATGCGGATGCAAAAGCAGGTGTGGAAGCATGTGTGGATGCAGGTGTGAACGCACAGCCAAACATGGGACTGTACGCTCAAGCCAACGACCACGAGCCAAGTTGGTTCGCCACAGAAAAAAGAGAAGAAAGAGAAGAAGCTAGCCATATGACTACGGGCGAGCAGATTGAAATCAACAACGAGCAGGAGTTCGAGGACGAGCATCAAGCAGAGGACCAAAATCTCGCATTGGACCAGAACACGGCATATACTCTTTCATATGACGAAGAGATGGACAAATTAACCGATGTTACAGCTGATTCAGACTGGGACTGGAAGAGCCAGGCATGGCAGCCGAACAAAGGCAGCATACTCAACATCGCTGGGTCCGCTCACATGATTTCCACCCTCGTCGATCCGCTGCTATTTCCGCTGGTGTACGGTAAAACTGATGTTTTACAACATGGGGGCACTGTCCCTCTTAGCAATGTACTGGCATCATATGGCGCCACACAAACCGCACCGCAGCCCATGGCGGGCGAAACCCTCCAGGCTACATGTCCCTGGAGTCGAAAATATCAGAGTCTTCCGTGCGAGGTCGCATTTGATAACGACAGCGGCGATAGCAACAATAACAAAGTCAAAATCACATCATACATCAATGGACTTCACTCCAACCACGCAGGGATGTACCTGGCCATCGAACGGGTGCTCGCATGCGTCATACAGCCCTGGAATGACTGTCTTGTCCGTGGAGACCGCGACATGGTCGACCGTTGCAACCTGGGCCAGCTAGGACCTATCCCGGCTCGCATCATCACATACGGTATGGAATGGGAAAATGAACTACCCGATTGGGCGACTGCGTTCCGGATTCCGACTAAAGGCAGGAAACAGGAATACTTTGAAAACCAGAAGATACTGCAACGCCTACCAAAGGACGTCAGGAAGAGGAAATGGGAAGACGACGGCCTAGCATTTGAATTTGCCGACGTCATTAATAAAGAACACCGGACTCTGCCACCACGAGACTCGGACCCGTGGCGGCGAGCCAGAGAATATCTCGAGAGGCCCGAGCAGAACCTCAATACGGACGAAACCACCTGCGTAAATCAAGTCACCATGCCCCCTAACGACTGGGTCATAGGGGACGAAAGAACGTGGGATCTCTGCGAGAAGACCGAGCGACTGATCTGCTACAGGCATCCCGAACCGGGAACGGCTTTCAACTACGAAGAGTGGAAGATGGGCCGCCATAATAGCCGGCCAATCGTAGACAAGGCAGTTCCAGAACCGAGGCAAATTACAGAACGCTTCCGGTGCCCGCCGTTTACCCCGCCACACATGCGTTATTTGGTAGCGTTGCAAGACCACTTCCGGGACCAGGGCCTGCAAGTGCTAGCCGAGACCAGTAGCATCGAGCTTACACCGGAGGCACCGGCCTATGCACCGCACGCGGCCGCTCGAGCGGAAGTGTATGCCGCGAGGACTGCTAAAAAAATTGCAATGGCCTTGTCTGAGTGTAAACCTATATACCCGATAAGACAACCAGACAAAGATGGCTGGCAACTGTCCGGCCAGCTGAATGAGCACATTGCTGCTGTTGCCGTATTCGTATTTGATGTTGTAGAGAACATCACCGAGCCTCGCCTGGCCTTTCGCCAGAGAACGTCTTTAGACTATTCGCTCCACCGATACGACGAGTTTTATCAGCCGCCGGCTAATGCTTCGAAAGACTATAACGCTTGGGCTGACGGGCCAGCCCATATGATGGGCAAAGGATAGGAAGCCGGGGCTTTGGCCGAGATACTCGGCGTCGTGCCGCTTCTTTCAATATCCCTATCAGCACATCGGTTCCGTGGCCACGCCGCAGAATCGCTTGGTGGCATTTCCAAATGTTTTAGAGCACCGCATTGACCCCTTCCGCTTAGTCGATGACACAAAGCCTGGGCACTTTCGCTGGCTAACACTGTACCTGGCCGACCCACACTACCGTGTGTGCTCAACCCGCAATGTGCCCACCCACAGCAGCACGACTGGTGGGCGTGAGCTGTCAGCCACGAACTTGCGGTGACGGCCGGGCTGTCACAGAAAATCATCAATCAAATCATGCAGGACAGGAAAAGCTGGCCGATGGGAGTGGGCGAAGCTCATTGGCACAGGGAGCAGCTGGTTCAGGAACACCGCCGAAATGAAGAATATCGGTGCAATTCGTGGTATGATGCTGATATGTAGGAGGATTGAGTCACGGAACGTCAGTGACGTGAACAAGCACAAAATCACCGTCATAGCAAAAGTCTTTGCCTGGAACAGCTATCATCAACTTTGAGTATTTTCTGCAATCCGTCATGCATACTGATCCCTCCGAAATCACTCCACACTGGCCTTTGGTGACAATTGAGTATCGAGACAAAATGTGGGGTTTTAGCACACACTTATCCGAGCACTCCATACAAGAATACACTGTATACGTGCATACTCGTTACAACGAAAATTCGGGTCCACATGCCCCATATTAATATGAGTCATACGATTTGCAGTACTCTGTACCCCGTACTCCTAACCAAAATTGCTCTCCCTCCTTTCTCCTTTTCACAAAACAAGCTTCACTTTTTTATCACCTGCATCTCGCACTCAACACAGCCACGATAAGACACGTTCAAGGAGCGAGCACCTCGCGCTCTCGGCCAAGCTACCGGCTTCAACCTATCGATCGAGAGTCATCTTATTCGTTGGGAAGACCTGGGGCCTTGAGAAGGGACCTGCGCAGACTGCACGTCAGAGGAGCGAGCACCTCGCGCTCTCGGCCAAGCTACCGGCTTCAACCCATCGATCGAGAGTCATCTTATTCGTTGAGAAGACCTGGGGCCTTGAGAAGGGACCTGTTTAGACTTCTGGCCTCACGCCTGGGGGACGAGCGGGTCGCCTGCCAGCGAATCTGGCTCCTTTGTCGTGCGTCTTGTTAAAGCAGGTCGCCTGCTAGCGAATCTGGCTCCTTTTTCGTGCGCTTGTCACCTGGCTGGCGAATGCTCGTGCTGTGCATGCTATCGTGAGTTGCCCTCCCTTGCAGTACTGATGTGACCATAAATAGGAAACGAGAGCTATCTGTTCGACAATGTCAAAATGCCTCAAATTCACTGCGACCGCCGTTGTTGAGTGGGACCAATCCGACGAAAGGCACTTTTTCACCGACCCCGATGCCCGCTCCAAGTTGACGTTCGAGGGTCGCTTCTACGACGATCCAGGCTTATGCAGCTTTTTCCAGCTTTCCGTTCCAGTCTACCTCCAAGGCATCTCGTGCAGCACGAAAATACTGCTGCCAATCTATCCCGACGCTATCACAGCCCTTGAATCGGAAAGATTGCCCTCTTCGCCAGCCTTTGTGGACAAGAAATTGCCCGGCAGCTGTGTTTATTTGCGCTTCCGGCTTGCTCGCCCCATCTGCATGATTGTTCCAGTCAAGGCAAAGACGCCGCTCACACCTGGGCGACATGTCTCGGCCAACGTGCTCGACAATCTTCGCTCCTTAGCACAAGCTACAGAAATGACAGTGTACGTTTCGGATCGCAAGCTTTCGAGAGATAAGGTGCAGACGATACAGGGCAAGCTCGAGACGCACAGGACAATTCCACAAACGCGTTCAGCGCCGCCCACACACGACTTGGCCTGTTTGTTTGGCGGCACAGGCGGTAAAATAATCGACTGCTCTGCTGAGAGCCCTCCGTCGTACGATCAAATTGGTCTGCCACCACCGTCACTGTCTCTCTCCGATCTTGCCACAAAGCCTGGGCCGAGCAGCACGAAGCGACATCGACGAGATTCCTCAACATCGGAGGAAGCCCATAGCCGTTCCGACATTCACTGGGCCGTCTTGTACAAAAAATTCGAAGAGCTTGAAGATCGGGTGCAAGAGCTGGAGCGCGAAAAGAAAGAGGGAGCCGAGGAGGTAGACGCGTTGCGTCTTGAGCTGGACAAAGCTGCTGCTGCCAACGAAGAATTAGAAGCCGAGTTGTTCTCGACCACCGAGAGGCTTGATAGTCTGGTAGAGAAGGTAGAATACTTGCAAGAGAATGGAATAGACAGCGACGTGGAAGAGCGCATAGTCGACACGGTCACAGATCGAGTTTTTGAACGTATTTCGGAAAGTCTTACTGTTACGTTTACAAGAATGTAAAGAATTTGGCCAATCTTCGATGGGTTCAACTAAACGCGCATGCACGCCGTACCAGAAATAGAAGGCACAGACCGTCTGTGCCTTACGCCCTAGTGATGTAAGATAGGTTGCTGTCGGGCAAACTGCCTTTGTTTACCGTCGACAACCCTACCAGAAGCGAACGTACTGTGATAAAAATAAAGGGGATCTAACCCATAATCTGGCAGCAACCTCAAGTAAGCAGACAGCCGTTTCCAAAGACAGATGTGCTGAACGAGAACCAGCACTTCGATGGCTACAATCAACTACCAGCAGGCAAAGGAACTGGTCCTGCAAATTGCAAATGACCATGGCTATCTCCCCGAAGAAAAGCTTCGACTGCTGCCAGCCGACCTTCGCCGCGACATCGAAGAAGCATTCCTGAAAAAAGACTTGATGATAGGATCGTCGGTCATCACGTACGTATCCACACCTAAAGCGGGCCTGAACTTTATTAACACGTCGGAAGACTGGCGAAGAACCTGTACACAAGCAAGGCTCGATTCATTTTCGAGCTCCTACAAAATGCCGACGACAACAGCTATACGCACGCCGCCGCATCCCATGTCGATCCCTACGTCTCGTTTCGCGTGCATTCTGACCGGGTCGTCATCGAGTGCAATGAGGACGGCTTCAACAGTGCGAATCTCAAGGCTATCTGCTCTATCGGACAGAGCTCCAAGATGGGTGCCCAGGGATACATTGGAGAGAAGGGCATCGGCTTCAAGTCTGTCTTCATGGCGGCCTCAAAGGTGCACATTCAGTCAGGAGCCTTTTCTTTTTCCTTCACACACCGGCCAGGAGATTCTGGCATGGGCATGATCTCCCCGGTATGGGAAGAGCCGGGCGAAGAGCTGCAGCCGCACCTGACGCGGATTACATTGTTTCTGCATGGCGGCGGCGACGGCGAGAAACATGCACAAATACAAGACGCCATCGCAACACAGTTCCAAGAGCTGCAGGAGACTTTCCTCCTATTTATGCGGAACCTGCGAAGCATTCGAGTTGCTTTTTTTGATGACGGCGGAGCCAAGACGGAGTCATGCACATACTTGATCAAACGGCCGCAGACAGACATGGCCATTCTCAAGAGGACCTGGGCTACTCATGGGTCGAAAGAAACGTCCGAAGAGATTTCCAAACACTTTTATGTGGTAACACACCAAGCCACAGACCTCACAATGAACGAGAACAGGACGTACTCGGAAGCCGAAAAGGCCTCGGGGGCCTACACCACTTCTCAGGTTGTCCTGGCCTTTCCACTCTCAGCAGAGTCTACTCCCATCCTCGAGGAGCAAGATCTGTTTGTCTTCCTCCCCGTTCGCAAATATGGCTTCAACTTTATCATCCAGGCCGATTTTGTCACCGACGCCAACCGTCAGGATATTGTCACCGACTCCGTCCGCAATGCCCGCCTCATGAACAGTGTGGCTGAGGGCTTTTGCAAGGCCATGCTACGGGTGAGCAAGCAAGACTCCTTGCGCTACAAGTGGATGCACTACTTGCCAAGAAAGCAGACACAGCGGACTGGTCTCTGGGAGCATCTGGTAAAATGCATCGACACCTGTCTCGCGGCCACACCAGTGCTGTATGATCGGAAAGGCTCGGGACGGCTCATAAAGCATCTCATTCGCGTAAAGGACCACGCCCTTGACGAGAACGGCGAGCTCCTATTTGATGACGGCCACCCCAGTAAAGTCGTGTCACGGGACTACGCAGAAGACGACCTGGACATTCTCACGGAGTACGGCCTCTCCTATGCATCATTTTCTACGATTCTTGGATGGATAAAAGCAGATCTGGCGAAGCCTCTTGGCCAATCACGCATGAAGTCTTCTACGACGTCCACCTCCTGGCATACACGTGCGGCCATACTCCTCCGGCGGCCGTTTGAGGAAAATATGAAAAAACTCTCGCAAGAAGTGAAGAAACTGCCGTTATTGCCTCTGGAAGGGGGTGACTGGGTGCGTCCATCCAATGCGGTTTTCTTTGCCGATGTGAACCGGATGGCCATTCCTCCGGATATTGGCCTCTCTTTGATTTCAAGCCAGATCACGAACCCTACCCGGCTTCTGCTTTTCAAAGACCTAGGAACTCAGGAGGCCTCTGTATCGCTTGTTCGAGAGAAAATTATAAGCAGCTACGGGTCGTCCAATGCACAGCCCTTATCGTTGGCGGCCTCTCAGAAGCACTTGAAGTTTCTCTACTTGACCGACCATTTGAAGACAGACCGAAACACTAGCCTTCTAGGCTTGAGGATATACGACAACAGAGGCATTGTGCGTCGTCTGTTCGACAAAAACAATCCCATTTACCTCGTCAACACTGACCCGTATGGGCCTTGGGAGGTGCTCAGACCGACTGAGAAAGGCCCAAATATGGGAGACGGAGCTCCAGGGCTCGAAGTTTTCTTCGCAAACGAGGCATACCTCAAAGAGGAAGCAGTGCAATCTGAATCAGACGTGACATGGGCAACCTGGTTTCGCGACCGACTCGAAGTGAACATCCACATCATTCTCGGCGGGAAAATAGCGGAATACGTACAGCAGCACAGACCTGATAAGTTTGTCGGTGCTCTTCGCGTGTTTCATGATAAAAATGGGAAGCTGTCACGAGGGTACATTGATTGGGCTGTTGGAAGCGAAGTTCTGTGTGCAGGCAACCGCCTCATTCCACTTTTCCAAGTTTACTTTCCTACCAAACCCTTGAAAAACACAGTTGCCAGGTTTTGTGAGACAGGTGTCTTTTTCCCTTGGCTCTGGCTGGATGACACCAACGCGGGGGAATATGAAGCTATCCCAGCCAGTTGGAAGCCAATGTTGACAACACTCGGCATGGGGACTCTTCGCTCGGAACTCTCATTTTCTCTAGACATCCTGGTTTACGCGGTGCGGGGCATAACTCGCGGATCGGTATCCTTTCTTTCTGAAGCAAAGAAAAGTATCTTTCGACTCTACGAACATATCCTGGGTAAAGTCAGGGAGAGTAAGGACACCAGAGCGGCAGAAAAGACGGTCTGGTAAGGCGCGGCGAAGAAACAGAAAAACGTCCGCACGGCGAACATATGCTGACGCGCTTCATCAGTGACTGGTTCAATGATTACAGATTGATTATCATTCCCTCTGAGCCCCCCAAATGGGCTTTACCAAACGAATGCGTATGGAATGCACCTGTGGAACTAGAGTCGACACATGCATTAAAGCTGTTATACAAGCCATTCATGTCCGACGACACTAGCCTGTATATCGAGGCTTTCTTCGCGAAAATCCTCAAGATTGGCAATTGCACTGCAAGCACGTACATTGACGAGCTCCAGACCCTCAAGGCCTCTGACCGCAAAGACGGTGGTGTTGTAGCCGAACTCTACAGAGCGCTCAGTACCCTCCGTCCGGAAATGATGAACGAGACGAAGATAAAAATCAGGTCAGTGCTATGTGTCACCAACGGAGGACAATCTCTTTTTGACTGAAATATCCAGGGCTTCGTTTGAAGCGAACGCGCTCATCTACGTCCCGTCGAATGACGGCCCGGCCTGGCGCAAGCCCGCAGAGTGCGTATGGTCCAGTGCAATCAAGCTGCGGAACCGGGTTTCGCTCGGCGAGGAGTACAAAGACCTCAAGGGCCTCTTTGTGGACCTCATCGGCGTCAAGACAGTGGACCTGGCCATGGCCATCGCTGAGTTGGAGTCGGTAGGCCAGAAGCAGTCGTCAATGGCAGAAGTGCGGGACTCAATCTGGGCTGTAAACTCGCTCCTGGTCGACAGCGTCGAGGCGCAAAGGCCTGAAAAAATCTTGACCTTGGCCATATTCCCATGCAAGTTCCCCGACGGCCACATCGGCTACGTGCCAGCATCGACCGAGTTCTTCATAGGCGATCGTGCGAACTGGAACAAGTCGTTCGGCGACAGGGTGAGGCTTCTGGACTTTGATTTGCGCGAAGTCGGCCAGCTGTTGCCTTTCTTCTCTTGGATCGGCTTGCAAGATCGCTATTTGTCCCGCTGTTGCCGTGAAACCACATCGATCCACGGCGCTACGAGCCGAGCATTGAAGCACCAGATCCAAAACAGGGCGCATGCTTTGCTAAGGTTTGTCTGTTCTATTTATGCGCTGGAGATGGGTGGCGGCTTTGCACTGACGACTGTACGCAGGATTGCGCACCACTTTGATAGCAGCCGTACTGCAACAAGAGGTGACCGGCTATCGTTCTACGAGTACCTGCGGAAAACGAAAGTGCTCGAAAGCGATGGGATCTCGACCGATATCCAGCTTTTGCAAGACGGTGTGATTCATACGGCTGAGGCCACACGGCCGACTCTGCATGTGGACGACGACGATAGCGACGTGCCTGGAATGCACATCTTCCTGCCGCGGGACCCGGACAATCAAAAGTATACGTTCCAGAAGGACCTGCCGCATAAACTATCAGCGATCATAACAGCAGACTCTAGCTCCCAGATCGAGGCGGACGTGGTGACGGCAATCCGGGAAGTCTTGACAGCGCCGCTCCCAATGCTAGAGATTGCTCTAAACGATCTTGGGATCGGAGACGTTGACATTGAGAACGTTGACGGAACGCAGGAGGAGGTCCAGACACACCCGGAAGACCAGCCACGCCTGATAGTTACGCTTCCGCATCAGTTTGCTCCTCCATCATCAGAGCATGTTCCTTCACCACCGGCGCAGCGAGAAGACGTGCCAGACGTGAAAGTTTCGCTTCCGCACCGGACTTTCCCCTCTAGACCAACGCATGTTTCTCCACTACCGGCGTGGCGAACATACGTGCCAGACGTGGATTCGGCCTCTTCCACGACGGTGGTATCGACTGCGGTGTATGATGGCGCGTCCAGTGGAAGCAATACAATGTCTCATACAAGGCCACGACTGTTACAAGTGCCCACAGCGCCTCCCCAAAACAACGACAGTGACGCTGGCTTTGTACAGCTCCTATGCAGGGTTATCTCTGCAGGGTCATTGGATTCAATCCCTCCGGAGGGGATGTGCAGCGACAGCTGCTGCAAAGCGGGTTTCAGATACGACAACCCAACGCCGCACATGGGTACCGCTGACATCACAAAGCGAAACCTGTTGATTGGCGCGGCGGGTGAGGTCTATGTAAGTTCGTTCTGGTTGATTCGCAGGTAGGCAAAAGCTGACAGGCTAGGTTTTTGAGATGCTGTCGCACTTGCCGGGGCCTTATAAACTCCAGGACTTTGGCAGGAACAAGTGTTGGCAAAGCTCGATCCGGCACTACGTTGCCGTTCACCCTGAATACAGCCGACTCACGCAATGGGTGGGACAAGAAACATCCGACATCCGGTACAGTGACGCCCAGGGAAAACTGACGGCGTATCTCATCGAGTTGGGCTATTTGGACGCAAGCACCTGGCAGGGCGCCACACCAGAGTACTTTATCGAGGTCAAGACGACCACGTCGTCGTGTAAGACGCCATTCTTCGTAAGCTCCAAGCAATACGACAGGGTAGGTTTCACTTCCTGGTGGCTTGAAGTGCAGGCGAGGCACTGACAATAAGAATAGATGAATGACGTATTGTACGGAGATACATCGAAGGTCTACATGATCTTCCGCGTGTTTCATCTAGGCCAGCAGAACATGGGCTGCAAGATTTACGTCGATCCGGCGGCGGCGGATGACTGTGGCAAGTTGAGATTTACCCCGTCAACGTGGTCCGTTGTACCTGGCCAGCTCTATTCCGGGTCTGAGGGCGAGTATGGCTACGTGTACCACGACGGAGACGAGGACAAGGATGAAGACGAGGATGAAGACGAGGATGAGGATGAAGATTCAAGCGCATGGAAAGGTTTCTTGGACGTGCGCCGATTTGGAGTGAATGCAAAGAGAAGTCACGGGATCTGTTAAATTACAGGTGCCTAAGACGAAGTAAGCGACAATGTATCCCGAACTATGTACGTGCATACGCCCTTACAATATTCTTCCATTACACTGCTCAAGCCTCCACATGTCGCCTATTTCGGCCAACTAAACAGGACAATTTTCCAGGGCAACCCTAGTACAACACATCCTTCCGTGTAGGCTTAACGCGGTCGGCATAGTTCAGGACCAGCCAGATGTCCTGGTAGCCGCCGTGGTGGTGGAAGCTGGCGACGACTTTGTGGACGGCAGCAGCGGCAATAGTCCAGGAGGCGGCGGTGCCCTCAGAGATCTCGCCGTAGCGCAGCGGGCGGCGCAAGTGCGGCTCCAGGCGATCGTCGATCCGGCTGTTGGATGGCCCTAGAAAGCACAGTCGTAGGATGGTAGATTGCAGTTGGCAGATTGCAGTTGGCAGATGACGTAAGCAGGAATGGGAATGTCCGCAATCTCGTTGGCTGCATCTGTATGTTTGCTGTATCATCTCGGCCAACGTCGCTGACCAATTGCACGAGTGACCAATCAGGTTTTGATCTACTCACTTAATTGGCGAGCTTTTCTTTCCGCTTTTAGAAAACTGGCAACTTTGGTCGAGCCTTGCAGTCGGTGGGTTTGAAATCATTCGAACTGAGCGATTGAGACTCGAGATACATAAATACATGCATTCATGCTACTCTTCTAGGCCTCTCAGCTCTGAAATTCATCTTACTATTCCACGCCATTATCTATACGCTTCAGACTTCAATAACATGTCTTCGTGGGTGATTACCGGAGTCTCGCGTGGCCTTGGCGTACGCTTCTACCCCTGTTCCATCCAGTAAGCTCATGACTAATACATGATCATCTAGTTCGAGTTCGTCCGCCAGCTCTCTGAAAACCCAGACAACACCGTCTTCGGCCTCGTCCGTAATAAAGTAGCTGTCGAGTCCAAGGTTTCCGCTGAGATCGGCCGGAAACATATTCACATCATTCAGGCCGACACGACGGACCCAGTGGCATTGGAGGTAAGCTGACGAGTAGTCAATAGTATATTGGAACAGCAGTTGGAGCTAACGCAAACATCTCATAGAAAGCAGCTCGGTATGTTTCGGAGAAAACCAATGGCGCCCTTGATTACATTGTGGCCAATGCTGCGCTTCAATCCAAGACTGCGTTGGTTGGCTTTGATACGTTGTAAGTTCCTGGTACAGTAACGAAGTTCCCTGGGATGTTTGAGTAGAGATTGATCTCTCCACAGGAGCCGCGATCCCAAAGCCCTCGAACAAGATCTGAGTGACCACTTCCGAGTCAATACGATCGGTGCCGTCCATCTCTTCAATACTTTCATGCCCCTGATTCTGAAAGGTCGGGCGAAGAAAGTTATTGCCATCTCTACTGGCATGTCAGACCCCGAGATGACACTCAAAGGCGACATCTACCAAGCCACCGCTTATGCAATGAGCAAGGCGGCCCTCAATATGGCGATAGCCAAGTTCAGCGCCTTGTATTGTGAGAAAGGTGTCCTCTGCATGGCTATATGCCCCGGTGCTGTAGACACCGGTAGTCTCAACATTGGTATGTAATCCCCTTGCAAATCGATATGGATGATTTTGCTAAGTTTTGACAGAAACGGAGGAGGAGAAGCTGCAGGCCATGGTTATGTTTGAGAGGATGAAAATATATTCACCCACCTTCCAAGGACCTCTGACGCCGGAAGACAGTGCCACATCGGTCTTGGCTCTCGTTAAAAAGGCTACCGTTACTGGTGGCTATGCAGGCGTGTTTATCTCTCATACGGAATCAAAGCCGTATCTTTAAGGTCGTGTACTTGGAAGTGCGCAGGTCTCGCGGATGCTTCTGTACCATTTAGAGCTTTAATGCCACGGGAAATTTTGTGCCTTGGTTTGGAATACACTTGGTGAAGCTGTAAGTGGTTATTTCGAGGTAGCCTGACCGTGCCTTTTGAGATATGTAGGTATGTTCGTAAATAAGAAAACTACTCTTTAAATCAAACAAATAAACAGAACAAACCAATGGTACAACCAAGGTTGGTGAACGACAAGAAGGCCATCATCGGCATGCCCATTTGCACTATGTACCTCCGTTAGCTTTTATTAAGTTAATAACGGCCTCGTGTCCATTCTTAACAGCCCATGACAACGGTGTCCGGCCACTTGAATCCTTCCAATCGATCTCAGCCTGCCCTGTTGCTAGTAACAGCCTAACAACGGCCTCGTGTCCATTCTGAGCTGCCCAAATCAACGGTGTCCGTCCTTTCTTATCTCTGAAATTAATCTTAGCTTGCCCTGTTGCTAACAACAGCTCAACTGTGGCTTCGTGTCCATTCAGAGAAGCCCATAGTAACGGCGTCCGGCCCTCAATATCCTCTGGGTCAATCTCTGCCTGCCTTGTTGCCAGCAATAGCCGAACAACGGCCTCGTATCCATTCTCGGCAGCCCAAAACAGCGGTGTCCGGCCACAAACATCCCTCGAATTGATCTGAGCATACCCTGTTGCTATAAGCAGCCTCACAACGGTCTCGTGCCCATTTTCAGCAGCCCAGGACAATGGCGTCTGGCCATACTTTGTATCCTTCGAGTTATTGATGGAGTCAGTTCCTGCGGTAGTTGAGATGTCCTCATCCAGATATACTTTTACAGCGCCATCAATACCGAGATACGATGCCAGGCATAGTGGATCATCGGGTATATTACCATTTCTTCTATAGATTTCAGTCCATCCCGTGACTGATTCAGCCTGCAAACAAAGATCTCGTGTCGCCTTTCCCATTCTCACCCGGAATTTCTCCCCTGACTGGCGGTAGTGGGTCGGCCAGTACTTTGCAGCGTATTCGAACATTGAAATATTCTGCTCGTCTGCAGATTTTATTTGCAAACAGGCAATGCAGGTTGTTGCCAGGATTTCGTTTGATTTACTTAGATGCATCGAGTTTTGCCATGAGTTGGTCATGAATAACCACATCTGGTGGAACAATGGCTGTGCGATGCCAAGAACAAAGGTAAGAAAAAGGGACAAGTATCCAGCAATAAATCTGGCAAGCCCATTGTCGTAGCTCTGAGGGAATCCGGAAAATTCGATCTCCTTCTTTTTCTCTGTTGGAAAGTTACAGAGCAAAAACTCTCTTGCCGTTTGGTGGAGGAGGTAGACCCTGTCGTCGACAATGGCGACGAAAAGACCACAAAGATTGCGGAGTGTGTCTTGGACTCTCTCTTTTGGGATGATGCAATCTTTCACATCCTCCCAGGTCTGCTGGCCATCGAACTCCAAAGCCACAGACACCTCCGAAAGTGTAAGCGGCCTCTCTGCACCCAGAATGAGATGCAGAAGCCTTTTTGATTTTTCTCGGTCTTGGCTTTTTCTGAGGATCTTTTCGTAAGCAGCATAGATGCCCCGTGGGAGCTGCTTAGCCAAATTGACAATGTCCTTCTTTGTGATGTCACTTCCGTTCATCAGACCGTCAAATACAAGGGAGATCCAGAGGTATGTTCTGTTTGGGACAGACGTCACTTGTTCTCTCATCAGTCTGTGTTCATCTGGCGTCAGACCAAAGGCATTTGCGGTTGTGTCCACTCGATTGTCCACAACAAGTTTGATTTCCTCGGCAATTTCGTTTGCTGTATCCTCCCTGTCGCCCTGTAGATGGATAAAAGATAGACGCCTTGAGGAAAACGCACGGCGTATGTATGCGTATGGTCTGCTCGTGAGCAAGAATTTGAGACCTGGGACCTGAGCACCAGTGACAGCTTCGACAAGACGCTTCATGTCGGACTCTTGGCACTCGTCTAGGGCATCAAGAACGCAAACAGTTTCTTGGTGACTTGCTGCGTCAATGAACAACTTCCATAGATCGACGAACGACTCGACCAGCGTCTCACCACGCGCTCCATACGTGTCAAGAACGCCGGGTGTAAGGAGGTGGTGATTGTTGTCAAATATCTGGTGCAGGAGCGTACAAAGAGCGCTGTTGGCCGTTTTTTGCTGTTCGAAGTCGTCCTTGAAGAAGAAGTAGCACACTGTTCTTTTATCGTCAGGGAGAATCTTGTCAATCAGATACCTGGACAGAACTGATTTGCCGCAACCGGGGTCTGCCGTGACGTAAAGAATGCTCGCTGTCCCTGAAATCGTCTCCAAGTCCCAGTTCTTAAACAAATCGTGGTTGGTGAACCAGTCGCAGGTGCCCAAGATGCGTTCTCGGTTTCGTTGTTTACTTTCCTCGTATATACACGTGTTTCTGTAGAGGAGCTGAAGGAGATCATTCGCTTTGTTGCTTCGGGCCTCGGCTTCTTGTGCCCGCTTCTGCTGCTTCAGTTCGTTGGCAATCTCGGCAATCTCGCTCACTTTGCTGTATATTTTGACAACATTGTTCATCTGCTCTCTCTCAGCGCAGGCTTTGACGCGGGTTTCGGCGGCTGTCATTCCCGACAGCATTTTGCTCCACCCATCCCATTCGAACGTGTTACGAATGGCGCTCGCAAGCGGGCTAGTCTGGAGGAAGCAGAGCACTTGCGCCTGAAACTCAATGATGTTGCAGCAGGCATCTGTGAGTGCGGCATCGGTCTCTTCATTTCGCACCACAGAGTTGTTCCTGCACAGCGCTTCGTACTCCGCAATGCGGTAGATGGAGCCAGAGACATAGTCCAGGCTTTCAAAGAGAACTTGTCGCTGTTCGATGGCTTTGAGGCAGAACTGCACAACGTCGTTCAGAATCTGACGGTGTGGTAAGTTGGATTGCACACAGAACACGTACCGACAAAATTACCACCACACCGGTGCAAGCCACACCAGCTGGCAGACAGGCGTTTGTTGCTGGAGCGATAATGTCTTTGGAAGCCACAACGACCTTGGCGGCTGTTTCAAAATATTGTTTGGCTTTTCTTTTGCACTTCCTCCATTTGGTATTGTCTTCTGTTCGTGCACGATGCAAATCTTCAACTTCCGAGGTGAGGAACTCATAAAACTGGTTGCGTCTCGACTGAGTGCCAATGGGTTCGAGTTTGGCCCCAAAATGTGCTTCCAGGATCCGGTCGTACTTTTCCAAGTTGTACCGCTTTTTGTCGTCCTTTCGCAACTTCTGTTCTGCTTTCGCCCACATGTCGTGTTCCGTATCCGGATCTTGTCTGTCCGTGTCCGCATTCGGCTGGTCCTCTTCTCCGTTGTCTGATATGTTCTCGGAGACATGAGACGCGGAACCTGGCGTGGGTTCCACATCTATTGTGTTTTTCAACGTCCCTTTAAGGGAGATGAGACGCTTGGATATCCTGCCACGAACCTTCTGTCTGTAGCTTTTTGGCGCGTCAGGTTGAATCAGAGAATCATGGGTACCCATTTTGAGACCTGATCGCAAAAAGCGGCGCAACGCAAGACAAGACTGCGTTCTTCAGCAACAGCACCGACGGAGCGCTTAATTAGGGAGTGAGAAAGTATGCAGGCAGTAAGAGTTGTACGGACAAACGCAAATAACAGGACCTGCAGCCTATAGGCCGTCCAAGGTACGGAGTAGATTTTATCGATGAAGTTCCTGCTGTTGCGTGCTGTGCCTTCAACCCCTCATAAGGTGCCTGAGACCCGCTTTTGTCCGCCTTTTCGGTTAGGCTCTTAGCGCCCCGCTACCCTCCCGCGCTGCTAATAATAGAGCTCGTTTTGCCTCATCATTTCGCCACATTGGCCTGCATGTACGAGTTAGGGTTACAAGAGCTTTCTGCGATTATCAAATATGAGAATGATCGACGCAAAGGAACCACACTGTACTCGCCAATAATCAATCGAATCAGTTTCACGAAGGTATGCATAGCTGCATCTCTACCAACACTCCTAGACCATGATGTCAGCCTTTTACAGTCCCTAGTACGACATATGGGGGATATAATCCCGCCCAGAGCGTTGTTTAGTTCCACTTCGAAAATATGAAGGATATATCAACCGTGAACAGAGTTGATAATCAACAACGGACGAAGCTCACATGGAAGATATGCTGATGGTGGCCTAGCTAGCCTTTCTGCCATGAGTGCTCTAGAAGTACAAGGGTAAGATGCATTGGTTTGCGGATATCAATGTCGATTTCATGCCGGCCTTGCGCAAGAAGCCCGTCGGGTTGTCTTTTTGCTATCAGAGGGGACGTTGAACCCGGTATTTTGCGCAGGGAATCCTACGCCTGATCACATAGAGCACCACCAAATTCCGAATATCTCTACCAGACAACTACGCCAGTACGCACCATATACCTCCCAACTTTTAGAGGTAATAAAAAAATGCCTCGAAGAACGACTAAAACCCGTCAAAAGCAGATTTAAATAACCCTTGGAAGCTAGGATCCGTAGAGAATCCTTCCGCAATAAACTTTAAGCTTCAGGAACCATGATATGAATTGATCGATTTTTTTTTTCAATGCTTGTTCATCGCAAGATAATAGGGGTTAAAAGCAGTCTGCGTAAAAAGTACGGAGTAATAATCCGCTAATGCAGGACGCTATAGATTGACTTGTGCTGAAATTCTGCACATAAGTCGCGTCGGTGGTTTAGTGGTAAAATCTGTCGTTGCCATCGACAGGCCCCGGGTTCGATTCCCGGCCGACGCAATCTTTTATGGTCAAGGTCAATTTAGCTTCTGTCCTTTGTTTTTTTTTTTTTTTTGGTAAACGTTACGCCATTTTTAGTCTACTCTTCCTTCAGTACAAAGAAGTCATCTATGTAGGTAGGACTGCGATTGGCCTGACCAATTGATGCCACTCAGGCCTTTCCCATTGTCAGCTCTCTTCCACCCTCTTCAGCTCTTCCGCCAGTCAACCGCGACGAAATGGCGACGACATCGTCACGTCGCGACGTGGCCACGTTGCTCAAGTACTACGACGACCCGGGCGACGGCTCGCCGCCGGCACCAGTAATTGTTGGCAGGTGAGATACACCGCCGACCTGTCGTCATCGTCAGAAGCCGGGCTGCAGGCTGACCAGACCAAAACCTGCAGGGGTACTGTGAAGAATGAGCGGGCGATGATCGAGGCGCGGACCGTCGTCGAGGATATGACCGGCCGCGAGGCCGCCTTCACGCTCGACAGCTGTGGCTTCCAGCTGGTTCACCACGCAAGCACGGCCACCGGCTGCCGTGACGACTGCTTCCGCAACGAAAGTCTGATCGAGGCCGAGTACATTGGCGACTGTGAGCGGCTGCTGCAGGCCGTCACTGGTGCTGTCCGTGTCTTTGTTTTTGAGCACAAGGTGCGCCGCGGCCCGGCTGACTGGCACAAGCTGGGGCCCGGCAACGCAGCCAAACGTGGACCTCTGCACCGCGCTCACGTCGACCAGTCGTACGGTGGCGCCGAGCAGCTGCTCCGCTACTACTTTCCCGACGAGGCCGACGGCCTGCTGCAGCGACGCTATCAGATTGTGAATGTGGGTGTGACCTGTCCGTGCTTCTGTGCTTCTCTTCTCTGATTTTAATCCCCAGGCCTGGCGTCCTATCAAAACAATCCACAAAGATCCCCTCGGTGTGGCCGATGCCCGTTCTGTTCCCGATGACGACCTTGTCGAGGCCCGTGTCATATATCCCGATCACGAGATGTGCACCTGGACCATCAGGCCTGGGCCAGACATCGCTCGCGGCGCTGACCCCGTGCCCACGACCGCTCATCGCTGGTTCTACAAGCACGCCCAGACGCCTGACGAAGTCATGCTCATCAAGTGCTTCGACAGCATCGCCGATGGCTCTGTCGCCCGTCGGGCCGCTCACTCGGCATTTAACGACGCTGGCTACGACGACGCGGAGCCACGCGAGAGTATCGAAATCCGCTCGTTTTTGTTCTACTAGAGGGGGGGGGGGAATTTGGCAGGACGATTACTCCTTGTTTCTATTCATCCCTTTAGTGCAAATAGCCTTTCTAGCACTGGTATACACAATATCAGCGGTCTTCTTTCCTCTTACTTCTCCCCACAGGAAGACTATACAATTTCATCATTAGCATCGCTCTAATTTTGGCAGTCTAGCTCTGTGCCAGTAAAGATGAAAGCTTTTGCTATTTAGAAGTCAATACATATTCTTGCTCTACTTGTACGCGATAAGCAAACCATACTCTTGATGAATCAACCACTAAGTCATAATAAGGCGCGATATCTACCTGAAAGGATCTCTTTGTTGGTTGAAGCATTAGTGGCAATTTAACTCTCTCTCATTAGCCTGTATAGGCAGAAAAGAAGCGCAATCTCTGCTGTTAATGAAACTAGAACTTCTGCATTCTAAATGACTGTATTTGTATCCAAGCAAGACTATCCAACAATAAAGCGTAATAAATGGAACTCATAGCTTAGTAAGATACTAATATCCTGGGAGGTCGCACAAGCAGTCCTCCTGTCTCGTTATCTCGTTGCAGCCTCAATTATGTTACAGACCACGTCGAGACCTGTCTACTGCGTTGATTCACGCTTGGCCAACTCTACCCGCATGCCAGGGAGGATGTAGCGACCGTAATCAATGGCGTCATTGAGGTTGTCATAGCCGCGGATAGAGATAAGCGAGGCGCCCAGGTCGACATAGTCCAAAAGGGAATCGATCAGAGTCTGGGGAGATCCTACCAGAGCTGTGGACGCTCCCCGCGCATTGGTTGCAGTCACGGTGGGATACCACAGAGCGCGGTCCTGCACCTCTCCGCGCTTGGCAATGGCAAGTAGCCGTTGGGAGCCAACATTCTGCGGCTCGCTAAACTCCTGCTTTAGGGCGGCACCTTGGGGAGGAACAGCCTTTGCCTCTCCGTTTGATGTGCCGTTAGACGTGCCGTTAGACGTGCTTTTCTTAGCCTGCTCCCCCCACTGTTGTAAAGCAGCCGAGTTTGCTTTAAGCTGGTCAAGGGTCCGATAGGCCTTGCTCCAGGCCAGGTCCTCGGTTTCGGCCAGGATCGGCCGGAAGGTTACCCAGATGCGCGGCCGATCAGTGCGGCCGGCAGCTTCGGCAGCAGCGTTGATCTTGTCAATTTGCTCCTTCGTCTCCTTTAGCGGCTCGCCCCAGAGCCCGAAAATGTCGGCCAGCGACCCTCCCACGCGGTACGCCTCTTCGGACGAGCCACCCACTGAGATGGGGATCTTTCCGGCGGCCGGCCGCACGGCCAGGTGGAAGTCCTTGAAGGTGTAGTACTTGCCCTCCCAGTCGAAAGCGTCACCCGAGGCCCAGGCCCGCTTCAGGATCCGGATGTACTCCTCCTCGCGCGCGTACCGCTCTTCCTTGCCCAGAAAATCACCCTCGCGGGCCTGCTCCGCATCGCTGCCGCCCGCGATAAAGTGTACCACCACGCGACCACCACCCAAGCGGTCCAGCGTGGCCAGTGCCTTGGCCGCTACCGTCGGGTACATCGTGTTGGGCCGTAGTGCGATGATCACGTTGATCTTCTTCGTTACGGCCAGGATTGTCGCGCCGATGGTAAAGGGGTCAAACGAACTGGACCCGTACGGGATCAACGTGTAGTTGTAGCCGTAGTCATCGAGCGCACGCGAGTACCGCACGATAAACTCGGGGTCCACGGGCGCCGCGTCTGGGAGCGGGTGCAGCTCCGTGGAGGCATTGGGGAAGGTCACGGAGATGAATTCAGTGGTGGACATTATCGATATGGCTGCGTGTAAGAATATGTCGAGACTTTGGATAAAAAAAGCCTGCAAAGTGCGGAAGTTAGGACCAAATTTCGACCTTCATATAATCCCCGCGCTGCCCCCCCGCATACTGCCCAAGTTTGATTTCTAAACAGATGCGACTGTCTGTATGGCCCAGAGCGGGATGGCGCAAGTTGCACCACGATGACGCCACCGAGATCGACCGGACTCTTACATTGTACAAGTCTAGCCGGGCTGAAGGATGGGAAGAGTCCGGAACATGCCAATTTTCATGGCAGAATGTCGACAGCGATCACGCCTTGTTGTCTTTATCTCATCCCTGGATTCGACTTTATTGGCTTCTTCGGCACTCTCCTAACGTCCAACGGCGAGAAGATGTTCTGATGACTTACACAAGATCGGCGATTAGTGAAATTAGCGTCTTGGGTCGCGCGATGAGAAGATCACGTGAGTGCTCGCACTTTCTCGGTATCGACCTTTTTTTTCACCTCGTCGGGAAGCCTCTTCTGGCTGGCGATTCACGCCGGCCTAAAAGTACTTCCATAGCATATCCATAGGGGAAAAATAAAAGAGCGCAAACGGCCGACGAGAGTTGCGTGACCATGTTTGAAATACTGCGCCCACTGTTCACTGTTGACATCTTGGACGTAGCAAAGTTGAAGATGTATATTGTACTGTTCAAGAAACACCAGCTCCAGCACCTATTGTTACTTACACTGATTCGTCTTCGGCATCGGAGTCATTGGAGTGGGTCCGTTTTTATGACCATGCACTATTTTCGTGTTACGTTCAACGTAGTATTAATAAATATACTGTACATTTGGAGCTGATAGCCGCGTTTCTAATCCGACCCTTTCAGCTTCTTATTTGCAGGAAATACCCCTTGTATAATCAACAAGGAACTACTAGTCAAATGTGTGGCAGCTTTTTAGCCAAAGCATTTCGTCCTTTGTAACGTTAGAGGAAGATGCTGTAACTGGCTACACTAAAGATAACAACGTAAAGAAAGAAACAAAGTCCTACAAAACTGTCTTCGAAATTATGCAGTTATTTATATAATCAAACACATATACGTAGAAGCGTAGTCAAGTTACGTAGTCTAAACCCTGATTGACTCTGGAGGCTTTTTATTCAGACAAAGAAACTAGCCACCAAACGCTTGCCTTTTTTTGTAAAAAAAAAGGAGAGGAGGGCATTAAGGGAAGGCATACAATATTTATTAAGATATAGGTGCCCTGTAAGCGTGTGTGTATTGTTATGGTTAGGTATTCCCAAGCTATGCCAACGTGCATAAAATACCTTACGAAATGGCGCAGGGCGCCATACAGTACATGCATTCTTTCATCACACGGCAAAACCGTGCACACACCTCCCAATGTGGCTCAGTCCGTTCGACATAGATACGTTGTATAAGCCGCTGCTTCTGCTTCTGCTACCTGCTGTAAACTTGCGCCGCCTTTGTCTTTGCTGCTTTTTTTGCTTATATAAGTTGCTTATATAAGGTGGGTCGGTATTCCTTGCGTTATATTCGCTGTACGGAGTACGGATCCGTACAAATAGTATTCGTCGCGACTACAAAAGGTTATCCCTAAGCGGTGATCTTATTATCACGAAATGTGATAGGGTGGCAGACTTCCAGTGGAGCCTGTTCTTGTCCTGCCGATGAGCCAAAGAGCGGGGTATTTAGCCCAGTTCCTGCAGCAGTCATCAGCGACTTGAATTGAGGAGAGCAAAATGTTGGCCATTCCTGTCCTCAGTTCGACAGTCGACCTCTGCGACCGCTGTGCGCGCGGCGCCATTATCCAAGACGATACGGATGAGTTCCGTGAGGATATCAACGAGGACGGCACTCCGACACTGCACCATGCACACGAAGACGGCAACAAGTCAATCCGGCTTCGCTCTGTTCTGCGATGGGACGACGATGCACCAGAATTCCCTGCCATGCTCCAGTCGGCAACGGGAGAACAGGGGAAGGAAGGCTGTCGACTGTGTAGGCTCGTGCACCAGGCACTCAAGCGTCGCCGACTGAACCATCGCGGTCCCACCACCATCATGGCTGCGTATGTGTGGGGAGGAAACCGAGACCGCTATCTGAGTAGCTACTCTGACGATGGCCTGGTCTACATGCGTTGTGAGGTTTTCAGTAAAACGCCTCCGGCTTTGGCCTACATCGTCTTTGGAGTACAGGTCGCAGACCGTACGTCCCGTTCCCGGGCGCAATAATCTAGCTCGAACTAATCTTGACAATTCAGATGACCTGTCAACATGGCTGCGGTCCGATGGCTGTCGTCAAGCCGAGCCTCTGTCGCCCGACAACGTTGAATGGATTCGTTCCACGCTCGTCGACTGGGACGAAGACCCCGGGACCCAAAGCGTAGGGGGCTTCGTCCCGTCCCGTCTCGTCTACGTAGGCGTCGATGACGACCAGACAGACTCGCCCCGGCTGGTGCTAACAGAAGGCTGGAAGGACCCATTACCGAAATATGCCGCGCTGAGCTACTGCTGGGGCCCGGGGCACGACGCGGCCAGGCAGCTGACGACCAAAACCTCCAATCTCGACTCCCATCTAACGAAGTTGCCACAGGAGGATCTCACGCCAGTCCTGCGAGATGCCATTGCTGTGTGCCGCTCTCTCTCAATCCCGTATATATGGATTGACGCAGTCTGTATTGTCCAGGACGACTCCGCAGATTGGTCAAGCGAGAGCGAAGTCATGGGATACATATACTACCATGCGTACCTTACCATCTGCCCGTTGGCTGCTTCAAGCTGCATGCATGGATTCTTGGAGCCCCGGACAGCTGGTGTTGATATTCCTTTCCAGTCGCAGAGACATCCTGAAATATCTGGGCTCATCACTCTGGTCGAGTGTTACAACGACCGAGATATTCCTCCACAGCAGACAACCATTCGGTCTCGACCAGGATTCGACTTGGACTCGCCTCTGTGGATGGACAGGTCCCTTTCGAGCTGGGAAACGCGTGGGTGGACATTCCAGGAGGACTACCTCTCATCACGGGCTATTTATTTTGGGAGAAACATGGTACACATGGGCAGCCCAAAAAGCAGCATATCTGAGACAGGTTTCGTTGAACTTGGTGATGGAGTTGCCGGACCAATGAAAGGTCTTCTGGACATGGCCGTGAAGATAGCTGGGCCTAAGGCATTGACGAATACGACCCAGGCTTCGGCGGGGCCCCTCGAAATGGATTCTCTCGTCGTTGGTGGTCCCGAAGAAACCGCAATTTCAATCTGGAGCATGCTGTCTGCCATCTGCCGCCGTGAGCTAACAAAGGCACAAGACTTTCTTCCTGCCATCGCGGGAATGGCAAAAGCCTATAACCAAATCCACAACGATATCTACTTAGCCGGCCTTTGGGAGCGCTGCTTGCACCTACAGCTGCTTTGGAGCATGTCACAGCCGCCATCTGGCACATTGGAATCAACACTCGAAGAATTAAAGAGGAACGGAACAGCAGAGGCGCCTTACATTTCGCCATCGTGGAGCTGGGCACGCATTGCGCTCGTAAGGCACTTTGAGTTACTTATTTCCAACCACTACTCGATCTCTGGGACAGAAGAGAATACAGACAAGTTGTTCATGCTGACTGGGTATGGCCTCTCTCATCTGAAACGTGAGTTTTCTCTCACAGGCTACTCTGTCGACCTTAATGAACCGAGCCAGTATGGAAGCATACGGCATGCATCTCTTCGCATTCGAGGCAAAATTATTTCTATCCCAACTGCCACCATGCACCCGAAGGGCGATGGCCGGCCGCCATTTGCGTATTTTGCTGGGGGGTTAGGGACGATGGAATTGGACTGGCAGACAGAAGCAGAAACGGCATTATCAAGTCCATCACTGCGGCTGCTTTTCACAACGTCCTGCTGCCAGGCCACTAGCAATGAGCTACTGAGGTTCATTGCTAATCCTGACGAGGACCATGAGAGCGGCCTGGCTGACCGACCGATTTATCCTGAAGGCTTTCAACCAGACACCTCTGGCGATGTGAAAAGGACCTGCCTATCGTGTCATGACCAAGGCCAGCCACACAATGTCATGGGTCTCGTGATACACCCAGCTGGCTCACCTAATACATTCCTTCGAGTAGGCGTGTTTGCCATCTTTGGCTACACGAGAGGCAGTCAAATGTTTGTTGATGCGCCTGAGAGTGAAGTCGAACTCGTCTGAGAAGACCCTGGGCATAACTAGCCCAGCCATAGCTATAAATTATTCTTGAATCGAAAAATAGATATCTGCAATGGTGGGGATAACTAACCCGAAATGAGCCTAGCGGATATCGTCAATTTGAAGAGCTGATCCTGTCATTGAAGTCGGGGTTGTACTGTAAGGTGCCCCGCAACCATCCGGCCTCCCACTCTGCGTTCCTCTCCAACAGAGACAGCAACTGGGATCCTATTTTCGGGTCAAAGCACACAGGAGAAGTCGGCATAGCCCGGTCTTAAAGGTTGTCAATTGTCCCGCAGAATACGGTTCGCCGAATTCTTCCTTCTGGGATACATGGGGAATCTCAGAATAGACACGAGTTAGGCTAGGGCAAGGCACCAATTGCAAAGACGACTCCGATGCCATGCTCTTTATGGGGTGTATGTTCCGCATATATCCACCCAGGTGTTAAGCTAGGTGTGACTTATGAAAGTACGCGGCTTGCAGGGCGACCAGAAGAGGGGCTAGATACCCCACTGCTTGTGAAGATGATTTAGGCCCCTCTCTTCCTCTTTGCCAGCTTGTTGTGCCTCATTTAATCCGGAAAAAATAATTCGATTTCGACTACGGACTTTAGTGGTGTAAAAGAGTATATGTAGGTACCAAGACAGCGGACGTTCTGTACCTTGCTGGCTCAAAACCGACCATTTTGCGGGGAATTGGAAGTACCTCAGCACATTAAGACTTCGTGAGCGGCGCGGCTGTGAACTAACAATTTCGAATCGTACTACAACTGTCGTGTCTATGGGAGGCTAGATTCGTTCTAGAAAGCCACATTCAGCTATTGATGACTGCAACAGGCACAACCTACAACTTAGGAAGGGACCAGAGATTTAAATAGATTGTGCTGTCGTAGTGCTGACTAGGCTACAGCTCGTTCTGATTCTCACCTTTCTAAAACTAGAAACTGCATTTTCGGTTGTTGCCAGTACCACTACACTGGCTAAACGCTGTAGTTACGTGAACAAGTTGCAGTCTAGTGCAACAATAAATATCACGGAAGTCAGTTAAATCAATGAAATTGAAGTAATATGAATACAGCGAAAGAAATGCCTGTTACTGATGTACTTTGCATAATCTATCGATTGTCATAAACAACATAAGTAGTTCCGATCCTGTACCAGTGCAGTCTAGCAATGTCATAGCGTATACTTGCAACTTAGAAGTACCCTTATTTAGGCCTGCCAATTCTTGTTCTGCCAATTCTTGTTCTTGGAAAGGTTATATACAACAGGAGACGAGCGTCCCCAAACACATAAGTTAATATTTACACACAAGAGTTTGTTAGATGAAGAGATAGGTAGGCCCTCCGTCCCATTTATACACTTCAATCATCCAAATCCAAATACAGATCGTGCTAGAGAGAGTCTAGTTGCGGCGGCGGAAGTAGCTTACGTCTCCGTTGCCGATCCAGAGTCGCTCGTGCTCGTCGGGAATGAAACATCAGCAGTTCCTGTGGGAAACAGGAAAGCGTCACCCGTGCCCGTTGGGAAAAAAGCGTCACCAGTTCCGGTAGGAAACGGGAAAGCGTCATCCGTACTCGTTGGGAAGAAAGCGTCACCAGTTCCGGTAGGAAATGGGAATGCGTCATCTGTGCCCGTTGGGAAGAAAGCATCACCAGTCCCGGTAGGAAACGGGAAAGCGTCATCCGTGTCCGTTGGGAAGGAAACGCCACCAGTTCCGGTAGGAAACGGGAAAGCGTCACCCGCGCCCGTTGGGAAAAAAGCGTCACCAGTCCCGGTAGGAAACGGGAATGTGTCATCGGTGCCCGTTGAGAAGGAAGCACCACCCGTGCCTGTGGCACCGTTACCAAAGTCGGGGCCACCCGGACCAGTCTTGGTAGAGTTGCCACCACGGAAACCGCCTTGACCTTGGCCGTGACCACCATGACCACCTCCACCGCCACGAGATGGGAATGAGCCGGTGCCAGTCGGAAAGAAAGCAGAAGCAGAGGAAGTGCTGGTAGCATCATCGCCACCGAAGCCCGAATTCGAGCCGGAACTAAAGCTGGGGCCACTCCCTAACGCTGAGTTGCCAGGGCTGCCGCTAGAGTCGGATGAATCTCCCTCATTGTCATTGTTGTCGGCCTTTTTGACCGAAAACAAGCTGGCCCGCAACTTGTGGAGAAAACCGTGGTGCTGCTTGTCGAGGGAACGGCCCTGGACAATCGAACCGGAAAGAGCAATGACCGAGGTAACCGGGGCCGAAACTGGAGCGGCTAGTCCGGTAGTGCACAGTGATGCCACAAGAGCGGTGGAGAGCTTCATTCTATTCTAAAGAAACGGAAACGGTAGGGTGGGAAAGGTATAAAATCGAAAAGCTCGAAAAGAGTGAGAGTTGACGCGACCTTTTCTTGAACGGGTGGTTAGGAACAAGGCTCGATACCAGTCGAGTGTGTCGAAGAGAATTGGCAGAGAAGAAACAAAAAGGAAAATAAGAGTTGTTGTATATTGAAGACCTAGGGATAGAGAAAACAGTTCTCGTCTACGACAGGTCCTTCTTGCCGCTTTATACGAATCTGGCGATACGGTCCTGTCAGAAGTTTCCGGCTGCGCAGATACAAAGTACCCCTCGGGACATTCGTCTAGGCGACTCCTCCCGGGATTGTGCTATCGACCTCCCGGATGCCATGGCATTTCTTGCACTTCGTACAGGACTACGTGCTACGCTGTCCCCTGAGATGTTTTCTTAGCCGAATCATCCCGACTGGGAAATTTAAGGGAGGATACCATCAAATCCATTCAATCGAGAATCAATGATAAGATCCCCAGAAAGATTACCCCAAAAAGAACAGACGTCCATGGATGTGTGCCGATGAACTGTCTATGATCATCCGAAAGACCCATAAAAGTCCACGCGGTGATGCGTAGCTGAAGCGTGTGATGAAACAGCCATCTACAATAGGAAACCGGAAAACCTGGAATACCAGACGGGAGAGACACGTATGAACAGACTCGGCAAATCGAACGATTCCCAAAACAACCGGAGGCGATCGTATACGATTAAGCAACGGTCGAAGATGTTTCAGAGCGAAGGCAGTTTGGGCGGTATTAGTATTTTGGTTAGCATGGCTGCTTGAAACAGATGTCCATTACGGAGTAGTAGCCTGGAAAATGCCCCCGGGCTGGTTAATACTCCGTACGTTGGTGCCCTATTAAGGAAATAAGCGGGACGAATTTTGTGAGAGAACCCCGTTGAAAAAAGGATCGGATGATGTCTTTTACAGGTCATCCAATGTTTTTAACATGTTCGCAATTTCGACAAACCGTTGAACGGTAGTTTATAGAGAACCCACGTTACTCGGACTCATTGTCGTCTCTTCTATTATCTCCAGGTGAAAACCCACTTGATTTTACTGAGAACAGCCATTTGTTTTCAACAACTAGGTAAACATACCCCTGAAGAAGGCCGTTCCACGCAGAACCCCTGTCCACTAGTCCAGCGCTAGCTGAAAAAGGAGACGGCAGCGACTTTAGCAGGCTGAAATACGAAAAGGCAGAAGAATTCTCGTCTGAGCGTCATTGGTCGTAGTGCGTCTTATCATTCGGCGTCCACTCCTGTCAATTGTGACTGAGTGTCACGACGACTCCATGCACGAGCGTCAGGGTTTTGATGTAGACAGCCGCGTCGCTTAACGTTCTTGCCACCAGATTGTCTCTCTTTCAGCAAGCCAATCCGTAGCTACTGACGCCTTGCCCTGCAGCTACTGAACTAAATTTACTGCAAAGTTTTCCGTCATAACTCGCTCTTCCCAATGCGCGTCAAACTATATGAAGGTTTGTGAGAGAGGCGAATGGCGTCTCTATGTATGATATCGCGTATTGCAGTGGACGAAGGTCGGGCATGGCTGTTTCTAGCTGGGTAACATTGCGAATGATGGCCGCCATACTCAATTAGCCAAAAAGCGGAAGAACTTGTTATGACTAAAAAATTGCAGAGCAACAAAGATTACAGTACATAATATAGTCTATAAGGATCCAAAGTACAGTGGGCTATGTCTACTTTCAGCGAATACTCGCAACCTTTCCTCCTTTCGAAGGTATTTCGCCTAATATCTTATCTCATTCTTCTTCTTTCCCCTCTTCTTTTTCTTATTGCAACTAACCCACTGCTTACGGTGTAATTCACCCCCTTGCCTCATGTTTATAGAATGACAAGGGACATCAACTAGGGTTTACCTTGTATATAATCGTAATGCCATAGATTACCCTATTAGGTGACGAGTTCGCGGTATTTATACGCGCCGGTCAGCATACCTTTTTCGTGCAACCTGTACTCTGTCATGCAATAGTGCACTAGTAGCACACCCTCTCTGTTCGTTTCTGCTTGCTTTTATCGCTAGCTCCTGTCTGTTAAGCTGAGGTCTCTCTTACCGCGGCCGCTTTTGTGACGTTATTGCCTGTCGTCATTGCTGAGAGGGAGTGCCCGCTTACGAGCAAAGCATATGGATGCAACATTGCCCCCAAACTTTTAGACAATGACGACAATAACATGTTCTAAAACTGCCACAAGTGAGTTCTAAAGACAGTGTACAAGACAATTATTGACGCCTTGGGGCTAGACGCTGAACAACCACCACGGAAACTCTAGAAAAAACAGCCTCAACGGCTTTCGTGAAAAGGGGATGGATTCATCTAAGTTTTCTACTAGAGAGAGGGACCAGAGGAGGGGGTAGTTGATACCCCTCCTTTGCCCTCCCTCGTACCTTCCTTTTTGGCGCACTCAACAACGCCTTAGGAAGACGCTGTAGCGAGAAGTGTGGCACTGTGCTTAGGCATCATATAGAACTCTTGTAAGGCGAATACATATTCTTTAAATTGATCTCATTTCTGACAGAGAGCGATATAGAATTCGAGCAACAAATCGGAATGGCCGCCCTCTTCCTTTCTCACTTAGTCAATATGAAGCAAGCTGGCGCATTCATTTTCCCTTGCCCGCCGTAGAGCCAGTGGTGCCACCCTGACCATAGTTCGACGCCTGGTTCGTGTTGTGGGCGGCGGCGGACTGGGCCCGTGCCGAAAATCCAGAACTCGACATATCACGGCCAGCTTTGGCCTGATGAACATTGTTAACCAACCACGAGACAACAGGGCCAGTTAATGATAGAGCAACGAACCTGACTCGATTGGATGTGAGAAGCTGCTGAGCCTGTCATCGAATTTCCCTTGTTAGAAGGCATTATGTACTTGATTGAACTTGAAGATGGTTTTTGTTAGTTGTTGTGTTATGGTTTTAAAAAAAGAAGTGTAAGTAGGACTTCAACTCTTTCTTAGAAAAAGAGAAGAGTTTCTTTTATTTATACGTGTGTGAACCATACTGAAACAGCGATACTATTCGAAATGCATACACCTCGGCATTGGCAAGGTCATGTTGCAACGACCAAAGAATGGTGAATAGTACTTTACTTAGTACTTTTTATAAAGTGCTATGTACATAACACTCAGGTAAACATTATCAATCAGTAGGATAATGCTGGTGCTAATAGGTGAGTGTGTTTTTTAGAGTCGAATCCATACCTGTGTTCATTTATAAATGAGGGGAGGTGATGATTCACATGCACGGTGCTTATACAGAAAAGCCCCGCACATGTGAGTCAGCGTGTCCTAATCGACGAAATGATAGTCTTTGCCCCTATAAGAACGTTACATCCAATAAGTCCGCCACCCCCCCTTTCGACCACCCCCGCCTTTCGACCACCCCCTCCTTTCGACCACCCCCTCCTTTCGACCACCCCCTCCTTTCGACCACCCCCTCCTTTCGACCAATAATTACTCAATCCACGCACATCTTTTATTCAGTCTTCCTGGACTTCTTCACCAGTTACATAATGAAAATGGTGCATGAATCTGTTCATAGACTCTGCCTGCATCTCCCTAGCCGTGTTTTCCGGTTGAATCTCCCTTGCAACGCGCTCTTTGACCGCCACAACCTCTTGAATTCGTACAAACCGCTTATTCGGCGCAGGCTTTACTTTACGGCGCTTACTAACCTTCTGCGCTTGTAATGCTTCTAGCTTATTAATTCGCTGCTTTTAAAAGGCTATTATAGCTGTTTTTAAATTAATTGCGTGGCTAGCTTTATAAAGAAGGCGCCGTGTAGACCTATTTAAATTACTCTCTTCCTTTACTAATGCAATTTGCTGTAGCATCTCCCGGCTAGTAGATAGCGTATTAAAAACGATATTGCTAGATTAAGTACGGCGTAGAGGAGTTGTATTGTAAGGGGCTGGTGTGCAATGCGTGGTCACGAAGGCTTAACTGGTTTGTACTGTTGTATTAAGACTTCAACTTAACGAACTATAGGAGATTGGTAGGCGAAGGCCTGCCAGCTAATATATACGTGGCTGGAAGATGCGGTGTAGCGCAAACCCAGTGGGGCGTGGCGCAGCTAAGTGGCTGTGCTAGTCCCGTGCAACGTGTCAGGATAGTTCGTTAAGTCCGCCGCTTGGTAAGCGACTGGTTGCCGAACCGGTGCGTAGGGACGCGTGTGTGGAATACCCTTACAGTTTTCTTAGTACTAGGCTTCCCCTTAAACATTATGTCTAGCCTACGCTTCTATAAGGCAGGCAATTATATTAATGGCACTAAGCTAGTAGCCGTAGATAGATGTAACGCCGCCCCAGGAAGGGGACCGACGCAGGCTACGCGCAAGCCGTACGCAGTATGCGCACAGCGTATTAGATGCACATCGTGAACTAGAAGCGGTGCTGGTGGCGCAGGCTGCGTGGTGCAGTCTGCGCACAGGCCACAGCACGTGCTAGCGCACGGGCCAAGTAGAAACGGGGTCGCGCCTGTCCTGCGCACTTGGTGCGCCAGAGGTGCGCCTACGATAAAGAGTGCCTCCCGCACTCCCTTAGAGTGCAGAAGGCAAGAATTAGCTATTGAATATACGGCTGCTTCCTCCTGTTAAGAAGATACCTCCTTGCCTGCCTGACTTACCTGGCCTACCCAAGTACACCTTTAACACATCGCTATTACAGCCATTAAGCGCTACTACGTGCTAAGAGGCATTAGGGTAATCCCTAGCCCTTTATATAACTTAGCTAAGAACGAAGAAGCTAAGAGGGTAGTTAAAAAGGTTATTATTCGCACTAGACTACTTTATCTCTAAGGTTGTATCCCTCTTATGCTCTAGCTAGAAGTCTGCAAGTTAGCAACTTACATTCGAAACTATATAGCCAACTTTAAAGGGGAGGTGCTAATTGTCTAGTAGCGATGTAACAATAGTCGAAAGAAGGACGAAAACTTTGTACTAGACGTCTTTTACTTGCGCACAATTAGCTCTAAAGCCGTGATTCGAAAACCTAAACAAGTTATCCAGAAGGTAGGCGATTTAAAGCTTAAACTATAAGGCAAAGAGGCTATGCTTGTAGGCTTTAAAGGGACTTACCTATACAGGTGTTAGGCTATTCTCTGCAGTAAGCTCGTCGTTACGAAAGACGTGCATATATTCGAAGAAATCGTAGAAGACGTGGATTTAATTAAATCCTAGCCTAAGAGAGTCTGGCGCCGCACTAAGAAGGTAACGATCGATTAGAAAACGCAGGACCACAACGTCTTTATTCTAGAACCTAACTCTAACGTTAAGGGGGAGCCTAATCTAAACGAAGATCCGGATAATATCTTTAATCTAGAAGACTTTAAGGAGCCCTTATAAGACTAAGCTAGCATCCTGAATCAACCTTAGGAGATTGTTACAATCTTAAATCTAACTTCTATTTACAAACGCGCAGTACTGCCTTAGGCCGCGCGCAATCTAATGGAAGTAGGCAGCGTAGACCTTGTATAGCGCGCACTAAGTGCGCATAATATAAAAAAAGATAAGCTAACTATAAAGGAGGCGCTATTAAGAAGTAAGTTAGATTAATAACGTAAGGCTATATTTAGAGAGATAGATAGCTTAATTGTAAAAGGCGTTTTTAAGTTTATAGAATAACTAAAAAGTAAAAAGACAATTACTAGTAAGTAAGTACTATAGCAAAAGTAAGGACTAAATTAAGAAAAAATAAAGAAGAAGGCAAAGCTAGTAGCTAGAGGCTTTTAATAAAGGTAAGGCCTTAACTATAACAAAACCTTTGTATTAACTTCTTAATTAAACTTTTAGCGTATACTTATAGCACTAGCTGTTTAGTTTAACTAGACCTTACGTTAATTTAACGTAATCGCTACCTACTTATATAAACTGCTAAACAAGGATATCTTTATAGAATAAAAAGAGCTGTTTTAGCAGTACTTTAAACAAAAACCTAAAGTAGCACGCTAGCTTAACTAGGCGCCAAATCGCGTTATTTAGCTATAATAAGCGTTATACAGCTTAAAGCAAGCTAGCCACGTTTAGTAAAAGAAGCTGCGCGAAACTATAGTATTAGCAAGGCTTAAGCCCTTTATAATAAACCTTGCCATATATTATAGCAAAGGCGTGACCGTAGTAACGCACGTTAACAATGCCCTTTATAAAGGAGCGGAAACTAACGTTGCTTTGTTTAAACTTAGTATGCGTTAGTTGCTAAAAGATAAAAATAACACTAACGCTTAAATAGTTACTAGGCGTCAAGATCGGGATCACTACCACAGAGGGGGGTACTTAGATTAGCCTCTCCTAGTTAGCGTACATTCGCGACCTCCTCGAATGCGAAGGCATAAACGAATCGCACCCTATTGCGACCCCGATCACTAGTCTGGTGACTCCTAACGAGCATAAGCCCCTAGCAGACAGCTTTCGATATTAGCACGTAAACGGCAAGCTAATCTACGCTGGTGTGATGACAAGACCAGACATCTCCTTTACTATACACTAGCACTTAAAGGTGATAAAATCACCTAGGGAAACGCATGCCAAGTCAGCCAAGCGATCGGTTCGCTACCTACGAGGCAAGGAGGACTACGCGATAGTCTACCGCCGTTAAAAGCCCCCTCCAAAGGGGCACATTTGCGTTAAAGGGTGGGTTGATGCGTCCTGGGCCGACGATCCAGTTGATCGTCACTCCACGTACGGCTTCATCTTCAGGATTTCAGGAGGGCCGGTCTCTTAAAGAGCCAAGAAGCTCCCGACCGTCAGCACCTCCACCTGTGAAGCTGAATACGGCGCCGCCTACTACGCAACAACGCAGGCCCGCTGGATCGAGCAATTCATGCTCGAAATAGGCCTCTAAGCCGACATCCAGATGTTCGTAGACAACACCTCCGCGATCAGCATCACGAAGAAGCCTGAATTCAGAGAGCGTTCGAAGCACTTCGACGTCAAGTGGCACTACTTTCGTGAAAGCGTACTAGGCGGCTTGTTGACGGTACGGTACGTAAAGTCTGAGGATTAGATCGCTGATATCATAACGAAGGCACTGCCTAAGGCAGCGTTCGAGAGGCTGTTGCCTCGCTTAATGGGCTGGCAGCCGTGAAAGGGCTGCCGAGGATGATTTCAGTGCATCGCGGTGCGCCTACGTGGCGTATTCAGGGGGAGTGTCAAGCATTGGAATCCGCCACACTGTGAGTGTTGTGGGGCTTCTTGCCTCTAAAAGTACTCCGTAACTCTGTAAGAGTAAGGCAATGTCTACGGAGTACTATTGTAAACTGTGCCCACTTATAATTCTATTTCAGCCTCATCTCCCCCACCGTCCTTTTGTTCCTTCCTTCTGCGTTCGTGATCGACTGTCATGTTCAACCCAATCTTGCCCTTACTATGTGAGCCTATGGACGGACCATGTATTCTTGGCCGCTGGATGTTTAATTCTTGAGCTAAGATGGTGCATTACCTTTTCAACATGTTTTGTTTCTTCCCACTTTTCTCGCTTCTTCCCTTGAGGTGTATATCAGCGTAGGCGGCTAGGCTGCCGGAGGTGCCATCTTTTCGTCCATAAAGTCGAGCAAGGCTAGCCGGGCGGCCTTTATCAACTCGGCCGAGAAGTTTCTCAAGACGTACGCCTTTGACGGAAACATCCCCCCTATGCCTGCTCTTCCAGATCTTCTAATGGTTCCACTACTTTGTCCATATACGTCTGCCACAATTCTGCAAACTTGGCCCGATCAAATCCTGGCTGCGTTCGCGAGTGTACATCCCATCCACACTTCCGAATCAAATCCTCGGTTCTTCACAGTGCCTGCTCAACATTACGGGTCGTCCGCCATTGCCGCCTTTCCCGTGCCGAGTAGTGCGAAGGTGCCTCGGCAGGTTCACGCAGCTGTTCCTCCTTACAGCCAAACAGCACCCGAGTCGGCGTGATGCTTTTCCGAAACGATCGGAAAAGCATGGATCAACGGATCAAGCACGGCCGACGCCGGTTGAGCCCGAATATGGGCGTAGCCTGTGACGTTCTATAGGGTTGTTAAAGGATCTGAGGAGGCCTAATGGTCATATTTTTTTTTTCTAGCTTCCTTCCTAAAAAAAGACTCCTATTTCTCGGTGTTATACAACAACATCGTTCCATGAATGTTCTGCGTCGTCAACTTGATTACAGAGCTAGGAATCCGATTATTAAAATTGTCCGACTGTCTGTCTTTGAGACTCTAGTACAGAAGGTACTTGGACCTCCTCTTCTTAAAAAGATCAAGCTCGCCCTTCCACGCCGCCTTAATTTGAGAAGGATGGAGCCCTGTCTCAATCCCCTCCCGAATCAAGGGGCTACCCACGAGCAGATCGATATCATAATAGTCGCCATTTTGTCTCCAGTGGAAGCTAGCAGTGTAGTTGCCTTCGTTCGGCTCCGTTGACCCGTTGGCATACAGGTGGCGAGCAGTCCAGAGAAGACCGACACCGACATAGACAGGATCGAATGTTGAATGCGCATAGTCAGTCTCTACGGCCATGTATGTCTGCAGGCCGCAGGATATCGTGCTATCGAACTTAGATGTAGTGGGCGTGAAACATTGGAAGCGATAGTCAGTGTAGGGGATTTGAAGGTCCCTCATGGCCGTTGTCCAGCTCTCGTTCGTCCACGGCGCGCCCATAATTTCAAATGGACGAGCCGTTCCTCGGCCCTCGGAGATGCTGGTTCCCTCGAACATGCAGGTCCCGGGATACAGCATGGCCGTATCAAGCGTCGGCATGTCTGCGTCACACGGGTTAGTTATCTTCGACCCGTTGTACTGGCAGAGCTTAGAACTCACTCGGACTTGGGAGAACCCAGGGAAGCTTCGTGTCGACAAAGTCCATCGACCTCTTCCAGCCCTTCATCTCAACTACATTGAGCGATGGGAGATCCAGGCCGCCTGCCGACTCTTTGATCCAGCCCTCGCCGACAAACATCTTGGCCATTTCTCCAGCCGTCATGCCATGTGCCTGTGCGATGGCACGGCGACCGACATAGGAGTTCACAAAGCTCTCGTTAAGCACGGGCCCAAAAGCATTCAGACCGGTGATAGGATTGGGTCGATCCAGAACAACATAGGAAATGTTACTCATAGCAGCAGCAACCATGCTGTCGTACATAGCCCAGGTATCTGATGCGTGTGTCAGCAGCCATTCTGCACGTACACAGATATGCGCCAAAGTGTGCCTTACAGGTGTAGAAACGGGCGCCCACGTCTTGGATATCAAACATAAGGGTGTCTGCTCCTGACTCTTTAATGTAAGACTGGATCACCGTGGTGTTCACATTGTATGCGTCCTGTCCGGGTTAGATACAGTTGTGCTTGCTCGGCTCTCTTCCCCATAGTGATGGGCATTCTCACGTAGACGGTGAGTCCGGTCTTGGCATCAACAAATGTTGCCTCTCCGTTTCCATTCTGCGATGTGCCGCGAAAGCCATGCTCAGGGCCCATGACCCCGACCAGATCGACGGATCCAGATTCCACCATGACATCCACACCAAGATCGAGGTCGGGTGTAATGCCTGTGGGGTTGGTCAAAACCAGGACCTTCTTGCCATGTAGAGCGCTGTAGCTTGAACGGATGAGCACATCTAGGCCTGTCTGGACAACAGGCTTCCGGAGGGAAGCCTCGGCAGCCCCAAAGGCGCCAGCCGCAAGAATGGACACAACTTTTAGCAACATGGTGTCAAGTTGGACGTTGGAGAGCGTTCACCAGATCACCGTTACAAGTTGAAGGAAAGTGGCGCTGTGATGGCATTTTAATCAAGATACAAGTCTTCAGCCGGGGCCCGGTAATTTAAGATTAGCCAAGCGGGACACATAAACGATATGAGGCGAAAGAAGCGGACCGCTTCTTTACATCCCTGGCGCTCCGTAATTTCGTCCGCCAAATTCTCGGAAAACCCGGCGACTGACGGAAGACCCGGTGAACCCGGAAGACGGAGAATACGTTCCTGCGTTGCAAATATATCGGTAGATTACGTTAGTCCTCGTATACCAAAAGCAGGGACCAAGAGATAGGAAGCATGTTGAAGCAGGCCCCATAATAGTGAGCTCGATATTGTACTTAGCGTCGATAGTGGGCTTCGACACCCTTGTTAGCTAACTCGTCGGATCCTGACGAAGAGATAAGGAAATATGATATTTAAGTTTACGGAAAGTACCTGCAGCTGATTTGATTTCGAACTCGAGATGGATGCGGTGTAGAATATGTAGACCGTTCAGGGGTTTCAGTAGCCTCTGGACCGCAATAACTTGTTGCAGTCTTGTGCTTTTCGTTTAGAAGTTTTTACAGAGCAAAAAGAGGATATTAGCTATCTCACAAATGTATTTAGACCATAGTAAACTCAGACAGCTGAACTCCTCTCCGTTCAAGCTCCGTCGGTTCTAGCCTCGGATCGTAATTGATCGTCTCTTTTGTCGCCTTATGTCTGAGGAAGTCATAGTCAGCAGGGTCATTACTATCGGCATCTCGTCCGATTCTTTCCCACTCCTTCACAGGATCTAGTCTTGGGTCTTCCAGAGTGGTTTCATCTGTTTCTGGGTTGTAAAACCGGAACTTCAGGCGTCTCTGTTCCATAGATCCAACAACTTTCCACGGCACTGGTAGTGGACCAAGTAAAGCGATCGCATCGTTGAGGCCATGTACGAAGCATTCACCGACGACTTGAAAACGCCCATCGTTTGTGGGGCGCAAGACAACGGGAATTGGACAACCTAGGAAGACGGCGATGACATCACCTAATGTTGTTCTGTCAACTCGTACTGCTTATTACTCCAGCATCTGCCATGACGAGGTATACTTCCAGGCTTTTACTTACCAATTTTTGTGTCTTCGTGTGCCAAGCCAATGTATCCCTCTTCTGTCTCGATGAAGATTCGGTCCTCACAGAAATGAAGGGCACTTTGTGTGGACTCATCCATATGAGAGGACATCGGGGCAGAACGCCCGCCCTGAGATGTGGCGTTCACTCCAAACAGAGCACCCGACCAGTCCTGGCGCAACCAGTCGTCTAGACGACAAATCTCCAGGTCTGGGAAGCGATCCTTGAACTCCCCGCACATCAATGTGATCCCGTATACGGTTCGCAGTGGCTCGCCGGTAGGCTTGTAGGTGGCCGTCGCTAAGTGAGAAGGCTGCCATCGCCTGATGATCGAATGGCAAGCCTACTCCCAAGATATTTAGGCATAGGGTGCGTGACGCGGTTCACAGTCGCACAGCGCACACCTGTCACCCTGAGATCTTCAGGAGTCCTGCTGTCGTACCTAAAATATGCTCGCGAAGTGGACGCTGCAAACTGAAACGGCTGGGCTTTGTCCCAAGGAGACTCGACAGACCAGTCCGGGACCCATGAGGGTGTCGCACCAATCTCTCGGCCGTCTAGGAAACAGTGATAAAAGAGCTCTAGGCGCTGGGTAACGTGTGCGTGAGCAAGAAATGCTCTTTTGTATACCTCTCCCGCGTCGACATGCCTGGCGTAGTCTGGGTGAATCATGGAGGAGAAGCGTGATGGAGACATGCCCAAGAGGCCGTATATTTTATCTCGAGGGTCTTTGCAGGTTCGGTACACGGCAGCCCCGAGTATGGCCCACAGTGGATCTTGTTTGCTTGCTCCAAAGACCATCTGTGCCCTTGTCACCCTATGGCGAAGCTCTGGGAGGCCAGATATGTCTTTCTGATTCAGGCATATGACCGCTCGTCTGAGAATATAATGTGAAATCGTGTCGTGGCCGCACTGTATGATGGCACCTGGCTGGGTGCTTGCCAGTTGTATCTCCTGCACAACCCATACGCGTTGAAACCAGGGACGCTCAAGAAGACTGAGGATGGCATCCCACGTAGCGGTATTGTATGGAAGGTTGTACGATGGATCGTACCAACCTGTCTCCTTGGCCCCTGGGGATGGAAACACCTTGCCTTCCGAATCGATTTCAGTCTGCTCCCCGAGATACTGCAATGTCGAAAAGGCCTGGTTGCTGGTTTTGCTCGCAGGGCCAAGCCAGACGACGACACGATGTGCCAGCCGGTAGATATCAGACATCCGCCGCACTTGGTGCACCTTTTCGGAATTGTCGTCTTGGTTGATGCATACTGCGTCGACCCATAGTACACGGGACAACGATGTATGCCGCAGATATTGAAGTGCCTCCATCAGATTATCAGATATGGCCAGATCAGTCGGCTGCACTATGTCGTCATCTCCAAATGCAGAAGGCGATGGCTCAATTGTGATTGTATGTGGACGTGCATCTGAACCCCAAACATAGGAAAGAGCCTCATACTTCGGCGTGAAGTCCCAAATCTCACGTGGTGGTTCGTAAAGGACAGGATCGACGCTTGGGTCGGGGTGGTGCCATTGATTGATTCCTGTTGCCACATTTCCAAATAAGAACTTTTCCTCTGGGGTTTTTGTGACAAGCCAATTTGGAGGTAGAGTTTTGGCAAGTTGTATCAGATCTAATTGCTTTTGCTGTTCTCTTGAATGGTCTACAAGAGGGACACAGTCGATTCTGACTTTGACGGCATCGCCATGCTCTCCCGGAAGCAACTCGATGAGCCGAATGTCCGTCGTGGGTGAAGCAAGAGGACAATATGTGTAATGGATAATTGTTGATAGCCGCGGTGTGTTGGTAAGAGCTGTCGACTTTTTCCTTTCAAAAGGAGCTCGACGAGGCCTTGCTCTAACACGGCGAGTTTTGGCCGGCATGGGACCTAGAGAAGTTGACGTACCGAGTCACGTCAATAGAGAACACAGAGTATGTTGAGGTTCTGATTTTAAGAGGGGTACGGAGTATTTTACGAAGTAAGATACAACGTGATAGATCGACGCTGTCAGACGGAGGAACAGAGCCGTGGCAAAATAGCGGGCCCAAATGGTAATCTCAACTTATTAGTGGGTCCATCGTCTAATTGGGCGTTGATGGCCGTTATATTCAGGGAGAGAACCGGCATCAAGGGTGAAAGGCAGAGTAAAAAATTGGATTATAAGTTTAGCAGCCTACCAGTTTACACGAACTTGCTGTCTGCATCGTAGGAGTTGGTAGTTTCTGAATGCCCGAATACCTAGTTAAGCGGCCTGCGCCATATAGTGCGAGTACAGTGCTGTTTATCTTCTCATACGGAGTACCTATGGACAACCTTCCCACAGTCGTTCATTTGACCCGTCCGGGCACAACCGCGTTGAAGCAAGGTAGTTTTGTAATTTCACCTAGGTAACGTCTATTGCTAATATGCGAATTTTATCTACTAGGTGTATGTTTTTGCTTTTCACTATGCTTTGTCCCAGATAAGTCTTTGTTGCGGCTATAATTCCATTTCTACTTCCATCCCTGCTTTAGCACTTCCACGGCCTCGGCCTCCCTAATTACATCGACAAACCGTGCATTAAGGACTGTGTTGCCCTCGAAGCTTCTAAGAATGAAGTGCCAGATAAGCAGAAGTGCTGGCCAGATAGGCAGAGGCGCTGCATAGAAATCCGCGGACTCTTATCAGGCGTCATGCATTAATGATCAAAAATCTCTCTCACAATCATGAAGATCGCTAATCAGTTCAATCGCTAGCAGTGCTGATCTAAAATCTATAGAGAAACCTCACCTCGAGTCTCCCACGTAGACTTTGGCCTGCTTGCCAACATCAAAACGTCGATACGAGAGATAAGACTCCAAACCGGTTACAATGGACGTCTTCAGGCTGCCAACACCCACGGTCATCGGACTTGTTGGAATACTGGCTCTCGCTGTGGTCTACCTTAATCCCCGCGTATTTGGAAAGCGCAAGTATAATTTTCCACCTGGCCCCCCTGGCGAGTTCCTCCTTGGGCACTACCGAAAAATACCATTCACCGCCCCGTTCAAGCAGTACGCAAAATGGTCAAAGGAATATGGTATGCACCGCTTGTTGCAGTAAGAACGAATTTCTGCTAAAGTGAGCCCGTAGACTCCGAAGTCCTCTATTTTGAGACGTTCGGTACAAAATGGATTGTCCCAAACAGTCTTCAGTCTGCGATCGATCTTCTGGACAAGCGTGGAGTGAACTACAGCGACAGGCCTAAATTCATCTTGTTTGAAGAGTAGGAGCTACGACCCTAGAGTCAAGGTTTGGAACTGACGACTTGCAGGATGGGATGGGCCCCGACCCTGACATGGCTCCGCTGGGGGCCGCAGATGCAGCGCCATCGCAGGGTTCTTCAGCCGGCCTTCAGCAAGACACAAGTCCGTCAACATCAGGACAGCCAGCAGAAGGAAGCTCTTATCTGTCTGCACAATATTTTAGACGACGCCGAGAATTGGACTGGATCTATTCGGCAGTTTGCCGTTGCCATTGTGCTCAACATTGCCTTTGGCATTGATGTCGATGGTCCATGTAGTCCGTGGATCAAGACTGCGGACGACGCTGCTGATGCTATCGGCCACTCCGGTGCACCGGCAAGAAGTATCGTGGACCAGTTTCCAGCAAGTAAGTAACCCTGCTTTCACCACTGTTCTGCGCCAATACAATTTCTCACAATAGGTCACAATCTTAGCGCGCCATCTGCCTACCTGGCTTCCATTCATGGAGCGACTTCGCTATGCCCGCAACCGGCGATGGGCTATTGAGGCCATCACGAACATTCCCTTCGCCCAGGCCAGGAAAGAAGTTGTACGTTCAGTCTACACTGGCCTGAATCTGGTACTGGGGACTTCCATACTAACTTCTTATTGATAGGAAGAGAAAATACACAAAAAGTGCTTTGCTCATGACCGCCTTCACGTTTACAACCACAACGTCGTTAATGGGGTCGAGAACGAGTTTACGATGGACGATATTCGAGGATCGTCTGCTGCAATTTACATTGCGGGAAACGACACGGTGAATTCTCGTCGCCGTATCGCACGCTGTCTCAGCTTATTCTAACTTTTTAAAAAGACTGCTACCACTGTTATCCTCTTTGTCCTGTACTTGATGCAGAACCCGGATGTTCAGGCCAAAGCCCAGGAAGAGATCGACCGGGTGGTCGGAAATGAGCGGCTGCCTACTTGGGAAGACATCTCCGACTTGCCGTACATGAACCTCGTCTTGCAGGAGACGTTCCGTATGAACCCGTTGTCGCCTCTCGGAATTCCACATGCCGCCGTGGCAGATGACGTGTACAACGGAATGTTAATCTCTGCAGGCACGATTGTGTACTAAAACGTCTGGGCCATGCACCATAATGAAGAAATTTATGCGGAGCCGTTCAAGTTCTGGCCGGAGCGATATCTTGCAAATAACGAAGGCGGCAATGGCGAGCCACTTCCAGTAGGAAACTTCGGCTTTGGCCGTCGTGTCTGCATTGGGAGAGCCTTGGCTGAGAACAGCTTGCTTATCGTCCTGGCGAGTATGCTGGCGACCATGAAAATCGAGTTCCCACTTGACAAGAATGGGGATCGCACTCTATTTGAACCTGAATGGCCATACTTGGGACAAGCGTATGTGTTCATTCCGGTCTGGGTTTTTTCATGTGCTAACTAGGCTACAGACAACCACTGCCCTTCCAGGCCAGTATATCCCCCCGGTCTGCTAAGATGGCAGAGCTTTTACGAGACGCAGCAACTACTGCGAAAGCCTGAAGTCGAGGTGTCCATCCGCTATCGTGTCGGTCATCGTAAGTAGCGAAATCCGAGGGCTCCTGCAGCTAGGCCTGTTAGCTGTCGGACAACGCGCAGGTGTACAGCTGCGGAGCGCCAGGGAAGAGGCTGCTGTTGACAGTGGAGAACGTGGAGTCAAGCTGCCGAAGAGTGGGATCATGATGGCTTGACAACACCCACTTCGGCAGGTTGCATACGATGTACGAAGTACTAAGTAGAGTATGGAGTAGTTATGTATCATTTCCCGTATGATCCAAGCCATTTAAGAGCACATTCAACGGTGGTGCCGCCCAGCACAAGATATTGTGGAGTGAGTTTTAGACTAAGAAGACGGCTTGCATGCACCATACAAGTAGATAGAACGCGTTATGCACGGGACAACAACGGAAATCAAATCCGTGCTGTCAAAGCCGAGCTCGAATTGGTCGGTCTACTCCATAGATCTTAATTATACTATCTGTACTCCGTACTCCGTACTTCGTATAAAGTTTGGTTTGGACACATGCGTATCCATATATCCCCGTCTTATTTGCGGGCCAGCTCATCACGAGCAAAGGTTGTCAATCGCTCTACATAAGATAAGAAGGAGCGACAGATGATCAGTCTCACACAACGAGGAAACACAACGGCTAGATCGAATATACTAGAAATTTCAAACTTGTCATAGAAGCAGCCGGTCGGCATACACAGCGTTAGCTACTAGCAGCTCTTTAAGAAAGTTGGACTCCTACCACGAATTCCTTTCCGGCCGAGACCCCGTATTTGAGTCCATAAAAACTCCCAACTTGATAGCGGCCGAGATTAGCGTCATCTCCTGCTCCAGGCCGCTTGCTGATTGGCCTGTGCTAAGAAGCCATACCCGCTGGACAATATGCGTGTGATAAAAGGTATAATCAGTTCCAACAGCGGTAAACCAGGATCGTCCTCTTGTAGATGGGAAGATGCCAAACCTGGGCTAGTGTTGATGCCACTGTACTAGTATATTTTACTGCGGACTTTAGACCCTTATCAGGTTGATGGAACCTTGAGATTGCATCCTCCTAGTCACCTCGGACACATTCGCGGCATTGCCGTTGGGAAACCTCGCACATCACGCCAACTCATGAGCAAGCATCTTCGACATGCCCGACACGTTTGTTGATAGCGAGCACCCCTCAAGTCCCAGGCCAAATGGCCACGTCCAAAGCCGCGTCTGGCAGGCCTGTCAGCCTTGCCGGCGCCGAAAGGTGAGATCCGGCCGTATTCTGAGACCGCCTCCGGCCAGGCAGGGTCCTCATGCTAAAACACGGTCATCGACAGGTGAAGTGTGATGGCAAGCAGCCGTGCCACAACTGCACCTCACGCGGTCAGACATGTGCCTTTCCGGACGTCAAAGACCACGCGTCCGTCAGTCGGTAGTAAGTCGGTCTTGTGGCCCTGCGTCAGTCTGGATTCTCAATTTTTACAGTTATGCTTTGTCGCTTGAGGCTCGGTGTCAACAAATGGACGCCACGTGCCAAAGGTTAGAGGTTATCACGACACAAATCCTGCATGCCGTCGAAGCAATCGACAACTACAAGCTCCCATCGCAGACAGACAATAATTTCAATAAAAGCTTGACCCAGACAACTCCCCCTATTCGAACCTTTTCAAGAGTCGGCGAGAAAGACTTAAACAAGGCTGGTATGGACGTCAGTGACAATACCAATCCAAGTCCATACCAGCCAGTCGTCGAAGACGAGCCTCAGGATCACCTTGGGGCCCTGGGATATATCGATGTCGATATGTCTGACTCTACCGAGTCTGATGATGATCCAGATGTAGATGTGTCTGATGGCGAGGGTGCTATAGATCAGGCTACCGCGTTCGTCAAGGACTCCTATGGCCGCTTTCGGTAAGCCCTCGATCTCTGTTCCGTGTCACCCATTCCTAGCTGCTGTCCGAGAAACTCACAGACCTCGCTTGTGCCAGGTTTGTTGGTGGCTCGGCCAACAAAATGCTCATCGACGCGGCCAAGGGTATGTCACCCAGCAGTCGGGCGCAGCCGTCACAGACTCCAGGCTCCAGCGCGCTGATGGATACGGGCAGCGCCCATGGCGACCAGATTTCGCCGGAAGACGATGATGTTGAGCTTCCACTCTTCGTCCGCGGCAAGATCTGGCCGGAGCTCCCCTTTCTGCCCAGGCCGGAACAGCTGACTCGGCCTCCACAGTACATCTCGGACCTTCTCGTCGGCCTCTACTTTGACAAGCTACACTACACCTTTCCGGTCCTTTTCAAGCCGCATTTCATGCGTAGCTACGGAAAGAAGCTTCGCTGTGGTCCGAACGCATCCTCTCCCTCTCTGGACAAGGACTTTCTCAGGGTATTCTTCGCTGTGTGCGCTTCCGGACTCCTGCCTGCCAATCCAGACGGCGGCTTCCCGGGCTTCGAGTATTACGAAAAGTCCCTGTTGCTGCACTACGCATCGCCAGGACAGGCCTCACTCGAGCGCGTCCAATGCCTCGGCCTCCTTGCCATGTGCACTGCCAGCTGGAACACATTGACGCAGAGCTGGAGTCTTGCCGGTCTTGCGGTGAGGTCATCTATGGACATCGGTCTTCACGTGAACAGCCAATTTGTATGTTCTACCTAATCCATGCATGACTCGTATTACTTTCGCCTGCTAAACCCACCAGACGATGCCACATACGGAGAACTCTGGAGACGCACAGCGTGCCAGGACCCTACAGAACCAGATAGAAAGACGTACGTGGTGGAGTGTTTTCTGTCTTGAACGGTATGAGCCTTACCCATTCGCACGTTCATGTGTTTTTGTTCGCCGCATTTCTCTAAGGTGTGTCCTTGTGTCAAAAGAACAGTATCGCTTTGTCTCGGTCGGCCCATGGCTGTCGACGAGAAGGATTGTTGCTGTGAGCTGCCTCTCGACATCAGCAATGAGCATCTCGAGCGACGATACCATCTAGCGTCCGATGTGGCCGTTCCAATGCAGGACCAAGAAGAATCAGCCTTGACTGGCTTTCTTGCTTTTGCCCGCCTCTGTCGCATATCTGTGCGGGTTCAGAAGCTTGGCTCTCCCATGCGCCTTAGGCAACTATTGTCTCTTGATCCAAGGAAGACCAAGAGATATCTGTCCCGGGTATCGTCGCTCGACCAGTCTTTGAATGACTGGCTGGTAACACTCTCGGACTCTGTTCGGTTTTCAGCCAATGCATTTGAACAGCGTCCTGGGGATTCGGGGCTCGTAATGTGTGTCATTATATTCATAATGCATGCAGGGTCGCTTCTCAGTCTTTACAGGTCTGTTTTCCGCAGCTGTTTCAGGTTTACCCACGGCGTATGTCTAATGCACTTCCAAACAGATATGTCGCACATAATCTAAAAAGAACAAGCATTACTGAGGTGGATGACAGGACGGTAAAGGCTACGGCACAGTGTCTCAGTGCGGCTCGAAGTTGTATCAATGCGGCCGAACTTGTACGAGATCTTGTTCCGTCTTCGCATTATCTTGCCGTTTGTGTCCACTGCCTCACGCTGTCAGGTGTTGCTATGTACGTTCTTGGCAGACTGATATTCGTTGATTACGACTAACGAGACTTTGTATGCAAATAGGCTTCGAATGTCGAAACAGCCGCTAGACGAACAGACGATAGCTGACGCTAAAAAGTGTATTGGCTTGTTGAAAGATTTGGAGCTGCGATGGTTCGGAGCTTCTCGAAGCCGTACAGTGATTGAGAACCTCCTGAAAGAGTGCTTGAAGCAAGAAAGCGATGACAGACCATGGAACGAAACGGCTGACAACGCGGGCGATGAGTGGGACGGAGGACTGAAACGGTCGTTTGCAACGTTTGACAACAAATAAACGGAAACTTTCAGGACTCACTTTGGCGTAATGTCTTGTGGGCAGATCTGCTTGATGCCAGTCAAATGACCGGTAATGGTCTGGGACATGGTACATACAATCCGCGCGGTAATTAGGGCTTAGTCTTTGAGACTATGTAGAAGGTTTTCACACTTGCATAAACCCCAAGCGTGTGATATGTTTGAAGTGAAGTAAGCTAATCCATGCAGTCATCCCTCCTCTGTTGTTATATTGTACCACTTGTGTATTCCTACGCGTCATTAATCCTGGTTCAGTATAATGATCTTAATATTCGATCGTGCATGCTGTGCCTCAAAAGCTTCAGAGGCTTTAGTCAAGGGATATGTGCATGTGATCAGAGGCTTCAGGTCAACTGTCTTGTCTGTCAAGAGTCCAATGGCCTCTGCAAAACAGCCCGCTGTATATCTTACGGTCCCTGGAAAGAGTAAGCAGAGGGGAAACGACAGATCTAGGCATCTGCTTCAGCAGGGCATTCACATACCTTTGATGCTGAGTTCTTTGGCCGTCACGGTAAACAATGGTACAGAAACCAATGGCTTTCCGAGTCCGGCCTGAATCAAAGTGCCTCCAGCCTTGAGCATACAGATGCCCATAAGCACGCAGACAGCTGCCCCACTCGCCTCCACAACAACATCGCAGCCGTGTCCGATTCCTTGTTCGAGAATGATCCGGCTGGCATACTCCTGCGCAAACGCCAGAGGATCCTTGTCCGGGTTTGTGTTCCTCGACACCACAATCCCCTTGTCGGCACCGTACGACTCGGCAAACTTGGCACGGGTCTCCTCGATATTGAACATGACAATCTTTTGGACCCCATATGCTCGAGCAACAGCGAGGACGAGCAGACCGAGAGGTCCGCAACCGCTACGTGCCACAGCCGTCAGTGGACGATAGCAATAGCTTAAGACGACATCATATCTTACAATATAGCCATAGTCTGACCAGTCTTCAGACCAGCTCTACGTGCCAGCTGCACGGCGACAGCGAGAGGCTGAATCCCGCCGGCTTCTTGCCAGGAGACATTTTCCGGTATTGGGACCGTCATGGACGCCAGGCAAACGAAATACTGGCACAACGTTCCGTCCGTAGGATCAAGACCGCAGTATTTCAATTCGGCGCAGATGTTGAATGACCCTCGAAGGCAGAATTCGCACCTTTTGGTGAAGTTAGTGCTTAGGGCAATGAGACGGAACGTCCGCTTCCTCATAACTCCACAACACGTACTGTAAACAGGGAAAGCCTGGCTCCACAGCCACCCTATCGCCCACCTTTCGATCCTGGACACTCTTGCCAATCCTCTCGATGACACCCGAAGATTCATGACCCAAAATCAGTTGACGAGACACCTTGTCGCTCTCCCAATTGTGACAGTCAGAGCCACAGATGCCCGTGGCCATTATTTTGACCAACAGTTCATCGTCGCCGGGAATTCTGACGGGCTTCTGCTGAATTTCCAACTTTCGTGCCCCGACCCAGACAACGGCCCGTTTAGAGATTGGGAAAGTAGCGTCGGCCGGCATAGCTTGTCTAGCTTGTCCACACTGTACTTTTGGTTCGTGCAGAGTCGCCAATGCAGTCGGCCGAAAAGCAGACAGCTCATGCTTTAAGTGTGCATCCCCTTGACCGGCCGTCAATAATAACGTGTCATAATCCGGATGCCGAAGCCGGCTAGTGTGCATTTTCTATCAGGCGCGGAGTCTGCACTTATCTTCGGGTCGGATCCCGGTCCGAGAACAACTTGCATCTCATTGGACGGCTCAAAACATACATGTTGGTCTGTAGAACTTGATGTAGCATACCGGATACAACCGTGGGTCGCAAACAGAAAGGGGGGGGGGGCAGGGAACATACGGATGACGAGGGGGTATAAAGCACGAAGGAGGAAGGCCCTCCATACTTTGCTGCTATCAGCAGCCCTCGGGTAGCAAACAACTTGTCTATGCTGCTAAATCTGTAAAAGCTCCATTTTTTTGCTCTTCCTCGCCCAGGCCAGCCATGGAGACCAAGAAGGAGCTCTGGACTGCCGAAATGCCAATTGTCATGGCCACGGTGAGCGACCAGGGACCGACTGTGATGTCGAGCTGGGATGTGGCCGCGGAAAAGGCGTTGGTGCGGAAGATCGACCTGCATATCTTCCCAGTCATGATCGTGCTCTTTGTGCTCAATTTTATTGACCGCAACAACTTTGCGAACGCTCGGCTTCGCGGCCTCGAGGCGGACCTGCACCTCAGCGATGTGCAGTACCAGACTTGTATCTCGATCCTGCTGGTCGGCTACGTTGTCATGCAGGTGCCTTCTAACTTGGTCCTCAACGCCATCACGCGGCCATCGACGTATCTCTGCGCCTGTGTCGCCGTCTGGGGTGTCATCTCCGCCGCCACCGCCGCCGTTCACAGCGCCACTGGTGCCATCCTCTGTCGTTTCTTCCTCGGCTGCGTCGAAGCCAGCTTTTTCCCCGGCAGCCTCTACTTCTTATCGCGCTGGTACACGCGCCAGGAGATGCAGCTTCGCGTCACTGTCCTCAACGCCGGCAACCTGGCTGCCCAGGCGTTTGGTGGTCTCATCGCCACCGGCATCCTCACCGACATGGACGGCGACCGCGGCCTGCGTGCCTGGCGCTGGCTCTTCCTCAATAAGAGGGGCTCCCTGACGGTGGCCCTTGCCGCCATGGCCGTATTCGTCCTGCCCGACTACCCCAATAGCACCCGCTGGCTTTCGGCCGAGGAGAAGCATATGGCCAGTGGCCGGCTCGCCCTCGATTCCGGCCTCACGCTCGACGGAAATATGGACGACGATGTCACCGGCTTCCAGGGCCTTCTGCTCGCCGTCAAGGACCCCAAGGTCTGGCTTCTCGGAATCACGTACCACGCCACCATCATGGGCTTGAGTGTTCGTCCCATCCATCCTTCCCACGCATTCCAGCCTAGCTCCTAACCTAGCAGTTCGCCTTCTTCTTCCCTACTATCACTCAGGCTCTCGGCTACAACACCACTGACACGCTGCTCCTGACAGCGCCGCCGTGGATCTGGGCCATGCTCGTCTCGCTGCCCAATGCCTGGCACGCTGACCGCTCCGGCGAGCGCTTCCTGCACTACTTCGGACCAGCCCTAGCCTGCATCGTCGGCTACATTATCTCGGCCACCACCACTACCGTGGCTCCCCGGTATTTTTCCATGTTCTTGATGACCAGTAAGCATCTTTCTCTCCGACGTTCATCCCTACACCTGCTATATAAGCTGACCCTGATGTCGCAGCTGGCTTCGCGTCCGGCTTCATTATGCTGGCATGGATCTCCAACACCATTCCCTACCCGCGTGCCAAGAAGGCCGCCGCCATCGCCATGGTCAATGCTATGGGAAACATTGGCTCCATCCCGGGCTCGTATATATGGCCGGCCAAGTACGGGCCGCTGTACGTCAAGTCCTTTGGCGCCATGATTGCCATCCTCGGCTTTGGCTGTGTGTGCGCCTTGTTCCTGCGCTTCTACCTCATCGCACAAAATAAGAAGCTCGACCGTGCTGAAAACATGGCCATGACTGCTTCTGGCGACGACAGGGAAAAAGCAGTCTCCACAGTTGTCCGCATGGACAAGAGCTTTCGGTACCTGTATTAGGCCTGGAGCCATGTTCCTAATAACAAAGCATGTAGCTAAAAACGACTTCGAAAAAAAAGCCTTATCCCTGTATTGTAGACTTGCACTGAAAAACATGCTTCAGATTTGAAATAAGTAATCGGGCAGAAGCTGGTTGGCCGTTCAATCATTATGAACAAAGTTGGCTACTTTACTTAGTCCCATTGACATCCTTTGTTGCGAGCAAGGCCTTCAACTTGGCCGTTTCATTGCTCGTCCAGCTGGTTATGGCCACAATGTCTGCCCCGCAGTTGACAAAGTGGAAACCCTCCCTGTACTTGGCTGCAGCCGCCTCGGCGCTCAAGGCAAAATGCCCGACATATTTGCCAGCCGCCAAGCCAGCTTTCAAGATCCGCGCCGATGCTTCCTGAACCTCGGGCGTTGTCGCATGGTCAAACGCAACGTATCCCAGGGATGAGGCTAGATCGTTGGGACCGATGAAGAGCATGTCAATGCCGTTGACAGCAGCAATCTCTTCGACATTCTCGACTTCGCGCCTGCTCTCGATCTGTACACAGATCATGACATTGTCGTTTGCAGTTAACAGGTAATCCCGGCCAGTCTGGTTAAAGGCGGTATGGGCGTGCATGGCTCCTGTACCGCGGACGCCTTGTGGCCACTTGGACGAGGGATACTTGCAAGCATGCACAATGGCTTGTGCTTGCTCCGCTGTCTCGCACATAGGAACCATAATCGCATGCGCTCCACAATCCAATGCCCGTTTTAGCATCCACGCCTCTGACGCGGGTACTCTGACAATCGGCGATACACCTGACGTAGACACGGCTGCAACCTGGAGGTACATGCCACTATCGTCAATGTTACCATGCTCGGCATCGATGAGAACCCACTATCTTCACAATGGAGGCATTAGATTGGAGGTATTAGATGACAAGCATCCACCGGACAGCAATCCGCTAGAGGAACCCACGTCTTCGCCCAAGGTGGCCAGAGTCTTGGCCAACGTGTATCCAGGCAGCTCAAGCCGTTGTCCAACACAGGGACCTTCACGTCTCTTCGCTCGTTCAAGCGCAGCACGTAATTTAGTCTTTCCCGTCGCGTCGACAACGGGGGATGCGATCTGGTTTGACATGGCGACGTAGGTTTCGGCGTTAGAAGATTGTCACAAATACCACTTAGAGAAATCAGACAGGAGAACGGAGAATCCAAAATTAACCAGCAGCACTGGAAAGTCCTGGTACTGGCTAATATGCGTCACTAACCGGCTTCGGATGGTCGGGCCGCTAGCCCAGCTCGCGATAAGGACATCACGGACCTGTCCCGACTCCGAGACCATCTTGCCACTTTCAACCTAGAATAATGGATCCCTGACACAATGGACTTGCTTCTATACCAACCACGGAAAGGCAAGATGGCCGAGCGGTTAAGGCGCTAGCTTCAGGTCCCTGAATATAAATTCCTAGAATTTGCTAGTGTGGAAACACGCGTGGGTTCGAGTCCCACTCTTGTCAGATTTTTTTTTGTGCTTCAATTGCTGGTGTAGCTTGTAAAATAGAACTCCAGAAGTGTTGCTGTATTAATAGAGCAAGGCTGAAAATGTTTTGCTGACTAATATTCCATTTAGGCGGGCGCCGGGTGCATTTGGATATGAGACGAGACCCTTACCTTTATGTCCACCTGCCGTGATTAATGAACTTCATTCGGAGATTAAGAAAGTAATAGCAGCTGTGGCATATATATGGAGCAAGTGAGTCTCTAGGTGACGGGGCATTAGTACAGTTTCTCGCTTGGCTGGCAGCGAGTTGACGGACGGTAACGAGATGAAGACTCAGTTAGTAGCACTTGTCGCTTGTATCCGGGATCGTTTTCGGACCCAGCTCTGTAATAGTGCCCCGCCGTTGTCTACTGTCTTTCTCGGGTACAGTATAACTATATAAAGTTATCAAATCATCTCCTCATGTCGTCCTGTGGTTAGTTCGAGTGGATTATTTTCTTCGTGTTATGTGTTCTATTACCCGTGATGGGTCTGCGTCGAAATAAGCTCTTTTAAAGAGTACGACCCGGTCATGGTTACCCCGGAAAGAGATACGGCCATCGCGCGGGTATGCTTGTCCAGCAAAGGAGGGCGGGATCGTTTTTAACAGCATAAATGGCAAGAGACATTTGGACGTTTATAGTGATCACGGATTGCCTGATTACGACCTGAGCCTGCCGCTTTCTCCAGATGTTGGGGAGCAGATGAACTGTCATGCTGGTCAGAGGCTAACCAACAGCCGTCGACCCGAAAACAAGTATGTGCAGGAGAGAACGCAGTGCAAGAAGTCGGAGCGAAGAGCGGTGCAAACGACTATCGTAGAACAGGAACTCGAATAACGAGCGTCCCGTTTGGTTTGGGAGGATGAATCTAGAGGTAACGACAGCACGATGCGGTGTATGCTTCGCTTTTACTCCATAGCGGAGGTTGTTTTCGACACAATTGCAAAGCCGATAATGCAAGGTACAAAATTAAAGCAGATTTTAGCTTTGCGGAGCTGGCAGTTTTGGCGGGTTCATTTCGATGACATAATCTAATACTGCGCCGGCTTTTGCGCTCTTAGGTCGCCGGAGTTAAAAGCCCCGCTGCCGGTGCCAGAAATTGCTGACGCCAGAGCTCGGACGACGTACGATGGCGGTGCCTGGAGCAAACGACGTATATCAAGCCCAAGCGGCGACATCTTATATCCACAGATACAGGCTAGCTCTGCAATCTCTGGTTCTTGCAGCTGTTTTATTTGCGCTTGACGACCAACGTTGGACTCCTCGAAACTTCGCGCTTAGTATCCGGCTCTTCAGATCTTCGTCTCGTCCTATCCCATTACAATATCCAGCATGCATCTTATTCTAACTGGAGCAACGGGTCTCGTTGGCTCGGGCGTGCTCGATGCTGTGCTAGCCATGCCCGATGTTACGCGCATCTCCATTCTCTCGCGTCGTCCGGTGCCCATGGTCGAGACTCGGACAAAGGCTGGAGACCCGGTCATCACGCCTGATCGAGTGCGCGTCATTCTTCACCAAGACTTTTCTGTCTACGATGATAGTCTGCTGGAGCAGCTAAGTGGCGCTGCCGGAGTTGTGTGGGCGCTGGGCATCAGCCAGACTCAGGTAGACAAGGAGTAAGTATTGTTGATGGTCCTCACTTCGTCCGTTCATGGCTCACGAATACACGCAGTGAATACTACAAGATCACCCACGACTATCCCCTGGCGGCAGCTCGTGCCTTCAAAAAGCTTCCACCACCTGAGGGCGTCGCTACCTCGCCCGCTTCGTCCTTCCGCTTCGTCTACGTCTCTGGCGAGGGCGCAACCACTTCACCCGGAATCACGACCACTCGCTTTGGTCGCGTCAAGGGTGAGACCGAGCTGGCTCTGGCCGCCCTCGCTGCCGAACCCAAGTCTGACTCCGAGTCGCCCCTTGCCGCCATCTCCGTCCGTCCAGCAGGCGTAGACCCCACCCACCATGACGCCATACTTCCTTACATTCCGCCTGTATCTCTGAGCCTCAATCTTATGCGTAATGTCCTTCTACCGCCACTGCGCTTCGCATATCCCCCCATGATCAGCCCTACGCGTCCGTTGGGCCAATTCCTTGCCGACATCGCCCTCGGCCGCTTCGACGGCCGCCTCACTGGACATGGCATCGAGCTTGTCGGCGGCCAGTCGCCAATCCTTAGCAACGTCGCCTTCCGTCGACTTGCAGGGCTGGACAAGAAATGAGGTCGCTGTCTCTGATTTCTCCATTCAATTTTCGCCCTGTCTTAGTTGGGTGAGAGAGGCCTCGCTAGATCCCCGCTCTCCTGGAGCTGTCAGTTACTGTTCGTCGCTGTAATTTTAGCTTTTCTCGGATCAAATTCTATTTGTTCGAAGTTGCTAGGCAGTAGCAAGACAGTAGCTTGAAGCTTTGGTACCGTTTGGAACATACTAAGATATAATGTTTCGATGCCAGATATTGATGGCGCCATTGTCGCGACAAAGGTGACGACAGCTCAAACATGTCTAAATTTTGGCTTGTGAGGCCATGTGCAGTTAGAGCGTCCAGACTGTATTGGTCTTGGCTTTGGTGTCTTGGTTGACCCGACGGCTGGGACGGGTATCCCAGCTGACGGCTGTAGCCGTAAGAAGGAGACTTTGATGCGGGAACAATATTGGAAGTTGCAGAAGAATAGAGTGCAACTTCTTCTTGGGGGTATCGGCAGCGAGACCAGCAGGACGACCGAATGAAAAAGCGTGAAAGCCGGTTCGTCAATTTCCCTCTTGCTCATCTTCCTCTTTGCTGACGGGCCAGAACCATGTCCGCAAGTCACTTTGCTACAACTATCCTGCTACAAAGCGCTTAGCTTGCACGCCAACAACAACGGCATCATCCATCTGCACGTGAGTATGTGCTATCCTATATTGTTCATCTGCATACATTCGGATTGAGACGTGCTGACCTCAACCGGGCGCTGCGCCGACGTTCTGCACCAGGTCCTCACGTGCAACGTTAGTACTGGTATTCTCGGTCAAGTCTGGTACAAGCCTGAGAGCCAGGTCAGTTTCCCGGACTTTCACACTACGCACACCTGTCAGAATTGCGGCGTCGTACGCCAATAGACCGATGACCTCTAGACACCTAACCCAGATCGCTTCCTTCTGGCTACCTCCGGCAATTGAAGTCCGTCGATATCTGGCCGGCGATGCCAGAACTCTGTACTTTTTGCTCGTCCTGCCTTTACACAGTATATGCGTGATTAACACTATCGAGTCACGCATAAATAAATGTACGGGGTACGGAGTAGATGCAACTGAATATCACATTCCCCACTACGAAGATCATTTAATTGTGGCCCCTGAGAACCAGACCATTCCACCTTTGACGTGGCATCTTGTTCAAGACAGCCACTTGACTGCTACTTGACCATGTCTTGTGTGAAAGTGCGATTTCTACGATTCTCTAATGTACGTTCTCAGTTTCACATAGATTATCAGGACATTAGGAATGATTTAAGAGTCTTGCGTTGTATTAAGAGCTGCTACAAGAAGATGGACATTCTAGGTCGTGAAGCATGTAGGTTTCTGTTCTGGCGAGATTCCTTTTTGTTGGTCGCATGTTGTCGCGTTCGTTCACGTTGATGCCTGGAGTCCAGATGATTTTTCCCGTACGCCGGATTATTCGCCACTGTCAGTCATTCGTCTACTTAAACCCCCCGGTCGTGGAGATAGTCCTGGCACTTTCTCGGACAAAGCTCAAACTGCTTGATGTTGTCCTGGGCCCAAACGTCGGACCCTCCTGCAACAGGGAGTGAGCCTGAGCCGGACAGGGCGAATGGCTTGGTGAGATATTCATTGGCGTCGACCTCAACTTCTCCGATTTTCTGGGCGATGCCGGGGGCTTGCCAGTTGCCCACAGTCCAAAGCTGATTCCAAGCATCGAGCTTAAACCACACAAACGTCTTGAAGTAGTACCTCTTCTGGTACAAGTGAACAGAAGATCTGGGTTCGACCTTGGTCGTGGCGGTGTAGCTCTTTGTGGCCGTGAGCTCCTGCTCGGTAATGGTACGGGTGGAGCTGCCAACGTTGAGGGTAAGGTTCTTAAAGGTACTGCCAAAGTCCCACGTGTTGTTTACGTCTTGGCCGGTCCTGATCCTGAACTGACTTGTGTAGGTCTGCTCGTACGAATTTGTCTGTTGCGAATCGTTTTCCCAGGACGCGAGTGGAATCCACTCAAAGCCAAGAAAGTGAATATCGACGATCTTGTACAGTGACTGGTCGCCGACGTCATTGTATAGAAAGCTGCGCGTCTGCCGGACAAGAGTGTCGGTGGTCCGATCGTAGCTAAGGTGGTCGTTATCAGACATTTTGTTAGATCCGAACACGTAGTCTAGGTTGGGGTTTGTATAGAATTAAGGGCGTTGGAAAATCGAGGGCAGCAAAAAGTGGTAGGGATGAGTTTGAACTTGAAATAAGGTATGCTTCGGGCAGAGGAAGACTCGGCTTTATACTTTGTTTCTTTTGTAAATCAGTCCTAGAGGACACTTCTCAATCCTGACCGATGTTCGGCACTTAGGCTCTACTGGGCCTCTTGTGACGTAGCGAAAGCGGGACAGTGGAGTGTTGATGAAGTGTGTTATCCCACACATACAAGTTTTATAGAGGCCATTGCGCAAAACGGAGCTCTGTGGATCCGCTTGTTTTCGTGTCCGGTGGCGGTGATGACATCGAAAGCTGTAAGATGCCTCTTTATCCACATATTGCGTCCATTAAACTGGCAACGAATATATTTGATAGGAGGTGGATTTTGACAATGCCGTGGCTTTTACTAAACGCACATAGACACAACCATGTACGTCGTAATGTCACCTCGAAAGTCTGACGACAACTAGTATACCGCGAGTTCTATTCATTGTAGCTAGCTGACGTGCAACAGGAAAGGTCCTGAATAAAGAGATCTCTTCGTAAATATAGTCCTCCACTCGGTACTTCATGTAGCCCATGCCTTACAGTGAAAGCAACCAATGAAAGATTAGTACGTGTTTGGGCCAGACACCAAAGGCCCTGTTAAGGTTAAATGTGGAGACAGGGGTAGGGAGAAAGGTGATCCGGTTAAGGTAACATAAGTCGAGTTAGAGATCTACCTCGAAAGACGGTCAGAACAGCGCTGCACCATATGACAGTACTCTATGTTACTTGTGCTTCTTGCCTTTACACCACACGAATAGGAGATTACGACAATCAAGAGGCATTGCTTATTGAACCAGTGCAAAATAGAATTAAACGAGCGACAAGTAGGTCCGGATACGGAGGTTGGTTCGCCGACTCGTCCTCAAAAGGCAATAGGAAACCGCGGATTAACGATAATACAGCCCCACCTCAGCCTTAAAAATATTCCGAAAGGCCCGCTCAGCAGCCAATATTTTGTTTAGCGTGACCTACGGTACTCCATACATAGTAAACCGAACCCATAGTCCTGCTAAATCTCACGCTCGTAGGTTCGCGAAAATACGACGAAATATATGGGGACCCAACCGGTGCACAACTCTCCTCGATACGATATGTATTCGACGTTCCTATCATTTTATAAAGTACAATAACACTTTCACCGCCTACCTCCTACGTCCTCTCAACACTCCCCAAATTACACGTCTGGTCGCCCCTGTTGCCATCTCTCTTCTCATGGCCACCACACGCCTCTCTCCTCCTGTTGTCCCCTTCCTGCCTCGGCCCTACACTCCCGCCGACGGCTGGTAGTACTCGGTAAAGCGGTCGGTCGCCTCCCAGTCCTCATCGAAGCCGAGCTTCCAGCAGACGAGCAGCAGGCAGGGAAAGCGGACAGCCCAGAAGTTGAGGTAGCCCTCGGGCAGCGACCCAACCAGGCGGCGCAGCGGCTCGGTCATGTCCTCGTAGTGGTTCCGCTTGTTTCGGAGGGCACGTAGGAGATCGAGAAGGCGGGTACCGTTGTACTTGCGCTGCTTCCCGAGCGAGTCGACAAAGTCGCGTGGCAGCTGACGCAGAAAATCACCCTCAACGGCCTCGGACGCGCGGCTCTCGAGCCGCAACAGCGCCTCCGACGGCGGGTCGCGCGGTTCCTTCTCATAGTGGTCCGACACGTCGCAGAGGAAGGCGAGTCGCTTTTTGGGCGGCCAGAAGAACGGGTGGGCCATGACCTCGCGCGTCCGCGGCCGCTGTCGTGGGTTCGCCCGGAGCATGTGGCTGATCAGATCCTTGGCTTCGGGTGCCACGTCGCCTAGCATCCCCAACGGTTCCAGGTTGTAGTTGCCCTTGCGGATGTTGACTTCGCGCATGTACCGGTCGCCACAGTCGAACGGATGCGAGCCCTTAGTCAGGACGTAGAAGAAAACAAGCCCGAGCCCGAAAACGTCAATGGCCTTGGTTGCTCGTCTCATCGGCGGTTGTCCCTCGCCGTGGCCAGCCAGCAGCCCGTGCGAGCCGCCGCTCTGGGTTGACATGGCCTCCACCAGTGTCGTCCCGCTGTCGCGCGCATCGTCGTCCAGAAGCAGCTCCGGCGCCCGCCAGCCGCTCGTGCCAGCCGCATGGGCCGTCGTCGCCCCAAAGGAACTTTGTCCGCCTTCGAGCTTCTTGCACAGGCCAAAGTCCGAGATCAGCAGCCGCGGCTTGCCGTTGGGGCCCTTGTTGACCAAGATGTTCTGTGGCTTCAGGTCGCGGTGCACAATGTTGCGCGAGTGCAAATGGTTCAGTCCGCTCGTAATCTGATACAAGACGTTGGGCAGGTCGCGCTCGCCAGCCTGTGCCAGCTCCCGGAATGCGAACGGCTTCTCGATCACCTCGGCCAGGGATGCCTCGCACAACTCTAACGCGATGTAGTGGAATGCAGCCCGTTGCTGCTGAGCGAAGTAACGGATCACTGCAGGGTTAGCACGCAGAACATACACGCACACATCCAAAGAAACTCACCATTGGGATGGTCGTCGCTCTCGCGCAGTAGCTTCGTCTCCTGGGACGCAATGTCGTAGAACTGCACCAACATACGCTTGACGGCAACTTCGCGGCCGTCGAACCGACCGGCAAACACGATCGTCCCGTTGCTGCCCGTGCCCAGCTGCTGGTCCTCGTCTACCTCCAGGCTGCCCATGCGCAGGATTGGACCCGACACCTCCTGCACGTTGCTCGGCACCGTCAGAATGTCCGGCTCCATCCCTGGCCGCTTTTCACCCAGCTCCTTGGCCAGTCCCACCACCTCGTCCACCGTGGCCAGAGCAACGGGCTCATCGCCCCGAGACTGCGACGTCTCTACCTTGTTCTTGTTACCCTTGCGGTGCTTCGCACCGCCGCGACGACCGCGGTGTGCCTTTTTCTTTTCCTTCTCCGGTGCCGGCATCTCGCCATCGGCGCTGGTCGATACAGAAGCTGGGCTTGTCGGTGCGTTGCCCTTGTCCTGATCGGCGGTTGCTGTTGTTGTCTCCGCCGAGCCGGCCCGCGTCGCTCTCCTCTCGGACGCGCCATCCTCTTTATCCGAGAGCAGGCCGGACTGCGACAAGTCTGCAGGCTGCACCTTGGCAGTGGTGTCTGTCCCATCAGCCGTCCCTCTGATGACGGAGGAGGACTCGTCGTCGGATGTGTCGAGGGCGACGCCCTTGTCGAACCATTGCTGTTTCTTCTTTCTGTACCAGCGTCGTAGATCCTTCTGGTAGAGGAAGAGAAAGGTGGCAAAGGCGATGATGAAGACCGGGTTGCTCAAGAAGTCGAGCACGCTGTTGGCCGCGACTTGCGGCAGCTCCTTGACCTTGGTGATCACGTAAGGAGACGGCTCGGTCGCTGGCTCTGGCAGCGTGAGCGGCGGCGAGAGCAGGTCCTCCACGTCGTCGTCGGAAACAGTCGCTGACGCATCGCTGCCGGGTAGGGTCGGGTACTCGGGTGCCCGGAACGAGCGCTGCCGCTCCGCCCCAGTCGACAGGGAGTGCTTCCCGGTCAGAGCGTTACGGATCTCGGCCGGGCCACTGGTCTGGTGTCGGTCCCACCAGCCGGCTTCGGTGCACTCAGCAGCGGGCACGTCGAGGATGAGCGGGTACGAGGTGCCCGAGAGAGCGTACCAGCTACCGCCTTTCGTTTCATTTATAAAGATGGTCGACTTACGCAGCCGCACTGCCTCGTCGTCCTCGGCCGGCGGCGGCGGCTGTGGCAGCACGGCCAGGTCGGGATAGCTGCTTAGCGGCACATGGGGCGGGCGCGCAATGTCGAAGACGCGGGCGATCGGGGCTGACAGGCGGTGGCTAAAGGCCAGCTTGACGCCGTCAACAACGGGATCGAAGCTGAATCCGTACACGTCGCCATTGGGCAGGCCGCTGATGTAGCGGTTGTCGCTGGGGGCTTTGTGCTGTTGGTGCAGGTCCTTGTCGTAGTTGTTGGGACCCCACTCAGAGTACTTGAGCGTGGCAATGGTGATGCCGTCGTTGCGACGGACAATGACCTTGTAGTCGGTGCGGCCAAGCGTGATGGAGCCGCCAACGGCACACTCCTCACCGCCGCTCTCGCCAAAGTTGTTGGGCCGCATGCAGCTGTCGGGCGAGTTGTAGGCGTCGGCGGCGTCCGAATCGGCCTCGCCGGTGCCATACCACGCGCGCACACGGCCGGTGGCGGCATCGAGGGTGACCATGGTGGTGGACTTGGTGCCAGTGAACACGACCGGGTGGTTGCGGTCGTAGTAGGGCACCTGCTCGACCAGCCACTTCATCGACAGGCCGGTCTCAGCCAGGCTGGGACTGCCCGGGATCATGAGATAGATGGCGCCGCTGCGCGTCGGCTCGACAGCCCAAATCCAGTGGTCGAGCGGCAAGAAGGACTCGTCCAGAGTGGAGACATTGCTGCGGTGGTGCTTGGTCTCGACCACGGGCTTCTCGCTCTCGATGTGCCACTGGATCTTGCCGGTCTTGCGGTCGACCGAGAGCAGGTCGCCGTCGACCGTGGCCAGGAGGACAAAGTGTTCCACTTCCCAGTCGGCTAGCGTCCGCGCAAGAAGATGCGGCGAGGGGAGATTCTGGCCGGGAGCAGCGGCGGCCAGGTCTCGGTACGCTAGCGATGGTGCTCGAACGGACAAGTCCGGAGCTGCAGTGGATCTCGTTCGGGGCTTCCTGTGGCCCGCCTCTCTCTCTCTCTCCCGTTCGACAGGCACCGTCGAGTCCGACCCGCGGCCGTTGTCAATGGATGTGCGCTTGCGCTGGATCTTGGGCGTCTCGACCGTCAGCTGCGACGCGATAAACGACTCGGCCTCGGCCGGCGAGGAGTAGCTCATTGCCGCCTGTGCTTGTTGTTTTTGTTGCTGATGGTTTGAGCGTCTCGAAGACGCGCTGCTGTCGGAGGAAGCAGCTATTGGAAGTTGCCGCCCTGCGTCGGCGGCCAGGCGATGGAAGACATGCTGGCTCAGCTGGTCGGCAGTGTCATGACCGGATGGCTGCCGCGGATGTTGCTGCTGCTGCTGAGCATCAACGAGCCGGAGGGCAGGGTTGAGGAGAAAAAGGGCGAGAGCGAGGAACAGTTTCCGCTGGGGAGCGGCAGCCTGGCCGTGAGGCCGCCGTGACATGCTATGCGTAGAAGGGGGGCGCAAAAGCGCGATGGCGCATCAAGCGCAGCAGTTCAAGAGGGGGGCATTCGACGCGGTCGGTGAAACGGTCGAGGCGAGGGAGGGATTCGAGTCGTTTTACCGTTTTGCCGTTTTGTCGTCGAATCTTCGAATCGTTCTTTTTGCTTCGGGAAAAGAGGTGAAGTCGGCCACAGGCGACGGCCAGACCGGGAAAATGAAATTCGGAGGGCGCAGGACAATCGGCAAGACGGATGCGGTAGACGTGGGAACGATGCGGGTGGACTCGGTTGCTGATGCAGAGGTCGAGGGCAGACAGAAGTCTTATGCTGACGGACGGACCCTGAGATTTTAGTAGTTGTAGGAGCCTGGATCTGGGCCTTGCGGCACGGTGTGCTTTGTGGGCCCTCCCTACTGTGGTGTGTCTTGCGAGCAGATGAGGAAGGCAGGGGTGTGTAAAATGATGTGCCTGCCACTGCCGGTGATGGAAGTGGGGTGCTTGGGGGGGGGGGCAATAGCAAGTGACCTGGGATTGCACGTGTCTCAGAGTGGGCAGCAAAGTCACTGCAAAACACGAGGTATTTTTAGCTAGGGCTTCATCGCGCGGACGAGCGAAATGAGAGTACGACGACATCCCTCGTATCTGGGCCGCTGACTCAAGGTAAGCGCCTGCATCGGTGCCCGGATGGTGTCCGCTTCCACGTCTATACAAAGTACGGGCACCTCGGCGAGGATGCTCGTCCATACACAGTACAGAATACTCGTGCTCTTTGGACTCCCTTGGCCGCTTTGGCCTACAGTAGTTTCGCACTATGCACGCTACATCGTATGCATCCATGCATTCTTTCTTCTCGCTTGCCAACCTCCCAACGCTAAACAAGGGGCACGGTCGTGTGTCCACGTACGAAAGGACGACGACGACGCCTTTTTCCGCTCCTGGCATCGTACTATGTACGAAGTGCAGAGCAGCAAATTCTGTGGCGGCCAAGCCGCTCAGAAAAAGGAGAGCGGGCCCGTACGAAACACCCTGAAACCTATCTCTTCGTACTGTGTGGCAGGGAGCCCGGCCAACGTGGAATCTTCATTTGTATCCCTTGCCGCCAATATATTTTCCTGCTTGTGCGTGTGGAGATGCCCCAGACAGAGGCTTGATTCCGGTGGCTGGTTTCGCCACAATACCCTGCTTGGCTCAGGCCTTGGACGCAGCCCGTGGCTGTGCTCCGCCGCACGGCGTGGGATTCGTCCCCCCCCAAAGCCAGGAGTGACCTGTCTGGCGATCGTTGCAGCGCCCTGTTCGCTGCAACGGCAACTAAATCCGCTGTAGCGGTAGCGCGAACCCGCTGTGGGCAGGCGATCTGCTGGCCGATCTCTCCAGGCAGAGGGGAGAAAGAAAAAAAAACCTGCAGAAAAAGCACAACAGCACGAAAACAAGGGCACAAAAAATGGAAGACAGGAGAAGAACAAAGATGGGTCCGCTTTGCCCACAGACCGCCCCAACGGCTTTGGTCCTCTCTCAGCTGCAAACTTCCGACAGCCTAGCAGACCGCCTCTCTCCGGCCTCACACGGCCCATTTCCGCGGTGGCCGAGCTTTGCCCATTGCAGGAGGGCCGGCAGGATTGGAGCCCAGTGAGCGGACGGACGACCCTAACTAACCATGGACAGGTCTGGGCCGGCGCCGTTGCCATGCATGTTTCTGCTTTCCATCCCTCGCTCTGCAAGACAGCCAAGGAATGCAGAATGGAGTGCTCTCGGCGTGGGCGAAAGTCGAACGTCCGCTTGGCTACGGCAGAGCAGAGACATGAGTTATGTGCTCGTCTCGCCCCAATGGAGCGGCCTCGCCTACGCCGTACGCCCTCATACCGCTCCTGCTGTCTCTCCTCTACAGTGTCCCGCCGCTTTGTCGCCTTATACTGCATGCGCTCCAGTGCGGGTCTGCGTTAAGCGATGCATCTGCGTGGGACCTTCCAAGTCGCATCTGTACACAGACGTGGCCGAGGTGGAACTTTGGCGGTTTTGTTGGTCACAATTGCCGAAAACCTTGGACTGCACTGACGCTCTGGCAGTGGTTACATTCTGTGTTGTTCTTTGGCCATGGTTGAAAAACTCTAGCAATGCTACTGAATGCGACCGCAGGTGAGCGCACACATGTCCTGCTCGCTACACCAGCTCGTTGCCAAGCTCCTTGCTGAGTACGGCCCGGTAGAGCACGACGCCTTCCTGGAGCTTGTCCATCGCTGTGGTCAGGCCCTCCACCGTCATGGGGAACTCTTCGACCCACGGCTGGATGCGGTGGCGTGCAGCCAAGTTCAGCGCGGCGGCGTAGTTTTCTGTCTGCGAAGTCGTGCTTCCGCTGCGGAGAATTAGACGGGGGGCAGCAAAAGAAAGCAGGTAGGGAAGAGGCTCGGCTTACATGATACGGTGGCCGGCAACGATGAACGGCATGTATCTAGACGGTCAGTCACAAGTCACAAACTGGGGTACGGCCGAACAGTGTAGCCTCGTATGGGCACTAACGGGATGACCATGGGCTCGTCCTGGATCACCAGCGGCACGATTCTAGCCCGTCGTCCGAGCAGCGGCATGATGCTGTGACGCTTGTTAGTCCCATCTTGGTTTTCGTACACCTGCGAGACGCTCCTCTCGGACAGCATCGTACCACTCGAGATCCGGCATTCCGCTGCCACAGAGTAGCATGACGTCAATTTTGGCGTCCGAGTACTGCTCCACAGCGCTGTCAGGCCGCCAGATCCGAAAGTCTGTCGCGCCCAGCTTCAGCGCATCGGCCTTCTTGCTCTCGCGGCCAGAAAAGACGGTCACGTGACAGCCCATGGCGCGTGCGTAGAGCACGGCGAGGTGGCCCAGGCCACCCAGACCGATGATGCCGACGCGATCGACAGCCTTGGTCTCGGCAATCTGGAGCCCCTCGAAGACGGTGATCTGGGGCGGCTGTCAGCAGGCAGTCCAGCAGAACGGCCGACATCTTCCAGGTTTTGCTTACGCCAGCACAGATCAGCGGCCCGGCATGTCTAGACTCGATCTCGGCTGGGATGGGATAGACAAAGTCCTGGTGCCGCACGACAAAGTTGCTAAACGACCCCTCGTGGTCGCCGTGCGCTTGCCCAACAGCCTTCGGGCAGCACTGCCGAAAGCCAGACACGCATTCGCGACAGTGGCCGCAAGACTGTTCGAGCGCAGATGAAGTCAGCAGGTCGGCAGGTCTACAGGTCACCACGCATCGTCCGTTGGGGGAGGAGAGGGGTGGAAGGCTCCAATCAATACCCCTGTCTGCCAGCTGTGATGCATGCGTTGTCAGCACAAAAAATGTCTTGGGTCAACGCTTTTTTGGGGTATCCGTGCGGCCCACCTGCATCCCACCCGATCGCCAACCTGCACTGCCGTGACGTCTCGGCCGACCTCCTGCACAAAGCCGATGCCTTCGTGGCCAAGCCCGCAGCCGTGTCCTCGGTCATGGACGTCAGTGCCGCAGACGCCGGAGTGGGTGATGCGGACGAGCACCTCAACTCCGCTGACGCTGCGGACTGCCGTCTTCAGTCGGATTTTGCCGTCCTCACCACCGGCCAAGTACTTGAGGGAGTGAGTAGACATTCTGAGGGTCTGTTGTTGGCAATTTCTTCTGACAAGAAGGTACTATGTAGCAAGTTCGTAATGGCAAGTCGAGTGGCGGCGGATCATATTAAATACCTCAATTTGCAGCCCCACAAACACGATCTTTTCAACCACAGCATAGACAGTTGTGGTACTGATCTTCCTTGACGCGTTGCCTTCATTCTTCTATAATTCTATATCTATAGGTGCGCAGCTACTTGGCCCAGTTTTTCGATCTACCGCTGACATCAACTTACGATAGTCCCATTAACGATACAACACAAACACATGACACATCACGCCGTGATTCCGGTGAAGGCACAGTCATCGTCGGACAGGATGCGTTCCTTCGACGAGCCATCCAGGGAGCAACGGTAGACGGTGCCGCTGAGGTCCGTGACGTACATGCAGCCGGCCTCGAGGTTGAGCTTGATGCCGATGGCCTCGTTGTAGTGTCTGCTGAGGATGTGGAACGGCTTCCCGTCGTCGGCCGGGACGGCGAGCCCGGTCACGGCGTTGAGCTGGGCGCAGTTGACCGAGTTTCCATATGGCAGCTCGCCACGGTCGGTCCAGTAGAGCATTTCTGAGCCCTCGTCGATCTCGAGGTCGATGGGCTCAGGCAGGTGGTCGAGGATGAGCTCGATGTCGGTCCGGTCTCGTGTTGCTGGACCGTCGATGCGGGCACTGAAGATGCGGCCCCTGCCGGCCTTGGACGGGCCCTTTTGCGTCCAGTAGAACCGGTTCAGCCGCGGCGCTACGGTGATGCCGACACACCACTTGCAGCAGTCGGCGACGCCCTCGGCCTTCCAGTCGCCGTTCTGCACGAGCACCTCGAGGTCGCTGCCGTCATAGTTGCAACGCAGCACGCTCATGCCCTCGCGGTCGCAAAAGTAGAGCTTCCGCGTCGTTGGCTCAACTGTCAGCTGCTTGGGCGTGTTGACGATGCCCTGGGAGACGATCGAGCGCACGTCGGAGCCGTCGAGGTTCGCTGAAAATACCTCGCCGTCGTCTTTGCCGGGCACGCCCATGCAGGTCCAGAACATGCGTCCCGATACAGCGTCCAGATCTATGCCGTCCGGCAACCGCTGCCCCGTTACCAACACCTTCTTCGACTTCCCGTCGGCCGACAGCTCCAGGACAGTGCCGCTGTGCATCGGGTCAACCGGCGAGGCCACGCCGATGTCCAGCACCAGTAACTTGGTCTCGTCCGGGTGCAGGCTGCCCTTGGCCGAAACAGTAACAGGACGACTGTGGTCTGGATCCATGATGGCGTTGACAGATTTATGTTTCTATGCGAGTAGAAAAAGAAAAGGGCTTTTGGCGTTGAGATGTTGAAGATAAAGTCGAGGAACAAGTCCTAGCTACACTACGTACTTATACTTGGAACAAGCGTGTCATGAATCGCGGAAGCTTTGATTGAATAGGGGCTATTCATTTTTCCCCTTGTAACATGAGACGTGACGTATCGAAAGATGCAGTTCTTCCTAGTGTTTTTGGCTGTCCCGGTCATCCGCTTCCCCGATTAGACGGGCGTTTGCGGATACAATAAGGGTGGGTCTGCTTTGGTAAGTCCTATTACTGAATGTCTCCACCTCGATATCATTTCCGTGATGTTGTCGTAGCCTGCTGCAAGGATATATAGGAATTTAAGAGTCTGAGTATGTAGAGGTAGATGACAATGGGTATGAGCCATATTGTACGGTTTCTATCTGGTTTACCTCTTTAGCGAGCAATGCGAAAAAGCTACGAAAGTCGAGAGTATCGGGTTTGAGAGTATGTGGCCAAATCTTTCTGTAAAGCGACGGAAACCAGTCAACACGATGCGTTTTTAAGCTCCACCCAAAATAGTGACGCCCCTTTAGGGATCCAAGTAACCACGACGCAGTCTCCGTAAGATAAGACTCAACGATATAGCAAACCCGATACTGACCACTTGCCGATCCGGGACCACTTGCCGATACCGGCCCGGTTCAACTTGCCACTGCTCGCCATATATCGTTTCCGTTCTTTACAGCAAAATAAGCACGTAGTTCGGCGGGTTCGTCCGGTCGATCAATGGTGCTAGTTTAACTACTTGTCAACAAGTATAAATATAAACCTTGTTGACCGCTCCTAGCAGCTTACCTGACCAAGTCATACCATCTTTGACAACTATATCGACTTGAAACGTAAGCAAGCCAGACCCAAGACAAAGACTGACTATCCCAGCGGGATGGCGCCCACATACTAAGCTACACCCTATAGCAGGCCCCAATCCTCCCGTTGCCACGCTCCCACCAACTTCAAGTTTCACGCCTATTATCCTAAAATATGGCCACCAGTCGTTCACTCATTCTGCCTTCTTTGGTAGTTACTCTCATCTGAATCTCGGATGTTGATGACCAAGAGTAGAGTCCAGTTTAGGTCTTCGAACTTATATTGAGGGTAAGGCTTGAGACTAATAACTCGCTACTGTACATGTCCAACACTTTATACCAACACCCTGTACTCCTCTTTCAGAGGGGCAAAGCCAATCTGAGCGTTATAGGCGGTGGTATTGAAAGCCCCAAAGTCAAAAACGGTGTAAAAGTTTTGCAGGAACTCTTGGCCAAACAAAAACAGTCCACCGAAGCCAGTTGTATCGAATGGCGGCCAGCAGTACTTGTCCTCACCAGTAGCAAACCCGGGCTGCTTCAGCATGGACCCGGTGACGGTCACCGTTTGCGGGTCGTAGGCACTCCCCAGGACGACTTCAAGGCCCCAGGCGTCTGTGAAGTCTTCACACAGCGGGATCGTTTCGCCGTTGATGATGGCCGTGTAGTTCATGCCGATGGAGGCGTATATGTCATCGATCAATTCATCTGGCACAGAGATGCGGCCGGCGCCCGTATCGAAGACGGCCCAGTCGCCGATGGCCTGGGTGGTGCTGCGGTTTCCAGTGGATGTCGTGCCGACAAGGTACTGTATGTTAGTACGCCACAGCTCCGCGTCCGGGCCGGGGTTCTGGAGTCCGATCCAGGTCAGCGAACCGTTTCCGTAAGTGGTTTCGTGCGAGCTGCCCAGTGTCAAGAGACCGGAGCCAGCGCCAGCGCCCGTGTCGTTAGTCTCGCTGCCGAGGTACAGGCCGAATCGCGGTTTGTCGAGCTTGCCATCCTGCATAAGCGTCTCAACCAGTGATGTCGTGCCGGCATCGTCAATTGTGCTAAACGCTAGACCCAGGAAGCCATCAGCGGCCGTCGTCGACCACGTGCTATTGTCAACAGACATAAAGGATTGCGTCCACTTGGCCGAGGGCGCTGACGGCAAGGTGAATGAATCAAGGAAGCCGGAGCCAGAGATGTCGCCGCCGAGGTAGTCGGCCGACGCAGTCGTGTTCATGGCCGCTGATGTGCTGGACCCCGAGGCATTGTAGCCGACGCGTGTGTAGCCGCTCGAGTTTGGGCAGGCATCGGTCCCGGCGCAGGAGGCATCGTCCATCCAGGTAGTCGCGCTGCCGGTGTCGAACTGGAGAAAGTGCGAGACAGGCGGTGTGCCCACTTTGACCTCCACGACGGTCTGTACTCTTGTCAGCTTCATGCGGCAGGCAGATATACTAGAGACTCGGGTCCTTACATAAGAGTTCCGCACCCAGATAGGCAGCTCGAGAACCGCGGCGAAGGCGCCGGACAGGCACGCAAGAGGCAAAATGATCTGCATCTTTGCTGTCTTGGTCGGGATACCGTAATAAGGAGACAAAACACGATCCAAAGGCGGCCATTGCCTCACTTATACTAGAGAACAAAGTATATTGTATACGAGATTCTAGAAATGCTATGGAGCCGCTCGTATCCAAGAACTCCGCCCGGGCCTCTTGGTACGTCGTAGATGGAAAAGGGAGTACGAGGTTTGCAGGGTAACAATGGCTAGTGTGTTTGCACGACAGGGGAACCATCTATGTAGTCTGCACCCCAGCTTGCAAGGATGTCGCTTTACTTGAAATAGGTGCGCATTGCCGACTTTTACAACGTTCGCTCTTGACTGGTTAAGACCTGCCAAGACTATGGTTTGCAAGCCGGTACCTGAAAATAGGGCGATCAGAAATGACTGGTAAGAAAAGCTTGCAAATTGTCTACATAGTACGAGTACACTGTCGTCTGTATTGTATCGATGTACGGAGTATTGTGATCTCCATCAATTTCAGTCCGAGCCTAGTCGCGGTCGCAATCCATCCCGGCGTTGAGCCTCCTATCGGCATTGAGGAGCCCGCCTGATATTCCAACCATCTTGCGGTGGCTGCCTATCGTATTCATTGAGACTCCAAGTATCGGTGAGGAAGTCGCGCGTCTCGGTAGCAGTTAAAGGCAGAAGATTACGGAGTACGACATATGCACCCACAAAGGCCCACGGTATTGTCACTATGTCTCTGTCATTTTCTGGGCCAAAAATTATGGCGATTGCTATATGTACGCTGCGTACACCGTATATAACACGGAAATACCGATCCATTTTATGGTACCAAAATAACCCTCTATACCGCAAGGGAAATGCCGCCTATAAGGCAGAGGCTTAGCCTATTTTACTGCCTATTTTAGGGCCATTAGCAAGACAAATAGGACACACCTGTAGCACCTGGCACCAAGAGAGATAGGTGGAAGAGGCAGCAAATAATTTGTATAATCAATAGGCCACTTGAGTAGGTTGCTGTACTGCTTTTTTGTTTTCTGCTACTCTGTAGGCGCTATGAAAATCCGCCTAATAAGGCGTGGTCCCCGTTATTTCCGTGTTATATACGGTGTACGCAGCGTACATATAGCAATCGCCGGAACATACTCGGTTTAGACGAGCATATTCAACATACCAGTACGGCCGAACAGCCCTAGATTTTGGTTGTTGGTTGGTTTTATCATCTTGTATAGTTTGAGTTACGGAGCGGGATATTTCATCATATGTTTACTTTTCCTCGCTTCCTTCACCCTCTTCACCAGCTTCGACATATGCTGCGTGCGTGTTAGTTTATCTAGTCTATACTGTAGACCCGTCCTACTTACTCAAAGCAAAAGCCCTTTTCTCTTCCGTAGACTCGCCCTCCTCGCCAGCCTCGACGTAAGCTGACAGGTTAGCTTCTTACTCGGCTGGGCAAACTCACTTTCAACTTACTCAATGTAAAGGCTCGCTTTTCTTCAGCGGGTTCGCCCTCCTCACCCGCCCCAACGTAAACTAGGCGTTTATTGATTTGCCTACCTAATTGAAAGCCTCGCTTTTCATCTGCTGCCTTAACTACAGATCAATTAGCTATCATTTTGTTGCCTGTTTGAGGTCAGTGCAGCATACCGGCATTCGGAGATGTAGCAGGAGCGGCCAGGCTAGTAACAGCAAGTGCGATGACAAGAATTATTGACTTCATATTGTTTTGACATCTGTGGCCGATTAGGAGAATCAAAAGGACGGACTTCAGTGACGGATGGTATAATGCAGAGAGGGAGAAAGGTGAGAATTCGTTGCATATATACGTCAGACCACAACGGTACATAAGCCATGACTTCACTGTCCCGAGGTATTTCCGATATATGGGCATAAATGACGACATGTAATAAGTTGATCATGAAGAGCCCTAAAGGGAAGGTCATGCCAGGATTCTTTGCCTATGGACAATACGTCGAACGAATGCGGAAGGTCCCAACTCGGTTGCTGTTAGTTTGGTTTTTATCTTCTGAAGGATCGGGGGCCTGTCATCTGCGAAGCGGAATGCCTGTCCACTGACGTGTACTCTGTATTGCCGAACCACTAGATTATGCAGCCGACTTGCGATGGGCCAGAATATTTTTAGAGTAAGATACAATACTATCAACCAATCATTTCAGGCGGTTTATTACTTGACACCAGATTGTAAAGAACAAGAGCACGAGGCGGAGATCTTGTCACCAGTTTCGCCTGAAATCAACCGACGAACAGCCATATATGGTGGTCAAGATGCTGCGTCGGGTTTATTAAACTACCGTCTTACTTACGTCCCGGGTAGTGTTGAAACCGCCGTGTTTAGTCTGCTAGATGCGTACGCCTGTGCTGCAGCGAAACCGAACGTGCAAATTACCATATTGTCTTCCGACAGCGATAAAACCCCAATTCAACATAGTTTGTGGTCTGCAGCACTGCCTCACAAGTCTGGGAGAGCTGATCCGCACAATGCTTAGAGTGCCTAGTGCTAATTGTCTTGTTGTCGACAAAAACCATGTGGTGGTCCATTGCGTACTGCAGCTTTCTCCACTGGAATAGGCAGTGTTCGTCATGATAGCTGCGTCGATTGTCAGTGTACCATACGAGCGGTGGCGATAGAGTGAGCATCTAGCCTACCGACTGGTATACACCACCGAGTGCTCGCCAGCCCACAGCTGCCCCGGCCCCAGCTCCTCCGTCAAATTTGGATCGCTGTAGTACTTCCGGTCTTCGAAGACTGGATACTGCTTCGTTAACTCATCATAGACACACTGCGGTGGCATCCATCCATAGAACATTGGCTCCATAACACATCCGCGAGCCTTGGCCACTGCACTTGAGCGGCCGCAGTGATTCCATTCTTCTGCTTCAATATCGGCACTCGACTTGGGAGAAGTAGCAAGGGAGCGGTGAAAGAAAAATGCTACCGCCAGCAGGGCGATGGTGGACAGGCAGCCCGTGCTAAAGGAAAGCAGGTTCAAGCTGCAGTGCTTCCGGCGAATTGACTTTAAATCGAGAGTCGTGTACTCGACGTCGTCGTGCGCCTCATCATCGACAGGGTTCTCGTCCTTCATTGTGCTGCAATATTATGAGATACAAATGTCGCATGTCAGTGAATGAAAGCAGAGTGTGCCGCCTGATCTTTTGCAAAAGCACGATTCGCAAGAATGTTCGAAACTTCCCACTACCGCTGCCTCGGGTAGCTCAGCGTTGCGTTCCAACTTATTGTCACAGTCGGGCAGCCGGAAACCCCATGTCCTATTAGGCAGGTTGTTGGCAAGCCCCGTATGCATGGGCTCCGTGTCATCCTTCGGGTTGCCACATCCCTTATATTTCGCCTTCTTGCGTCATGGGAGACCCGCATTGATGCATCGGATGTGCAGACTAGGTCAGTTGACGGCATACTAGCGGGATAGACGAAGATCAACGGGGTCTTGCAGATACCTATCTCATCGAATATTGAATTTACTTTCTGCGAACCTCTGCACCCAAACCAAGATGAGAGGCTCTTCGAATCGATATACCAAGGGGCTGCTTCAGGACGACTTCCTAGACGAAGAAGAGGAGCTGCTTTCCGCTTGGCTAAATACATCGCAGAAATGGCGCAAATACTGGAGTACAAGTCGAAGCTCCATTGTAGTGACTGGGGCTCTGGCTACATCGAATCTGGTGGCACTATTGGTTATTCTTCATCTGCTGGCAGTGCGGCCATTATGTGACCTGCCGCTGAATGAGCCACCACAACGGGTGACGCCCTCTCTCGCGCATCTCGTGCGAAAACCGGTTCCAGAATTCATAAATGTCACCTTCTTTCCAGACGGCTCCTTCTTCCGACAACACAATTCGAAAGAGGCCGATGCAAAGTGGGACGAGTATGATGGATCCAGTAAGTCTTTCTTTCGCCCCTGCTTGCGATTCGTGCTAACGGAGAAGACGATGGCTTTATCATGATTCCCAAAGAAGAGGCCGAACAAGCAGGCATTGACCCAGCTCGGCATGCATATGTCGACAGGCCCGACCTCGGCGCAGTTGGGTATCCGGTTCTCCCCGAGGCTGTCCACCATATGCATTGCGTCTCTATGCTCCGGAAGAATCTCTACTATAACATAAACCACACGCGCCAAGACTGCCACCCGCCGACATGCGAGTCTCCGGAACTCGAAGAGTGGAGGATCTTTCATGTTGGTATGGCTGACCGTATTCTGACGTCTTTGCGGTCACATTCTGACTTCATCACACAGACCACTGTCTTGAAGCGATCCGCCGTCGTCTTGAATGCACTGCGGACCTAGGTATCGGTATGTAATCTAGCTCTCGATTAGCAAGCACGTTTGTGGATGGCCACTGATTTCCAACTAGTGCCTTTTATGTGGTACGGCCACCATGGAAGGTTGACGGGCGATATGGCGCGCATGCACACATGCGGCGAGTATAGGCCCATCAGAGCATTCTTGCACGAAACCGGAGTTCTGCCAAACGACACACGCAGGATACTTGAGCCACCCGAGGGGGCTTTCATATCCAACTATGCGAATTGAACGGCGGTGTCGGCAAACGTGACTGTTACTACCGTATGTAAACTTTTGCCCATGGCTTTTGCACGGACGAGTGGGTCCAGACGAGAGAAGTCACGAGATTGATAGTAGTCATGTTATTCGCACACTGATAGCAATCAAAAGTAACAAATGTGACGAGCACATAAAAAGATACTCTGTTCTTTGACCTTAAGGTGTCCGACCAGCTTGCGAGTGACGCTTGAAGCACCAGCAAGTACATCTTGTAAAATTAACTCGTTCCTACCTTCACTAGTTACATACCGTTGATTCTTATTTTCACATCCGTCTGTTTTGAACGCCACAGCTTCACCATCCTTGCCAGTTGGACAGACAGCATCCCGCTACCATTTTCTGCCACAAACAGCCTACAGTGGTGGGTTAGGAGGGTCGAGGACATTATCGTAGCCGGCCGAGCAGCCAAAGTCCTCCCCGTTCTTGTAGTCGTTCTGTGGCATCAGCGCAAAGCCAGTCTGAATGATGCAGCCGCCACATGTGTTGCAATTCTTCTGTTGAACTTCAGCCCACGCCATCCAGTGGCGGCCCCAGACCTGCCCGATACTGCCCCCGGGGACATTGCAGGCGATCGTGCTGCCATAGGTGTAGTCGATGCTGAGAGAGAGGCCGACGCTGCCTCCGATAATGTCCTTGAACGGCCCTAGAGCAAATCTGGCCATTGAGTTTAGGTATGGGATACGAGGACGTTCCACAGACGCAAGAGGAGTCCCGAAAATGCTCACCCCAAATCTGTCGATGTTCCCTTCGTGACAGAAAACTCAAACGTCACATAGCCACCCGACTCATCTTTTCCGGATTTGACCGTGTTGGAGACGGGGACCCAGGGATCCCAAAAGGTCTGCGTGCGCAATACCTTCCGCTGCGCTGGCCTCTTGATGCACTCATCAAGGCTGTGCGCGGGCTCGAGACTGTCACCATCCTCGAATGTGACAAAAACCCGCTCATCTGTCAGATAGATGGTCTCGCCGACAGCGTCAGTATATTCAGCCGTGTGATTGGCCAGGCCTTTTGAGTTGATTATGCGGTTGTATGGCCATGTTTGCAAAATGTTGGCGTGGATCTCGTCTGTATTCAGCGTCTTGTCCACTTGGAAGAGAGGAGCTGTAAAGGGCGAATGGCCCAGAGCCATATGTGTAAGGCTCGCCAGACACCAGATAACATTGTTTCGACACAGCATAATGTGTAGACTGACTAGCAGATGAAGTAACAAGTTGCTGTATGATGAGCAGCGAATATGTAGTCTTGTTTTTGTGTCTTCGGTGCTTATAACTGAAAACCGTTATATGCGCAAGAGCCATAATTTTATTTGGAAGCACCCGCGACATTTGTGTCGAAACCTACAGCCGAAGCTAATACATGCCGTGCCGTTATGGGCGCTGACTGTTGTTAACAAAAGGTCACCGCGTACACATCTTCGATTGGTCGTCCACGTCCTGTCAGCTTACGATACAATCGCTTCAGACCTCGGTCTACAGCATGGGGTAAGCGGATGACGACGTGGCGTCAGCCGTCAGCCGTCCTGGTTTCCGATCTTCGCTCTAAATTAGATCAGCGGCGTCCTCATATTGTCTTGGCTATGATTACAGTAAGACTGCCAAGATGTCATACACAAGATGAGGGGTCGAGTCCGTCGTGATATCAACGATCTGTGAGGAGAAGGTATTGCTCTGGTAATATCCCTCTGGTGGTTAAAACCTTACATCGGCAGAGTTGGACGATGCAATGTCTTTCAGTTGAAGTTTCGCAACAAATACTCAATATTTTCTCTTTCCCCATCTGTACGTATGAACCATTGTCACTACATGTGCACATTGGCTAACACAATGACGGGATTGCTTTAGCACCATGAAAGTCGGCTTGCTTTTCGGACTGTTACTGTCTGCCGCAACGGCGCAACGCGACCAACAGCTCCTCGTCGACGAGATTGACGCCGCAGCTCAGCAGCTCCAGATCAACTACTACAACGACCACAGCTGCACGCAATATGCTGGAAGTGTCGGCGTTGGTTGGGCCGGTGAGTTTGGAACAGGCACTACAAATTGCTACGACTACCACTACGGCACGTCTGTGAATATTGCTTCGTGCTCGTTTGGCAACACCTGCACCTGCTTCTGGTACTACAAAGCCGGATGCTCGGGCGACTACAGCTCGCTTCATGCATCTGGCCGTGGCGCGGAGAACTGCATCAAGAACTCGAATGCGTACCATTCTTTCCGGTGCTTTTATTACAACAAGCCGCCAAACAGAGCGGGATAAGGTGGCTGATGTCGTGGGCCTGTATTCTCTAGCCAGGGCTCTTTACAATTAGTACATTCGGCGGATTTTGTTAATCCTCAATCCACGTTAGTGTTCATGCTCTACTGTTCTATGCTTCTAGTCGCAAAAGTAAACGAAGCAAGTAGGCTTCTATAGATAGAGCTTCGTAGCCTGTAAATTTAATTCTCGACAGCGGCATGCGCCGTCCTGCTAGAAGCACTTAACGTGTTTGAACATCCGCCCGCATCCACGGAAGTACCATTGCACGCTCACGATTGACACATAAAAAATCGGGCGTGGAGCAAGTCTCCGAGAAGCGGTATCAGGGAAGGGTTGAGAACTCATCGAGCGTGTCGAGGACAACGAAAGCGCGCGGGTGCTGGCTAAAAGAATATATCTGAGAATCTCAGGAATCTCGAGGTCGGACTCACTCTCATAAAGCATACCGTTCAGTGCAGACAACTGGGAAGGTGTATTCTCGGCTAGTTGCCTTATCGGACATCGCAGGAGACTGGTGTGGTCTCGTTCCTGATTTAGATAGTCAAAGTACATGTAGTTAACGGAGTTATTAGAGTCCCCTTCGAATCGTGCTTCGAGGCTCTCGACAACCGTAAACGTCGCAACAGTCTTGCCGGCTCCTGGTGGCCCAGTGCAGAAAAAAGTTCGTCCAGGGATCCGGAGCCATATTTGATAGTCGGCAGAATCTAGCAGAGACCTCCCTGTGCCTGGATAACGCTTCTTTATATTCTTGCTTTGTTGACATTCAAACGTGATCGGTGATACCCTGTTCAGGGTCCTTTGCTGTCGGGCGTCAAGCCCGACGACAATTTGAGCTACTCCAAGGTAGTATCCAGGGTAGAGTTGTAAATTGGGTCAACTTCAGACGGAAGTGAATCAGTGTTTACGAATGGTGAGGATCTGGCCTCCCAACCTCTGGTGATCTGAACAAAACAAATGCGGCTATCTTCGAAGGCGACGAGGATGCAGAGAACGAAATAGTCGGGCAGAAATTGTCGCCTAACGTCCGGACGATGAGAAACCTGAGTAAATCGAAGGCGCCCCAGGAAGCTAGGCACAGCGCTCGACTCATACGGAAATTCCCGTGTCTGACCAACACACCTTGAACGAAGTTCGAGGTAGTAACCGGCTCGCCTGCAGCTTCGCAGCTCCGAAAACAACAAATCCAGGCGAGGATTTGCCGCAACAAAGGTGTTAGTCGCACTTCCCGTTCACATCCAGTACGCAGTAATCACGTACGGAGTATATTAACGCGTTAGATAAAAAACATAAATACCGTTGTCTTGCAAAGTAATATCTGCTGCCCACGTCGTACATTCTAGATAGTCGTAACCTTATCTATTCCAGCAATATATTTGCACTTTCTCTCCATACTTCTTTCTTCCTCTCAAGAAAGCAGTAGTTGTAGACAGCTACATATATCATCCGATCAAGCAACTTCTTCCTCTATGATGCCCTCAATAGAATGTTCCGGCCTCCAAATCTTGATTAGCCGTAGCCCGGCGCTGCTGATGAGCTCTTCCCATCGCTCTTCTGTCCTCTCGGAGGCGGCGACCAAGGTCATCATTTGTGTATTGTCGGACACGGTAACACTCGAAAGAGGCCGGATTTTGCTAACCAAACTCTCGTGAATGAGCAGGCGCGAATAGCCCTTCTCCATGGCCGGGGCGAGCGTCTTCATGATGCGAATGGCTTTGTCGTCGGGCCAGTCGTGCAAAATGTGATGCATATAGTAGGCACGGGCACCAACGACTGGCTGGGGGGTGAAAAAGTCATGTGGCTGCACTGAAATGGCAGAAGCACTATTGTCGCCTATGTCGACGGATTTCAAGAGTATGGGCAAATTTTCCAACACGAGACTTCCCGGCGGGAGGTCTGGATATCGGGAGAGGAACTTGCGCAGGTCGTGACCTTTGCTGCCGCCGATGTCGACAACCAGCGGGATGCCAGGCCTGGCGGCGGCGACGATGCTGTCGGATGGGTACACCTCAGTCCAGGGAAACGAGTTATACTTGGATAGGCACTCCATAGCGTCATTAAAATCAGATGTCCGCAGCGGGTCAGCGCCAATGTATTCAAAAAAGCTGGCAGTTGCGTTGCCCTGGCAATACTGGAAGTTGCATTCATTCACGTCGGTCGGGTTTCGGTAGCCCGTCTTCTTAAGGTAGGCCGGCAGCGTGCGGAACATGGGACTGGTTGCATCATGGTAGAAGCCACCGTAGATTCCCGCAAACGGGGGGTCATCAGCCAAGGCAATAGCCAAGGGTGTCCGCTCATATGTGTCCTCGGCCACTTCAATGACAAGCAGCTGTCCAGAAAGAGTGCGCATAATTCTTCCTGTTATTTCGTCAGTGCCAATTAGCGATACAGAGGGAAGCAGGGTCCTGAGAGGGCATCCTTACGGAGGAGAACCTCGTCAACACCCGTCATCTCGGCTAGCTTCACACAGGTGATAGGGCCGCCGCCCACCTCGGACCACTTCTTAAAGACGCCTGCATCGATCAGTGTCTTGACGCACGCGGTTGTTGCCACGCAAGCCCAGCTCTGATCCCAGGCAATCTCCCAGGGCGACTGGACCTTTCTCAGCGCATGGAACAGAGCGTCTCGAGCGCGAATACGCTCCGGCTCGTCAAGAAATGAAGCAGCGCTGATGCCCTGGAGGCTGGCTATGATTTGATCTGCGGAAGACATCTCTGAGAACTTGATTTGGAAAATGTAGCTGTGCTATAGCACTGTCTCATGGTGAAAGCGTGCGCAATTTCGGCCAGACTGCATACTCGAACTCTTATACTGAAGAGAAGAAGGGCATCTTGTCACTCCCATACACGTTGGCAACACGGAGGCATGGATCCGTGCTATGGGTTGCATCGCCGTTGGGATAGTGGGGCATTGCAACCAACCTCCTCGCTTCGATATTGGTGGTCAGTAACTTCGAATGAAAGTAGATCATATGGTTTACGCCACAGACTGTCTCAGTGTCCGTAGGCCGGTTTCTGATCCGTATGATGGATAATTTCAGTCATGGAATCTGGCGACAGACTCTAGAATGTTTCCGATTCATCGTGGAAATACTCGAGGCAGCCCTGCGACCAGAGTGCTCGTAAGTCCCTATCGTTTGAGATGGGGCTACGTAAGAGCATGAACAGCCTTGAATAGAATAGGTGATGCAGGGTATATTACACGTAAGCAAATCAACAAGGTTTCAGAGCCGGCTTTTCAACAAAGTATTCGTTGGTCTTCTTGGCAGTCGGCAGTTTCTCGTCAAGAAGCCGGGAGCGTTATTTCTTTGGCTCTGAGATACTTCGTACAGTTTAAATAACACAAAGACTTCGAAGATGAGTAACTGCAAGACCTATCTCTAGGTTCGTCCATCTTATCATCATATTCCTTTTCGTCCTCATGTCTCCTTCCGTAAACAACCAGAGCGTTCCTCGTATGAGCTCAAGGCCTGTAATGTTTTCCTGATGCTTGATTGTTTTCTTTCTCTGCCAGATGGGCTCCTTGACCGCGAAGTTGTTTGCTATTGTGATTAAGTCATGATATGTACAGGGGTGATCGCCAGGGAGGTTGAGCCTGGCGTTGCTGACCTCCGTCGTGATGCGGGGATATTCATTGAGGACCGGCAGTTCTATCCCTCTGCTAATACCGATTCGCAACGCGTGTCGCGACATGTTTCGTGGCCGTATGGCAATCGCACATCACTTGCGGTGCGAGAAAGTCCTAGGCGCCGGCTTCGTAGGCGGGCTCTCCTCAAGTTTGCATCAGGCTATATGCAAGAACCCTCCTCACGGCTTGATACAACCCTTAACTTCGAAAATCGGCGCGTAAGCATCTCAACAACACCACTCGTAAGTACAGGAGCTACGAGTATTAGTAAGCAGATACCGCCGCACCGTGCTAGCTTGCCTTATACTAGAGGCCCGTAGGCCTGGAACGACCTGGTAACAAATCAAATTCTAGCTAGTTAAAGATCCGCTTTCGAAGATCTCAGCAGTTCTTCCGGTGAAGACGAAGAACGATTTATATTTCCTATTGGAGACTAGCGTGTGAGCAGAGATAGCTCCACATAGATTACTAATGTCCATCACCGTAACGCTTTCTCGTCAGGCCAATTTCTGCCTCCGGCTCCGATCATCTCAGCCACGTCAGCGACGTTGCTGGTCGTCTCCAAAACATGAACCGCTCATACTAAAAAGTGCACAGATATGTACGACACTCGCAAAAGCCCATACAATCCTAAAATGGAGCGACCGGGCAGCGAGCCAATTCGCACCGCCGGCCGTGTCATCGATCTTGAAAAGGCCGAGACCACCGATGAGACGAGGACTTTCATAGCTGCGCTTGCTAGGCCTCTCTCTACCGTTCGACCGTCACGAGTTCCCACCCCCAGAACCTCGGCAAGCAGGCTGGCTGAGGCCACTCCAGACGTCTGTTCTGAGTATCCGGTCCCGGCCCCAAACACTTCGAATGGGCACACCTCTTTTTCGACTTTCCCTTCTCCGAAGCAGCAAAACGACCCTTTCGATGACAGCACCGCCTCCACGGTACTCTACCTCGCCTATGGCTCCAATATGGCCGCGGCTACCTTTGAGGGTCAGCGCGGCATCCGCCCACTCTCGTGCGTCAGCGTAGCCGCGCCATCGCTGCAGTTGACGTTCGACTTACCTGGCTTACCGTATCGGGAGCCCTGCTTTGCCAACACGGCGATACGACGGCGCTTGCCTAAGATCCCAGACAAGCCGAAGCTCCCTCCGGTGCCGGTGCCGGTGCCTCCGAACCCTGGCCTACCCAATCCGCCGACATCTGCTGTCGTCGACACCAACAGCCAGGGCGACCGGGTCTGGAACGGCGGCCTCTACGGGGTCGTATACGAGGTCTCGCGCGCCGACTACGCCCACATCATCGCCACCGAGGGCGGTGGTGTTTCATACCAGGACTTGCTGGTGCCGTGTCTTGAGCTGCCGCCGAGCTTCACGATTCCCGAAAAGCCACTTCTACCACGGCCACCGCGGCCTTTTCTAGCACACACACTGTGGGCACCTCAGCTTCCGGGAGGCGGCGATGACGAAGAAGATGGCGACGACGACGATGACGATGACGGAAAGCTCCCCGCTTGGCTCAGCCGTCGCTGGCGTCTGCTGCGTATCCGCCTCCTCCGCCTGGCCGTGGGGCACGCTCGTCCGGATCCCAACTACGCACAACCGTCGCCGCGCTACCTGGCGCTGCTCGTCGACGGCGCCCGTCAACACGACCTGCCGCTGGCATACCAGGACTGGCTGGTGTCGCTAACACCATACCGGGTCACAACCTGTCGTCAGCGGCTCGCCGCCGCCCTGCTTCTTCTCGCCGGTCTCCCCTTCTTACTGCTTATGGGCACACTCACGCTACTGCGACGGTGCCGTCGGACACCGCCGTCGTCTGGCGACACTGATGGACAGCTGCCTCTCTGGCTACGGGTGGCCGTGGGTCTGTTCACACGAGCGCTATGGTGGATGTACGATCACGTGATGAAGCCCGTGTTTGGCGACGGCGAGAGAAGTGAGAAATCGGAGAAGCAGTTGTGGTGGGATTACGACAACGACGACGAGACTGCACCGCTGCGCGGACAGGAAATCGTTTAAACCTGAGTTGCCTGGTTTTTCTTTCATTGTCATTTCATTTCTGCTATGGTGCTTGGCACTTGGGTAACGGATACAAAGGGATTTTGAGCATGACACAGGAATGGAGTTTGGCTTGAATAGACATGGAGTTGGTGTTTGCAATGCATCGGCGCTGCGGCTTCGGTTGCTGTTCTGTTGTTTTGTGCGTGTTGTGGTATTGTTCTGAAAGTTTGCCTTCTTGATTCCTCTCTTCCGTCATCAAAAGTCGCCTATTCGTACGAATGTGCGGAACGCGCAACGAGGCGTGGAATGTCGTCAACGCTATGCCGCCCTTCCAGGATATCTGCAACCGGTCTGTCAGCAAACCTGCATAGTCTGTTTGGACGCAACGGGGCCCTCATCTGCTCACCGTTGACAGCTGTGAACAGCGGATACTGGCTCTCTTGGCCGCGGGTCTTGAGGAAGCTGTTGACCTCCTTGGCGGTGGTGGTGCCCTGCAGCTTCTGGCCGTTGAGCTCTGTCCGCTCGACCTCCTCGACCGAGAGGCCCTTCTGGATGGCCAACTTGGCGCAGCGGAAGTTGCGGCCGCCCGAGCAAGACGTGATCAGGTCGGCCACCCCGGCGCTCTCCTCCGTGAACGTGGCTGTATGCACGGTCTCGCCAAAGAATTCCTTGCCGAACTTGACCATCTCCATCAGGCCGACGCGCATTACCGCCGCCTTGGCGTTGTCGCCCCAGCCGCGCCCATCGACGAAGCCGGCCGCAATCGCGACAATGTTCTTGAGCGCCCCGCTGAGCGACACGCCCGCCACGTCGAGCACCATGCTGACGTGAAAGTACGGTCGGTGAAAGAGCGCCGAGAAGGTCTGGTGGTCCAGCGGCGGGTAGTCGGCCGGCACCGGCGTCAGCTTGACCGTACTGGCGCGTCCGCGCACATCCTTGTGCTGCAGCTCGTCGGCCGGCGCACTGATCGTGACCTCTGGACCCGCCGGCGACTGCGACCGCGGCGTTTGGTTGCGCGAGCTGTCCATCGGCGGTGGGTCGTACGCAATCGTCGTCTCGCTCCACTTCTCCTGCGCGATCTCGCTCGCCAGGTTGGCCCCCGACAGCGCACCGCAGTAGATGCCCAGTGCGTCGCCAATCCACTCCGAGAAGAGCGAGATCCCGTCGTCCGTCACGTTGACGCCCTTGATGCATGAGATGCCCCGCGCAAACGGCAGGATGTGTCCGTTGATCTGCTTGCACGCGTTGCTGATGAACTGGTGCGGCAGGTTGAACACCAGGATCGTCGAGCCCTGTACCGCGTCCAGCAGCGACGGATTGGCCACCACGTTTGTCGGCAGCGGGATCCCCGGCAGGTACTTGATGTTCTCGTGCCGCGTGTTGATCACCTCGGTCAGCTTCTGCGGCCGCGAGCCCACGGCCGCGTCGTACAGCGGCGCGCCCTCGGGGATCACCACCGTCTCCTCGTATACCCACATCTGTACCGTCTCCTCAAAGAGGTCAGGGTGTTCTCGCGTGCTCTCGGCCACGATCTTCGCAATCGTCGAGCCCCAATTGCCCGACCCGACCACCGTCACCTTGTGCTTCTTCCCGTACGAACCCAGCGACGTGCTTGGGGCGCTCATGGTGCAGGATGGCGATGCAGAATGCGATCCTGCTGCGAATTGGGTGTTTGGGAAGCTCTTAAAGCTTGGCGAAGCTTGGCGTAAATAGCCGTTGGAACAGGGCAGTCGAAAGAGACGTCGAGTAGCGGCTCGAGTTGCGGGAAACAGCACTGTCGTCATGCAGGAAGTTGCGCCGCACGGCGGATAACCTCTTGCGATAGGATACGACTGGACAGACGGTTTCTTTACCTGTTGGGCCGTTTTCATGAACAATTGGGAAAAGGTTGGACAGGAAGCTGTTGGGGAAATGATGTAAGGAGGGGCAGAAATCAACAGAGGTCGACCGCCTTCCGCTTTGGGCTGGAGCTACGGAGTACACCAGAAGTCTGCGATGGTGCTGACTCATCTGTACGTACTCCGGGCCGACGCTTCTGACGGAACGTAGAAACGCTTTTGTTGCTAAAAGCGGCAAGTGCAGAAGCATCAAATTCGGGCACCTCTCGCATAGAGAAACTTCCCACTTTGTGATGTGCAATCCCATAAAGCAGCCGAGCTTTTACCGAAGACAACGATGCATCAAAAGATTTCTATTTTGTTTGTCGACTGGTTTCAAGGCTAACATCACAATTGAGTCTGGGTGTCAGCTGACAATATCAAATCAATAGACAAATATCGATTATTGTGGTATATGGGAACGAGATTGTGGTTTACAGGCAGTAAGCCGTTATGCATACATGCCTTGGCTTCAGATATATTTAGAATGATTTGCTTTTCAATTTGTAATTTTGGTTCAATTACGGTGACATGCTTTGTTGATGTACTGGCTGTCGTTGCATTGGAAAGAAGGAGCTGATCTAATATTGTTTACCAGTATTTGCCTCTTGCACCACCCGAAAGTAATTCCCTGGACTGGCTCGTGTCGTGCGCATAATCCTGCTTTTTTATAAGTGGGACATCCTCACCTCCGTCTAATCATGCGCGGTCTCGATCTTTTCTTTTGGCTGGTAGCTTCAATCTCCAGCGGAGCGACTCCTGACGGAGCAAGCTCAACCACTACATCCATGTCACTTACATGAGGTAGGCCAATGAGCCAGTGCCAGATACTCCCAGCCACATCAATAGGGTCCGCAAAGGTATGAAAACCGTCCATATTTGTTGTGGTATAATGTCGTGATGGAAAAAGCTCTGTTGTTAATGTTTCTTGGTGATGATGGTGCCAAATTGCCAAAGTCTTGGACGAATCTGTCTACTTATACTTGGTTCCCCAAAATTCCTCAATTTGATGATCAGAAACGTGAAAGGCAAGTTCGAATTCGACCCATTTTGTTCACTTTTGATACAATCAGCACAAAGGATGCTGACCGGCGAACAAGCCTTTGCCATATTTTCAAGAGCAGATTTCCTTTGTTTTTGTATTTTGAAAGAATACAAGTCATTGTACCCAAGCCCCTGAAATCAACACTGGTTGGAGCCAACTATTATACCGGCCACTGTCCAGTTTCCAGACCGTTTCATACATTTTTCAAAGTTTGTTGTGTAAGCATTTGGCTTTTATATGCCCTAGCGCTTAGAATATCGTGCAAGTTTAGGACAGGAATGAAATATGCTGTTGGGCATTAAGGCGTGTGATAACTGTAGAATCTAGAATGGCGAATAACAATGTTGCAGTGGGTAGTAATGCGAAGTGTCATCGTGGCACACATTCTGCCAGTAGAATTTATAGCGATTATGTTGTTGAAATGATTATGATAGGTCTCTGAGGTAATGGAAGAGAAAAATGTAGGCCAGAATGAAAATCAGCATTACGTCGCCGAGACCACCTACGAATCCGTGAGGACACGTTGGCCTGCCACAGCACCAATACAATATCATTGGGACGACCGGAAGACACCTTGTTGGCATCAGCTCACCATCATATTATCTGTCGTCCAGTACCCGCTCTCCTTGCACTGCAAACGAAGCTCGAACAGCGACAGTTTTTGCGACAGCGCCACGTTTCTGTTGTGCATACGTCACTAGGTGTGGTGCGCCACTAAACTGGAAGTTTGGCGACTGCTGGTAGGTAGGAGCTGCCCCGCGCTAGCTCCAAACGTTATTGCCTCAAGTGGCCATCTTCGTTGGCTTTCGCCATGGGCATGGCAGAACATCTTTTGACAAAATGGCTTGTAAAAGGTTAGGCTGTGCCAGTTCCTGTCTTTTTTTCAGTCCAAATCTTGTCTCCCAAACCTTTCCATTTTGCTGATGAGAATACGAGTTTCTTACACCGGCACTACCAACTTCGCAGTGGATACAGGGTTCTGAAGAGCTCCATGCAGGCCCATTAAACGGCCCCACAGCAAGTTTGCCTGATCGTAGCAAGCATCTGCGGCGTTGGCCGTCAATCCTGCCTCTTCTCCTCGACATGATCCCAAGAACAATGACGTCTAGCGAGGTGCATCTGCTGCCGCTCAACGACGATGGTTCGCCTCAGGTCGGCGGGCAGGATTATATCTACCTCGCAGCCACCTCTGAGGACCCCATCATTCTGCGCTTTGCCATCGAGGGCACCTCGAGCATCTGTCGCCATGGAAGTCTCTGGGTAAACATTCCCGAGAAGGGAAACGAGTTTCGCCGCGACAAGTTCCGCGAGTTCAAGTAAGCTATCGCGCACAGCTTTCCACTCACAGTCCGCGTCGTCCAGCGTCGTTTTCACCTTCGTGATCTGAGCATGGCTGATCAAAACCCCGCCATTTAACCAGGCTGGTTCCTGACTTCCACCGAACCATCCACATTTCCATCCCAATTTACCACGCCGGTGCCTTTGCCTTTTACACGACTTACGCTGCCCTGCCTGACCTATCGGTCGAGCTGTCCAACCGTGGCTCCTTCGAACAGCAGAAAAAGAAGACCCCGCTCTACTACGTCGATGTCGCTCCGCGCTTGCAGCTCGACGGCCGTACGCTGCCGCTCGAGGCCCTCTCCGTCTTCTCCGTCATCAGCAAGTTTATGGGCCGATACCCCGGCGACTGGGAGCGCCACTTGCGTGGAATTAGCGACAGGGGCTACAACATGATCCACTTTACCCCTCTCCAGGTGCGCGGCGAGTCCAACTCTCCCTACAGCTTATACGACCAGCTGGGATGGGATCCGGAGTGCTTTCCCACCGGCGAGAAAGACATCAAGAATCTGGTAACAAGCCTTAAGAAAGATCACTCCCTCCTCAGCCTAACAGACATTGTCCTCAACCACACGGCCAACAACAGCGCCTGGCTGTTGGACCACCCAGAAGCTGGCTACAATCTCAAAACTGCACCCCACTTGGAGTCTGCGTATCTTTTGGACGCCAAGCTGCTAGATCTGAGTTGTCGCTTGGAGGAGCTAGGCCTCCCCACCGAGCTGAAGGACACCGATGACTTGATCAAGGTTATGGACGCCATAAAGTCTGAATGCATTACCGGTATACGTCTCTGGGAATACTACGCCATCAATGTCGAACGCAACGCCAGCGATGCTATAGAAAGTTGGACTCTTGGCCAGACGTCCATTCCTGATGATTTCTCTGGCGCAGAGGAACTCGCGTTTCTAAAGACCGCCAACTTGAAGAGCCAAGTCGAGTTCATTGAAAAGCATGCACTCCTTGGCACCGATCGCCTTGGCGAACGGTACCGAAAGAGAATCGAGCCTCAGACGGCTGCAGCCCTTCTCACCGCTATCTTTGGCGAGTACCAGGAGACGCCTGATGACGCAGACAAAAAGGCTGCTCATGCCAAACTGGTGGAAATAATCGATTCCTTGAATGTGCCCCTTTACGCAGAATACGATTCCGACTGTACCGAGATTCTCCAGCAGCTCTTCAACCGTATCAAATATTGTCGTCTCGACGAAAACGGACCCCAACAAGGCCCCATCACCTCGTACTCGCCACTGGTTGAAACATACTTCACAAGGCTGCCACGGAACGAGAAGACACTGAAAAGCAGCATCGAGGAGCTGGTCTTGGTGAACAATGGCTGGGTGTGGGGCGGAAACGCTATGGTCGACAATGCTGGTCCCCAGTCTCGGGTGTATTTGCTCAGACAAGTCATCGTTTGGGGCGACTGTGTCAAACTGCGATATGGAGATGGCCCTTCTGACAGCCCTTGGCTGTGGGAGCACATGACGAAGTATGCTCGCATGCTCGCTACCTACTTTGCCGGTTTTCGCATCGACAATGCCCATTCGACACCGATGCATGTGGCTGAACACATTCTTGACGAAGCTCGCCGAGTCAACCCCAACCTGTACGTTGTGGCCGAGCTTTTTACCGGGTCCGAAGAGATGGACTTCATTTTTGTCAAACGCCTGGGACTGTCGTCCCTCATCAGGGAGGCCATGCAATCCTGGAGTACGGCTGAGATGAGCCGTCTGGTGCACCGACACGGCGGCCTACCTATTGGCAGTTTCGATACCGACGAGCGCAAGTACTCTGATGTCAAACCTGTTAATGGCGACCAGAAGGATAGCAACGGCTGCAATGGAAACGAAGACCTACGCCGGGAGATCGTTCTCCGAATTCGCCCTTCTCCCGTGCAGGCCCTGTTCATGGACTGCACCCACGACAACGAGGTGCCGGCCCAGAAGCGTGATGCCCGAGACACACTGCCCAATGCAGCCTTAGTTAGCATGTGCGCTTCCGCGACCGGCAGTGTCATGGGCTACGACGAGATCTACCCACGTCTGGTCGACCTGGTCCAGGAAAAGCGTCTGTACTCTTCCGAGTCCTCAACCCGCCCCGTGAAGATTGGCAGTGGGCGCAATGGCATTGGCGGCGTCAAGAAACTTCTAAACCAGATCCATGTACTTATGGGCAAAGATGGATATGCGGAAACGCACATTCACCACGAGGACCAGTACATCACAGTTCACCGTGTCCATCCAGAGAGCCGTCGGGGATATTTCCTGATCGCCCACACCGCTTATCCTGGATATGGAAATGGCAATGGTGCCTTCAGCTCGGTGCACTTGGCAGGCACGAGGGCCCGCCACCTCGGAAGCTGGACTCTGGAGGTCGATACTAGTGAAGAAGCAACCAAGGCCACCCTGGAAGACAAAAAGTTTCTCCGTGGACTACCCAGCCGTGTTGTTGATCTTCCCGGAATACGGATGGACGTGAATGGAGGTGATACGAACATCACCGTCCGTGACAAATTTCCCCCAGGCAGCATAGCTCTCTTCGAAACCTGGATCTCTGCAGAGCACTCGACTGGTCTGGACACGTTTGTGACCTCTGGGGCCAAGGAAGCCTTTGGCAAGCTCGACCTGGTCGATCTCAACTTCGTGCTCTACCGCTGTGAGGCGGAGGAGCGGGACTCGAGTAACGGAAAAGATGGCGTCTACACCATTCCAGGGTACGGTCAGCTCGTGTACGCAGGTCTACAAGGCTGGTATAGCATCCTCAAGAACGTCATGCGTGACAACGACCTGGCACACCCGCTGTGCCAGAACCTGCGGGATGGCCAATGGGCTCTAGACTACATTTCTGGACGCTTGGAGCGCATGTCTGAGAACCCAGCTTACAGCCGTCTGGCCGATCCTGCAGCTTGGTTCAGGGAACGATTTGATCCCGTCCGCAAGATACCGGGATTCTTACTTCCTCGCTACTTCGGTCTCATAATGCGTGCCGCATATCAGGCCTGTTGTGACCGTACGGTGGCCCTCTTAGCGCCCGACGTCCGAGATGGCCAATGGTTTGTGCAGAGTCTGGCGCTGGTCAGCATTCAGCAGACCGGCCTCGTGAAGTCTGGCTCGCTGTATCCCAACAGAGCAGTCCCTTCCTTGGCCGCCGGACTGCCACATTTCTCGGTGGAGTGGGCACGATGCTGGGGTCGAGACGTCTTTATCTCAATGCGCGGCCTGTTCCTCGGGACGGGGAGGTTTGCAGAGGCCAAGGAGCACATCCTTGCCTTTGCAAGCGTTCTCAAGCATGGCATGATTCCGAACTTGCTCAGCTCTGGCAACAACCCTCGATACAATGCCCGTGATGCGGTCTGGTTCTTTTTACAATGCGTCCAAGACTACATCAAGCTGGCTCCAGATGGGGAGGACTTGCTCAAAGTGAGGGTGAAGCGGCGTTTCCTGCCAAACGACGATACCTGGTTTGACGTGAACGATCCCCGGGCATATTCCGCCGAGAGCACTATCGAAGACGTCATCCAGGAGGCTCTCCAGCGGCATGCAACAGGTCTCTCTTTCCGAGAAGCGAACGCTGGCCCTGGTCTCGATATGCAGATGAAAGACGAGGGCTTCAACATCGAGGTCCACGTGGACTGGAGCAACGGGTTGATTTTTGGCGGCAACCAGTCGAACTGTGGGACATGGATGGACAAGATGGGTGAGAGTGAGCGTGCGGGCTCCAAAGGAGTCCCTGGCACGCCACGAGACGGATCTGCTGTGGAAATTTCCGGCCTTCTTTACAGCACGCTTGCGTGGCTTGGCAGCCGCCGTGCCGCTGGTGGTTTCGCATATGAGGGCGTGACGAAGGCAGATGGCACGTTTGTGTCCTTCAAGGACTGGGCAGGCCTGGTCCGCTACAACTTCGAGCGATGCTACTACGTGCCGCTGGAGCCAGCTGACGATGCTAAGTACGATGTGAACTCCAAGATTGTCAATCGACGAGGGATCTACAAGGATCTGTACCGTGCCGGCAAAGAATACGAAGACTACCAGCTGCGGCCCAACTTCACCATAGCCATGGCGGTAGCCCCAGAGCTCTTTGTGACGGAGCATGCCATCAATGCTCTCTGCGTGGCCGACAAGGTGTTGCGCGGGCCCACAGGTATGGCGACGCTGGACCCAGCAGATCTCAACTACCGGCCGTACTACGTCAACAGCGAAGACAGCACCGACTTTGCCACGTCCAAGGGCCGCAACTACCACCAGGGCCCTGAGTGGCTCTGGCCAACGGGCTTCTTCCTGCGGGCGCTGCTCAAGTTTGACCTTTTGAGACGGGGCGCTGACGACATCGAGAGCCATACGGAGGCATTTCAGCAGGTGACGCGCCGGCTGATCGGGTGCAAGCAGCAAATCCAAGAGAGCCCCTGGGCTGGTTTGACTGAGCTGACACAAAAAGAGGGCGCTTACTGTGCCGATTCGGTAAGAGATCAGCCTTCCCCTCCCTAGCTTCGTCCTGTGTCAGGCCCTAACCATAGTTTGCAGTCCCCGACACAAGCCTGGTCGGCAGGCTGTCTCATCGACGTGTACATGGATGCAGCTGAGGAACAGAGGAAACGCAAGGCCACAAAGGTGGTCGTGCGTTGACATGGGGCACGATTTAAGGCGGGAAGATGATGACGATATAGAAAAAGTACATGTGTTTTGGAAATCTTTGGCTACATCGATGAGCAGGCCGAAGAATACGATCCTGCCTGTTCTGTACCGTTCCGTTGGGGATTCGTTTTTTTTTCTTGTCTGCTGCAATGTGCGGGCGGGCTGCATCTCGAAACACAGCGCAGCCAGATATTGCATAATGCTACATGAACTCAAAATTCTACAAGATGCTACACCAAGGAAACTATAAGCCTGTACAGAGGGGTCCTAGACGAGAATATGGGGAAATACGAAGACGAAGACACAAGAGAAAGCACGATAAGTGAAATGCAAATATGGCCAGCCGTCATGCCTGTTTTTATCCCAATAAAGAAACATGCAATGACATGCCATAGACGCGCTCGTCTGGCAAGACGAGAGTCGCATGCATGGCATGACAACAATTCCTTCTTTCCCGTAACGCCTCGAGTGTACTCGATAAATACAAGAGCGAATGACCGATAAGTGGCAGGTAACCAAAACCCTTGAAGTGTATGAAAACAGAGGAATTGACTGGTTTGCAGATATGTGCCGCATAAGCTGCGAGCGGGTGTTGTGAGCCATAGTCCGCGGTCGAAATGTGAAAGCTAGCACGTTGCTGCGGGCCTGCTAGTCGTATTAAGTATTAAGGCCTTCTCCGCTCTGTGCTGCCCGGCTGTGTCTTCTCGGTATTGTAGGCGGGTTCTATGTTCGGGTTCGCGGGTGCAAAAACCCCGACATGTGGATTGTGAACGTCTGCCTGCGACTGGCTGCCAGAAGAGGGAATGTTGGGGCCGGCGCTCGAGTGTGCGGCTAGAGACTTGTCCAGGGCAAATTGCCGGTCCTTGTTACGAAGATAGCGGCGGCGCCACATGGCGGCACCGATCCAGATGAGGGCGATGCCGACAACGACGATGACGATGAAAGCAACCCACTGCTTGTGCGATGACAGCCTAAAGTAAAGTTAGCAACACCAGAGAACGGGAGGAGAAAACCAAGAAACAGGCATCGTGGGGACGTACCATGCTTGGCCGGTCGATTGGCCCTTGCCGGAGTCCGAACTGGTGCCATTGCGGTTGGCAGTGCCGGAGGTAGCAGCCGTGGCCGCGGCTCCGGTCGTGGCTGCCGCCTCGTAGGCAGCCACATTGACCGAGCAGAAGCTTGAGAACCATGTGTGAATGCTCCCGAGGCCGCCCGACTCTGTGGTGCAGGCCGTGTCGCAAACACCAGCCGTGCCGGTGCTGAAGGGGGCCACTCGGGTGTCGCTACAAAAGCAGTTGGCATACGTGACCAGAGCAGCTGTTGTCACGGCCGGCGGCACGCAGGCAGCGTTGGCATCGTAGAGATGGACGCATTCATAGGCGCATGACGGAAGTATGGAGAAGGGCATTAAAGTAGTTTCAGCTGTCAAAACGAAGTCAGCGGCATGCGTCTTGCCGGTTGGAGAGGCAGCAGAAGGGAACACTGAGCGCATGTCAGGACGTACCCATCGTGAGAAGAGGTGTGCGCAGATGCGCAGTCACGGGTGGATATCCGGTGAAGTTGTGGAATTTATCACGCTGTGATCCAGCACGGTCGCCGTTTGCAATCCCGAATCGTTTCGGAGGTAGATGGGGAGCGTTGCTTCAGGCCCAAGAACAGTACGAGCACTTTTGGAACGAGAACAGGTCGTTAAGAATGAACAAGTTCCCTTGCCGTCTGCCGTACTTTCCAACCCGACAATACGACGGCGATCTTCGATCTTGAGCGGATGGCTTGGATAGTGGGTTTTCAGTCCGACTTGGCGTTGCTAGACATCCGAAATAGGCCCAGTAGGCAAGATAAAACGAGACCAAAAAAAAAGCAGGGCGTCGACTGCTGACCGGCGACAAAGACAGAGTGGCCGAAACAGATGATCCAAGAAAGGTGAACGGTGAGCCAGGCAATTCCAACGAAGATAGAGAAAGGACCGAAACGGCTGAAAGATGGCGCGATTGACGGTGACGTCGGTTTTGAAAGCGAACGGACGCCACGGGGCAGAGCTGTCTACTGTGGATGTCGGGCGGTGGAGGTTGGACTACAGCGATGCGTCGTTCTTGGTCTGCTTCTTGTCCGGGATGGTCGCCAAGCCGTTGTTTGTCAGGGTGAAGAAAAGCTGACAGGACGAAGCCTGTGTGATGACGAAGAAAGAGTGCGAGTACGAAGCAAATAAAAGTGGACAGCTAGAAATAGGAATAGCGGCGCGCTATTTCGTAAGCGATAGAAAGGGGGACCCGGCGAGCAAGTTTGCTGCGACCGGCTGGGTCCTTTCTGAATTGGGATGCGTATTAACGAAGTACCCAGGTATCTTTTTTCTCGTAATCCGTAATCCAATAATCTCTCGGGCGCCAAGGGGGAAGAAAAAGAGCAAAGAAGGAATGAGAGCCAGTCCGTCCGTGGTGGATCCGTCGCTTCCCAAACTAAAACTGTTTGGTTGGCCCTCCAAGGCGGCGTCCCAGTGCCAGCAGACCCGTAACACACTGTCCAAACTGCACACCAAACCTGAGTTCCGTGCCACGCGTCCGCGCCTGTCAGATTTAATATTGTGTCCGCACGCCAGCCCAAATAAATACGAGGTCAGCCGGACTTTGCCCAATGGCCTATTACAGCCGCAAAAAGCTGCCCTCCGCCGTCTCCGGGCTGGGCGGGGCCAATTACGAGGCAGAGAAAAGCACCCGCGGACCGCGCTGTGTTGTTTACTGGTCCTTTGTTTGCCGATAGGCCCCGGATTTTCCGCCCAGGCGCTTGCAGGGTCCAAGCAAAGGCGGCTTCTATTTACGGAGTACGAAGTAGATCTGGAAGCTTTGCAAACACATTAAATCCTGTCACGTGATTACGGTCCACATATAAATACGGAGTAGCTCCGCAAAATATGCAATTATTGGGATAGGCTGACTCATACGAAACGACCGAAACGACTATGTGTCCAGCCTTGCATCACGTGTCAGCTTCTAATCCCAATTATCAGCGTCGGTGTCACGACTGCTTTATGGATCCGAGCCCTGACGGGGAGTAAGCGATACAGTTAGAGGAGCTGTGGTGTCGGCGTAGGGCACTTGATTATTGCAGTCCTCAAAGCCGGCGTCGGGGTTGTCATAGTTTTCCATCCAACTAGCAATATTTGCACCAGCTTTGGCAGCAGAGTCGCTGCCAGACGACGTATTGTTGTCTTCTGACAGATACTTAAAATCAGTACAGTGATCATAGGGTGGGGAAGTATCCTGTCTGTGAGGAAGCGAACCGCTGTTTTTGTTGTCTGTCAAGTTATTGCCAGCCATGATGCTGCTTTTTTTTTGTCGAAAGCCGAGTGCAGCTATAAGCTGCAAAAGCGTATAAATTTGGTGTATAGGGATTGAAAAGAAGGCGTCTGTGAGCGTTTTCTGGTTGTCATAAACATGGTCCATTCCGTCTTATTTATAGTCAAGAAAACTGCTTCCACGCAGCCTAGCTTTTCGCTTCCACCTGCCTTCCCATGTCGAAGCAGTGTAGACGATGGTCCTTTTCGGACGGACGACCATCTCCAGCAACCAACAGGTAATCATCTGGCGACATGGACAAGGTTTGCGAGCCACTGCATGATGCAAGGCTAAACAAAGAAAGTCCAGTCGGTGTGCCGGGGTAGGCCGTCGAACCGTCGTCTACTATGTCAGCCTGATGATGTTTCACACCATGAGACGGAAAAGCGCCTGCCGATCGCTATGCGCGGTTTTGAAAAATGACTGCTTATGGCAACTGTGACATCGAGAAAGACGATGATCGCCAAAGAATCAGTTTCTCACAAGGAACAAACCGGAGCATATTTGGGGGACTACCTCCATAAAGTCTGCTATATGCATGGGCAGGACATAGTTAACATTCGCTATACCCCGGATGTAGTCGGAGCCGTCGAACACGCAAGACCGGCGATACTGCAACAACATCAATCCCATCGCTTTGTCACGGCACATTTATCGAAATATTTGGGCAGCAACACCATCAGGTGGACGCGGTACAGTGATGGAAGCATGTCTGCCAGCTACAGCGGGCAGCGGCAGGTAGAGGCGAAGGGTGTCGCATGACTGCGTCACTGCACCGATAAGCATTCGCTGGACGGGGATCAGCTGGGTGTGGGGGTTCACACATACCAATTATAGCGCTGTGCAACACACTGACCGGTGTAGCGGCAGGAGGAGAGGAGAAGGGGACGAGAGGGAGATATGAGCGGAGGAAAAGAAGCGTCTGTAGAAAAAAAAAATTCGGCACGCAGTATTGCCTGTCCTGCTGTGGGGGGGGGTTCTGTGTACAGCCGATAAATGGTGCGTATACACGATAGTATGGTACGGAGAGAATGAGGAACCGAATCGACGGCTGCAGCTAGCCGGCACAATGTTATACAGAGATAAAAGATACAGGCGTTATTGGAGGAATCTATTAATCGCGCACACCCGCAGAGGGAATGTCTCACTCTCGCAGTATTGTTTCTGTTTCTGTTTCTGCTTTCTGTTAGTTCCCTTTTTTCCTACGGACGAGTATCCTTCCACAATGGTGACAAGGGTTATGAATGAAAGGGCCAAAAACAAATGCGGCTATATAACGACGTGGACGGTAGTCAGAAAATCTCGTGGGGCCACCAGCGCACACAGAGAAACCGTCTGATGCCCTCCTGTGTGATGGAGGGTGGCACGGGATAGTCCAGAAACTGCATTCAATGGTATAGGTGGCACTAAAAATTGGCAATTTCTCGCTACTCTGTAACCTCGATAGTGTTTGCCAAATTTTGTGCAGCCCGGAATCTTGTTTTTCTCAGAGACGGCCTGTATTCCGACAATGAACGTCTTCCGAGTTAAAGTCACCAGATGGGTTGGGTATCCTCCCGGGTTCCGCAGCGGATAATTTAAGAGCCGGGATGAGCCGGGTCAAACAATGAGCAAGTGAGCGGGTGTTCGTCTTGGGTGGCAGCGGCATATTGGCCACGGCCGTCGCTGCCCAACATACGTGCATTCTATGCGCTCTCCACTCCTTGTGGTAACAGCGGCAGTGTCATCGTGGCAGCAGGTTGTAATCGCGTGGCGAGAACTGGCGTGTCAGAGAGTGTCAGAGAGGGGTCCAGTTCCTGTGCCACAGGACCGGTCAGAAGATGAGAGAGGGGATGTGTTGCACGTGACCCTGTGGGTCAGTGTGCAGAGTTTTCACTCCCGCAGTACAGCCTGCACTAGCTTCTAGTGCAGGGAAATACATGCACCTTTCCACAGGATGTGAGCGGCAGACAGTGCCGGCACGGCAGCGCAACGGCCACGCCAGGTACATGCATGTCTGTGTACACATGTGGCTGTCTCGTCTAGGCAGGTGGCGAAAATTTACGTCTCGCAGACGTATCTTATCTGCAGGTGATGCTATTGCGGTTTCTGTACACCGAATCTTTCTATTGTCCTTCCTAGAAGAACAGAATCCGAGGTGTACAAAAACTTCACCATCGTAGCACCAACTGGTGGGACCTCATGGGTCAATTGTCTGCCGGTTCAATTCCCTGATAGGAGCACATACGAGCCAGATTCCGGTCTGCAGAGGTCGGCAGCTGGCAAGCGAAACTGGTAAGCGAAGCTGTTCGTAGCCGGTTAAAGACAGGCTGGCGTACTTCTGTCAATTATCACATCCAGGACACGCCTATAGCCAGGTCTGGAAGCCATTGGTAGCAGTCGAAATCGTCCACAGCAGTCAGCGGGAGAGGCATGGAGGGGAAGAGAGGTAGAGCAGATACAGAGGGTGTTTCGGTGGCAGTGTGGGTTGTAGTGGTTGTAGTGGTGATGGTAGCACTGCTACTGGGGCTATGGCGCGGTGGATAGTCGCTCAGCCAGACAGCACGGAGAGCCTGGAACTTGCGCATGGCAAAAGCAGCGACGACGGTGTCGGCAGAAGCTAGGGAGGGCGAGGAACCATTTGGTGCAGTGCCACCGTTGGTGTCATGTGTTGTGGATGAGGTCGGTATCATTTGCAGCTGGCAGGACTGAAAAATGGAAATGACACGGTCGACGGTGGTGATCAGATCGATAGAATCACGTACGGCCTCGACACTCCACGACCGGTCACGAAGTGTGCTGAGACGGTGAAGACAGACGGCGACATAGAGGGTCAAACAGACTGAGCCATTAGGAAGGCGCAGGTAGCGGTCGGATGGACAGCCGAATAGTTTGTCAAAGGTTTGGCGAACAGAGTCAAGGCAGCGCTCGTAGACGGCGAGCCGGCGGAAGTCAAGGGTAGCTCCAGGGGGTGGGGGACGTATGAGAGCTGACTCGTGAATTGTAAGGCGGGCGTAGTGATAGAGGTTGTGGGTAGCGACTGGTTTGAGGAGAATTGGTAATCAGTGTGGTATCAAAACGGCAGGGAGTCCAGTTGCTTTGCTTTGGGCTTACAATTGTCCAGTGATGAGGGTTCGCTGACGATGCTATCGAGGTACAGTTGGGCCGACTCCATGAAGATAAAGGGCAGACTGGCTGGTGCAGCCGGGGCAAGGTTGCTGTGCCAGGAGGTGGAAGAATACGGCAAGGCAGTAGACGTGACGGCTGCGTTGCTCCAAGCGGTCTCGCGGCGCATCTGGCTGCTAAGCAGGCGAAGACGGATGTGGCGAATAAGGGTGGCGTCATGGCTGGTCTGAGGGGTGGTTTGTTGAGCCTGCTGAGCCTGCTGAACGTGAGCCAGACAGTCTTCGAGATAGGGCGACCAGAAGAGGCCGTCCGGCATTAAGGGCACGCCCATGGTGACTGAGAAGACGGCCAAGACGGCGCGTCGCTCCTCCATGGTGCGCTCGTGTTTGGGGGGCACCGCAGACCGGCCAGGAGGGGCCGTTAGGCCGGAGCCACAGCCATGTCCCGGTGCTCTCTGGTCAAGCGGCACCGGCATGGTGAGGCCCATGTCCCAGGCGACAGCTACAGCCAGCTGTGACAGCATGACAGCAAATTGGCGGTCCACGGCAGGCAGAACGTGGAACCAGGCCAGCAGGACGATGATGCCGTACAGGATGGGTAGGCTGCGCTCGCCAGCGGCCACGACTTGGTCCAGCAACTGCTGGCGGGCCTGGGCACCCAGACGACTTCGCTGTCGGTTCGATGTCGCGGCCACGGCCATGATGCAGAGCCAGAGAAAGGGCGCATCGCGATGCAGCTGCTGAGCTGTGGTATCGGGCGCTAAATAGACGATCGGTTCTAAAGGCTGTGATGTGAGAAGAGGAATAAAAGGTACAACTGACGAAGTTGATACAAGGAAAAGACGGAAGAGGATGGGAAGCGAGGTGAGGAGGAGAAAGGAGACAAATTTAGAAACGTGTGGTATTAGCAGAGGGCAGGAAGGAGCGACAGAAGGGATAAAGGAAGGAACGACTGAACAACAAAAGAAAACACGAGACAGCTCACCAACATCTCGTCTTGAAACAGTCGGAATATTTCCTCGGCCTCGGCCGGCGAGAGGTCGCTGTCATCGGCGGCCGTAGCTGAAGCCGTGACTGTCGCCGTCGTCTGGGGCGTCTTCCCGAGGACCTGTGGGGCTGTTGGCGACGGCGACGGCCGAATCTGTACGCTTCCGCTGGCACCGGTCTCGATGCTCTGCGTCGTCCGCAACAAGTCGACCAAGTCGTTAAGCTTAGCCTCCAGCCGCTGCGTGTGTGAGCCGAGACGGCGTGTTCGCGCAGCTGCCTTAGCCCGCTTCGACGTAGCAGGTGCGGGCGATGGGACGCACGTCTTCTTTAGCCGAAGGCATCTTTCCAGGTCAGTAAAAAGGACAGCTAATGAGTGGAAGGTAGAAATTTGAATAAATAAAAACATCGCAAAAGGACAGACATACCTCGCGCAGCCATCTCTGCCAGCACAAGGGATGCACTTGCACTTGATTTGGACGCAGTTGACGCACGCCTTGCCGCGTTTCGGTGCTGCCACGTTGGATCCTACAACTGTAGCAGAGTCCATTGTGCTCTCTGTTCGCCGTTTCGGGCTAGGTGCTCGGCAAGCCTGTCAGCTTCTTGGACATAAAATCCCGCCGGAATTTCAAGACCGAAACGCCTTTCCTATCGGGATCAAACAGGCCTAGGAAAGAGAGAGTAGATGGTGGAGAAGGGCTGTTGTAAGACGTCTACTGTTGTCCGGAACTATATACGAAAACGCACGCCCGATACCAAAAGTGCGGCGGAAACGGACTTTATATGAACTCTCCGAGCCGGACGACGATAAGTGGGTCGGACTTTACAAGGAAAGAAGACGCATTATTGGCAGCCAGTCTGGAAGTGCTGCCAAATCGAGTTAGACTGGAAGCGACACGGCCAGCGGTCACCAGCACAAGTAGTCCCGGCTCCGGAGGCAGGACCGTCTCAGCCTTTATATAAATAATCATTCGGGAGAGCAAAGACGCGTTCTAGTTTCGTACCATTCATGTCTGTGAGTTCACCAGAATCCGGAGCAGCAGTGGCACAAAGGCCATGACCGAATCTGCAGACCCAACGCCAAATGATGACGGGGAGAATAATACCGGACTGGACAAGTTTGTGCCCGTGACGGGCGCCAAGCTTTCCTTGCTCATCTTCAGCCTGTCTCTGAGCTGCTTTCTGATCTTGCTAGATACGTCCATTGTCTCGACGGCGATCCCCAAAATTACAGATGATTTTCATTCCTTGTCTGATGTCGGCTGGTATGGCAGCGCCTACTTGTTGGGGAGGTAGGCCATCTGTTCTGCATCCCAGTCAGTCCTCTCTATTAGTGGACATTCATTGGCTTCTTCTTCGTCTTTGAGCTGGGATCCGCTCTCTGTGGTGCATCCCAGTCGTCCGTCATGCTGATTATAAGCCGGGCTATTGCTGGTGCCGGTGCCTCTGGCCTGATGAACGGCGCTCTAGTTATGCTGGCAGCGTCCGTGCCTTTGCAGAAGCGACCACGTGAGTACTTCACAACGAGATCATCCAAATTGGAGCAGGGCTATCTGCTTACACAGCGCAGCTCTCACGGGTGTCATCATGGGCGGTATGTTGTGTTTTCACTCTTCTCCTTTCAAATTTTGCTGACAAATCCAGTTGGCCAATTCGGCGTCGTTCTCGGTCCTCTCATCGGAGGTGCTTTCACCACTGGATACACCTGGAGATGGTGTACGTACTTTCTTGTCTTTCACTAGCTGGCCATACGCCTCCTTCTAACACGCTCAGGCTTCTACATCAATCTTCCCCTCGGTCTCATCGTCGCTATCCCTTTGATCCTTCTCCACGTCCCCGAGCAGACGGCCAAGGACCGGCCTCTAACTGCTCTTCGCACCATCCATCGTCGCCTAGACCTCCTCGGATTTGTTCTCTTTGCCCCCGCCATCATCCAACTCCTGCTTGCTTTACAGTTTGGCGGTAGCCGGTACCCCTGGAAGTCATCCCAGGTGATTGGCCTCTTCTGCGGAGCCACCGCTACACTTGCAGTTTGGGGTATCTGGAACGCCTATTGGGGCCCCGGCGCGCTACTCAACTTTACCGTCATCCGCCGCCGTCGTGTCTGGATAAGTGGTGTCTGCTACACAGCCCTTACTATTACCGTCTTCGGCTCGTCCTATTTTTTACCAATCTACTTCCAGGCCGTCAAGGGCGTCAGCGCCGTAATGAGCGGCGTCTATATGCTTGCTGGAATTCTGCCCCAGGTCGTTGCCAGCGTCTCAGGAGGCATACTCGGTGAGAGCCCTTCCATTACGATGTCTCTTGTGTGCCCAAACACGCGCTGACATCCACAGTTCCCAAGGTTGGCTACATACCGCCTTTTGTCCTCATCGCTGGTGTCTTTCTCGCTGTCAGCGGCGGCCTCTTTAGCCTCTTCCAGCCAGGTACACCTACCAGCCAGTGGGTCGGGTACCAGATCCTTGCTGGTGTTGGCCGGGGAATCGGCTTTCAGATGGTGTGTCTGCAGACTCCTATTCGCCTTCTCTTCCCCACACACTCATCTATGTGCTCACCTTCCAAGCCCCTAATTGCCGTCCAGCATAGCGTTTCGCCCGCAGAGCTCTCCGACGGCATGACGTTTGTCATCTTTTGTCAGTACATTGGCCCTGCAATCTCTCTGACCGCATTCAACACCATCCTCGACTCCAGGCTGCAGGTGGAACTGCATAGGCTGGTTCCGGATATCAACCCAGGACTTGTGTTGAAAAATGGCGCCACTGGCTTCCGCAAGGTCGTCAGTACCCAGGATCTGCCGGGTGTCCTCAAGGCGTACTCCAACAGTCTGGATATTATCTTTTACGTCATTGCTGGTGCCGGTTGCATCGTCTTCTTTTCGGGCTTCGGAATGGGCTGGAACAACCTGGGAGACACTGCCAAGAAACCCGTGGCTGCCCTGATATCGTCTGCGAGATCGGCTCTAGGCGACGACGAAAAATCGGCAGAGTACACAGGGTCCGGTGTGTAATAGTGGACTATTGCAATACGCATACTTCGTGCTACCGTTGCATCATTACCAATGCTCTGTTTCCTTCTCTGCATCCCTCTTCAGTCTCATCTATGAAGCTTAGTCCTTGTACGTTCCTTCTGCAAACTGACCCCCTTGCCCCCCATTTTCGTCACCACCTGAATTAGCTCCAGATTTCATTCTTGTAATAACAGGCCTTTTAGTCCGTATTCCTCTAGGAATAATATGTTGCGTTAACATATTACTCTTATTCCGTACAACTACGCAATGACAAATGTTCAATCTCTTGCCTACGCGTCCGCGCAATGTCAGCAAACAATGGGCCTCATCAGTGTTACGTAAGCGACATTCTTTACACGGATTTCGATGAAAGTGCATGTATTACATAGTATCGCGTACCCAGTGCGGGATGCGCTGCGGCAGTTTCAAGTTTACATAGTGACCCACATCGTCACGTGCAACAGCCTTCCTGTTAGAAACCCGGGCCCTGATTGGCAGACCTACGGAGTATTAAATACTCGTACGAGTAGCTGTCAAGCTTTAGAATGGAGCGCACTGTGACCATTCTGACTAATGTCAGCGGGGCACACTCTCATTAGTCAGAATGAAGAAACGTGGAGAATAGCCCTAGTGAAATCTCTGTACCATGAAGGCGCACCATGTACTCCGTACTCCTTTCTAGCTAAATACTTTCACACAGATCACCAGCCACAAGACCGACACCCCATACAGTGCACCACTTCCCCTGCCTCAAAAGCTAGTTGTGACAATAGCAACATTCGCCAAGAGCCTAAAATTCGTGTGGGTATCTATCTGTTCCACTGCTTCCAATCGTCCTTCATCGTAAATCCTATCCACAACCGTTGGAGCCCTTTGTGTATAAGACATTTTTTTGTTTCACCTCTACATTTTGTCTTTTGAAGTGCGCGGTACCCAGCCTCCAGCCAACATCGGTATTCTCTCTGCTACTCAGCATTCCTTCATCCTGGGTACAAGGACAATCTACCACTTCTTAGGCTTGCCCATGTCGACACTGAAAACGGCGTAACGCTTGATGTTCATCACAAGACGACGCTTGTCGCGTGCCAGAGAATCGCGGGCAACCGCTTCAACGAGGGTTTCTTCGCCCTGATTGAGGATGGAGAGCCCATCTCTACACCGCTGGACGGACTGCTAACTCACGAGGAATAATATTTCATCATCCCAGGCTGCGACGGTGAGCAAAATTATTTTTCATACTGTAGTAGACATTCTACTTACATTTCCTCAGAAGTCTGCCCAACTGTCCCGAGATTCCAGGACTGGAAATCTCCCCACTCTCGCATCCCCGAGTACTGGCGGAACGTGTCAATCCTACCCTTCATGTCTGCAGAGCGATGTGCTATAACCAACACAACTTGGGCCACCGAGGATGCCCATCTCGGCCCACGCGAAGAGTGCTTATGGTAGGCAGGTAACAATATGCAACGTTACGCCCCACAAGGAATCACGTTCAGAATCGATCCTGATAGGCGCAACATTTTGCCACTCCGGAGTGACCTACATTGCTGTTTCGATAAGAGGTGGTTTGTTGTTATACCCAAACCTCTTGCCGCCGGCCCGGGCCCTCCTACAACTAGGATGGCCACGCATATCCTAATCGCAGATGCACGCGAGCTACATCCAACATACCACAACGTCGGAGTCCTGCACGATGGAAATGGCGATGCTGTCCCGTATATCTTCGCCCGCTTCGCCTGGGCTGTGCTATTTCACTGCAAGCTATTCGTTGTCACCGGAGAAAAGAAAAGGCACGTTATATAACTGGAAGACTCAAGAGGCGATACAGTGGTGGCGGAGGAGTTAGCTTTAAGCAGCGATCGAACCCTAACGACAGTGGGGAGGCGGAACAAAACGCCGACGACGATATATCTTTGGCCAACCGGGTCTACAAGACCGGATGGTTTACATGCACGCAACTTTTGGAGAGATACGGGAACGACTAATTATACCGAGAAGGCGGCAGCCTTGCCGACAGATATGACGACAGCAACACAGACGAGGACAAGGATATTGAAAAGGCCGCTTGAACAGCGAAGACAAAGCGTTTGGACGATTGAAATTGTCAAGCATGGGAATCCGCCACACTGTACTCCGTAGACCTTCCGCCCCACTTAGCAATACAGGCCTATGATTGGTCAGAAGACACAAAAGCAGGCCTGGCACTAGTATTGATACGGACCAAAGGGTCGCGATGTATCTATTTCTTCCTCAGTACAGAGTACTCTGTACTCCACATAGATTTGCTCACACTACACCCAATTCGGCCTCTTGCTTATAGTGCAATATCACCTTATGAGCCCTGCGCCTTTTAGCTGTACGCTTATACAGAAATCGTCCATCGTTATTCCGCGCCCCCTAAGTACTGCATAAGAAGTATTCAATACATTCCTCACTTCGGTCTATGGTGATAATTACAAATTTTAAAAATATAATTATTTAAAAGACGTTTCAGCTATACGAAGTTTTATATATTATATATGTTTTTGTTCTTTCCTTCGTTGCATAACTCCTTTACTTTCGTCTCAAATATCGGCACAAAAAATCAATTACAATACCAGAGCAAAGTGGTACATGTATAGTCGAATGTTTCATTTCAATGTTTACATAACCTCCAAACTATGTGGTCTCCCTTACACTCTCCCCTTCACAGGCCCGCACGCTGCTTCTCGAGCCGGGACTTGGTTGACTTGGCCACGATGTCCTCATCGTAGATGCCAGTGACGCTGGGGTGGGCGGCAACAGCCTCGGCCCAGGCCCAGAACTTGGGCGCCTGGGCAGGCACAACCGTCGGCAGGGAATTCGGGTAGACGCCGCGCTTGGACAGCGTGACGACGCGCAGCACAAAGGAGCCAGTGAGCACCTCGGCGAGGGTCAGACGGGCGCTGCCACCAAAGAACGGCTTTTCGGCCGATGTGTTGGTCAGCAACGGCTCTAGCTCCTTGGCGGCAGCGGTGGCAAAGGCAGTGGCCAGCGCGGCCTGCTCGGACTCAGACTTGACGCCGCCCAGCTTGAAGATGTTGGATTGCAACTTTGTGAAGTAAGTGTCGACGAAGAAAGCGATGCGGGCGCGCGTCAAGGCACCGCCCGGGCTCGTTGACGTCGGCAGCAGCGGCGCCGCGTCCGGGTAGGCGTCGGCCAGGAAGGTGGCGACAATGGCTGACTCTGTGATGATCTCGTCATTGTACTTAAGCGACGGCACAAGGCCTCGCGGGTTCACTTCGAGATACCACGGGTCGCGCGGCCGGTCCAGGTCAATGATAACCTCCTCAACCTTGATGCCGAGCTCCGCAAGCGCAATGTGCGCGCGGTGGGCCCCTGTAGGCGAGCATGTCAGTTAGCCGTCTTTAGTTTCTATCTGCTTCTTTTCGCATCTTTTCTAGTCCGTCTTTCCCCGAAATTCGTGAGTCTTCCTCCTTTTTCTCGCTTTCGGGTTTCTTCTTTCTTTCATCTTACGTACAGGGGCACAGGTGACTGGTATACAGGACAAGCTTATCGGAGCCCATGATGACGTTCGGGACGAGGTCGGTAGAGATGGTAGGCAGGAATGAGCAATGTTGGCTGTGCGGATGTGTGTCTGTATTATTAGTTGCTGTTCTGATGGGAATAGGGAACAGCTATATATCTTATAATATAAATGGCTGCCGTTGTCTGGATAGGGAAGGCGTAGCAGATACGCGTCGCATTGGCTACTGCTTTACTCCGTACGCCGGCCATCAACGGCAAGTAGAGTGGCACCACCGATTGCGAAAATGCTTGATTTCTAAGCACGAAGATTTCTAAGCACGAAGGCTGGAAGCCACCCCGCATGACGTAACGCGGAGCAATACAGAGGAGATGGAGCAATTGTTGACTCCGTATCACGTTCTTCGAGTCGTGGAGATGGCGGGCGTTTCCTGTCATTGTGATGGGCAGGTATGTACGAGAGTACAACGGGTAATTTTCGGTTAGAAATGCTCGCCTCTCGTCACATGCGCTAAAAAGGCGAGTTAGCATGGGCTCTGCAGTGAAAATAATTGGTGATAATACGGGGATTTACCCCGTACACCCCGTACTAAATGCGTTTAGTTAGCTACAGCATGCGGACAGACAGAATTAGAGCTGTACTGATGAGCAACAGCATGCACATGGTATCCAGGTAATAAGCCATGATAAATAAGGCACTGCGTAGCCCTGGAAAAGAAGGTGGGATCAGGGACAGAAGCATCGCTTTCGGCGACTACCAATACAGACAAACGTCAATCAGCAAAGCATTGGTATTTTCGTGTACCAATTTCGTGTACCAATCACATAAAGCCAACAAATCCCGAGTACTTGCTTTGCCATCCTCATCTTTCTCAATTAGTACAACTGATATCCGTAATCGCTTTTCAAGTCCAAGCCCGCAATGTCGGCTCTGAGGGTGTCGAGTTGGGGATTGAGCAGCAAACGCTTGCTATCACTGCCCCCCAGACGCCAGACTTGTGTCTGGACTGCATGTGCAGCACGGCTGATCGATGCCACCGACACGCCAGCGTACGGTTTCTTAGCTGCGGCCATGTTAGGCCGTTTCGCTGCAGTGTCTTGAGGAGGATGCCCAGCAAGACAGCTTCGTTATCGCCAGCCCCATCGTCTGATTTCAGCAACAAGTCCACTGCACCGTGCAGAAGGTCCAACCCCGCCGCAATCGCCTGTTGTCGCTGCTCCTCGACGTCCTGGGCGATCCGCGTGCGCAGCGGCAGCCCCGGCAAAGTTGATGGCAGTGGGCCTGCGCCTTGGGTGGCAGCCACGCGCGCGACCTCACGGAAGATGTCGTCACGCTGGAAGACATATGCGATATAGATCCACAGCACGAGGTCGCGGCCGCTGCGCGTCGGCAGCCCGCGTCGGCGCAGCGCCCCGATCCAGCGCTCCGCATACACGTCCACGGCTTCCTGCAGCTGAAATCGATCCAAGACGACGGCGATGCGTGCCAAAGAGTCCAGTTCAACTGTCCGTGGCACCCGCTGGTCGCCACTGCGTCCATGCACAATGTTCAGCACTGCCGTTGTGGCCGCGCCGTCCAGCCCCTCGAGGACGACATGGACCCTCCCATCTGGCTGCACGCCAAGGACCCCGTCCAAGCCGAAGCCTGCAGCCGCCGACTTCCACCTGAAGCGATCGCGGAAGTACGTCGACGCCAAGCTCAGGTGCTTAGACGACGCCTTGATGCGTACCTCGTGGGTATCTGCCTTCTTGCCTGTCGCCCCAGCAGGGGCGTTTCCCTTCTGCACGGGCCACGGCGCAAACGGCTCTGCCAGCGCCCGCACGACGACAAGCGTGTCCGCATCGGGGTCAATCTCGTAGATCTTTGACATGGTCGCAACGGCCGGTCAGCTCTGTCAGATGTCACCACGAGACAACGCGACAGTGGGACGGCAATCTCAGGGAATGCAAATCGACGACTGTCAGACCCCGATTTCTGTCATATGAACATGCTTCGAAAGCGCAACTCTCCGCACTGGTGTATTGCTGCTTATGGCGTGCCTTTGCTGGCTTATCACTCAATTGCCGGGGTTGTTGGAACTCGTTTCTGTTTCGGGCATGGCCATTACCAATCGAGGGTGTTCCTTGCCGCCATGGCGATGAGCGATTGCAATCAATATCTCGGAGAATCTCGCACATCTAGTCAAATAATATCAGCAGCCAGAAGAAATTGCAACTTGAGATGTATTTGCCTCGGTCCAGCCTGTTTGGCGCAATGCGTCGTCCATGTTTTCAGGCGCGGCAGCGAAAATGAATGGAAACGTGTTTTGAGACTCTTTTCTCAGACAGTCCCGGCTAGTCGAATAAAAGGGGTTTGTTTCTCAAGCAATCTTTTTCTTTCTTGGTGATACCAGGTTTCTGTTCTTTTCTGAAAAGTCCAAACTTACCATGTCAAATTTTGATGTTAGGAATCTTGGCCAGCGCGTTGTAATAATGTTTCGCGTGTATTAGCAGACGCGTTCCTTCCCTGTGGATTGTACTCTGCATGGACGCCAATTCTCTCCGCCGCTCCTGCCTGATTTTGATATTTAACATTCGCGCTTTCCTCCAGGTTGCCAGAATAAGGAATGGTTTTGTGTCTGGTCATCGAACTTTTTGGGGCTTATGATTTGCATAATCTTGTCTCTTTCTTCTAAGTTCTTCACCAATATATTTCGCTTGGCCTACTGCAGCCATGGCGACAAATGTAGAGGAGGGTTTCGTGTACCTTTCTTCTGCAATGTGGAAGGGTGTCAGCCCACCGTCTCAGAAAGTTGGTAATAAGATCGATACATCGTCGTCTCTCAGCAAAGCTACTAATGACCCCCCCTCCACAAATGCATTAACGAAGAAAATCAAGTGGCAACGCCCTGCCGCTCTGGTGTCAGCTATCAATGAATTGACGTCCGAAGTGGCCCATATGAGTGACAACGACCGTCAGACAGGCGGGGATGTGGCTCGTGCTGCAATCATGAAGTCAACCACGACGGCTTCATCCAGCTCCACTCAGCCAAGCAAGGCCAAGCAGCAGGCGAAAAGGAGCTTCACCAAGAGAGCCCTGGCTAAGTCGAAGGTTGCCCATTTCATACTCACCCAACTCCCAACGCAAGATACTGACGGATACGCTGCAGAAAACCCATGCGTCGACAAACACCCTTCATGGCAATGATCCTTACAGCTTGCCCCTCTCCCCGATATCATCTAGCCGACAGAAAAACAACGCTCCACTCGTCAAAGCTGACACCATGCATCCCAAGTCCGGTAACGCCTCAGCATCTAGCCCCGCGGAAATTATGAAAAGTGCGCAACCCGATAAAAAGAAGCATGGGAATCAGAAGAGAGTCCCGAAGAGGTCAATTCTAGACCCGCCAGAGACGCCTGACACAGAGCAGATAGATTCTCGTGTCGAATCCTTTTCGAAGTTGTTGGAAGTTCCCCAGTCGACCACTGTTCACACTTCAGCTACGAAGCCATTTCTATCGTCTGTCGTCAAGCCGATGAAAAGAGAGCCGAGGCAGCGAAAGGAGCGCTTTCCTATTGTCATCACTTCCGACTCCGGAGCCAGTTCCGACGATTATGGCTCGTGCAATGACAAAACTACCTCTATGCTACAGCACTCACGGCCGCCTTTGATAACGACCAGTCCTCATCCTCAACGGCGGATGAGTCACATTCTACCAGTCGAATTAGAAGAAGAGGCTGAGACATTTAATACAGCATTGAGACAACCAAGAACCAATACAAAGCCAAATAGGAATCTGCCGAAACGAGGACGGGCCAAAGCCGCACCGCGCACGCAAAACGTAGAAAGCTACAAGAAGCGAGAGTTGTCCCCCACTACAACAATTGAAGACATTAGAGAGGGTAAAAAGACAAAACTCGAGCCACCTCAAAAGCCAGATCACGATGTCATTATGGAACATCCGCAGCCTGTCAAAGTTCGAGAAAACCCGAAAGTGCTACGCACAGCGGTAGTCAGTGACCCGTTTTTGGCAAAAAAGGACGACAGCTCCACATGTCTCACTGAGTTCACAGCCAAGCTCCTCAATACTGCAAGTCGACCAGAAAGTGTCGAGCCAGTGCGATTCCAAGCCGAGTCCACGGCCATACAAACCGGGCTTTTCCTTCGCAGGATTGACAGCACCCAAGAGCAAGTTGAGCCCAGTGGAATTGCCAGGGAAATGATTGAAGCCCTTGAATCTGCAGCTCCCCCGAAAACTGGGAGCAGAACACGCAGCTTGCATAAGCGAAGTGGCACCGAATCGGCCAAGGACACCTGGCTGAATCAAGCGGATCCATACAAGGCGACCAGCCAGATAATGAGTTATGTTTGCACAGTAAGTTACGCTGGAAATCGTCGTATGTTATTTCCTACGAAACTAGATCGCCTACTCACCCATCATTCCAGACCATTCTTCGATTCCTCAAGTCGAAAGAGGCAGCCATTGAAGACGTTGCTAAAGAGTATCTTCAACGTGGGGAGGTTGTAATCAAAAGAATCAAAACTCTTCATGATAGTGAACGTGTCGACGTTTGCCGAAAATTTGAGCTCTGTCGACTTGGATCCCTCCACATCTTTGAGGAAGCACAACGAGACATCCGTGTGATTTCAAGCAAACTTGAGCGCATCGACGTATCCAATTCTGTCAAGAATATGCTCATGGATGATACAGTCTCGCGCCTTCGGGAATTGCAGGCCAAGATAGTGTAAACCTGCGCTGAAACGTAGGTTTTTGACGCAGTTAATATGTTCATTGATTTCTCGAACGTTTACGGGATAGCGGTACTGCTGTGCAGTTTTTTAATGACGCTTCGCTCTGGGCGATTGCCTCCGCGATACTGTCGAAGCACGTATCGCATGAGCCTTTCTATGTTTTACGCCGTTTGACACAGTCGAATCTTAATACTGCAAGGGTCATGTCGGGCTAACTATCTTCTTTAATTGTAACGGTGGGGTGGTGGGTTTCTGCGCTGTCAAGTGCAAAGGCTTTTAATAGGGGCTTTAGTGGAATTCACATACGTCGTAACTCGTCGTGACTTTGCCAACTAAGGCTGAAATATCAATATTGTGCGCCAAATTCTCTTGTCGTAATACGGTTTGCAGTTCTGGGTTTTGTTATTCCGACCGTGTGATATTTATGGGAATCCACCACTCACGTTATCAAGCCCAAGCTGTAGGATTCTGGTACTCAAGGGGTCTGATCAAAGTTGTAGGCATTTCCAAAGGCTCTGTTGAGGTAAGTGTTGAGGGCGTAATCGACGGATACCCAGCGTACAGGCGTTTGAAGCTCTAGCATTCCCTTTCGATCCATAGCCTCGAGAATTGGCTTGATATCCTCACAGAATTCGAGCTGCATTGGGTTGCGATACCAAGACGCAAAATGGATACAGGCGAGCATGACGCGCACCTCGTCGGTCCAGTTGAGCATACCAGCGTGCCACAAGCGAAGGTCGCACATGACGATACTGCCCTTATTGATGACGGGCTGTGATGGTTCAAGGATGAGGCATCTTTCAAGCAGCAGACTTTCGAGGATGCGCCCACTGGCTCGCTCGCCGTGCTGGCCCTCCTGTGCGGTGATTCCGCGGTGTTGTGCGTGCCCAGCCAGATCTCGGTCGAGCCGTTTCGGGGCGTCATGCAGACGAGCGGCACGTTGACCACCAACGCAAATGGATGGGCCGGATGGGCAAAGTCGGCGTCAGTGTGGACCGGCTGTCGCTGAGGCGGCGCAGTGTTTGAGACTGGAGGCATGGCCGTGTTTGCAGAACAAAAGGTCCACTTGGGGCGTGGGCCGAAGTCGCTAGTTGTGATTTGCGTGACAATGGGATCTGAAATATGTGAGAACGAATTAGCAAATGCACTCAGGCCTTAATTTGCTAAGACAGCACAGTAATCATATTCATGAAAACGGACGGGTAAAAGTATTCGGCAACGGGAGGCGCAACCTGCTGTATGTTTCCAAGATTGTAGTTGAAGGGCCCGTCCTCCCCACGGGCCTGAAGCTGCCGTGCATCAGCAATCATCTTCTTGTTCAGGATGTCGATATGCTCGTGCGGAACCACATCTTCAACCACGACGAGTCCGTCGAGGTGGACCTGCCGGATAGCTGTCTCCAAGCTCCGCTCATTTAGTGTATTCGACCTGATCTCTTTCGAGCTCGGTTTTATGACAACTGGAACGGTAGATAAAAGCCGTAGCAAGGGCATTGTTGAGCTGCCAGTTTTTTTTTTGATGGAACGTGACATTTGGAAGACCACAGCCCGGAGATGAGTCTGGAACCGACAGACATGACGCGACGGGCTGAACATGGTGTAATGGTTTCACTTTTATTGAACAATTCTTAAGAAGAAGAGCTACATATTTTTGGAGATTGTACCTCATGTTTATGCTTCGAACAGTCTGAACATATCAACATGTGTCCTACTCCGCATTGTCCAAATCCGAGCTCGGAAGTCCCTTCCCTATGCAGCTAGCGGCCCCGATTCAGTCGAGAATGGCTGGCAACGATAAAACGGACGACTTGCAGCGAACCTAATAATTTTGCAAGGGGAGTTAAAGAAAAGCCAGGCGAAGCGTAAAAACCTCAGCCTTGGTTGCTATATCTCACAAGAGTTCCCAGGGAGTTGGTTTCCGCACGAATTCTTTTCGAATTCCTTTCGTGCTTGTGGCCGTTTTAGGGAACCACGCCCGTATTTTTGGGCGGGGTAATCGTAACTGCGCTGTCTACAGGGGCGTTAAAGCCAGCTACAAAGCCTCAGAATGCTTTTATGTAACATAACAACGTTTCATCAAGATACTGCTAGTCTCTGTGCTATGTGTTGATATTGTGTCTTTGTATAAGTAAGTCACCACACCTGGATGAAAGAATAGAGCTTCCTCCATCGTGAAAGCTTTTCGTACTCGTCTAAGTCAACGATTTCAGCAGTGCTCAACGGCCGGCGTCCGGTCTGCAGATCTGCAGTCTTCGGATCTCGCAGCTTCGTACGAAGGATTGCCTTGTATGCAATACCACAGAAAAGAATGAGAACTGTGCCGAACATATATTGGAAGAAGTAGTGCGCCGACACCGTGTTTGAGCCCTGATTTTGAGGGGTTGGTCAGCAAGGGTGAAACGGCGACAGCGTCTAAAGAGTACTCACGATCGGATACAATGCCAGGTAAAGAGAGCAGGCCATGAACAAACAGCAGCAGATCAGCAGCCATATGGGAGGGAGTGGCCACAACGCACACTTCCAGGCGTACGCCTCACTGAGCAACGGGTCATTCTGTGCTTTGAGGGCAGCTCGGAATCGAAAAGACGTGACGGCAATAAAGAACCAGACCATGAAATAGCCGGTGCTGGCAATCTGGGAGAGCCAGTCAAAAACGACGGTACCCCCAGCGCTAAGGTTGATGTAGGTCATCAAAATAGTCATGGCAGTGGTCAAGAGCAAGGCCGGCATGGGACGGCCCTTGGCATCGACTCGTGCCAAGATGCCAGGGATCAGACGCTGATGGGCCATGGAGCGAAGAATGCGAGAGGCAATGAAGAAGCTCTCCGCGGCAATGGAGGCCACAGCAATGACGATAATGGCATTGAGGAAGTCTGGCAGACCAGTGATTCCGGCCTGCTTGATGGCAATGACGAACGGGGATGCTGTAACGCCCTTGTTGCCGAAGAGCTGGCTGTTTGTTGGCGAGATGAGCAAACCGATGAAGACGACGGACGTGATGTAGAATGCGGTGACGCGGATGGGGATCAGAAAGGCAGCATGTGCAACGGAGTATCGTGGGTTTCCTGTCTCGCCAGCCAAGAAGCCGGTAAACGTGTTGTCTGGAGGGGTGATTAGATTCGCTTTTGTTTGTTTATTGTTAGTACGCCATGGAAACAAAAGCTTACCTCCAATTGCGAGAATGGCCAGCAGGGTGCTTTGTCCAAAACCCTTGAATCCGTTTCGAAAAGCCAGATCTGTCGTCCAAACCTTACCGTCGGCTTTGTGTCCGCTGGGGCCGGCGCCGAGAATGAGGCAGAGGCCCGTGATGAGAAAGATGATAAGCGCCACGAACTTGAGAATGGCTGCAATGTATTCGAACCAGCCAAAGGCTGTGTTGGGCAGGCAGAACAGAACGAACAAGAGGACGAGGAAGATGGTCACTGAAAAGATAGTATGAAGTCAGCTTCAACGACGACTTGGCCGAGAAAAAATGAACAAATAGAGCCTTCACCAGACGTACGCCAGGCAGCTTCCGGTACGCTACCTTCAGCCCAGTAGTTGACAATGGTGGTGAAGAAGACAGCTTCGGCCGCAATGACCGACGTCCAGCCGAGCCACATGGAGAAGCCGGCAGAAAAGGAAAAGGCGGGGTCGACAAAGCGGTCGGCGAAATCAATAAAATTGCCCGAGACGGGGAAGCCAATGGTCATCTCGCCGAGGGTCTGGTGCAGTGCCCAGACGCAGGAGCAGACGACGAGGAAGCCGAGCAAGAGGCCACCTGGACCTCCATGACTCAGGTTTTTGCCGGTCGAGATGAAGAGGCCAGCCCCGATTTGGCCGCCGAGGGAGATGACCTGCCGGTGGTGAGAAAGACGACACGACACGGTGGACGGGGGAATGTTAAAGAGAAGAATAGAAACCCCCCAAAATACCAAGGACATACATGGATTTGTCTGTAAGAAAAGTTTCTGCGGTACTCGCCGTCTCCGACCTCAATGACCTCTCCCTGGCCGACATCCCGATCCTGCACGACAGGCTGGCAGGCAATGCCTTTTTCAAGACTCGACGTCTTTTTCGGTGAGAGGTCCATTCTGAAGACACTGATAGTTTACTAGAAAACGGAATGGACCTACAAGGAACAAAAGTGAAAGGACGAATCGGTTGGCCGGAGCTTGTCTTAAGTATAGGACCCCCTTCTCGGCCTTGCAGCCGATCTGAACGGTCGTCGGCCTCTCGATAGGTAATTGCCTTCAAGTCATCAGGCGGCCGCGGCCGTTACACTTGCACGCAGGTCTTGTCCTTGGCCGTTGGATCTAGCTAGCGTACCGCACTGATTATTCTTACTATAACCACTAAAATCGGCCGCTACTGCTGGTGCTCCGGGTCGGAACAAGACTGTGCGAGGTGCTATGGAAGATAAGACATCCAGAAGCTGGTAATTGGAACAGGTAGAAACGCTGGTGGAGTTACTGAATGGAACAAGTGAATGATATAGGGAGAGATCGGCGACCAGTTATCTATGCGCATGGTTAGTACCTGGATAGATCCCATTACGAGCGGCGCCGATATCTGTGTATACTATCTTGATATTATCTACGCTCGTTTAGCGGGTTGCTTGATTTACAAGGATTTCATGAAATACTGGTAAAACGCAAAGTAGTAAGATCGCCGGTGCAAGTGCTGGCTGTAAGCTTTGACTGTTCTCTTCTACGGCTCTTCACTCTACACTCTCTTTTCATAACTAGTTCTCCGACTACACATGTCGTCTCGACCAAGACCAGCTGTCAGAGAAGCTCGATCCGCCGGCAGTAGACATGTCTGGCGGCCACTGACAAGTCCCTCTGCCCCGCAATCGCCAGAATCTAGCAGTTCGATCCGCCAGCAATGATAAGAGCACAACGGCCAACAGGATCGGTGACAAATGCTTCCTCCTCCATCGATCGTCCCCCGAAAGCGGGAAAATCCAATCTGCTATCCGGTATCAAGAACAGCAATGATTGGCAAGCCCAAACTGGACCACGGCACCATGGGAATCCGCTGCAATCGGTCGGGCTGTTGGAACTATAAAGGCGTTCCCTCACAAGCCTATCTCGGTACCCTTGCCTGTGTCCGGCGTGCTGTTGCTTTGATTACGTACATCGACGATGCAATGCGCCCAGACGAGTTTTCAGATGCAGTATCTGCGTCAAGCGCAACCTCAAATGAGACTACGACGTCCGCTGAAGGACGAGCTCGAGCTGCTAGGCATCGCATTTGGCCGCGCCAGCTTGAAGAACCGCTACGTCACCAAAAGGAGAAGAAGCATGGCTGTCGGCTCAATCTATCCGCGGCGGTCATACTACCTCTGACCTATCATCTGCTGCCCATCGCCGAATCAACCAGATCCACTACTTCCCACCTCTGTGAGCCTGTCAATCCGTTGCAGCGCTCTATCGACTTCTGCCAAAAATAACACCACTCTAAGCAAAAGGCTTCGGCGTCGCTGCACTCGAAACTTGCCAAGGCAGCTCAGCAATTTTCCCGACCTGAAGGGAGTAGGCCCAGCTTCCTCTCGAATACTGCTGCCCTTTCTTTCTCTTGCGGCATTACTACACCCTTACTGACGCCATCTCCACCATCAGGATGTGGCCACAAAGACAATCCCGTCCGAGTCTTCTATCACGATATCGCAGACAGGTGCAGGATGGCCAGCAGAAACAACAAGATGCCATCCTGCTCCACCACAAGTCTCGCTCAATTCAGCATTTGCACGTAAGCAGCTGGCTGTCGGCCAGTGGGCTACCGCTGCCGACCAGCTCACGCCTGACTCTCTTCTGCTGAGTACTATGCCGCACGCCCGAGTGGTTGGTCCCCCTTAATGTGCCCATTCGGTCGTTCAACCCTTCGAGGGCCGATAGACTGACCTGGGAGGTAATCCACCGTTTCTGGATGCCGTAATTGACCCAGTCGGTACCTTCGCAGCGGCTTCAGACAAGCGAAAGGGATAGAGGACGGAAATGGAGACAAAGCACCGGACAGCAAGCGATACTCGGCCTTTATAAATGCGGAAAGTATGCCTATTTTTTTCAAGCGCTCCCAACACCCGCAGAAGCTAATCTCGTTCTCTTGGATTGCAAAACCTCCTGCGCCACTTGCTGGGTGGCAGTCACAATCAGCGCATGCTCCTCGGCATGTATTCTCTCCTCTAACTGGTGAATATCCTCGCCTTTCCGGCACGGGATCTCCACCGTCATGATGGGAGTTCCACGGTCAACTACGTCAATCACGAAGTGAACCATGATTCCGGTCTTGCCGTTTTTTAACTTTCCGGCCTGGAAATCGCCAAATGCCCTTTGTATGGCATTGGCTCCATCATATTGTCCTTTGCAGGCGTAAGTAAGATCATATCATACGGGCAAAATGAGAAGAACAAAAACTTCAAAAATTAGCTTACCCGGTAGTGCAGGGTGTAGATTGATGATTTTGATGCCGGCTGCTTCCAATGGATCGAGGAAGGCCTTGGTAAACACGTGCATCCATCCAGCCAGCACGATCAGGTCCGGGGCAGCCTTTCCGCCAAAGCCCTGAAGAATTTTCTGGCTGAGAGCTGCGTCGTACTTCTCACGGCTGGCCTGCAGCTTCATCGGGTCTGACTCGCCCTTGGTCTGAAAACCGTGGCTGACCATATTGAAATATTCCCAAGGAATCCCCACCTTTTCAGCTCGTTGGGTCGCAAATGCTTTGCCCCGGTTTACCACGAGCTGCTCAATTTTTGCATTGCTGATTTTCCCTGACGCAATGCCGTCGACCAGGGCCTGGAAATTGGAGCCGTTTCCGCTGGCCATCACCAGAATGTGGCATGTGTCGTGATCAGCCATGGCAAGTTTCCAGGTGCGTGCTTTGTAGAGCTCCAACTGAGAAACAGTACTGTATTTTTTGTCTTTATTTCTGCCTTCGAGTCACTGCAAACCTGAAGCCTGTACACAAAAGATCGCTAGTGAGAAAGTCTGCAGATTTGGTCGGCGATGCATTTTTGATAGGTGGGGCGGAGTCGGGGCTTAAATTATCCGCCAGCATTCCGCTTATTCATCGTAGTAAGCTAGAAATAAACGAGGTATTTTGATATTGGGTCTATAACTCGGTTCTCCTTTGTATTGGTGCTTTTGTTTTTGTTTTTTTTGTTCGTATAGCAGGGACCAGTTCACAGACACTTTATTATGATGTAGGGGAAGAAAATTCAGTGCAAGGAAACGAGTTTTATTTTAGTTGTTTCTTTTGCTAACTAAACAACGAAAGCCGTATACCACAATAACAGCTACCATAATCAATTCAGAGCAATATATCCGACCTACCAAACTGCTCCATATTATTTTTCTTCATCTGGGTAGTATGTGACATCCACCAAGTAGGACTTACTCCCGGACGGAGTCAGAAGCGCGATAACAGGTAACCCGGCCTGTTTGAAGGAGTCCGGCACGATATCGAAGACATAGTAACGACATCCATTCATCCACTGTTCCGAAAAGTGCTGACCCGTGTGATCAATCTTCTTCACCACCAACTTGGATACCGGCCTCTCGAAGGCTTCTTTGACGCATGAAGGAACTGAGATTTGGAATTTTGCCATTTTGACTTAGATGATATTGCTTTTGATGTGAAATTCGATAGTAAGTCTTCTATACGTCCGTCTTCTGGAAAATTCGCGATCTGCAGTCGTACTTTTGATGCTCGTTGACTTGGGTTTGCTCGGGTAAGCTGAGCTGGTACTGGAGCGGAGGGAAGCTAAATAAGTATCCGGGAGAGAAGAAAAAAGAAGACAATGGTGTTCGAACTAGCCGAACGACCCAGGAAGTCGTGAACAAACCACATGACGAACAGAACAATCTTACTATTGTCTATGCGGTTGAAATAGATATATGGGAGTGAACTAACAAAAGGTCGTGAACATGGAAGACTTCACCGTACAGCCTTCTTTGTCTGACGAACATCAAAGACAAACAGGATTGGCAATCATGCATACGGACCAAATTTAGCCAGAATAAATAAATGAGGGAGAATATGAATGTTCGCAGCGCCAAATTGAATATCAAAATTTATTCGAAGCATAAAATGACGAATGTTGGCTTCTGTCTTCGGAAACATGATTGGGTGATGTCGTAGATGATAGCTTCTAGTTTGTACTGAAACTGTCACCTCACTACGTCCGTTCCTCTTCCTTCAGTCAAACAATTGTTAAAGAAGGCTCAAATCTCTTGTAGAGCGTGTCATTGTTGCCGTCTGTGCTATGTCTTCCATCCCAGGTTCCTCCTTTTCTCCCCTGAAAACTCCTATCGACTAGGCGAAGACTACCAACGGCTGTCAACTTTTCTGCCTTCGCCTGCCCCCCTCCCTAGATACTAAACACCGAAGTGTTTCATTTTCCTCCGTTCTGAATAGGATAGGAAGGTCAAGGCAGAAGAATATTGTGGACACGTGCCGTATCAAACCAGGTTTTGACGTGTCCCAGGAGAAAACGTAAATAAACAGAATAATGCCAAGGAAGCCTCGACTCCTGACCGGCAACCGGCCACTTAGAATGTTCTGGTCTCGCTTAACTTTCAAAAATCACCCCCCTCTCCGCCTTTTTGGCAGAATGGTTTTCTGGCGTCCATAAATATCGGGCTTTTCTCACGCTCTCTCTCGATTTATCCTCCCATTTCTCTCCTTTTTCCATCTTTCTGATACCACTTTCATCAAAGATTTCCTCTGAACAGACCAGACTTTTGTCTCAACTCTCATCTATCACATCACCTGCCATCACATCAAGTCAAACCATCATCAAGATGAAGGACTTCCTTACCGTGACTTCTGCAGTCATCTGCTTCTTTACCTTCGTCCCACTTGTCATCGGTCTCCTCCTCTCTGACCTGGTCTGCTTCACTGTCAAGAAGACAGTTGGTCACATCTACCCGATCATCGATGGACATCTGGCCGGGAGATTCCTGAGCTACGATGTGGCTAAGATGATGATCTCGTTGCTGGTCCGATTTGTCATCTTCATCTCGAGTGATGGCACTTCCAAGAACCAAGCCAGCACCTCCCACCCCGGAGACATCAAAGCCACACCTGCCATCGTTGAGTTGAACTCGGCTGAGCCTGCTGATACGCAGACCACAGGCAAGTAGCAAATCCTTCATCCCAGACACCCCACACCAGAAGTACTACTACTGACCGCTGGCAGTTGGGACAGATGACAGCACCGAAATATACGGTGTCGTGGAGCTTTCTGCATCAGAGGTGCAGGAGCCGAAGACAGCCCACAAGAATGTGGAGTCTGTGATTGTGAACGTCGACATTTCTGAACTTCTGAGTCAGTTCGACGAGTCCTTCTAGAGCAAGGACTCGTCTTTCTTGACCGGGGTGTCATCGTGAGTTACTCATCAACTGCCCCTCACACCAATGACAAACAAAAACCAACGGTCACTGACACAATAATAAACAGGACTATCAAAGAGTTCCTGTCTCTTGATGGCTTTGTCAACTCCATCTACCAGACCGGGGTCGACGAAGATGCTATGTCTGCTACTTCCAAGGACAGTGACTCTGATTCTGAATCCTTCCACTCCTTCACTACAGGTATGTTTCCGATCATCTTCCACCTTTGTTGACAAGCTATTAATCCTAATATATCGAACCACTGCAGACTCTGATGACGAGTCTGATTCCACTGAAGAGAGCATCGCTAGCCAGGTCTTCAAAGAAGAACTAGCAGCAACGACGAGCATTTCCAACATAGGCATTGCCGTCACAACCTCCATCACTGCCACCGTCCCCGAATGCCCCACTACCTCAATTCACACACCCTCTGTCATCGAGAACCCCCTCCCCCCTCCTCTACCACCCAGTCCTCTGTCGACTGCAGCTTTGAGTTGCCCCCTACGATCTCGTGCGAGGAAAACTTGGCTGATGCAGCTGAAAGCATTCACCTGCGGACTGTGGACTTCCTCGATGACGTGGATGAGGCATGGCGAGTTTGGGACCGATACAACGAGATTTCATTGCCCAAATGCAGATGGATTTTGCTAGACATCCCGGACGTTTTCGGTGACTGCCGCGGGCCAGTCTTGAAGCTGACAACGCCTGAAGGGAAAGTCAAGTATCCTCAGGACATGCGCATCTACGATGCCGTTCGCAGCTGGGCTGACGAAGACGTCGACGAAGATGGCTACTGAGATGGTACAGCACACCAAAAAAAAACCCCCCAACTTCCCTGTGACACTGATGGCGCGATGTAAATAATTATTGACAACACCAGCACGAGACGAGTGCGAAGTGAGCCAAAAATGAGGTCAAGGCCAGGTGGACGGTGACTGGAGAGATTGATTAAGTTCCAACCCATCCTGTACGAACGTTTTGTCTTGTTTGGTTTGATGAGTGTCAGCAATACTGGCGACAAAGAACACCCCTCTGGATGAGGTAGAGCAGTGGCAGTGGCAGAAGAAGCCAACAGTGTCTTGTTTTTCACATTTCTGTTTTGCGATATTTGTTCCTATCGTTGTTTTCGCAAAATTGTCTTGAACTTCGGCTTTTGAGGACTCCAGTTCAGTTTGTTTGCAGTCGCAATGTAGTACTTTCTTGTTAGGGGCGCAGGAAAGTCTTGTCACAGAGCCGAATTTACCTCTTCCAAAAAAACATTCAGGTGACTACAAATATGCTTTACCGAACTAATCCCCACGTTTCACGATGACCATCAACAACGTAGACGAGACACGATGAGCGACAACGAAAATGACAATGAAAAAAAAACACGGCGGCGAAATGTCCTGGCAACGACAGTAAGGCCCCCAAAAACAGACATTTTGCCCACACACGGGATCGAACCGTGGACCTCAGCATTACGAGTGCTGCGCTCTACCACTGAGCTATACGGGCCAATGGGAGATAAAAGCTGCCTCCCATTTCTACTAGCTATATACACATCGCAGCTAGCATATCCAGATCAAAATCAACTTCGCGGGACTTTTCAAGAAACAGCACCCAGGCATCTGTCGCCACACTCACACGTCGCTGCAGCTGTGTTGGTTGATTCGATGTCGTCTGGGACGACACTCGGCCATCATCCTGCATCGCAACGTCGCAGGCATCGACTTCACCGTTGTCGTCATCGTCATCGTCCGCCTCTTCCCCTATGATAGTTCTTCGTCTCCTGGTCCGCAATGCTTTAAGCCGGTTGTCTATCTGTGGGGCCAATTGCCTGAACAGCGCGAGCTGCTCATCCTGTTGCCGAGGTTCGCGTTCAAGGCCCAAGAACCGTGCACGAGACGAGCTGAGAAAGGTGGTGAGATCGCGCAGGACGGCTCCGCCAAAAAATGGGTCAAGCTCCTCGTCCTGGGTGGCAGCCTGCAATTTTGAATCGAGCCCAAGCCACAGGCCAAATGCCCCAGCAAAGCGCCGCCAGAATGCTAGGTCGTGCTCGTCACCAGGTGCATACCCGCAGTCCCGTTCAAAGATGCCGCGGCCATGGTGGGCACGAATGGGAAATGCCAGCATGGTGAGAAGAAAGTTGGGCAGCCGGCGGCGCTTCAGAGAGTGACCACACTTGCGCACAATGTTTGGATCAGCCAGCAGTCGTCCGAGACGGGATCCCAGGCTGCTTCCCATCCACATCGAAACGGAGAAGGAGAAGCCAGGAATGGCCAGGATGGCGTCCAAGATGTCCTCTGAGGGAACCGGTACAACCGCCGGGGCTTTTCGACGGAGGAATTGTCGCGACGGGAGCAGACGCCGAGACCTGCTTCCCAGTCCGAGGCCGATGGGATTGATGCGGTGTCTTTGCTCTGTACGCCTCTGTTGAGACGGCCGCGTCTTTCCAATGCGACCACCAATCGTCACTCGCAGCGGTCTATCACTGATGCCAGATATGCGCTTTGCTTGAAGCCGCCGCGTCCGACGTTGTGCGTTGGACTGAAGGATATCCTCATCGTCGAAAAAGCCATCGTCATCGGTCACGTTCGGTGACTCGTCATCGCTGGGAACCTCTGTCGGTAGCCCAACATCAAGGAAGCTGACGTTGTCGGGCAAGCTAATGCGGCTCTTGCAGACGTCTCTTGGCGCCGCAACATCAGCCTGCTTCTTCAAGCGAAAGGCCAGCGGAAGAAATGTGTGCAGCCCGCTCGTTCCATCTGACACAGATTGTAGTGGCCGATTTGCAGACATCTTCTTGGCCGGCACGGATGTCAGATTGAGCTCTTCGATTTAAAGAGCAGCGGCCACTAACTCGAGCTGGACGCGGACCCCACGTCTAGTCACGTGACCACACTCACGACTGGCCCCAGATCGCTAGCCCTGGTCCCTCTGGACCTGACAGCACTAAAACCTCTCCAGAGTCGCCGCCCAACATTACACTTTCCATTGCGACCCCCTACAGAAATCTTACGAAAGTTATGGAATCTAGCTGCGGTCTAATCCCTAGGCTTGTGTTACGAGGACTTGGTGCGTGGAGGCAATGATTCGCTGATGGCCAGGAGGGCGGAATTGCGAAGGCGACATCACTCACGACAGCTGCCTTCAGCCACGCCAGTAGCTTCAGACTGCATCGCCATGTCATCCCACATATTTTTGATCCCATACAGTGGCTATCACAGCTCGAAAACCACGTCAATCTTGATGCTTGGGTTGTGTTCGAGTGCTGGTGAGGATTGTTGCACACGTAAAGATGTGTCCAGAAAGACACCAGACCGTTTGTTTGGTTCATGGGTGTATTGGCTTGACTAAGTCTATATCCTTCTCTGCCTCCCGAGAGAGGATTAAATAAGGCCCCCGATCCCTCTCCTGGGGTCACGTGCCGCATACATCTCCCTACCTTCCCCATAACCTTATATCATCACGACAGCCGGACCCTAGATAGCCTCGACCCCGAAACTCCCTCACGATGCTTCCTGGGACCCGAGCCGCGCCTGTCTGACCGGAGTCCGGGCCCAGGAGTGCGAGGGGGGGTGGCAGAAGGCGGGGCGAATTCGGGGAGGGGCTTTCACTTCGCTCAAGGTCCCTAGCACCGAATTCTGAAATGCCGAGGTCGTCCTTCGGGTCCGCCGGAGTGGGCGTTATCTCGAAAGGCCTTTGATTCTCTCAAGCTTATAGAAAATTGTGCCAAAGTAAACGGAAGGCGGCTAGCACCTCTGAAAGGGCCTCGTGCATCGCCCTCGCATATATCTTAAGATGTATGCCAGCTTCGCTTTAATTTGGATCTGGGCTTCCTCCTTGAATAGTTTGTATTGAAAATTCCGGCCTTGCAGTTTATTTATTGCCGTTTCATTAAGTTTTCCGGAAAAGAAACGGACTAAAACTGAGATCGAAGAATTGCCTTTTAAGAGGCATGGGATAGATTGTCGTATTTTTTATCCATACTATTATCGAACATCAGTCTAGCGTAGAAGGGAAGAGCGTTGGTTTAACCTTCTATCCGTAAATTAACTAGACCCTCCTTTCATTGGCGATCCAGGCAGGGATCTCGAGTCGTTTTCCTGCTGGCGTAACCTTTTACTTCTCGACTAAGCATAAACGCATCGAAAATCGGAAAAACTAGCCTTCTAGATGACAGCATTTAACCGTCCGCGACAAAACACACACTAGAGAGCCAGGTTAAGGAAGAAAGGTCACGTTTATGGCAATTGCAACACTGGGCAGACATACTAGCAAGCTTGGAGGGAGGCTTTACAAGTGCCACGCAGTATACTAACGAGCTTACATCTAAAGAAGAAGAGGTAACGAGAAAAACAGAGAGATTAGGAAGCAGTGTGTTGGGTAACACTGTAACGTTCAAACTAGAAGACTATGAAAAGGCTTGAATGTTAGACTTTCGCGGTAATTTTGTAGGAAGAAGAGGAGAGAACCTAGATAAGTACCTTAAATACATCGACAACTATATTATAAAGATGTATAAGAGATAAACTAGAGTAGTTAAAGAATAGATATAGAAGGTTTGTTTCCGTGTTAGGCTTTAAAGGCTAGCAAGAGAAGAGTAGTAATTAGGATTATTAATAGCGAACTAGGAGTGGTCTACGATGGTAGCGTTATTTTAGACAGAGTTCAGACATCGTCCCTAAGGAGATTGTCGCTAAGTGGTAGACAAAGTGACTAATTTCCACCGCGAGGTAGGGGAGAGCCTGCCAGACTATGTGGCTCGTAGAGATAAGTTGTATCGACGATGTAATGCGGACCTGTGCCGGGAGCTGCAACTATTTGTACAACTTTATGTGTGACGGAGAGAAGGACATTCTTGTTAAAGGGATTGTGTGACTTAAGGGCAGGTCCTTGCTCGGGGACACCGGCCTCTTGTCAGATGAATGCACATACGAGAATGTGAAGGGAGAGATTGAGACCATAGGTGGAAGTATGGGACTCGACTTTGGGATACCTCCTAACCCCTCCCTCGCACCTTCCTTGATTAGGGCCCAACAACCCCTGGCCCTTTCGGCGAATGTATAAGCACCAAAGTTGAGCCTTTGATGATGCTCTCTTTCCATCCACCATTATTACCACATCATGATACACTAGGGGCTGTAAAGCAAGCGGAGGACTGCAACCTTATTTGTCGACGTTGGCCAACTCTAGAGCATATCCATCAATACTAAATTTCAATGACAGATCCACAAACGGAGAGAGACTGGGAGAGACAACTCCCCTCAGTAGGTAAATACTTAGATTGGTGTCACGAAGCGTATGCGATAATTTTACGATAATAGAGTTGGCATCCTTGATCTCGATAGAATATCACCTACTTGATGTATTTAGGTTGATTTACGCCTGTGCAAGCTGTATAAAAGTGGACGTAGGACCTATTAAGCTTAACTGCGGGGTAACGTGTTTATAGAAAATACATGGGCTGGACGAATTTTTTGGACACTATGCATTCACTGCCCAGCTGGACGCCGGGCTCATGGCCGGCGTCGGTGCTGAACTGCGGCCAGATGCCGGCGCCCTTAGTGCAGTGCTGGATGGCATCTTCTATGGTGAGGTACTGCAGGTGGTCCTGCTTGTCGGACACGATGACGTTTATAGATCCAGGTCTCGTTCCAACGTAGGGATGTCCTGCATAATACAGTTCTAATTCTCTTTAATAAACGATACTCTATCTAAAAATGCTGCTATTATATGGATAATGGTTCACTACAACATAGGCCTTATATCGGGCGATCGATATTTCATCTGCACGGCGAGATTGAAGTATAAAGAAATGGCACTAAAGGCGTCAGAGGCCCGCAGAAAATATGATGCATTCTTAGAGCCAGCTATAACAATTGTTCCCTCAGACAACAATGACTATTTCCAGGAAATATGTCAAGACCTCTCGGTTCATACCGCTGCCCTCATCCACAGACTGGATTTGTTCCTTTATCTTTTGGATTGCCCCGGACTGATACTGCTTGAAGGCTCCCTTCAGATCCAGGTCGTTGAATATTTGCTTTACCTCATCCACGCATTCCTTATCCGACCGACCGTATTTGTTTTTCAGTGCTGTACGCTGGCCTTTGTCGCTTCTGTTTAGAGCTTCCACAATGAGCCACGAACACTTGTTCTCTCGGATATCCCGCCCATCCTTTCCATTGTTGCTTCTGTCTCCATACAAGTCTATATAGTCGTTCTGGGCCTGGTAATAGATAGATATCTCGTCTGTGATTTCCCGCGTTTGCCTAAGGTTATCGGGAGTACCTTGGCCGAGGTAGTGCAGCATCAATGAGAAGGGCAGAAAGAAATAGCCACACAAGCCGAGCGATATGTCGCGGAGTTTGTGCTCGCAGAATGTTGAGACGTTTCCTGGCCCCTGGTTGGCCACCATGGTATCGAAACTCTGATAAAGTTGGACGTAGAGAATCTCGCGATTGATGGACTCGACCATTCCAATGTAAGCTTTCTTCTGGTCCAAGTGTTTCTTCAGAAAGGCAAGGGCGAGGAATGTTGCAACGAATGTATCATAGACTGCACTTAACCCGACACCTGGTTGTCGATGCCATGACCACCTCCCTCTCCGCCAGAGGTCTCCGTCGACTATGTCATCGGATGCGAGAATAGCAAACTGAAGCAGCTCTACTACCCAGGCCATGACATACACCTCCCGTACTTCATCCTCCGTTGGTTCACGTTCGGCCAGCTTGTCAAAGAGCTTGAACATGACACGAGGCCGCGAAATCTGACCTCCCTGGACTTGAATAAGGATCTAAGTACTCCGTCAGAGATGGTTCTGATAATTTGTTTGAAGTCTCATACCCGATTGAGCCGCTCCATAGCTTCCACAGGGATGTCAGGGAAGTTCTCATGGTTCACGAAATCACAGAGAAGTTGGAACCCCTCTGTTTCGAAACCACTGACGCTGAGACTAAGAGCCATATCGCTTTTGGAATACACCGATTGTTTCTGAATTTGTTTGCCTTTATATGATGTAGAGTATCAAAGGAGCTGTAGTCGGGGCAGAATGTGTTATTTATGCTTCCTGAGTAGCGGTCAACATGGAAATTTTGATTATGATGACTGTCGGCGACTTGTACTTGTGTAGCTAGCTTTCCCGTTTCCTGTAATTCGCCCCTGCTATTTCAAATACTTCGCCGCACCGATGGATGCGCCGTCACCGCCGAGATAGAGGTAGCGTGTTGAAGAAGACCGTTCTAGAACGGTTCCGATTGCCTGTGCTAGAAACGATATCACAGCTAGTCTCCTTGCAGTCACATTTCGGCTAGTCGGATGGTGGGTGGGTGAGATTATCATGATTCTATAGCTTTATTTCATTACTGGTCAAGCATCGTGACCCCTGTTCTCGGCGTGATACCAGAGGCCATAGATGCAGCTCATATAAGCGAAGAGACCATGGAGGGTCACATCAGACTTGCTTTTTCTCTCCTGTGACAAATACATGTTATTAAAATGGCACGACCATGCTGCCTCTATATTGATGCGGTACCAATTCCATCCGTGTTCAGTTTGCGCCGATTCTAGATTGAAAGTCCTCGTAAAAAGACAGCCCCAGGTCGTTCCGTTTCCTCGGCAATTTGAGCCGAGCCACACAAAACGGTGAGGTGAGGTGGTACAGACAAGCTTCTACATCGGAGTACTGTCTCTGATTAGCCACCATGGTGTAAGAAGCGCTAACGGCCAGACCATTATTATTACCTGGTCGTTTCCGTGCCGCGGCGATAATAGCGTAGAACTGTAAATACGACCTCGCAAGCAACCAGGATTTGATCACAGACGTTACTCTTATTGGCAAAATCACATCATAGCGTTGCTTCAATCCATGCCTCGATTCAGCCCACTCTAGATACGCGAGCCACAGCTTTCGTGCCGAATGATTGCGCCAACAAGAGCGGGGAACCAGACCAGTGCTTATGTTTCCTCACCAAGGTAAACTTGTACCACCCTCTTCCAAGACTGCGACCCTCGGCGGGCCCAATGGTCTGGATCTTGTGACTTCTACTCCGTGCACCACTAGTCTGTACGCGCAGTCGTCTGCGCGAATACCAGTGTAAGACCCGTACGGTAATCCTTGTGGCATATTCGTCCGGACCAGTTGCACGTATCGTAGTAAGCTCTAAGGCCTTTGGAAGATCTAGTGATGATATTTCGTTGGGTGGTTGACTGAAGCTCTAGACTGTGCGCAATGTGCGTTCAGTCAGGGCTTTGTCTTATCTAGTGATTTCGGCGGCCGAGATCAGGTCAGGTGACCTCGGGGAAATCCACAATTTTTTAAGGGTGGGGCAGTGTCAGCATTGTCATCTCGGCATACGGCTTCGGATAAACTCTTGCGCAGTTACCCGTCATCGCGTGTGCAGATCTGTATGTCTGTATGTCTGTATGGAAGAATTTCATCGATACCCATCCTCGGTAGCCCGTCTCGAATACAACCCGTGATCTCCATCACTGGCAGAGCGCCGTCTCCGGGAAAGGGCCGACAGTTTCGCGACAGGGCAATGGATGGCGGCTGGTTGAGGTCGGGTGACAGATAACCCCTTTGCATGATGTCCGTTGGTATCACATCGCTCAATTAAGAATTTCTAATTCTGCAGGCAGAACGTCCCTCTAAACCCATTTAGGATCTTTATCAAGGGATCCCCTTTATCAATCTTCCCATTCCATCCGGATGCAACGGAGCATCCGAATTCAAAAGATTACCCGATTCTCGAGCAGCGATGTAAAAAGCATCGACGCATTGGCGAACGTTCGATAAGTCCACAAGCTGCAGTAAGCGGGGTTGGCAAATCAAATTAATCAGTTTTGCCTTTCAACTAAACTGATTAGCTTCTAATAAGTATAATACTTAATTAATTAACTATAATAAGTAATAGGCTGTACTCTGGATTCTTTTTCTTTTTATATAATTAAGCTAAATAGTTAGCTAAAAAAGAAAGCTATATATAACATTTCACGGAGTGATTAAAATTAACTAAAGGGCTATACTAAATCAATTAATAATAAATTAATTAAATAATGAAAAATAAAATAAATAAATACTAATTTAATTTGCCAACCCCGACAATAAGTCGCGAGCCTGCTGCCACCCGTTGGCATTCAACTTGAAAGCTATGGCCGCGTAAGCCACAGTGCTATTTCGCTTCTGCGCCAATAGACCGAGCCTTCCCATGTTGACAAAAACCAGTTCAGGTTATTGGTCAATGGCTTTTTCAGGGGGTAAATGCATGACACAACCTGATTTAAATACGAACAGAGATCAGCCCAGACAGCATAGTGAGCTGCCATGTTGTTTTTCCTACCTGCAATATCAACGCCTAAAGTAAGTTTCTTTAACACCCCCCTTCTTCGACCAGCCCATCAATTGCCATAAACGGATTTAGAGCAATGACTTCTGGAGAAGGCTTGTTGCCAGTTTCCGAACATTCTTAGCAACCCCACTGAGGCGTGCTAGTCTTATATTGTCGAACGGACCGGGCCAATATAGGAGGGGCGTGCACGATTGTGCCGTGTATTCGTAATGGAAGAATACTCCGTACTGTGTACTCCGTCGGAAGTAGCCAACGATAACAATACACACACGCTTACTAGGCACCCATAATTCGACATGTGTTATGATTAGAGAAACTTGGACGCTCTTGATGTGCCTCGAAACACTCCATTACGATCTCAACACCGTCAAGCCCATGGCGCTTTGGCAGCATCCAGCATTTAAGCTGAGGGGCCGGCGCTAGGTTTTCCCAGTACTCCGTACATTGCTAGTAATTGCTATGCACGTGTGGCATAGCTATGATTTGTAATTTTCAAATATTAAGCCTAAATGCAAGCAGTAATACTTTACCAATGCAAGCAACAATCTTTCACCTATGCCAAGCCAATTGATCAGCATTCACTTCCCCGCCCTAGATAAATCAGTACAGTAAGGGCAAAATCCGAAAGCCAGTCGTGGCTGCGACGGGTTGGATTTTTTTACTTTCCCATAATCCTGGCTTCTTGTTGACAAATAGAGCCTATCACCGAATTTGGGAGACTGGATATTGCTGCTAGTAATGCAAGAGAGGAGCTTGTTCTTCACCACGGGATGGTTTCCGATTCCTTACTTGTGACATAGTTTCACATGTACTTCAGCTGTAAGGCCCGTCTCTGCTATGCGGCGTGGAAGGTCCAATCCGAGTCATCACCACGCCAGCCTGTCCACGGAAAGCGACTCTGAACCGGTCGAGAGACTGCGCAAGCTGAAGGAAACGTAGCCTATGAAGAGGCTGACTAAGCTGGCCGACATTTGCAATGCGGCCTGATTTTTTGTGAACGACTAGAACTCCTTTAAAGCGGGCACAGCACATAAGGTAGACGGTGGACGAGGCATACGACGGGGTGACTCAAGATAGATTTCCTATTCTCCTACTTCTCAGGCCTCCATCTTCCCCACAGATCTCTAATAGCCATGTTTATGTCATCAAACCTACCATATGGCGATACTAACTAGAAACGGCTTCAGTCGATGGTACGGCTTGTTGCATTAGTCACAAATCTGCCGCAACGGCGGCAATGACTCATAAGGCGTCTCCGGCCGGGGATAAGAAGAAGGTATGGATTTTGTCTCCACAATGGCAGCCGTGGGATACCTTTGTTGGCTATGCTGCGACGTGAGAGGCATGATGGCGTTCTGTGCCTCGGGTGAGCTGCATCGATGGTCCGTTCGTCTGCCCACATATCTTTCTATCTATGAAAAACGGCTGCTGCCGGCTATTCCGTGCAACACCGGCCATCTTATGTGGAGCTGCCCAAGTCATCCGTAAGACCGGAGGCCGTGTAAGTGGAGCTTTTCAAGGTGACATAACGCCACTAGACGCTAGAGAAGACGAGCAGAAATTGAGAAAAACAAACGAGAGAAGGAATCGAGATATAGGATAGAGAGAAAGAAACAGGACGGACAACAGCCAGGATAAAGGACAGAAACAAGCGACAATTCAACAAGACAAAATGACCCAACGGACCTACCGGCGAGTGGCAGTTATCGGGGCCGGGCCGTCGGGCATCGCGGCCACGCGGGCATTGCAGCAGGAGGCCTGCTTCGAATGCATCCAGGTGTTTGAGCGCAAGGACTCCGTGGGCGGGATGTGGCTGCTGGAACCAGAGCCGGAGGCATTCCAGCCGACAGAGACGGTAGCAGAGACGCCGCTGGCGGTGCCAGAAGGCCTGGCGCCGGGCCAAGCGGCAGTACGTATGCCAGCAGTGCCACGAGGACGGCCCGGGACGGTGACGGCGGCATACAACGCGCTGGACACGAATACGGGAGCGCGCACGATGGCGTTTACGCACACGCCGCTGCCGGTGGTCAACTCGGCGGCATCGGTCAGGACGCTGGGCCCGGGCAACAGCACGCGGCCGCGAGAGACGGTGGTGGCGTACCTGGAGGCAGTGGCGGCGCCTCTGCAGGAGCTGATTGCGTTCCACACGTCAGTGGAGCGGGCGGAGAGGCAGGCGGACGGCGGGTGGGTGCTGACGCTGCGGCAGGAGAGCAAAGCGGCGGACGGCGGTGACGATCTCTGGTGGCAAGAGCGGTTCGACGCGCTGGTGGTGGCATCGGGGCACTTTAACATCGGGCAGGTGCCACGGCTGGAGGGCCTGCAGGAGGCGTGGAGGGCGGTACCGGGGGTGTTTGAGCACTCCAAGTCGTTCCGATCGCCGGACGACTACATCGGCAAGACAGTGGTGGTGGTGGGCGGCAACATCTCGGCGGCCGATTTGGTTGAAGACCTACACATGGTGACGGGACGGCCGGTGTATATCAGCCGGCGGCACGAGCTGGGCGGGCTGCTGGCGAGCTGCTGGCGGCTACCGAATGTGCGGCAGAAGCCGGGAATCCGGCGGATCCGACAGACGGCCGCCAGCCAGGTCACGCTCGACTTTACCGACGGCTCATCCGTGGCAGCAGTTGACAAGGTCATCTTTGCGACGGGATACCGCCGTTCGTATCCGTTCCTGCCATCGGGTGACGGCATCGACGGAATTCCGGCGCCCGAGACCAACCGGCTGGCCGGATTCTACCAGCACGTCTTCTGCACGGCCGAGCCGTCGCTCGCGGTGGTCGGACAAGTCGACGGCGCCATCAGCCTGCGTGTGTTCGAATACCAGGCGGTGGCGGTGGCCCGGTTCTTCGCCGGTCACGCTGCCCACGTACTGCCATCGCTGGCTGAGCAGCAGGCCTGGGAGGCCGACCGATTGGCCCGCCTTGGCCCTAGCGAGCGGTTCCACGAGATCTTTCCCGACACGGTGGCGTACTTTACGTGGCTGCGCACTTTTGCTGGCCCGCCGGCGGCCACGAGCAAAGGCGCATACGAGCTGCCGCCATTCGAGGCCGACTGGACTGACTGCGAGCTGGAGGTGCTCTTTGCCAAGGCACGATACTGGACTGGGCTGGTAAACGGATTTGGTCTGAGTTAGGCAGTCTTTTCTTGTAGCTGCCTGTCTATCTAGGCTATTGGATACACGATATACACAATACGAGCCTATGGGAGCGAGAGGAAGAGCTCCAGCATCTTGGGGTAGTTGGGCGTGCCCAGTCCGGTGACCGGGTCCCAGCCGACCGAGGCAGAGAAGCCGAGGGTGCCGCAGCCAGGGTTGTCGCCCTTGGTGATGTCGTTGAGCACGCCCGGGTTCTCGTACAGGGTAGGGTTGATGAAGCCGAGGCCACCCTTGCCGATCTTGATGCGCTCATCGATGATGCGGTTGAGCAGAGAGGCGAACAGCGGGGCCGACTGGGAGGTGCCGCCGCTCAGGTAGAACACGCCGTCCTGCGGGACTGGGTAGTTCCAGCCGTTGGCGGCGACGTCAGGAATGCCGCGACCGTTGCGGTTGTAGACGCCGCCGTTGGTGGCGTTCTGCCAGTTGCCGTCGTAGTAGTAGGGGTAGGGCGGGTTGCTGACGTTGAAGTAGGTCTCGATGGCTGCGGCCTGGTAGGAAGGGATGCCGAAGATGTTGGAGAAGCCCTAGAGATGTTAGCGAGAGAAGAGAGGGGGAAAGAAAGAAAGAAAAACATAAATTATAAAAACAAAGACAAAAGGACAAAAGGACAAAAACTTACTCCGCTGCTGCTGTAGTTCCCGTTTATCCGGTCCTCCTGCACTAGCACGGCTTCCTCCGGCTCGAAAACGGTCTTTCCCGGGAAGACCTCAGTAGCGCCGACGTTGGTAACCCACGGGCAGCTGCAGGCCTGCGAGGGCGTAAAGACGGTATCGTTATCGCCCAGACAACCGTAATACAACCCTTCGCCGTGCGTGCCGTAGTTATAGCCACCGACACCAGTGTCGCCGCTGGCAAAGAGGATGGTGGTGCCCTGCAGCGCCAGCTTAAGGTACTCGTTGCACTGGCGCTCCTGGTACGCGTACGGCTGGTCCTGCTCGTACACACCGTACGAGATGCTGATCACGTTGGTCGGCTTGTAGACGCCGCACATCAGCTTGCCGGCGTAAGGGTTAGAGTCAGACGGGGCCTCGGTGTCAGGGTAGACCGGGTCGATAGACGAATCACCCTTCTCGCCATAGGCTTCGTACGTGCAGTAAGACCCGTCGATTGCGTCGAGAAAGGTGTTGAAGAGACCGGTCGAGCTTCCGTTGCCGTTGTTAGCATAGTAATCGTCGTCGGTCTGGTAGAGCGTAATGTTCTGCGGGTAGATAATAGGGTACGCGATCGTAAAGTCCAGCAGACTCTCGCCACCGGCATCACCGTCGATCGGGGACACCCCGCCGTCGATCGAGTCCAGGTCCGGGTGCGTGCCGTTGGGAACCTGGAGCGCGTACATAGCGTAGAACGAGTTAAGGTCGGCCTGGTCGTAGTGGTCGCCCTCCTCGAAGATGCCGAGAGCGTTGTCCGTGCTGACGGTCGCGTCGACCTCCGGCGCCGTGAAGTTGTACAGCGCCTGGATGCAGGCTGGCGTCAGCACCGTGTCGCAGGCCGTCAAGTTGGCGGCGGTCACGTCGCCGACGTTTCGGGGAAATGGCCGCAGCTTGCGCCGGGCGTTGCGTGCCAGAGTCTGCGTGACCCGCTTCGCCTTCATCTTCTTGCTCGTCGTCGACCGCTTCTGCCGCCGCTCCAGATCCATCACCACGGCCTTCACACCCGGCGTCACGTAGTCGACGTGCTCCTGTATGTGGCCCGGCAGGTGGTACTGCTCCACGCCGACCAGCGCCTGACCTGCGGCCCCGTCGTGCAAATACTCCGTGTGCAGCAGCTGCTCGGCCTCGGCCACAGTGGCGTCAAAGGCCAGCCACGCCTTGTTGTCGCTGTGCGTGATCCGCTCCTTGGAGATGCCCGCACCCACCAGCCAGGCCGTCACCACCTCGACCGTCTCGCCGGATGGCTGGAACGCCTCGATCACGGCCTCCGCGCTCCAGTGCTTTCCAAAGTTAGCCGACGTCGGATGCGACACATCCATCAGCCAGGCCTCGGCCTGTGCCAGCGACTGCGCGTTCTGACGCAGTCCGATGCGCATCGGCAGCACCGTGTCCGCCTCCATCCGTCGCTTCAACCGTGGGTGCGCCATCTCACGCCGCTCGTGCATCCGGTAGCTCGGCGGCGGCGCCCATGGCCGGGCCAACGCCCCGTCGGCCAGCACTGCCACCACCTGCAGGAGAGTCGACAAGTGCATCGCGATGCCGGATAGAAACACTTGGCTGGGAAGTGCGAATTGGGCCTTGGTTGTGTGCTGCAGCGTCGCCTTGCCAGATCGCCAGGACACGCTCTTCCAGCGGGCGAGCCCTGCTTTTATCGTCATCGCCGTCGGTCCACTTCATTTTGCTGGGCTGGCATCAATCGCAGCGAGCAGCTTCTTAGCGCTATCGTTCGGGAAGGTGGTAAGTAAACGTGCGCATAGTTGTGAGCAAGCGACGCTCTATACGAACGGCAGAACCGGTCATGCGAAGCGGCCTTGGCCGAAGCTATCGCTGATAACGTATTCCAGGAAACTAGCACCTTCCGACCTTCCTAACGAGTTAGGTGAGTGGAGAGCTTTGGCCTGTTCCTACTATGTAATACTGTCTGCTCAGCTTCCAGATCGGGACAGATAAGCGTCCACGCTGAGTGCTTGCGTATTCGAATCGTATGGACAGAGCACGTACTTCCGTTTTCCACTCTGTTTTCTGGTCGTCTCCAGATGCTTGCCTGCAGTGATCCAGTGCGATAAGAGAGATCCGAGTGGAGAAGTGCCGTGCACAGACCCAACTGGCCTTCTAAATCGGGCTCGTTTGTCAGCCCCTTTACAAACAACACGGGATATGCAAAGCTTATTTCACACGTTACGATAGTCTGTTTTTCCGAGTGACCCCGCTGTTCTCATTCGACGCCATCGCTCCAGAAGTCAACGTCATTCGTGCAATATCCACACCAACCGCGGTCTATACGCAAAGCCCATAAACCGCCTCCACCTTTAGTGTCTGGAAAAACCTGCCGCTCGTTTGGTAAGCGACGGACCATTTCGGGCGCAATCCCGCCAGGGCATCGTTGCATGGGTTTCTAGCGGGTCCTACGACATCGCTGTGACTCGGTACGAGCAGCTTGACCTTCTTATCTACCAAATACACGCCCGGGTGCCTGATAGAATTCTCAAGCAAAAATCAAGACAGACGACGTGCACACTGGTAAGTTCAGATATTGTAGATGTATCCAAGGGTTCGGGTCGTAAATTGACGCTGTCCTATGCCAATGCCGGGGCGAGTAAAACACGGACGGAACTGACGATTCGCTAGACTACTGGCCGAAGCTGCTCGGGCAGCCGGGCGATCAGCGCCGATGATCGTGGAGCAAGATAGTGTCGAGAGTCTGCGTATGGATGAGGGTATCTTACGTATTAGTCGATAATAGTGTATGGGTCTACACTTACTTGTACGCACACCTCGTTGCGTACTGTATACACCACAACCAAGTTATACTCCGTACTCCGTACTCCGATTATATGCTCAGCGGTTACGTCCTCCTGGGCTATGCTTCGTATTTCCTACTAGATAGGTGGGTCTGGTTGTCCTGCGCCACACAACACAAGTACCATTACACTCTGTGAAGTAGCCCATTTTGGCCTAGTGCGTTGGACACAACTTGTGCGGAGAGGTGTCGCGTTACGGCGCATTTGCCTTATCAACTAACCATTGTCTACTTATGGTGTTTAGAAACGTTGATGTAACTGTGGGTGATCTTCTCTACAGACCCATTTAGCAGTAACAACGTAGGCCCGCGTACAACTGTGTGGCTTCCAGCTCCGAAAATGTCTTCATGGCATTTGGCTATTCAGTAGAGAAAAAAATAGAACATAATGTAAGGATGTGTTTCAGCAGAAAACGCTCAAAACTCGGAGAAAATAGTTTGAACAGGGATCTGATTTGGATTTTGCTACGTCACAGACTCTGGCACCGCTCCCCCTTACTATTTTCTCTCTTCCTTTTATTTTGGCTATACCTTTTACCAAGGCCAGACTGTTTTCTTCCAGAGGGTCCTATCTTAGCTCACCTTGGGCCGAGATATTCAGGAAATTGGCTTCGTTATCTACTTTCTGTGTATAGGACTAGACAATAGCGGAATAGACAACATCAACAACTCTCAAAACTCCATGCACACTGCATAGAGCTGCTGCCTTGGTGTGAGATACATTTATTTGATATGGCCTCGACAGGTCACCAATAGCTCCCGGCTAAAGAGCTAACGACTTGAGCAGTACCTTTCGATGATTGCTATTACCTGGCTGCGGTCAGTGGCCGTATCAAAGACCTGCGAGTGGTCGAGTTTTGGAAACCACAGTAACTCAATTCCGTCCTTCGTCACGCAGTTTCTGGTCATGGATCCCCTGGTAAAATGATGGGCGGCCTCGTCTTCATGGTGCATTGAACTGCCGAGATCTCCTTCGCAGAGCAGATAACGCGCAACACTCATAGTGTTCACAATAAGATCTCTACCGGAGAGAACGATAGCCACATTCCTTCTGTTATCTTGCCTCTCGCTAGACGCTGTAACCCCTCTATTCCGGGTTTCAGATCTCTCACCAGCAGCCTCAATTTTCCGCACGACCATCTCGGCGTCACTTGGAAGTGCCACAAGCTCTTCCTTCCAAATCAGGTTCTCCTTCCAGAAGAAATGCCTACCCAGTGAAAGCGCCGTCCCTGGGTCCATACTCGCAAAATACCACAGCATCCACTCGTTCGCATGATGTGGTGGCCGCCTCGTGAAGTTGTAGGCCACATCTGGTAGATGCAGGCAGATGCTGACGGGGTCCACAAGGACCACGCTGCTGACCTTTCGTGCGAGCATGGGAGAGCGCAGTATGTGCGTTGTCAAAACACTGCCGTATGAGTGACTGACAAGAACGAAGCGGTCCCAGCCATGGTAGGAGACGATAAGTCTCACCTGGTGGAGGAAGTCGTCGCGGGTTAATGGTTTAGCGTACAGACGCATAGAGATCCATAAGATCTCAAGAGCGATTACGCCTGTCTCTTTTGGGATTTCTGCGAGGAGTGTCGTGTACGGGTAGAGCCCAATACCGATACCGTGGATGAATACCACGGGAAGAGTAGTTTTGGAGATGTGTGGTCGGTACCAGTAGCTCAGCTTGTCCGAGGGAGACTTGTCCTTCCAAACTTGCTTGTAACCTGGAACTGAGCGTATCAGCAGCTCTGGTCGCCAGGGAAATACGCCCAGGGCAGTCCTCCACGACGGGACGCGTAGTTGGAAGCCGTGCCAGAGAAGCATGCAGTGGGTCGCGCCGTCGACTAGCGAAACAATCGCATACCACACGACGCTTCGGTACCGAGTGTCGACCACGTCAAAGGTTAGCCGTAGAGGTACAGCCGTCCCGCGTCCTGGAGGCAGTGGCCGTCCCAGCATCTCCTCTGTCTGGACCACGTAGCTTTCCAGTTCGTCCTCACAAGATTCCACGTCACCCTCCACAGTCTTTTCAACCGATTTTCGATCAAAAAAGGCCCAAAGAATGAAATCCTTGACATTTTCTCGCTTGATCTCTTGTGGACCAGCCCCGAGAAACCACAGCTGGAGGTATCGTTCGGGGTCACTTATGCTGGCCAGACAGCGTTCAAAAAGCTCTGACCTTTCTTCTAGTGTCAAGCTCTGTGGGTGATTGGCAGAGGCACGTAAACGGGACTTGAAAGGCCGATATAGCAGAACAGCATAAGATAGGTCGAGAACAAGTAGGCCGGCAAATACCTTGGTCAGGATGAGGGGAACGCCGCAATTTTGAGCAAATGCGACACGGAGTAGAGCGATTGTTATGACGCATAGCGGAATACTGTACTGCAAAAGGAATACACAAACGCGAATGAAGACTAGCTCTGGCACCGACGTGCCGAGCATGACGCTTTGTGTGTTGCGTTTTTCGGATTCGGTCTATTTGGTATGTTTGTCGCGAAGTCTCAGATAGAATTACGGAAGGGTGAACTATTGCAAATCATGAAGCACTCCGTGAAATGTGTGAGATTATCTGCTTCTCGAAAGCGCATCCCAACGGTTGGGGCGATTCAACAATTGACATGTGCTTATGGTTGCAGGTGATAAATGCATGATCGTGCTTCTTCGTGTGCCTCTTCCGTTTGCGCAATAATCGCAATTGGCTGACAATCACCACGACAACGGACCAATTAGCACCAAGATGAGCGTGGTAGGTGAGCCCTTCCTAAAAGCTTTACTCTGTACTCCGTAGAAACCATTTTTCATCTTCGCCGATGCTGAGACTTCCCAATGAGTCATCCACCCAACGCGGTTCCTAGATCACGTGTGTACGCTAAGGTGGGAGCACTTTAGTATCTTACTACCAGACACGCAAACTTTTAATCCGATCTTCTGCCGTAGATGCACCGATGGTGATGATCGCGGAGCTACTGCCACCGGGCACCGGGCGAAGGTAAGCTGCTAATCCTTACGCTAGTCCATGGGTTGCAATCTTCTAGGTGTCAAATCTGAAGTGTGAACACGGCCTCTGTAACGGCCCTGCTGTTCCGGATGCATAAGCTACCAGGATAGAGGCCAACTGCTACGAAAACCAAAAAAAAAAACCGTTCTAAAAGTATCAGCTATCTGAGTTATGTCAACAGTCTATAAGCTATATGATTGTACCTCTCCTACGGTACACTACACTTCCTGCTGAAGCCTGACTTGGGAAATTCAGATACATATGCATTACTCGGCACAACGTGGACGTACTTGGCGAAACTCAATCGTATAACGTTGAATAAAATGTGCCAATAGAAGGGGCAGTCAAACTTCTAGTCCCAGGTTGACTATTCTCGTCCTCCAAAGTCCCTTTGCCATCGCCTGAGATTCTTGCCCAGAGCGTCGGTCATTGTTGTCATTTGCTCTTCATTTGATAAATGGCCATTTATATACGAAGTACGAGCTTATCATAATATCTGCTAGCCAACTACTAGATAGCACAACATTTTGGGATATGGTATAAAACCTGAAACGGAATGGTCTGCCATTGACCTTCTTCTTGAAAAGACGGTCTCTACTTCTACTACTTCGAGGAGACCCTACGCTTGAAGTCAATTTGTTGTTCAAAAACATAAAGGTGTATAACCCTGCCTACCACGATGAAGGGTAGGGGATCCTTATTTTGCACTCTGGTGCAAGGGGTAAGACTAATTAGCAACTTGCTTGAAAGCTCCAGGAGAAGGCCCATTCAAGTATGTTTTATGCTGACTTATAGCTGACTTCTTAATTAGAGACCAAATTCAGTCACATGTCTACATCTTCCGTCTGGTCAATACACCATTGACTAATCAGTTTTCATCTGCCCCTATTTGGCCGAGCATGTGGACTTGGGAAGATAACGGTGCGAGTTCGCTACTGAAAAATGGACACAATCTACAGGCTAGCATCAGGACTGTTTTAGTAACTGGGAATGACTTTGTGTGAGGAAAAAGGGTTAAACTAGTGCGAGCATTGCGGCAGTGAAAACTTTGCACCGCGACTCATAGGTCACCTGCCGCGAAAGTCGTCGTAAATGGCTGGACCACCACCAGACCGGCCTGGTGTTGGCAGTTGCAGTGGCATTGCGGGTTGGTAGTGGCGTGCTAGTCGCCAGGGCACCGTAACTGTGGCCGAGGGCCACTTTTATGACCATGGCGAAGATGATCACCATAATGGTCTCAGCCATGTATCGCACGTGAAGATAACGGGCCAATGCTGTTGCTGGTACTAGTACTGGTACTGTTTCTGTTTCTGTCGATGCTAGTGGTGCTGGTTGTGTAAAAGGGGGATTGAAAAAGGAAGATGGGTACGTTTCTGAGTATCTACTGTTAACTGGCATCTCTGGTCGATATTTACATGTTTCTTACAAGTGTAAGACCATGTTGGTGACCTTAATGAATGGCCATTGAGCTCGCCTCTTATCTTATTGTTTTGTTTTACGATTCTTGTTTCTACGGTGACTGTTGTTCAATGGCGTGGTTGGAGTCCAATATTGCAAGTTAGGTGTAAATGACATTGTCTTTGCACTCTTCTTTGGAGATTTACCTTGCTGAAAAGTACCTGGGGCCTCTACATGATACATCGAATGTTCTAATTGGCCGGCGAACTATTGTTAAGCCTGATTGTTTTTACCTCGAATGCCTTTTTTGTTTACCGAGTTTCTGAAAGGCTTAATGACTGAATAGTTCACCTTAGCTTTTACTTACTTGCCTTTCATGGTATCTCTACTTGTATGTCTAGCAGGTATCGGAAGTATGGTTGCAGTAGAATACATTTTGCGCTGCACGTAAGTGCTCGGACTGGAACTCGATACAATGTGTGTCTTTCTGGAAAATTGTTCTTACCACTATTGTGTACTGACCTACAATGGAGAATTAGGCTAATGCGAGGGCTTCTCAATGCATCTACTATAAACAATCACTATGCGCCCTATTCCTCAGTCTGGCAAAACAAGCACTCACACGAGTTACGAGATAAAAGCACACCATGCTTTCCACAATATACTTCAGATTCGACCGGAGAACGTTGCTTGTGTCTGTGTAAGTCTACAGGGTGTGGAAATGATGCTGTTAATTCGAATCGTCATGTTTCTACTCTTGGCATTGTACTTATTTATCGCGCGTGGCGCCTAATCTTCTCGTTCTTACTCATATCTACAAGCTCCCTTTAGCCGCTTGCTGAATAGATGCCTTTTTAAAAAGCACGTCTAAGCTGCTCAGCCCCGAAGACACAATGGAAGCGCATTGGCCTCGATCTAAATTCAGAAACGGTAAGGACCGGCATACCGTAGAAGTCGGCTTACCGTCCCGAAACATCCTCGATTAAATGGCGTGGTTGGACGCGGAACGATATCTGCTGACTGATGAGTTTGAGAGATCGGATGTGCTAGTCTATTGGGATGGATTTGTGTGTCTTGCCTGGTGTAGGTCCTTATAGTATGGCCGCAAAAGAAGTCGTAAAAATTGAGTTGACGCGAGTTTGGTCATGGGGGACCTGATGGCCGTAGCGGAAGCAGAGATCGCAGTGGCAATCGAAAAGATGGGCAGGAGATAGTGGCGATGATCATGTTCACCTTCATTCCTGGTTCCCAATGGTATCCCTATGGAGATCAAACCGTGGTTTGTTCCTGGTTGCGGCAATAATACGAAGACTTTAGTTTTGGCAAATAAATTAGTAAGGTAAGGTAGGTGATAGCCGCGGCGAAGGCTATACATGCAGCGTATAGACCGTCGTCTGTCTGCGGATGTGACTATGCCACTACGGCAATGATGAAACATCATTGACCCAAATGTTTCTCGAAACCGCTGCTTTTGTCGCTCTTTTTGCTATGGCTTTTGTTGTGTTTATGTTGTGACTTTTTGTTGTTAGTTTGTTGACGCCTTCTATATACGATTTGCATGACTGTCAAGCTGCTGTTATATGGCTAATTGAGAGGCGTTCGCAACCTTGCATCGCAGAATCCCCTTTGTTGATGATCGAGTAGCTTCACATGCCGCCCGTGGTAATTTCTGATTCAATGTCCGACATCTGGCGTTGTTGTTCAGCTTGTCTTACAAGTGGGGGCTAGCAGAACTCTGACGATGATGGCATACTAGAAACAAACTCGTGATGGAATTGTTGAATGATGGTGATTGTATGTGTCAAATGAAAATGTGAAGCTGTATTCGGAGAAACAGCTATAAGGCCGAAGTAGAGAAGGCTCGGTTAGAATCCCTACAGGCCGTGCACCGGCAAGATATGAAGAAAGCATATTTACTTCACAGCGTTTATTTAGGCAGTACAATACTGCTAAAACAGTGCTAGGTTATCACTGAAAATATATTTTCTCCTTACCTTACATTTGCCTTGTCTACATAGTATCGCGTATTGGTTTTACTTTTCTTACCCACTCTCCTACCAACTTGTATAATACTGTCGTCCGACAGTACGGAGTAGGTCTACTGGGCACACATTATCTCTCACAGCTGTTAGGGCTATGGTCGCTAAGCAGCCGTTTGATAGTTAGCCTGTCCTCTCCGTGATGATACCAATCTGCACAACAAGCAGGATCTCTTAGCTTATTACCCTAAGCTCTCAGCAAAAGGCAAGGAAAATGGCACGCGAATGCAGGATCGCATCAAGCTACGAGCCGTCTTTCAGAATCTCCTTCGCGTCGTCAACACGCTCGGTCCCGAGGATCGTATTGGCAAAGCCATCAGCACTTTGCGCTCGATCCGTGCAGCACGCCGATTCCGCTCTCGTCTCATTTTTCAGCCTTCTGTTGTACGTCATTTTTGTTTGTCTGGGTGTTTTCTAAACACACGCAGCGATATCCGTTTGCTGAGCCTCCTGTAACTTACTACAACCTGACTGGCTCGCAAATTTCTCATGCTTGCAGCCTACATTGGGATACCGGCTCCTCGCACGCATATTTTGACACGAGAAACAATCAAACTCTGCATTTGTGCTCATTTCGCTCCTTGGTATGCCCCATGTGCGCATAAATCTGTCGCTTCCATCGCTGGGATCAACACACAGCTGCTTCAACAACTTCTATACATACAAGGACAAGGATGAGATAAGTCATAATGCTGGCACACGAGCGAATTTCTTTTAGACACTCTCCCAAAAAGCCACCGAGTGTACTCGCTCGCCCACTAGCCATCAAGGCCATTTTAGGATGTGTCGTTCTCGATTATCAATAGCAATCCGGTCCTCAACTACGTCAGCCTCGACGTTAACAAGTGTTCCCAGATTGCCATATTCGGAAGCATCGACACTGCAAAGTCTCTATTGATGAACGCTCTTGTGTCCGAGGCAGAGGCGAGGGTTGGAACAGTGCAGTTCAGTGAAGTGATTCATATTGTGGTCAGAAGTCTTGGCTAGAGAACACCTCCGCCGATCTAACACCGGCATGTGCTTTGTGATTAGATTTGAGCCAGGCGGGTCCACGACAGCTGTGCCTTGCACGACACCATGACTCCCGGCGACTGATTCAAGGGAACTATAGGCAGTGTCAGTGCACGGCCCATTCGTGGTCAGCGACAACGTCTGGCGAGGTTTCCATCTATCCACTGTGCTATTTACGTATCTCAAGACCTAACGCTTGTACATTTTAGTTATTGGCAGGAGCTGTCTCTGTTAAGAGGGAGCTTAATCTTATCGTTAACATCTTAAGCGCTCTTTATCGTGGTAACGAAGCAGGATGTCCTGTCATCTTCTAGTTGCCGGCCGACTACTTCGGACATTTGGAATAACAGTTGTCTATATTACAAATCACAGTAAGACGGCCGTTTAGAGGTCGGCTGTCTATACACTTTCTAGTCCGATTGAAATGCAACCAGCCAGCTTACCAGACAATTTCTGCCGAATCGCTCACGACGGAAAGCTAGTGCTGGTTTCAGCCCGAAATACATTTGCTTTGGAAGACCTGGCCTCCGATACGGTCGTCTCATACGATGCTAACAAATCAGTATCAAGCAATGCTGTGATCGAAAGCCTCTTCCAAATTAAATGAAATTTCCGACTCGCATAACATCAGATCGGGCTGGAACAATGAACCCCCTAACAAAACAGTCACACGAGACTGAGACATGTACATTTGGTACTTCCGATTCATAGATTTGGCAACAGGCCATACTTCTGGTGGAGGCTCGAACTTCGCCTTCAGTCTCAAGTTTCCAGGGATCTTAATAGCGTAAAAAAACATACGGCAATACTCTGTCCTGACCGCCCACCGCAGATCTGTGGGCCCAAATTAAGGTCCGCTGCTATCGCCAAAGACGAGTGGCCCTAAACATCAAGCCCGGAATGCGGGAAGCAGTCTGTGGGCGGACAGGCTCAGACAAGTCAACGCTTCTGCTCGCCTTGTTGGTCATAGTCGACGTTCCCGGAGGCTCTTTTGTCGTCAAAAAGATAGACTTGTCGACTGTGTATATGCCAACCTCGCGACATTAGTTGCGCCATTTGGATTGTGACGTACCGACAGGAGCTTTATCCGACACAGCAGATTTCCGGTGATATTATTAGTATTACTTCGCTTGAGTCTTATGTGAGCTGAGGAACCATTGTGGCAGCTAGTGACCTGCAATGATATGTAGGAACTGTCCACCTTCTGGGGAGGCCGGGCTCCTTTCGATGGCACGCCCATTTTTTATAACTCGTCTTAGAATAGTGGTGCCGTACCTCCAAACGAGGCTACGAGCAGGTAAGCATGCCTTCGTGCCCCTCTAACGATCGTATACTACGGGCTGGCCGGCGAGACAGCACGAACCCGGAGACAGAGGGGAGAATCTAGTCTTGAACTGCAGAGAGGCTGCGAAGTAACACGGTTGTCTCTATCCTTAGCGGGGTGCGAGCAGCAGCTCACTATGACAAACTTGCCATTCTCGAAAGGGATCGCTGGTGGATTGTCGATAGGCTGTCGATGTTTGACAGAAAAACGCACTGTTTACATCGGCTTTCGAGAAGGCGCAGCACGATGGGAGAAAAAAGCTGTAATCTGTAGTTGCAAGAGATCAGTCCAGGTTCTCACGGCTGTGACATGTTTGTCGAAAGCTCTGAAAACCTCATCCAGGTAGCTGGTCTGACAGCAAATCGCGCCCTGATCACTGATCTCTTACAAATTCACAGCAGGTAAGCAATCTCGAATACAACCCCTTGACCTTATCTCAAATGTAGCAGTTTTCGTGCACTATTGTCTAGTGCACATTTCCGGTATACACTGCACCGACTTTAACGGTCCAGTTCATACTGGTGTGGGTTATGTTGACTGTTGTACGAGTCAAGCAAGACGTAGTCCGAAAGTGGGGGCAGGCCGCGATCGACCTGAGCTGCTTGCCTATCGCTTGAAGTATCGTGCCATTAGGAGTGAGCTCTCAAACGGAGCACAAATCTTCAAGGGGCATAAGCGAGGCGGTTTATCTGGCACTTGGTCGACGTGAAAATTACTATTTAAAGACATCACGATCGTTTGCGAACGATTTCTGGAGCGATCTGGAGAGTTTCGGTTTAGGAAAGTGCGCGAATTGCAAGTCGCTGTTTCTTCAAGGAGTTTTCGACAGGTCGGTCGGACAGTTCCCGAAGCTGTCAAATCAGGATATACGCAACCGGCCATTATCCGATCTCATGAGCACCAGAGGATGTCGACAGCCAGGCATACTAAGTATCCTTTTGATATAGCTACAAACGACAGATCGTTGTGTAGACGTCAAGACGCAGAGAATATACATTTTGACACCTATCGCCGGTTTCAACTTTCCATACACTCGCAGCATGTCTTTCGCGCCCCTTTATAATACTTGTTGTTGCAGACGGTAATCGCTTTTTTTTATGCCGTGCCTTCCTAATTAGCACACGTTTGTACGCGAGGAAGGTGTATTCTAGGGCGCCCTAAGAATACAATCCGGTTGTCGTATTGCACGTCTCTTCAAAATTGTCCCAAATGTTACTTTTCATGCAAAGATAGGCCTTTTTCGCATTCGATTTCTTCTGGAGTCCCGATATTTCACCAACTACTCCGTACACTGACTTGTCTGATGCCCCGACACATTCGCGTCGATCACCCTGCCGTCGCCTTCATATCTCACAGTCAGTTCAAACCCTGGTCATCTCGATCGAAACGAACGCAAGCAAAATATTTGGTGAGTAGGGTGGCGCAAATGTGAGAGACATAGTTACCTTGTTATCTTATGACGCACATACAACCTGGTACTCGCCGGAGATCGCTCTCTATGCATATGATACGGTTTCGTTTCGTTGGCTCAAAAAAAGACGTCTATGCAGCATTCCTATTGTCTGATTTGGTTGCCATTCAGAAACACATTTCGCTGTCTGGGTGCCATTCATTGGTTCACTCTCTTTCTTATTGACAAAGTAGAGTATTGCGCTTCTATACCAACCAACCACCCCATTTCGACACCTTCGGCTTTTTCCCGGTACGTCGGGTGCTCCTTCCGTCTTCCTGTTTGTTTTGTTATTCTAACTCAATTTCTTCGCTGCACACTTTGTTTCATACTCCTTCGTCTTGTTTCTAGCACTGATAATTTCCACCTGTTGTACGTTCTTATCCCCTCTCATGTTCTTGCGGGACTGCACTGACGTTGCTCTGCGCATTATTAGTCAGATCTCTCTCTCTCTCTCTCTTCCCCCACTCGTCTCTCAGGTGCAGTTCTTCAAGCCAATGCGTACGTTACGTCTTTGTCAACAAAGTAGATTGACTTTCGCGAGACAGCTCAAACCTTTGTCACGATTTGTTCAGACGCGTTATCAGCTACGAACGACCGATCTCTAGAGCACCATGTCTCCCAGCGAGGAGACTAGACGCCCCGCCAATGCAGGTTGGGGTGAGAACCGCCATCATGAGAACAGCCATCTTTTGCGGGCTGGGCTGCTCTCACAGATCTATGAAATTTCTCGCTCATCCGTGAACGCTAAACAAGGCCTCAATAGCATCAAACACCTGATTGAATGTCATGGTCGGAAAAAGAGCGTGGAGCCAGTAGCTTCAGCTACTTCTCAGATGACCACTCATCACATTAGTCCGCTGACGCCACCTCGTAGCACATCTGACGATACGTCGGCGGAAACTTACAGCACTGAAGCTTCCATCCGTGATAGAGATGACAGCACTGAAGAAAGTGAGAGTCGTAGCCCCTGTGATGAAGACGGCGACACAAATAGGGGGTTTCTGGCAAGTCTCGCGGAAAAACAAGCGCAAAGCAGTCTCAGAGAAGATACTGAAAACTTGTGGAACGAGTTCTCTCTCGAAGAAGAATTAGAAGGGATCGCAGATGCCCCAGCACAAGATCGCGCTGTTATGCGTGCGGCGATGCATGAGAGAGAAAAGGCACGCAAAAAATGGCTACAAGAGTCCGCAGCTGAGAAGCGACGAATTGCTGAGAGAGAGGGCCTGAAACTGCAAAAGGCATTCAGAAATGCAGCATTCAGTGCTCCTCCAGATTCGCCTGCACAGCACAAGGACTGCTCTAGTGCAGCTCAAGTGTTCACGACTGCGACTGCCGCTGCTCCCCAGGCATTTCCTACTTCAAGCAAAAGCTCTAGTGAAGTCCATGTCGTCGCCAGAAAATCCATGGTTGAAGACGATGACGACGATGAAGATGGTGAGAAACGCACTGGTCAACAAATCAGTCGCTGGCAATCGTCTGACAAGCCCAAAGAGGCGACTTCTCCAGTCATCATTAGCATCACAGGGTCCCCCACCCGAAACGTCGACAGATTTGGTATTGAGTTCGCACCCGAAAATCTGGCCAACAATTTTAATAAGGAGAATCACCGGCGTTCAATTCTCATCCAGAACATACCGCACAGCTTTAGTATGCACAATTTTCTTTCGCATGTCCACGGAGGGACAATTGTCTCCGTCAGACTGATTCCTGAGACATCGAGCCTTGGGAGTGGACAGACCGGGGTTGTTGTTTTGTCAAAGTCAAGTGAGGCGAGTCTCTGTTGTCGCACAGCCAGGGAACATTTCGGGCACCCCGCTTCCGGAAAAGGGGTAAGCGTCTCTCTTCTACCAATGCCCACATACCCAACTCCTGAATCGCTGGCATACGAAGGAGGTGAAGCAGTCAGCCCCCCCGGACTACCGAGGCAGACACGCTGCTTGCTGATTGACAGCTTTCCGAAGAAATTCGTCAATGAGCTCTGTATCGAGCTCCTCTTAGATGTCCGCCACACCCCAACGAAAATTCAGACTTTGGAGGAGATGTGGTTCGAAGATGACACCCTGCACATCAACTTCACCAGCATTCGAGAAGCGGTGAAAGCATACAACACTGTCAAGTACTTTTACTTTGGCAAGTTTAGTATGAATGCACGGTTCGGAGTCGATCCTTGCTCTCTACCAATTTTAGAGAAGGTCGATGCAGTTGGCAACATTAAGTTGGCAAGCCACGGTTGCGTTCGGCTCAAGTCTCTCATTGAAACAGTGGGGCTGGCGGCATACTCGCGGAGCCATCGCGACGAACATGACCATAGTGTCAGCAATGCCCTCTCACACAAAGCAGAGGAAGAAGGAAAACACAGTTCGAAGGTTTCTGCTCTTCTCGCTGGTGATACCGCAGCTGCAAACAAGCCAAGCACAATGGGAATCGCGACGACCATGCCATGGACCGAAGAGCTGATGAAGGGCCTCGAGCTTTTCTGAAGAATGGACTGGCGGAATGAGGTGGCAGATTTATTGCGGTATCAATCATTGGCGAGTGATGTTGATCAAAGAACTGACGGTGGTATCGAAAACTGCGAGGACTTTCAAATGGCCTCGCCAAACCATGTAACGAGATCGCTGGACTCCTCATACACCGTAAAACGAGAAATTAAACCATTCATTCAGGGCTACGTAATAAATCGTAGATTGACGCGCGTTTGCAGCTATTATCCGTCGTGCCATGACTAATTGATTCGATAGACACCAGCTGGTCTGACTGCATCGAAATGGATATCTTTGTCAGCAAGTTCTGCGGCTCTACGCCGAGTCTTCTTCAAATAGTGTCGCACCATGCGTGGCGGCAGGTTATCGGCAGGCTCCCACGTGGGGTTCTGGTCCGGAGGCCAGTCTCCCTTCCAGCGGACAAGAAAGTAGCGTACGGGCTCAGACTTTTCGTTTCCGGACATGTCACCAGTTCCGTCGTCTGCTGGCGCGATAAAGTCATCCTCCAGGCAGTCCACTTCGTAGAGATCTTCGCCTTTAACTTCATCAGCATCTGCATCAGCCGTGCTTCCATCGACGGTGAATTCAGTCTGGTTCAGCCCTACTGGCTGTGGTATTGGCGTCCAAAGTGAAGCGCCAGGTGCTGAGAACTCTTGATGTTTTCTCTTCTGAGACGGTTGAGTACCAGCACCTGCCGCGGCCATTGTACTGAAAGGATTTATTGATTGCGATGACGACTGAGAAGACATATTGGGCGTCTTTGGCGGCAAGATTGGTGTTATTTTGGGCTCAGGCTTCAAAATTGGGACCAATGGTGGGGGTACGTAGGAAACACGATGTGGCGTTTTATGTCGAGGCTGCGGTAGGTCTGCTTGCAGTTGTGTAGTTTTGGCACCGGGGATGTTGTTAATCGGAGAACATAGCGTTTCCACTGGCGGCAAATCAGCTACTTCTCGCCGAGTTGAGTCCTCATATGTATCCCGTGAGACTGTTGAAGTGGTGTCAATGCCAGAAAAGATTCCTGTCACGGGAACGCTAACATCGTCCCCGGGCCAATCGTCGCCCGTCTCGTCAACCCGGTCTGAGCTGTCTCCATCGTCGGTCGTTGATGCTGCGGTTGGGTTCTCGGCACCGACAGGCTCGCCGCCTTCGTTGGACGACTCACCGTCCAGCTTCTCAGCCAACTGCTGGAACGGCAACGGCACCGGCAGCGTCAAAGGCAAACCAGTGCGCTGGTTTCCGGCCCCGAGTGGCGGGAGGCTCTGGGCGAGCAGATGTGAGGAGGGCGTCCCGGGTGTTTCAAGGGTTTTGGTGGTAGAGGTAGTAGAAGCAACTGCAGTAGTTGCGATGGCGGCCACAGCCTCGGTGCTCTCTGGGGCATTCGTCACGTGTCGTGGACGGCCGCGCTGCTTTCGTCGTGGGCCACGGGGATGTTTTATCGGCGGCGCATCGTACTCCTCCGCGTTGCTGCCACCTGACGGTGATACCCGGCGTCTTTTTTGGTGGTGGTGCGGCCCGTCGCCGCCTGCCGGCGCCTGTGTGGTCTCGCTCTCATTCGCAGTCTCGGCATCATCTATCTCGCGCTGATCACGGAGCATGCGGGTATACTCCCAGTCCTCAAGTTCGCGCGGCGAGACATAATCGAGTATCTGCGTGCATGGCACGAGCAAGCGCTCAAGAGGCCGGTCCGGCCAGCCAACGACATAGTTTAGCACCCTCCGGACCGTCCGCTCCTCCTCCGGGAGCACATAAAAGGGGGTGACGACCTTGTCGATGATGAAGGCATCGGTGTCACGTGGAGGGACGAGCGTTATAGGTGGTTGGGGTGGCGTTTGGCCAGCGACGTAGTGTGGCTGGTCGTATATGCGAATCTCAAACTCGGTCTGCAGCTTTTTCTTCGTCCTCAAACTCTTCCTGCCCTTGAGTGACACCGGTGGGATGGCCCCACGGCGTGGCTGCGGCATATTCTCCCTATACCTGTCTAGCAGAACTTCCGCAGGCCCCTAGACAGTTCCGGGTCGTCGTTGCTGTCCGAGGCGCAAAGCGGAAAACGGGCTGAAGGCCGGAGGCGCTAGGAACGCGTTCTTGTTCGACCTCGCCTCGCGTCACGTCTGAGGTCGAGGTGATTACAGATATGCTACAAACAGAGTTAGCCAAAAAACAGACTTTCTGTTTATAAGCATAGAATCACACTTGGCCATAGATTTAACCGAACTTGAGACTAAGGTGATAAACGAAAAAGCATTTCGACTGATCCTCTTCCTGCCGTGAGAGTTGGCGTGTACGTTACCTAGTAATGTACGTAAAGTTCGTAGGAACGAATTGGCATGGTCATGTACGGCGTGTGCCAGTGCTGTGTGATGAAGCCCTACGCAGACGAAGAAAGGTCACGTGTGCATCGCATTGTTAGCAGCCGTTTTGCGGCCCCACCCCCTCCAAGTCGTGACGGCCGAGCTAGAATTGTAAGATGACTTTTCATGATTTGAAAACGCCTTGCAAACCGACCCACCAGACCAGGACCAAGCAGATGTGACGACCTAGCAGCAGACAAGAAGGAGCCCTAGATAGACCATTATCTACGAGAGCAAGCGATTGACCGACACCGACATCGACAGCATATCATTTCGAGTGCACAAAAGAAGAGCAAAAAGGCAGGATATGGCTGCCATGTTCACCCCGACGGCATCGGCCATCCGGCCAAGCTTAGCCGTGGCCCAGCGCACCAGCCTGCAGGGCCCTGCAGGATTCCTTCTGCGGCAAGCCAAGCCGGCGGCTCTACGACATGCGTCCGGGCGGCCGTATTTTTCGTCGCCGCCGGTAACATCGACGCGTCTCGTCTCCCTTTCCAGCGACTGCCTGAACCTGAAGAAACAGACAGCGGTGACGTCGTCGCCTTCGTCTCTGTCAACGGTGGGAGCCATTGCACTGGCCCGGTCTCGTCGATGTGCGTTTTCTTCGTCCTCATCGTCGTTGTCAGCGTCGCCGTCGCCGCCCGGCCGCCCGGCCGCCCAGCAAGATGCAGCCATTGATGCAGCTGCGGCCGCAGCCGTGTCCAAGGCACAGCAGACAGCCCATGCTGACCTGCCACCACTGGATTGGAACACGTTTTTTCAACTGCGCAAGACCCGCCGGCGGATCCAGCTCGTCTTTAGTATCGTCGGCGGTCTGTCGGGTGGTCTGGCCGGCGGCCTGTTCCTCGGCTCGGGCGTCGCGGAGCCACTGATTGCACAGGTCCCATTGGACCCTTTTCTCACCCTCGGACTGATGACCTTTGCCTTCTCCTCCCTCGGCTGGCTTGTCGGTCCGAGCGTTGGCAACGTGGTGTTCTACGCGTGGAAGCGACAGTACCGGGCACAGATGACGCTGGCAAGTTTACAGATCCGGGTGCAAATTCAATGCAAATGTGTATACAAGCTGAGCTGACCCCTTGAAGAAAGAGACACAGTTTTTCGCTCGCGTCAAGAAGAATCGGGTTGATCCGTCAGCATCCTCGGCCGGTAACCCCGTGCCTGACTTCTACGGCGAGAAAATCTCCAGTGTGGCCGGTTACCGGCAGTGGCTAAAGGACCAGCGGGCTTTCAACAAGAAACGGACAACATTTGTATAAGGCTTCGTCGCCCAGTGGGAGGAGGGGTCGTGGAAGACAATCCGGCATTTTCTTCATCTACTCTCACAGAAGGAAGACCGGTTTGTCATGCGATAATGTACAGTAACATCTCTTATTCGTCTTGGAACACTTTGCAGCAGCGCTGCTCCCATCTCTGTCTTTTGTCTAGCCTTCGGCAAGGCAAAATTTTATGTACAATCTGACAGAAAACACTCCCTACCAGTTCGACTGGCTACAAAGAGCACCTCTTGAATTTAACAACATATGCCAAGAAGGGTTGCCTTCAAAAAGCAGCCACGACATCGTGACCCATCATTATGTAAATGGTATCGTACTGTCTATATTTCTCTTCCATGCCTGGATGCCGCCCTTGATGTCACCGATGAAGCGGCCGTCCGTAGCAAGCCCCATCTCCTTTAGCTGGCTAGCTACCATCTGCGAGTTGATGCCAACCCGACACAAAACGTACACTGGCGCCGAATGTCGTCCCAGTCCCTCCGGCAGCCACTCTGGCCAAGGACTGCTCTCTTGTTCCTCTGCATCTGTCTTTCTCTTACTGCGCTGAATTGCTGACTGTATCCGAGAAAAGGGCAGGTTGAGAGCACCGTCCAGACTGCCCATGTCGAAGAACTCCTTTTCGCGGACATCTAGCAACCAATATGGAGGATTCTCGACAACAGCGGAGATATCAGATTTCTTCGTCACAATGTCTTGGAACTCCTGTACTGAAATGCGCTCCTCTGGTGCCAGCTGCACGCCCACATCAATAGTGTCGTCACCACAAAATTGTACGTAGTCAGGCCACTCGCCGTTGATGCCGCTGCTTCCGACGCTTTCCAGAGACTCCATCGCGCGCAGCGGTGCGGTAGGCGAGCAGGCGAAGCAGGTTGGCCGGCGCCCGCCCACACGCACGGTGCGGAAGCTGGGTGCGCCGAGTCGTCCATGGCCATCTTTCGCCGAGAAGAGGAGCAGCGAGGGCGACGGTTTATCGGCCTGGGCAGCGATGCAGTCCGGCTCGGCCATAATGACGCGCAGGGCCTCTAAAGCCTGTAAGACGCCAATCACACCGACGACGGGTCCCAGCACGCCGCCCTCGGCGCACGAAAGTCGGCTAGCCGGTGGTGACGGCCGTGGAAAGATGCAGCGGTAGCAGGGTCCGACACCGACAGGCCAGTTGAGCACAGCGAGCTGGCCGTCGGTGCGCAGGGCGGCGGCGGACACGAGCGGCCGGCTGGCCCGCACGCAGGCGTCGGAGACGAGGTAGCGAGAGGCCGGATTGTCGGTGCAGTCGAGCACGACATCGTAGGCGGCGACGAGGGCGGCTGCGTTGGCCGGCGTCAGTGCCTCCACATGGCTGCTGTAGCGGGGTAGCGGGTTGAGGCGGCGCAACGACGTAGCAAGGCTGACGGCCTTGGGCACGCCGACTCGGTCGGTGGTGTGGCCAATCTGCCGGTGAAGGTTGGACGTTTCGACAACGTCGCAGTCGACAATGCCAATGTGGCCGATGCCTGCACCAGCCAGATACGTGGCCGCGGGGCAGCCGAGGCCCCCGGCGCCCACGACGAGCACAGATGCCGCACGGAGACGCAGTTGGCCTGCAGGGTCTGTCAGCCATGCAGTATTATGAAGTCACATGACATAGGCAGCCAGTCTTCTCGCACCTTGCATGCCGATGCCCGGCACGATCAACTGCCGCGCATAGCGATCGTACTCTTCTTCCTTGAGCGGCCAGCGCCAGGGCGCCGTGGCAGCATCGCTGTCAAGCACTCCTTTCTCGTTCAGAAGTCGACGTTTTTCATCTGCCTCGTCTGATTCGGCCAGTGCTAGCTGGTCCCGTAGACCTTGCAGCTCAGTCTCGGCGCGAGCAATCTCCAGGCGGAGTTGCTTCGCTCGAGTGTCGCTGGCGTCTGTGGCTGCCATGTCGTGTTGAGCTGGACCATACAGGAGTATGTGTTGAGGAACTTGCAATGTTGAGCACGCGACAAACAGAAGAGAACCCCGACGACAAATGCTCGTATTATTATAAAGTCTTTGAGAGCCACAAGTCGCTCCTTCCCCGACGCCTGACTGGCCGACTGTCGCGATTTCCACAGACAGAAACGAAAGCCACTTTTGAGGACCGATAAGATAAGAGGTTCCCCACCAAATTTTGTCACTGCAGTAAAAAGTCTGAATGCAGCGAAGCTAAGATGCACACGGAATAAGACACCACTGCACACGACATAATGGTAGGTCTCTCTTCAAGCCTCCAGCTTCATGTACCGATTGTGCCTTTATGTTTATATACTAACACGTGTCTGCCTTCTAGGCTCCGACAGCGCCTACGCAGGAACCCCGGATGAGCCACCGGGCCAAGGCTCTCGCCCGGCTGGCCGACCCAACTCTGCCTCGCAAGGTGCACCGCGATAACAACGCTGTGACTGATGCCTTTCTACACTCGAAGCGCGACAAACAAACCATCCGCAAGTCTGTGTTCCGTGCGCGCGTGGCCGATAGCGCAGCGGCCGCCCGCAGCAGCCGCACCGGGGCTACGCGAGCGCTTCGGCGTCGTCGGCCGTCCAAGAAGTTGGTGGCCACGCTGCAGTCGCTTGCCGATGCCCTCCCGGAGTTAGAAGAGGGAGGTGGCAAGGGTGCCGAGGACGAACACAGTGGGGGGGCCTCGCGGCGACGGACGGCGAGCCTGCACAGTCGGCCGGGCGCATTGAAGCGCAAAGAAAAGGTGGTCAAGGCTGAGATGGCACGCTTCGGTACCAACCTGGCACAGCTGACAGCCACACACGAGGATTCCATGGCCGTCTCGCTGCCGTCCGCTTCTGACGACGGCGCTGCGAGTACCGTTGACGACGTCTCTGCCGCCCCAACGACAAAAGCCTCGACGGCCAATCGCTGGGCCCTACTACGCACCTTCATTTCATCTACCATGGAGCAGAGCCCGGCTTTTGAAAACCAGAGCTGACGACCCATCCTCCCTGTGTCTTTACTTTTATGTGTCCTTCTCACTCTGGCGTCGGCTGGTTGGCGTTCCGTGTTGCATTTCTCCCACAAAGGACGAATATAAAGATATCCGGACAAGCACTTCCTGCATTCAGAAATTCTCGTATATGGATAACATTTGTCTCGTATTCTCATGTCCGTCCATCCTGTCGGCACCGCCCAACCCCTGTGCCTGCCATAAGATAAATATAAAACAAAAAAGGGATTAGCAATACACAAACAGCCAAGAAAAAGTTCCCTGCCGGCTCCTTCAAAAGAGAAAGGATCCCACAAACGCCATCGCTAGGTACTGGTCCATGTTCAAATCCTATTCCACTGCCCCTAGCTTCTAGAAGATATGCAATCCCATGCTCCTCCCGGTGCAATTTCGCTGCTGCCTTCCACTGTTGTGGTAATTGTCGCGTTCGATTATGATGTACTTGTGAGATGCAGTAGGGGTGAGTGCGAGAGAGATAGAACTCAAGATGCGCCGCACCCGGGGCTCTACTCGATGCGTGGCACCTCCTTCTTCATGAAAGGTGATGTGCTGCGGCGGCGCTCACCCTCGCGGCGCAGGCTCTCGATAATCTTGAGCATCTCCTTGCGGCCACCATTGGCATCAATCATCTTGCCGCCGAGGCCCATGGACACCTTCTCGCGCGCGTGCGCATTGAGCAGCCGCTTGACGAGCAGAAAGCGCATCAGCACGCACACAAACACGCCGCAGTCGTTACCATTCTCCTGTTGTGGCGTGTCCTCAATGTTGCGGAAGCGGAAGTCGATGCCCAACAGAACAGCAAGGCGTATCGTAGCCGATCGTGCATCATTAATGTTGACGGACCCGAGCGAGTCGTAGTGGAAGGCCACGCCGTCGATTGTGGATACCAGCAGCAGCGACCAGTGCGTACCGCCTTCTGGCTTGCTGAGGTCTTTGACATCGGTGATTGGCAGAAAAATGTGTGTTATGTTGCGAAGATCCGGAAGCTGCTTGCGTGCCGCCTCCGGCTTCTCGTTCATAAGTAACAGGCTCAGAGAAGGTCGCAGCAGGACGATACGGGCTTGTGGATATTTGGGTAGCACTTCGCGCTCGAGATATCTACCAGAAAGCGTCGTGTCAGCAGAGGTATGGACGTAGCACGGCGTGACTCGATAACAACGGCTTCGGACAGACATACTCTTCCCAAAAAGATATATTCTAGACAACGCGAGCACATGTCAGCATGACGGTCATTCCAGAGAGAGGTAGAGCAGTGGTGGCAGAATCATACGTTGTCCGTGAGCCAGTCATTCCTTAGTGCGCGCACGTCTTCGTACGTCACTGTAGTACTTGGTTAACATGTGGGCTATGGCATCGACTTCGTCATTGCGACATGGAACGGAGAACACGATTAACATACGAGTGACGTCATAATCTAAAGTAGCAACAGTCAGCCATCGTCTATGGTGTACAGCACACAGAGAGAATGGAGAGGTGAATACATACATGAGAGATACTTCTGTTCGGGAGCCGACTGCATCGGGGGAATCCCTGTTAGCCTAGAAGATCGCCTAAGCGAAATGACCGTTCGCGCTCGCATAGGAGACATGACGGCCGACCGCCTCTTGTGGACAGCCTGGGCCGGTCCGCGGATCACTTGAGCAGAAGCTAGGGTGGCCAGGGCGGCCGCAGGACTTCTGCTGACCGGGCGCATCACGTCGCCCCAGCCGCGGCCCTTTCCCCTGCCTCGGGGCCGGCCTGGGCCTCGTCTGCGTCCCTGCGTGGCGGCACCGCTCCCATAGAATGACGCCAAATCGATTGCCATGTCGGTTGAGCCAGAGCCAGCCAGCTGACCCGCCGCGCCCAGGGGAGAAGAGGAAAAAGATTGGGTCGCGGTTTCAGATGCAGAGGCTTCTTGTAAGGGAGGGGGGTGAAGCTCCGCTTCCGCGCTCTTGTTCGTTTCCGCAGCCAGTGTCAGACTTTGACTTTGAAGCTTGTGAAAGAGAATGGTACTGTAGCAAGCGAGATGGAAATGCGACGGAGAGGCACGACGTGGTCATCAAGAGACATGCGGATGAGGTGGTCTAGCATGGTGGAGAAGGCTGCGGCGCCAACAAGACGACAACTGTGAGTGGGAAAAATAAAGGGTAGGCTTACTGTGTCGCCCAAGTGGCGTGCCAAACGCTGCCGAAAGGTCATTGTATGGCAGTCTTTGTCCTTAGCTATCTCGGCTGCAGGGTAGCTGGTCGTCGGGGACGATTGATACTACGAGAACGAGTATGACAGAAGACTCAGAGAAGATAGCGGTCGTACGATATACAGTCGGGTGTAGGGTCGGTGCCTGCGTCGCAGAATTTGTGCAGGTCGAAGTTAAAGCTAAGGTCCAAAAAACGACTGCAAAATTGTTCTCGGAGCTTTCGGCTTCGCCTCCGAATGTCCGTTCTTGTCACGGAAACCGAGGATGGAAGATAGGAGGCTGTCGCGAGGTAAAGCAAGGCGTTCACGATCGAGCTTTAGGTTTGGAGGTAGCAGCGAGTGGGCCGCAATTGTTGGAAACCCCGAACTTTTTTAATCGTCGATCTTCGAAATCTATCTCGTCAACTTTCGCCTTGGCCCGAGACTATCACCGCTCTTGTCTCGACAGGTGTCGCGTTCAGCGTATATCGGCCGGAAGGAATTCAAGAAGGTGAAAATAAGTATGCGGGAGAGGAGAAACAGCCCAAACGACGACCGGGCAGGGAAGGGGGCTTTTGGGCGGCAAAACCATGATGATCATGCTGTGAACCGTCCGTCATTACTGGCGAATGGATTTATTGTGGGGAGTGGCCAGCTCAGTTTCAAGAGGCCGCCACCTCACAGGCAGGCCGGTCACAGGACTACAGCCTAACCCGCCTAATACGTTGTACGGAGTTCGTGTACGCTTATCGGCCCTGCGGGGTAGGAGGTATGCCCTAGGCTCGCTGTCGTCACTGAAGGCGCCGCCCTGTAGCCCCACACAGCTTGAGGGGCGACTCCAAGTCAGCAGCATGACAGCCAGCAAGGAAGACGCAATGCCCGCTGATCGGCTATCTGTGCGAATTGTCGCGCTTGCTGAACAAAGCGATCAGTTGTGTAGCTAGCTGATTCCTTGAGATATGGCAGATGCATGGCTAACTGCTCAGTTAGTCTGGTAAGTGTCTCCCCCGACAGGGTACACAAGCTGGCCTCGCGGTACGATCTCAGCGTCGATTCGTCCACCTTTGAGACGCGGGTAGCCGAAGTCTCGTCGGACGAGCCGCTGCTGTTCGAAGCCATCCTTACCCTCTCCCTTGTGCATCTCTGCAAACCCATTGCCAGGTCTTGTCGTGAATCTGCGGAGTTCCACCACAGGCACTGCATCGCGCTACTCATCGGTCTCGACAAGGGGCACCAGCTGCTCGAAGATGGCGTAGCTCTTGCGGCAGCCTGCCCTCTGCGGGCGTACGAGTTCATCGACGGTGAGTACGTGCATATTCGGAAGCTGAAGCGGTTGGGCCAACGGAACTTAAAGAAGCTGAGATTGCCCAGAGAATGTCGGCCCCGATCGCCTTCTTCAGGGGACATTCTCACTCGCATCACATCAGAGCATCCCGAATGTCCTTGCCGTCAATGCCTTGTTTGCCGCCGGATTCTTCAAGTATCTACTAAGAAGATAGAACCTTCAGCCTCTTTGCCAAATGCGTGTCCAGAACTGATCTCGAAGCCGTCCCCTTAATCACAAGTTTCCGGTCCGGCCATACCTATCCAAATGCTATCACCTTGATTCTAGGCCAGATTATCAATGCCGAGTTCAGTGCTACCATTGAGCTGCAGAATCTTGTCGCACTTTGTCTTAGCTAAGGGTGTGTTTGCCAGTCCGTCCCGGCCGGTATCTCGGGCCTCTGATCCAGTCTCAACAACGCTCCCATCTGTATAGATGTTGCTAGACTGCAACGGTAAGCATATGTTGATGCTTATGTTCACTATTCTTCCCTACTGACTAAAGAGACCTCTAACAGCTGTGGTGCAATACTTTCTAGCCGCCCTGACACTCCTAGCCTTTCTTCTGCCGATGGAGCATATATGGGATTTGGCATCCTGTGTTGGGCAAGAAATGACGAAACAGCATAGAATGTCCGTTACCTTGGAGGCATTGCAGAAGTGGTTACATCCCATAACGCTCTAATATGTCAAGCACTCCGTTCACAGACCAGCCAACTGTCGCGCTGCACGCAGAACGTTGTCAGATGAGCTATTGCCTTAGTCCGAATGAACTTGCCACCTGTAAAGTCGCTATCAGCCGACTCATGAAAAGGCGGACTGACAACTCCATGGGTGCTTCTGACAATATAGACGCAGCGGTCGAGACGGCCGTATTGTAATTCCAAATTGCGCATATATGCTGGAACGGTCCTTCTATCTGGGCAACGCGAAAATTTGAGTTTTGCTGGAGGATCTCCCTCATAGCCTTGCATATGGGGATGGCTATACTATACCAGAAAAGATGTAATATTGAAATTGGCTAATAGCAGGTGTTCTTTTCTGTGTGTTTTCGGTCCCCTCTAGATTCTTTTCCACCAAGGCGTTCCGTAATATGTACAACTGTCTCCATTACCTGCTAGATGGGACTAGCCAATATCGCCTTCAAGTTTTGTTGCTTTGAACCGATGAACGGACAGCGTCGCAAGTTTGTGCCGGACGCTAGCATAGGCTCGCTCATTTCTGCAGGTGCTGGAGCTTGCAAAGCAAGGACAGATGCCCGCAGCTAGCAAAAAAGACAGCTCATTCGTTGTACGACTACCAATACTCATACTACCAACTATTCATGGTGCACAAAAAAGTCACGAGCAAAAATTTGAAGAATATTGTTGGCCCACGGGCAATGATGACGCACCATGCCTTCCGAGCCAAATTTACATTCTCTGGTCTGGATTGGAGAAAGGGCGAAAGCCGAAATGCATTAGAGCGAATATTGCAGGGTCATTATCGACGTCAGCAGAAACGTTTGATGATTCGTGCGCTACCAACTCGTAGATGTTATGATCTTTTCCAGCATAAAAAATAGTCGTGACACTAAAACTGATAATGATTTAGTGGGATAGCACGATCAGACAAGTATCACGAGGTGTTTTGTATTTTCCTGGCAGCAGGATTATAGCCAGAGCTGTTGTCTCCGCTTAGTAACCCATTTCGAGTAAGTAAGCGGCAGACAGTCGACGTATATTACGTACAGACTTGGACGCGTATCAATGCGAACACATTGATGGAAGACAGAAACCAAAAGTGCCAGACTTGGACTCAAACGTTCTCTGCCACTCAGCTTTAGCTCCAGTACTCGATTTTCTCACTCAACTTCCTGCTCTACTTCTCGCTTCTCCGCCATGGGAAAGTACGTCCTCTCTGGTGTTGACGGCCAGCTCGGTAGTGTCGCCGCGCAGCATGTTCTGGCGCTTGCGTCTCCAACGGACAAGCTGGTTTTTACCTCTCCCGTCGTGGAAAGAATTCCACCCGAGATAGCAAAGGAATGGAAAGACAAGGGCATTGAAATTCAGTACGCCAGCTATGACGACCCTGCCAGCATGGAAAAGGCTTTCGAAAACGCCGACACGGTCTCACTGATCTCGACGTGGATGATTGGTGACATTCGGCGCAAGCAACACCGGCAGGCGGTTGCTGCCGCAAAAGCAGCGGGGGCCAAGCGCATCTGCTATACCTCTTACATCGGCGCTGGAACCGCTGAGAACACTCCTCTTGTCGCATCAGATCACAGAGACACAGAAGAGGCTATTGTCGAGTCCGGCATTCCTTACAACATCCAGAGAAACAACTTCTATTTAGACAACTACTTTCGCACCCTGTTTCCCATGGCGCAGAACGTTTGTGGGGGCAAATGGCACTGGAACAGTAATGGCACTCCAGCCAGTTTTGTTGCCAAGGCCGACTGCTCCCGCGTTGTTGCTGCCCTTTTGCTGGGCAAGGGAGAGCCCAACACGATCTACAATGTGACCGGTCCCGAGATGGTGTCTGACTACACCTTCATTGACATGGTGCGCAAGTACACCGGGTGGAAAGGTGAGCTTGTCGCATCAACGGACGAGGAGCTCTACGAGTACTGGGGCGGCCGTGGCGTGCCCAAGACGGTCACCGGTGATTTCTCGAAAAGCCCGATTCCGCTGTGTGTTGATGATATTGTAACGAACACGACCGAAATTCGGAATGGAACTATGGGTGTCGTGTCGGATGCTGTCGAGAAATTGACAGGCCGTAAGCCATCGTCGTCGAGGGATGTCATGCTGCTGTACAAGGACGTGCTGCCAAAAGCATAGACATAGATTAGCGACAAGATGGGCCATGTGCGTTCCTGAGTGTGCTGTTCATTGGTTCGGCTCGTGGAGGATCAGCGTCCGCTGTGGGCCCTGTCAGCTTTTCTGGTAATGTGATGTACGGAGTACTCCGTACATAGTAGGATATTTTAGCGAGGGGAGCACGTGCGCCTGCAATTTTGCGTACAGCGGTGTATTTTACAGCACAGTTGCCCTGCGCTGCCAAGCTTAATCTTAGACTAAGGAAAGTCGGATATATATGTATCTTATGTCGACATCCCCCATGGCAGCGATTGATCTTGTCAGGCCATTGCATTTAATTCGCTCTAGTTTTCATGAGAGGTCATCGTACAGGGTACTTGTCGATGTCTTCGAATAAGCCTACGCTTCGGGCCGATGTGCACTAATGCGATTTCTGGTCCAACAACGCACTTTAACTTCTCCAATATAGAATAACGGAAGACCTTCGTAAGATACATATAGCATCCCGTATCGGATCGTTGATAAAAAGAATATAAGATTTTACCTTACGACTCAATGAAAAGAAGAAAAGAAGACAATAATGATTATCCCAACCATCTTAACGGGTTCCCAGTGAAATTCGATCCTTGATCCGTTCTAAAAGTACAGAATAGCAGTGGTACGATAAATGACGATCACAGAAGTTACACTAATAGCAGCGGCAACGAGAACTCGCTCCAGATCGTATATCGTAATGTATCTTACATGTGATGTACATGCAATAAACAATAAAAATAAAATAAAAAGGGCCGCAAGCGGCAACATAATGTTTTACAATTCCCTAGCTCTGCCATCCCAGAACCTGTTGCTTAGTCCAGTCCTCGTCAGCCGTCCGCGATCCGTCTGCTCCCGATATGCTGATCTGCGTCTGCTTGAAGATCTGCTTTTGGCTATCGCCGTCATCATCGGCACTAGCGCGCCGGCGCGCTTCTTTTCTGCCGTTGGTACCGCCAATAGTCTGAAGACCGACGGCATTCGTCGATAAGTTCCTATTGTCGCTGATGTTATAACTGCTGCCATGAAAAATGCTCAGGTTGAGGAGCGGTCGGAGCGCCGGCATGGACCCGGAAATAATGCCGATGCCCTCTTCCAGGACAGACCAGAGGCCAATAGCGCCCGTACTGAACATGAATTCCGCGCTGTCGTTGTACAGCGTAAGGTAGCGCAGACGAACAATGGTGGCAGTGCTTGCACTGGTATTTGGTCAGCAAATTCTGCGGCTATAGTAGCCTCGAGCACATGTATACCAACAGGCTAACTTACAAAGCACCGAGCCCGAGCATGAGCATGCAAGAGAGCTTGACGCGCGGCTTCATCTGGATATTCCACAGCAGGAAGGCCGGGAGCGTGGCAAGGGTCCAGTCCGTGACAATGGACACGGCCGAGAAGAAGAAGCTCACGTCACTGTTGAGCCGGGCGTTGCAAGTGCCGTGCGCGGCGCCCCAAAGCGTCTGGATCGGATGGCAAATGTTGGCAATCGTGATGATAAAGATCAGAGTCGCACATGCCGACATCCCCATGACGCCCCAGATGACGTAAACAATAGCCCGTCGGGATTCGGCGATTCGGATAAGGCAAACGCAGATGCTCCACTTAATGGGGGCCGTACAGCCTGCATAAAAGTACTCTGCGATATAAAAGAGCTGTGGTGGCTTGGTTAGTCGCGATGGGCACTCGGCATAGTACGCTGCCTCCAAACAAACCTTAGTTCCCGTCATTATGTCCGCGGTAGTAAGTTTTGAAGCATGCTGCCCAGAACCGTGAAAGCACGCGGAGATCACGAAACTCGCTGTGACAGAGTATAGCGCCTGCGCTCAAGACATTAGCGTCGAGCCGATTTCAAACGCAAACCCGAACAATGCTAACGGACGGCACATACAAGCCCGGCGAGCATGAGATAGTCGTCCACACCAATTGTCTTCTTCCAATGCCGCACGGCGAGGCGTGCAGAGACGACCAGCCAGCTCAGTCCGAGCATGACGGACGCAACAATGAGGGATGTGTATCCCTGGCCCCCGACTTGGCCCATCTTGCTTTCGGCCTCCGAGCCGGAGTGGTGACGAATTAGGCGATATAGGCAGAGTCAGGCGAGTTGGTCGTCCAGTAGTTTGACGCTGTATCGCGGAGACGGTCACACGAAGACTGGTTTTTGTCCGAAGCGGGCTCTTCTTCGTCGTCGTCGAAATCCCGTCGTGTTTATGTTTGCCAGCAAGTACAAATCGTGGCTGTCTCGGGGACCTTCGTCTGTATTACATAGTACAGAGTAGATTAAAATCGAGTTTCTCCTTACCCTAAGCCATGCTAGACTGCCCAATTCCTTTTTAAACTGCTAGTAATGATCGGCATATAATCACTTCACAGGGATTGGGGCAATAATCCCGCAGGCATCATACGGCTTTTAGACCAGGTTAAGGGGCTTTTAGCCCAGCACAATGCTGAGGGCTTGTAAATTTTGCTCTCTCCACCTGTCTTGGGAGAAGGTTCGCATTAGTGCATAGTCCCAAGCAAAAAGGGGCCTCTCGTAGTATTTCTACATACCTCATACAGTTAGGGAAAAGCCGTTTCAGGGAACTAGAGGCGGGGCAAGCTATCGTACATAGTATCTTGCATATGGAGTACACAGGATATAACGAATATAACAATATACGACTAGCGCTGGACAGGGGTAGCAGGCACTTTCTGCACTCGAGTGAGGTTGGGAAACAAAGACTGCTAGTACTACGGAGTAACGGAAGAGTTCCGTCCGGGATGCTGTTCGAGCACGAGTACGCTTCCAGCTGTACGGTACTACTATGTATGCTACTCGACAGTAGCACGAGATACGTCTTAAGACTTACTCGCATACACCGCTTGTTCAATCGGCTTGTAGATTACAAATCCAGTCGCCGTTCGGGCAGCAGAACTCCAAGGGTGGCGTTTCAAAGAGCAAAAACTTACAAAATACTCCGTACTTGAAAGCTACTCCGTACTCCGTACATACCATGTAGTACGGAATACTCCAAGTATGCCCCGTACTCGTACTCCACACCTACGGAGTACAAGGATCAGTGTATCTAAATTCCACGCAGCTGTAAATAAGAGTACTCGTAAGTCCGGAGGTAGTTTTGCTCCTGTAATCTCATCTTACGGAAAGGGCGGGCAAAATTATGTAAGATAACTTTTGCCCTCCGCTTCAGCCCGAAAAGACCAATTGCTGGGCCCCTTCGGATGTGCTCTGTACAGATAAGTGGAATATCGGTTGATTTCTGTTGCGCCGGACAGTTTAAAACGGGAAAAGGGGGGCCAACGTCGCACCGGTCGTAACGATGGCAGGACTGACTGGGATCTAGGAATAAGTAATCGTATCTCACCTTCTTGATATGCACTCCGTACGCTTTCTGGAACCTCTCCACATGAGCGAGAGAGGCCAACAGGTATAAATAATATGTTGTTGCACAGTGGTTTACAGGCAGGATTCTCGGACGAGCCAATTTGGGAACCCATTCAACCTCGCCGCAATCTGTTTTCATTGTCTCGCCCAAACCATATCTTACATACACTATCTGCTTCGTTTTTACCTACAGACTTGCAACAATGGCCGAGTTCGTTTTCGAAGACAAGGACCTGACCGGGGTCAAGGGCCAGGTTGTCGTCCTCACAGGTACGTGCTACTGTGCTAGTATCTTACGAGTTTTCCGATACGAATGTCCTGCGTCGTAGGCTCGGCTCGGGCATGCCGCATATTGGCCACCTCCGCTAACTGCTATCTGCCGTGACGTTGCAGGTGGTTCGTCCGGCATTGGCCTTGCCACCGTAGACTTGCTCCTGTCGCTGGGAGCGTCGGTCGTCAACGGTGATGTCCAGCCCGCGCCCAAGGAGATCTCAGGTCCTTACACGTATGTGAAGACGGATGTCAGCTCCTGGTCCGAGGTTCTGGAGCTCTTCAAGAAGGCCAAGGAGACCTACGGCCGCATCGACCATGTCTTTGCCAACGCCGGCTTGGGACCGCGTGCAAACTACATCTCGACTGAGGTGGACGAGAACGGCGATCTGAAGCCGCCAACGTCGGCACTGCTGGACGTCAGCCTCAACGGCGTCATCAACACGTCCACCATCGGCATCTTCTACCTGCGCCAGCAGCCCGAGGGCGGCAGTATCACCATCACGGGATCCACGTGCGGCCTGCAGCGTCTGCGCGCCGTTGACTACTGTGAGTAATTCCCTGGCTCGACAGATCGACACACCCTTATTGACAACCGGCAGCCGTGGCTAAGCATGCCGTCCTGGGCTTCGGCCGAGGCCTCTATCCACTTTTGCACGCCGCCAACATCCCCATCCGCGTCAATACGCTGGCGCCGAGTTGGGCCGAGAGCAACGTGCTGCCGAACTTGAAGGAGCTGATGCAGGCTATTGACGTCGAGCTCCAGCCGGCATCCGCGGTGGCAAGGGGTGCCGTCCTGGTCATGTCCGACGCCTCGCGCGACGGCCAGGTGATCCAGATCCAACGTGGCCGGTATAAGGAGATCGACGAGACCATCCTGCTGCCTGCATACGATACTGCCAGGGGTGACTACCCCAGCGAGGAGGAGGTCCTGCGACGCGCAGCCGCACTGGAGGCTGCATAGGCGGCGGGTTACGTCGTACGGCGGAGAATTTGTTTTCAGGTCGAATCATTTGTATCTTACTTACGGAGTACTCTAATCGTATCCCACCCTCAATATTCACAAGGGTTGAAATAAGTCGGCCGACCATATGTGGAAAAACTGCTCTTGACCGAGGATCCGGCTAAGGTTGGGCCTGGGTTCTGAAGCGCTTACGCTGTACTCCGTACGTATTACTACTCCGTACGGAGTAGAGCAGTCCTTTATAAGAAAGTCGTACGATGTACGGAGTAAAGTACGAGTACGTACTGAACCGCCGATTAGGCGAACATTACGGAGTAGCCCCCCAATGATACGTAAGTCTGTGAGGCGAAGATCGTTGCTTTCAGAAGGAAGACAGCTACGGAGTACTACATACGTCGTAGTATGTAGAGAGGAGTTTGGGCTGAAAACTCTGCACTAGATGTGGTCCGTGCACCGCCGCAACAAAGTCCCATACAGATAGATCGAGAATTCATTACTGTCTCTCGCACGGGCCCCACCTCTAGCGCGTCGGTTTTCCACGGCACTAGGACCTAGAATCATTTCGCGGGAGGTTCTCGGGAACCGTCGCACGGAAGTGTTGGTTCGGCCGCTCAAGAAGTAGCCACTCCGTAGAGTGCCTTGGGAAGATATTCGTACGAAGTACGGGGCCGCTGTTCAGAAGCGCCTTGCTTTCTCTACTATCTTACAATTTCTGAAAAGCTATGATTCTCCTGCGTTAGCCCAGTGTCCAAGGTAGCAGTTCACAGGCCCAGCCCCTTTATTCCATAAGGTATACTTTAGTAGGATCTAGCTCCATGCGCACACCTTGATTTTCGCTAGATTTCTGCTTTCTCGGATAGACTCAAGACGTTAGAAATTGTGGGGTTCTCGGCTTATACTGGTCAAGATCAGCAGACAGGCCACCGGATACCAGTCTTACATACGGAGTACGTACTCCGTACTGGGTGATCTGTGCTCGATTGCACTAATACTTCGGCGTTCGGGCAACAGGGTCCTTTTGGTATTACCGGCACGCGTGAGTTGCCCAGCTCAGGTTTAGTCTTGGTAGAAAATGAAATCTGATAAACTTTACTAAGATCCATTATAAATACGCTATTTACAGAAAGTAAGTGACAGCCCCTGAGGGAACAACGCCACAGAGTATGCTTTTGAAGGTCAGCAGACCCTCAACTTCAACCGATAGCTACAATAATTGTGAGAATACTCTGTACCGGTAATAAGGCTGTTACGTGTGAACCCGTTGGCCGGGAAAGAGGATTATGTTTTCTAGGAATTAGTAAGAGCCACCGCAGCATACTCTGTACCGGTAATAAGAGTGTTACGCGTGAACCCGTTAGCCAGAAAAGGGGACAATAATTTGTAGGGAAATAGTATCGTAAGAGCTACCGCAGCATACGGAGTACGGTGTACTCCGTACGTCAAAGCATATCGATGCTCACGTTGTCCTACGACGTACGGAGTACGGAGTGCGGAATGAAGAAAAGTGGACATTCTTGCTAGCTTAAGCAGGCAGTAGATGAGCTCCTATACAAGTAAACTGATGGTGATTTACTTCATTTTAGTCTGCAATGGTTTGCGCACACCGACAATTCCTTCCGAATTCCAAAAGGCCTCCCAGTCTTGAATTACACCTTCGGTTTTTCCTCTCAGGGGGATAAGAGGAGCTTTTGCATGAACGCCGTTGTCTCATGTTTGACAGGTCCGCCATTAGCTAGTGCATAAATACGTATCTCGGCATATATGGAACAGTCGAGATCTTTATCTTCCGAACGACAAGTATATATACAGATATTACGGTTGGCCCCTATCTGAGAGCCAAAGTCTCTCTGGTCTGTTGATCAGGCTGTATAGGTCGATGCCTGCAGTCCGGGCCTGACAGGAACTTCAAGGCTTTGAAAGGATGATTATATCGACACGATCCGCGGATCTTACGTGTACTCTCCCTGCTCACTATGCTTCGCATAGTGTGGATTGCTACGATTCTGCCGCTCGGGAGCTTCTCGCGTGCTCGTTGTACTTCCCACTCCCAACGACAACGGCCTCCGGCTTTTCTGTCGACAGCAATGAGCCACGCAAGTCCTTAACCTGTCTTTCCGTCATTGGGGAATATGTGTGGGATCCACTAGGTCCGTGGTCGCATCTAAATGCTTTCCCTTCCAATAGGGAGACGGTCAAAATGATCAATGGTCGTTCTGTAGTAGTAGGGTGATCGTTTCCGTACCGTGCTTGTTGTCGGTTTCCGGTCTGAGCCTAGATGGGCTTGCTTCAAGTTTTTCCCTCTTGAGCAATGCAGTATATACAATCTTATAAGAGAGTGTACTACCCCTTTGGATGCTCTGTTTATGTTGTGTTTGATAGAAGACGGTCCGCAAAGCTTCGCAGTTTCTGCCAAATTCTGGTAATGGTCTGCAAGATAGATGTGATGGATGCCTTGGGTTGAGCTAGCAATTTTTCAGACTAGGATCCCATCAAAGGATACATTGCCTAGAAAGAAACGGCCTACGCACCTTCCACACTGGAGCTGACACGTAGGCAGTACATGTTGCATTGCAGCACACTAAGTAAACGCTCCGCACGAGTAACTTACCATGTCACTCCCTTTACGACGTACAAAGTACACAAATCACTCCGTAGAAACGGCTCTTTAGGACAAGCCACTACAAAGCACTGTAGTATAGTGTGAAGTAGACCTCTCTACTCTGCGGTAAGGTCCATCTGATATAACAAAGCTTGAAGCGAACACAGCTATATTGAAAGAGACCTGTATCATGTAGTCACGTGTGACCAATTGCGATTGCATAGTTATATAAGCTCGCCAGGCGCCCCAAGCCGAGTACAGCAGTTGATGCAAGGCTTTCTGCATGATATATAAATAGAGGCCATTGAATACGCAACATAAATTGCGACGCGTCTGATAAGAGGTATCTCTGTGCGGGAAGTCACTCTGCCAAAGTGATAGTTCGAATCGAGTGCCAAAACAGATACCACAGTCAAGTCAGAAAATGCCAAGTAGGTAGCTATGTTCAGAAGCAAAATTATATGGCAGTCGTTCTACTCTAAATATCAACGGCACAGTTCTGCCGGGAGATCCCAACCAGGATTCTGCTCTGTACAGATGTGATACTCGCCGAGATTAGGTGTGGCGTATCATTTTAAGCTTACAGAGAGCCTTTTGTTGCGCATATCAGCCCCAATCAATCGGAGTGGCCTTGAATTTGACGAAACAATGGCCGTCTAATAATATTGTTTCAGACTTGAGTTAGACCTGAAGATGAATAGTTTGGTTACATCATTAAACCGTCATATGCATCAGTAACAGCTGAAATATTCAGTTGTTATCCAAAAACGCTAGATATTTAAAAAACAGCTTCTGCAATATGTTAAACAAAAAGTCGAACCCGTTAGTAATTCCTTAGATTGCCTAGTGTGGCGATGGATTAGGATTTTGTTGCCTGAAGAGCAGCTTCCTTTGCTTACCATTTTCTTTTCGGGACAAGATGCTAAGTCGGTAAATTTAGATAATGCCACTACAGGCTACCTTCTACACTACTTCTACTTTGCGAGTTACTGTTTCTGTAAGTCTCATTCCTCTCTTAGTCGCGCGTCATGTATGTGCGCTCAAGCATAGCATCCCGGCCAGTCTGCACCGCACGTGACGAGATAGCAGCATGTTTTCGTCTTTATAGCTCTCTTCCACCGACAAATAACTCATCAACCAAGAACGTCACTTTCAAGTTACAAAACTGCATGGCCAATCACCCGACCACCGTGAAAATCATAGTCGCGACTACTACTATCACCAATTGAGCCTCACTGGCCTTTGGGTGAAGTTTGTTGGATCCCAGCCTGCCCCCGGCGACGTGCTTAGCTTAATCACGACGGGGGTGCTTCAAAACGAGGCAATGCGCCGATCTACTAAAACTTTGAGAAAGGCATATTCGGCATACAGAAACAAGAGCTAGAGATAAAGGTATTCACGGCGAGGCATATTCAGCAGTCGGGTTCTAGGATGCTTAGCTTGATGACAAGTGAAACTTCGAAACAGACATTTGACATAACGGAAGTGCCGCCTGGGTTAAACTTAAGCATATAGTCGCGATGTTGTGTATATGTTGTCAAGCGAGTTGCACTTATATGTTCTATTGTTGGTCCCCGTTATGTATCGAATCATACCGTTTTCGTAGATACTGGCTCGGAGCGCATGAGAGATTAAAAGAGAGAAGGTAGAAGTCAGCAGCGAAATGTACGGCTTTTGTGGTGAAGCCTTTTAAAAACTGTAATTATTATAGTCCTTGTGTAAATTGCACTTTAGCATAATCTCCCAACACGGGCCAGGCTTTCCAAAACCAAAACACGGCTCTACAAAGTCCATATGTTCTAGAAGATACCTGTTGTAAGGCATGACTCGTTTCTTACAAGACGCACTGCTACTGCTTCGGCCTATGTCCGCCGAGATCCCCTCTTTACAACTGTCTCCACCCGAATGTCAGGCCCGCATCTAAGCGGTGTCGGCCTGTAGCATCCGCTAGCTGGTTGGTCACCCAGGACGAGTGTGGTGACTGATCTCTGGCTGAGGAGCTAGCCTCTCAATCCGCTGTCGTACTCACCTTCTCTAAAGGCTAGCCTAGACCTCCTCTACAAGCAAACTATGACTAGAATGGAGTCCGGCCTGGCGGTCTGCTCGGGAGGAGCTGCGATGCCGCGAATTCAAGGTGGAGCTCCACATGCTCGATCCATTGTTCTGGGAGAAACAGGACAGCAGAGTGGACAGAACGTGCCGGGTGGAATGCGACCTTCGACGAAGTCGTGCTCTACCGCTTTTTTTATGCATGCACATGGCTCCTCTGTTAGGCCACGATCTGTCTTTTTCCAGCTACATTTGGTGGCTTCCGTTTATTATTGTGCGATGTTTGCGTGGCGCGCGATAGCTGGAAACATGCCGATGCTTCTTTTTCGATTTGTTTTTTCTTTCCCTTTCTTATATCTTTGACCCCCTCTTATTGTCCCTATTTTCCCATTTCCTGTCGCATCGCGTTTATATCCTCCATACCGTTTGGTCCGTTCTTGTTTTAACCTCCTCCACTGCCTCATACCGCCTGTCTCCCCCGTACGCGGTGAAATCGTACAAAAGCCGTCTCGGTGGCTCTTCTACTTCGAGCTCTTTTTTTTTCCGTGCTTCCGACATCTTCTATTTTTGTTCTTGTACGATCTTATACTTATAAACGTTATATTCCTTTTATTGTTACTTTTTCGACATTATAACAGCCTGTTTGGAGAAACAGAAAAGAAAAGAAGACAGCTGAGGAGACGTGTCTGGTCGTAAAGCGCATAACAAGCAATGAAACGAAGGCAAGAGGCGACAGGAAAATAAAAGGGAATTTCCCCAACATGGCGTATCGAGCAAGCCCCAATGACGACGACCGCGGCCATGAAACGAAGGCTACAAATTCGGTCCCTGTCTGTACATCGCACCCTCACAATGGTGCGTTGTCTCTACTCCCTTTTCGAGTTTCTATCTATACACTTACAGCCTGTTGCATCACCCTTTCATACAGACAGTTTTCGAAAGGTAATCAGCCGCATTGATGATCACGATGCCGAGACACGCTGCCGTGAAGAGATGACCGACAACATGGCTGGACAGCCCATCCACGGCCGCAGCTGTGACCGTCCCACAAGACATGATAGCAGTGGAAGAAGCAGCAGCGAAACTCTACCAAACGACAGCGATGATGCCTCGGACCCCGATAACCTTATTGTATCCTGGGAAGATAACGACCGCGAGAACCCGTATAACTGGTCGACGGGGAAAAAGCTCTCCACCCTCACAATATCCCTGTTAATTGTCATCAACAGCAACTTGGGAACGTCCCTGCCGAGCAATGCAGTGTCGTATATTGTGGCCGAATGGCCAATCTCATCGACAATTCAAAAGGTCCTGCCAAATTCAATGTACCTTGTTGGTGAGTAACATTTTACCATTTAATGGGCTGCCTCGTAGCTCGACCTTGACCACATGACTGACAGCACGGCTCCTCCTTATAGGCTACGTGTTTGGTAAGTGCCGTATCGTTCCATATTCTGATCCTGTCCCTGATTGCGCCTATTCTCATGCAATCCCTTAGGCCCGCTTGTGTGGGCTCCTCTAAGCGAGCAGGTGGGCCGCCGGCTCATCATGGTTTTTACCTTTTTTGTCTTCATTGTCTTCACCATGGCGTGTGCACTGGCGCCAAACTGGCCCGTCTTTCTGGTGTTCCGCCTTATCTGCGGCGTCTCCGCCTCCTCACCTGTTGTTCTGGTGGCCGGCGTAATGGCCGACATGTACGGGGACCCGAAGACGCGAGGCCGTGCGGTCGCCGTGTTCTTGGGAACAACCTTGATTGGCTCTCTGACGGGACCCATTGTGTCCGGGTTCTGCGCCCCGGCCATCGGCTGGCGCTGGAGCTTTTGGGTAGCGCTCATCTTTGCCGGCGTCTGTGCGGGACCGCTGCTGCTGATGCCCGAAACATACGGACCCGTGCTTCTCGCCCAGCGGGCAAAAAAGATGCGTCGTGAGGATGGGTTCGACGATAGTTCCGCGTCGGCTCCGAAGCGTCCAGGCCGCCCCGTTGCCCCCCACGAAATCGACCTGGCCGGCCAGTCGTGGCGTGAGCTGGCCAGCGTTGTGCTCACTCGCCCCTTGCGTATGATGTTGGGCGAGCTGATCGTCAGCTGTGTGTGCGCGTACGTGGCGCTGGTATATGCCATCTTCTACATGACCTTCCAGGCCTTTCCTCTCATCTTCGAGGGCATCTACGGCTTCTCTCCCGGAGTGTGCGGCTTGATCTTCTTGCCCATCGGCTCTGGTGCTCTACTGATGGTACCCATCTTTCTTGCATACGACCACTATTTGCAGGTTGCCGTCACCCGCGGTGAAGCCTGGACGCAGCGTGAGGAGTACCGCCGGCTGCCGCTGGCCTGTCTTGGCGGTCCGTTGTTTGTCGTGAGCCTCTTCTGGCTTGGCTGGAGCTCACGCAGCGACGTGTCGTTTGTGGTGCCCATGTTGGCCGGAATTCCCTTTGGTATGGGCTTTTTGCGTGAGTTTTTTTCTCAATGTTTTGCTATGCTTTTATTATTTCTCTCCTGTCCCGTTTGCCATTGTTTTGGCAAGCGCATTCATTTATTGACACTCAGCAGTCATCTTCATGGCATTGACCAACTACATCACTGGTGCGTTTGACTTCCGCTCTGTCCTCATAGTGCTGCCACTAACCTTGCAGATGCATACGAAATATTTGCCGCATCAGCTAATGCCGCCACATCCACGACCCGCTCGCTATTGGCCACTGTACTACCACTTGCTACCACACCACTCTTCACACGCTTAACGATCTCAGGTGCTTGCAGTTTACTCGGCGGTTTGAGCTTGCTCATGTGCGCCATCCCCTTTCTGTTCATCTGGAAGGGCGAGCGCATTCGTGCCGGCAGCCACTTCTGCAATGTGCTGCGTGAGCGCAAGGCCGATATGGAGCGCAAGGTTGAGGAACAGCGTCACAGACAACCCGCACTACAGGGGCCACTAATGAAAATGGAAAAAGTTGCCAGCGCCACGGAGCGAATAACCATGTCTGTGTGAATCCGGAAGAGGCCGGGTGGGCGCAAGCAATCCCACAGACTTTACGGACACAACGGGTGCTGAACAAAGATATTATTTATCGGATTGGGATTCGTTGTTCTAACGTATATTATGAGATATGAAGATCAGGACCATCAAGTTTAAAATAATAGAGGCAAAACGATGCTAAAGGTTGCAAAAAAAGGTATGGCCGGATGACCGACTCAAATTGATGAAGAATTTCTACATACAAGAGACCTTGGCGGTAAGAAGATGGGATATGCTGGGCTGGATATGGCTGAAACGGGAGCCCATCTCGTCTGATAGCCAATGGCGGCATTGTGGCACCAGAGCCACAGCCAGTTATTTGCATTCCGTCGTGTATTGATGTAAGGAGCCATTTTCAGCAGGGCACGGACCAAGACTCTTCGTAAACTGTTCCAGTAAAGCTCTAGAAGACTACGGGGACTATGGAGACAACACAAGCACTTTCGTAGTGACCAGGCTGATTATGGTGGCTTTCACTCTTTCTGCTAACCCACTACGGCCTAGCAGTCTTGGATCGAATCATTCCGAGGTTCCTCATTGTGCGCTAACCCGTTACAACACTTAGATGGAAGGACAAAGCATATGCGCAAGGGGGATCAAAGTATATAGAGAGAGAGGAAAGCGTTTAATTCCTTCCATTTCAAATCAGCCGCATATTAACAGCTTTCAGCGGAGACTATGGCAGCAATAAGTGGTTTCGTCGACTTCAACCCAGACAAAGATATACCGTCTTTGCAAGGCAAAGTTATACTCGTCACAGGAGGTGTGTACCGCACGATCGCTACTGAAAATGACAGATTTCTGATGTGGTATACAAGGCACTGCTGGCATTGGAAAGTGGACTGTAATATCGCTTGCAAAGCATAATCCATCGCACATTTACTTCACTGGACGTAATTCCAGCGCTGCCGAATCTCTAGTTAAAAAGCTAGAAGCTGCTTATCCCAACATCTCTATCACCTTTGTCAAAATGGACTTGTCCTCCCTGGGATGTGTGAAAGCCGCAGCTGCAAGAATCCCACAGGACCGTCTCGATGTTCTTATTTGTAACGGCGGAATTCTAGATGTTACTCCGGCCGTCAGCGTCGACGAGTATGAGATACACATGGCTACAAACCATCTAGGGCACGCCATGCTAATCCGAGAGCTGCTTCCCATTCTCTTACGGACCGCCGATCAACCGGGATCGGACGTGCGTCTGATTGTTTTGAGCTCGACAGGACACGCTTTTCACCCCCAGAACGGTGTTTCTTGGGGGAAGGCGAAGTCGACGCAATCCAAGTTCACCGAATCCATCTACAGATATGGGTGAGTTTCCCTGTCGTACAAAACAAGTGCAAATGGAATTGACAAAGATCCACGCAACAATAACAGCCAGAGCAAGCTTGCAAATTTGGTTTATGCCACTGAGTTCGCTCGACGATATCCTACCATTCTGACTGTCTCAATTCATCCTGGATTCGTGGCTACAGATCTAGTCCACAATGCTGGGATATTGGCAAAGACGTTCATGTATGGCCGCCATTGGCTGAAGGGGATTGTACCGGTGAGCCCAGAACAAGGTTGCTACAACCAGCTTTGGGCTGCCGTAGGTCAAGAACGGGGGAAAATCGTCAACGGTGCTTATTATACACCCATTGGTGTTCTCGGGGAAGTCGCCCCTCTTGGCAAAGACGACCAGTTTGCGATAAAGCTTTGGGACTGGACCAACCAAGTGCTAAATTCTATATAGACTACGAAAAACCACGAATAATCGTCGTTTTAACTATGTAGAGCCAGGCGAGTGTGCACAACCTTGTAAGATAAGATATAGCAAGATCAAAAATCGAATATATGTATGCAGTGTAGACAGACTAGTCTCCGTTTCTTCTATGCAATTGCCCGCTGCCCCAGATAAAAAAAAAAAAAATAAGAGCCTGTAAGCCAGCGCGTCTGGCGTTCTGACAGCGATAAAAGAGGAAATAAGCTTTACTAAGCAGTGAGCGAACATGTACGAAAAGCAAATAACCAAAATGAACCGCCTTGTGTGGTAATACAAATTGAACTCCGTAGTCTAAACTTGCGCCACCTAATCTCGGATCATAAAAAAACAAGCGCAGAGCATGGCCGCTAAAATGATCGTCGTCAAGAGTCCTGCGCCGACCCTATCGCTCGTAGTGATCGCAGAGAGAGTTGTCAACGCCGTTTTGTTGGTTGTTGCCGTGCCGGCTGATGCATCGCCGGTCGAAGTGCCTCCGGTGTTGGTAGTGACAGGGCTCGACACGTTGAACGCATTGACTTGGCTGTAAAAGATGGCAGCGAGGCCAGCCATCTGCTGGCCTACGCCGTTTGTGCCATCCCACGTGGCCCCATCGACCCAGTGCGACCCGCACGCGGTGCCGCTGATGCCCTTGAACCCGTCGGAAGCGGTGGCGGTTCCATCACACTGCAAGGCGGCACTCTTTGCCGAGGCAAGCATAAGCGGATATATCATGTCGTAGGTGAAGCTGGCGGCCTGAATGGTGCCGGCCATCCAGCGCATCAGATAGGTCTTGAACGACAGCTCGTCGGTATCACAGGTGCTCTGGGGCTCGCACGAGGGTTCGTACATGACGCTGTTGTTGAAGAAATACACGCTCGTGCGGTTGACGAGGCCGCGCACGCGGGTCTCCCAGGTCGTCGACCCGTTTGTGTAGTTGTACATGACGGCGGCGCCGTGCATCCAGATGCCGGCGTTGTACGAGAACTGCACCTTATCAATTTGGGTACAGTTGGCGTTGCTGGCGTAGCCGGCGCCGTCATAGACGTTGTAGGAGCTGTCGATAAAGTTCACGTCGACCATCCAGTCATAGATTTTCGTAGCCCAATCAGCATAGGTGGTGTTGCCGGTGTATCTGGCTAGTCGTGCGCCGAGGTTGAAGAAGCAGCCGTTGGCGATGCTGTTTTTGTACGTGTAGCCGTTGTTAAATGTGTAGATCTGCCATCGCAGCCCGCCGCCACAGTTGTCCGCATCCCATCGACCGGCGTACTCGTTAAAGACGGCCTGGGCGAGTTTGAGCCACTGCACGCCGTCGCTTCCGGGATTTTTAAAATTGCGCTCTGCAGCTACCATCGCAGCCATCGCCCAGAATCCCTGGTCGTCGTTTCCCTCGTTCATGGTCTGGTTAGACGGCATATAGTCGTCGTTGTCACCAGCCTGGTGCTGCATGGCCTGGTACGTCACATCGACGTAGCTCTCGTCGCCGGTGTAGGCCCAGTATTCAATCATAGTGTCGAACATCGCGCCAGCCTCCCACCCTAGACATCACAGAATGAGCGTTGACACGAGACAGGAAGGGAAGTTATGGCTGAATTACCCGGGGCCAACCATGGTTCGGCGCGGTGGTGGCTTACAGTAATAGGGATCTGGCAGGTTACCTGGCGTGTCGCCGGTATTGTTGCCGTGATAGTATTTCATCAGCCCGTAGGCAAGCGTAGCCGCTGCATCTTTAATGGAGCCTGTACACTGTCTGTCAGATTGAAGTCCTCGGTCTTTCAAGCATAGAGGGGGGGAGGGAGGGGATGAGGATGCAGGGTGAGGTAGCCACGTACTGGACGATGTCCAATCTACATCAACGGCGGCTGCCGAGTCTATGAGTGTCCAGCCAAGACATAATACTGCCGTTGTTGATAGCCGCATGATACTGGAACATGAGTCGTCAAGATGTTGGATTAGACTCGATGGACGATTTCAGCAAGTGAAAAAAGAAAAAAAGGAGCCAAAAGCAAGCTACATTTAAGGGACTACAAGAAATGGGAGCCCGGCAAGGCGGGCTTTGATCTCCATGTTCCCCATAGTCATTTCGCCGAAGAGGGCCGCGTCGCCATATTTATTCTTCACGACACACGGTACGTGTTGTGTGTAGCGCCTCCTGCTGCGCCCCTTACGGTGGAGGTAACCTAGTCTCCGTCATATAACTGGTCCCACACGACTCGTAAGCCTGTCGTTGAAAAGGAGAGGACAGGCCACCTTTGGTCCCCATTGATTTAGCACCTTCAATCTAGATACAAGTTCCGCGCCATGTCAGGACCAAGCGTCTAAAATCCAGGGCCTAAGTTTTTTCAGTTCAGAGCGAATTTTCTCGAGCAACAGGCTCTTTACGACTACAGGCCAGCGTGCAGTGTGCCATTATTACTTGTATAAGATACCAACCGACATAAGGGCCAATGGAATTGTCGTAGTGCCTTACGTCTCCACAGTCATTTCAGCGGTTTTGACATTAGTTCAGGGACCGGAATACGAGCAATAGCTATTATTAAAGGACATATCCCTGTTTAGCGCTGTAAATTTCACTGGGCCCTGTTCATGCACGTGATAAACGTGCGCCCCTGATTTCTGTACTCCGTGTAATAGGGGCGTTCAGGGGCGTTCCTTCATGCGCAAGATGTACCCCGTACGGAGTACGGAGTATCTTGCTCCGTATGCAGTAAGATTGTGGAATATCAATTCTAGGGCCATTAATGTACTCGTACAGAGCATATGGGGAGTACTCGTTAGAGATCGTAACGAGATGCAAATATATTAGTTGATTACGGAGTACGGAGTACGGAGCATACTTTGTACAGGGTTTTTGTTACAGTCAGGTGCCCCTCACGGCATCGAATTGGTCCGCCCCAGATCTTCACCACTATCCTTCGTGGGCTGGTTTGGCGGCAGAATTGTCGTGTACTACTATGTACGGAGTACTCCGTACTTTGGATACGTTACTCCATCCGTGAACCTTAGGCTTAGTTTCATCACCGAGAGAAGTAGCTGGTCAAATCTGACCGTCAGATGTCGCTTCCTCTTTAGAATGCTCTGTAGCATACTTCTGTTTATACAAACCATCGCTTCCCACCTGAAACTTGATGGAAGGCGATCGTCCCGGCAGCATTGGCGTCATCGAATCGAAGTACAATCAGTTCATCTCAGAACTGCGCATCACAATTATGACCCTAAACCTACGAGTTCTGTGGTGCAAAGGACAACACACGATGTCAGCCTCGTTTCCTTGAAAACCCATTGACTGTGACAGCCTTGTATTAAGTCGTAGTTCCCATATCATCCGCCTCGGAGCTGACTTGAGTCTGAAAGTTGGGATGAACTGGAAAACATTCCGAAAAAAAACGCGAGCAGTTTGATCTCGCTAAACTGAGAGCGAAGGGGACGACGTTAATGTAGTGGGGGCATGGTACGATAAGATCTGGCCTTGATTTGTAGCCATTGCCTATATTGGCTGTTTGATAATAATTGCCTTGTTGTCATTGTCTTCGGTTCAAGTTTTACTCATCGATTTTCTGCAAATGTTGTACATTGTTATGCTGAGTTCTTTGTCTTCAGCAGCCTTGCGTGGGAGATCATAAGACAAGCACAGATCAGAGACAGAGTCGCTTACCACAGCTGGTTGTCAGAGTTCAGGCCCGATCCATAATTGTAATCTTGTGTTGTATCTTGTCACGCCAAGGACTGTCTAGAAAGACGTGGAATCTCTGTAGTAGCAAGTCATCTACTCCGTACGGAGTACTTGAGTGCAAGATTGGCAGGCACCGACAGCACAGCCGTCCCACGGGTCCACATACCTCGACAACGTAATCAACCACTAAGATCCATGCTAGGCATCTCACCTCCAAAACTCTTGCGATGATTTAGTTGGATTCTTGACAAATTGTAAGGAGTCTGTATGAAAGCAGCCGGTGAAAAGGCTCACAGTTCGTGTCTTCTGCGGACAGCATTTCAAGTCATAGAGTCCACGTGCCGACCAAACTATGGCACCATTGGCATGAGCAGCCTTATCAGCCTTTTTGAGCATCTGCTGCAGAATCGTAGACCGTACTCTGTAGTATATTTGCTATAAACAGAGCGCCCGGTTCATTTGCAAAACAGCATTCTAGGCGGTAGTTTGGACATACGGAGTACTGGCTGAAGCATTCAGCGAGTGGGGAAATAGGTTAATACGACGTAGATCAGGTGCGACAGTGGGTCTTTGGTGGTCACAGCGGCTGCTACGGACTAGTCAAATAGGCCGGAAAAAAGAAAGAGCGATGTGCGGGGGACAATTTGGAACAAATCTGGCTGGCAGCCGGGACTTTAGAGCACGAGAAGCGAACCCATACTTTGCCTAATCTTGCTCCTTGTTCTCATGGCCAACCAGCATAACGAGCCATCAATTCGACGATAAAGGTGGGAGTAGAAGGGGCAGTGCAGCGGCCAGCTCTGCGGCCGTCTACCGCAGGGGCTGTGTCGTGGCTCAATGGCTGCCCAGCGGTTGTTACGATTCTTTACGCCCTGTACATCTCTTCCGGGCGCTTCCGCATGCATATCGTCACGCCTATTAAAAAGGCTACGCGCTGTCCAGGTAGTGTGCCATGCACCATCCTGAGAGACAAAGGGTAGCCGAGAGAAGTCTTCATTTGGCACTGAATATCCGCTCATTCATGGCAGAGTTGGCCCTAGCCGTCGTTGGTCTGGCTGTGGCCGTGCCGGCCATAATTGAGCCGACAGTGCGCTCGCTCCGCTTCATTCGCGAGACTCTGCATAAGTACCGTTCAACCGACACGATCCAGGCACGTCTCATCTTGCAGCTCGACCTGCACCTTGTCCAGGTCGAAAACCTGGCCATGTTTATCTACGGTACATCCGGAGACGGTAATGGCCACAGCGGCCTGGTGGCCACACTGGATCCGACGTCACGGGCTGTTCTGGGTCGCGTCATCGACACGCTCAGCCGCCTTCTGGAAGACTTTGCCGAGCAGTTGTCGACGGCGCTCGACATCCGTGGAGGCCGGGTCATCGGGCGGGCACGGCGTCTGGCCTTTGCCTTTCGTGGTCGCAGCGACCCTCTGCAACAACTGCTTCGCGAGTTGGAGTCGTGGGAGCGCAGCTTCAGCAACGTCGTCTTCTCAGCCTGTCTGGCCGCTGGCCGCCGGCTCCCGACTGGACTCGATAGCGTGACCACCACCCCTGTGCGCAGTACCACTGCCCCAGTCTCTCAGTCGCCTCCGCCGGTTTACTCTCCCCTCGAAGCGCCTACTGCACGCCGTCCTATTGCCGAGGATCTCACCGAACTCATCCAGCGCTGCTGTGTCCTGAAGCAGCCCCCAACAAATTCGCCCCCACTGCGTCTCGTCCCCGTGTCCCGGGATGGCTGCGCCCCTGTCCGCCATTCTGGACTGCTCTTCCACAACGGGTTGCCGAGCTCCGACGGTGTACAGGGTGCGCCGCACTTTCTGGAGACGCACCAGCCCGGCTCCGTCATGTCCAACACGGATGAAGAAATCCGTAATATTGCCGCGTTCTTGCGTGGTGCCAACCCCAGACTTGTGGCCTTGCTTCCCTGCCAGGGCTTCTTCGTCGAGACGGAACAGCAGCGGTTCTACAATCCTGACGGCAGCAGCTTTTCCCTGCCTTCCTACAGCACGCGTACACTCCTCTTCAGTGTGCCGCAAGGATTGTCGTCGCCACGCTCGCTGCGCGACGTACTGCTCGAGGCGCGCACGTCGGAAATCAGACACTCGCTGGACGAGCGCGTGGCTCTCATGAAAAAGCTCGCTTCGGCACTGCTCTTTATTCACACAGCTGAACACATCCACAAGAGCATACGGGCAGACAATGTTGTGCTTCTGAGGGAGGCAAGTACCGAGACAGAATCTGAACAAAAAGGATACGGCTTCCTCCCCCGGACGTCGGAAATGGTGATAGGTGAGCCCTTCCTGGTTGGCTTTGACCTCAGCCGGAAGGAGGCCCGCCACTCCGATATGAAGCCGACTGTCGATCTCCATAAAACATACTACCTTCCCGTCGACCGTCAGGGAGCCCCTGTCCGGCGCTACTCCATGCTCGACGATATCTACTCGCTCGGTGTGCTCTTTCTCGAGATTGCTCTGTGGCGGTCGCTTGTAGAGTTCGAGCCGCAGGAGCAACGGCCGGACACATCTGGCCTCCACGTTAACGACGGAGGAGACACATGTGGGAAATGGGTTGGTACTAGCTTGTTACTCGACTGTAATGGACACCCTCTTCGTCCCCAGGCCTTGCACCAGCGTCTCGTCACACTAGCCCGTGAAGACGTCGCACGACGCATGGGTTCTATTGTGGCGGGGCTCGTTGTCGCCTGTCTGATGTGTCTTGATGCCAGCAAGGACGAACATGACAACGAGTGGACTTCATTCGGTCAGCGGGGTGATCTGGCTGACCAAGACGGCATCGTGCTGGGTCAAGCATACATTCGCAAAGTCATCATGGTTTTGGACACGGTGTGTCTATAGATGCCGATTATACATCACAGGGGAGACTTCTGGCTCCCCTTTTGAATTTGTCTATATCTGCTCAAGCAGCAACCACCGTCAGGCTCTCTGGTGTGTCTCCCTGGTGCCTCCAATTGGCCTGCACAAATGGGGGGAGGACTGGGATCCTGTCATAGACTCGCTTCGACACTGGAAATCAGTCAAGGTCAGCAGGAGCAAGGAACACATCTGCCAACGTCAGACTGTTGCCAACAGAGTATTTTCCGGCACTCGTCTCGAGAACCGCTTCTAGCGAGCTGAATTCCAGTGCTCCTGGAACGATATTTTTCATTTTACGCCGTCGGCCTCCGCACGTTTGGCCATCGACTACCAGCCAAAGGCCAACTTCCGATGGCCATGATGTTGACTAGGTCGCGCACCAGGGCACGCTGCAGCGGCCGATCAGAGGGCGGTAAAAGCAGTGTGCTGTCCAGAAAGGCTTCCTCGAAGAACCCGAGAATGCTTACTTCGTACTGACTGTCGAATCAGAAAGTCGGGGCCGTCTGGGCGGTGAACAACAAGAGCTAGTACCGTAGCAGAGGGGTTGTTTCAAGATACATAATGGGGCAAATGTTGCGAGCCATTCAGGAGATTCACTCACTCGAATTTTAGCTTTAATCGCAGCGGCAATGCGGACTCGGACTGCGTACTGCGCTTGGAAGTATGTGTAGAGGATAGGCTCACTGTCTTCAAAACCATAGTTGGCCACATCGTAATACGAACACGCAAGAAGTAGATGGGTAATCATGTATCATGAGCCTGCAATAAAACCAGGCCTGGACCAGCGCATTGACATGTATATTACCTTACTGTCATCAAACTATTTGCGCTTTCATTTGTGCAGCGCTGTCCCTGTGACTTGCACCAGTGATATTTCCGGTCACTGTCGGAACGCTTTCTTTGTTCCGCGGAATCGGTTGGACGCGGCACAGATCTACAGCCGGAATCGGAATCCAGGCCAACTCACATCACCTGGCAAGCTTTAGTGGGAGTTCGCCATGTAAAGTAACGGGAAGCTCTGTACGAAGCATTCGTATGTACTTTCTTCCATGTGATCAGCGCTCAACCCGGAGAGCCGTTCTTCTGGTCTGTCTGTCCGCTTCTTCTGCCTATTACCCAACCTCGAGTTCTAAAAAAAACACGTCGTAGACAAACACAATGGCAGGCGAGTCGTGGCTGGACATTCCAGCAGAGTCGGGCTTCTCGCTAGACAACATCCCCTTTGGCATCATCAGCCATGCCGGCAGCAAACAACCCCATGCGGCTGTGGCTATTGGCAGCCATGTCCTCGACTTGAAGCTCTTTTCTGACGGTGGAGGCTTCTCTGGCCTGCCTGAGGCGGCACCCAAAATCCTGCAGAGCTTTTCTGAGACGACACTCAACTTCGCCGAGCTGGGGCGTCCTCTGCACAACAAGGTGCGAGAGTACCTCGGCCTCGTCCTCGCCCTTGACACGCCCTTCGCCCGACTTTTGAGGGACAACGCCTCCCTTCGCAGTGCCAGCCTTGTTCCCCTGTCGCATGTCGAGACACACTTGCCGCTGAAAGTCGGCGATTACACCGACTTCTATGTCGGCAAAAACCACGCCTACAATGTTGGCGTCCTTTTCCGCGGCTCTGACAACGCGCTGCAGCCCAATTACTCACACCTGCCGGTCGGCTACCACGGAAGGGCTTCCTCGATTATTGTCTCGGGAACCCCCTTGCGGCGGCCCTGGGGTCAGATTCTTGATGCCAGCAAAGCACCCATCCACCAACCCAGCAGGCGTCTCGACATCGAGCTCGAGCTGGGCGCTTTTGTCTGCAGGAGCAACGCACTCGGCTCACCTGTGCCCATCACCGAAGCCGAGAAGTACATATTCGGCTACGTGCTGCTGAATGACTGGTCTGCTCGCGACATCCAGGCCTGGGAGTACGTCCCGCTCGGCCCGTTTAATGCCAAGAACTTTGCCAGCACCATCAGCGCCTGGGTCGTGCTGGCTGATGCGTTGGAGCCGTTCCGGACTGAGGGCATCAAGAACGACCACAAAGTGCTTCCCTATCTTCAAAATCCGACTACGCGCGGCGTTTTTGATATCAACCTGGAGGTCAGCCTGAACAGTAGGTCTCCTGTGCAAGCCCTGTTGGGGGAGGTCTGCTTCGCTAATCCGCTGCGCAGCCGAGACATCCAGTGAGCCATCGGTTCTCACACGCTCCAATGGAAAGTATCTGCTCTGGTCCTTCCCACAGATGGTCGTACACCACACGGCTGGAGGTTGTCCTCTGAACCCGGGTGACCTCATCGGTTCGGGCACAATCAGCGGGCCAGACAGCGGTACGCAGGGCAGCCTTCTCGAAATCACCAGTGGGGGCTCCAAGCCCGTCATTCTCTCGGGAGGCGAGAGCCGCACGTTTCTTGCCGACGGCGATGAGGTCGTGTTTCGGGGATGGTGTGAACGCCCTGGTATCGGCAGGGTTGGCTTCGGAGAGTGCAGAGGCCGTATTTTAGCGCCTTGGCCGTCTGGCTACAGCGTGTAGTCGCCGAGTGGAAGAACCGTTACGACTTGAATTACTGTATTCGGTAAATAAAAGACACGCGATATGAGCTCCGTCAAACACACACTGAATTTTCCTACTCAAATGCGTGCTCTTCTTGCATGCTGTGTATGAGTGTGAGCAAATTGAGTCTTGTTGCTTTATAATTGGCCGGCTTCGTCGTGAGAATCCAAAGGCTCTCTTCCTGCCAGGTCATTGAAAACATTTAACACTGTAACTTCGACGAGCATACATTATTTTGCGTACCAGAGTTAAAACTACCAATTGCTATAAAACGTCTTCCAATGGCATGTACCTATTGCAGCTCGCGTGTTCTAGCCTCTGCCGCAGCAATCCACTCGTCCAGTTGAGCCTTGTTTCTTGGCTTGAAGCGGATCTTGAAAGGCCGAGGGTCAGTCGTCAGCGAGGTCGGATTAATGCTGCACTCGATGGGATCGATTTTGGGTGCATCGGCTGGGTCACCGCTCGGCAGGATCTCGAATGCCGTAATCAACCGGATGAAGGCCGTGTACAGCTCGCGGTTAGCCAGGTGGGAGCCGGCGCACATGCGCGAGCCGGCGCCGTAGGCGTAGTGTGGCGTGCCTGACTCGTTGTCGTCTAGGAAGCGCTCCGGAATAAATCTCTTGGGCTCTTTGAAGCGAGTCTCATCATAATTAGCGGCATAGGCATTCTGCAAACATAATTTTTGTTATTAGTCGGAGAAATACCACCCATGGGGCTATGAATCTGACCATGTAAAAAGTTGTGCCAGCTGGAATGACAGCGGTTTCGTACGGGATGTCCTTGACACTGGTGCGTGGCAAACATATCGGGATAACGGTCCAGAAGCGCAGTGTTTCCTTCACAAAAGCAGTGACATAGGGCACCTTCTCCTCGACAAGACACTTTTCCCAGCAGTCGCCATTTGGGTAGACCTCCTCAATCGCCCGGAGTGCTGCCTTCTGTATTTCCTGTCCATGCTCGGTAGAGATGTATGCCAGTCCCATTATCAAATTGCCTGGCACGGTGTCGAGGCCGGCAGAGACCATAGTTAAGCAAATTGACTTGATTTCGGCTTCGTTGAGTTTTGCCTCTGGGTTTTTCAGGATGGTACCGGTGATGCAGGGCTTGTCAGTGCTGCTAGCGATGCGCTGCTTGAGGCCATCGAGCAGGAGGGCCAGGTAGCGGTCGCGGCGCAGACGGTAATCCTCGGCTGAAGAGTTTTGGCGGTTGGCAATGCGCAGAAGCGGCACGTAGTCCTGCCAGTTATTGCTGGTGGATCGGAAATTGGAGATCTCGCGCTCGACATGGGTGATTTCGCGTAGCAGCTCGCTTTCAACGGTGCCGTCGATGCGAAACCCGTAGTTGAGTGTCAAAGACGTGTTGAGGGCAAATCGGGCGAAGTAAGGGCTGGGATCGACCTCGCGGCTGCCGTTGTTGCAGTCCGTGAGCAGCTCCTTTATGCTCACAGTTGACTCAAGGTCGATGATGGGCATGTAGGACTGTACAGCTGGTCGGTTGAGAGCGGTGCCGGCAGCTTTGCGTCGGGCCTTGCAAGATTTGTCCCAGGGTGAGGTGCCTATGGTGAAGCCCTGTGAGGAGGAGACGACGGAGTGGAAGGTATGGAAGGTGGGACGCGAAATTAGCGCGGGCTGGTGCTTGATCCAAAAGTACTTGACTGTCTCGTACGTGTTGACGTAGACAATCCGCTGCATAGCCATGTCAGAGATGCTAATGCACACACAAGATGCATCTTTCAAAGGGTGCTTACCCGGTTGCCCAGACGGGTCTGAAAAACCGGCCCGTACCTAACTGCCCAAGCCTTAGCGACGCGAGCATGGTCTGTGCCGAGTTGGATTAGGTTGCCAAAGATGGGGATTCCGGGAATCTCAGGCAGGTTCTTGATCTTAGGCGTCTCCGTCCTGTTGAAGAAGTGGGCAAGGACATAGACGGCCAGCAGGAGGCCGGCAGCCACAAGTTCGTGAGACATGTTTTCGTGTTTGAGCTGGTGACGCAGTAGAAGAAGTCAAGGCGCATATAGTGTAGACGGTGAGCCCAGGCCGCTCATTTATATGGCTGGTCTACCACTTCTCTTTCCAATCGTATATTGCTTAATATGCCCTTGGCGTAGGACAAAGGGCCCGAAAGAGTGCCCCGGCCATAAAGAGGACCTCCACTGCGTATCCGGGAAGCTCTCATTGGCTGCTGATGTTGTGCGGTATCTGCTGATGGATGGATGTTGTAGACGAGTGGATTCGCAAGCTCTGGTTGGCTTTCGATTCCAAGTTCCGAATCCGAATCCGATCCCACTTCCAGCTCCATTTCCGGCAGTTGCTCCATGCGTCGTCACTTCCCCACGGGGAGCGGCAAACAGCGGGACAGCGCGGTCCGGCCAATAGGCCAAGGGCGGGGGTGTTACTGACTCAGTAATAGTGCCCTCCTCAGACACTGTCTGCGCACCGCAATGCGGAATGATATAAACGGATTGCAGCACATGTGCCATAGCTCCCACTACCAGACCATAGCTACGAGAGAGCCGAGTAGCGAGACAATTTTCACACGAGCAAGACCAAACTACACTGCAAAATGCCGTGGACCGAGTTTAGCTTCCCAGAGAAGTATGAGTACCAGAACGGCTTCGGCTCATATCACGAGTGAGTGATGGCGGGCTGAGCTTGGAGAGGAGCCACAGGACATCGTGTCGACAGTCGAGCTGATTGATGGCAACAGGACCGAGGCCGTGACGGGCGCGCTGCCGGTGGGTGCCAACTCGCCGCAACAGGCGCCGTACGGGTTGTACGCCGAAAAGTTGTCGGGCACGGCCTTCACGGCGCCTCGGGCCAGCAACCTGCAGTCATGGCTGTACCGGATCCTGCCGTCGGCGGCCCACCGGCCGTTTGTGCTGTCAACGAAGCAGCTGGCAAGCTTCAGCGCGCGCGGCGAGCCGCAGCTGACCAACGTGCCGAATCAGCTCCGATGGAACCCATTTGACATTGACGGCGAGTGCGACTTTCTGGGTGGCCTGCAGCTGGTTGGTGGTGCCGGCAGCGCGGCACTCAAGACCGGTCTGGCCATCTATGTATACGGGGCCGGCCGCAGCATGGCGCCAGGTCACGCCTTTCACTCGGCCGACGGAGACCTGCTCCTGGTGGCCCAGAAAGGCGTGCTCGACATTCGCACCGAGCTCGGTCATCTGCTCCTGCGGCCACATGAGATTGTCATCGTTCCGCGCGGCATCCGCTTCCGCGTCGACCTGCCTGTCGGTTCCAGTCGCGGCTATGTCCTCGAGCTCTTCCAGGGCCACTTCCAGCTGCCCGAGTTGGGGCCCATCGGTTCCAACGGGCTGGCCAACGCCCGCGACTTCCAGACACCCGTGGCTAGCTACGAAGACGAGGATGCCAATGACAACAACAACATCAGCTGGACCATCACCGCCAAATTCGACGGTCGCCTCTTTGATGCCGCCCAGGACCACACGCCCTTTGATGTCGTAGCCTGGCACGGAAATTACGCACCCTACAAGTACGACCTGGGCCGTTTTAACACCATTGGCAGCATCAGCTTCGACCATCCAGACCCCAGCATCTTCACCGTTCTGACGGCGCCAAGTCCTGTCGCCGGCACTGCCGTCACCGACTTTGTCATTTTTCCGCCGCGCTGGCTTGTGGCCGAAGGCACCTTCCGCCCTCCCTGGTACCACCGCAACACCATGTCCGAGTTTATGGGACTCATCTCTGGTGAGTACGATGCCAAGGCTGGCGGAAAAGGCGGCTTCCAGCCCGGCGGCGCCTCGCTTCACAACGTCATGGGCTCGCACGGCCCGGACATCCAAACATTTGAACGCGCCTCATCTGCCACTCTAGCACCCCATAAGGTTGGCGCTGGCAGCATGGCGTTCATGTTCGAGAGCTCACTGATGCTTGGCGCCACTGACTGGGCCCTGACGAACTGCGAAAAGGTCCAGGAGCTGTATAACGAGCACAGCTGGGGCAGCCTCATAAGGCACTTTACGCCTCCAGTATCCGAGGCTCGCCGGACGTAGGTAAACCGACGGAACGGGTGGTAGAACATGCAGTGCAGGATCGAGAAGGGAGAAGGACAACACCTATTAGACCCGATATTCCATTTTGAGCAATTCTTTTGTAACCAAACGTTTTCCACAAGAATGGAGACACAGATTGTCCCTGCGAAGTACTTCGTACGGAGTACGTGAATTTGATACCGCTGGAAAGCATTGTTTGCGACCAATAAAGCTCTAATTCACGCCCTGGTAATTACCCCATTGACCTACGACGTACGGAGTAGTTGGTTAGACTGCCTAGCGTGTCACGGGTCCCCGGAACACCCCCGCACTTGTCAACCTCGCCTCATTCTCGAAGAAGAGAGCAAGACGCACGATGCGGTCTCTACAACCTCATTTATTTCTGCCCTCGAAACTTGCACAAAGCCAATGTATACCAGCTCCAACACACTCCTAGCTGCACCATGCAATTCCCGAAAGCGACGATTTCCATATACAACCGTTGCCTGGTGTGTCTTGTTCCTCAGGAGTCGCCCTCCAGAAAGAAATTGTGACACTCTGATGGCTGATATCTGCTCTCAATTCCAGCGATAACTGCAAGAGACGTAAGACAAAATGCAGCGGTGAACACCCCTGCCAGGGCTGCTGTGGTATCAATGCACTCTGCGTTTACAAACGCACGACGCGTTTTCAATCGGGCAGTCGCGGCTTTTCTTCTGGCCTACAGCCTTCTCGGCTGTCTCAATTGTCTGCAATGTCAGATGATGGCTCTTTCAATACAGGCCAGCGAAAGGCGGTATCTTCCAAAATCACTCCGGCATATGAGTTGGCTAACTCAGATCACTATCTGGGCGTCGCACGACGGCACCTGACCGCCTCAATTTCCGAGCACGAGAAGATACGACAGTTTTCTTGTAGTCCGGCCGTCGACGGGCCAAAGGAGCTTCAGAAACTCGTCAACCACCGTCTCCACGGCTCCCCCGGTGGTGTTCTGGCAGCTCTAAGTGAAGAATGCTGGGCTGATATCCTTTACACCTACGACGAGGAGATCGGCCTCCAGTATCCTTTCCTCGATATAGCTGACCTACAGAGGGACATCAGCCAGGCAGTTCACCAGAGGGCAGACGGATACTTTTCCCAGCACGATCAAATATCCGACATTGCCACGCTCATCCTCGCCGTCGTCGCCATCTTCACCGATTCTGACTCGGCAGAAATATCCAACGCCTTGGTGCAGAACATATTTACGGATGCCATTGCAAGAACACATCTCGCCGGCGGCGACAGGCAAAGCCTTTCCTTGCTGACCCTCACAGTATGTCTGTCCGCCATCCCATACGTCTTTTTGACCGAGTCTCCTCGTCGCTACTAATTACCATGTCCAACACCATCAGAGCATTTACTTCTTCCTGACCGACAGAGAGATTCTAGCTTGGAGGGGCATCGGTACTGTTTCGCGGCTGCTTCAAGAGCTTCGGGGCCACAGAAACGACGATCTGCCACATATGGCAACGTCGGCCTCTCCCAAAGCGGACGACAATGTGAGCGAGAAGATGTACTGGACTGTCTACACCCTGGACCGGCGGTGGAGCTTTGGCACCGGTCTGCCCTTTTCTATTCAGGATACAGACGTCCGCCACTATCCCCAGTTCTCGGACGACTCGCTGTCCGCTCTCTACCTGGAGCACATGGTGATATACTGCGGCATCACGTCCGAGGTACGCCGGTGGTGTCTTGATGCTCCCCTGGCTGCAGCCGCCACGGCAAACTCTATGTGCGACCTCCTCTGCTTCCGCGTGATCATGTGGCAGCGTAACTTGCCCGCAAAGCTGCAGTTTCGCGGCCTCCAGGACGCATTCGATGCGGCCAAGGAGAGCCGTGGCACTTACAAGATCCGCCTGACCCTCTATCTGCGCGCAAACCAGATGCGCACTGTCATCTACCGCAAAGCGGCTGTGCGGCCCGGCACAAGGGATTTTGACCCCTCTCACGCCAACATCATGGCTGCCACCGCACAAGACACCGTCCGCATCCTTGATAGCCTCGCGCGCAGCACTAACATCTACCAGACGCAGCAGAAGACTTTTAACCACTTCCTCGAGACCGCCCTTTCGTCCCTGCTACTGGTTCTTTGTTGTTCTGTTGACCCCGAAAATCGTTCCTGTTTGGATGAGGTGTTTACCGCCTTGGAGCTGGTCCGCCAGCTCTCCACAAGATCATCTGTCTCACGGCGACTACAGGACAAGCTGCAGACGTTCCAAGCCGTCGTGACCAGTCTGCAAGCCGAGATGCAACACGCCGGAACCGTCGACATTAGCTGTGGCAGTGCAAACGCTTCACCAGGGCCGACAGCCTCTGCATCTGTGTCTGGAGACCTCGATCCCGTCGCCTCTTTTCGTGGACCGCTTGCCAACGGCTTTTCCGTCCCGGTCCAGCCCGTCTTGCCCCTGCAAACGACAGCAGCATGTTGTACGCTGCCAACTGTCTCCGCTGGCATAGAAACCCCGTCACCAATAGTACCAGCGAACATGACTTTGCCGTTGCACTTTGTAGGCAGCTCGTCAGCGGACTGCGAGACTAGCAATGTCCCTCTCTTTCGATGTCCAGAGTTGACCGACTACCTGATGGGATTCAACAGTAGCCTTTTTATCTAACAACCAAAGCACCGTAAAAATAGGCTTCAACCTATCGAGTTATAGCTAGGCAGTGAAATTGTCAAAGCCACTACCGGAGAGTAGCTCAAAATAACTTTGCCCTATTCCCTCTTTTTGAACAGTGACTATGAAGTTACAATATACGGTCCATGACGCCGCGGCCTGCATATATCAGGCACATCATGGGAACTTCACCACGATCCATCCTGCTGATTCTACAGTACAGTTATATGTCTTGATGCGGTTCTTGAGGCCATATTGATATGCTTCGGCTCCCATGATATACGGACTTGACCGTACATCGTCTTTCTGTTGCGATAGGCCTGGTATTAGCCTCCGAAGCAACATAGAAATGCACATCCACAAAGGACGACTTGAATTAAAATTGGAAGGGAAATGGCGATGTATCAGAACGGTTAAGTTTTAATCAAGCAAAAACACAATGGTCCTTGTCAGGTACAATCATAGCGAAAAAGACATCATAAAAGCCAGGGTTCGAGAACAAGGGGTTGTGGCAGCAGTAACGGGGTATTGACTTACCAAAGACTTGAAGAAAAAGTCCAATTAACGAGAAGCTTCAAGCATGTGCTCATGATGGTAGACGCTGCTTGCAAGGTTTCCTATGCCGGCATCCGGCAGAGACCAGCTCATATCAAGCAATTGATTACAGTTCAGAGTCGTTCTTCAGGACGCTTCATCCTGGTTGCTGATCCCACTCCGCCAAAAGCAGACAAGACGCTGTCAACAACCGCCTTCGCCATACCCTGGCCTCGCTTGCCTTCAGTACTCTCGCCAAAGCTATTTGCTGGCTGATCCCCGCTGCCCATGGTAGGAAGTACATTGTCACTCGCCGACAGACTGACAAACAATGCGAAAGGAACCATCCAGACACAGAGGCCGAAGTATGAGGCGATTTCTGTGAAGGTCGGCGCGTCCGCTGGCGAGTCATAGTAGGACGACATGTTTTTGTACAGGTTTTGCTGGTAGTGAGAGAAATATTGGAACCACACGTAATGGTTGATCAGCACCAAAACTGTATGGTTACAGGCGCGTCAGAACAACGTGAACACATGATAAGAAAGCAAAGGACGGAATCCTCTGCATACCACATGAAGTTATGAACAGCGGATCTGCGAGCTGTACATAGGGAAACCTCCGCATGTTTCCCAAATAAACGGCATGTGAGAATATCCCCAGAGCCGTTTGCCAGAAGGGAAAACCATCGATAAGGCACAATATGAGTTGTAAGCCCACGATGGAGTAAATAAGGCGGGTCAAAAAGCGCTTTGCCATGACCGTGTGCTCTTCCACCAGCTCCGACAGGTAATAGAGCCCCGACGCTGTGTCCTTGAATTAGATACGCCCAAAGACCGAATTCAATCAGAGACAGAACTGCCGGCTCACCTATCGCCAGAGTCAGAAAACAGAAGCCCACGATCGAGCCCAAGTAGCCAACTATAGGAAGAATCCACATGGTTGCGGCGAAGCAGCCCTGAGGCTTTCACATCCCAGATATGTGGAACGGAAGAAAGGAAGGAGGATTGCAGTACGGGCTTGATGCCCGATCTTGGTAGAAACAGTAAGTTAAGAAACAACAGTCTCTGCTCGCTATTTATCAGACGCTAGATTCGTGTCCTCTGGCCGGCCGGAGGAACCCACAGTATTTATCCGGAATTAATCCGCCGACACTCTGATAAGATAAACAGCGTCACTACGGAGTACATACATACTCCATACGTATTCCGTACTCCGTATTCTAGACTTTATCTAGCCCCGCCAAAAACTTTCGAAGATTTTCGACGGTCGTTGATTTATCCAGCGCTGTTCACTTTACAGTTACACGGGAATATTTCGCCTATATACTGTTTTATCACACGGACACTCGCCTTTACAACTCAATACTGACTTACTACTTCCGTCATGTCTCGGCCTGAAGATACGCTGTAAGTTCAAGAAAGCCCGAACTGGCAACTTATTATCGTGCTAAATTTAGTTGTTAGGACTGCAGATATTCACTACAATGATTCAGAAGCGCGGAAATACACCACGAGCTCCCGAATTCAGAATGTTCAAGCTTCGATGACACGACGTGCGCTAGAGTTGCTCGATCTTCCAGGGCCGAGTTTTATTCTTGACATCGGTTGTGGCAGTGGTTTATCTGGCGAAATTTTGACGATGTCTGGGACAACAACAAGGCGGAGGAGGAGGAGGAACCACCTTGATGCTGCAACCGAAGGTGACGGCGGAACCGATGGTAGTGATGACGGCGAAGACGACGATGCTAGTATTGTCGAGGAAGAGGGAGGTGGACCGCATGTGTGGGTTGGCATGGACATCAGCCCATCGATGCTGGATGTGGCTTTGCAACGTGATGTTGAAGGAGACCTTCTGTTAGCCGACATGGGTCAAGGCGTACCGTTCCGGGCTGGGTCGTTCGACGCCGCCATCAGCATCAGCGCCTTGCAATGGTTGTGCAATGCCGAGACCAGCGACACATCTCCCCAGGGCCGCCTGTCCCGTTTCTTCAACGGACTGTACGCATCGCTGCGGCGGGGTGGCCGGGCCGTGTGCCAGTTCTATCCTAAGAACGACACGCAGCGGTCTATGATCACGCAAGCAGCAGTCCGCGCTGGCTTTGGTGCCGGTATGCTGGAGGACGACCCAGGGACTAAAAACGTCAAGGTGTACCTTGTCCTCACTGTTGGGGGCAACGTCGCCACTGGAAACGGTGATATTACCGGCGTGGTCTCGGGTATGGACGGCGTCGACATCGTAGACGAGCGTCCAAGGGGGAAGAGCGGTAGAGGTGTGGTGGTAAAAAAGGGAAGCAAGGCCTGGATTGCGAAGAAAAAAGAGCAGATGGAGCGCAAAGGAAAGATCGTCAAGGCCAACTCGAAATACACAGGGAGAAAGCGGCGGATTGCTTTCTGACCTTCATTTGCTTGGTTTACCTCGCTTGTCTGTTCTGCAATTCATGGCGTCGGTATCAAAATGGGTATATCCGGGAAACAACGACGAGATAATAACTTACATAGATCGAACGGATAAAATTTGTCTACTTGCAGTTTTTCTATAAGGCGGCTGGCTGTATGATATATATTGTCATGTTTGCGATTCGATGACATTGAAAGTGTAGCGATGAACAGCCGACACATTTGTTCTGCGCCGTAAATGCTTACTTGCGTCCACGGCCAAGAACATGGCTGGTATAAGTTGGTCTACAATTCAATAGTCTGGAAAATTGTAGCCTCTCCTAGCTCTCCGCTAGGGGGCACTCATTCAGCCTATTGTCCTCTGCCTCTTTGAAAAGTACTTGATAAGTCGCCACTTAACCAAGCCCATCAACCTCACGTTTTGCAAATACGCGGTACTGCGGTCATCCTGCAAAGTCGTGGCTGGACATGTGTGTCTTAAAACTCGCATCCAAATCGAATCGCCACGCGTATCGGACATCTTGATGGCCTTTTGCACGACGCGGGCATTTCGCATAAGCAACGGCGTCACGATTCCGATATAGCCGGAACACCTTTGCCGTAAGCGACACGTTTAAGATTAGCCACGCCGCCGAAAACAATTGTCCGATCAACGTAAGAAACGACACCTCTTTCATATCTCTGAATGAGCTTGGCCGGTCGCCACAACAGCACACCCGGAAGTTGTCTGTGTGAGGGAGGACTCTGACTTTATGCCGCAGTTAGCTACAAGGAAATTAGATGCATGAGATAAGGAAAGCTGTCCAAAGGGAGCTCGACGAGCCCTATCTGAGCTGCCTACTCCGTCTTACTCCGTACGTGTAAGATGCACGAAGAAACACGAGGGGCACCCGTACAGCCGATTATGGTCGCCTGAAGACGATATCACAAAGCCGACATACTTCTTCTTCCGCATGGGACATCGAGAGTCGCACACATTATTTACTATATTATAGCTTTACGGAGTACTCCAAACAGGATCCCTGCTCTACGCTGTCGTGAACCGGAAAATCCTTCTATGTACGTACAGTATTGCATCACATGAGATGAGGAACGATTGGAATCTAGAAATACTCGGCCACCGATCTCCAGTATGGAATTATGGAGTGGTTACAGTCGACAAATGCATTAATGACGCGACGGCGATATAAAATGTCGTACGGAGTATGTATTAATAGAACAGGTACGCATCAAGCTGGAAAGGAAAATATAAGTGGGGTCTTTTGAAAAGTATCTCGGAGTGGTTTGACTTGTCGCCCTCCGCTGATAGTTTGATCATCTCTTTTGAAGGAGGCGAGAGTTTTCCATGGCCGCAACCGGGTACATCAGTGGCGGAGTACATTCGGAGTACCGTCCCGTGTCATGCAGCAACAGCATTACGTGTACGGAGTACGGAGTACCCGTACAAGTGCAGCAACGGCCAACGCATAAAAGTTTTCAGGTATCTTACTCCATACTCGACGTTCCATATTTAATGTAAGATGCTCCTAGGATGAAGGGGCTGGACCACATGGAGACTGGCGTTAGATTAGTAGAGCGAGCAGGGAGGCCACCCCTGAAAAGCTGTAGAAGTGGGCCTCTAGCAGGCCACCGGCGTTGATTGGGTGCGGCGGTGTAAATTACGTTCATCACCGAAACATCCAGGGCTCCGCAGATGTCTCCAGTCTTCCGTCTCTTTTTGCTTTCCGGGCACGTACGGAGTAAGAGATACCGATATGTTAACAATGCAACCGTGCCAGAAACCGAACTCGTTCCACGTACGGACTACTTGTACAGCCGTGCGAGGCTTATTTTTCGGGTCGAAGAGCTGAAGACATAGCAAAATAGCCGCCTCTACAAAGGCATCGTACTAAGTAGGCGCTTGCCGGCAACTGCAAATCCTTCCTGTTATTAATTCGCAATCCTGTTCCGGCTGAATTTGTACTCAGTATCGGCAACAGCGAGGCACTGTGCGCTAGCCTCATTCAGCGCGCAATCAAATTAGACGCCTCTCTACTCCGTACGGAGTATTCACTAGGAGCTTCGCTATGTGCATCTTCAAATGCAGTTAGACACAGTCCTCCTGTAACTGTATACTCGCCGATAATACCGATTCGAAAGGAGTCTCCTCTTTTCTTCCTTTGCCCTTTTTCTCCCCGTCCTGACCTCATTCACTCGCTGCGTTACCGAACCCTGTCTGGCCTTCCCTCGTTTCCTGCTCGAATATCGAGCTGTTTTACCTTTTTTTTTTTTTGTCGTCTACCCTTCTCGTCCTCCAGACTCATTATCAATTGCAACAACGGCGCATACTATTGCATTCGCTTCATAGCGATCTCTTTTAGCCTTTTGTTCTTTCAGACGAGGCCCTTTCGCTCCTTAGCATATCTTGTCACGCAAGTCGTATTGACGTCTTCACATTCCAGCCGATCGTTCATTACCCCATTCTTTTTAACTTCTTTCTGTTGTTGTACTTCTGAGAATATTGTGCCTTGGATCGTCAACTCTATTTCTCTATTGCTGCTCACCTGTCCATTTTCGTCGCGTCGAACCCGGCATACACGACGTGAGACACTCCTCTTCCCATCAGGGGCTTTCCTTGCAGTCCGTCCGAAGTTGCTGTTACAAGGCCCAGCATTTCCCTGCCATCTGCTACGGTGCTCCGTGTGAAACCACAGCCCTATGTCACGGAAACCGCAATTCCACGGCAAAAATCTGTAACACTTCGTTTCTGATATCTCTCATACGACGCATACGCAGCCGCCGCTGCTGTCACTTCACGTTCTATCTCCTCACTTGCCTCCTCATATAGCATACTCATAGAAGACAAGCGACCGGTACATTTTGGCACATTTCTGTACTTTGCAGCGCCTCAACAAGACCTTTTACGACCGCGGACAGTTTTAAGAGACGGGCCAACCCTATACCATTATGCAACTATGATATACGAGCAAGCCGTCGATTTCACCGCCCCCAGCCCGGGCTCGCCACCGGGCATGACTGCCTCCAAATCCTCCAAATCCTCCTCGTTCCACTCGATCAGTTCCGACGACAACAGCGTTCTATCAGATGTCAACCACTTCGAAGATATCGGTCTTGACGACGACACGATCCCCCGCCATGACCGGGACAATATCAAAAGCCAGCCGAACCGGTTCTCTCCTTCATTCTCCGCCGACCTTAGGGTCGCTTCTTTACAACAAAAAGGCCCGCACACACATGCACATATGTCGCGGGACCTAGCGAATATACGCCGCCCAAATGCATCGCCCAACAGCCGCCCGTCCTATCCCAGCCTGCAAACACAAGTCCGATCCGTAAATGTGCGCAGCACGCACACCAATACTCTTCTTCCCGAGGCATCGTCTGCGAGAAGCCTATCAAGATCTTCGTCGCTTTCATTTCGCCATCGAAGCCCAAGCCCTCGTGTTCATTCGACTCCTGGCCTGAAAAACCCTTCATTACCGGCGAAGCTTAGGAGGAGCAGCTGGCAACCGACACGTGAGCGAAAGACATCGTTGGAGCTGGAGCTGGAGTGCGATGAGGACGAAGGCGACGACATCCCAGACGGGCTCGTTTTAGACAACGTGCCAATCTCGCCACGGCCGCCGTCAGAGCGCTCTCGACCCGTCAGCTCTGCAAGTTCTAAGACCGGCTCACCTGATCGTGGTTCCAAAGATAAGCGCAAAAGCGTGGGAAATGGTACGCCGCCGGTTGCTATCGCCCAAGGGTCGCTGCGGTCACCGGCATGGAGATCCGAGGCGCTCAAATCGCCCGGGGAGATGCCTGGTCCGGTCAAGATGCGGGCGAAGAGCTGGACTGCCGCACTTTCTGAGCTGAGTCTAGAAGCTAAAGTCCTGACGGAAAAGCTGGAAGAGCACGCGGACGAGTTGCAGCAGAAGGCACAGCGGTCTAGCACGGGCTCCATGCCTGTTGTACGACGAATTGTGACGGACCCTGTGAACAACAAACCGCGGCACAATTCGGCTCATCCGGAACTCCCGCCTCTTCGGCGAAGCAACATCATGATCGACCCGCTCCCGGTGTCGAAGGAAAAGGAGGCCGTACTCTCCCGGACCCGCCCATCGTGGCTGCCGCCCAAGGATCCTGCCGAAGAACGACGGCATCTGAAGGAGTACCAGAAGATGATGGCTCACAGCGCCGAGGCAGAGCGCCGCCGCGAGGCGGACCGCCGTGCACGGTCAGACTGTCGGGACACTGCCGCAAAGGGCCTGATGCAAATTTGGGAGCAGGACATCATTCCACGGTGGTCAGAAGCGGTCAGGGAACGCCGAACCCGCGAACTTTGGTGGCGAGGAGTTGCACCACGGAGCAGAGGTGGCGTCTGGGCAAGAGCCATCGGAAACGAACTAGGCCTGACAGAAATGTCATTCCAGGCAGCGCTCGGACGAGCTAGTGAGGTGGAGGCGCGCATCAAAGCTCAGACTGGAACACCGGACGACGAACGCTATGCGTCACATTTTGCCGCGATTCGTAGAGACGTTGAGCACTCTACATGGAAAGATTTGAAGATCTTCCAGGCTGGCGCACCGCTCAACCTCGGCTTGATGGACGTTCTGATGGCATATTCCATGTACCGAAGTGACATCGGGTATGTCTCGGGCTGCAACGTAAGTGATTTTAGATGGCCTTTTTCCAGGATGACCGTGGCATGAAAGGCGTGCCGTTCCTTTCATATTTAGCTCAAAGCTTGGTGCATGTATCGCTGACAATTTCACAGACCATTGCAGCTCTGCTGCTTCTGAACCTGCCTGGTCCTGCATCAGCTTTTGTTGCATTGGCAAATGTACTGAACCGCCCGCTTCCGCTCAGTTTTTACGCCGCAGATTCTGGTGCCAAATCGTCGGCTTATAATCTGCTCTTGCAGACCCTGTTGGCAAAGTCTCCTGCTTTGTACTATCACATCACCAGCTTCCCTGACCATGAGCCCGACTATTGTTTCGGAAGTTTATTCACGTCCTTGTTCACAAACTGCCTTGCTCTGGACGAAGCTGCCCGGCTCTGGGACGTCTATGTTTTCGAGGGCGACGCGATACTAGTTCATGCTGGCGTTGCATATGTCATGGGGAAGGAAATGGAGCTTTTGGGGGCTAAGAACCAGGAGGAGATTCGCTCGATCCTCCACCGCTATGAGGACGGCCATGGTGGACGCCGAGCTGTTGTTGCCCAGTCGGGCGAAGAAGACCGCTGGATGAAGTCAGTCAGAGCAGTCGGTAAGGCATAAGACGCGAATTCGCCGAAACTGTTTTCCCATCAAGCACCTTTCTTTATACGCACTTACGACAATTACTGAGCATCCGGAGTTGCGACAACACGAAGCGGATTCTTACTAGTAATGTTTTTCTTTCTCGTTTTTTTCGGATATTGATCCAAAAAAAAAAAACTATTGGGCATACTTTATCTTCAAACACAATTATGCGAGTCATGCCTCACCCTTTTTGGTTAAGATTTGGGGGTATTCCTGGGAGTTCATCGTGAAAGCGGGTTTTGGGATGTAATTAGTGCAGAGCTAACATAGAGGGAGAGTGAGCACGTATACAACGCCGCCAGGCTCGTACGCTACCCTGTCAAATTCCAGTGCCTTTCTTAGCCAAACAACAGAGCCGTTGTGTTGTTTGGGTGTTTCGCTACGGAGTGGCATTTGTAATAGCAATTTCTTTCATTGGTTTGATATTGCATCGTTGGTGTCCTCGTCCCGATCAGGCGGCCTTTGACCACGCAATATTGCACCGTAGTACGGCTGCTTGCGGGGCCTGGTGATGGTGTCCGAGCACGTATGGCCCTCCTGTGCTCTCGGCTTACGAGTAATTCAGACTCAAGAGCGCGATAAGATCCCGCAAAGAGCAAGCCAAGAGGTCTCATCGGCTCACTTGCACGTGCGTCCAGGCCGCAACGACCCGGAGTGGCGAGACACAGCTGTTCAGCGAGCCGTGTCCTAGCTGCCATCTTCGAGAACACGCGATGATGTAGCCTGTGTTGGGGTTGTGAGAACCTCAACATTGAGGACGATTATTGTAGCCACTTGCCGGTGGGCTACGTGGCATGTTTCAAAGCGGTGAGCCGCGTTTGGGCAGAGCATCCTGCCAAGCTTCGACATGTGCTTTTTTTTTTGTGTTATTTGGGGGGAGGGTTTGTTTTTGCGAACCCGTCTTCAGCAGAAAACGCGGGGCTGCGCTTCTCGAGGACGATAGCCATTACGCTTATGGGTGAGGACGGTGCGTAACCTAGGGCATTTATTACTCAGGGTGTAAGTGCGTCAAGGCAACGGTATGTAAGATCATCGCGTATGTGGGAAAAAAAGTTGGGTTAGACGAAAGCTGAACGTGTAACATGCCGAAAAGAAAGTGTCTAAGCCTTGGTGGCAATTTGATGCGTTCCGCTGACTTCGTAATTAGGTATGGCTTAGAGATCTGTGTCGGCTTTCACAAGCTTTGGCCGTTCTCCCGAGGTTACAATCGGGCCTCATACATTCAATCGACATTACAACACGTACAAGTAGTAAATCATATGTATCACGATAACGACCGGATGGGTGAATCCCATGTCTCCGATATGACAGCAAATAAGGGTGGCGTTTTGCGCCAAGAATATCATATGCGGTAAAATCGGTTGTGGATGGCAGCTAGCACGTGGAGATTGCCCCGATGAGTTCCTGATCCGGTAAGGCGACCTGCGCTCCCTCAACAAAATCAAGACTACATACCCCAACGGAAAAAAAAGCGGATCATTGCCCTAGTCCCCTAGGTAGAGCTTCGCTTTGACATGTGAATACGGAGTACTGTTGTTATTGTAAGTGAGACGAGGGCCTGTCGTATAATGAGTACTGTGATGAGTAGGGTATTCTGTAGGTGTAGAGAGGCGAGTAGAGGTGACTAATGGTAAGGATGGAAGCAAATATGTTGTGCATCTCGGAAAATGAAGCAAAGAAAAAGAAAAAGAAAAGAAGAAAGGCGAAATAAACGAGAAAGGCGATGGCGCAAAACGATTGGCGAGTCAGATACATATTACGACGTACACAAAATTAAGCGGCGGCCTGGGCGACGCGGCTCTTAGTGCTGTAGTGCCATTTGCCCTAAGATATTTTTATGGCCCTTTTTCCTCTTCCAGCTACTCGGAGACTATCGGCCATTGCCGTTGGGGGGAAGATGCGCTGGAGCGATTGCGGTGAAGGGCTAGAGTAAGATACCTGTACGTACTCTATAGCGGGAGCAAAGTTTTCAGTGGCCAATGGCTTGTTGGCGAGAATCTCGTACGAAGCCGAGTGCCTGAAATATGCCTTGGACCAAGGGGAGGGCACCAACAATGCCGGCGTTGATTCTAAGCAGCCGGGCCGTCGTGGCCTTCGGCCGAGGACCATCAGGTCCGTATATTGCCCAAAGTAGCGTAGAGAACGAAAGACGCAGAAAGCACTGTTTGGTAATTGGCCAAGGATGGCTTACGTGCCGCTATAATACGGGGCGCGTATCAAAGGATATTCCAGAAGCACCCGCCATAGGACGTCTCAGCAGGATGAGTACGAGTACGGACAACAACAACCACACACCACTGTCCCGAAAAGAATCTTTGTACGGAGTACTCCGTACACCAGCCGTACTTATTTTAAAGTTTTCTTCTCCACAATAGGGCGCTGTCTCTCCCCTTCCAACGCATTTTTTTTTCTCACATTCCTCTTCCAAATATCAAATATTCTCCCCCCCCCCCCTGGCTTTTTTGTTCTTTGTTCTTTCGCCCGGAAAATATTCACCCCTCTTTAACACATATATAAGATCCCCTCTCCCCCGGTATACTTTCGGAGACGTTGGGCAGGACCAGACACTTGTCTTTACCGAGGACACGTCGGCCACCAACAATGGCTACCACTACTTCCTCCAGCCTGCAGGCTGCTAAGAACCCTGCCCTTCGGCGGACGATGAATGCGGCCACAGGAGACCCGGACGCCTCTTCTCCTTCAACTGCCGCCCAGTCACCGGCCGACTCGCCCCGACCGTCGGCTTCTTCGACCTCTCTCTCGTCTCTCTCGTCCATGGACGAGATCGCCAACACCAAGGTGTCGTATGGCAAGTTGCTCGACACATATGGAAATGAATTCGAGGTGCCCAGCTTCACCATCAAGGACATTCGTGATGCCATCCCCAAGCACTGCTTCAACCGTTCGGGCCTCCGAGGAATGGCCTATGTTTTCCGCGACCTGTTGTACCTCTCCATCACCTTCTACCTTTTCCACAACTTCAACACTCCGGAGTATGTCCCGTCTGTCATCGTTCGTGGTGCTTTGTGGGCCATTTATGGTTTTCTCCAGGGCCTTTTCGGTACCGGCATCTGGGTTCTAGCCCACGAGTGTGGCCACGGCGCCTTCTCCCCGTCAAAGATGTTCAACGACACTGTGGGCTGGGTCCTCCACTCCTCCCTGCTCGTCCCCTACTTCAGCTGGCAGCTGTCCCATAGCAAACACCACAAGGCAACCGGCAACATGGAGCGCGACATGGTTTTCCTGCCCCGAACCCGTGCGGACCATGCCACACGGCTTGGACGCCTTGTTCACGAGCTGTCGGAACTCACCGAGGAAACCCCAATTTATACCTTGATGATGCTCGTGCTGCAGCAGCTCGTTGGTTGGCCGAACTACCTCATCACAAACGTCACTGGCCATAACTATCATGAGCGCCAACGTGAGGGCCGGGGCAAGGGAAAGAAAAACGGGTTATTCACCGGAGTAAACCATTTTAATCCGAATAGCCCGCTTTATGAGAACCGAGATGCCGGCCTGATTGTTCTGAGTGACATTGGCGTGGCGCTGACTATGACTGGTCTCGTCTATCTCTGCCGCACATTTGGCACTGCAAACATGATGGTTTGGTACTTTTTGCCTTATCTATGGGTCAATCATTGGCTAGGTTAGTGCACTGAAATTGGCTTGGTCAGACGAGATCTGGCGAGAGAACCAGCTAACAACCCTTTCACACATAGTGGCTATCACCTTTCTCCAGCACACCGACCCCTCTCTGCCTCATTATACCCCGGATGCGTGGAACTTTGTTCGTGGCGCGGCAGCGACCATCGATCGTGAATTTGGCTTTATCGGGCGTCACCTCCTGCATGGTATCATCGAGACCCACGTTCTTCATCACTACGTCAGCACCATCCCGTTTTATGAGGCCGACGAGGCCACGGAGGCGATCAAGCCGGTCATGGGGAAGCACTATCGCTCCGACGTTAAGGACGGCTCGTGGGGCTTCATCAGGGCTATGTACACAAGTGCGCGGATGTGCCAATGGGTAGAGCCTAGCGCCGAAGCCACAGAGCAGGGCCAGGGTGTGCTCTTTTTTCGCAATCGCAACGGGCTGGGTGTCAAGCCGATGAAGCTTGAGCCGGTCGCCGAAACCGCTGCGTTATGATCAGTTTCTTGGGATTTTTTGAAGTGCGAGTTATATATTTTCGCATCTAGAAAGCTGGGTTGTCGAGATGTCCCGTACTGGAAAGAGCCGCGGGAGGGTTGGTAGAAATAAGACGAGCGAGCATGCATTTCGTTTTGACAATTTCGAAGTCAAAAATATTATTGTATAGAGTAGGATAACAATGATGTATGGACACGATAAGTTCCCGTCTCGACAAGTGAGAACTCGACTCGTGATTGGGGGCCTATTGAAGGTGGAGAGTAACACATGTGCAGTGTGGGAGTGAGACCGGCGACACAGCAGCACGGTACCTTCCGGTTTGTCCGGCAGTGGCTGCGATGAGGGGTAACAGAAGCTCAATAACGTTACTGGTCAGTTGCTATATCGTTGACAGACTCTCGTACGGAGTAAGATGCAAGATAGATTTTCCGAATGCGCTGTCAAAATTCGTGACTAAGACAGAAGACAGTCTTACCTCTTGATAAAATTTATGCCCTGTACTACCGAAGCTTCCCAAGAGTCTCCCAAGCTCCTTGTCTGTTCCGTCTTCCCGTCCGTTAAGGGATTTAATTGAATTTCTCGCTTTTGCTGTTATGCGTTTTGATCACTTCGAATAAGCCCCTTCCATCCACTCATTCGACTGTCAAGCTAGCAATTTGCAACTATGCAGCACCTTTTAGCCCTTTCTTTCCAACGATATGGATGCATTGGTCATTAATTAGGTCTTTGTCAGAACTCGTTTCTACAACGTCTTTTTCGCGTATAAGCAATCAATGATGCGTATTTGCTCCTTTTTCGACCGCCGGTAGTGAATAGTTGTGCCAAAGTACAAGTTTCCACCTCAATGCCACCCGGATTATCTCGTGTAGGTTAATTTGACCATTGTTAGTGGGGATGTCCCCGAATATCTCTCATCATCTAATCTGCAGAAGTATCCACAAGAGTCAGACATGGCAAGTTAACGAGCAAAGTCTAATGTGAACAGCATTTTTGTCACAATCAATATCGGTTCCCAGCTTAGCTTACTTTCGGCGAGTTTCCTCGCCACAGGCCAACACTCCGTCATAGTTGACAATGCCATCATCTTCAGGGGTTGTTAATGATTTAAATTGGTTGTGACATATGCTAAGGAATGGCATACTCAAGTCTATGGTTGAGTTGGTTTTCATTTTACTTAAAAGTAGCACACGCACATCGAAGTCGCATGTGCTCAACGGAAATACACGCAGAACAGTAGACTGTAAGTTTTCCACTGTTAATTTGGTTAGCTGGCTTTCGTAACAAGGCGACCGTCTTCCAAAGGCTAAGTGGTATCCCACTATATTGACCAGCTCAGCTTCCCGGTACGTTGATCGACGCCGATACAGAGATTCATATCGAGAGTTGAGTTGTGTGGGGAAATCCTGTCGTCGTCTCTCAAACAGGTTGCAGTTAGAATGTCTAGTTTGTTGGTCGCTCCGTTGTGTAGCAGAGGATTAAAGCAGCTCTTCGTAAAGTTTCCAAGATCGGCCATCACTGTGGCTCCGTACAAGGAGACCATGACCACAGCCGAAAGAAAAACAGGACACAGCATGACATATACTAGAGCCTATACCATCAATGTTGTTCGCATGTGCCGTGAAAAAAGAAGAATTGTATGGGCTGTTGTGATGTTTCTGGTGTGTGAAATTTCTGCAAATCAAAGCAAATGTGGCCGAATTTTGAAGAAGCCTTATTCGGTCTCAATCAAGTGGGCACCGACCGGTGTGAATTAAATCTGACGTTGGCAGAGCTAAGTTTGTACGACAACAAATACAGATTTGTATGAGTGTCTCCGCTCCCACAAGGAGTGGAGGCGTAAAATCAAACGTGACATAGTTTTCGCAGCACATAAGGCAAATGTAAAATAAGAAACTCTTCTTGAAAGAGAACTATGTGCTAAGGACAGCTATAGTTGACCGAGAGTTTATAGAATAAGGATAGCAGTTCCATACCCACCGACATTTTCGCAGCCGTTACCTAGGTTATGCCTACTGAACTATTTCTTCAGATTCCTCTAGAACCTCTTCGACTATCTCCTCAACGACCTTCTCTTCCTCTCCAGAGGCTATCTCCTCCGTCTTCGCCCTGAGCAGCTCCTCCACCAGGTTCTTGGGAATATGCAGAGCATCACGCTCCTCGTCAAGATCCTTCTCAACAGACGCGCGCCAGGAAACCCACTCTTCAAGAAGGCGACGCCGGCGGTCAATAACCTCCTGATCAGCGCCAGCTATCCGCTCTGCGTCTTCCTGATCAAACACACGCGAATAATCACGCAGGTTCTTGCGGATCGTCTTCTGCTCCTCTTTTGAAAGTAGTGTCGCAGGGCGAGGCCTCCATTGCCACTGCTTGAATTTTTCGAGGTGCTCCTCTCGCAACAATTCACCCCTGAAATCGTACAGGTGATAACCGTTCTCCATCTACATATGTTGATCTGGTTAGTAAATATGCTAAAAAAATAGAACGTATACCAAACAATGCATGCTGAACTCACGCTGTGCTTCCAGGCAGACGCCCAAGTTGCGACAAATCTTCCAGATGGGTCCCATTCAACATCTGTAACCCCGTAGTGCTCGGCGACGTTCATTAATTGAAGGTTTGCCGTCAAGTCCTTTTCAGCCTCGGGCTTCTCGCCTTCAAAGTCCAGGTCGAAGAACTCAAGCTCCGAAGCTTGCTGACTATGCACCGTAGCGATGACAACAAAGCGTCCCTTGGGTGACCAGTAAATAGCATTGCTGTTTTTCTTCTCAAGAGTTCGGAGGTGCTTGAAGTTTCCAACTGCATTTCCCTTTGCCTTCTCTGGTGCGTAAAAGGAAACAGACGTCTTTGGGGGAACTGCAGTGGGCCCGGTCGGCTCTGATGTTGTGATTATCACAAATCGGTCACCCTTGGGCTCCCAGGCAAAGTTGATAACCGTATCCTTGATCGTGTCGAGGACTTCCACAGGAACACCCTTCTCCTTGACGCGGAATATTTCGAGTGTTGTTGCCTGAGACTTCTTCGATTTCGAGTGCCGGTCCACCTTGACGCAAAGATACGCAGCATCGGACTGCCAGTGAAGTTTGGCATCTGACACGCTAAACAAATTCAACGTGCGAACAATCTCCTTCGACGGGACGCTCATCAGGCCGACCTTGGCCGGATTGCTTCCAATCTCGGGCGTCCAGTAGCAAAACAGTTGCTCATACGTCTTGACACCGTCCCGCTGAGGTAGTGCTGGTGCCCAATCAAAGTCCATCACGCCTTCAATTTTGATCGTTGACTTGTCTAGAAGGTTCATCCGGGGAAGCTCGTAGACAGAAATGGCAGACCCCTGTGTCAGCCGGGCAACGTACTTGTCGTCCGAAGACCACTTGAAAGCAGGCCAGGGGGACTTCTGTTGCTGCTTCCCAGCACCCTCATCGTCACCCTTGTGGACGTCATTGTTCGCAAATGACCGTAGAGGTTTTGCGGTTGCAACATCCCAGATAACGTAGTTTTTGCCATCGTCGTCTAAGCTCAGCGCTGGATGACCTTCGTCAGGGATCGAGATCGGGCGACCAGACCAGGTGACAATATAGTTTTCCGTGGGTGAGAACGCCACGAGGTTAACGAAAGGGTGGGGAAATCTGCCCAATCGGTCCCACTTTGGCCCACCCCAGAGCTGAACGCCCTGAATGTGAACGGATGTCAGGTACGTTCCAAGAGGAGACCATTGAACGAAGCTTTCCGTCCAATTTGGTCGGTCGACAACGCTTTCCGGTGCTTCCTTTTCGCTGTTCCAGCAGACGCCGACGTTGTCGCCACGGTACATAACAAATTGGTCTCTGCCCCGACCGCTGGGGTCTGCCAAGAACGAGCGCAGATGGTCCTTCGGCTGGAACTCGTCGATGACTGGCGCTGTGTACTCTTCGTCGATTCGTCCCTCCCTTCCATATCGCTCGATGTCGGTCAGCTTGTTAACTCGCAAAACGTGCTTCTTGTCGAGGGGAACATTGTCAAGTTGCCTGACGGCGGCCGCAGCTTCGCCAGGTGACGTAAACTCAACAAAGGCAAATCTGACCAAACGCGTTAATCCTCAAAAATACTGCAGAGACATATTTGGGCAATGACGGCATAAGAGCATACTGTAGTGATTTGCCGTCTGGGCCTATCGGCATCTCAATCATGTCTTCTTTAGTTCTTCCAACAGAGTTCAGCTTTTTCAACAGGAACTTGACAAGCTTGGGCTTCTGCTCCGGAGTTACAACCGGAAGTCCATCGATGACGACAAACGTATCAAGTCCTTCCTCTAGCTGCACCTCGTACTTGGCGCGAAGATCCGAAATATCGACATCATCCTCGTCAAACTCGTCCTCGTCGAGGTCTGCCTCGCGCAGATGATCAAATGAAGGCGCCATGATGATCGGCCGGCCAATGCTCTTTTCTACTATAGCTCGATAGAAAAGCCTTTTTTGCTCATGGGAGCAATCGTGATGCGTAGGCTATCGTACCCAGGGCTCGTAGTTACGGGGATTTCTTTGGGCGTGTTAATCTCGCGACAATATTTTTTGCATTGCAGCTTTTCCGTGTGCAAATGTGGGGCAGGTCTTCCTGCCCCTCAGCCAGCGCAAAAAACGGCGTTAGTTTAATCCGAGTGGTAGCGGAACAATGCACATGTATTGATCCGTTTTAGCGGGGGAATGTGGTAAAAAAGTGGTAGCTTAGGAAGAGCAATTGGAGCTACTACTACGAGTAGGCAACAGGCACACATCTAATGCTTGCAATCAACAGTACGAATTCCTGCATTTAGTTCCCTACTCCGTTGAAGTTGCTAGATATCTGCCATGGTGAGTACTACGGGCTTGGGCCATTAGCTTACTGTGACTTAATATATTTTTAACGATCTGTACAGGCTTCATTCAGCCCGACTCAGATTTTCGACGAGGGGACGACTGAAGAGAAAGGAGAAAATGCACGGCTTTCTGCCTTTGTAGGCGCCATCGCTGTTGGCGATCTGGTCAAAAGCACTCTTGGGCCCAAGGGGATGGACAAAATTCTGCAGTCGGCGTATGTGTACCTCAGCACTGGGATTTGGGGGATTTCTTGCCGAGCTGATGGGCCTGACTTTCGTTTGACGTCGTTGCACAAGCTGACTGCATATCTACAGATCTACCGGAGATATTATTGTCACGAACGATGGAGCTACGATATTGAAGTCGATCGCTCTTGACAATGCGGCCGCAAAAGTGCTCGTGAATATCTCTAAAGTCCAGGACGACGAGGTTGGCGACGGCACGACGTCGGTTGCTGTGCTCGCAGCCGAGCTTCTACGCGAAGCGGAGAAACTAGTGGACAAGAAGATCCACCCCCAAACCATCATTGAGGGTTACAGGATAGCCAGCCAGGCGGCGCTGCACGCGCTGGAGCAGTCTACCGTTGATCACAGCAAGAACCCGGAACTTTTTAGGAAAGATCTTGTCGCCATCGCAAGAACTACACTCAGCTCCAAGGTGCTCGCACAAGACCGGGACCATTTTGCCGAACTTGCCTGTGATGCCATTTTGCGTCTTGGCGGCTCGGTTGACTTGAGTCATATCCAGATCATTAAAAAAACAGGCGGCAAACTCGGGGAATCCTACCTCGATGAAGGCTTTATTCTTGACAAGAAGATCGGCGTGAACCAACCAAAGCGACTTGAGAAAGCGAAAATTCTTATTGCCAACACTCCTATGGACACGGACAAGGTGAAGATTTTCGGTGCTCGGGTCAAGGTCGGCTCGACAAGCAAGCTGGCCGAACTTGAGAAGGCCGAAAGAGAAAAGATGAAAGCGAAAGTGGAGAAGATCAAGGCTCACGGGATAAACTGCTTTATTAACAGGCAGCTGATCTACAACTGGCCTGAGCAGCTCTTCGCGGACGCTGGCATCGTCTCCATTGAGCATGCAGACTTTGACGGCATTGAGCGCCTGGCACTTGTCACGGGCGGTGAAATAGCGTCGACATTCGATCACCCAGAGCTGGTCAAACTGGGCCAGTGCGACTTGATTGAAGAGGTTATCATCGGCGAGGATACACTGATCAAGTTCTCTGGTGTTGCGGCGGGTCAGGCTTGCACCATTGTACTCCGTGGCGCAACAGAACAGCTGCTGGACGAGTCTGAGCGGAGTCTGCACGATGCGTTGGCTGTGCTGTCGCAAACGGTCAAGGAGCCGCGGACGACGCTTGGTGGAGGATGTGCTGAAATGCTGATGGCAAAGGCGGTTGAAAATGCGGCAACCCGTGTGGAGGGCAAGCGGCAGTTGGCCGTTGGCGCTTTCGCCATCGCCCTTCGTCAACTCCCGACAATTCTTGCGGACAATGCCGGACTGGACTCTGGTGACCTGGTTGCAAGACTGCGGAAGGCCATTTACGATGGCATGTCAACCTATGGGTTGGATCTGACAACTCCAGGCGGTGGCCTGGCCGATATGAGAGACGTTGGGGTCATCGAGAGCTACAAGTTAAAGAAGGCAGTCGTCTCGTCGGCAAGCGAGGCAGCAGAGGTCAGCTAAACACGAGGCTACTGGGCTGACGCCGCAATTCTCACACGAATATGGCTAACAGAAGCAGTTACTTCTCCGGGTAGACGACATCATCCGCGCGGCGCCACGGCGACGAGAGAGGATGTAACCACAATTGGAATGGGGATACGTTTCGGCCTCTAGCAATGCCGTCGTAACATAGCCTCGTAGACTTTGACTCACCTCGCCCACGGCTACTTATGTCAGCATCGCATATATTTGTATCATTTACAATTGCCGATAGTTTTTATTCCAGATTTGCCACAAAGGGGGGATACTGTAATAAAACGGGCACATGGGAGCTTAGCATATGTTTTGGTTTTGTAATATGTGATTACCATTATATCTGAAGCAGTACTGCTCATCAAATTGCTTGCAGCGCGTCACCTATCTACCCAAGGAACTGTGAGTATTGGTTTTATCGAATCATGAGCTTTGTGTCCATTATTATAACTAAATTTCAACACTGCTCGTTTTCACTTCCACGTCCCTTCATTTACTGTGTATATGTACTGCTTCCTGCGGGTTCCGAATCCAAGAAAGTGACCTGGAAATTGCCTTGAAGATGCCGTTAGTTGTGCGCTTGCCATTGTGTCAACGTGGAAAAGTACGAATCACACCGGCATCAATACGACAACCTGCTTCGTCACTGCAAATGACAACGGATACTCCACAACCAAAATTGGGCTTGACGAAAAATCGGACAAAGTGCAGTCAGCTGAGGTATAAGTTCTATCTGGAATTGTTTCAGCCCATGATCCAATGCAGGGTCAAGATTGTTAGCCAATTATTACGGAATACAGTCCATAGTTTAGTGGCTTCGATTGACCCATAATCGAAATTCGAAATCTCGCCGGGATTCGACAGACAGTGTAGTGTGTCTGAGTGAAAGTCCCATTTTCAGCAAACATGCTACATAATAAGATGAAACGGAAGGAAACAGTAACCGCGCTTGTGCTTTGAGCTTTTTTGGGTGCACAAGTAATCACCAAATTACATCTAGCAAGCGGTTTCCATGATTTTTTAAGACTTAACGAATGGATGTGGCATTTTCCCAACACGCTTTTCCCATGTCCAAATAAGACTGTCTCCTTTCTTGGCCGTACTTGCCTGCTCCGCTCAGGAGCCTTTGTCTGGCCACCTCGATCTTCTTCACCGTGTCGGAGCTGATGCATAACACGGGGTCGAACGACTTCAAGCTGGGTTCTCCCATCGTTGCCAGTGCTGCCAGGCCCAAGTATGAATGGTACAGATCGGGAGGCCCGCCAGGGCATTTCGAAAACCCGCCGATGACGTGCTGCATTTTCTCAAGCAAAAATCGTCGGCTTGGCTCGATGACCTCTCGGTCATCAATGGTACCCTGGTGCAGGTTGGCCAAGGTTCCCATCGTCCACCAAGTGTAGCAGGTATCTGCCGGTTTGTTACTTCGTCCGTTAAAACCAATATACCTAGGATGTCCCCCCGCTGGCTGTGCGATCGCCGCAACTTCTTCAGATTCTGCTGTGCCTTGAACTTCGTCTTCGACCTCGTCCTCATCTTGGGAGCAAGGTGAGCTAGGCAGCACTTGCCGAGATGCCAACCAATGAATAAATGCTGGCTTGTCCGGGATATCCCGGTCAAATATATCGCTCGAGGTCTTTGAGGCTTTCTCCTGGGGGCGGTCGAGAAGTGACAAAGCCGCGATAGCACAGAAGGCATACCCAGCTAATACAGGAAAAAAGGAATTGTCAGCAGACGAACGATAGTTGCGCGCTTTTGATTTTCTCGCTCCGTGACAGATGGGGGAGAGGCAAAGACTGCCTGGGATCGGTGTGGTAACGGACCGTGGCTTTCGTGCATCGAACTTTCTGAAAACCCTCCATCGTACGTCTGACCCTTGCGAATATAGCGAACCAGAGCATCTACATCGATGTCCTTAACCCATTCACCATCACCCTTTTGGGTCTGGCCGCGGAGCATCCACCGAATCATAGAGGCAATGTAACAGTAGCGTGTATCAGAACCCCCGGCAATCACCAACCGGCGACCGTCTGGCGCTTCCAGATCAACAACATCCACGAGAACCTCGCCAAAACTGCCATCCTTCCGTTGTAACTGACTTAGCCAACTCAAAGTCGCCGCACGGTTGACACCGATAAAAGCGGATTCTGCCGCCACACCTTCGTTTATGTCCGTGTCGTCAGAGAGCAGTGCCAGCAATTGCAAAGCGAATAATGTCGCGGCCAAGTTGGCTGCACTGTGCGTTCCGGCCACCGGCTGCCCCGTTATGAAGTCAAAGCCATCGTATTCTGAGCTCGAGTGAGCATGGGTCGGCCCCCCCGCAAAGCCACCACACGGGTGTTGGCACGCCAGGACCCAATCGCGCAATTTCTGTTTGTCTGTGGGCGATATGATCGAGGGTGAGCCTGGAGGTAAGAGCAGGTCGATGGCAGCTACGATAAAGCAGCCCAGGGTCATGCGGGTGCTATCATTACTTGTGTACTGGTGCGGCAGGAGGCTACGCAAGCAGCGCTGCCAGTAGCGGATGTGACGGGTATTGTCGAATGGAGGGTCCATTGGGAGAAGGGGGGACGGTTGAAGTCGAAAGTGAATGCGAGTACGAGTGTCAAGAACCACTTCAGAGAAAATGCGGGAACTAATGCCAATCAGCTATGATGGACTCGTCGCGCCTTCTTTCTTACTACCCCTGAACTGGCGGAAGGAGGGGTTGTAACGTATTTCGCACTGCAGCCAATTGGACGTCACGGCAAGCTTACATAGCTCCTGCGCAGTGGCGCATTGCCATACAAAAGCCGAGACTAAGCTGAGACTGGGAGAAGTACTTCTGACTTGTTATTTTGTTCTACGCATTTTTGCTCGACTCCCATCTTCGACATTTTTACTCTGCTCTGCATTCCCAAATAAGACAAATCGACAAATCGAAGGCGTTTTTTGGTTGTCTCCACCATATATGGAGTAAGATACATTCGACGCTTGTATCTTACGACTACCACCACCCCGAATTTCGTATCTTCTAGGTACTGGTATATTGGCTCATTCTCGCGCCCGAATCAAGGACACTTCTCTACTGGGCCCTTTCGTGAAATACAAACGCAACAACGCCCTGCTTTTTAGGACGCAGGCAATCGGATAACTAGTACAGCTTCAGCAGACATAAAGTAGTATCATGGCGCTGATATCTGCGAAAACCATCATCACCTCACTCTCGCTCTTCCATATCACACTGGGATTTTTTTTTTTCACAAGCCCCATCACCGTCGCAGATCAAGCCTTGGTCTACATATTGGGCGAAGCGATGGGACTGGTGAGTGATGACTGCCGTTTCTCTGGCCAGAAATGTGATACCCAGGCTTGCCGCAGCTAACGCAACTTCTCGTGTCTTGACCCAGCCGTACTCTAGAAGCTTCGATGCGCCCTCGCCTGTCCTTTCTTTCCTCGCCGCCGTGCTCGCTTCTGTCGGATTGAGCGACCTTGTCACTCTTAGCCTGCCCGAGGAAATAAGCTTGATCCATTACTGGGGTACTCAAGGTGAGTTCACTTTTGTTTCACCCACAGTCTGCTGTTGATGACTGACTCCTACAAAGCTCCTCTCCGCCTCTTCATCTCTTTGAGCCTGCTCCTCTACTCTTTCTTTTTCAGCGCCTCCTCTCCATTTTATGGCGGATCGGGATCCCGTACGCGGCATGCGCCCAATCCGTCAATCATTAGCCCCGGCGACGGTCTCAAAAACCGTATCTTCTTTACTTACATGTTCGTCGAAACGGTTTCATGGTTTTGGATTTGGGTGACACTACGCGAAGAGAGAATGCAAATACTGGCTAGGAAAGCAAGAAGACGTAGCCATATCAGCAGTTCTGGCGCCCGTTAACTCTCTGCAACAAACTTGCCGGGTGCACGTGGCGTCTTTTCTGCGGGCATCGCACCTACCGGACGTGGAGAGACGCTGTCTTCTTCATTCAGCAATCCCGGAATGGTTTATATACGGTTTCTTTGGTATATTGGTAAACTTGAGCGATTTCTCTCGAGTCGCCTATCTGATCAAAGGCCGTGCCAAGCCTACTCCAACTGGACCATGGCCCAGCCCTTCAGAGCCTCTCTCCAGCCGCCTACCAATTTAGCGGACCAGTCCCCCATGTCAGATTTTTCACCAAGCGTCGACAAGACTGCAAGTGACAGCTCATCAGCACTATCGGTCTTGCTACTGGTATCAGAATTCGCTATCCAGTCATTGACGCCGCTCTGAAACCCCGGCTCGGCCATTATGTCCTTGCTGAGCTTGATGATTGCCTTGAAGTCGGCGAAAGCCTGTGTGGACGTCACTTTTAGCGTCCGCGTGGCTGCTATGACGTCCTTGTGAAATCCTGACTTTCCGCTGCGGTCGCGTGCAGCTTCTCGGTCATGTAATGCTGTGAGAAACATCGATGTTTGCTTGATAGCAATAGCCGTGTCACGAAATAGCGACAGCCCATGGAGATTTGTGAATACATGCAGTACAGCTTCGGCAGCAACACCCCTTGAGCCCTGCGTGTCCTGAACGGATGAACGAGCTATGCCGTACATTGTCGTAAATGATGACATGATATCTGCAAAATACGACGGTACAGCTGTCGACTGAATCGCGGTGACGCCGATTACGGCTAGAGAGGAGAGCAGTGCCATGATTGTATAATGCGACAGTTCTGCGACAGTGAGCTTGCCTGGGGTGTCGGGATGGTGTAGAAACTCCATGAATGACGATTCGACAGCAGCCAACGACTCCAGGAGGTAAGCTCGCTCTCGTTGTGCTGCCTCGGCTTGCTTTGAAGGCTTGTACTCCTTAGGGGGCTTGTGGCTCATCAGGTCTAGGAGCTTCTCGGAGAGCAAGCCTAGGTGCATCCGAGTATTCTGGCAAGCGGACAGTCAGGGACAAAAACGCACATCCTAAAGGAGACTAAATGCAATAGTTCGCAAGGGCTTACCACAAGGCCTGGACCGATGGACAGCACTTCGGCCAGACTCGAGGTGGCTGAACAGTTCAGATTCGGCATCGATCCAAAGTCAGTCGCATCGACCAAGTTTATATCATTGGTGATTTCGGCTGCGATTCGCCGTGGAGGTTAGTATGATGGTCCTAGGGTTCTAGGGACCGTAGGCTACATACCGAAGATATAGACGCTCTCGACATCTTCTAGTTTCCCCCCAAACGCTCGGGCTGCGCGCCTCTCTTCAAGTACAGCCATTGCTCGCGTACAGCTGCGGTGCAGATTGTCGTTGAACTGGGCCATGTCCAGGATGCTGCTGTAACTCCCCGAGGTAAATGCATCCCATATCTTGACAGGCGAATGCTTCTGTAGGACGGTGGCATAGTATGTACGAAGGCCCTCAGTCAATGGCTTGCTCCCGTGAAACAACGCTGGAGCAACGGTTGACAATCGATCATAGAATAGCGGGCCAAGGGCGTCCAGAACGGTGCGCTTGACGCCGAGCGGGTTCCAAAGCTGAAGAGCACGTGAGGCCCAACCTAACAGCAAATAAACGCGTACGAGTAAAAGCTGCAGCGAAATCTCGGCCGGTGTCTGTTCTAATTGGCGTTCCAGAAGAGCAGTCGCCTGGAGGAAGCGTGCCCCGTTGGCAAACGAGATGTGCAGCTGGCCCATGTTCCCGTGACCCTTGTGATTCTGGATGCCTGCCAGCTTTATCAGGCAGCTTGCTGAAACCAGTATCAAATCGACTCGTGGGTCCTTGTCGACTCTCTGTATTCTCTCCAGGATATCGGCGTCTTTCGAGATCTTACTGTGCGCTTCTAGGCTGTCGAGGGCGATGTTGTGGAAACAGCTGGCGCATCCGTCTAGCCCGGCTGGCTGGCCACAATATTTGCATGAAGGTGTCGATGTGCCTGATGCATCCGTATTGTGCCACAGTGTCTGAGGACATGTGGCCAGTAAGTACCGTAGCTTATTATTCAGGACTGTCTGGTGCATTTTGAATACCGCTTCGTTGTCCTGTATCCCGTTAGAGCTGCGTCAACAAAGATAAGACCAGAGTGGGCTTACGTCATCCACAGAAAGAGCGGCCAGCTTTTGCAGCAAATCTTTGCTTTCTGCAAACGTAAGCCTTTCAACATAGCCTTTCACATCTCCAAAAGCGGATGCTCTTTCTATATTCGCCTGAATATAAACCAAAAGCTGTTCTACACGGGGAGAGGGTAAGCCTTCATCGCTCTCTGCGAGAAGTGAAGGTGGCAGTTCGAAGATTGTCTCTAGCAGTGCAATCCCGATGGTTTTTGTAAACATGCGTGGAATTTTGGATTTTGCCGAAATGAAGCTTTGTAGAACTTCCTGCACCGTGTCAAATGCCCTGTGATCGCAGTGTTAGTAACTTTGTTTGATATCCTCTCTACCCCCTGGCGTCTAATCGTCTGGAAAACTTTACTTCTCAACGTTTGCTTGCATTTTTGAAGCCATAACGAAGCTTCTCCATATTTGCAAATCACAAGCTATGGTGGAGGGTGCGCCTGAAGTAGCCGTTGTCTGCAATCCTTGTCGGCAAATGTCAAATACGGCACTCCATTGGCCTCTAGCTTCAAGCTTTGATATCACTTCGATGTAAGGCTGCTTGCGACCAAGCCGAAACTGCTTTAAAGCACCGGTTTCTGAATTCAGTGAAAGCTTCAAAAAATCTTCCACCGATCCATGATTCGCGACGACCCTGTAGTAGAGCAGAAACTCTTCCTCGTACTGAAGACTTCGCTCCTGGCCTGTTATGTGCGCCGCAGTGAGCTCTGCTGCCTTTTCAAGCTGTTTTTGGGCAAGCATGCCATATATCTTCTGCTTTCCATCAGGGCAATGTGAACTCGTCTAGGCCTGTTAGGATACACATGTGCTGTTTTTGGAGTAGATGTAAGCGGAAACACACAGACCGAAAGCATGTGGGTTAAAAGAATATTCCAGTACATGAAGCGCCTGTCATGTGAGTTGGAAGACCTGTCCATTATGGCAGCAATCTAAAAACATTGGTTACTGAGTGCTTTAGAAGTCGGCGTGTGAGAGTCGTATTCACTTGCTGGGAATTTATGAGGTCCCAATTGAGTAGGCATTCTCTCAAACAAGATGTAAGGCCTTTTGTGTCTTTAGTGTTTGCCTTGGCCCATCGCAATCGCAGAAGGCCAAGGGTTTCAGAGTAGCCCTGCAGCGGAGGAGCCCCAGCACATCCCCATTCAAGCAGGTCAATAGATTCAACATCCGCAGGTACTGTACCCTTTTTGACCCAGAGATCTACGGCCACTGCAGCCGCACATTTCTCTGATACCCCATCTAGCTTCGACTCGGCACAGATTTTGATAGTCTAGGCTGCTGTGTCAATCCTCAATATTCCTGATCAGAATCGTACCGTGGCTGTTAAGGAACAAACCTCATAGTAGGCGTCGCCGCTTGCCTTGGCCCTCTTGTCGGCCAAGCGAATCACCGTTGGCCAGTTCTCATCCGCAAATGCCGATTGCAGCTGAATATCCACGCCGTTTTTCAGGGCTGGTGGAATTTCGTCCCGATGCGTATATGCCATATTGATGGGAAGTCTGTATTATGTGACGAAGCAAAGGTTCGAGAAGAGAAGCCGAAAATTGTTATTGCAAGGCGTTTAACGCGCCACGTTTCTAGCACAGAAGAGCTGGGATTGCGCACCGTGGTTGAATTCAAATAAGAACTTCCATCACTAGCGACAAAAAAACAACAACCCCGCCAAATGCGAAGTCCGTGTAAAGCCAAGTGAATAGATATCGCACTGTGCACACCCGATCGACTTCGTACAAAAGCCCAAACCTACTCCGTACTACCCAACTGCATCCGCCGTGGCCCCTCACACATTGAACAAGCCCAACGCCCGGTCTGTGTTTTGTAAGATGCAAGGTAATTTACAAAATCGCGGGATTGTGGATAGTATTATCGACAGTCTTTTGCTGCAGTGGCAATAATTAAACACAACATGTTTCAGAAGAAAGATCCGTTCTTTTTGCGCTCTTCCTTTCGTTTGTCCAACTGTGCAACAGGTCAGGACAGACACAGTAACGACGAATTTGTAGGAGAACCAAGTCTTACCCATATCTTTTTGCAATCCCGGTAAGCCCTGAGCAAGACGCATGTTAGCGCATATTTTGCACGACTTGCTTGCACGACAAGAGCAGTGTAGATATTGGCAAGCCAAGTTTTTGTTGTCAAGCAGCCACAGAAAATATGAAGCAGCTTACTGAAAATAGTCCTGGCACATGGACCGCTCGCCACCGTTTCGGTGCAGACACCGAATGCTTTTTGCGGCAGCTTCTTGGCATGGGTCGAGAAACTCGCTTTTGCTCTTGCTGCAAAGGGACCGAATTAGACACGTGTTTACCATAGACGTAACCTAGCGAGCGACACCACATCCTGTGGTTGTTGTGCCGAACGAGCGTCTAGAAAAGGGGTATCGTTCATACGCTTCGAACTTCTCCTTGACCTCGGAGGTCCATGGCGTTGCCGATCTATTATCCCTGTTTTCTGCCATGACAAGCAGTATACTTTAAAACTAACCAGTGTTCCTTTATCGAAACTGAAGCCTGTCGGTCTAGTATCCCGGTGTTCTGTCAAGAGTACGATTCTCGTCATCATCGATAATGAGGAAATTCAACTAGTTCCGTTTCTTATCTTATCGCCATACAGCGCAAATCACGCAAGCGTCATGGAGCAATTCAGTTCGGTACGAAGTACTTTCAGTCCTGCTTGTCTTGACCAACCACTTTGCGCCATTACTTCAAGCTGGATGGTTAATATATGCTATTGGCGGGTAAACAAGTTATGTCTTGCAAAGTAAACAAAAACTAGGAGCTGAACATATGCACTGAATATCAACTAATGCCATTGGCTTGTGTCGAGCTTTGTCCTTCATCCTCGTCACATAGTCTATGACCCCTGATACCGGCCATATCTTTGATCCGGCCTGGCTTTTCCATCAAATCCCAGGCTATCTCCTTATTACTTTTTCCTCTATGACCCATTGCGTTGCTACGGCCCATGCCGCTGAGCCTGCTCTCGTCGGATGAGCTGAAAGAGCTAGCACTCGGACTTCTGTTGAGTACCATTTGCACACCTGGTCCTTCTTTCTTTTTGCGCTCGAGCTGGGCTTTTTTTATTTTTTGGTGGGCTTCGTCTTCCCAATGCGATGCTGTGACTTTCAGACCCGAAAAATTGCGCATCAGAAAATCTTTCAAGAAAGGAAGCATTTCTTTGCTCGGTCGGTATGTCCCAGAGTCATTGTCAATGATCAGTTGGTAACGTGCATTCAACTGTGGCGACGACTCCTTTGCCACGCCGTCAGTTGCCTGAGACTCAATGACTTCGGCCTGTTGATCCAACTTTGGACCTGCCGCCACTGTCGGCTCCGACAGACGGCGCACAAAAAACTCTCCCGAGAAGGCAATATAAGTGGCTACGTCGGAATGCATTGTGTGCTTAGAGAGCATATCGATGCCAAACTCCTTACCAGTCTCTGTGAAGCGCATCATACCATCGAGCGTTATGATATAAGTAAATATACGCCCGCCCTCGGAAAAATGCGCTAGTTTCAAAAATTGGAGGGTTGCCTCTTCTGAGAAAGGCTCGAAATTGCCATATTCTGTTGCAGCATCGTACCGGTAAACACGGCTGTGCTGTTTGTGCAAGGCCTTGTTTAGGACCCAACCGCTCAATCCACGGGACGAAAACATTCGGCCGATTATGGGGCGAAATTCAACATAGCGATGGTACAACTGTACGGGCACTGGTCCCTGAAGCTGTATCTCATTGGCTTGAAAACTGGGGAAGAGTTTAGTGCAACTGGAGACCGTACTACATAGTAAACAGAAGACAATTGGGCCACTCACTCGTATTTCTTCGTCCCCTTCCCATCCTTTTCGTTGTTATTGTCCTCCGGGTCATCCTCGTCTTGGCGTTCGTCTTTATTAACCCTTGTTCCCGTCAATCTGCCGATCATAGGCGAGAAGTGCCTTATCCAGGTCGTCGGCCCTAAGGTGTAGACTCTCCCACCCAGTCCCTCCGACTTACCCAATACCTCGATACTAAGCTCGAGGATTGGGGTTATGCTCGTGCAGCTCCGGAAAATCGATGCAGCTCCTCTTAGCATATATGCACGCTTGCTCCCCGCACGTTTTTTCACGTCGAATTTCGTGTGGTCTAGATCTTTCCAGCTCCTGATGATAGTTGAAAATTCAATTGTCACATTTCCCAGACGATCGTCATGGTCAGAGGGATCCTCGTCGTATATGCGGCACTTGAGGCGAAACCCGGAAGCAGGAACATGGGCAACTACCCATTTCTCGTCCCAAACAGGCTCTGTTGACTTGTGAACAGTTTTCGTTCGGTGGATTAGCTCTGGGTCTTCTTTGTGCCTCTTCGGTATATCGGTAGTAAGGGTGGCTTTGATATAGGGGTCTGCTGATGAAGTGTTTATATCAGAGACAGGCAAGTTCAGAGCTTTGTGAAATGTGAACTTCACGGTATATCCAGGCTGCAGATCTGGAAGAGGAGTTGCATCGTATCCGCCAGGCGGGTTAGCCTTGCCTGTAGCTTTATCTTTTTTCTCAGTGAGCTTTTCCTTCACCTTAGAGGCGCGGCTGTGCTTGATCTCATTATCGTGCTTCTCGTTGTTGGCAGGGGACAATGCGTCCATTTTTGGGGAGAAGATAGTCTTGGGTTTCCCTTGGAGGCCTTCATTTTTTTCATCAAAAGGCCTTCGGCTGTCGTGCTCTAAAATTTCGGCCGTCATTTTGATACCAAGCGATTCAATTATCGTCCTAGTTGGAGTCTAGGTTGCGCCGAAACCACGTTTCATTAGTAACCCACCAACTTCAAGAAAAACTGTGCGACTTTCTCACATTTTATTTCACATGAAGCAGGCGGCCCGGCACAAATTAATCGTCAAGCAAGCGAACTGAACTTGGAGCAATTGGTGTCTTTCAGAGCCTAGAGCTGACCGAGTTAGAGTAAGCCTTCTAATGGGAAGTAGATCGCGTTTTCGGGCCTGAATCAATGAATTGCCGGGATGGATTTGCGCGAATCAGTTCTGGAGGCGGTTTGCTAAACGACGCACAACGGGCATTTTGCGACATTGTCATGAGAACATTTCAAACTTGCAATGCCAAGATAGAGCCAAGATGAGGAGGTTGGTAGTGACGTCACGTTTGGTAAAGCGGGGCGGCTAGCGTAACTAGTACAAAACAGCCACCCATGATGGAAGAAGAAAAACATTTGTGCAAAGGCTTACATAGTACTCCGTACTCTGTATATCGATACCTTTTACAGTTCTACATGTAACACTACTTCGTATTCCTTGATTGTATTCTGCTCCAATGCATTTCTCTGCAGTACAGACTCTGTACATCTGGAGTGGATCAAACCTAATTTAGATGTCGTTTCCTGATACTGGAATGCTACCGTTCCTAGATCTTCGCGAAGTGGCTCCTCATTGACGATGGGCGATTTGCAGTGCTGAACTCTGTACTCCGTACGGAGTTGAGAAACCACCATGCGGGCCCCCGCTAGCACATGGATTTTTCCAAAGTGCATTGTAGCGCGTTGGATCATGACATCACCACGTCACAGCAGCGTCTGCTCGCCATAGGAAGCTGAGGATCTCACCCTCAAGACCATACCGAATTCCACAGATCTGATATATATCTAAGCCATTATGTGTACTGTTTTTAGTAGAGATGCGGGCTGCCATGGTTCCATGCATCATGCACTCATACCAGGTGCAAATTCAACTAAAGCAAGACAGTACCGCCTGTTGCCATGAGGCCCACGGGGCCAGCTTTCAGGCGCGTTTGATGGGCTAGCAAGTCTTCATCGTCGGTAATTTCAGCTGGTCTTGAGGATATCGTCTAAGCGACTGCTATGGAATCGTCCTCATAAGCTGCCTCAGACAGCCGGTTGCTGGGAAAGTGCGACGGCCTTTGCGTCTGCACTGAGGCCAGTCACAATAGAACCAAAAGTCCGGGAATATATGCGGACTTCTGGCCTTCTGTAGGGGGGCGGCTGGCCATTGCTCCGTCCGTCGTTTGCAGTCTTGGGGCTGTGGATAGACTCTTCGAACAAAGCAGCATGGGCTGTCCTCTTCGCAGGTGTCCAAAACAATGAAGGTGATGAACCTGGAAAACGGCACTGTAGAAGGCCAAATACTAACGCTTTGGTCACTTCGACGAGCGCCGGACGTCTTTGTTTGCGTACGTATGCGCGGGGTGTTGGCGGGTGTAGTGAGCAATGCTATCCAATGACACGACACTGTCTAAGCAAGACGAAGCAGTAAATCGATAGGCGGTCAACAAAAGTCGAAAGACAACCCGTCCTGCTATTGCATTGCTCACTAGTTTATCTAGCCGAGTATTGGTGGATATACAAAACAGAAATGGCCCACGTTACAACCCGCACAAATACTTTTTTACTAGAGGCGATGTGCGATGATTAATCATGGTGGCATTGCATTATCTCCTTTGGTGGAAAACATAAATGTAGACTGTGTAAGCACAACCAATGCTTGGTATCGAGCTGTCGGGATAACAGGTTCCAGAACAAAATAGGGTAACAAACAAAGGAAAAGTTAGACAAAGGGAGTACACGCGGCCACCTTGCCACTCGCTGAACCGTATGCGAACTGGAAGTAGAGCGAGAGTGTCAATAACAGCATACCAGCGTCTACTCCGTACTTGTGGGATAAAAGGACAGAAGTGGAAAGCAGACAAAGGAGCTTAAGAGAACGTGGAGACAGCCCTAGCTAATTCGTCGATCTGGACTCCGTAAACAGCTAGACAGGCGTTTTTACGGAGATCAGGGGAAACAGCACGCGTTCGGCACATGGAGCAAACAAAGATAGAACAGCCGAGAGGGAACCGAAGAATGGAGACGAAAGCATGTCGTAGCAATTGTATCTTACGCACGGCTCGCGAATACGAGCAGACATGGGGAAAAAGCGCGCTCCTGTAGCCGATAATCTAGAACCTTATGACTTTTTGTGATATACGCTACGTTGAAGGTCAAAGACCGCCGATAGACGTTTCGTAGAAAACTTGGCTGCCGCTCCGCTCGGCTTTTGACAAGAGTACGGATTGTGATGTTAAAAGAAGCGTGCACACAAGTGTAACGCAGGTTGGCACTGCCGGATGGCTGGCGGGGCTGCAACCATGTCAAAGTTTGCTGACAGCTCTAGCCAACCCCGACTGCGACCCGCCAGCTGCTGTGTTGAATGGTGTAACGGCGCATCTTTGTACTCCGTATCTTATCTTACCCTCGCAGGCGTCGCCCAAATGACGGAAAGGCGGCAGGCACACAACAAAAGCCGAAACAAAGGATCCTCCCCTTGCGACCCTGGCGGTCCACTCCTTCCAGCCAGGCACACAGCCAATAGTGGCGCTCTAACAAAGAAATGCCCCACCGACCATGTCGAAGGACCTGGTATAACTGGAGCCTATGGGGCCACTTTAGACCGAATGAAGAAAAGTCCAGGGAAAAGTGCCAGGAACAGCTCCGCCGTCTCCTCGCCGTAGGGCAGATTTTTCTGACTACGCCAAATATACGGAGTACTCCGTATTTCGCTCAGAGCGTCGAGGCTGCTCAGCATCGTACTTCTCATTTAAGGGGAGCCATTGCGCCGCTGCGTCGCGACAGGCATAAAGGACGTAGCTTCTTTCTTCCATCCTTTCACTCTTTTCATCTCTCATTTCCCTTCCTTCATTTTGCACAGACAGCCGCATCCTGTGGCAGGCCACTCCTTTTTCACTTTGCAACCAGTTCGGACCTCACATTCCCTCACCGGCTGTTCCAACTGCTCCAAGGCCATCAGGCGTCCTTTTGCTCTTTCACTACCACTGGTTCGGTAGTCGGTCCTTCATTCCTTCCCCAGCTCCACCAGAGCCACACTCCTTGTCCCGGCGCCTTTGCAGCTAGCAACATTCCCTTCGACGAACAAGTCCAATCCATTCATGCGTCGTTTTGAGTCCGCCGCTGTCGTCGCCTCTCTCCTGGCCCTCGCCGGGTGGGCGGCGGCTGACAGCGTGTCTGTCACCCCCCACGCCAGCTACTCTTCGTCTGTCGGCGTCCTAGGCTGCAAGATCGACACCAACCGTGTTGCCTACTGGCCCGGCTCCGTGGACTGCACCAACATCTGTGTCAAGCTGACGTATGGCAGCCGCTCGGTCAACCTGCTGCGCATCGACAAGTCTGCTGGTGCTCATGACGTCAGCTATGACGCCTGGGCTTATCTGCAGACAGGTAACTCGGCTACAATTGACCCCATTGCCGGCGGTGGTATCGAAATGGAATACGAGGACGTCGATGCGTCCGAGTGCGCGGATCTGATCCATACCGCCGGCTCGAAGCTGCCGCTGAGTGCTTCTAACAGCATGGACTACGTCGCCAGCTGCATTTCCGATTCGAGCAGCTGGGTCGGACTGAATTACGTCCTTTATAACATCTTGGACCCCATCTGTTCCTACGGCTACGACGAGGTGTGCAATCTGGACCTGGATGTCAGCAACCAGGCCAGCTGCCCGCACACCCTCGGCCTGACTACCTCACTCACCACTGCCCCCGTATACAATATTGAATATGACACGGGCATGGCCGTGAATGCCGCGACAGGAGACACCGTGTCGGCTAGCGTGGCCCTGGCGGCGGACGGCAGTGATGCTGACAGCACTTCAGACAGCACTTCAGACAGCACTTCAGACAGCTCCAGTGCCTCTACAGATACTACCACGTCTACGCTTCTGACTGCAGCCACTGTAGCCGCCGTTGTTGTCAAGCCGAGCTCGACCTTAGGCACCACCCTAGCTACTGTTGCTGTTTTCTCTTCCAGCGCTATCACAAGCCCAACCTCTGCCTATACAGTGGTTGAGACTTCCGTTGCAGCCGCCATGACAACTTCTGCCGTCGATACAACCACGGCTGTGCAGCCGTCCTCCAACTCACCAGGCGTCTTCGTCGTGACCAGCGAGACAGGCAACTCGCTGCTCGCTATGTCTACATATAGCAGCACCAGCACCAGCAAGTTAGTCGCCAGCAGCTCAGTCACCAGCATCTCAGTCACCAGCCTCAACACCAGCAGCTCAGTCACCAGCATCTCAGTCACCAGCGTCAGCACCAGCAGCAGCAGCGCAAGCGGTGTTGCAAGCAGTTCCCCGTCCATTGCTACCGCTTCTTCTGCCACAGTCACTACTGCCACCGCCACGGAATCTACCACTGCTATTACTACTACTTCCACCGGTGTTAATACTCCTTCCGGGAATACCGGACCCTACTACACAAGTTCCAGCGGTACTGCCGCTAGAACCACCTTGTCTTCTGGAAGTCTGGCTGAGACAACCTTTTCTGTGGCTACAGTTTCGGCTGCAGCTTCGGCTACAAAAACCACCAGCGTTAGTGACGCGGCCAACGGCACCGGCACGAGCAGCTCAGCCACTGCGGCCACAACTTCAGGTGCCATGAATGGCGCTTCCGTACCTTTGTGGGTGGCGATATGTGTTTCGTCAGCTTGGCTCGGCTTGGGTCTTTTGAGCTAGATATTTACTTCTGTGCCTGGCCGCATCTAACGCAGCATATGATCTTTTTGATATTCCCTGTACATATTAGAAATACTTTGTCGCCTTTTTAAAAAAACGAAAATTGATTGTTGCTATTCGATTCAACAACTCCCAAGCCCTTTATCGTACTTTTCAGAACGTTATGGAGAAAAGTAATTCAATATTGCAACCTCGGGCGCAGTGGCCGATAGCAGAGCTGGGACTCAGGCGTGCCGAAACCTTTGACTGGGTCCCAACTATGAGTGGCATTCCAGTATGCTAGTGATTGAAAGCTTGCAGTATCGGTGCGTCCTACACCTGCATTGGCCGTGATTTCCGTCAAACGGCCGAATTATTGTAAAGCTAAGGATCAAGAAAGTCGAGGGGAGGCGATAATAGGTTGCGGCGAGCAGCATCAAGCAGAAGCACAACTCCGGCAAAGACGGGAAATGAGGCATTGGTTCCCGACAGGCGATTGAGGCGACCTGACTGTAGAATAAACGAGAAAGTTGCTTCCCTAGGCCGCAACATGTATAAAGCCCTGATAAGGGGCAAGAAAAAGGACGTATACTCCGTATATGTCGGCTTTTGAGTCAAGGTACGTGTTCAAGGCGGTGTTCAGCCAAGCAAGCCGAGAGTGGAGCGAGCGGAAATCACCGGAGCTGAACGATACAGCAATTTCAGGCCCCTTCTGATTTATGGCGCCAATTGCGGTCACATAGGGGCAACCAGTAAATGAAAGTAGGCTGGAGAAGGGCTCCGCAAACGTCGCCTGGGCCAGAGCTAAACAAGACACTAATTCCCCTTGTCACTAGCTGCATGTAAGTCCTAGGTGCACACCTAGAGGGCATACTCCTTAAGAATAAATTGTATCTCCTCCCTGTGCGATGTCGATAGAGTCCGTAGTAGAAATCGGTATTTGAGGTTATAAGGTGCCTAAGAAAATACGGATATGGCTCGTTGCCTCCAGACTAAGTTAATTCAGTCGGTGTAGGGACAACTGGATTTGAAGAGCCTAAAGAGCTTGAAGTTCGGTAGCACAAGAACTGTAAGTCTGTAGACGCAAACATAAGCCTACGGGACTGTACTCGATATACTACAATTAGGATAGCTAACAGCAAGGATGTACTAGATAGCCAGGTTGGCCTCTCCTGATCTTAAATTAGAGCCGCCGACAGATTTTTACATACAAAAGACATGGACAAGAGAATTGACAAGGATAGCAAGTAAAGCCATGACATTGTCGTCGGTAGTCTTTTTATCATTCAACTAATCTGTATAACGTGGGATTTTTTGGCCTTTTACAGTAGGCAATAAATCAGTCTCGGAGCTTGTAAGGTCTTTAAAATAGGCATATCCCTGTTACATTTGCTTCAGCAGCAGGGACGTAATGCAAGCCGAAGTTGATGGATCGTTGTGACACAAGGTGCTTAGAGAGAATCGTGGGCTGTAGAAGGTCGACATGGACTACAATTTCGCCGGGGACACTGTAGGATAACGTGCGTAGAACATGATGGCTGCTCTTGTCGTATCAATACCAGGCGAGGCGCGTGTGCAGCAACTCACCCACCGTATGACCATAATGGCAATAGAAACCCAGTCTTATCAATGGACGGCGTGACACGATACTGCGAAGCCAGATCGACGCTGCGCGGACTACGGCTGTCGAAGGCGCCCTAAAAGAGCGCAACTAGTCGCGTGTCCGGTGCATCCCGTAGTTCGAGAGGCCGGGTGTGGAAATCACCAGCATAAATCACTCCAGCTCAAAAACATGTTGCTGCTATAACTAAAGTTTGAGAGAGATGGGATCCGAGAAAGCAGCGCCGCGTACAAAAGTCCAGCCGGGCGTATTGATGGCAAGCCGCGGATAACATTTGCTGTGGCCACAGCCAAAAAAAAAAAAAAAGCCAAGACAGGGGCCAAAAAATTGTTTATAGACGACCAGATAAGAGATGCGTGCAAGATTTGAACAGAGAAATTAAGACGTTAGCTAATAGGCGGGTTGTTCAATGCAAGTGCGATACGTCATGCAGATATCTTCTCCGTTCGTCATTATCTCGCGCGTTAATCTGCATTGTATCTGACTCAAATTGACGTTAAAGCGGCGGGTATCTCTGTTCTCTTATACATATCTCTTACCGAGATAGTACCACCGAGTCAGATGGTAAAGATACAGGTACTCCGTACTCCGTACGAATGTCACTAATCAGGGAAAAATTCACAATCGGCGATCCCGCTGCTTCCATTCTAGCTGGCATTGCAGCTGTCCTGCTTTAAAACTAATATCCGCATGTACTGCAACTTGCCATACTTCGTGTTCATGCAAATATTAAGCGGTAAAGGCTTTCCTATTAGGCGACCTCGGCTTTGATACTGCAAAAACAGTACATGCATCTAGCCTGTCAAAGTAAGTAGTCACTTCTCTGCTGCCGAATGGAATTTGCGTGATGTCCGACGCTGAAAACAGTACGACGAAAAACGTGCTGAATTAGCGGACCAAGAACTTGAAATCCCATTGGCACGTGTGATTACAACTACGTATCAAAGATGTACGGCGACTGACGAGCCTAGCTAGATCTAGCCAGCTGGCTTAATTAATACCAACCTATGCAGGAATGTAAATCACTGTACTGATTGCATAAACACTCGGCCTCATCGAAGTCGTTTCGCTCGAGTCAGACCGGATGGAGGTGCCCCGATGCACAGTTGTGTCGGCGGCGCTCTCTATTTTTAATATTTTTAATGATCAGCTAATAGCGTGATTACCGTATTAGTTGCATACGCGCATAAAATCGTTTATGTGAGCAGTACGGAGTACTCGTGTATGCAAGACGCTCATCTGATGCTAGGTTTTCGAAGATTTTGGAATGGAAAGGGAGCAAGAGCACTTAAAAATGAATAAAAACGGTGATCGGCTAATAAAGTCGTACGCTTAGCTATACAACCAAAACCCCTACGCACGTAGTATCGGCCTACTCCGTAAGTACGGAGTACTCAGTACTTACATCGTAACTTGGCAAACGCAACAAACTCTCAACAATTTCAAGTCACAGCGCGTTAATCATGACTACTTGCCAAGACAGCCATCGTAACGGCGCCTGCACAAACTTTGTTTGGAGCAATGGTAAGATGTTGTACGGCTAACTCATATTAGCGTGCCAGCAACCACTTATTTCGTCTTGACTACCGCTGACTCTTTTCCAGGCAGCAGCACCACTGGCTGTGCAAACATACAGCCTGCCGCCTCTACCATACGATTACAATGTACGAACTAACAAGCATCTGCGTAGTTTTTCTCTTACTTTCTCCTCAAGTTTTGGGCACGAACTAACGGCTAGCTGTACGCTCTGGAACCGCATATCTCGGCAGAGATCATGACCCTTCACCATGACAGACACCACCAGGCTTATATAACAAACCTCAATGCGGTCCTGGCCGACTACTACGTTGCTGCCTCTCAAGGCCACATTGCCGATCAAACTGCCCTACAAGCGTCTATCCACTTCAATGGGGGTGGTCACATAAATCACGCCCTTTTCTGGCCGACGCTTGCTCCTGCCAGCAGTGCTGATGCCTGTGAGCCCGAAGCGAAGGCCCCGAGACTCCTGGCTGCTCTCGGTGTCGAATATGGCAGCCTGGACAATTTCAGCACTACCTTCTCGTCGACTCTATTATCCGTCCAGGGATCCGGTTGGGGCTGGCTTGTGCGCTCTGGATGCGGTGTCGATGGACGCCTGCTCATCACTACAACTAAGGACCAGGATCCGGTTGTGAGTGATACGCCTATATTAGGCATCGACATGTGGGGAACATGCTTACTACCTTTAGGTAAGAAGTATTGCAATCGGTGGTCAGGCTTCACTACAGAACCCACAGACAAGGAAGGCCCTTTGTCCGTACTAATAGAATTACCAGTATAAAAATGGGAAGCAGTCCTACGTGGAAAATATCTGGAAAATCATTAATTGGACAACGGCCGAATCGCGATACACAGAGTCTTGGGACGAGATTTATAGATCTATCTAGGTCAACGTGTCAACCTGCGGGCATGTGCGGCAAGGGATCAGAAGGCAAATCTATGCGAGCTGCTTGTAACAAGACGCCGTAAGTAAAGAGAAAAAGGAAAACAAAATCTAAATCATACGATGGGAGACCCCCGACCCCCCTCGAAATGGCGACATAAAGGAAGCTAAGAATATACGACAGTGACAGTTCCCAATACTTATTGCACCACTATTGTGATGTGCCCTCGGTGCGTGCCACTTGATCGCGACCCCCGTACTTCGCATGTGCTCTATGGCCCCTGTAAAATAAGACTCGCCTAAGCAGCATGCCCTGATATGGCATCTTGTAGTTTATCATGGATGCGACGAGCCCTCATCACCACACGTCCTCAATTATGGATATTTAATCAACAACTGGACGATGCCAGCCGTCCGTCGTATGCCAAACTCCGTGCCTCTCCCCTTCCAGTGTATACTTTATCTGTAAGCTTCATCATCCGCCGTGGCTTCGGCCTGTCGCACCCACTCGTAGCAGTGTCATCGCTCGTTAATATTCGTATTTGGTCGCTGTAGAGACTGCTAACTTCAGCAGTGTACCTGACTATGTCTGCGAGGCCCCCGATGGACGCGCTCGTTTGCCAATAACTTCGCGGGCGTAAAATTCGACAAGCATCGTGGCGTACGCTTCAAGGTCCTCCAGCGGAATGGCAAGGCGGAAGTCATTGAGAATCAAAAACTGAAGCTCTAGATGGTTCAGCTCGGCAAGCGGAAGTCCTCCCACCTAGTCTTATGTCAGATGGCCCCCTGATAGCTAGAAAGTGACGGGCGGTTATTTAGGGTCTGCGGCGTACCTTTGCATATCGCGAATTCGTGTAAAAGACATCCGAAAAGAACTTGCTCGCACAAGTAACACCGGCAATTATGAGGCGGTGAATGTTGAAACTGTCGACTACAAAATAGGTCGCGGTCAAAGTCGTCGGATGTGGAACAGGGGCAGGCGGACTGTTACCACGTCCGTCATTGTGAGAAGTGCTGTTGCAGACAGCTTTGCCATCATCGCTGTCGGCAAGGCCCTCGTCAGTTTCGTCGCCTTGGCTCGACTCCTCGCCCTCGTCTCGCATCTGGACGTCTAGCTCTGAATGCGATTGGACCGTGTCGTGTTTCTTATCCAGCTGGTCTGGCTGTCCCTGCTGCTGCAGGCTAGCACTCTTCCTATGCTCTCTCTCATCCCTCATGACAAGATCGTTCACACGTTCTGTCATGCGATCGAAGTAGACAAGCAGACTCAAAAATACTTCATATGTGGTAGGGCAGTACTTGTGTATTCGAGTGAGATAGCTTAGAATCGTGATTGCAGGAACGTTCTTGCCATGGAAGGCGAGCACAGACGCTGAAAAGGGACTTCCGTGGGTGTCTGACCCGTCCCCGTGGACTTGGGCCTGCCGCTGTTGAGTTGCAATACGATTTAATGCATCATGCTGGTGGTCGTTTGTTGTGGTGATTTTGGTCAGAAGGGCGGCCACCATGCTGATTATGTCACCAATAGGCATGTCGCTGATCTCAAATTTCATATCCTGGAGTGGGGGATCGTTGAGAATGCCAGGCCCGTTACCAGTGGAAACATCAAGCTGTGCAAGATTTTCGATGTGACTAAGGCTGCGAATGCGTATTGTCCTCTGCGTGCGCTGGGCAGGCGGTGGTGAAGATGGTGATGTAGAGGATGTGGACACGGGATCAGGTCCTGATGGTGTCCATGGCGGGTAGTAGTAGGTGTCGCTAGCAGGCGAGGGGATGGCGTTCGTTGGGGGCGGAGGCCGAGCTGCACTTGGGGTGGGCACAGCTGTCTGGCAGGCTTGTGTGGATGAAGAAATGGCTCCCGCTTGGGCAGTGCTGGCGTCAGTGGATGCCATGTGCGCTAAGCTTCCATCCCTCGCCGGGGGGGTGCAGAATGAGGCGACTCTGACGCTGGTTGGCGAGGAGGAGTTAGGAGGAGAGGGATTCCGAAAATGTGCACTGATGATGCCGTCGGGTCGGTCAGCAGAGACAGCTGGGGCTAGCGTTGACGTCTCTTTCGGAACGCTGCCGGGAGGCGACGGGGGATGGGGGTCGGCAACGTTGCCGCCAGTGAAGTGCGGATTCGGCGGAGCCGAATGCTTCATGTAATTTGGATGTTGAAGGCAGGAGGTCGACGGACGTTGTGGTGATTGCTGCGGCTGAGGTGGCCGGAACGCTAGGGCCGGCAACAGCGACCTGTTTGAAGATGCAGAGTGATCGGTACGCGCAAAGCTGCCGATCAGAGCAGCCATGATATCATGGTATCGGTAGGCGTGGGGTTGATTTGTGATCAGACAATATGGGGACAATCTGGAGTCATGATTAGTTCAGTTGCAAGCCTTATCGTGCCCCGCGATAAAGGGCCGGAACGCAGGTCTATCATCGCACGGCCAGGTATAAGCATATCATATCTGCTGCGAAAGCGACAGCCGCATCTCATGACAAGTTTAGAGTGGAGGGAAATGTGATGCGAGGCCGACGAGTGACAACATGGACATACCAAATACAAAAGCTCGACGATATAACGTTGCACCAGTCTGATTGATAAGACGCGCAGCTAGACGTGACTGATTCCCGTGAAGACAATAGTGTGGTGAGGTAGTGTAGAAGTTGTAAGAACCGCTAATCTGGCATAGTCCGAATTAGAACGCCGTGGCTGTTAATGGGAAAGCTGTAAAACAGCTGTCGTTTGGGCAGTAGCCTACGTATGCAAATAGCTATTGGGATTACAGCCCTCACCGTAATGCCCGCGGAGAGAATGGGGAGACTCGACGAGAAAAAGGGAGGGGGTGGGAGGGGCCTCCACAGTCCGAGGACAGCTCCTGACCCCTCAATAGCAAGGGAAGGGCTGGGAGAGCGGAGGTACTGTTAGCAAGAGGAAGACAAAAGCAGCGGGGGCGAAGACGCAAGGGTGAAACGTGAGGTAGTATGGGATGTCGGAAGAGGGTGACGGAGATGAAGGAGATTGTGGTGGAAAGAAGGAAAGGAGATGTCGCGACAACAGGTCAGCGAGACGAGAATGGGAAGAAAAGGGTGACAAAAAGTGGGTGGCAGGCGCTCGCACAGCGCCCTAGCAGCAAGGCGGCGGTGAGGATGAGCTATATCTTTAGCGTCTGCAGCACCTTAACCCCTGCTTACAGCGCGGCTGCTGTAATGACGCTGATTGGTAGTGCTTTCTCGGCCGGTAAGAGTCCCTACAGCGCATTTAAGTTGCCGGAGTTGCTCCCAGCGCAAATCACAGAAACAAAACGCATGCATACATAGGTAATGCTGGCCATTCTTCGACCGAAACACTAACACGGGACCTCACTCAGATGGCCACCAATTACGCTCACTGCTTCTGCTGCACACTACGAAGTATTAACTTTGCGTATAATCTTGAGAAGGCGCAGCGATGGTCAATCAGAACTTCGACGCAAGTCGGAACCCCCAGTCGAGCTCGCAAAGCGCCGTAAACGATATACAGGGAAGACCAGGCACAGGGCTTTTAATAGAATCAAACCACGCCTTTCATCCTGCCATACACCATATTGGCTTTGCTTTATTGCTGGCGCACTGCGTACCCCGTGTCTGGCAAATACAGATGCCGATCCGCACCATCTCGTGTCAACACCACCATGCGTATCACGCCGCCCGAGCTTCCATCCCACCGAATGGCCTCTTTCAGAGCACCCTTAACAAAGTCAACTGCCTCATCCTTCTCCATTCCCTCCCGCCAGTTTGAGTCGCAGTAACCGTAGATATAGGTCGACCCAGAACCACCAATCGCATAGGCTTGCTTGTGAAGAGAACCGCCCAGGGGTATCGAATACACCTGGCCGCCATACCGCTCGTCCCACCCTGCGATAATGAGGCCGGCGCTGCAGCAAAGTCAGAATTGCGTCCAATTTACGATACCCTGATCGCTTCCCCCGGGCATGTTCACTAGACTAACCTTAACTGGTCTTTGTTGGAATAACATAATTCTTGAAATATTGCCGCAGCCGTTTGTGTCGTGGGAGGCTTGCCATTCAGCATAGCAAACAAACCAAGTTGATACTGCACAATGTCTGCAACAGCTTGCGTGTCCGCCGCCGAGCCGGAACGACAGCACCAAATCGTGTCATGAACCCGGGTTAATTTGTCTGTGACACGGTTGGCAATGTACGCGCCCGTTGTTGTTCGCGAATCGGCTCCTGCGCGAATGAGTCCCTAGTCAGCATGATCTGGCTTGTAAATTTTCCCAACGTGCTTAGGAAGTTCCGTACCAAGGATAACACCGTCTTTGAAAGTGACAGCCATGCTGGACATCGTGTTAGTCAGTTCAGATGCGGTCGGTGATGTTTTTGGAGACTTCGCCGAGGGTGGCTTCTCACATTGAGGTTCCGAGACTGCAAAGGGTGTTAGCAAAGCTTTGGCACGAAAGCGGGCACCGCCTTAATGCTTCGACCACCTACTTGACCTCGCCTTTCTTCAACCTATCCATATCGACGTGGATACCATCTGCAACGTTACTGATTAGAGAACGAACAACAAAATACAGACCCCCTGAAAACTGTGCCATTACGGCGCGGCAGAGAAGGGATAAGTGCATATATTCTCAGATAGCCCAAAAAGCTCACCTTCGCTAAGATGACCAGAGGTACCAAACTCCATCGTTTTGACAGAGATGTGAAGAACCGCGGAAGTTTTGTTGGCTGTATCGGGGTGTGTATGGCTGGAGTTTGCTTGGGCGTAAAGACTGCCTAGTCGTACTTTGCAGCGTCAGCATCAATGACTACGAAGGCTGATGCTTAACGGGAGCTCTAGGCAGCCTAGACTGCGTTAGCAGGTAGCTCACCGCTGGGCAGAATGCAAGTAAAGTGCACGTGATACGACACGTGCATGCTAACAGATTAACTACGAATTACTGAAGGGGTTGCAGCAATTGGCAAAAGTAAAGAAAACACGAAGTAGGATGGCATCCTATACTTCGCAGTCGAGGGAGAACCTCGAATATTTTATGCCACACAAATATAAGGACGATCGTGGAGAAAACACGCAGACACTGGACAAGAAGCGAAAATGGAACTGGATAGTGTACAGAGTACAGAACGGTATCCCAAAACAAGCGCCGAACCAGTCCAGACCTGGAAGCTGACCGGCAAGAGAAAACTACACCCTTCTCTGACGATTAATACTGGCCTTATCGGTGCGGCTTGCCTTTGTTGTCGACCGCACTACCTATTTTTCCCGACGCGCCGTGAACACCACCTTTGTCGTCGCCGCAACCGCAGTCGTAAAAGTCGCCTATCGTGGCACAGTCAAATATATTTTTTCTAAGGCGCTTGTTCACCTCGTTGTGCACGAAGCAGGCCCAGCCGGCAGCGGCTGTTCGGCTGGATGTTTGTGGAGGGTACTTCTGCAACAGGGTCTGGAAGTGCGCAGCGCAGTCGCCGCAAGGGTACAGCCGAGCAAACAACTGCACATACGTCTTTAAGGCTAAGCTTTCGTCAAAAGTCGGCTCTTCGGGAAATCGCGCCATCATTGTGTGCATCAGGCGCCAGGATGCGCGGCCGAGCTCTTGCCTAGACATGACAAACACCAGTCAGTTCCTGTACAAGCTACACACGAGCAAGGCCAGACTCACTTGATTGTTGCGTTCTCTAGCTTTGGCGCGATAGCAGCCCCATCAAGTACACTGGCCGGCAACGCGAACTGGACAGGCCCATCGGTTCGATCGGAGACCGGTGATGCAGGAGCTTTGGCTTGGCCAGGAACACTTGGATCTGCAAGATCCTTAAGGCTAGCGCCAGAGCTGCCGCTGACTGAGAGATAGAAAGTCGTGATTAGGATGAAAATGATAGCCGCCAACGCACCGGCGCGAAAACGTCGCGCCATCGTGATCGGGTGGTTCTGTGAGAACTGGGTTTTGTCAGTGACGCTCGCCGGTGCTCAGTGAGTAAGTAGTCCAGTTCGCGCAGGTGTACAGAGTACTCCGTATTTTACGTTGTATTATGGAGTACGAAGTTCGAAGAAAAACGAACAGCCGGTTTACAGAAGGACTAAGCCAATAACAGTGGGCTACAAGCTAATAGCGGGGCGTAACGAATGACACTGGCCCAAATGGCACATAAGATAGCTTCAGATGAGCTGTTCTTACGGGCTGAAATGTGGCGAAACGTGGTCAAGGAGACTACGGATCCTTCCTGAAGCAGCAGAGGAAAACAATGTGTTATACACACGGAGACAATGGGAGTGTCAAGTCAACGGCAATAACATGCGTACATAATTATATCTTATCGACTGTAAGAACAGATACATGTGCAGGCTTAGAGCTTACGTGCAGGGTTCATGAAGGTGATATACACTGTGAGGAGCAGGAGGCTGAATTGAGTGTGGTGAGAGCAGGTGTGTGTTGTGTACGGAGTACTCCGTACTAAGGAAGAAATAGGACCCTTCTAGGGGTCCGTATTAATACTAGTGGTATGTCCCGCTTTTGCGCCTTCTGGCCAATCACAGACCAATAATCCAAGTGGGGCGGAAGGTCTACAGTGTGGCGGATTCCCATGCTTAACAATACACCGTATACGGAGTAATATGCGGTTACGTGAAAGGCGGGTCTAGCTGAAGTACGGAGTAATACTCCATACAAAGTAAAGCAAACTTAAGTACGTTTTAATCAATACTCTTTTAGAAGAATCCTATTTTTGATGCTGACATGTCCACAGAGGTTTGGTGTCGGCATGGCAATCGCGAGTTTCTTTGATCTACTGTTGTTTTCTCAGTACATATTCATGTCGCACACCTAAGCTATCAAAAAGCCAAGTAACAATTTGTCTGCACTTGCCTCTTATCACACTGCCAGTCTGCTAACGATACCAGGCCGTTCACTTTCGAGAACCAATGGACCGCCGCCAGGACCGCTAGCGTCCAAACTCAGCGTCACGCGCTTGCGATCGGCTACAATGTGAACAGTCTCACCCAGGTTGCGATAGTCAGTCTCACAGTGATGTCGATTCTGAAGAGGATCGTGAGACGCCTCGGATGGTCCGCGCTGGCCCGTACCCGTATAGACGCCAGAGGCATCACTGCTGTGAACCTCACGAATTTCCACGCTTGGGTAAGGCAACCATCCTTCTCGAAGCGGTATCAGTGTCAGCGGAATGGCTGCTTCAGACTCCGGAGTAGACGTCAATCCGATGCCTCTTGTGTGATTTGAAGCTGGTATAATGAAATGACCTTTTCGCCGGCCGCCAATAAGCCACGTATCCGTTGGCGCTGTCACTTCGAAACTGAACTCCAGGTCCTCGGAAGCCTGAGATTCTGTTTTCCCTGATGGCTGTGCCCCGATGTCAGCGGTATCCCACGACCGCGTCCACTTAAGATGAAGCGTGGCGGGCAGAAGTTGATTGACGCAAAACATTGGCGTTGCTAGTCTGGATAAAGAGGCAACAATTTCACTATTGTGCCGAGTTACCAACGATGAGGCAAGGGGTTGCTTTAGTCGAATGTCTGCAGTGTGGACAATGGTCACACTAGGTATGTCGACAGGGATAAGAATGGTACGTGCTTTTCTCAGAGCCGACTTCTGCGAGAGGAAAATGACCGGAGTCATCGCTTGCCATCCTCGAATTGTCGAAGAAAGCTGCTCTTTCAAATCTACTCCAGCACTGTCACTTCCTAGACCCGGGAATTTAAGGTCCCAATCCACGCCGCCAATGAATGAGGTGGAAAGCTCGCCCAGAAGAACGATTCTTTCCAAATCAGATGGCGAGAGAAAGGAATGCATATGCTGTAGGACACACGAAACGGCTACCCTGGAGAACTCGTAAATGGATGCATCTGTGCCCCGGAAAGCTTCAGTGAGCGAATATTCGAGCTGCTCATCAATCTCGTCTTGAATAATGCTGTAATGGAGCTTGATTTGCATGCTCTTTTTCAAGTTCTTGCTTGCCGCGGAAGATACTTTGCGGGTTATCCTGTAGAGTAAACTGGCTGGCTGCTTGGGAAACACTATCGGTGGCACTTCCGGGGAGGTTCCAAACTCAGACGAGAAAAGGTCGGAATCGAGCAATTCGCTTCGAAGTAGTCGTAGAGGGCTAGCTGTGGCCGTGGAGACGGTAAAGCGAGAGAACAAAAAGTTGTGCTTAAAGACATCCTGTACATTGACGCCGAGAGCAAGAGCCGTGGTGACAGACGGGCATTTTGACAGTTTGAACACGCCGTGCTCCGTGGTGTAGCTGACATCGATTTTTACGCACAGGTCGAGAACGTCTTGCTCAATAGAGAAGGGAAACGTGATTTTGGCACTTGTTCCCGCACCAATCGAGCCGAAAGTGACAACACCACCTTTCGCCGGGCTGAAAAAGGAATGCTGCGAACCGACAACTTGGGACTCAGATGTGATGAGGCGCAGACCACCTGTAGCTGCGCGTATGTGGAGTTCGCATTGCGTAATCTCATTCCATCCTGCGAGGAGCTCAACCTCCAAGTGGTTGTTTCTGTCTAGCTGAAGGGCCTTTGACGTGTTCAGTTGGACATCAAATGCGCTTGTCCTTTGATATACAATGACATGAGGCTCTTTGAAAATACTGGCATCGGCATTCGCCGGTTGGCGTTCATGTGCGATGACAACATTGCTGCTTGCTAGGCGCACTTGATCAATGACATACATGCCAGGAGTAACAGTCTGATACAATCGTCAGTGCTCAAGGCAGTAGTAACTAGAATCGAGAGCTGTCTTACATTGCTGTAGATGCGAAATGTTCCATTTCCAGGTTGGAGGCGCAGTGGTTCTTTGGTCTCCAGCCAAATGTCACGAGGCTGCCCACTACTCGACGCACATAGCATGCGGACTCGAACATGGTCAACTGGTAGAGCATCTGGCAGCAAGCTGTGGTATTGTAAAACAAGCGCGAAGTTGTCCTGCTTTTCAGTGTAGGCAGGTGCTCCCACGACCTCGAAGATGTTGAAAAAATTGGTTAAAGGGACACGCATCTCCTTCTTGAGCTCGCAAGAAGCGCTAAGCAGCTCAGGGAGATAGCCCTGTAGCAAGGCTATATCAATAAACTTACTTCCTTGTATACCCCCAGGGCTGATTGAAGCCTGCTGAGCGATCCTGTCCCTTTCTGCCTCTGCAGCTTTTGAAAGGAGTTTCAGCAGCCGCCACGCGTATTCGTCCTTTCGTCCCATTTCTTTCAAACAGCATGAATACATGACAAGCATGGACAGCTCAAGAAGATTCCAGCTACTTCCACCGAAAAACGGCGTAGTTTCGTAAAAGTAGGACGCGGCAGACGGGAAGTCCCCTAAGTGATACTTCAAGACCGCCAAATCGGCGAGATTTGCATGAACCGAGTGGGCGTTTCCAGCGACGGTGTAGTGCCGAAGTGCCTTGTCGGTGAGTGTCTCATACAATCTGTAAAAGGAATCTTGACTGTTGAGCGCAGTGCGCAAAAGAGCGTTGACGATGCCAGCAAGCGCAGTTGGTTTAGATGAAGACTCATCCCTTGCAACTTGCAACTCGACACAAGCAGCATCGCCATCACCACTTGCATCGTTTCCTCTGGTGTCGTGAAGATCGATATCCTCCAAAACTCCAACGCTAGTTTCACCGATAGCTGGTGCTGATACCCATCCATCGGCCCAGCCCACCTTTTTCCCTCTCTCTTCCAAAATTCCGCGAGAAAGCATAAACAGATCCGCACGACGTGCTGCCAATTCTTCTAGTCCAATCTTGAGAAAGTGCGGACCTTCGTCGGGGTTTGGGTCTTTCGGTAATCCAGGTCCAGGAAATACACCAGGGCTGGGTGGGCCTCGGGTTATTCCATAACTGTTGGTGTGCAGAGAAGATAACCTCACTGGGTGCACATCTCTTTGGGCTTCCGGGTTTGTGGCAACTGCCTCGTCGTTAGATGTGCCCAACGTGGAAGGAGGAGTGGGTAACGATTTCGATGCCGTCTGCGCTAAAATTTGCTGCGCAATGGAAAACGCGTATGATGCCACCATGTTATCCACCACCTCAATCGAGAGTGTTTGAAGCGCTGTTGTAGCGTCCGGCACAGAGCCAGCCGAGCTCGCTCCAGTGGTAGTTGGAGAAATAGCGTACAAAAGGTCCTCTCGCATCACTTGAGACAGGGCAGGTATAAACTCCAACGCCCTTCTACAAATTTCTGCGAGCATGGCCAGGTTCTCTGATTCGTCGGGCGACTTTGACCTAGCTGTATGGGGCGTTGCTGTAGGAAGAACAGAGTCCTGTTGACTTCTCAATCTCATAAGAAGCTCTTCGCGTGTTGACCAAGCATTTCCTAATCGTAGAAGGAGGGATATCTGTCGAGAAAATATGTAGCAACGGAAGTCGAAAACAGATACGTTGTTGGCAAGAATGAGTTCGCGGTAAGCCTTTTTCGTTGAGCTAATCGGAATGTCGTCAACTTGGTCAGCCTCATTGTCACTGAGAATACCATCATCATTTGACTGCAGATCGACAGGTTCTTCGTCAACAGATTCGGAACCTCTTCTAACAGTGGTAGCTGACGCTTGCCCCTGGGCAAGTTTTAACAAGTCTTCGGTATACTTCAGCAGAGAACCGCCGTGAACGTCCGCGGTACGGACGTTGGTCTCCTGCTCCTTGATGACAGCGTCCAAACCAACGCTGAGCTCGTCATAGCCAACGAGCGCATCTTCAACCAAGCCGACACTTTCGAATCCGCGGGCAAGGCCCTCCTTGAGTATGAAAAACGTGCAGAAGTTCCATCCCGGGAGCATTCGCTGCAAGTCTTTTTCTCGAATGTCTTCTTCGTACTGAGAGACCCGAGCGTCGAAACTTGACAGAATTAGAGCTTTGAACTTGTCGATTAAGTCCAACCACGCGTTCTGTGACTCCTTCTCCGTCTCTGCGTGACCACCGGGGACGGCCGATACGACGAGTGGCAATAGCTCGAAAGGAAAGTCGTTGACCCCGATACGAATCTGTGCAACCCGGTCCATTATCTTACTCCCACTACTGCTGTTGAAATCTGACCGAAGCTTTTCTAGAATTGTGGTAGAGCTTTTGCCCCATCGGGACGAAGATTTGGTTGTGAGATCTGTTGCCGAGCCGTCGGACTGCTTGCTTGTCCGGGGCTGCGTGTACGCTGCAGAATTTGGGATAACCACATGGACAATCATCCATTCAAAAGCGTCATGGTTCTCAGCTACACTCGACTTCTTTCCGGCTTGTGCTGTATGTTGCTTGATCCATTCGCGAATTTCGGATCGTGTCTGAGATTTGTAGCTATCATTGCTGTCGCATCTCATAAGCAGAACTTTCAAGTAGGGCGTTTGGCGTAGACCAGGAATCTGGTGTCGCCGCTCTTTTGCCGTCGGTGCTTGGGATGTGACGGCGGCGGCGGCAACATCGTCCTCAACAGAGACGCCTCGTCCGCCAAAGGTGGCGGTTTGAAACCCATCATCCACAGCAGTGGATTTGGATGCTAGGTTACTCGTATGTTTTCCAGTTTTGTCTTGCGTTGAGGATTGGGGTCGTAAAGGCGAGCCAGCAGCTACCAGCTCGACATGGAGGGTGTCGATGGATCGGAGAGGGCCCGAATGAGACTGCCAATGGAGGTGGCGCAAGGGCAACCGCGAAACTAGCCCTGGGGCGATAAGCTTGTAGAGCCCGTAAGGATCGAAATACTCAACTGAATTTATACTAATCGTCAGTAAGGCTGCGGTCAGATAGAAGACGGCTTCAAGTGAGGCGAAACAATTTGCCGTAAACACCAGAGATAAGAGGCTGAACACGCGTACCGGTTACTTTGGATGTCGAACACGGTTGTTCCATTTCGAACAGGAAGCAGAAAGGCCTAGAGGATGTGCTACTAGTATGGAGACAGTATTTTGAAAATTCGCTGGAAGGATGCGAACACATTCGTAGTTTAGACAAGCTGTCGGTGAAGATCAGTGTTCCATATCCGGAAGGCGGTGTGATCCTACATGTGGTTTGCTGATCGGGCACTTGGTTGTTAAAATTGTAGCTATGGCGGGGTCTCCGGCAGAATTTTATGCACCTTCAACGACGACTTTTCCAAGGTTGTCACAACGTCCTTCTTATTTCAGCTTTGCGGCACTATGACAGCAAGCCTTGAGGCAATTCGGTATACCAGGGGGAGCCTAGAGGTGTTGGATCAATTGAGGCTTCCCCATGAACATCATTATGACACAATCTCTACGAGCGAGGCAGCCTTCGACTGTATCAGATCGATGCGAGTTCGTGGAGCACCAGCCATTGCAATTGTTGCAAGCTTGTCTCTCGCCGTAGAGCTGCAAAATAATTACTGCAGTGAGTAAAGCGATACTCACTACAAAACGAAGATATCTCGCTACTGTGGCAGGAGAGTCGTGTGCTGACCATGCGTTGCAGTCGCCTCTACGCCACAGGACACAATTGCACACATTGATTCTCGTCTTGACTATTTAAAAAAGAGCCGTCCAACCGCGGTGGATCTCTTTAATGCTATCGCCAATTTGAAGACAGCCGTACGCGAAGTGCCGGTGTCGGCCCTTGAAGACTCTGCGGCCAAGGCACTCATCATTGAGACGTACATCAGGACTGCCGAGCACATTCTCGAAAAGGACCTCAAGACAAACCTGGCCATCGGAAATTTCGGTGCTGACTGGCTGCAGCAGCAGTCAGGGGCTTCGGATGACCGGCAGATATCTGTGCTGACACACTGTAACACGGGATCGCTAGCCACCTCCGGCCACGGTACGGCACTCGGAATCATCCGCTCGTTGCATGAACGAGGGCTGTTGCAACATGCGTATTGCACAGAAACACGACCGTACAACCAAGGCAGTCGTTTGACAGCTTTCGAGCTTGTTTTTGAACACATACCGAGTACTCTTCTGACCGACTCGATGGCTGGTGCCCTCTTTGCTCTTGAAAAGGAACACATGAACATCAGCGCTGTGATCGTCGGTGCTGATCGAGTTGTGCGTAATGGCGACACGGCAAACAAAATAGGCACCTACTCGCTTGCTGTTTTGGCGCGCTTTCATGGCATAAAATTCATTGTCGCGGCGCCGACAACTAGCATCGACCTTAAGACAGAAACCGGAAAGTTTATCAAGATTGAGCAGCGAAAGAAAGAAGAACTCTCACAAATATCCGGTCCAGTAGTACTCCCTGATGGATCAGTTGATGTGAACCAGAACGCCAGGGTGGCTATTGCTGACCAGCATATCAATGCGTGGAATCCGGCGTTCGACGTCACCCCGTTCGCACTTATTGACGTTATTGTTACCGAAAAGGGCTCGATAACGAAGAATTCTGATGGCAATTTTGATTTGACCCGTATATAGATCAACTCCTTTGTGTTTTATAGGCAAGGGCCAAACTATCTCTGATTTTGGCTGAGATCATGGATGCGCCTGGACCGACGGCATAAGTAGCAAACACAATTGTTTTGCTATTAGAAACGAACCCCAATCTCCGTAGAGAACGACCAACTGAACGGGGTTTTCCATATTATCAAATTGTTTTGTTGGCGATCTGGAACGATTGAAGTGCTTGGTTACTAACAGCGTTAGCACAGAGCAGCGATAGTTCTCACATACTAATCAATTTAATTATATCAACATATGCGCTAGCAAGGTCATGTTGCTGCGGAGATGGCGATGACTGGTAGCACGTCCATTCCACGTGGCATGATTTAGAAACTACGGAGCACCAGACTAACAAATAGCTTTAATTGCGTACTTGTGCTTCAATCTGATATGATGCCAATTTTTAGCACAGCAGCGCCCAAAGAAGGGATAATAGTATTCAGGCAATGCTTCGACACCACTGGTTTGATAATTCCGCTTTAATGTTCCTTCAAATCGGCGCATAGAAGCAGAGCAACCATGACTGCGTACAAGTGGACGTTTTGATGTTGTACCTATTATACACAAGAGCTGCAGTAAATCTGCTGCTTGGCTTTCGGACAGCTCCGGAACTATATTTTAGCTCTCTCGGCGGAGCATTCCGCTATCAATGGCTTACTCCTAGGAAATCACCGAGCCCCCCCGCCTTCTGTGATTGCTGACTCGATGTTTTAGCTTCTTCCTGATTTGCAGAACTGTTTGTCCTCCTGACAATGCTAATTCATTCCTAACCTTCGTCTGTATATCTTTTGATTTATTGCTCCTAAGATCTCGACAATATGGCTGCGACTATTGACTTTGAGCCAAAATTTATCACCTTTGATTGTTATGGCACATTGACTAACTTCAGCGAGATGGGCGGGCTCGCTCGCCAGATATTTTCTAACCGCATTAAAGGTGACGAGATGGACCAATTTGTTCATCTCTTCAGCGGATACAGATTCGATGAGGTTTTGGGGCCCTACAAGTCATACGACAAAGTTCTGTACAACGCCATCAAGCGCACTTGCGAAAGGACTGGCATCAGTTTTTCGAAGGAAGAAGCAGAAAGCTTCTATAAGGCCGTCCCAACCTGGGGACCATGGCCCGATGTACCGGAGGGCCTCCGGCGACTAGCTACAAAATACAAACTTGCTATCCTGTCAAACACAACCAATGAAATAATCATGTCCAATGTCGACAAGCTTGGCGCTCCCTTTCAAGCAGTCTTCACCGCACAGCAAGCCCAGAGCTACAAGCCGAGAATGGCAGGATTCGAATATATGCTCGATAAACTAGGTTGCAGGCCGGAGGATGTTCTTCATGTTTCAGCGAGTATGGAATACGATATTCAGACCGCGGACGCTATGGGAATCAAGCACAAAGTTTTTGTGAACCGGGGAAAGGCTGCTACAAAGGCTGATTTTCACTACTACGAAGTTGATGGGATTGACACGCTAGCAACCGCACTGGGCCTGTAATATAAAACCGCAACTTTTCGGCGAATGGTTGATAGAGAAAGCTGGTGCGCAGTACTGATGTAAAGTGTGAAAGCAAAAGTAAGCGGATTGGAATCAACACCCGATATGAATTTATCCTTTCTGATTCTTCGAACAGGCCATAGTACGAATTACAGCATGGCAGAACCATTCTTGACTTGACCGTGCTACATGCTGTATCTAAAGTGAGGGTTTTCCCAATCGGTCATGTCTTGCTCACCCATCTCACGGCCTAAGCGTTCTTGTTCCTCTTTCGAAATGCCACTTTCTGCGGCAGCAATGTCACGCCGCCGGTTCTCGTACATATACCATAACCTCCATAGTAGGAGAACAATAGCTTCGAGCCCAAGGGCAACACAACAAGCCACAGTTCCCTTGACGTATCGCGGCGCATCGTTGGTCTTGAAAACCTGAGAGCCTACCATGTTTCCAGCACAGTAGCCAATGAAGGTCATCGACGAGACCACTGTCTTTTTAGTTCCACCTGCAACATTCGATGGAACTATGATCTTGTCAGAATGTGTGGTTATGCAGGGGGTGTGGGGGGGAAAGCATGGAGTAGGGAGTACATACTTAGGGTCCATGCAACGAAGATAGCAAAGGCGAAAACCACCGTCATCAAGTATAGACCCCACTTCGTCCACTCATGTGCTTTGTCGTTCGGAAGGAGTGATAAAGCCAAAAGGCCAATAAAGGATATGATGCAAGCCATTATCATTAGTAGCAACCGCTGGTTTTGGATGTACCGTAGATAGAGAGCAACTCCGATGAAGCATACGAAACCGACGGCTGAATTATTCAGTTCTGAACAAGATTTATCGTGTCAGGGCATGGAGCACGTACCGTTCCGAGGCAGACCATAAAGGATCGTTTCCCAGGTATTGAAGCCGAAGGATTCGTAAATCAATGTGCTGAAGGTAGTGAAGCCGCTGTGGTCTGCATTAGGATGGGCCCCCAGTAAGCGTGCGACCAATCGTACGTACCCGTTCGGAACATTGTTCAAAAATGCGTTGAGAAACGAGAACCACATCTGGGGGTCTTTAAAGGCTTCGGCAACTTGTGGCCAGGACCATTTCACGCCCGTGGTATCATGACCAGACTTGTTTTCTGCAACTCGAGCCAACCTGAAAGGTGTCAAAATCGCACCCCCCAAAAATGCAACGCTCCAGAAAGATATCTTACGCCATGCGCTTTTCTTCTTTGCTGAGCCATCGGACTTCTCCCGGCGTGCCTAGAACAAAGAAGCAGGCCACGGCGCCAACCATAGTCGCTGCGCCAAGGAACAATGATATAGCGCGCCAAGCTGCCAAGCCATTGTGGTATTCAGCATGTTTGGCGATGGTGTACATCATCAGCTGGGTGCAGATGGTCAAAATATATTCCGACGCCTGCCAGATAAGAGCACGGCTGGCGTGCTCCTCTGTGCGGTACCACATCCCAGTAAGATACAAAAACCCGGGAGAGATTGTGCATTCGAAGAAACCCTGTAAGGCTCGCAATGCCATCAGCTGGGGCCACGTTTGTGCCGCAGCTACGCAGATGACACAAATTGCTTTATCGCGTTAGTGACATTTTTGAAATAGGCCTATTCACGGGAAGACGTACACCAGCATAACATGTAGATGGACAGCCAACGTCCCATCTTATATCTCTGGAGGATATAGTTTGACGGAAATTCTCCCACGAGGTATGTGAGATAGAAACTTGTAGGGAAGTCAGTCATATACGTGTGGCGTAAGGCCAACGAATGTTCATGCATACATGGTTGTCAACCACTGGTAGTCTTGACCGACCATTCTCGTATCTTTTCTGATGCCGAAAATCTTCAATGCGATTAGCCAAGGCCTGAAAGACACAAAGATCACGAATATCCTTTCTTACTGCCTGTGTGCTGATGGACGTCTTGTCGGATTGTTGGATTGAATAGCAGTAGAACCTTTAAAATCAGCATTTGAAATTGGGTGTGGCTTCGGGAAAACCGCTCACATCAGAGGGATCAAATAAAGGTCGATTTTTCTTCTGAGCTTATTGTACTGCGCCTCGGTGTACTCTGAAGATCCTGGTCAGCCGTATTTGTAACAGAATATAGAGGGGAATCATAGTACCTGGCTCGTCAACAAACCCGCCCTCGGAGATATCTTTGATGGCCTCCATATCTGTCACAATCAAAGTTTGTTTTTTGTCGACCTTTTCATCCAGTTGCTCGCCAGAAGTTCGAAGATTAGCCGCCTGGGCTGCAGGCATGGACCTAGTCGTGGATGCCATGTTGTCGGTGTTGGCCCAATTGCACGAAATGTGCTCTCAGCTGTTGAACGGAGGGTCCTGAAGGAACACAATTGCAGCGTAAGAGTGCGATCATTGTCGTTGATGCGAGCGTGGGCCCTTTTGTGTCGTTTGCCGTGCTGTCTGCTACAACGTCGCCGATCGGAAATGACCCTGACTACATAACCACCAAGCGGCATACTGCGGACCCTTCAAGGGCAAAATTGCTTTCCAGGCGATAGCACAGATAAGGACCATTATGGATTTGTTTAGCAAACATAGCTAAAATGACGGCCTTATCAGCAACAGTCCACAACGCAGGGCGACCTCCGTTTTGCATTGTTCTCATAGTCGTGGGGTGCCGCAAAGTAGCCACAATAATGTAGCATTTCTCTATTTGTTTTTGCGTCAGCTATTCCGTACAGGAGGACTCCCGTTTTTTGCCCAACTGTATACGTACAGATACGGGGACAGCCTGTGATATAATTTGTACAAGGTCAGATGTTGAAACAACGAATTGGTCGGTATATGTCTTATTAGCCCCCTTTATTGTCGGGGGCTCCTAAATATGTTTTAACAAATATAAAATTGCCTGTTACGCGCTGTAAGCCCGCCTAGGACACGTTAAAAGGAATTTATAGCGCTAGGCAAAGGGCTGCCCCCTATATTAGATCCTAATAACTAGTGCTATTTAGATGCTAGCTGCTAATATCGATTGCTTTACTCTATAGTCTCTTAAAATATAAGAGAGGTTTTTCTTTAAATTTATACATTTTTTTTGTTAAAGGTGTACTTGGGTAGGCCAGGTAAGTCAGGCAGGCAAGGAGGAATCTGTATTAATAATCCTGAATTTCTTTGATTAAAATGTTTAAAAGTAAAATATTGATCCAATCTTCTAGCTAGACTATTACTAGAACCTACATATTTAGCTCCAGACGCAATATGTGTAAAGATATAAATACCTGCTTTTATTCCTCTAGTATTAGGTTTACCTATTAGTCCTTCAAAAGCAGAAGAAGTTTGATCGTTTAAAGGTAAATCAAATCTAACTCCAGGTATAGCTTTAAGTCTAGCTAATTCAGCTTCTGTTATAGAAACTTTTTGATTTTTTAATAATTTATTTATAACATCTGCAGTGATATATTTAAAATCTTTGAAAGTCGTTTTATTTGGTGTTGTGCTATAGAATCTAACCCTACTACTTGACGGATTTACATTAAAGGGATTTTTCGTATTAGCAAATCTAAAGGATCCCCCTTTATCTGTGTTTATGAAACTAGGGAAAATATAAGCTAATATCGGGTAATATCAAGTAGAAATTATAATATTAAAATAAAAAAGAATATAAAGAGCAAAGAAGCAAACTTCTGGTATCAAAAAGTTAATGTTATATATTAATTTCGTACCACAAGTCTAAAAGTCTTATCTAAAAGATTTATTAATTATTATTTAGCTTATACAGTGTAGGACAGGTTTGTAGAAACTTTAATCTTGGTTTACTTAGTTCTTCCAAGAACCGGCTTTCCCGGCAACTAGAGTACACCTTACAAAACCTAAATTTATAGGTATTGAAGAACCGTCTACTCGTTGCTCTTTTACAACAATATTGTTGATTTAGATCCGCGATTACCCATTTCAAATGCGAACTTAATGGCACTATCATCTTTAGCGATATTACCTTACCTTGGGTGATTAATTAAGCCAGTCAATAAGTTTCCTTATTGCTTTAGTTACTAAAGCTTTAGGGCTTCCCCGGAGTTTGGCTCTTTTACACTCTAAATAGATTATTATTTCTATTTATCATGTATAACGTCAGCAGCTGTTATAATAAATCTAATGTGTGTTAATTCAGGGATTATTACTCTATTATCCACTTCTAGCATTCTTAAAGCTCCTTCTTCTAGATCTAATTCAGGGATTATGTAAGAACCAAATTCTATAAAGTCTCTTAACAGGAGGAAGCAGCGGTATATTCAATAACTAATTCTTGCCTCCTGCACTCTAAGGGAGTGCAGGAGGCGCTCTTTATCGTAGGCGCACCTCTGGCGCACCAAGTGCGCAGGGCAGGCGCGACCCCGCTTCTACTTGGCCCGTGCGCTAGCACGTGCTGTGGCCTGTGCGCAGACTGCGCCACGTAGCCTGCGCCACAAGCACCGCTTCTAGTCCACGATGTGCATCTAATACGCTGTGCGCATACTGCGTACAGCTTGCGCGTGGCCTGCGTTGGTCCTCTTCCTAGGGCGGCGTTACAATTGCTCCCCTCCTGTGCCTAACTCCCCTAAGGCAGGTCTTGACGAAAGGCTTGCAGCCTTTATTCTTAGTAGTGGTGGTGCTTGTCCGTTTGCGACGGCCCCTTTATGCTTGCTAAGATTGCTATTAAAGGCAACTTAAGGCGCCTTTAGATCCCTTTATTTAGGAGGTTAGTCTTATAGTTAAATTAGATTATTGTAGGATCTAGCATTTAGTTACTTCTTTTAGAAACAACAAATTCGTCTTTTAGCAGCAATATGGCTACTTTTAATATTAACGCTTTTATGCTTGCGGTAAGCGCCTTTAGCGCTCTAGTACCCGCTATAGCCCTAGCCCTTACTCCTTAACACTCTCTACCCTTTAGCTAAGGTGCTAGTTCTAGCCGCGCGTAACGTGCGCGCAGGGCTTATACTAGCTTAGTTTGTTATTTTACGCGGACTATAGCGCGCGCCGTGCCTTTAATTAGGCCTTTAGTAGCCTATTAAGGTATAAAAGCTACCTTTATTAGTTTAGCGCTTTTAAGGTTAGTAGTAGCTACGCTACTAGCTTACCTTTAAGTTACCTTAAACGGCTTATTATATATATAATACTTATACTACTTTTTAATAACTTTTTTATAGAGTTGCTTAAGTTTATAGCTGTGCTATATATGTATAGCGTTACTAGCGCTAAGCGCTATAATAGCTGCTATGCTAGCAAGTATAAGTGTTATAAGGTAAGTTTTCTTTAGTAGCTATAGGTAGCTTTAATAGCTAATAGAATATAGGTTTTCTTACTAATAGTTAGCAACTAAGCTAACTTTAAAATAGTGCTATATAGCTTTAATAAAAAGCTTTATAGCTAGGGTTTGCCTATAGTATATATATCACCTGCGTATACTATAAGTGCTTTTATTACTACCTTATTATAGGTAGATAAGTAGTAGCAGCCTTTATTGCTAAGAGTGTTGTTAGCTACTAACGTTATATAAGTAAAACTTAATCTTTACTAAGGTATTAAGGCTTAAAAGAAGGCTTAAAAGGTAGCTTGCTAAGTAAAGGCTTAGTAGGCTTTATTAGCTTAAATATACTTACTATTACTATATACGCCTTTTTTATCTTTACTACTTAGGCTTGCTACTTTAACTCTTTAGTAGCTTTCTTAGCTACTATGCTTAATGCTTAATAATACTAGTTATACTACCTTTATTATAGCCTTTAATACTTTTTTAAAGGCGGTAGTAAAGGCGTATACTATAAATAACGCTTATACTAAGGTAGTAGCTAGCGTAGCGTTACTTTAAAGGCTTCTTAAATAGTTTTATATAGCCTTTTATAAAGCCTTTTAGCTAGTTAAATTAATTTAAGCTTTTGCCTATATATTTTTGTTTTTACGCGCTTGCTATATATATACTACTTAATTGCTATATATGTATTTTCTATATTTTTTTCTAGCACTAACTAGTTATATTTAATTAGCTAGCTTATTTAATATACTAAGTATTTAGTCTAGCTAGCTTTATATCTTTTATTTAAAACTACTTTTACTTTTTATTTATTATTTAAGTCTTTTAACGCTAGTATTATTAAAGGCGCTTGTTTTACGCTTACCTTACTCTTTTAATGCTTTAATAGTAAGACTAAGAAAACGTTGTATAGTTAGCTATATTATTTTAGTAGTACTAGTTAATATACTTATTTGCCTATAGTCTTAAGGATTTTAAAAGGCTTAATACGTCTTAATACTAACTTTTTATTTTTAAGTAAAGGTTTTTTATAAAAAGGCTTACTAGCTTTTTTACTATAAAGCTTATAAGCTAGTAGCGTATATTATAATAACGCTTTTAGCGCTTTATTATATACTCTTGGTTTACTACTAACCTTTTCTATATAGCTTTTAGTTTTTTAAGCGGTTGTATACTACTAAGACTATATTATATATATCT